TCTAAAGCTGTAATTTGAAAACCTAAACAAGTTATCTAAAAGGCAAGCAATTTAAAGCTTAAACTATAAGGTAAAGAGGCTATACTTATAGGCTTTAAAGAGACTTACCTATATAGGTGTTAGGCCATCCTTTGTAGTAAGCTTGTTGTTACAAAAGACGTGTATATATTCAAAGAAATCGTAGAAGACGTAAATTTAATTAAATTCTAGCCTAAAGGAGTTTGGCGCCGCACTAAGAAGGTAACAATTAATTAGAAAACGCAAGACTATAACGTCTTTATTCTAGAACCTAACTCTAACGTTAAGGAGGAGCTTGATCTAGATAAAGATCCGGATAATATCTTTAATCTAGAAGACTTTAAGGAGCCCTTATAGGACTAAGCTAGCATCCTAAATTAACCTTAGGAGATTATTACAATCTTAGATCTAACTCCTATTTACAAACGCGTAGTGCTGCCTTAGGCCGCGCGTAATCTAATAGAAGTAAGCAGCACAAACCTTATATAGCGCGCACTAAATACGCATAATATAGAAAAAGATAAGCTAACTATAAAGGAGGCGCTATTAAGAAGCAAGTTAAATTAATAGCGTAAGGCTATATTTAAGGAGATAGATAGCTTAGTTGTAAGAGGCGTCTTTAAGTTTGTAGACTAACTAAAAAGTAGGAAGACGATTACTAGCAAGTAAGTGCTATAGTAAAAGTAAGGACTAAATTAAAAAAAGATAAAGAAAAAGGCAAGGCTAGTAGCTAAAGGCTTTTAGTAAAAGGTAAAGGCCTTAACTATAACAAAACCTTTATATTAACTTCTTAATTAGACTCTTAGCGTATGCTTATAGCACTAGCTATCTAGTTTAACTAGACTCTACATTAATTTAACATAATCGCTGCCTACCTATACAAACTACTAAACAAAGATATCTTTATAGAATAAGAAGAGCTGTTTTAGCAGTACTTTAAATAAAAACCTAAAGTGGCATGCTAGCTTAACTAGGCGCCAAATCGCGTTATTTAGCTACAATAAGCGTTATACGGCTTAAAGCAAGCTAGCTACATCTAGCAAAAGAAGCTGCGCAAAACTATAGCATTAGCAAGGCTTAAGCCCTTTATAACAAACCCTACTACGTATTATAGCAAAGGCGTAACCGTAGTAACGCACGTTAACGATGCCCTTTATAAACAAGCTAAAACTAACGTCGCTTCGTTTAAACTTAGTATGCGTTAGTTGCTAAAGACAAAAATAACACTAACGCCTAAATGGTTACTAGGCGTTAAGATCGGGATTACCACTACAAAGAGGGGTACTTAGATTAGCCCCTCCTAGTCAGCGTACATTCGCAACCTTCTTAAATGCAAGGGCATAAACGAATCGCACCCTGTTACAACCCTGATCACTAGTCTGGTGACTCCTAACAAGCATAAGCCCTTAGCAGACAGCTTTCGATATTAGCACGTAAACAGCAAGCTAATCTACGCTAGTATAATAACAAGACTAGACATCTCCTTTATTGTACACCAGCACTTAAAGGTAATGAAATTACCTAGAGAAACGCATGCCAAGTTAGCTAAGCAATCGCTTCGCTACCTGCGAGGCAAGGAGGACTACGCGATAGTCTACCGCCGTTAAAAGCCCCCTCCAAAGGGGCACATTTGCGTTAAAGGGTAGGTTAATGCGTCCTAAGCCGACAATCCAGTTAATCGTCACTCCACGTACGGCTTCGTCTTCAGGATTTCAGGAGGGCCGGTCTCTTAGAGAGCCAAGAAGCTCCCAACCGTCAGCACCTCTACCTGTAAAGCTGAATACGGCGCCGCCTACTACGCAACAACGCAGGCCCGCTAGATCGAGCAATTCATGCTCGAAATAGGCCTCTAAGCCGACATCCAGATGTTCGTAGACAACACCTCCGCGATTAGCATCACGAAGAAGCCTGAATTCAGAGAGCGTTCGAAGCACTTCGACGTCAAGTGGCACTACTTTCGTGAAAGCGTACTAGGCGGCTTGTTAACGGTACAGTACGTAAAGTCTAAGGATCAGATCGCTAATATCATAACGAAGGCGCTGCCTAAGGCAGCGTTCGAGAGGCTGTTGCCTCGCTTGATAGGCTGGCAGCCGTGAAAAGGGCTGCCGAGGATGATTTCAGTGCATCGCGGTGCGCCTACGTGGCGTATTCAGGGGGAGTGTCAAGCATTGGAATCCGCCACACTATGGCCCTTCCGCCCCACTTGGCCGTACGGGCCTGTAATTGGTTAGAAGGCACAAAAGCGGGGCCTGACACTAGTATTAATACGGATCCCTAGAAGAGTCGCGATGTATCTATTTCTTCCTTAGTACACAACACTCTTTCGCCTACACTAAACCCTATTCAGCCTCCTGCTCCTTACAGTGCATCACGTTATATGACCGCTACGTATAGCCTCCTTTAACCTTCACAATTTATCCTCTATTATACTACTTATACTAGAAGAAGTAATTTAAGTTTACAGTATAAAATTATGCCTTTAAATAAGTCTAAAAGCGCAAAGAGAGTAAGAGCTAGTTATTAAGCTATATATTAAAAACAATTAAGAAAAGTAGACGGCCAATTAAATAAAGACATTTTTATACTAATAAACTTAAGGGTAACGTCTCCTAGAACTACTAGGCTAACGCCTTAAAAACAAGCGCAGGCTGCTAGGTAATTAATATGCGGCAGCCCGCTAAGCTAGTACCTATAACCTGCTAAACAATCTTTAATATTTTAAGTCGTCATAGTAATATAATTCTAAGTAGTATTACAATTTGCTTCCTAGAGCTCGTAGGCTTCTAACGATTCCAGCGTCTCTTCCCCATTATCATCAACAATTCAAGCTAAGGCCTCTACTAGGCCTGTCAGAAAATGCTCTGTCTTTATCCAGCGCGTCACTGCACGCAAGGCAACGTCCCATTCAACGAAGCCATTCTCCTCCAAGTTAGGCACGTAGATCACAGATCCAAATTTGTTGGTGTACTCCATCGCAGCGATTCAAACAATCAAACAAAGCGAATTAGCAGGGGTATTTAGAATAGAAGCCGTTTATTAGCTAGATTAAAAGAAAGAAGCAGGGGCAAAACCCGCTGCTTGCACCCGTTGGTTATAGGGTGAAAAAACGTAAAAAAAAAAACGTATTTGGCGCACGCGAAACGAGCGCTTGGTCGAAAACGACGAAAACAACGCCCCAAAGGACGGATTTGACGATATATATCGAGAATTGAAGGTATTTTGATGAATTTAATGCACTTGGTGATGAACTTGCGGATCAGAGAGGGCTCATGACCTGTGGAAAGGTGCATGTATTCCCATGCACTAGAAGCTAGTGCAGGCTGTACTGCGGGAGTGAAAACTCTGCACACTGACCCACAGGGTCACGTGCAACAGAGTTCCACTCTCAAAACTAAGCTACATGGTAAACAAGGCGTAGTATCTTTGGCTATTTTGTAGCAACTGTTTAATATTTATCAATGCCTGAACTCAGCCTTGAATTATACATACACGAGTAACCGTAGCTAGTTTCACCATAGCTAGACAAACCAGGGAAGCTATTATACGTAAAAGATCAGTTAGATTACACATAAAGACTTACTTGAACACCTGTACAGAACGACGCTAGCAAAGTAGATAAGAGTACGTAGCAAGACAACGTAGCGTCCCTATAGGCATCACTGCATAGAACTTTAGCAACCCTGTACACGTTTTGTAGAAGCTGCCGTTACCGAGCATAGGTAGCCAAATATTGTAAAATAAACAAGGTAATAATAATGTTGTTTTGTCATAACCACTGCACCATATTGAAAAGCTGTGAATTTCACAACTTACAGCATAGTAAGCAGGGTCATATCTGACTAACTTTAACTTTTTAAAAATTACATGTCTGCAACACGCCTAAACTACGCTCTTTGTAGAAGAACTCGGGCAGCTTATAGAACTACTGCAAACAGAAACACCTCCTCTCTATATCTGTATACGGCTTTAAAAGGCGGCTTTATGGGATTGAAAGACTTCCTTTGTTTCTAAAGGGTAGTAATTATAAAGTTATTTATAACCTAAATATTGCTCAACTACACACAGGGCGCTCGTGCAGACGTTTCCGATTTATGGCGAGTATTTAATGTCAAGTATTATTACCGTCTTATACGGCTCACCGTCTGGCAAACTGAGCGGTCATCCCAGCAACCGTTTAGTTCCCAGTTGTTAACACCACATACAGTTACGCCTACTTCTGTCAGACAATTGTGTGTATGTTACCAGAGAACCACAAAATGCTGAGGAGGTGGGCGGCCAGATAGACCCCCAAACCTGACCCATGGCTTTCTAGTTGTATCCAGTTTTGTGCAATAGCTCCGGGAGTTTCGTGTCTACTATCTTGCTTGTCTTGCCACCAATCGCTCAGTGAAATTATTAATCACACAATACCACTGTTACATCGGTGTAATGCACAGCACTGTCATTGTCATTACATGCTAATACCACAAAGACGTCAGCATATTTCCTAGAGTATGCATCCTGAGCACGCTTTCCGGCTCATCCAGGTTTATATAGCCGTCAGACTCATTCAGCCACCCAAAAGTGGAAATGAACCCGTTGTACGCATCGTTCTTGAGGTGAGATTCATTCCCAGTTCGTCATAGTGCCACGGAGCTGATTTAAATTTGCTGCGGAGTGGGTTGACCCGTGTGACAGATCAAAAGCGGTTATGCAAAGCGCTGGCACCCTGTTATCTACGCCCTATCAGTAGGCGTAACAAAAAAAAATTGCCGTACAAACATGCAGTCATGTAGCTAGAACATAGGGTAACATTTATCTTGTTGCAATCTGAATACCTATAATATGTCATGAACTTCTCGATGTGGTGAGAAGTGATGTGATAATAAGCCAAAGCACACTTTCAAAATCTCCAGCCGTGCCATGCCACTTTCAGGTCGACCGAGTTACAGACCTGCGATACATGCAAGCAACGACGATAGCACTAAGTCCTCTGTTCGAACATGATAACTTCCAGTACAGAGGAGAGCTTTGACGCTCTCGTCGTAGGTGCAGGTTTTGGTGGCATATACCAGCTTTATTCTCTGCGCCAACTGGGGCTTTCCGTCAAGCTCATCGATGTAGCCTCTGATGTTGGCGGAACTTGGTACTGGAATCGCTATCCAGGTGCGTACAGTGTGTTTTCTGTGCCCTGGGTTCTGTCTGACATGTGTCCAGGAGCCATGAGCGATACGGAGAGTTTTGTTTACCGGTACACCTGGGATGCTGAAGATCTTCAGACATACCCCTGGTCGCATCACTACGTCAAGCAGCCTGAAGTTCTTGCCTACCTTAAGCATGTTGTCCAGCGCCATGACCTTCGGAAGCACATGCAGTTTAACACCAAGTTTCTATCGGCCGATTGGTCCGAGGCCGAGAAGGTCTGGAACGTCGATGTGAGCACTGGGGCTCGATACAAGGTTCGCTACCTGATTACAGCCCTTGGACTTCTTTCGCGACAGAACTATCCAGACATACCTGGGATCGATTCTTTTAGCGGAGTGAAGTGCCACACGTCGACTTGGGATCCTAGCATCGATCTCAAAGACAAGAGAGTCGGTGTTATTGGCTGTGGCTCGACCGGTGTTCAGGTGATTACTGCGATTGCGGGCACCGTCCGAGAACTGGTGTGTTTTCAACGGCACCCGCAGTACAGTGTGCCAAGTGGCGACGGGCCTGTTAGTCCTGAATACCGCGCTGAAATCAATGCAAACTACGACAAAATTGTTAAACAAAACCAGAGCTCGGCATATGGTTTTGGCTTTGTGGAATCTGATCGGTCGTACGACTCCTTTTCACCAGAAGAACGGGAGCAGATGTTTGAGTCTCTGTGGAAGAGGGGAAATGGTTTTAGATTTTTTGGAAGTGGCTTCAGTGACGTGAGTGAACCAACAAAACTTTGGCTTCTTACTTTCATGCCAGCATCGCATACGTCGGGCACTATTGTTGTCACAAACTGACCAAGCTTCACAGTTATCCACAAACCGAGCAGCCAATGAAGCTGCTTGCGAATTTATTAGGAAAAAGATCGCCCAGATTGTGAAAGATCCTGTCAAGGCACAGAAGTTGCAGCCTCATGAACCTTATGCGCGCCGTCCTCTATGTGATGGGGGCTACTACGAAAAATTCAATCGCGACAATGTGTTTCTCGTTGACCTGAAGGAGACGCCCATAGCAGCCATCACGCCGAAGGGTATCAAGACGAGTGATGGTAAGGAGCATGAACTGGATGTCATCATCTTCGCCACCGGGTTTGACGCAGTCGATGGCCAGTATAAGACGCTGAATATCCGCGGGCAGGACGGCAAAAGTCTTAAGGAGCACTGGGAAAACGGTGCCACCAGTGTTCTGGGCACGAGCATTGCACATTTTCCCAATTTCTTCATCGTCGCAGGGCCCCAGACGGCCTTTTCTAGCATGCCTGTCCTCATTGAAGCTACTGTTGATTTTATCACTGGTGCCATCAAGCGAGCAGAAGAGCTATCCGTCAACGGAAAACAGGCCACCATCGAGGCAACGGAAGCCGCTGAAATCGAATGGACTAAAACCTGCAAGGACTTGGTAGAGGGAAGCCTTTTCAAGGAGACAGACTCTTGGATCTTTGGGAGAAATATCCCGGGGAAGCCCTATTCTGTGACATTTTATTTTGGCGGGTTAGGGAGATTTCGCACGTTGATGCATAAGATGATCGAGGAGGGCTATCCTGGATACAAACCATTCTTAACATCCTGATGGACTAGCCACGTTTGTTTTGCTTTGAGTTTTCAAAAATCGTCAATCGTTCTGTCGTTTACCGTCCCCACACAGCAGTATGGATATAGTGTAAATTATCTATGTATATGATCGTCATGACTGTGCTACCGCTCGGAAACCGGGCATGTTTCTTGCTGCCATGACACCGACTCTTGGGCACAAAAGTGTCCTGTCGGAGCCAAGCGGGTATCACAATCGATTCATGCCATGCCATGTGAAATGTGTACACCTTCGCGCCGAGATGGGAAAAGAAAAAGAAAAAGAAAGAGCAAGACAGGACGGTCTAAGCAGGTGTGATGGAGACAAAGAACAGACGATCAGCGACGACGGCCACCACCGCCACCACCACCACCACCACCTCTGCTGCGTCCTCCACCACCACCGCCGCCTCTACCACCGCCACCACCCTGGCCTCCGTGGTGTGTGCGCGGCGCGTCAGGAACGACAACGAGGCCCGGGGTGCCGCGCAGGCCCATCTTGCCGACGGTGGACTTCTGGATGGCCGGCGTATTGGTGGCGTGAAGGCCGTCGCGCGCAAAGCTGTTGGCCGACGCGACCAGCTGGTCCTTGTCCCAACGCAGCGGCTTCATGTGGCTCTTGTAGTAGCCGAGCCAGGCCTGGTATGTCTTGGCGACCATGGCCTCGTCCATGGCGTCGATGATGGGCGCCAGCTGGCGCTCGCACGACAGGTCCGCCGGCTGCTCAACGAACTGGATCTCCTGCAGGACGCGACGGGGAAAAAAGGCCTCGTCCGCCGAGATTATGAAGACGCCTCGGCTCTGGGCCGCTGCAATGTCGGTGGCCAGATCGGCCGCAGCTGTGGCGGCAGCTCCACGAGCCGTGCGGCCGAGCCGGTGAATGTACGACTCCTTGTCCATCGGGATGCCGACCTGGAAGACGGTCGTGACAGCTGGGAAGTCCATGCCGCGCGCCACGACGTCGGTGGCCACGAGGATGCCGCTGGCCGCGCCACGGAACGCGCTCGTGATGTTGGTCCGCTTCGACTGGGCGTGGCGTGCGTGCAGCGTCCAGGACGGCGGCATGTCCGACAGGTTGGCCAGCAGGAGGCCATAAAAGTCTGCCAGCGCCGCCGTCGGCGCAAACACGATCGCTTTGAAGACCGATGCCGCATTGGCCGGAAGGCTGCTCGCAAGTCGCGTCTTTTCCTGCCGGATCGCCCCAATCAGCGCCGGTGCCAGCGCCGCAAACGACGGCGCCTGGATCAGCAGCTGCATCACGCGTGCGTGCGTGGGTGCCTCGCCGGCCGGGATCGTCGAGATGGACTTGTAGCCGGCCGCGAGAACGAGGTCGGCCACCTGGGCCACATGCGACGGCACCGTGGCCGAGAAGAGCATGCCTTGCCACTGCGTCGCCGACTTGGACGGCAGGCAGGCCAGAATGCTCTGCAGCGCGCCCAGGAAGCCCATGTCGAGCAGTCGGTCGGCCTCGTCCAGCACCAGCGTGTCGAGCCGACCGAGCGCCTGCTTGATGGCCGTCGTTCCGGTCACGTGATCGATCAATCGTCCCGGCGTCGCGATCAAGATGTCACAGCCCGCCAGGATCTGCCGCTCCTCCTGGTTCTTGTTCGTCCCACCGACGGCGATGCACACCCGTCGCGCTGGCATCCGCTGCAGCAGGTTCGTCGCCTCCTTGGCGATCTGCATCGCCAGCTCGCGTGTCGGCGCCAGCACCAGCAGCGAGATCCCGCTCCGCTTGCCGCCTGCACCGCCCTGTCGGTTCAGCATCGTCTGGATGGCCGGTAGCAGGAAGCCCAGCGTCTTGCCCGTGCCCGTCTTCGCCTGCACGAGGCAATCGTTGCGGGCGGGCGGCAGCAGCTGGTGGATCGTCGCCGCCTGCACCGGCATCATGTGGTCAAACCGCAGGTCCTTGGTGATGGTCTCGATCAGCACAGGGTCCACAATTGTCCGGCTCGCGTTCAGGTCGGCAAATCGCGGCGTGTCGGGCGGAATCGCCTCTGTCAATGTGGGCGTTGCCACGCCCGGCAGCTCTGGCTGCAGAGGCGTCTGCTCGCGCGTCTGCTCGGCCGCATGCCCGTGACCGCCCGCAGACGGGCCACTGCGCTTGCCCCGGAAATTCCGTCTTCTTCCTTGTTGTCTGGCTTGATCCATGGTGGCAGAACGTCGTTTGTCAGATGGAAGAGTTTGTTGTTGTGGCAGGAAAGTTTCGGTTTGTTTGATATCAGATAAGACAATTGTTAAGAAAAAAAGGGAAATAGGCTAACCGCATCCGCTCACAGTATACAAAAACACAAAAGCAGTAGCACTGTGAGTGATGTCAGAAAGCGCCTTTTGACCCACAAATCTTGTCAAGCCAACGGCTGGACAGCTTTTAAACGGCGCAAACTCAAGCTGGCAGTATAAGCTCCTCTCGGTTCTATTGTTGGATTTACTGCTTAATTCTGAATGGATTAGACCTGTAGCTGCTTGCAGAAAAACTCAAAGGAAAGAAAAAGCCAGAGCACACGAGTGATCCGAGGTATGAAGAATCCAATGCCCATTTCTTACTACCAACTACTGGAAGTGATAGTCTGTCTAAGAAATCTAAGAAATACGCGCTTTTTTCTTATCGCATATTCACACGAAAAAATATATATATATATAGATACATTGCGGGGAGGTGCTATCCGGCCCTTGGCACAATGACAGTCGAGCTTTGCACGATCCCGTCGCAGACGACCGAGGCCATCGTTGCCGACCTAGAGAGTTGCTGTGCTAATGGCTGAATTAGCCATAATGACAGCTTGAATTTACAAAGGTAGATGTACTTATCAGGGGTGCTAAGTGTCGGGACTTGATGATATTGGCCTGCCTAATTCTCTTGTTAAAACAATCCCGTGAGGTTCTACGCCTCTCTGCACCTCTGTACACCCTTATAAACCTGTCTACACTCTTCTCCACTTCTGCACCTCTGCACCAGCATCCCACCTTCACGCTTCCTTTAAAACCTTATGCACTCTACTTGAAGCTCTGGTTTAAAATCAACACCTATTAGTACAAGAGACGTATGGAGCAATAGGCCCGACTCTGATTAAGCCAGCACGTATATATGCTCTCAACTGTGCTAATCTACAACTCTCACAGTACGCCAACTTAACGGCTGTCATTCGGGAGAGAAAATCTGTCTATGCGAAAGGCGGAAACGGATTTGTGTTGGCGTGGACAGTAAAGAAAATTACACACCCTCGGAAGGACTAGATGGCGAACTTTTACCGGGTTCTCGCCTCTAAACTTAATTTCACCAAGCCTTATCTATCTAGTCTAGAAGCCACAGCAGCCATTTTCTCAGAGGTCTGCCCAACGTTCCCTCTGTCAGTCGTCCTGATGGTGGCATTTTCCGCACCAATGAAGTGTTATAGAATGCGCAGTTGTTTGGTATTCTCGGGGAAGCTATAGGTAGGTCCACACCGACACCTTGACGCACATCATTGTCAATACACTTTGCTTTGTGCCGGTAAGACCTTTGTACGTCTTCTCTGATAATTCTACGTTCGAATATCATGATAATGAGGCAGTTATTCCATTCTCGAAGCCACTCGTCCGACACTTCAGCCACGAAACTATTGAGTATGAACACAAACTCGTCGAATAAGCCCACAATTGACCATAGACGAAGAGCTAGCATACAAGGCAGATACTATACAGCAGTGCCAAAGTAGTGCGTTGTCCCAGCAGTCTTATCCTAGTCTACCACAATCAGAGTGACTTTAATAGCATTGACCAACCCAGCCATGTCGTCGTGAGTAGAAAGTTTGTCCAGAACAACCTTGTCGTTCGACTTGACGCTGATATAGCGTGTGTGGCCTTCACCCGTCTTATCCTTTTTAGTAAAGGACATGTCAAAACGGTCATCCGCGTCATGGATGGCTTCTCTCAGAGCAATCGTGTTGTCGTGGCAAGAAGTGGGGCCCCAGATAACTTTTCCTTTGAATTTAAGAGTGCATTCCATAGTATGGCCTTCGACACTATGCTCCTTGTTGTCGAGCCAGACGTTGAGTTTGTCGTTCATGATGATATTTTTCTGATTATCATTAGCTATGGACAAGCCTTTTGAAGGACCACATTATATATTAGGCACCTTGGTGATAAACAGAAGGTTACTTAGCCTCGATGTAGATGAGATAGACGGTCCTGATTCTTGCTTTGTAGCTTGAGGATTTGATGCCTTTCTGTCTTCGGTCTCTAGGGTGCGAGGTCGGATTTATATAAGTCGACCGGCCAAGCTAATCCAAGGCCAGTTTGTAATGGCTTCTGCAGATGAGGTCACGTTGATCCTCCAGAGAGCCACCCTCGACGTGGCACGATAAGCTCCTTGCACGTAGATGGCTTAGATCATTCTAAGGAGAAGTGGCGCCTGCATGAGCTTGGGCAGCTTTTGGTCTGCGGGCTCGAATGTGCAGATGGCGTGGGTCATTTTCTCTCGATTCGACTCTGATTGATTGCATTCTAGCCTAGTTGTTAAGAGAGTGATATACGTAGTTTTGTGCTGCTAGCTGTTAGCTACGACTTACCGGAGTAGGTCGTCAAGCCTTGACGGGACTATGACGTGGTATGTGGATGGTGCATCGACTGGTAGTCGGGCAGAAGGTATCGCAGTAAGAAGATTGGCTAGAACCAACAAGATCAATTTGGGGCCTCTCTTTGAAGACCTCGTCGATTGGAACAACTAATCTTAAGGCCGTCATGCACAGCCTCGCAGCCTAAGCCGGCATGCACATGACCTTGTCGGCTGACTCCAAAGGTCGGGCCAAGAAGTGAGTTGATGGGTCTCGATCAATCCTGTAGTTCCGCCAGTCTCTGATAGTTTAGGTAAGCTACTAAGACAAAGCTTAAGACAAAATAAGCGAGTCCAGAACAAACCAAACGACACAGTTCCAAGCTATTTGTGGCGGCCGCTGTTTGTCCAACTATCAGCTCCACCTAGCTTACGCTTTCATTACCATAACCTAGCAAGTGGCTACAAACTCAGCGTTCCTCCCGAGATGCGCAAAGAAAACATCAACTAAAGACGAAGGCTACGGAGTAATGTCAGGGCATCGTCCCCTTAGTCAGCCCTCGGGGCGCCTTAGTCAGCCATCAGGGCCATATAGCCCACAAGCCATCCACAAATGGATGGGAATAATGAATCAGCTTCTCTTCTTCATAAAACCTGGCAGCTAATTAGAACACTGGAATAACGGCCACCGCTATTTGTACCATGCGGTGCACTGCACTCCGTATATAACACGGGAATAACGTCATGTTTTGATAATCAAATTCTTATCGTGACTAACACTTGTAGCTTCTACTCCGTGCACCACTAGTCTGTACGCGCAGTCGTCTGCGCGTATACCAGTGTAAGACCCGTACGTTAATCCTTGTGGGATATTCGTCCGGACCAGTTGCACGTATCGTAGTAAGCTTTAAGGCCTTCAGAAGATCTAGTGATGATATTTCGTTGGGTGGTTGACTGAAGCTCCAGACTGTGCGCAATGTGCGTTCAGTCAGGGCTTCGTCTTATCTAGTGATTTCGGCGGCCGAGGTCAGGTGACCTCGGGAAATCCACACACTGCCAGAAAACGAATTGTGATACAATACAAAAGCAGCTCCTCCACGGTGACCTATTTCACTGCCCCTTCTGTCCTCCCGGTATTACTTTCCTCAGCCTCTCTCCTACCTTTTCCTGAAAATCTTTCACAACGGTGCTTTACTGCCAAGGTGCCGTTACTAGGCTCCTGCATATACTGAGAAAAACGCACCCAGTCCTTCTAGTAGCCGTCCGGTGTAGGCGTTGCTGACTAATTCTTGATGACCGAGGCGTAGCCTTGTACTGATCCCACGATTATTGACTGAAGTGGGACCTCTTTTGTTCCAAATGCGCTTTCAGGGGGCAGACTTTCAATTTCCAAAGGCACTGACGAAAATATTTCTGTATTAGGCAGTATAAGGTTCATCTGCTTGTCTAACTAACTTGGTCGATATCCCCGTGTTATATTCGGTGTACCGTATGGTAAGATAAGATATCTTACAAATAGCGGCCGCCCTAAATATATTCATTGCATCTTACTCCGTACTCCGTGGAACGAAATATTTATTTTTTTAGGCATAAAAGCGGTGCCAGACACGCTCCACAATATACCGTATGTCAATCCAGAAAGCAGTCCTGCGGTCCTCAGCGCCCCTTTTCCTGTGGCAATTGTCGTGTAGCGTGTCTATGTTTGTGCATTGGACCGACTCCTTGGCCAGCTTAGAGCGAACTGACAGTGGGACATAAGCGGGCATAAAATCGAGAGCCAGCCAATAGGAGTGCTAGACTACAATGTTTTGTCCGAAGTGGAGAGCTGTAAGACTGCCAAACGGGGCAGTCAGTTGGATTCCGGACCCAAAGATAGAGTGCCCGTGGGCTGACGGTGTATATGAGGCAGACAGTCTGACAGATTCTGTCTTGTTGGCAGTTACGCTTGTTGTTCTGCCTCTCTACCGATCATGACTCTGACTGTTGATGCCGTCAACGGCCTGTCCAGCGGCCCTGCCGCCACGTCTGTCGGCGAGAAACCGTATCTGCTGTTCTGTGCGGCATTCATGGACGGACACACGAACCCATTGATCCGGATCTGCAGCGGTCTGGTCAAGCGCGGCTTCCCGGTCACCTTTATCGCCGGCAACCAACACGAGAAGAGAATCAGGGCGGTCGGAGCCGACGTCGTGGGCTATGAGCCGGAGCTGACAGCAGCCGACTGGGAGGCACGAAATGCGGTGCCAGCCGGCTTGCCGCAGCTTCTGTGGGATTTGGAGATCGTCTTCTGCCGCTGCACCACCTCGCGATGGGCGCTGCTCAAAGAGACGCTAGAGCGGTTGCGATCATGTGATCCGGCCCGAGAGATTGTCGTCGTCTACGACACCGCTTTTATGGGCACAGCTCCGCTGATGCTGGGGGCACCGCTGCCCCGGGGCTTCGACGTGCGGCCAAAGGTGGTCAACGTCAACGTGATTCCCGTGACGGCAACCAGCATCGACACGGGTCCGTTCGGTCCCGGCCTGCCACCCGACGCGAGCGAGTCCGGCCGGGCACGCAACCAGCTGATCAACCAGCTGATGGCGAGCACCATCTTCAGCGGCCTCAACGCCAGCTATGGACGCATGCTCCGAGAGGCTGGCGCGACCGTCGAGCTCGAGCCCGTCTGTCTTCCCCACCACTGGCCGCTGCTCAGCGACGTCTCGCTGCAGATGTGTCCGGCCAGCCTGGAGTATGTGCGGTCGGACCTGCCGGCACACATCCGCTACGTCGGCAGCCTGCTGCCGGATCCGGTCTCACCTGGCTTTGTCCGTCCAGCCTGGTGGCCCGAGGTGGACGTCGGTGCCGCCAAGAAGGTCGTCGTCGTAACCCAGGGCACCATCGCCACCAGCTACAGCGACCTCCTGATTCCGACGATGGCTGCGCTTGCCGATCGCGACGACCTCCTCGTCGTGGCCATCCTGGGCGTGCGCGGCGCTGCTCTGTCGGCCGACGTGGCCGTTCCGGCCAACGCGCGCGTGGTCGACTACCTGCCCTACGAGGCTATCCTGCCGCGGGCGGCGGCCTTTGTGCTGAACGCCGGCTACGGCGGACTCATCCACGGCGTCGTCCACGGCGTGCCCATGGTTCTCGCGGGCTCGACCGAGGACAAGCCCGAGGTGGCGATGCGCGGCCAGTGCGCCGGCGTGGCTGTCAATCTGCGCACGGGACAGCCGACCGAGGCACAGCTACGCGAGGCCGTCGATAGGTTGCTCGTCGACCCGTCCTTTCGGGACCGCGTGAACGAGATCCGGCGCGAGAACGAGGCCCTGGGGGCCATGGACAATGTCGAGCGCGAAATTCTACGGGTTGTGGCTTGAGATCGGACTTGCAGGCATATGTGGTCTTCGAGGCAGATCTTCGACAGGCAGAAGGAGCTGCTGACAGACCTTTCAGCCCAGGCTTCCACTTTAGCTATAGATGTTTCTCTAAGTACAGCTACATTCGCTCATTCGTATATATATTCTCTTCTCTCTCTCAAGGCCACCTAGCCACGACTGTAACCGGCGAGGATTGCATTGGTGCCATAGAGTGAATCGAAATACATATGCTGACACAAAATGAGAGTCTACAAAAAAGCAGTTGCTAAAGGTGAAGAAGCGATGGCTGATCCTTAAGGAAGTCTGTGCTGCGTGCAAGGATGAGATACAGGATCTGTATACAACAGGAAATCACATATTAAACACGGCATTGAAAATAATAGAGAACGAGGGCTCTCTTCAACGTACAATCTAAGCATAAAACTAGCAACTATACCTAGACAGCTAGAAAGTTTGTGCAGCTATAACGTAAGAAACCCCCCATACTCTAGAGCGGTAATAGCATAGGTGTGCCCTTGAATAAGGACGCTGTTAATTCCAGTACTCGTCTTATATAACAAGACATAAAAACAAGCGCAAAGTACAGGTTTAACGGTATTCTAAGAAAGGCCAAAAGAATACACGTTTTTTTAGTTTATGTCCAACAGAATGCTTTCGCGGCGAAAGTTATATATTCAAAGTAAAATATTGTAGCAAACAAAAGCGCCAAGAGAGAAACACTTTGTGCTCCAAAGCCTCGTCCTCTGCTTTTGCAAACCATCCCTCAACAGTTCTTCCGCATAGCACCGAAGTACATCGATACTAATTAGCTTACAGGTAACTTCCATATTAGCTTAGCCCAGCTTTCAGGGGCCAAGGCCATGTGTTGTCCATGGGAAATATAACCCCGGCTTTGCGACAAAAGCACCCGTTCTTTCGAAGCCAAGAGAACCCTATTTCTCCACGGTTGGGAAAGTCGGCTGCGACAGAGCGCCCAGAGCTGGGGCAAAAATTGGACGTCCTGCGTGCAGTACTGTCTTATCTCTTCCGACAGGGGACGTTCGTTGAACCCACTTCGTAACTGCCACCAGACTCCGGCATGAACATCTTGAGGCCTTTCTCCTTGGTCGCCTTCCATTTCGCCCCTTTTGCCGGGCTCAAATTCCCATCCCTGTCAATACATTTTGCGAGTCCAGCAACATACTTTCTAGAATGTGTACGCGATGCAAGTTCCATAAGCTGCAGGTCCTGCACACCCGCAAGATTTATTTTGAAGTGGAAGAATAGGGCATCCGAGTCGTTGCGCACGTCAAAGAACACCTTGGGGATAGCACTAGATTCCAGCAGGTCCTTAAGGGTGCGGCCGTTAGTCCCAGGTGTCAAGAAGGCAGCGTCTTTGAGAGTATGGACGTCAAGGAGATATGCGCGGCCCAGTGGTAGCACATAGACCTGAAGAATAGACACGGTGCCTTCTCTGAAAAGATAAACTCCCTCAAGATCAATGTAGAGTGACGGAGGCGTTGTGGGCTGCGCATAGAGTGTGTCCACAAGGACGGAGACGGTTGATAGCGTGTCGACAAGACCGGATTCGATCACTTTGTTGAGATGGGTCTCCCTTAAAAGAGGTGATAGCCGCTTCGACCTCTTGCTCGTGATTTGTGCCTTTTTTAGCAGCTGCCATGATTATCGGACAATATGTATAAATTTCAACTTTAGAGAAATAGGATGCAAGGATGGATCGTGCGGAGAAGAGATGAAGAGCGGATGTACCCGTTTGTGACCTATGGTTACGTTCTTTATATGTAACAGTTAGGAGGGATGTTTACCCCTCCTCATGACAGATGCCCATCACCACCAATTTCATCCCAGACTAACGGCGTCGTTGGTGGCACTGCAACCTTTCCTTCGATTCTATCGAATGAGGGGCAGCCATTTCTTTCTATGCCTAAGGTCTCAATTTCTGGACTGCATGGTACTTTTCGCCGATAACCTGATCGACAGCCAATAGATGTTGCTACGAGAGGTTCTAGTTCTGCAAATTTGTACAAAGGTTAACCCCCCAAAAAAGTTGTTGGAGCAAGAGACGAATAGCATCTTTCTCTTATGGGCTTTTCCTCAAGCTACATAGCAAGGTGAAACTTAGCACTTGTATTTAAAACATCCGTTACTGTACATTGATTAGACTTTCCCTACTATGCACATTAACCAGCGCTGGTCGGTGCAGAAGTCCTTGGCCGTTGAAACAGGCGCAGCTTCCTGAACTTTATCTTCTGGTCAATTTGATTGGTATCAAATTGTCTGCAAAAGTACTTATGATACCTACCTTACAGCGAAGTAGGCAGGGATATGTATAACCAATTTAGTTCTACAGACGTGGTGTGTAGATAATCATGCCACCGTTGTTATTTGCCTGAAAAAGGCGCTGCCGCAGCTCCATCTTCTTAAGCTCGACGCTTGGACCGATCCAAGCCACCCTGCCCTCCCACCCTCCTGCTGCGGCTGCAGTAGCATCTCCTGCTTCTGCTCCTGCTTCTGCTATTATCACTGCTTTTGCAAGCGGTGGGCTTTGTTTTCTAGCGCGGCTGCGCTCTTGTCCTGCCTATTATGCAAGGTCAGCACACCTTCTCGGAAGACAAAGCTGTAGACAAACGGACTTTTTTTTCTGACCGCATATATGATGTATACCTCGGGATGTTGGGCCTGCTGACGGACGGCAATGGCCTTCATCTGCCCGAGCAGGTTCTCGCTGACATTTGCGACTCCATCATCAATTCGTGATTCCTGACGTTTTGCTTCAAGCAGGACCACTGGCATTTCGACGCAGAATTTGTAGCCAGATGCAGTATTATTCGTGCAAAGAACTCGCCGTCTCCGGTAGCACGAACTTTCTGGCAATTGGCGAGGTCGACAACCCGCTCCGTACGTACATGGTAAACTCTACCACGACTGCCATGTCGTCGCACAGACTGCCATCCTCTCGGGAAAACTGCTGGCACGGGAAATTAACCAGTACATGGCCGATAAAGGCCGATGCCAGTTGCACGGTGGCATCCTCCGGTATTGCAACATCACGGTGGTGCTCACCGCTGTCCACGTAGCTGAAATCTGACGCATGCGACTGCCCGGACGTATTAGCGGACGCAGGGATTCTGTGCGGGCCTGTGACCTGACCAAGGCAATCTGCCTCGCCGTCACCGACCGCATCCTGGGTGGACTCACCGTTGTATTGGAAGACCCAGCATCAGGTTCGTTAGCTGATCCTTCAACGGCTGACAGTGCAGCCCAAAACGCGCCAATTTGGCTGAGGTTCTGAGTCCTGTGAAACTGAATTATATTCAAGAACGATTGTGCGCCGAGCTTACCGCCAAATGGCCGATCATCATTGATGAGCTTTATGATTGCAGGCACATCGTAGATCTGTTTGTTGACTTTGAGCGACAGAGCCCTAAAAATTGCGTCAATGACTAAAAATGTCCATATGCCCCTGTATACTGCAAGAAACACTATAATCTGCGCGTAGATGTTCACACAAAGACTTGTCACTTACGCTCCGCAATACACGCCGCACGCGAGCAGTTGCGCCGTCGTCCATTTGCTGCCGGTCGGAACATCATCCGAACTGGAAAGCCCCTTCCTCTTATAGACGATACCGGGTGTTTTAATCGTACCGTAGTAAATCGTGTATATCGTCCGATGCGTCGATTCTCGAAGGTCTGCGTTGCTTGAATTTGCGGCTATTTAGACATGTAACGGCGAGATTAGAGGTCGTATAAAAAAAACATACGGGGAGCGTAGAAAGGGCGTCAGGGTCAATTCCGGCTCCCGCCGGTACTGGTGCAGCACACCGAGCCGCAGCGCGGCCCACTAGGCCGTCTCAGAGCGCTCTCTGCGCGACCGCTGGTCGACCGCTGGCAGCTCCAGCTTGTCTTCTTGCAGGGCCCGACCCAGCTCTTTCGTCACTGCGGTCAGCGCCAGCAACCGCTGGGCGATCGCGACGCAATCCGCGGGCGCCATCACGATGTTGTTGGCCGTGCCGTTTTGCAAAAACAGCTCGTTCGTGTCAGCGAGGAACTGCCAAATGTAGCGGGCCAGGCCCTCTACCTCCTCGGGGAGCTGTCGGTCAGCGATCGTCTACCGGCACGCACGCGTCGATACACTCACGGGGAGGCACGACGTGTTGTCGGCCTTGCACCCGACGCAACACGCCGGGTTCTTGGGAATTGCTACGCACGAAAACTCGTGGTAGATGTCGAGATATGCCTTCAAGACGCAGTTGAGGCATGGGCTCTGCCACGGGGTTAGCTATCGCGTAGCGAGCGCCGTGCTGTCGGGGACCTACGATGTCTGGGTCTCTCGACAGTATTGAAGGTGATAGCAATTTTATTTTTGAATGAAACGCTTTTGAGGAAGTGAAGCGCTGGACTCGACAACAAATATGGTCAATAGATAAATGCGGCCCGAATGGACCGAACAATGCCTTCATCTGCGTCTGTGTCACAACCGCAGGCACAAATTTTGGCTCGTTGACTCGAATAACTGCTGATTTAATATGGAAATTCTTCCTTGGACGTTCTACGGCCTGGCCTGTGACACATTGTTACGTGGCTATCCTCTACAAAGGAGAGAACAGTAACCTAACTGGAGATCAGAACCTTTCTTGAGGCGACAAATGCATTCGCTCAATTGAGAGGAATAGCCGAGCACGCTGTGACCAAATCACAGTCACTAATTAACGTAAAAATATGGGTTGGATGTATTGTCTTGAATTACGGCCCCAACATTTGAGTATTTGCAGTTTTGCTGGGGATATCTTAATGTGGATAATTTATCAATTGCTTAATAAGTAGGAATAAAGAAACCTTAAAAGATTCAATAGATTCTTAGCTTTTCTTTCCCTCTTTACTGCTAGTCGAGCTGATCTTCTCTTGGTGTTACGGGCGTAGTTCTTTTCCTTTTGCCTGTCTTGGCCGCCGTAGCTGCTATACCGTCGGTTACAGGAACGCGCAACACACTCAGGGGCGAAGAACTGGCTTCGTCCTTTCTCATGTCATCGTTGCAAGTTCTATAATGTGTGCCATTGGCTGCATCGGCAAGCCGGGCAGCGTAGGAATCATAGGGAAGAAAATCCACGCGCTGTTTGTAGATGTCCAAGGACGCATCCGAGCAAGGCGGCTCATTCGGCTCATCCAACTTGGCAAGAAACGCAGAAGTGACATCGGCAGTGAAGATTGATGTGTACACAACCTCATGCTCTAAAACAATAACCTGTGGAATTCGAACGGGTTAGTGGCAAGCTCAAGGTGTCCAGAACAGCAGGTAGCGCTTTTATCTTACAGGGAAAACCTAAACTCCTCCAATTGCTTCAGCTCCTTTCTAGGTGCCCCGCTCGTGATAGGTAAGCTTTGCTTGTGTCTAACTCGCACGTATATCCCTTTAAGTGGGACGTGGCACGAGTAATCTTCACAAAATTGCAACTGGAAAAATTAATGGCGTTCATGGCAGATATATACTTCATAGGGTCCGTCTGTTGCCTACCGAAAGACGAAAACTAAATGTCGGCTTTGATACCGCGTAAGCGCTTATCCAGAAACTCCCGCTGCTCCACCCGGCTCTTCTTCAGGTCCACGCCAACAACCAGAATCCCCAAGCTCACTACAGTCAGTGCGAACAGGAAATAGAAGGGCGTTGACGAGTTGTTAGTTGGCGACGCGTCAATAATAGCGCTCGAGACAATAGGGCCTATGAACGAAGATGTCTTGCCGATGATGCTGAATAGGCTGAAGAAGAGAAACTCGTGGCCACGTGGAGTGACTTCAGAGATCATGATCTGCGAGTAGCTGTACCACGGGCATATAAAGAAGCCGTAGAAGGCTTGGTATACCTAGGATGAGTCAGGCCAAATCCTGTTCCAACTCAGTCACAATGGGAACTCACCCAGATCTCCCACAGGTGGTGGAAGCCAAATTTGTTGGTCCATATACCGATCATGCCCCAGCCGTCTAGCAGGATGATGCAAAATGCGACAAAGTTGAACATGGCTTTAGTGCCGATCTTATATCGTTTCTGGACAGTCCAGAACGCCCAGATACCAACGGCCTGAGAACGAGTTAGACAATGCGGATGTACTTCCCGACACTGCAACAAATCGGCGTACCTGAGCAACAATCCCGACGATTAGGAGGTACGTTAACTGCAGTGTGTTGTACGACACGATGCTGTTTTGTAGCGTAGAGATGACAGTGACGCTGGTGTTGAGAGAGTCCCCGAGCAAGAAGTAACCTGTGCTTGGTCAGCTATTGTATATTTCTGTTAGAGGAAGCTACCCCGTTTGCATGAAGCTGACCGACGAGGTAGAGCAGGCTCTGCTTAAGCTTCCAAATCTGGCGCAGGGCGTAGACGAGCTGGGAGAGGCCGGCGAGGACAATGTTGCGGCGGCCAGGGTCCTGACCGGGCCGGCGCTTTTCGAGGAAGAACCAGGGCAGGGAGACGAGCAGCCAGACGCTGGTGGCAAAGGCGATCAGCACGCTCATGCCCCAGTTGTTGTTGGCGGTGCTGGCGTTGACGTGGAGGCCGAACATGATGCCGACGATGAGGGCGAGAATAACGATCTCGGCGACAGACTGGACGTAAAACGACACGTTGGCCAGCTGGCTACGCTTCATAGAGTCGGCATAGTCGTAGTCCGCACGCGAGATGCGACCAGCGACGAGGCTGTCGGCGTGCGTGCGCATTTCGTCCGTGTTGCGAGCGAGGGCGGGAAAGGCGGCCGTCCAGAAGGTCAAGGTGGTCTGGTAGGCGATCAGGCCGACGATGTAGAGACCCGTGCCGATGCGCCACTTGTCCTCAGTATGGACGCCGAGCCAGGCGAAGCCGATGGCATAGGCCATGATTGACAGCACGATCAGGATATTGGGCCGCCACTGGCCAAAGTCGGCAAAGCTGCCGAGGACGAGGAAGACGGCAATCTGAATGGCAAAGGAGATGCCGTTGCACAGCAGCACGATGCTCTCGACCGTGCGCTGCTGGCCGGCAAACCGCAGCGTGTTGCCGTCGCCGGCCGCCTGGTAGAGCAGGTTCTGGAAGGCCGATGGGGCAAAGTCTGGTGGCACGTCAGAGTGCTGTCTTGTTCTAGAGGGAGGGATCACCTACTGAAGAGACTTAGGCCGTTGTTCCCAACATAGTAGCTGTCCTAACGGTCAGCCCCAGCCATGGCCCTGTAGCTTTCTCCGTGGTCCGGCCGACGACGCACCCATAATATGCCCAGATCTCCTGCTTGGTGGTGCGGTATTTCTCGTCCTCCTGGTCGGGGGCCACAATGCCGCCCTTGTTGTCGACGTCCGCTGCGTCCTCAGCCACCGTAAAGGACGTAAAGGGCGCCGTCTTCAGGTCAGGCTCAGAGGCCAGGATGTGGCCAGTCATGGAAAAATGAAATGTGGACAGCGATGAGTCCGAAGGTAGCAGTGGACGTCTTGCAGGCCGGCTGCTGTGATTATAGATATCCTGCTCTGTAGAAAGGATTTGGAGAGACTAGCGTTGACGATATTCTGTTTGGCTGTCGAGACTAGCGGGCAACCCGAACGATGACGTTGGAACGTAACACATAGCTCCAAGCTTATCGGTTTCAACTTGCACGAGCGAGCGGAGTGGCCAGAGAGGGAAGAGATTTTCACTCTGTCGTGCAGCTACTACGGAAGTATGGAGAAGTACGATTCGAGGCCCACCTACTCCGTCTGAAACAGGCCATTAGCGGGTAGCAAAGTGCGTTTACGAGTTAGGTGTCTTATCTTGTGTCTGGGAAGGCTAACCTAGATCTCATTCGAGAAATGTCTGCTCATCATCCTGTTCGGCTAGGCCGCGCTACAACTCTCTCGATTGCTGCCTCTTCTGTCGCAATCAGCAAGCTAAGATAGCAAGTATATCGACGTCCCGGAGAGGGCCAGAGGGTGTCGATCAGCACTAACAACTCGGCGGACTGACAGGGATAACGACTCTAGCTATCTGCCAGGTCCACATGATGGTCTGTCTTCTCGTTCCGTGAAGCTCATCTTATAGGGCAAATTTGTATTCCAACAAGCGTTGCAGATATATGCATTGCTCTGGCAGAACTTGGAAAATCAATTGGGCACAGAAAATGTTAGCAGCCAAACCTCGGTTGTCGAATCAGCCTTCATAGTGATAAGATACTCGATGTGTCACCTGAGTACAACAAGGCTCTGCAGCAGACGGAAGCCAGCTAACGATGGGCAGTTTATTTATACATCAGAACATTTCGGGGTAAGATACGGGACCGAGTTCCGAAAAGGGAAAGTTCTCGCGAAGATAAGGCCGGTTCTGGGCTGAACACCTGACGTAGTAATCTATATACCGCCTCAGAGTTATCACGCTTCTGCTCATGGCAAGATAGACTCCCAGTGCCGGGTATCAAGTAAGCAGTAGAGCCATAAAACCAGCACAGAAGCCTTTTAGAATATTGTTCCGGTCATGGCCCTACAATCGTCACGCAATATGGCCCCATTGAGCTTGTTGAAAGAACGATGTCATGGCTCGAACGGAGCGTTGAACGACGACGAGGTGTTCGATCCTGCTGTAAGTACAAGGCTACGATACGATGCTGCGACGCGGCCAGAAGGAAGTCTCACACTCTACCCTAGGTGCATCTCGCCTACTCGCCGCCCAAGAAGCAGTTCACCATGCATGACCTGCTTCTAGAAAAGAGCGTGTCGGTTTCTCCCATCGCAGGGACCACGCCATTTCCACTTCTGTCGGACGAGGGCGTGCGAGCATATCGAAGAGCCCTGTTTCAGCAAAGGGTCATTGATCGATGTGCTAGTTCACCGTTCCCAGGCACCCTGGTGCTCCGTGGCGCAGAGAAGCAGGCAAGATTCATCCGGGACTTCTGGACCCACCCCGAGACACTTCGCATCGTGTCTGAAGCCATGGACGTCCCGCTGGAGATCGTCATGCCTGCCGAGATCGGACACACGAACATCCAGGTCGAGGGAGCGACGAACCCAGAGATGGTAGGGAAGCTCAAGGTCGAGCCGTCAGCCGAGAAGGTAGAGCTGAGCGAGGCCGAACGTGCCTACGATCCGCTGACGGATGCAAGCGCCATCATCCCATGGCAGTAAGGCGGCGATCATTTCTTTGAGCGAGTTGTATCGCCATGACTGACCGGGCCACAGCCACGACTCGTATCCGTATGTCTGTGTCCTGATGCTGAGCGAAACCAGGGGCATGATTGGGGGCGAGACGTACATCCGAAAGGGCGACGGCACGGCCCAAAAGGTGCGTAGGGCTGTCCTGTGCTGCACCCGTGCAGATCGCTGACAGCCGTGCAGGTCGAGGGGCCACGAATCGGCCACGCGGTGATGCTCCAGGGCGGCGAGGTTGAGCACCTCGCAGCGCGTGCCCGGGGCGTGAAGGAGCGCATCTCGACGATCACGTCGTACCGATCCAGCGTACCGACGGTGTACGACTCGAGTTACATGACCAGCATCCGGCCGTACGCCGATCTCGACAGCCTGTATCCCGAGTGGGCGCAGTACCGGTTGCGAAAGCTGCGCGACGAGATCAACAACTACCTCGGTCAGATCGAACGGGATCCCGGCCGACCGCTGGACCGTGTTGGTTTCGAGTGCCTCGTCGCCGCCCAGACCGAGTACCTGCGCCAGACATCACGTCAGATGATCGCGCCCCAGGAACAGCACCGCGTACTCCAGACGTACGGCAGCGCGGCGTATTATGATGCACCGCAGATCTGGGTCGCCGTCCAGATGCTGCCGTCGTTTGAGCGGCTGGCCGCAGCCGCCGATCACAACCGCGTCTGGATGGCCGAGAGCGCCTGCTGGATGGACCTCCAGAACTCGGCCGAGGCCCTCCGTCAAGGCCGGCCGCTCAAGAGCTCGCGTGGGCCTCTCGTCTGGCACGGTCGGCGGCAGTACTTTATGGGCGATGAGCTCATCCGTCAGGGCCTCAACGAACTCTTCCTCGACTGGCTCGGCGCGTCGGGGTTGTGGGATTTGTACTGCCAGGCGGCTTGAGCGACAGGATGAGAGCGACGTCTTTTGGTATGCAGCGATTGGGTGTCTTGATTGTTTTTCGTGTATCACATTCAATTGGTCACCTGATGTACAAATTGCCTCGTGCCTTCCTGTTGCGAAAGCAGGTTTTACCTAGCAATATGCCAGAGGAAGGTGGCACCCACCTTTTTTCAGCGCGGTGTCTTGTCCCGTTTTCAACTTCTCCTCTTCTCCTTTCTCCATATTGTTCTCTTTCACTCTCACATAAGCCAAGCAGTTTTATATCATCATTCATTATTTTCTCGCTTTCTCTAATCAAAATGCTCTACACCATTCGCAACCTCGTGCTCTTTAGCGCTTGCGTCTCTGCTGCATCCATTGACCTCCAGCAGTCTGCCCAAGAGCAGCCGGAGCCAGAAGGTCAAGACTATCTAGCCAGCCAGACAGCCTACGGCTTCTACCTCATGGCCCACGTCAGTCGGGGACGCGATACCCACCCTCCCGTTAATGGACTCATACTGCAAGGGTACCACGTCGGAGCTAGTATCGACGCGGGCATATTCCACGCTACAGATGCCCACAACCCGGGCAGAGTCTTCTATATCAATGGCACGAACCGCCAGTACACTGCCATCACAGATGCCGGAATGTTTCCCTACGGCCTGACCATGCCACGGCCCGGGCGCCAGAACCAGGGTGGCGTCAATCCGGTGATGATCCAGGCGGGCAGTGGCACGCCAGCCCATGTGGCCCAGTATGGTCCCGATATTCAGCTTGTGAACGAACTGGGGGTGGGCACGTATTTGGCCTGTGATCGGCCGTCGGCATATTACAGAAGAAACCTGCTCCAGCTAGAGTATTCCTACTCCGACTGCCGGAAGAAGGCCACTGGCAACAAAGGCGGAAAGCTCGGTGACGAGGTGGCGTCTGAGGTAGCTGAAGCCGAAGACTGCTCCAAACCAGTCGTGCCCAGCGGATGTGCAGCCATCGTTCTGGTTCCACACTGCACCGCCTTGCCGCCCATGCATCCAGGGCCCGGGAATTATATCAACCACAAGTACGCTCGGAGGGTTCCATGCATGTGAGCATGCGATGGTGTTTGTGGGTGCTGTTTTTGATGACCTAATCAGAAAGTCCTGTTGCGCAATCGTGCAAAAGTACGGGTTTGTGGGTTAGCAAGAGCAGTTGGGCCATAATCAGGATGACAGCCGGACAAAAACCCACAGTCTCCATGTGTACTCCGTAAAATGTGCATGATCGTGCATTGCCGCGCCATCTCATCTCTCCCCTGCAGCCGCTCTTTGTTCAGCTGGACTCGTATTCGCCATTGCCCCCAGAGCCACAGTTCCAGTTGCAGCGGCCGGAAGTGGTCTAGCGCTGTTTCGAGCCTACAAAGCAGGTAGGATTCTGTGGCGCGCCGTCAAGATTCGCACCTGCTGACTACGAGTACTTTTCGCTGGCCAAAACCGTCATTCCCCAGCCTTCTTTTCTCTTCTGGTGGCATTTTGGCGTCAATACGCAAGCGTGATCGTGTGCCGCATGCAGCAGCCACCAGCTGTTTCGTCCTCCTCCAGCCTTCTCTGACGCCATCCATCTGCCTGTGTGCAGAGTGTGCTTTCGAGAGCACGAGTACGTTTCGCCCCCTCTCTGGTCGAGTCCTGCCGTGCAGTCCGACAGAATCTCCTGTTTATTTCAGGGGGGTTCCAGAGTCTGCTTTCGCCCCAAATCTTTCGCCTTCCGTCCTTCCCCTTCTCAGTTTCTTTTTTTGTCTCTTTGTCTCTGGTCGCCCTTAGTGTGGCGTCTTGCAGGCTTACCCTATTCTCCTCATCAATAGCGTCATACCCCTTCATCCACTCTCCCCCACCCATATCCATATTCATCAACCGATTGCATATCTTCCCACCACAACTGGCAATACAACGTCCAGCGTTGGACCGCCCCATCCGATCATTGCCTTTGCAGCAAGCAGTACCACCCGCCTGCAATTGCAGTGCAGCTTGATTCGGACGCGGCAGCCTAGAAGCAGCCGGACCGTTGCTCTCCAGCAGCAAAATAACACGAGCTTCAGATCCGAAACGATCGAAACGATGCCACAACAAAACACGCAAGCACCGCCAGCGCTGCACCCACCACATCCGACAGTATCCGACGCAGCCATGATGGATCCGATAGACGAGGCCGACTGTCTGCCCGACCACACACACGTACACGCACACGCACACGCACACGAGGTCCTCTCGTTGCCGCTCGCCAGCGACGACACGGAGACGGACGAAGACGTGATGATCGGCGGTGGCAGCAGCAGCAGCAATCACACACAGACGCCGGTGCGGATCTTCACGCCGCCACCACACATTGCCGCGCGGTTCTACCGATCGTCGGCGGCACAGGCGCAGGCCCGCCGCAAGGGCTCGGCCGCGTCGTCACGGCGGAACTCGATCTCATCATCGACACACTCGTCGCACGGCTACAATCTGGCCAACGGGGGGACGGGCACGCCGCAGAGCAAGCACATTGCACAGCACCTGCGGCGGGCGTCGATCCTGGCGGACCGCAAGGCGCGGCTGGCTGACCGAGCAGCTCATGCAGAACAGGTGCGGCTGCGGGCGGCCATGGCCAAGGCGGCGGTGCGGGACATCTCGCTGAGCGAGGAGCGGGCACAGGCGGCGGCGCAGGCACGCGAGAAGAACCTGGCGGAGATCGCGGCGACGTGCGCGGAAGAGGTCAAGAGGGCCAAGGCAATTGCCGAGTCGATCAAGGAGAAGCGCGAGCAAAACCTGCTGCGGCTGCGGCAGCAGATGCAGGACCGGCTGGACGAGGCGGAGCGGCGTCGCGACGAGCTTCTGCGCAACACGGTCGACCGGTCGCGGTCGCGCGGACAGAGTATCGTGGCGGCCAACCAGAAGCCGGTCGAGGTGATGCCCAAGGTGGCCGAGGACAAGGAGTGCTCGTCGCCGGACGAGGAGGCCGCTGCGGCTGATACCTTGTCGGCAGTGCCTGTCTTGACGGAAGAGGAGGCGGCCTTTCGGATCCTCAGCTGGTGGCGGACGGCCTACCGGCGAAAGGCGGTGGCAGAGTTCCAGCAGCTAGGGCTAGCGGTGGACGGCGTGCGCGACACCTCGTTTGAGACGGTGGTCGAGCTGCTCGGCCAGGACAAGGTGCTGCAGACGACGGGCAAGGTGTTGCGGCTCTGTGGCTTCCAGGAGGGCAAGACCAGCTCGGTCAAGGAGATCGTGGCCGTGCGGGCCTTTCTCAGCGCCTTTCTCATTCTCGGCCACCCAACGCAGGTTCTCAGTAACAAGGAGAGCAAGGACGGCAGTGGAGGCGGCAGCACCACGACAAAGGCGCAAGGGCAGCAGGAACAGGTGGGAGCAGCTCCCGTCCCGCTGCCGTTGTTTTCTGTGCCGATGGGAAAGGAAGACCTTGCTAATCCGCAACTGCAGGAGCTAGTCGGCAAGGCGAGAGACCTGCTGATCTGCTTTGAGACGATCCTGTCGCGGCTGACGGCAGAGAACAAGTTTACGCCGCCGCTGTCGCTGTCGAGCGAGCTGGTGGAGGCGTACGACACGTTCTACGATGCGTTCATCGGGTGGAAGGCGCGCGACGCATCGGCGCTGGTGGACGTGATGATCAAGCAGTTTGTGGAGCTGGATGCGATCTGGCAGACGGTCAAGGACAGCACGGATCCGTCGGTGACGGACACATACCGGCAGAGCATCCAGCAGAACCAGCTGCTGCTGATGGTGCGGATCAAGAAGCTGGCCGGGCCGGAGGAGGGCAAGAAGAAGGTCTTCCAGGCGGTGCGGCGGGCGCGCAAGGCCAAGATCGAGGCGAGCAAGAAGGCGGCAGCAGCCAGCAGCGAGATGCGGCCGCGCGAGGCAGAGCACACGATCGAGACAGCAATGGGTGACCTGTCAGGGGCGTCTGGCTCGGGGACGGCCACGTCCAGCAGTCACGGAGACGGACGGACGGCGACAGCCGACGAAGCGCTGCCGTTTGGCAAGTCGTTTGCCGAGGTGCGGGCAGAGACGACAGCCAGCAAGACGCGGTTCACGGTGGACGGACAGCGGTACTCGAGCCACCCGCTGCCGGAGAACCGGGTGGTGGTGCACGAGCTAGCGATCAACCGCAAGTTCCGGGTGTCGGCGGAGCAATTCAAGCGACAGCAGGCGCTCTGGATGGAGCCGGTATTCTACCGGATGCGCAAGACGATGGGGGCAGGCAGCACGGAGGAGCAGGAGGAGCACTTTTACTATCTGCTGTCGATTGCGGAGACGATGCGGACGAAGCTGCAGCGGATGACGATTCCGGGCAAGAAGATGCACCAGTTTATCGGCGAGCTGCTGGACACGGAGGTGGCACAACGGCAGTTTGCGGTGGGCAGCTTCTCGTACGAGCGGTTTTTCGGATCGATGGGCCAGCTGCTGCCGAAGCTGTGCGCACCGTTTCGAGACGAGGAGGTGCGGCAGCTGGTGGAAGGGACACTGCAGCAGGGCGACTACGTGGACCGACTGGAAGCGCTGCACTCATTTATCGACGTGATGTTGACGGACCACGTGAACTTTCTGATCAGCGTGGCAGCGCCAGAGCTGTTGGTGTCATCGACCAAGTACGAGAGCACGCGGTTTGCGGAGCTGGTGCAGCGAGAAGGCAGTCTGCAGCTGACGGCAGCGAGAGCGGCGTGGCAGGCAGCCCGGGGCAAGGTTTTGGCAGAAACGGCGAAGCGAGATCCGGAGGGCATCAACCACGCCAAGTCGCGACCGACGGCGACGCAGTTCTACATGCAGATGCTCGTAGATGTATTCACGCAGCTGAGCCCGGTGGAAGCGGAGGCGATGCCGGAGATGCTGGGCCTGGATCACGAACGAGCACTGAAATGGGGAGCGGTGACGCGGCGGATTGTGACGGCCGGTGCGGTGTTGCTGCAGTGCAAGAACCTGCTGAAGCGGGATGTGCGGCTGCCGTGGAAGACGGAGGCGCAGCGGGTGATGGCGGTGTTGGAGAAGGCGGAGAGGGATGTTGTGGGGGGCGAAGGGATGAATGAAGGGGGTGAGAGGGTGAATGAGGGGGGGAACGAGAGGATGAGCACCAACATCAACACTGACACCGACTGGAGCCAAGGCCAGGGATCCTACATCACCGATGCCGGCTCAGCTACCCGACTGCAGACAGCACTTCAGTCTGCGGCAGTGGTGGACGGCGTGATGGCGGCGCTGGAGTCGGGACGATCGATGCCGGCAGCAACACGGACACAGCTGCGGACATATGTGCAGCGGACGTTGGCGGCGAGCGGCGAGGCAGCGGTGCCGATGTCGGCAGCAGCCGGAGCCGAGAGGACCAACAGCCCGCAGGAGCCGGTGCTGCGACTGCTGCTGCACCGGCTACGCGGCCATCTGGTGCCACGGCTGACGGCAGCGGCGATTTCGGCGTCGTCGTCGGCCGAGAAGACGCGGCAGAACAACAACACGGCAGGCGAGCGGCTGACGAGTCTCGGACTGGCCGAGTTTGTCGACCGGGTGCGCGAGATGATGGACGAGGTTGGCCGGGTCGGCACGATCGACCGGGAGACGCACGGGGTGTTTTGGGAAGAGGTGGCCGAGGAGGCAGAGAGGGAAGATGGAGGTAAAGTCGGCTCTTCAGGAGACTTTCCAACCGGCTCTACTGAGCCGGTTGGCAACTAAAGGAGTTTGGCAGTCTGGTTGATGGGTTGGCGTTTCTTGTGTACTCTGCTGGAGCGTTTGTGGGTTTGTCTGTTTGTTTGTCTGGCTCGTCTGGTTCTTCTGGTCTGTTTGTTCGTCTTTGTCTTTTCTCTGGTCGTCTAGCTCGTCTCTTCTGTCGTTTTCCTCTCTTTTCCTCTTCCTCTTCCTCTTCACCCCTGTCTTTCTTACCATGCATTCAGCGTGCTCACTGCCACTGGCATCTAGAATGGGCGAGACATATGCCATGTACTACAATCTATCTGGTCTTTCACGTGAGCCCAAGTGATTGCCTGTTTCGCTGTAAGCTGCCGAGCCTAGACAGGGATGCCTAGTGCGCCGTGTGGCAGATTTTTCGTGGTGGACCGAGCACCTACTCAATCGAGAAAGCGTGGTGGGACGGACGGTCGTCCTGGCGAGATCGTTGTGGGCTGTTGACTGTTGGTGTGGGACTGTGACAATGGTAAGGAGCCGTTTCGTCGGAGTTGGTGGCTTCCAACGGAAGGCGGCTGCTGAACCTGTTTATATTGTTCCGTGGGACAATCGTAACTGCCTGAAAGGGCGTGGCCGAAAGGGTCACGTGCGTCTACCTTCCGCATGCATGAAGACCCCGCTCGGGCTTTCTGTTGAGGTATAAGAGTTGACGTCTGGATGCAGCTTTTGACTTTTGATCCTGACTCTATCCTGAACTGGCCTGACCGAACCGTGACTCTACACTGATTGGCCCAACTCTATTTTGACTCTTGACCGATACCTAAGCCCAACGACAAGTCTCCTGACCATGGCTGATCGAGAGATTCTGCCGGGCAACTTTGTGCCCAGCCACTACCAGCTGCGGATCACGGACTTGGACTTTGTGCAGTGGCAGTACCGCGGCACGGTCGTGATTGACGGACGACTGGCTGAGACGACGACGGAGGTGGTGTTAAACGCGTTTGAGCTGGACATTGACAGCGCCTCGCTGGCGGTGATCGACGAGAGCGGCACGACAACGCTGACACGAACAGCTGCCATCTCATACGACACGGAGCGGCAGCGGGCAGTGCTCGACTTTGGCAAAGACAGCGTGCCGGCGTCAGAACGGGCATCGTTGACGCTGGCGTTTGGTGGACGGTTGAACCACGACCTCGCGGGCTTCTACCGGTCGCAGTACCGAGCAGCCGGCAGCGACAAGACGGCAGTAGCACCATCGACACCGCACGACGACGAGTACCACTACATGCTGAGCACGCAATTTGAGGCGTGCGACGCGCGGCGGGCCTTTCCGTGCTTTGACGAGCCCAGCCTCAAGGCGACGTTTGACTTTGGCATCGAGATCCCTGTGGATTTGGTGGCGCTGAGCAACATGCCAGTGCGCGAAGAACAGGCAACAAAGGCCGAGACGAAGATGGTGCTGTTCGAGACGACGCCAGTGATGAGCACATACCTGCTAGCCTGGGCGGTCGGCGACTTTGAGTACGTGGAGGCCGAGACACAGCGGACATACAGCGTTGCGGGCAGCGAGCAGAAACAACGGCTGCCCGTCCGGGTCTACACCACACGCGGACTCAGCGAACAGGGCCGATGGGCACTGCAGCACGCGCCGGCCTACATCGACTTCTTCAGCGACCGGTTCGGCATCGACTACCCACTGCCCAAGGCCGACATCCTGGCCGTGCACGAGTTCACGCACGGCGCCATGGAGAACTGGGGCCTGGTCACGTATCGGACCACGGCCATCCTCTTTGACGAGCAGCGGTCCGAGGGTCGTGCCCGCAATCGGATCGCCTACATTGTGGCCCACGAGCTGGCCCACCAGTGGTTTGGCAACCTCGTCACCATGGACTGGTGGGACGAGCTCTGGCTCAACGAGGGCTTTGCCACCTGGGCCGGCTGGCTCGCCACCGAGGCCCTTCATCCAGACTGGGATGTCTGGGCCCAGTTTGTCAACGAGGGCATGGCCAAGGCCCTGCGACTCGACGGCCTGCGCTCGTCCCATCCGATCCAGGTCCCGGTGCGCGACGCCCTGGCCGTGAACCAGGTCTTTGACGCCATCAGCTACCTCAAGGGCTGCTCCGTCATCCGCATGCTGGCCGACCATGTCGGCACCGACGTCTTTCTCGCCGGCGTCTCTGCCTACCTGAAGCGTCATCGCTACGGCAATGCCAAGACGACCGATCTCTGGGCCGCTCTGTCCGCCGAGTCTGGCCAGGACATTGACCAGCTGATGACGCCCTGGATCGCTCGCGTCGGCTTTCCCGTCGTCACCGTGGAGGAAGCCCGCGAAGATTCAGACGGCCAGACCACCCTGACCGTTCGTCAGTCACGCTTCCTCTCGACCGGCGACGTCAGCCCGGACGACGACGAGACCGTCTGGTGGGTGCCCCTGGGATCCGGCACCCAGACAGCCGTCCAGACCAAGACCAAGCTCGCCCTCACGTCCAGACAGGCCGACATTCCGGTCCGCTCCGACTTTTACGTCCTCAACGCCGGCGCCACTGGCTTCTACCACACCAGCTACCCACCTGCTCGTCTAGCCCGTCTGGCCACCCAGCTGGACCGCCTGCAGACCGCCGACAAGATTGCCATTGCCGCTTCGGCCGCCGATCTGGCCTTTGCCGGCTGTGCCTCCACGCCTGCCCTGCTCGCCTTTCTCGACGGGTTTGCCGCCGAGACCCATGTGCGCGTGTTGGGTCAGGCCCTCGACGGGCTCGCCCTCGTCCAGGACGTCTTTGGCAGCGACCCGGTCATCGGTCGGGGTCTGCGCGCCTATGTGCTCCGTCTGATCGACCATTCCCTGTCGGCGCTGGGCTGGGAGGATCAGACCAGCACCGACAGCGATGCCGACTACGGCCGTGCCGAGCTGCGCAAGCGTCTGCTGACGACCGCCATCGACAACGGTCACGCCGGCCTGACGGCCGAGGCTGTCGCCCGCTTCGACGCCTATGTCGCCGATCCGACAGCCCATCCGCTGCAGGCCGACCATCGCGGACCAGTGTTTCTGGCAGCCGTGCGAGCCGATCCAGTTCGCACGGTGCCCCTACTCATGACCGAATCGCGCTCCTCGACTGCGCCGGATGGCCGCGAGGTTGCCGTCGTTGCTCTCGGCCAGACATGCGATCCGGCTGTCGTTGCCGACACTCTCCTGCCGTTCCTCTTCTCGTCGGCCGTCCCGGCTGCCGACGTCCACATCATGGCCGCCGGCCTCGCCGCCCACGACACCACTCGCCCCTTGCTCTGGCACTATATCCAGCAGCAGTGGGACGATGGCGGTGCCGTCGCTAACCGCCTCGCCGGAAACCCCATTCTGCTCGACCGCTTCGTCGGCGTCTCGCTCGCCCGCTTCGCCGACCTCGCCGACCTCGCCCAGATCGATGCCTTCTTCGCCACCCGCTCTACCGCCGGCTTCGACCGCACCCTCGCCATCGCCAAGGAGGCTATCCGCGCTCGTGCTGCCTATCGCAGCCGTGACGAGACGCCACTGCGCGACTGGCTGCTGGCTCATGGTTATGCTTAGTCATCTTGGTCATCTTGGTCATCTACCGTAGGCACACAGTACGTAATACACACAGTAGCCCAATTCAGTTACTATTGGGTCTAGGCCCTGCTGCTCTGCTCTATATACACTATAGCTAGTCCTGTGTCCCCATGCAGAGCCCTCCGGCTGGCGCGCCTCCTCGTCTGCGCAGCCGTGCCGTTCATCCCGAATCTCCGGGTTAGGGAGAGGGAGAGAAGGCGGGCCTTTTGAGCCTCTCTTCTCTCCAGCCAAAAAGTCACAACGTCCCCGCTCCCCCTCCATCGGTCTGCCCTCTCGTCTACACCATACACAGCATAGAACATTGAAAGTAGCAAAGCCAGCCTCGTCAGCCATTTGTCTCGTTCCATGCAGTGCAGTGCAGCTCGCAAAAAAAAACAAAAGAACCCAAAACAAGCCAGATGCACAATCATAAACGGAATTCCATCATCACCCGCTCGCTTCCGTTCCTTTGGTGCTGTCAAGATCATAAACGACGTCTCCTTGGCTCTCCTGCTTCACTTCCGTTTTTCTCTATTTCGTGCTGTCCGCCTTTTTGCGCCTTGGGTTGCATACCACCCCCCGTTCGGTCTTCCTCGTCTTTTCGTATCGTGCATCGTGCCGATGCGACAGGCCTCTCTTTGTCGTCGTATGGTCGGTTGGTCGTGCTCGGCTGAACAGGGCAGAGTCATGTCGACGAATCGACCCGAGGACGCAGGCTCTGTCCAACCAGCTCGCCGAAGAGGAGCTGGTAATCAGGGGATCAGGGGACCGGCAAATCGCGTCGCCGCTCTGACGCGTCTGTATATGCTCCATGGCCCCAGTATGTAGTTTTGCAAGCGCCGCCCTTTGCGTCCTCATGTCGGGTTCAGGTCCAGGAGCTGGCTCGTGAATATCCGGTTCAGGCTGCTGCGGCTCTGATGGCGCCGTCGAGGCTGGTGTAGACATCGTAGGCGGTATCTGCAGAAAAAGTCAGCACATCGCTTCGTCCAAAAAACACAATGAACACGACCGGTCAGTCACGTACGTTGACGGGAGCGAGGAGTCGGAAATGCTCCGCAACTGCTGTCTGAGCTGTTCGGCAGGCGACTGCTGGGTGCCTCCGTCCGGTGGCACAGCCTCTTCCTCCATCGACGGACTCATCGCCAGCGGAGACTCCTCCAGGAACGGCGGGCTCATGGCTCCGTAGCCGCCCATACTGGCCGACAGCAGCGGACTGCCATCGGCCATCGTCCTGCCGCTAAACGAATACGACTGGTGGTGGCTCGGGATGATGTTCGCCGGTGCTCCGAGGCCCGGCAAGCTAGTGGCCGACGCGATGGGAGACGGCGGTGAGAAGTTGACCTCGTTCATGTCTGGCAGGACGGGATCGCCGTCAGCTTGCATGCTCTCCTCCAGGTAGTCATCCCGGAATAGCTCACCTTGCGAGAAGAGTGGCGAGTGGAAGCTCTGCTGCCACGACGAGTTGTTGAACTGCGGCCGCATGCCGGGATGGTGATATGACGACGCCGACACGGGCGGGAAGTCAAACGCGCTGATCTGTGGGCCGGGACTGCCGACAAACGGACTCGCATCGACTGGCCCGGGCGAGTGTGGCGACATGCGCGCTCCGCCAGTCATGACCGAATCGTACGACGCATACGACGATACAGACGATCCCGGTCCCGGTCCAAACGGCAGGTTGTGTGCAGACAGGTAGGGCGACGACACGGTCGATGACGGCGCCGGCGCCGGACCAACATAGTTAGTGTGGGGAGACGGCCGCGTCAGCCCCTTCAACCCAAGCCCGAACCCAAAGCTGCTGGCGCTGCTGGTGCTGCTGGCACCTCGCCGGTGCAACTTGTTGGCTGCTGCCGCAAGTGCTGCGGCGCCCGAGCTGCCCTGCCTGCTCTTCGATCGCGGCCGTGTCGTGCTTTCGGGGGCCTTGGTCGAACTGTTCCACGGCTCATACGGAGACCGATAGCCGGTTGGATCCCTGCAGAGTAAAGAGTCAGGGGCTGAACTTGCAAGCATACACGTGTCAAAGGCAGGATGCATACCTGTTGCAGTGCACTTGGAAAAAAGCATATTTCCGCGCGATGCTTGTCGATAGAGGAGCAGCTTCGCCGCTGGCCGAAGGACCTCGTGTCTCTGCGCCGACTTCGGCCGCCTGGCTTGCCGATGGCCGCGGTGCAGGTGGCGGGGACATGGAAGTATTTGGCGCACCCGATCCCGATCCTGATGGCTTCCCCGGGATCGTGGCATATCCATGAGACAAGTTCGGATGTTGAATCTGAGGAAACTTGCTGCCATTTCCACCCGCTGGCAGCGAGAAGAAGGAGCCAAAAGGAGCAGGGTGGCCCGACGAGTACGACCGATGGCGCTGGATCCCGCCGTGCTGATGCTTGGTTGACGGCCGTCGTGGCGTGGGAAAATTGTCGGACGGCCTGCGCGGCCGGAAACTCGGAGGCTTGTCTGCTGCAACTGCAGGTGCAGCTGGTGTTGCTGCCGAAGCGGCGGGTGTTGTTGATGTTGATATGGATGTGGACGTGGATGCCGATGCTGATGACGCTACCAGAGACGAGGTTGTTGATTTTAGTAGTACAGGTGATGCTATCGATGCTGTTGCTGGCACGATTTGCGGTGTGAGCACGGACGAAGACGGCTGTCCAGCCGCGGCCGTCGTTGGAAGTGTGTGCGGTACATATGGCGGCTTGATCACGCTATACGACCGCCGGGGCTCCGATGGCGACGCAACGGCCGTCTGGCCCGCAGGAATCTGTGCTTGTGCTTGCAGGACCGTGCTGCCAAAGGGAGACAGCCCAGCCGTCTGTGCCGTCTGCGACATCAAAGACATGGGTGCTGGCGGAAGAGAGGGTCGTCGAGGAGGCTGCATCGAGAGCACCGGCGGCTTGGGTACCGAGTCGAGGAAGTTGCTCTTGAGGTTGTGCGTCGGATGGGCCGGATCCTCCGTGTACTGCGGTTTCGTATCCGTCGACGGCCTGCCGATGTAGTGCCACAGCCGGTCCGGCCTGAATAAATCGACACGGACCTGGTCGGGATTGCGACATGCAAATGCCTCGCACGCGTGGAACTCCTTCCACCGAAAGCCGTCGACGAAGACGTCGTCCGGCACCGGAACCGGTCGCTTCTTCGCCCCAATCTCCTCCTTCTCCTTGCGCGACGACGGCAGCGGCAGCGCGTGGGGCGAGGCCTTGGGCAGCCGATAGTCGCTGGCATCCGGCAGAAGCAGCCACTTCCACTCCACCTCCACCCTGTCGCCGCTCGGAACCACATGCAGCAGCACCGTCTCCTCGTCCGCCCGGTTCTCCAGCACCACCCCCGCAAAAATGTCGCTGCGGTAAAACTGCATCTGGCATATGCTGCCCTTCTTGAGGGCCGACGCCGCTTTGCGGATCCGCTCGTTCTTCTCGAGCGCCTCACCGTCGTACTTCTTGTCCCGCTTCGCCCGCTGGAACCGGCACGTGAACTCAAACGCCTGCTCCTTGTATTCCGTCCCGTCGTCGCCAAACACGGGCACCTCGCCCTCCTCCACAAACACGCCTGCCGCTGCCGCACACGTCGGGTGGTACGACCGCGTGCATCGTGTGTACGAGCACTGGAAGCACACACCCTTGCGCATCCGGCAGTACATGCATCGCACCTCCAGCCGCGCCGCTGTGAATTCGGCCACGTTGGTCACCACGTCCTTGCCATCGATCACGTCGATGCACGTCTCCGGCAAATACAGCGCACAAAGCCGGTGGGCCTTGCGCCCGTCGTCCGTCGGCAAAAGCTCCGCGTACGGAATGTCGTTTGGGCAGAGGCAGCAAGGGGATCCCTCGGCGGACTGCAGCCGCAGCCGCATCCGCTTCAGCTTCCGCGCACCAGCACGACTCAGGCCATCCGCTTCGTCCGCGGTGTCGCCCTTGTCCGTGTCCGCCCCGCGTTTGCGCTTTCGATTCGGCGCCCGGATACGAACACGTCCTGACGGCGGCGTCGGTAGCCCGATGATGGAGCCCTCCTGATCGTCCAAGTCGTCCACGTCGTCCATGTCCATGTCGTCATCCGAGTCTTCGTCCTCATCATCCTCGTCGTCCGTGGAGATGCCACGCAGCTTGCGCTCGATTTCGTACACGTCCACCCAGACGCTGTCCTGTGCCTGGGCGCACTCGCACTTCTTGGCAATCTTTCCCATGGGAAGCCACGATTCCAGGGCGAAGTTGACTGCCTCGGCGCAGTTGTAGCCGAGATTGTATCCGGAATGGTACCCGTACGGATAGGTGACGACAAACTCGCCGGGGTAGGACACACACTTGTTGACCCTGATGTTGTAGTGCTGCTGGAGGTGGGACGGCGAGATGAGAAAGGCCTTGTGGCGCAGGAACTGGTCACAGGCCTTGGCGTCCGCCGGCCAGATGTTCTTCATGGCTGCCTCAAACCGCCGGGCGTCGCCCTGAGAAATGCTGTACCACTGCTTGGGCGCCCCAAAGTGAAGGTAGTTGATGCTGTACAGGTCGACATCCTCGAGGTGCCACGCAAACGTGGCCTTCCACATGCCCAGGTAGAGGTAGGCCGTGTTGACTCCGGGAACCTTAGTACCCAGCACATCCAGCAGGTTGGGCAGCTTGTTCAGGTTCCACAGCTCCGTGTTCTCGTCAAAGAGCGTGCCGGGAAGGTCGGCCCCGTACAGCGGAGGGGCATACGTCAGTGTCTTCCAGTAGATCCGCTCCAGCTCCTCGCAGCGTTCCGGGGTGTAGTCGGAGGCATCCATCCGGTAGTCCCAGTCCTTGAACAAGGCCTCGTCGATCTTGGCAGACCCCTCTCGCTTGCCAAACTTGCGACGAGCCGACGTCGATTGGGTCTTGGCCGACGCCTGGCGCGTGAAGCCCAGGCGGCGAGGCGGTGCCGGCACTTCGACGCAGCTGTCCTCGGCATCGCCCGCATCGCCGCTGCTTTCCTTCTTTACCAGGTGGTCCACCTCCACGGATACCATGACCGTGTCCTCGGGTTTGTCATCCCTATCTTCGTGGGCAATACCAGTATCCTCGGGAGTTTCCACGCACGTCTTGTCATCGTCCTGGAGCCTATCATCGTCACCTCGTTGGGATTCGGGCGTCATCGGGCGCGGCTCAGACAAGACCGACGAGGCGTCATCATCAACGCCCTGGCGCGTCGTCCATCTCCGCGTAGTCCGACCACGCTTGCCCTTCTTGGGGGCGGCAGGGACGGAACCAGCCGCCGTATTAACTGTCGCCGAAGACGCAGCCGCAGCAGAACGGGTGCGAGTAGTCGGCTTGGGCTTGTCCGCGTTGGCACGACGCTCGCCACGTCGGGCGGGAGGCTGGTGCTCGCTCTGGTCACAGAGCTGACGCCATTGTGGCAGATTGTACGTCCGCTGGTGAAGGATGTTGACTTGACGGTAGGTCCCGTTGGAGCCCATAATGTCTTGCTTGATGGGCTCGCGAACTTTGATACCCTTGACCAGCTCGTCGACAGGCCCGACGGTGTCGGACCAATCCTGGGGTGGGACAATCTTTACGATACCGGACTTCATACCATAGTGATCGATTTTTTCCATCTAATCGGGGAAAAGGGGGGGCCTAGTTAGATGAGTTCCACCGGAGAGTAGGGTGATAAGGAGAGCGGAGGGCAAAGGAGGAAGAGGCAATGCAATGCAATGGAGGACGGTAAAGCGCACAAATTTCTTAAAATCTCGGAACTGGTGCATGGTTGGACGGAAGATCGGAACAGTGCCGGAATATTCGTCCGGCTCGATGTCCCCAATATCGTCGTCCTCAGCCGCATTGCCGGGGGAGGCGTTTGTAGACGGAAGAGCAGGCGAGGCTGCGGCTGTGTCGTCGACGTGTGCGTGCACAATATCGGCCTCGGCATGAGCATGAACATGAGCTTCAGCCTGAGCACCAGTATCAGCAGCCGGTGCGGTCGCAAGTGAGCCGATTTCGGCAGCGGGCGGATTGCTCAAAGCCTCGGCCAAGTCATCGTCGAAACAGCTGAGCTCCGAGTCGGAGCTGCTGCAGCCGTCTGTTTTGGAGGCGTTGTTACTGTCGGGGGGCGAGTGAAGGCCGATGGTCTCGTCGGGTGCAGTCGCCGCGGCTTCGGCGGAGTCCACAGCCGCGGTATCAGCAACAACAGGTCTGGTTGAAGCTGTTGTGGCCATCGTTATCGCGGATGGGCTGTGGAACGCGGTATTGTCTGACGTCGATGTTGCCGTTGCTGCCATCGGTGCCGTCGCTGCTGCTGCCGTCGTCGTCGTCGTCAACGTCGTAGCAAGGTCGAGGACGACGGAGCTTGCGACGGCGATGGAATCACCTTCCCCCCCAAGCGCCGTGGCGCCGATCGCTTCGTTGGACATGGTCAACCGCTAGGCTACATGCGATCGTAAAGGGGGGGTTGTAGCCTGGAGGCAGAGGAAGGGCGAAAGCGTGAGGGAGGAGTGACGCGCAGATTGCTGGTCTGGCGGGTGTGATACACCCTCGCCGTCGATCTGAGGAGAGTTGATAATGCTGTGCTTCCTCTCTGTCGCGAAAAAAAAAAAGAAAAAAATACAACGGGGAAAAACTAGGAAACGAGAAGGGATTGGATTTCGCTCGTCAGGAGAGGGGCCACTCGATAGCAGTCAAAGGGGGGGGGGTGGGAAGGGAGGCAGGTGCGGCCAACGAATGGATCCTGCGAAATGAGTTTTCCCGTTGGGCAGGCAGGTACTCCGTACTCCGTAGCTCGAACGGGATAGGAAAGCCAACAACTGACTGACGAAGCCTACGAAAGGCAGTGCGCGCACAGTGGAAAAAGAAGATTCTCGCGCTTGGCACGGTAAGGGTTTCGGCTAAGCACTGTGGCGATTGGTCACACACACACTTTTCTGGTTTTGTCGGATGGCCGTGGCACTGTATTCAGACAATACGAGCTCGCTGGATTCTACTATGCAAGATACAACAATGAAAAGGACGCGCCTTGTACGATAAGCAGGGTACTATTACACAAGGGATGGGAACGCTGCCACTTTGTAGTTTCATCAGCAGAAGCCGTTTCTGCTTACGACAAATACGAATGTGCCGCCGCTTCCACTTTTGCCTTTTTGCTTCGGTTAGAAAAGGTTTATCGCGCCACCCCGTGTGCATCGCAGTATGGAGTAAGATTACGAGAGGGAATGGCCGAGGGAGCTGATGGGCATTTGCTGCGTCCAGAACGCCAATGGCCGAAACAGGAGGCATTCTTGCAAAAGTGAGATGCTACAGCGCCAGCCAGGGAGCCACTTTCTGCCACCCGATCCAGCCAGTCACAGCCTGTAGTGTCGCCACTTCTCGTAGCCGGTCTTTTAGCCCTGGTTGTCTGTCGCCTTTTCTGCCTGCCTCTTTCCCGTACGTCGTATTATCTTGATGTTGCGCCGATTTGGCCAGAGCACAAGGCCGTGCATCAACGCTTCCCAACCCCTCTGCAAAGTGCGCTTCGTTTTTTTTGTGTGTTTTTTTTCTCTTTTTTCCTCAGATCAATTTCGCCGTGCCGTCTGCGCAATTACTTGCCCTCGTACTCGTACGTTGTCGTACGCTCACTCACTGTGTGCGACTTCATGCAGCTCCCAAAAATCACGCCAACTAATGTACACCGTCTGCGCTCTCATGTTTCCGCACTATATGCACCACCTTCCGCGTCGGGTCCCGGAGAATTAGGCACGTATGGTGTATCGTAGACAAAGTCGCTAGTAGGCAGAAACCGGTGGGGCAACAAAGCTCACGGGGGGTGCTGAATGCCTCTCGTTCTTCTTCACGCGTCTCACACTTTGATATGGAATAATCGAGCAGGTCCGGATGTCGGTTATGGCCTGATGCATTTACCACACAACTGCTCCACGCATCGCTGTCTCGCACTGCGTGACATAGTAGACAAAAGCAAGTGTCCGGACAGAAGGCAGGGAAAGCAGACGAGGTGACGGCAGCGCGAGACAGGGTTCTGCCTCACATAACTGCATCGTCGTGGGCTGAGAATGATCGACACCATATGTGATACAACGCCCCTTCTCGGCAGGCGCCGCCGCAAACGCTACTTACTATGCAATATACGGGTACTGAGGCCTGTGCACACGCCGCAATACCGCACATCTCGCACATCTTGCTGTCGAGCACGACGGCTTGCCCTGGGTGCAAGGTCTTGGCCCCCAGACACCCTGGAGTGCATGCGTGTTTTGTGGGAGCAAGCTCTAGCTCGTCCGTCGTATCATTCGTTGCATCCTTGCCCTGTGTGCGCATGGCAATTGTGTGCAGCAACGCCTGCAGTCATGTGGATATAGATCTGCCTGCCGTCGACATAGTACGGAGTCTGAGAATGGCCTCTCTTCTTCCCCTCCCTGATTTCCCCTTACATGGAATTTCGCAAGGGCTCTTGCACCCTTGTCTGTTCCTGCCTGTGTTACTCTGATACCTTATCGCATTGTGCGAGGACGAGAGCTTTGCCGAGAAAACAACGAAGACCTGCTCACGATATCCGCAAAGCTACCGCCGCAGGCGGACACTAACCGAGAGCTATGGCGTTAGTGACCATTGACGTCGCCGCCATCGATTCCTCACCGCTCTATTGACATCAATCACATGCCCCATCCAAAAAGCCCACCCACACTCACTCAATTCACACCATTGTCAGAAAAAAGAAAAGAGGTGCCCCTCCAACTTTCCGCGGGGGCACCTGTGCGAAAGCAGAAATGCAGAGCAGAAGCAAGGTGGAAAAGTGGGAGCTACTCCGTACTATACTATGTATGGAGTGAGCCTTGGCCAGATGCCGCTATTAGTTTCCTCAAATTATATGCCAATGCCATCTCCAACGGGAAAGCCCTCACACGTTTCGCTCCTTCTTCGGCGCAGCTGAACATCCCTCCTTGTCTTCGACTAATAATCGTGCGCTTAGCGCGTTCTCTTGTCGGCCCATCATCCCTACTCGTACTCGTACTGTTTCAATGCAGGCCGCATATGAGGTACTTCCACACTGCGAGCATACGACAGCTGTACAGTAATGGAGAATTGAGCACGCAAATGTCGCACAGGTGGCAAATGTGCGTAATAATTGCATGACAAACAGACGGGCTGGCAAAGGGCTGGCAAAAATGATCTTCGTCCCCTAAGACATCAAAAATGATGTTGATTGGTCCCGGAGGGGCTCGAACCCTCGACTTTCGCATTGTATTTCGGAGAAGAAATATTAGTACGATGCGCTAACCAACTGCACCACGGAACCGCTCTGTTGGCGTTGTTGAGATCGAAACCGGTGTTCTATTTTATCATGGAAGGACCGATCTGAGGCTGCACTGGTGGTTGCATCCTTACAATGGCTTGCCGTATTTGTGACAGCCAAATTTGCCGTGCTGCTCGCAAATTACTGCTCCCACGAAAGTATACCTGAATCCATTGGCCTGAGAGCGAAGAGCACCAAAACTGTTTAAGTCCTCCGTTCTTATTGATTTGGTAGTCCATCGTTGAACATGTTCTCTCGGCTCTATTTATGTAGCTAGATCTATCATTGTTCTCCTTGTTCTCATTTCTAGTTTTTAGGGTCCTGAATATTGCCTTTTAACAGAAGTAAGCGACATGGTTGTCTATTATTATTCTGACGCCAATTGCAAAAAGTATAATGAAAGGTAGGTGATCAAATCAGAAAACATGCGTCGGAGGATACTTCCGTCCAATCCGGTAGGACCTGTTTATCAATCTGTATATTTCTAGTGGAGAGAAGTCTCCTTTCATGGAGCCCCGTGGCACTGCGTGAAGGTGTAAACATCCGTTCCACTACTCGCGGCGGTGTTCGTCATCTGAAGTCGCCAAAGATCGGCCTCGTGGCAGACGGTTGGGCAGAGCTCGGGAATAGAACGTATAATTGGCTACAACGGGAAATGCATTCCCAGTTCATCGGGCATGGTGCTTCTGCAGACTTAACAGGTAGCATGTCTTTGATTTTAACCTGTAGGAATGGCAACGGCTGTCAGTCTAGAGCCAGTTCTGCAGAACATGATTCTTGCGTGGACAATTTTATCCCCGTAACACCACGTGGTGCCGCCCATATGCAGTCAACGAACAGATAAAACGTGCTGTACTGAGACCTCTCCTAATAGGCTATAGCAGTCTGTGATACCCCCGGGTGGGAATAGAAGGCAAACCAACAAATGACGAGAACATATTCCAGCAGCCGTACAATTATACGTACACGGACTACTCTGCATCTGCTCCTTTGGTCTTACCAAGCCTCTGTCCCAGCTAATCTTTAGGACCATGAGTTTGGAGGGTGTAGGCTCAATATTTCCACACGCCCACAATATAATACACCAAGAGCTCTGCCATTTGATTTTACGATCATATTAGCGCAGCCTTCTGTCTGGTTTTTGTATACGACCTATTATCTTTTGGTGGATCTTTCCTAAAGGCAGGTGTCGTAACACTTACAATCAACACCTTTGTATCCTGACCATAGCTTGCTGGCTGCAACGGGTGGTCCCTGTTAGAAAAAAACAGTGTCTGACTACTTTCTGACTACTTGTCAAGGCACCGCGTGGTTGTTGCCACAGACGAGGAGACAAAGTCTAAAGGTGGACGCCCTAATAGGACTGCGATGCAGAGTTGCTGTAGGATAGGCTGTAGCAGGATATTGACACTACGCTGGTCATCGGGCAGTTTTATGAGCCGGTCTACTCGTAGTACGCTACAACTTCGTATAGACTCTATACCCGTTCACAACCGTGGAAAGTCACTGCGTCCTGTGACTTACCATTAATCTTCCATCTACCTGGCGTGGTGCGGTCGGAAGGCCCCGGTAGGATCACACTACGACGTATGTATTCACCCTGCTCAGGTTCACCTGACCCATGCTTAGCAAGTTTCAGATGTCTCAGCTGGCACGAAACGTGGTGGCATACCCGGACTGCGTCCGTATCGTAAGCCGTAAACAGCCGGGTCGCAGTGGCTCTTATCAGAGCACATTGAGGCTGAGGAGGCAGATTTCAGACCTGCTGCTATTGGTATCTTACATGGTGAGACAAGCCCCCAAAAGGATAGAGACCTGGCATTTGTGGAGAATGGCTACGACATCTGCCAGCTCCGTGTTATCGCAGCGTGCCTCTGACAGACCCTGAGCGTTCTCTTATTATTCTTCCACCTACATGGAAGCCTGTAAACATCGGTAAAGTAAGATCGTAAATATACATCCCTCCAGGGTGCTCTATTACACCAAATCCGAACGCGAGCAGTCAAATAACTCTCGAGCTCCTTCCCGGGAGCTCGATGTCCATCTCCGCATCTCCAAATTAGGCTTGAAATTCCCATCATAACCATACAGCGTGCATATGAACTCCAACACATGATCGTAAAGGAAAAAAAAACAGGAGAAAAGAACGGTAAATAGATGCACTCTGCTCACGCATACGGTGCACCCAAGCCGATAAACTGAAACATCATAGGAATGGCCTCGACGGCCAGCCATCCGATGCCTGACCAGTCAGTCTCACGATCACATATGGGATAACTGAAAAGACTCACCGGTGTATACTACCAGCTTGGTGACGACCTCCACGTCGTAGCGGACACGTGGCTTCACCAGCTTCTCAAACATCTCCTTCTCGCCCAACTCGTCTTGTCGGCCGACGTACAGCTCTGGTTCTTCAAAGCTCAAGCTCGGGAACGCCGTCGACTCCACGACGGTTCCTTGGCCCATCATCTCCTCGAACTGGACCAGCGAGGGCCTGTGGACAAGCGAGGGCCTGCGAACGCCCGTCGTTCGCATTGTTGCCTTTCCGTCTCGGTCGCTGGCGCTGTTGCCAGTGCTGACGGCCATGTTCTCGGGCGCTGCTGGCGCCGTTTGTTCGTGCAGGTCGAGGAAGCTGCCTCGGCTCTTCAGACTGGTCTGACTGCTTATGCTCTCGCGCCGCCGCTGTTCCCGGTACGCCAGCGTCTCGTAGGCGTCGGCAGCGCTTTGCGGACCAATACTGACGGAGCGGCCACGCCGGGCGTTCTGAAGGTTGCGAACCATTATGGGGATGTCGCTGACGCTCGGAAGGACGTTGTCGGTATGCAGTCGCAAGACCTCGGGAATTTTCCCATACTCGCTCGCCTTCATGAAGAAGCGTCGCGGCAGGTTGAAGCCGATCACCTCGAGGACACGGAAAAGGTGAGGGAGCGTCTTGAGCATCGTGGGCTTCATGAGTTCGCGCCAGGCAAAGACGACCAATACACCAAAGATGATACGTGCCAGGGCGACAATCGGGCTTAAAGTCGGGATACTGTCAGACGCCAGGCCCAGGGACTCGCGCAGGCGCGGATACCGCCATGTGCCAACCTCAAGGCCGATCATGACACCTGCAAAAGCTACAGAGTCGTCAAAGCACGGACAGTCGTCTGCCGGTTCCGGATGGACACGCACAAGGGCGATGATAAAGAGAGTGGCCAGTGCCGGGGCCTTCCAGGAACTCTGCTGCATGTAATCGGCCAGGGCCGGACCCCAGTAGTACTCGATGTAGCCGAGACAGGAACCTAAAAAGCTGCCAAAGATGACATCGACAAAGCCGTGCATCCCACAGTAGAGGCGGCCGATGACGATGGAGGCGGCGTAGAAGTAGCCTAAAAAGGCGGACATCAACTTAGTCGATGGCGAATAGTCCGAATCTTGTAGGGCCAGGATGGCATAAACGGCGACCGACACGGCGTTCGTAGAATGGGTCGACGGGAAGCCGTATTCGAGGACGACAGAGTCCGACATGGTGATGCGCTGCAGAGGAGGTGAGAGTGGGCGTGGAAGCGAGCACATGTCCTTGAAGAAGCCACTGAAGAAGACGCCCGTAGCAAGGACATGGACCAGACTATGGAGGAGAACATTAGCCCCAATCGTTTGCAAAGTGTCACCCACCCCCTTCATTCCTGTGGCAACAAACATACGCTTTCCCAATGGCCGGATAGCCAAACCAGTAGAGCATGGGGAGACCGATCATGAAAAATGTATGTGTGCCCAGGTTGGCAGTGATGGCGAAGTAGTTGTCGAGTGCAGGCGAGCGCATCGCGGATTGGAAATATGCGAGGTACGGCGTCTCCCAGCGAATCAAGGGCAGCAAGTGCTGGCGCAGTCGGTACCGCCATCGGGGCAGGGCGCGCTTGTCTGGAGGAGAGCGAGGCGGCATTGTTAGCCGGACAAGAGATGCAGCGCACGAGTGCCAGAAGACATAGGGACGCCAGGGAGAGACATACAGTGGTCTAGGCTCTTGAGCCCGGCGTCCACCACGTCGTTTGGTCGTGCGTCTGGTTCCACGATCGTGGGCGCCAGGAGCCGGGCGCTGGGCGCAGCGCCATTCTGAAGCGCAGTCATCTGCGCGGCCGTCTCTTCGAGATCAGCAGAGCGGACGAGGCAATTGACCGGAGCTGAGGAGAAATGATTGGTGCAGAAGAGCGGGGGAAGGACAGGGAGAAAGGAGGAACAAGACAAGAAAAGTGCCGAGATGTAGGGCAGCGCAACAAAAGGCACCGGGGAAAGAGGAAGCCTTCGTCCTTGAATGGAGAAAAACGGCGACGTGGCAGGGAAGATGGAAAAGTGGGCTGAAACTTTGGAGATGTGAGTTCGAGCACGTCAAGCATTTTGGGGGGTCTCAGATGCAGTTTTGGTAGGTGGCCCTGCGAAAGGAGGAGCACTACGACGTAGGATTGTGCTTATCAGCTTCGACTAAATTTATTTTGCTAACTATTGTTTACGTTATAAGAGCGTACAGCTAAAAGCTTGCCTTAAAGGCCCCTTGTAAGCGCGCTTGTATACGCCCTGTACTCCGTACTCCGTACAGAGTAATGTTTTCATCTCTGCCCATCGCACCTTTGTTTCCTGGCAAAGAGATACTTCCTGTATTAACCATTCTAGGCCAAATTTATGTACTTTTCGCAGTTTGTGCACTACGGCAGTTGAGAGGCAATGTTGCACGTGACCATAAGGGTCACGTGCATGGCTTTTACTTATTTATTTATTTATACATTTCAACGTCGAAGCAGGACAGAAGGCAGGTTGTCAATCAACACTGATACATCTACGGAGTATTATGATGGTGCACGTTTTCGTGGCGTTTAGGTGGGGCGTAGCACGAGTACGGAGTATTACTCCACTCACATCACAAGAAAACAAGCTGAAAGAGGGCAGCGATCTTGACGATCAGAAATAGGTGCTTGCGTTTTGTAGGTTAAGGGACAGAGAGAGGGGGGTAGCAATACCTCTCCTCCCACTATGACTAGTCCCCCTCCTTCGCACCTCCCCTTTCAGGCCTAACAACCTCATACCAAAAACGGCTATTAGTGACATAGTGGTGGGAGCACCAAAACACTAACAGTAGCTAGCGTGGGTAAAAAAATCGAGGAAGAGTTGCAGAGTATTTCACTGCCGTAGTGCACCGCGCACTAGTCAGTCCATATGCACCTTCCCACATTTATTTCCCCCCATGGCGAATACTACACCGTTGCATCGAGAAGCTTTAACGCCCCCGACAAGCGTTTCGACGATGAAACAAACAAGGCGCGAGCTCGATAACACTATTGACGACACGCTTACGGCAACTTTTTCGACAGTCCCCAACTTTTTCTGCTTTTTTGACGGTTGTGATAAAGATTTTGCCATTTTCCAGGGTATGTAAGATACGATGTAAGACGAAGATACGAGAACAGCACACTAACGAGAACTACATATGCAGGCGTTGACCCTGACACGTTCTCCAAAATTGAGACTGGGCGGCAGCGCCGCGGACGCAAGCTGCGTTTTCACTATCGTCCAGAGCAGCACCAGTTGCTCGTCACCGTCCCCAATTTTGAGCATGACACAGCAACTTGGACGATAAGCGCAGCTCTCTATCACGATCTGAACAATATGGGTCTATCCTATAACGACTTGGTGCCTTCGGGGACAACCAAGTTCGGCGACGGCGGCAGCGGGAAGGAGTGTGGCGAGGCTGACGCAGCCTTTATGCCTGGAGAACGTGCTGATGCCCTGGATGGATGGCCGACGCTTGTGGTTGAGACGGGCTTGAGCCAGTCGTCTGAGAGCCTGGACGCTAAAATGCGTTGGTGGTTTCATGCGTCGAACCATCAAGTGAACATTGTTTTACTTGTGAAACTACAACGGGCCTCGCACACTATCTGCGTCGAAAAGTATGTTAAGGACATACCCCAACCGCGACAGGGGGCCACCTTCACCCGCTTCATGCCTGCGCTCGTCCCGCAATCACGTCAGAGCATTACAATCGCGCCCCATCCCAGGAGCCAACCTGTCGTATATGATGTTTTCGGCGGCCCGCTTGTCTTGGAGTTCGTTTTGCTATTCCTGCGGCCAGCCGACTTGGCTCGGGGAGAACGGGATGTGGTATTGGATGCAACCAGGCTTGTCGACCTGGCTAGGCAGGTCTGGCGTCGGACATTGTGAGTGGGTAGATGGCACGCAGCGCTGTGCAGAAGCAACTCGTCACCCCACGCTACAATATAATCTACAAGCGACACATTACGACACCGTTACGCACCAGACAGTTGCACTGCCTACATTGTAGAAATTTCAGTATCCCGAATGGCGTTTGCACAGAGTTAGGACACTTTAGTGGTTACAGCCGCTTTATCGCTAGCTCTACGTTTTTGTACGTAGCTTTATTATAACAGGCTATATCTACTATGTAGTTGTTCTACGAAGTACTTTGTGTTTATTCCCAACATGTGCTTTGCTTACTACTAGTCGTATGGTAAGATACTAGGCGAAAGTACTCCGTAATCGCACCCTATCAAGTATCTTTTTAATCCACTCCTCCCTGCCAAAAACCCTGCCAAAACGCGCCTTCTTTTAGACCCCCCCCCCCTCCATTTACGTTATTTACCTTTTCTTCCTCTACATACCTTACTACGGAGTATTACCAAATTATAGGTGCTATCAAACGGACCAGGCCAAAATGGGAGGGACGTGCACAATTGTGCCGTGTGATGGAAGAATGCATGCACTGTGTGGCGCAGGGCGCTAATTATGTTAAGTAATCACCAGTCATGTGACATATGGGTGAGCCCTGATTGGTCAAATAGGGCTCCACCCTATGCAGAGTTTTATCCCTCTAGAATAGCTGCATCTTCTCCTCTACTCTACTTTAGTAATACAACCAACAACGTGATAAGTAAGCAATACACCTTTGATAATTTAGTATGGGATTCCATGTACGACGGCATAGCTTGGAAGTAACGAACTATAACAATACACACACGCTTACTGGGCACCTATAATTTAACAGTTATAGCCTGGTAAGCAGCTTTTTATATCAACATTTGGGAAATTATGGAGGGTATCTTAAAGCCATTACCGGACGCATGCAACCCGACGACAGCGCCGTGGTGGTATGGCTGCTGCATCACACCGAGGGAGAAATGCAAGGCACAAGCCCGAGTAATACGAAAATAAGACGGAAAGGCCAGCTGAGTGGAAACTTCTCTACAAGTGGACAACTGTCCCAACAATCTCTGATGCATGACATAGTCAGGTTAGGTCTATGACACAACGGAGCCCTTGAGAATAGCCGTGTCATTGGGGGCACTGATCGGTATGGCATCGGAATGCTCCACTGAGAGGCACTGTTGCACTGCCGTCATCAATAGTTATCCCAAGTTGCGTAAAGACGTACGGAAATTTCCCAGCTATAACCGCATCTTCTTCAAATAGGTGCCGATCACTGGGTAGTAGCGTGCATACGATAGTTTTCTATACATAAACATCGACCAGACTTCGATATTATTGCTACGACGTACAAGCAGATGCGGCGGTGACTGCATGTGAACGGCTAGTCAATGCTGCTAGGATGCATGAATTGAATGTATTGTTGTCCTTATGTCTAATCCCCGTTTCCTAATCAAACAGTCCCTATAAATAAGGATAGACGTTAGAAAAAAACCGGAAGTCAATTTATTTTTCTATCAGCTTAGAATGTAAGATCAGGGCTGTGTAGGCATATATGTACTTTTCATCTTGTATGTGTCGATAGGCTAGTCATTGCGTCTGGTTGTTTTTATCAGTTTGCGGGTATGGTACAGTTCTCGTTCATGACTACGACCATTATCAAAATACCTTGCATAACTACCAGAGAAACCATCAATCATGTTTGGAGTTGAGCTTAGTGTGACCTGCAGAAAACCTCCGATGACAGTATAACAGTGAGCAGAAGCCCTAAACACACGGTTGTTTCTTGAATGTTCTGGTGCTGCTGGAGCTATAGCTACAGAGTTGAACCCGACTATTTCGATACACATGTAAGCCAGACATACATGAGCTTCAAGTTAGCCAGATTTCCTATTTCTAACCTCGAGATGTCGTCGTCGCCATTCGCGGTCACGTGACGTTTGACGTGGACGCGACTGACAATTGAAATCACATTCTCCGTATGAATTTTTCAACGTATAGTATATAATCATACTGCTCTCCGTGGATCGAACCATGCAGGACTCTATGTGAACTTACTAAACTAAGATATCAATTACTGACGGGGAAGCTGTAGCTTCATGCAACTGGTTGTACGTAGGTACGGAGCTCTTCGGTCTGGCAAGAATGACTAATCATATAGATCACGCATCTTCATCGCCATCAGAAGAGAAGTGGGTATTGGACCACCGCCAGCTGTCCAATCATATTGGACCACACGCACGGACTTCAATTTGACCAATTAGGGGATAGCTGTCCCATTTCCCCTTTCCACCCCTGTTCACGAAAGAAGGCGGGAGACCGTTGGTCGCACCTGCTTGCCCCATCGAAAGGGGAATAGGGGAAGCCCCCCTAATATAACAGAAAGTAGCATAATTGCTTGGTCAATTTCCACCCCCAAAACTTTCATACTTTGTTTCTTTTCTCAGTGTTCTTGCACCACCACCACCAGCCTTACCAGTCCTCACTTCGACTCCTCTACGCCCTCCCCTCGCGCAGGCACCTATTCACCCATCTCACCGACACGTACGCGTCTCTCCTCCGAACGCTGAAGCTATGGCGGCCATGCCCCCTGCCACGATTTACCCCCAGAGCCATGTTGGTTTCGACAGCATCACGTCTCAGATCGAGCGCAAGCTGTTGAAGCGTGGCTTCCAGTTCAACGTCATTTGCGTTGGTGAGTGCCCTATCCAGGAACTCCTGATGCTGCAAAGCAAAAGCGTGGCAGGGATCTCTGTCACAGGTCCTTAGCAGCTACACAACATTGTAGCTCTGTCCTCGACTGGACTGATGCTGACTCTGCTTCTGCTTCATAGGCCAGACCGGTCTGGGCAAGTCTACTCTCATCAACACCATCTTCGCCTCGCACCTTATTGAGTCCAAAGGCCGATTGTTGCCCGAGGAGACCATCCGGTCGACTACCGAGATCCACGCTGTTTCGCACATTATCGAGGAGAACGGAGTGCGGCTTCGCTTGAACATTGTCGACACCCCGGGGTACGGCGACCTGATTAACAACGATCGCTGCTGGGACCCCATTGTCAAGTATATCAAGGACCAGCACTCTGCGTACCTGCGGAAAGAGCTCACGGCCCAGCGCGAGCGTTACATCCAGGACACGCGCATCCACTGCTGCCTTTTCTTCATTCAGCCGTCGGGGCACTCGCTGAAGCCCATCGACATTGTCGTCCTGAAGAAGCTGTCTGATGTCGTCAATGTCGTGCCCGTCATTGCCAAGTCCGACTCTCTGACGCTGGAGGAGCGCCTGGCCTTCAAGCAGAGCATCAAGGAGGAGTTCGCTTTCCACAACCTCAAGATGTACCCGTACGACAACGACGAGTTTGACGACGAGGAGCGTGCGGTCAACACTCAGATTAAGGTAAGCATTGCTATACCTGACTCTTTACGTCCAGAGAGCATCCAACTGACGCGTCCCCTTCCAGAGCTTGATCCCCTTCGCTGTCGTCGGCTCTGAGAAATCTATCATCATCAACGGCAAGCAGGTTCCCGCACGCCAGAACCGGTGGGGCGTCATTAATGTTGAGGACGAGGAGCACTGCGAGTTTATCCACCTGCGCGACTTCCTGCTGCGCACCCATCTGCAGGATCTCATCGAGACAACGTCACAGATCCACTACGAGACGTTCCGCGCCAAGCAGCTGCTGGCCCTGAAGGAGAGCAGCGCTGGTCACACTAGCCGGCCCATTAGCCCTGTCGCCGAGCGTGAGATCAGCCGAAACTCCCAGCGGCAGACAATCAACGGCTACTAATCGAGGCGGCCGTCTTTGTCTCATACGCTCAAGTAAAGTCATGATCACCTTTGCTGGGTTTGTTGCACTTTTGTCCATTCATACCCTCAGCCTGATCATTGCCAGCCTTCACCGCAAAAGTCTCGTTTGGCGGCCGATCTGGGAGGGAAGGCCGACCTTCGGAAAGAATGTGACCATCGTCTTAAAAGGAAGACAACGGGCGTTGAGGCAGCGTTTTATGCACCATTTTGGCTGTTCCGGGCTAAGGGCTCCATATCTCTGTTCGTCGTCCTGCTCATTCTTGTTTGTGCAGATGGCCTTTTCTTTTGCCCCCTCAGGCTGGATATTCTCTAGTCCAAAATATCTTTTTTAGTACCCCTCGGCTACGAAGCTCTTCCCTTTATTTATTTATTACCGCTCCTGTTCTTCCTCTTTTTTTGTCGTACTTTGGATTTGTTTTCTCCTAATTGTCTGGCCGCTTAGCTCAAATGGAGCTAATTCGACACTGTACTTGACGCAAGCAAATCAATGAGATGTTTATGGCAGTCGTAATTTTCACTTCGTTACTGATATTATCAATAACATTGTTATTACCGTGTCTGCTGTGTATCGTACAACACATACGACCAGTCTACAAGTTAACGTAAGATTTCTGTATCCAATGCCTGTGTCTACACTCCGTACCTGTAGACTGCTCAATGGGTATGGCATTCTTTGGCTGTAACAAGCTGGCTGTAGCCTACTTCTTCGATTTTGCTGGCTGCTGGAAGATGTAGTCCTCGAGCTCCTTGTAAGCCTTGTCAAGATCGTCGTTGATGATGATCTTGTCGTGCACGCCAGGCGTTTTGGAGTAGTCGAGCTCAAGCTTTGCCTGGTCGAGCCGCTTCTTCACGTTGGCCTCGGTCTCGGTGCCGCGGCCGCGCAGACGCTTCTCAAGCGTGGCTGTGGAGGGCGGGGCGATGAAGATGTAGCGTGCTTCCCAGCCGTTGCCCTTCTTTTTTTGGTCCTGGATCTGCTTCACACCTTCCATCTCAATGTCCAGCAGAACGACACGGCCCTTGGCGGTCTGGTCGGCGACGGTCTTTTTGCTGGTGCCGTAGCGGTTGCCGCCGAACTTGGCATGCTCGACAAAGGCGTCCTGGCCGATGAGCTTCTCGAACTCTTCCATGGTGACGTAGTGGTAGTCGACGCCGTCCTTTTCGCCGGGGCGGGGCTTGCGGGTCGTGTGGGACACGGCTGTTCACATCCAAGTCAGCTATGGGACGCAGGCCAAGAGGAGCTGGGAAGAGGTTTCAACGTACACAGGCAGAAAGCGTCCGGGTGGCGTTCAAACAGGCGGTTGTAGAGAGTGCCCTTACCGACTGCAGAGAAGCATTAGTCTCAAAGAGTCCATGGCGCGGTGGAAGCAAGACGTACCGCCCGAGGGGCCGGAGATGACAATGGGACGGCGATCGGAAGGGGGCGCCATGGTGACGAAGGGCGCAATGGATTGCGATGGGACACGGTTGTAGAAGCGATTGAGCGGGGTGAGAAGCGAGCGAGAAACAGACTGAAGCAGAGGCCGGCGGCAGATGGAGTGGAAGCAAGAAGAGGTCGCAGCCATGTAATGGGCTTCCAGGCCAGATTGTGTTCAGGGCCAAAAAGCGAATTGCTTATTACGACGGCAGGGATTGTGGGCGGTGAGTAGCTGCTCTACAGTGTCCATGACAGCGGTGAGGCAAAAAGACACTGCAATTGCTTGCAACCACACGCAGGGTTTGTGGTCAGACCGCTAAAGGCGGTAGGGGCTCGAATGTGATGACTTTGACAGGGATTTCCCACAAACGTTCCCATCGGATGCCGCGTCTCTTGTCATTCGCCTCTGCTCTGCTATGTTGATTGGATCTGGAGACAGGTGAGCAAGGTCACGTGGAAGCCCGTTAGTTTGGCGTTACCCCGTCAGCGAACCGGACTCCATATTCCGGGTCCCCTCTTTCTTTCGTGCCAGCCAATGCCGTGCTTTGTCCACAATTCTTTTCGTCATCACATCGTTCCTCGCCGCCCTGCTATTATAGGTCAAGAAGAGGCAGTCTCCTCCATTTTCTGATAGCTTATTCATTCTGCCGTATCCGACAATGCCTCCCATCGCAAGAAAAGCCTCTGGCAACCGCCAGGCAACGTTGAGTTTCAACCACCGGGTGACCAAGGCCTCAGTGCCGAAGGTGTCGGCCAAGGAGTCAGTGCTAGCGGCGACGAAGAAGGCAGAGAAGGCCGAGACAAAGCGAGAGCCGACGAGACGGACAGCAACGCCGGAAAGCGAGGCAGCAGACTCTGAAAGTGGCGAGAAGATACACTATGTGGAGCCAGTGACGCCTGCGGCGGCGGCCAAGAGCGAGGCTGAGATCAAGGCTGAGAGCGAAGCGGCGGCTGTCGGGGATGTGCAGATGCGGCGATACTGGCAGAGCATTGAGGCACAGAGGATGGCCTCGAGGGTGCACCAGGAGAACCTGGATCTGGGTGAGAAGGTGCTACGGTACTTTGACGTCAGCTCGCAGTTTGGGGTAAGCTTTTTCGCGTGCCTGTTGTGCCTTTATGGGATTGTGCCTCGCTGACGAAGGAACAGCCCTGCGTTGGGATTAGCCGAAAGAAACGATGGATGCGAGCGCAGCGGCTGGGCCTGGCACCTCCGATCGAGGTGCTGGCCGTGCTGTTGCAGGAGGAAGCGAAGGGCAGAGAGAACGTGGAGCGAGCGTGGATTGACGGGATTTTGAACCCGTCGGTGGTGGCATGAGGGGGCCAAAGGGCGGAGTGATTCTATGGCGTTGGGAGCTGCATGCAGGGGACACGAGATGTGCGATACGATCCGACGCGACATGTCTAACTTCTATATTGGTTATTTGGGGTGTATGGGAATGGCGGCTGAGGCCGATTGCGACATGGTGACATGGTCGCCTCTACAGCAATCTATAACATGGTATCGATCTATGACCGTGACGTGATGTGAAAGGCGGGAGGAACTAATAAGAAGGCACCGTTCAGTACCAGATGCTGCGGGTCCTGTGATGCGGGACCTCGTCTTTGCTGGCGGCCTCGAGCTCCTTCATTGTGTCATAGAGAAAGAAGTCGATGAGGACGGCGTTGATCTTGGCGTCGGGGTGGTTGCGCACGATCTCCCTGCGGATCAGCTCGACACACCAGATAGTGCAGGCTGGACGGTTAGCTGGATTCCTGTACTCTTTTCTTTTCTTCTTTCTTTGCAAGTCCCCACTGACCTCGTAGCTGCATCTCGAGATCGCTGCCGCTGGCAAGCGGCTTCTGCTGCCGGATAATCGTGAGCAGCGGCGGGCTGTAGTAGAGGCAGCCGAGGCTGTGCAGGATTTGCGGCACGCGGTAGTCGGCAAACATGGTGAGTTTGTCAATGTCGTGGAAGGCGCCGTAGCCGGTGCCCTGGAAGCAGGCCCAGAGCTCAGCGACGAGGATCTGTGCGCGCTTAAGGAAGCGGATGGGGCGACGACGGCCAGGATAGGGGAACTCGTCGCGGAAGCAGGCGAAGTCGCGGGCGAGGATGTTGACGAGGCGGGCAGCCGAGCCGTCGGCCGCGGCGAGGACGTTTGTGAAGCAGCAGCCATACTTTTGGTAGAGCACGCGGCCAGCTTGACGCAGACAGTCGAGCCGTTCGGCCAGCAGGGGCATCTCCTCGTCCGTGGCAGAGCGGAAGACGCGACGCATGAGGGCCATATCACACTCGTCCTCGCTCTGCCAGAAGTCGGAGCTCGTGATCGGCACACCCTCGTCGAGTGCTCGCTGCAGGGCGGCCACCAGGCTCCAGTAGCCGGTCCAGGTCTTGCCGCGGTACTCGATGCCGAAGCGGTCGGCCGCCGGCCGCTCGGACCAGAAGGAGAAGTTGAGCAGGTCCATGGTGAAGATGAAGGCGACCGTCGACGCGTCGCGTGCCGTCGGGTGCAGCTCGTGCTCGGCCCAGGTGGCCGTCGAGTAGGCCTGACGCTGCATCCGGCCGTAAATCGTCTCGGCTGCGTCCTTGCACGACCGCATGTCCAGGGCCACGTCGATCGCGTTGTCGCACACGTACTCAGCCCCCTCCAGCACGCCCGTCTCGGCGTCCTCGTCCACGGCCGGTCGGCCCATCAGATGCTGCCGCAGCAGCGCCAACAGCTCCGGGTCTGCCTCGTCGTCCGACATGTTTTGTGCAATATGGCCGCGAGGATCGTCGTGCAGCCCGGCTTTTGCGTTCTCTTGCGGCCTCACGGTAGTATGGAATCGGAAAAGGAGGCCCAATTGGCCCTCACCGCATACATAGCACGTCCACTCGGTCAGTCGATTCTCCTATTCGACAATGCCTTTGCTCAACTCTCGTGCAAGACGGATCCAAGAGAGTAGGGCCGGTGACCCACAATAATTATTCTGCCAGCTGGCAGCCTCGCCCCTGTCGGACCGGCAAGCCGCCGTACAGTGAAGCAACCGCGCCTTCCTTCCCTCCCTGAAGCTGTTTCTCAGAACAGCCTCATCTCACCTGCCACCGGTTTCCTTTCCTCGCGCTCGCCCAGGGCTTTTCTTCCTTTCTTTTGTCTGGTCCCACCGGCGCGTCAGCTTGTATCAGAACCGCCCTTTTCGATCTCCAAATTTGTCACAGCCGAAAGCTCGCTCGTTTTAGCTGCTGCCATTGCGCCCTTTCGCCCTTTCGGCCTCGACAGCCCCATCGACAACGCTTCCGACTGCCGACTACCACTTCCCACAATGGCGACCGGGTCGGATGCAGGGCCGGTTGTGCCTGGAACAGCGACAGCCACTCTGCCAGCAGCGACAGCGGCTGCGGCACCTACGACGGGCGGCCTGGGGCGCGACGTGCACAACTCGCATGCGCTGGGCCGGACGCTCAACGCGCACGTGAAGCAGGTAAGTCGGGATACGGCGACGACGAGTCCCTTCAATCGGGCTGGCTTGCTGACGCATTTTGTCCCGTTCTGGCACAGGCTCGCGTCCTCATGGTGGGCGCCGGTGGCATCGGCTGCGAGCTGCTCAAGACGCTGGTGCTGACAGGCTTCGGCGAGGTCCACATTGTCGACCTGGACACCATCGATCTAAGCAACCTGAACCGACAGTTCCTCTTCCGGCACGAGCACATCAAGAAGTCCAAGGCGCTGGTGGCGCGTGACGCGGCGCAGCGCTTCAACCCACAGGTGCGGCTGGTGGCGCACCACGCCAACATCAAGGACGCGCAGTTTGACGTGGCCTTTTTCCGCGGCTTTCGCATCGTCTTCAACGCGCTCGACAACCTGGACGCCCGGCGGCACGTGAACCGCATGTGTCTGGCCGCCGACGTGCCGCTGGTCGAGAGCGGCACCACCGGCTTCAACGGCCAGGTGCAGGTTATCCGTCGCGGCGTCACGGCCTGCTACGACTGCAGCCCCAAGGAGGCGCCACGCTCGTTTCCCGTCTGCACTATCCGCAGCACGCCCAGCCAGCCGATCCACTGCATCGTCTGGGCCAAGAGCTACCTGCTGAACGAGATGTTTGGCGACAGCGAGGACGAATCGGCCTTTGACCACTCGGCCGACGCCCAGAATGCTGCCGAGATCGTCGAGCTGCGCAAGGAGTCTTTTGCCCTCAAGGCGCTGCGCCGTGCTGTCGGAACCCCGGCCTTTGCCCGTCGGCTGTCCGACAAGGTCTTCCGCGCCGACATCGACCGTCTGCGATCCATGGAGGATATGTGGAAGTCACGTGACCCGCCCCAGGTCCTGGCCTATGACGACATCGTGGCCGCGACGGCTGCGGCTGGCCTAGGACCAAACAACCCCGAGGCCGTGGCCGTTCTGCTGCGCGACGGCCAAAAGGTCTGGACGCTCGAGGAGAGCGTCGTGGTATTCAACGACAGCATTGAGCGGCTCAGCCGCCGTGTAGCCCAGCTGCGCGAAGCCGGCAACGCCGACGCCGACGCGCTGATCGAGTTTGACAAGGACGACATCGACACCCTCGACTTTGTGGCCGCCAGCGCCAACATTCGGTCCACGCTGTTCGGAATTGAGCACCGGTCGCGCTTCGACATTAAGCAGATGGCGGGCAACATCATCCCGGCCATTGCCACAACCAATGCCATCGTCGCCAGTCTCTGCGTCCTGCAGTCTTTCAAGGTTCTGCAGGGCGATTATGACGCCGTGAAAGAGGTCTTCCTCACTCCCTTCGCCTCGGACCATCTCCTAGCGGCCGACCAGCCGCGCCAGCCGAACCCCGAGTGTCCCGTCTGCAGCTCGTACCAGACGAGCGTCCGCGCAGACCTGTCCAAGGCAACGCTGGCTGACGTGGTCGAGCTCATCGTCAAGACACAGCTCGGCTTTGGCGACCGCGATTTTGTCGTCAGCAATGACGTCGGCATCCTGTACGACGTCGAGGAGACAGACAACCTGGAGAAGCAGTTGAGCGACCTGGGTACGTCGATCTGTCCATCTTTGCGGTCAATTCACTATTCTTCTCTGTCTTATTAACAACGTTTTGCAGGCGTTCGACCTGGCAGCTTCCTCACGGTGATCGACGACGAGGACGAGGACCCCTATGTCAACGTGGTCATCAACATCGAGGACAGCAAGGGGGAGCCGCTTCCGGACGGAAACCCTGTCGTTGCTGTCGGCCTCGAAGGTCCGCCCAACATTCGTCGGCGGCCTAAGAAGACGACGCCTCCCTCTCCTCCCCCATTAGCGGAGGCCAACGGCACGGCCAAGCAAAACGGAAAACACGCGCTTGACATAGACGATGACGATGTCGTTCCCTTGGACGGCCCGGCGCCCAAACGGCCGCGAGTGGACGATGTTGTCCCCGCCAGCAATGGCAACGGCGAGTCGGCAGCAAAAAAAAAGGCAAAGCCCGGCGAGGACGTCCCTGCTAGCAACGACGACATTATAAATATCGAAGACGTGTCGAATGGCGCCATAGTCATTGACGACGACTGATCTCTCTGTTTTGGGTTCATATTCGTGTCACGATGCGGCACTCAGGCCGCCGTCCAGGTTCAACACGCAGTTATTGGCGTAGCTGTTTTTGGCCAGGAAGATGGCAGCATCGGCCACCTCATCGGGCGTGCCGAAGCGGCCCATCGGGATGCGGGTTTTCATATCTGCAACTTGGCGTTCGGACATGTCTAGGAGGGGAGCACGTTGTGCAATATACCGTCAGCCTGTAATTTTTCCCCTTTTTCCGATTTCCCCCTTTTCACTGCGTTCTTTCCCCTCTTCTCATGAGCTGTACGCATATTGGTCGAAAGGACGGGGATTGCCATCGGAGGATACCAGCCAGCACACAAAGAGGCAACAGGAGGATAGCTGCGGACATGTATGACAACAGGGCAGGAGGATGAACCAGGAAGCCGCCGCGTGCTTGGCCGGAGAGCATCAACTGAATAAACACAAAAAATAATAAACTCACTTGCAATCATGTCCGTGTTGATATAGCCGGGGAGGATGACGTTGGCACGGATGCGCCGTCCAGCACCTTCTTCTGCCAGGGCTCTGGTGAGGCCTGAGGCTGCGTTAGATGATTGTCTGGTGAAGGGGCAGACCTTTGAAAAAGGAGAAGACTGTTCTCACCAACGACGCCAGCCTTGGATGCAGCGTAGACGGTGGCGCCATAGCCGCCGCGAACGGCAAGCAGACTGGCAATGTTGAGGATGCAGCGGTCTGGAAGGCGGGTAAAAAGTTAGCGAGCGAGCAGACCCGAGCAGACCCATACAGACATTGAGAAGAAGTCCAACAGACCTTTGCTGCGCTTCTTGAGCCAGGCGCGCATGGCCGAGCGGCAGCCCGAGATGGTACCGTAAAGATTGACGTCGAGCACATCGCGGATGTCGGCCGGGCTCATGCGAGCTAGCAGCGTGCTCTGAGATACGCCGGCCGCGTTGACGAGAAAATGCACGTCGGCTGTATTGGCAAACAGCGCGCCCCAGAGGCTGCTCTCACGCACATCGCCGGCCATGTGCCAGTGTTTGACATCGGAGCCGGCGGTGACGCCTGGAACGGAAGGAATGCTGCCTATGCCAATCGATGGGCCTGGCGCCGGCCGGGGCAGCGCCTCGACCGCCCGCTGCAGCGCAGCCTCATCGCGGCCAACCAACGTGCAAGAGACGCCCTCGAGTGCGAGCCGGCAGGCAATGGCCCAGCCGATACCACGGCTGCCTCCTGTGACAATAGCAGAGCGGCCAGCAAACGATACAGGGCGCCGCGGCACTGGGTAGAGCGGCACTGGTGGCGTCGTCTTCGTCGCCGTCGTTTGGCCGTTCCTGTCGACTGGTGGGACGGCAATGCCGCTAGAGGCGATGCAGCGTTTGCCAGTACGAGGCAGAGCAAGACCGACAACGGGACCAAGCCCCAGGCCTAGACCAGATCGCAATCTCAGTAGCGGACGCATGAGGAAAATAGGAAAAAAAAAGAAATTTCAGGACAGGCGGGCTGTCGATGCTGCTGTTCGTTCGTTGGTGGGTTCAGCTCACAAGGAGTGCTTCCCCGCATTCTAAGCTTCTCATTGGCCAGTATCCCCAGGCCGATTGTGGAAAAGGTCGTAACTGGCACGTGATATAAAGTGCCTTTCCAGGCTAACCGACGATTGGTGGGTTTTTGCAGGACGAAAACCAAGACGGAAAACCTCAACGAACGACGAGGACGACTCCATTGCACGACCAGCGACGGTGATCCCCGGCGAGAGATAGCTCCCCCACGAGGTCATTTGAACACACGCACAAGATGGCGACTGCAGCAGCAGCCGCGGTCTCGTTTCGGGCAGCGGTGCCGTCAACAAGCCTGGTGGCCCGGCTTGCCTCTGCCTCGGCGACGGTGATGCCGTCACAACCGCGCCGGCTGGCGTCGCTGTTTGCGAGCCAGCTAGCGGCCATTCCCCTGCTGTCGGCGATGCCGGCCATCTCTCTGTCGCTGCCATCACTGCCGTCGCTGCTCGGCGACATCTGGGAATCGATCCTGCGGGCGGTGCCCAAGAAGAAGACGTCGCACATGAAGAAGCGACATCGGCAGATGGCCGGCAAGGCACTCAAGGACGTCAACTCCCTGTGCAAGTGCCCGGCGTGTGGCCGGACGAAGCGGATGCACTACCTGTGCCCATACTGCATGGAATGTGCGTGACGTCTTTGCTGTCTCCTTGTTCCCGGTCGTGTCTGTGATGTGTGAATTCCTGCTGACAGTCGCAGCATTACGAGAGATGATGAAGAAGAAGTTATAGTGCTCTTGGCCACGAGCTCATCCTGCCGGACAGCCCGGCTCACGACGGACGTAAGAAACCCAGATGGTGGAAGGCTGCAAGACAGCGCAATTGAGCAAGAGTTGTCCGTACACAGAAGCTGTGGACAATCCCCCATGTACAGTAGTAAAGCATATAGGAAAAAGTATAAAATATATCAACTAAGCGTTTCGATGTCAAATGGGGTGAGGCTGCAGCTTGCTCTCCAGAAAGAGCTGCAGCTGGTGCTTTCTATGTGCGACTTAAAAAAGCCTCTACGATTGAGACAAACAGTAAAGAAACGACAGTGATGGCTTGTGGTGGCAATCGTGACTGCCGTTGGTTGAAAGAGCAGCAGCGGAAAGAGCTATCAAGGCTGTGACCCCACATCAAAATTTCCCCAGCAGGAAGAGAGAGCTTCCCAGGCTCTCAACCCAACTAGCTGCAGACGGGCAAATATCGCGTCGACATCAGTTCCACCAGAAGCCGCCATGGTTCGTTCCAAGCTCCAGTTGGGGACATCTTTTTGTCGAGTTCTCTGCTAAGTTTCTGTTGCAGTCGAAGCAATACTACATTGCGCGGGCGGTGGAGAATGGTGAGTCTGCGAAGCCCCGCCAAGGCATTGAAAGCGCGGATCTGCGAGTCTGACCTCTCTCTGCTGCAGCACACGAGACGGACATTTTTTCCGTTGCGGTGACGCAGCACGCCGTGATCTCGGGCTCAGGCGGCTCGACGCTGCGGGTGCACAGCACGGACTCGGCGGAGTATCCGATTGTGCAGTCGATAGACGGAGCGCACAAGCTGGGCTGTCACCACGTGGCGACAGGGCGAGGAGGATCTGGCCGGGTGGCCTGTTCGGCCGGCTTTGGGGGGGAGGTGCAGCTGTGGCGGCTGAGCGAGGCAGGTGACTGGAGTCTGCAGACGCAGCTACGGCCGAGTGATCTAGGGAGTGGTGGCAGTGGAAACGGTGCACCCACCGGCGATGCCTGGGCGCTGGCCCTCAGCCACGACGAACAGTATCTCGCATACACGACACACGATGGCCGTGTGGGCGTATGGGATCTTGCGGCCGGCAGTCGGCTGCTGGTGTACAGCGCGCACAACCGGGCGACGAGCAGCTTCGCCATGTCCGTCGACCTCAGCCAAGACGGCCGCTACACGGCCGTGGGTTACCAGAGTGGTGCCGTCAATGTGTTTGACAACGACGCGTCCAAGCTGGTGCACGCGCTGCCGGGTCTTGCACGACCGGTGCGTGCCGTCGCTTTTTCACCACTGGGCCGCCGCCTGGCTGCTGCTGGCGATGCTGGTGTCATCGCCATCTACGACATGAAGCACGGCGAGCCGGTGGCCAATTTGACACCACCGGGCGGATCAGCTTCGATGGCAACGTCTGGCTCTGGCTCCTCTGGGCCGTCTGCACCGTCGGATGTCCTCTCCTCTGTCTGGGTCATGTCGCTCGACTTTTCTGCGGGCGGCGAGCACCTCCTGGCCGGCTACATGGACGGCAAGGTGCGCGTTTGGAATGTCGAGCTGGGCACGTGTGTGGCTACCTGTGGTGATGCCGAGATGGCCACGCTCTGGAGCGTCCGGTGGCTGCCACCACGCTCCGACCGACCCGGCGCTGACACCGAGAGCTTCTGCACCGCCGGGGCCGACCGCAGACTCACTTTTTACCGCGAAGCAGGGTCGAATTCGATTATTTAGGAGGAGAGGACAGAAAGGCACTTGCACGTGACTGCTTCCACCACGAATCTATCTAGAGGCAATACATCGCTAGCAATGGACATGATGACCGTTCTCGGTACCTACTCGACCTCTTCGATCCGGGGCCTCTTCCGCAAGGCTTCTGTGCCCGTGCTGTCGTCTGTGCTTCTGCCTGTGTCCAGCGATGGATGGAGGGAAAGGCCGGCCAGCCTGCCGAGACCAGGTCCTGCTCCGTCGTCTCCGGCCATCGGCACCAGCGACCCGAGCTGCCAGTTCTGCAGGCTCTCGATGACGTCGGCGGCGTGCTGGCGAACGAGTCCATCCTCGTCGGTAGCGGCGACGTAGCGAAGGATGCGCAGGATGTCGTCCTGGCTGGCCTGGGTGAGGCCGAAGCCGAGACGACGATGAGCCTCGCGGGCGTCATGCAGTGCGCGCACGAAGCTGAGGACCAACACGATGGCAGCACGCCGCAGGATCGCCTTTTCCGGCTCGGGCTCGATGGCGAGAACGTGCAGGCAGAGATCTACAGCGGCCGACGTCAACGAGGCACCCAGACCGGCCACGTTGGTCTCGACGGCCGTCGCCAAGATCGACAGGGCCGACGCTCGGATCCGCACGTCCTCGCTGCCACGCCGACTGCCCCAGCCGTCGACGATGCGGCTGAGAATCTCGTTTGTTTTTCTGTCGTTTTCATTTTCCCTCTCGTTCTCGTCTTCGTCCGATCCTTCTTCGTCTGCTTCGACCTTTCGCCCCCTCATCTCTCGCTGTCGTTCTTCTCGCGCCTGCTTCGCCGCCGTCTTCGGTCGTCGGCCCCGTCGGCCAGCCGTTTCCAGCAGCGTCTGGCCGACCTGCTGGGCCGTCTCGCCGGCAAACGTCTCGCCCAGACGCTGGATGACCTGCAGCAGTGCCTCGCCAAAACGCAGCCGCGTGTCCACCCGCCGCGTCTCGCCCGCATCAACATAGTGGTCCAGCAGCTCCCGCGTCGTCGCTCGTGGATGGCGATCGGCCACCTGCGCAAACATCCGCACCACCCGCAGGTTCACATAGTCCTCGCTCTCGTCTAGCAGCGACGACAACAGCACCAGCAGTGCCGCCACATCCAGCACCGCGCTGTTTGCCGTGATGAGGCCCTGCAGCAGGCTCAAACCCTCCGACCGCACCGGCGGCGGCGCATCAGCCTGCGTGATGTACGAAATGGCTAGGCTGTACGTCTTGCGGTCTTCTGTGCGCCTTCGGTCTGCATCTGTTGTCGGTGCCGTCGCGTCTGGCTCCTCCATCTCATCGCGGTACCGCAGAAAGAGCAGCAGGTTCTTGGCCGTTGCCGCAGTCTCGGCCACTGCGCCTGTGCCTGTGCCTGAATGTGTGCTAATTCGCTCGAGCGACGCCTCGATCGACTGCACTGTCGCTGCTGCGATCTGTGCCTTGCGGAAGCCCGGCGCCGTGACCACGAGGTTAAGCAGACTCAGCGCCACGGCGGTCGAGTCATCCGCCTCATCCAGCTGCACCAGCATGCCCTCGACCAGCTTCACAATGTCCTGCGGCCGGCGAGCCAGTTTCTCCGGAAACCTCTCCATCACTCGCTGCAGAACGCTGCTCTCCAGGAGCTCGGCCAGCGGGTCGTCTGCCACAACTTCTTTCTCGTCCTCGTCCTCTTGCTTGATCAACACCACGTCTGCCGCTGCCCTCGGTCCCTGCTTCTGCTTCTTGGCCGACATCCGGCGAGCGAACAGAGTCAAGAACACGGTGGATATGGCATCGTCGTCCGTCGAGATGGCTACTAGCATGTTTAGCAGCGCGTCGCACTTGGGCTCTATCTCGTGCAGTCGGGACTGCAGCACTTCGGCAACATCAGGCTGGTCGATGGGGGCGGTCACAATGCAGATTCCGTCTCCCGACTGTGCAACCTGGTAGATCCATTGGGGCTTTTTTGTCGGATCGCGGGGGCCATCAAAGAGGAGACTCTGGATCATAGGAAGGACTTTTTCGCCCGAGAACGATATCCTGAGGTAAATCCTCAACAGGTTTCTGGCCGGCAAGCTGTATTCGTCCTCGATCTGCCGTACGCCTTGAGGCCATGATGACAGAGCCCAGAGCGGCAGCACAAGAGGTCCCAGCAGTCTCCGAGTGAGGCCCGGGTTAGGATGGGAGATGATCAAAGTCTGCAGTCGCCGGAGTCCGCGGGAGACCTCCTGTTGTGGCACCAAGACCGTGACGGCATCCCTGCGCAGGTCCACGACGGCGTCACCACCGCGGCTGCTGGACCTACTGCTGCTCGTGGTCGGATCGATGGCCGCCAGGATGGGCTCTGCAAAGTGCTTCCACCCGGGAGCGCCAGGAGCGCCAAAGCTCTTGCGACCGAGGATGCCGAAACCGATGACGTACGAGGCCACCTTGGCTAGCTCGAGGCCGTCGTGGCCGTCGAGCAGCGACATTAGCTGTGGTGCAATGCCCTCGAACCAGCTGGAGGCCGTGGCTCGCGCCGGCGGACTTGCGAGCAGGCGCGTGGCCATCTTGAGCGCTTCGTGCGTGATACTAGCACCTTCTGTTTGAGGAGCAGCGGCAGCGGCCGCGGCATTCGCAGAGCCGCCCGCCGGGTGCACGGAAAAGACAAACTCTAGCGTTGCCCGCACACCACCAGCTCGCAGTGGCAGTAGGGCCAACGTGCTGGTCAACTCGGCTCGTAGCCATTCAGGCACGTGGCCCGGTTGGATGAGCACGTTGAGCGCCGGCAGGAGGGATACCGGTTGTACGCTGAAATGTCAGAAAGGAACGAGAATTATAAACTTGAACAATGCGACGTATTTCTGACCCTTGAACGAGTTCGGAAAACTGCTGGCGGCTGGCAGCGACAGCCTGTCCGTCAGAGGCATCTGGGTCAAACGCCCGCGTGCCGAGACTGACGAGCGACTCCACTAGCGTCTGACGGGCCTGCCGTTCCTCGTTGTTCCGAGCAGTCGAGTCCATTCCCGTTGCTGGTTCGGTGCTTCTCCATCGCTCAGTGGCGGATGTCGTCAGGACGGTGTTAACCGATTTTCGACGTGCTGAGTAATCCGACTGAAGCTCACGTGGGGTATGGAGCTCGTGCATCATTGTCCATAAACAGACTAGCGCAGAACGCGGTTCAGGGAGTACAGACGCGCCCAGTCCCTGTAAATAATTCCCTAATAATATGCCCCGAGCTCAGTCTCGCTTTCGAGGCCTTTCCTTGATCAACCAAAGCGCAAGCACCAACTCGTCTGCAACGGATATTCTGCTGCCCAACGCCGGCCACGGCACACCGAACGCACCTGCGTCCTCGACTCTAGATCCAGGCGGTCTTGCCGAGACCAGGCCACCGCATGCTTCATCGCTACTAGTCTTCCCCGTCTTTCTTTTCCCCCTCTGAGGACTGATCACAGGTTCACTCCGGCAAAGAAGTCTCTGTCGCCTCTCTCATCAGCCACACCTCGCCTTCCCTACAGTTTCCCGAACAACCGAGTCTCTTCACCGGGATTTCCATTGGCAGAAACACTTCGTGTGATCGTCTGCCCCTCTTGGACCTTTCGGCTTCGGAACTTAACCCTACGCTTCTTATTGGTTTGGCCCTTTCCGAAGGGCCTGCAGGCTTGCGTTCGCGGTCCGCCCCGTCGTGCTTTTTAGGCCCGTCTAGTTTTGCTGGCGCAGAAACCCGACAGTTCGCTGGAAGGCTCTCATTCCTCGCGTCCGCTGAAAAGTTGTCGCGGGACCGGCATCATGATGGGCTGACCGGCGCTATACGGGGCACTTCCAGTCACCGTTTGCCCTGTCTCTTCGAAGACGGGGTGGTGGGCAAGCGCGCGGACCCATGAGTCCGTAAGATAAGAACCTCTGGCCTGAGGTCACTCGTCAGGCCGCGCCACTGGACTCAGCACCCTGATCACCGCTTGTGGGTTGCCATCTTGGTCAAAGTCGGATGCAAAATGGCTGTCTTGGACGGGTGCGTGTTCGTCCAGCGAGAGCTCTCCTTTCGATTTTTCGTGTCTCGCTCCATACTCTGGGGCTCGAGACTCCCAGACGAGAAGTGGAGGGCAGCTTGGGCCACAACGGACAGAGCAGTGGGCGTTTCGCAGAACATCTGTGCCAGCAATTCACCTTGCCTGAATCAGCCAGACTCTCGTTTTCTCGGTCTGAGTAAGGATTGTCTCTGGCTCCTCACGGAAACTCCCGCTGCTCTGTTAACATATACATGCCCTTGCTGTCACCCTCCCGGAAACTCTTCGTCCTGGGCTGCCTTGGCAGGAAATGGACAGCTCCGCCGCCGGTACTCACCTGCCACAGTCTCGCTCATAGACGTCCAGTGGCCTCGCTCCCGCTGGCTATTGCTGCCGTGCGGGGACGTGACATGTTGCATGTGGCCCACGATCAGACGCATCAACCTGTCGGCCAGCGCTGCTTTGTCTTGCTGGCCCGACAGGCCGCCATTACCAAGGGCCGTGTCATGCGGTTCTTCTCCTTTTCCTCCGGTTCAAGAACTGCAGAGATGATAGCGCGGTTTTTACAGATGGTTTTGTCTGCGCGGAAACCATGCCCTAGTCTCTGATTTTTCACGAGATGAAGGCAACAAAATCTAGTCTTCGTCGGCAGTGTGCAACAACGGACAGAGCTTCTTTCGCCAGGTTTGGACCTGAGTCCACTGAGGGGGGGCCGAGAGCACGGAGAGGGCCGGGACCACCTCCAGGGGTGGTTGTGGATTTCCGCCTTCTTGCAAGAGCCTGGGCTAGTCAGTTTATGAGGAACAGGTGTCCCGGACTCGCTTCCGGGCGGTGAGTCGTGGGGTGGGTGCTGGCGTGCAGACGAAGTATGCGAAGCGTGGACCAGAGCTGCTACTGATTCGAGGGCTCCATGTCCGATCCTGCCGTCTCTACTCTCGCTTGCATCTGTCTGGGGTAACTTCACGCCGTGGGAAGCATGGCTTCGGGACCCATCTCGAGTTGGAGTCAGAGCTTCGTGCTCGTCTGGGCCTGTCGAACACGGCGGGGCTGCTTTCTCGGCCGATTCGAGCTCGGGAAGAGATGCTGCAGACGGACAGTTTCTGGGGGGGAGGCGAGCTTTCCTCGTGGTGGCAGCTCTTTGGACAAGGGACGGGGCTTTGTGGTTAAGCCGTCCCGGCTGCTCTCTCGCCTGGAAGATGGTGCAGAGAGCAGCCCTCCTGGTTTTGAGGGGATAAGTCTCCCGATCCTGTCGTGTGTGTCGCGTGTGAAAACGGGTGCTAACTCGAACATTGACAGGTCCAGCGGCCGCACTGTGGCGCCGACAGATCCGCAGACTGTGCACTCGTACAGAGTACATTAAGATACATTCATGCAGGCCAGATACATCATCGCCAGCGGCTGTGCTATGTACGAGTAGTTCCCAAGTCCGCCTTATCTCCACAACCGGCCCACCTGGGATTACCTGTGCGAATGGAGCTCCCAATTTCCGGCTCGGGTGATTCGACGTGGACATACTACATAGTATGTATACTTCATCGCGGTTAGAATTCTTCCTGGCTTCCCGTTTGGGGCAGGGAAGAGCGGCAGCTAGGACAGAAAAGGCTGCAGATTTCCATTGTAGAGCTGCTAAGACCTGGGGGCAGGCAACGACGGGAGGCAAGAAGGGCACTCTGCGAAAACCGGCAGGCCAAGATGAGCGAGAGCAAAGGGAGGAGAGTATGGGACCTCAAACTAAGATGCTCGTGCTCCATTATTTCGCTGCTAAAATCGGCCATTGGCAAGAGCTTGAGAAGCCCGTTAAATTATGCAATTTGAAAACCCTCCCAAAATAGAGATATTAAACCGCCCGGATACGAAAAGTGGGATTAGTACTCGTACATGATAGTTGAAAAAGTGAAAGCGTCGCCATTCCCAAGACTTCCCAGCCAGACGTCCCATGTCCAGACTCCGACGCTTGAAAGAAAGATGGGTCCGATGCACGGCTGCCATGTGGATGCGTGCATTTCCCGGAAAGAGGGTCGTGACTAGGCCGTATTGGGCGGTAGCTGCATGTGGGCCGGCAGCTGGTAAGGCAACGACTTCTGGTGCTGTAGGTGCTGTAGGTGCTGTAGGCGCTGTTGCTGCTGTTGCTGCTGTTGCTGCTGTTGTTGCTGCTGCTGTTGCTGGAGGCGCAGCAGTCGCGTGGTGGTAGTCTGCCGGGGCGTCCAGGTGGTGAAGCTGTCACCAGGCGCCGTACTCACGATCATCTCGACCAGGGCATAGCGGAGGATGCCGTTCTGGAAGATGGGCACGCCGATCTCCATCTCGGACAGGGCACTCGTACCAGCCACGCTACATCGGTCGTCTCGCCCGGCAGCCTGGCACGTCAGCAGATCGTATTATGTACGGTGCAAGGGGCTGCTGTCTGGACATACACAGCAGTCTGCACAGGGGGCGTTGTTGACAAAGACCCAATTTTGGCAGTTGTAGGTCAGGAAGTTCTTGCAGTGATATTTGTAGAAGCCGCCGCTGCCGCTCATTTTGATGTTGGGTGGAGGGAGAGAGGAAGGAGGAGGAAGAGGGGAGACGTAGCTGAAGAGACTGGCGAGAGAGAAGAGTGAGAATAAGAAGATGGACGAGGAGGAGGATGGGTGAAGATACAAGATTGGAGATGAGAGAGTTGCGTGCAGATAATATACCGAAGGGAATATAGATCGTAGCTAATGCAAGAGAAGCAGCTAGAAGACCTGTAGCAGACGACAAACAGAGGACCTGACCGCTTGGCTCTCTCCAGTCACGGAACGGACCGACTTTATATGGGCAAGACCAAGAGGCAGTCCGTTCGGCCAGCCTCGTTGGCGGCAAGCAGGACCAGCAGAAATCAATCTAAATCCTCGTAAGTCCTCGCACCACCCAAGCCCGAATACCACCTCCCCGAATACCACCGTCACCACGGACGGCACGGGCGGCAGCCTGCCTGGGACGTGGTAGCAGTGCAGGTCGTGGCAGAGGGCCAGACAGCCATGGCAAAGTGGCATGTCTATTTACGGCCTGCCTGGTTGTTTACGTGAATCTTACGGCATCACGCACGCTGCCGTGGGCCGGGGGGAGGGGGGACTGGGGAATGCAGGGTCGATCGTGGCAGGGTCTGCTTGTGCTGCTGTGCAGGACCATCTCTTTTGTCTGGCCGTTTGGCTGCGGCAGAAGCTGGCTGCAATATGCAGCGGATGCGTGCAGCCTCGCCGGATCGGGAAAGCAGCTATACTGCGTACATTACAATGAACGGAGCACTGAGGATGAGTGGTGATTTGGGTTGGGTGAGCACGATAAGACGAGCCAATATTGGTTTTCTCAACTCCTCTCACGCAAGCTGCTGGAGAAGGGTCCACTGGGGCAGAGAGAGAGAGGCGCTGGAGAGCCTGATCGAGAAATCGAATGAAACGTCAATTTCGACAGCCGCCCTCCACGCCGTTTTTTTTCCCTTTCTCTCTTTCCTTTTTCCTCCTCTGCCAGCACGCGCGTACTCTGTGCAAGGATAGCTGAGCTTCTGCTGTCATCTCGTTTGGCTGGGACCCTTCCCCGGGATCTCCCAGGCCATGCCAGATAGACCGATTCCTCCGGCCGGAGCGATCAAAGACCAGAGCTGAAAGAAGAGCCACACCGTGCACTACATAGTACTCCGTAAGGTGCAGGAAAGCCAGCGGGGGCAACATTGGGCCCGACAGGGGTCTGAGGGGCAAGATCGCAAACAGGGAAACAAAACGCACAGTCTCTTTCGCCTGTGTGACACGGCAGCCAATATTGCTCCACGCCATCTGCTTTGTGCCTCTTGTCCTGCTTGCTGCACACTGCCCTGGCACTGACCACCCGTTCGGAGGAGAGGGCGAAGCTGTCAGCCGTACGGTCTATCTCACAGGTGCTTCTATCTCACAGGTGCTTCTAAAATAAGGGCGGAGCTTTACTTTCCCCTTTCTGCCCGGCAAGCGTTGCATCCTCCCACCCTCTCTGGACGAGTAAGATGAGCAGCCGGACTAGAGGACTGGAGAGACGAGACGGGTGAGCGAATAAATGGACTGCCAAAAAAAAGAAAAAAAAGAAAAAAAGTTAAAGAGGGTCCCGGCTGTAGACCATCGACTGGACCGCACGATTCCGGGGACCTGAAGCTAAACGAAACAGGGTCTGCAGCAGGCCGTGACGCACGGTTCTTCATGCCAAATAGGCGTTGGCGCTGGCGTCTGCTGGGGTGGCAAACGGCTATCCTGCGCACGGAGCCATGCCGGTTGGTCAGCCAGTCTGCCCGGTCCACCCGTGCTGTAATCTCATGGACAGAGACGAGAGATGAGAGCACAGTCTCGTTGCCTTGACGTTGCCTTCGGCTACAGCTGGCAGACGCCGCGCCAAAGACGACACAGCCTGCCCGAGATTACGACCTCGTGCTCCGTCTCGTACCTCACTCTCATTCGTCTTTTGCTCTACTTCGTACCCCTTTTCCCATCTTATCCCCGTCGTTCATAGGCTGTTGATTACGTAAACAATCCTTGCTTTCATCCGCAAAACTCCGTCTAAGGTGCCTTTGATATAAACAAGAACAAGGACCCGACTGCCACTGACATACAAACGCACACCGATCTTTAGTTCCCCGACCGAGCCGCCTCCTTCCGGCGGGTCTTCTCGGCCACGCGCTTGAGGGCTGCCTTGGCCTCGCCGTCCTCAAAGGCCGCCAGGTCGTAGTAGTTGGGCGCAATGTCCTGGAATGTTAGTAAGCGAGCCATACGCCAAATCACGTGCGCCGAAACAGGACTCACCAAAAGCCACTCCGGCTTGATGCCGGTCACGGTCCGGATGTACTGCTTGCTCGTGAGGACAAATTCATTGTACAAGACCCATTCGAAGTCGGTGGCCACGCCGGTGCTCGGGTGAATCACCACGGCCTGGTTATCCTTGATGGTGCGGTAAATCTTGCCCGAGGCCTGGCGGTGGGCCACCTGCATAAAGAAGCCGGCCAACAGGGCGCGGCGAATGTTGGTGTAGTAGTCTTTGTCGCCCCACTCGGTGCTGACCAGCTCGACCTCGCGCGACTCCATGATGGCCCTGAGCTGCAGCCGCACGTTGTCGGCGCTGCTGAGGTGGCGGTACGACAAGAAGTGCTCGTGACACCACTTGCGCATGTCGGTGCCCTTGAGCTCCTCGCCCTTGAAGGCATGGTAAGCGTTCAGCAGCGTCAGGTGGTCGCTGTCGGGGTGGGAAAAGGACGCCTTGGCCTCGTCGGCCCGCTTGCGCGACGCTGCCGGTCGCAAAAACAGCATCGGCACCGATAGCAGCGACACGATCGATAGGATCTCGTTGGAGCAGTAAAACTCGGGCGACGTGATCAGCATCACCGCCAGCGACGGGTCCAGCGGGAAATCCGACGCTGTGCTGCCCAGCTGCGTCATCTCGCCCTCATCGTCCAGACAGGCGAGGTAGTTGAGCTCTTCGAGCGCCCGCATCATCGTCTCCGGCGGCGGCGGGTCCATAAAGTCAAAGTGCACCAGATCGTCGACGCCCAGCTTCTTGAGCTCTAGGATCGTGTTGCTGAGATTCGACCGCAGCACCTCCGGGTACGTCTGTTCGATCAGGTCCTGCTTGAACGCCTTCTCCGTGTACAGCCGGAAGCACTTGCCAGGACGCGTTCGTCCAGCTCGACCGGCTCGCTGTTGGGCCGAAGCCCGCGAGATCGGCGTCACCAGCAGCGACTCGACCCGGATCCGCGGGTTGTAGATCTTCTGCTTGCTGAAGCCCGGATCCACCACATACACGATCCCGTCGATCGTCAGACTCGTCTCCGCAATGTTCGTCGACACGATGCACTTGCGGCCTGGCCGGCCGCCCTTCTTGTACGGTGCCGGTGCCGCGTCAAAGATGCGGTTCTGCTGATGCGGCGGCAGAGTGCCGTACAGCGGGTACACAGCCATCGGGCCCGCATCCGACTCCCGGCTCATCTCGTCGACCTCGAGGCTGATGCGCCGGCACGCATCCTCGATCTCGTCTTCGCCCGTCAGGAAGAGCAAAATGTCGCCCTCGCCCTCGGTTGCGTGGATCTGCAGAACGGTCCGCACGGCTGCCTCGACGTAGTCCTTTTCCGGCTCGGGCGTGTAGAAGATCTCCACCGGAAACGTGCGACCAGGAACGGCTAGCAGCGGCGCATTGTGAAAGTAGCGCTGAAACTTTTGTGCGTCCAGCGTGGCCGACATGATGACGATCTTGAGGTCGGCCCGCCGCAGCGACAGGTTCTTCAGCAGCGCCATCAGGATGTCTGTCGCCAGCGTGCGCTCGTGCGCCTCGTCGATCATGATGCAGCTGTAGCGCGTCAGGTCGGGGTCGTTCATGCACTCGCGCAACAGCTGGCCGTCCGTCATGTACTTGAGCAGCGTCTTCGGCCCTGTGCGGTTCTCGAACCGGATGCTGTAGCCCACCTCCTCGCCCAGCTCCACGTCCAGCTCGTCTGCCACACGCTGGGCCACCGACATCGCTGCCACCCGTCGCGGCTGCGTGCACGCAATCATTTTGCGCTTGAACTGCGGCATGTCGTCGTACAGAATATACTGTGGAATCTGCGTCGTCTTGCCCGAGCCGGTCTCGCCCACAAAGACGAGAATTTGCGTCGAGTGGAACACTTTCAGGAACTCCTGTCGCTGCTTGTGCACTGGCAAGTTGCGCCGTCCTTCGAGGATCTGAAAGTACTGCTGCTTGTGTGGCCGTCCGGTGAAGGCGTTAAAATCTTCATGTCCTCCACCTTGGCTGCCTGCACGGCCGTCGTATCGTGTGGCGTCATTCCCGCGAAGAAGCTGTCCGACGACTGGCCGCCGTACGCGTCCTGTCCGCCTTCGTACAGGTGTGCCAAGTACGGGTTGGATGCATCGCTGCTGCTCTCGAGCTTGGGCACCTTCTTCTTGCCCGCACCGTCGCCCTCCGTCTTTATGCGTTTCATGTTCTTGGCTTCGCCGTCGCTGTCGATGCTATTGCGTTTTGTTCTCTTGGAAGAAGCGACCTCGGCCATGGCGAAGAAAAGGGCGGGAAGAGACTGCAGAGAAAGCAAGAAATAAGAGAACTAGCGAGATGCCTACAGACGGAGAAATTTTAGGTACGCCGATTCCTAGGCAAATTAAGGCCTGTGGTTGGTTGCGTTCAATACTTTGCTTAGTCATCGCAGAACAGGTACAGCTAGAAAAAACGGTAGTCGCTCTCTTTTGACCAATGGGAGCGCGCCTCAACTAACACCCGATAACCGATAAGATCAGGGCTGTGAAGACGGTGAGCAAGTACTGAGTACCTATATCCGGCCGCAAATTCAGCGGATCAGAGGTATCTAGAACTTGGCCTTACCAGCACTCGCTTTTTCAAACGTTCAAATCTTTTTTACCAGAATTACCCCCACAGACTTCTCCGGCCTGTCGAGCTCTTTCCTGTCTTGTCATGTAGTAGACTGTCGTCTCAGATTATCCATATTTGCAGAGACATTCTAGTTCTGCTGCCAACAAGAGAGCAAGGCAAACAAGAAGCAACTCAGCAAATCAGCCTTTTCTGCCAGCCCCCATAGAAGAGGGGTTGTTGTCTGTGCGACTGGACGAAGCAAAAAGGCGACAAGTTGGGCAGACAATGGCAGCATAGCCACTCCATTGACCAGGAACGACAAAAGTTCCTCTTTTCCCACCTCTCACACCACCTCAACCGCACTGCTTCACGAGCCCACTATTCCGTCCAGCATGACGTCTAGCTACCAGTGGCCTACCTTCTTCATCGGACAGCATGACGCTGGAAGGCAGGAACCCCTTGACGACAAGCAGTATGGCTATCTTCTAGACGCTGGGGTGTGTTTTTGGCGTCCCTTCCTGTTGGCTGAGCAGTCGGGCTAACCAGATGCAGTTTTCCTTTGCCACGGCACCCATCACAAACAGTCATTTCCACGACCGCGTCCGCAAGCTCCACAAGAGCTACCTTGATGATGTCAAGGCCCGCAACCTGACGGATGCGGAGCGGGCAAACCCATCGTTCCCAGGCCCCACAATCTCTACGCTGACTGACGATGACACCGGCCTGTTCCCAGGTCGCTACATCACGTCTGTCATTGCTTGCTCCAGTGCATGGATCGACCTGTACTCGGACGACCCTCTGGTGGCCAACCTGTCCCGCCAGGTCCTCAACCTGGAGGTTGCCTATGCTAGTTTCTGCGGTGTCAGGAGCATTATCGTACCCGGCCCACGGGCCGACAGCAGTGGCAAGCACGTGGCTCAGTATGCACGCGCAATCCAGGAAGCCCTCCAAGTAGCCAATCGGGCCTCTCTGGTCATCCAGGTGCCCATGTACCGCGAGCCCGGCCTGGAGGAGAGCATCGAGACCCTTTCGGGACCTGGTGCCTACCCAGAGGCAACAGCAGACCAGGAGATTGACATCTACGGCTGCTGGGATTCGTGGCACACCATTCGGACCGTCTGCGACTACAACTCGCGCCTGTCGGTTGGTAAGCTGCGACTTCTTTGAATTGACAACGCTCAGCCAAGGCTAATATGAGGCATACAGCCATCCGTATTCCCCGGAGATTGCCCGAGATCGAGCTGCAGTCGCGCTGGTTTGCCGAGCCGCTGCAGATCCTCACCTTTGACGCGGCCATCTTCCAGCTGAACGCCTCTGGATTTCCCAGCCTCGGCAAGAGCCACAAGGAGATGCTCAACCGGTACATGCGGCTGAAGATGGCACCTTGGATGCTTGTCAGCAACGGCGGGCCAGACGTCAAGGAGCTCGCAGCAGCAGCTAGCAGCAACGGCAGCAACGGCATCACCCTGTCGCCCAACGCGGCCGAGTTTCTCACGCTAGCTGAGGCCCGCGGCTCGCCGGCAGCCAAGCAGAAGAAGCAGGGCAGCAACGATTACCTCTCCTACCTCAAGTACCTCGAACGGTCGCAGGAGCCGTACTCGGAGACCGAGACGTCTACACTGACCAGCTTCCAGGACTGGCTTCAGTCGCCGCTTCAGCCACTGGCTGACAATCTCGAGTCGGCCACATACGAGGTCTTTGAGGGCGACCCGGTTAAGTACGTGCAGTACGAGAAGGCCATAACTGCCGCCATGGCTGACTGGAAGGCGCTGAAGCGGCCGACTTCGGCGATCCCGCGGCCCGGCCAGACAGAGTCAGCTACGTCGACACCAGAGCTCGTGGTGGCCGTCGCAGGAGCCGGCCGAGGCCCGCTGGTGACGCGGGTGATCCGGGCTAGCCAGGCCACGGGCGTTCCGGTGCAGCTGTGGGCGCTGGAGAAGAATCAGAACGCGTACGTTTACCTGCTGCGGATGAACAAGCAGGTCTGGGGTGGCAAGGTGCACCTGATCAAGACGGACATGCGTGAATGGGCCGGACCGGTAGCCGAGGGCCACGAGGCCACAGGCACGACGACCAAGGTGGACATTCTGGTGTCGGAGTTGCTGGGCTCATTTGGCGACAACGAGCTGTCGCCCGAGTGCATCGACGGCATCCAGCGGCACATTGCACGGCCACACGGCATTTCGATCCCGCAGTCGTACACGGCACACCTGAGCCCGATCTCGTATCCGCGCGTCTATGCGGACTTGGCGAACCGCTCGGTCGCAGACGAGAACGCCTTTGAGACCCCCTGGGTCGTCCACCTGTTTGCCATCGACCTGGTGTCGCAAAAGGTTCCGGGCCGCCCACGCTTCCAGGAGGCCTGGGAGTTTGTCCACCCAGTGCGGCTGCCGGTCGTCGAAGACTGGGAGGCTGCACATGGCCGCAAGAAGGTCCAAACTGGCGGTGGCGGTGCCATGACCCTCTCGGCAGGCCTCAACGAGCACAACGCCCGCCACTGCCACCTGACGTTTGTTTGTCGCCCGCGTGGCGTCATTCACGGTCTGGCCGGCTACTTTGAGTCGGTGCTGTACCAGCCGGCAGCCCAGGACGGTGGCCCAGCTCCAGTACCCATCGAGATCAGCACGCGGCCAGACCGCATCGACCAGAAGAGCAAGGACATGATTTCGTGGTTTCCCATATTTTTTCCGCTCAAGGTGAGGCCAACCATTTTCGCCTGTACACTACCTACCCCACTGACATGTCCCAGAAACCAATGTACTTTCCCCAAGACGCCGAGATCGAGGCCAGCATGTGGCGCCAGACAGACGACACCAAAGTATGGTACGAGTGGTTGGTGGAGGCTTATGTTTGGGTTGGACCGACGACACGGGTCAAGGTGGCCACGTCAGAGCTCCAGAGCAGCAGGAAGGTTGCCTGTCTAATGTAGTTGCTCAGTCTGTGAGCAGACGTTAAAATGGATCAACAGACTGGAATATAAAAAAAGGCGATGCTGGGATCGACAACATCTCGTTTCGAACAGTCCCGCTGTCCGTGTTTAGTGCCATGATGTTCGCCTAAGCATTTGCTTACGGGTCGCCTTTGGGCTTGCTTACCCGCGGAAACATGTCCAGGATGTATTTTGTCTTATATAGCTCCACTGAAGCCGGCACCATGACCTTCTTGCGTAGCATCTGGCCTAGGCAGCAATGAAATATCCGATTGACAATAAATCCGATCAATTGAAATTCCGGTTAAGCTTACCGAAAAGCGTATTGTTGCCCGGCATATAACAGCCTCCATTGTGCTTAAAACCTGGACAACTGCAAATTTTGCCGTTTTGGTGTTATCCGACATCTCGCGACTGCAGCCGACCAGATTTCACGCAATGTGAAAATTTCAGAGTCGGCCAAAATAGACTGTCGCCGCTGGGGGTTGTTTGGCAGTACGACATCTGCTGGCTCGTCAGCAATGCAACCTTTGACGCCTAATTTTTCAGCCACCGATTCAGAGTATGTTATATGCCAGGGCTTTTCATGACCGATAAGCCCGTACTAATAGCCTAGAAATGAGGAACCGGACAGCATCACAGAAAGCTGGCATTTGGCTACTAAAAAATGCAACAAGGAACTGTCTGATCATTTCAAAAAGCTCGGCACCATTAGTACTTCAACAACACTCATGAAAGGCTTAGCACAGGCGACAAAACTGAGACTTGGGATCTCTGTGAGAGACTTGGTCGATTATGTGGGCAAATTTCTCGTCTTTTTTGGCAGGACGATGCGCCCCAGACAATTGGAATATTCAACAGTTTGGCGTCTCGTATACCTTCTTGTCACCGTGAGAAGCCCGACTCGAGCCAAGTCTTACAGATGTTCACTAACTGTCTGACGATCAGTTTCCACCCAATAATGTGTGGGAGTCCACTAAGAATATGCTCCGAGACGTCTCGTACACATTGGATCGCTGTGAGCGCGAATGCTTGAAGACTGTCTTTGACGAGCTCATGAAACACGTCTTGATTGAGGCCTTTATGGATCTTGTGAAATTGTGGACAGGTCTGATCAAATATATGCGAGACAATCCACAAAGTAAGTTCGGCACTGGTATTCGTCTACTGAGCGTCTACTGACAGCACTATTGTCGTAACAGAAGCCGATACCATCTCATCTATGCTCGCTGACACCCCTGGAAAGGTCGAGAAATCGTTTGCCCACCTCAAAGCCATCGCTTCTACAAGTTTTGGATCGGAATTGCGGCGAGCCCCCACTCTCTCGGAGCCTCTTCCAGACAGTATAGCCCTCCCGTGCGGCGGAGCACCGTATCATGACAGCAGAAAGTTTATTGGTCGCGAGAATGAGATTGACGTCATCCACGGAGAACTCGGTCCAGCAAACATGAAGGATCAGAGGTTCTGCACCATCTGGGGCCTCGCTGGAATGGGAAAGTCCAAATTGGCGATGGAGTATGCGAAACGCTACGAGGGCGACTTTTATGCCACTCTCTGGATAAGTGCACAAAACGTAATATCCATAGGTCAGAGCTTCACAAACATTGCCATCGATTTTGGGCTGCAAAAGGCGACGAACGGCGGAAAGGTCGATGATAACATACGGTTGGTATTCAATGCTATCAAGAAGCGCGGTTCGTCAATCTCATGACCTCTTGATTTCTAGTTTGTTGGCTGATGTGTGACGATAACAGGCGGCAACTGGCTCATTATTTGGGACGACGTCAAAGAACAAGCAACAATAAGGCCACACCTGACGCTAAACTCCAAGAGAGTCTCGACCCTCGTCACCACCAGATATCCTGAAGAGGCGGCAGTTTTCAGATCACGAGGAACTCTTTTGCATCTTAAAAAGCTGTCCATGGACACCTCGACAGAACTCTTCGAACGGCTTCTGGGTCCAGACAATCGCTACCCTGAAGGATCGGAGGATTCGAGAGCTGCTCATGTCATTCTTCAAAAAATGGACGGTCACCCTCTCGGCATATGCACCATGGCAACTCGTATTGTCGCAAAAAATCTGTCTGCCCGAGGCTTCCTCATGCGCTACCGACGAGACAATATTCCCGTCGTCCCAGAACTGGCAGATTACGAAATTGCGCTGGAGGCAATCTGGAACGAATCTTTCCAGTACCTCAAGGATATGAAGGAGAGTAGAAATGGCGACTGTTTTGACTTGCTTGGAGTACTGTCTTTCTGCTTCCCTGATGCGATTCCAAAGACGCTTTTTGCGACTGAGCAGCCCGATGACTCGGAAGGCGTCACTCCGATATTCCACGACAAACAAAACAGGTTAGTTTTGCGCTTACTGTGCGTATTTCGTTTCCACTTCCTTACGCTGCAAAAATCAGATACGAAGAGGCATGTGAGATGCTTCGAAAGTCTGGTCTCATAGACTACGACAAGGACTACACGTCTATCACCATGCACCGGGTGACCCAAGGTGCCTTTCTCGCCTTTCTGGGCCCCGAAGCTATCCAGTCCTCTTTTTGCCTTGCAGCCAGCTTGATACATCGGGCTTTCCCCAAGCAAGTCGAAGGCCGGTCCCTCCATCTTCAATGGGATGACTGCCGTACCTACATACAGCACAGCAACAAACTGATCAAAGTATACACGGAATCAAGGCTGCCTCATCGTCGGTATCAGCCGCTGCAGCCGTGCGAAGACTTTCTTGAGCTCATGGCTAATGTTTGCTGGTAAGAACAAACTACGTAAGGATGGAACAGAATTCTCTTACGAATCTAACGTTTTCTAGGTACCTTGTCGAAAGTGGCCAAGACTCTGAGTGCCAGCGTCTATCCGAAATTGCACTAAAGGCCGTCGGGCCCAATACCTATCGTTACGCGCATTTAAACAACTCGCTCTTTGCCATGTCTTGGTTTCAGAACGATCTGAAGAGTGCGTTTAAATATTGTGGTATCGCTGCTTCTTCGATGAAGGCCCACAGACCCGAGACATCGGAGGAGTATCTAGGAATACTTTCCAACAAAGCCAGCTTGTTGGCGTCGGATGGAAAAGATACAGAGGCCCTAAAGCTCTACCTTGAGGTGGAAGAGACTCGTAAGAGGTACAATTATCCCCAAAATATCGCCCTCGCCTTTATCAATCTTGGGATTGGTCGTTTGAAGAGCAAAATGGGCGAGTTCGACGATGCTGCAACAAGACTCGAGGCGGCTCGAAGTATAGTACAACACGAGCATGGACCGCACGGAAAATACATGCAGCAGTAGGTTTATCATGGATAGACTCTTCTGGTCTTAGTCGTTGCTAACCAGATGGTGTCCAGAGTGCATTTCGATCTTGGCAATCTCGAGCTCAGAAGGGGAAGTTTTCCTGATGCAGACAATCATTATGTTATCGGTCAGGAAATCCAGAGGAAAGAGAGCGAAAGTGATTTTCTCAACTCCAGTTTTCTTTTCAAAAGAGCTTGCATCCAGTTGAAACTCGGATTCCCCATTTTTGCACGGCACGTTCTCTCTCACATATTGAAGTATGTACCACCTACTAACAGTTGCAGCCGTTTACTGGACAGTGCTTTGAGCCATTCGGTGAAGAACCACCATGAAGGTGAAGAAGCGCGAGTGTTGAACAAACTCGCCGACCTCAGCAATAGCTCGCCTGATGCCTCTTCCTTTCGAGAGAGAGCCAATCGCCTTAAGTTGGCTTTGGAAAAGAAATTTGGGATCGCACAAGATAGGAATGCTTCGAAGTTGGATCAGTATGATAAGCTTGTTTGTGTTGTGTATCGGTAAATGTTCAGGTCGGAAAGCGTACAGATTTTTATGACATTTACAGGCGGCAATTACTGTACAGTCATTTCGTCAATTCTTAGAGTACCAAAAACTTAGCAGCATCCTAAGAATTACAGTCTTTGTATCGATATAAGAAGTGGCCTACTGAGGTAAAGCTCAACATCTTATATAACCTAGAACCCGGGCCTTTGATAGACAGAAAGCCACAACGTCTTGTGACTTTCGTTTAAGGCTGCCGATCCTCTCGAAAATGAAACAGAAAACATAAAGAGAGAGAGAGCTTGATCACAGTAGAATTTTGACAGAACTAAAGAGCAGGCAGGCCCATGAGTCTGAAAAATTTACGACGGCGAGTAACAGTACTTTTATGAAGATACATTCGTCGTGGAGGTGAACTGGGGAGGTTCTTGCGCTCATAGAATTCGGCTTCAAACGCTCTCAACAGCTGCAATAATTTATCCTCACCATTGGCTTTCGTAAACGCCACTAGGCCAATGGGTCGGTTGTTGTAGTCCAGGGACTTCTGTAGGGGCATCGTGGCCGAAGGATAGCCTATCGTTCATCAGCAGTATGATTAGGCTGTAACAGTTGCTGCAACGTACCCGCAGCAGACACTAGTAAATTCACAGGAGAGTCAGCTGGCGCGATGATGACATCCACGTCAAAATCATCGAGTGTTTTGTCAATCCCAAGGGTTCTGCTGGTTTTTAAAGCGTGCTCAAGCAGAAGGTCAACTTTTTCCTTTGGCAAGTTCATGCCGGCAGCAGCAAGAAGCTGGGCTTGGTTGCCGTAGTCTGTTTCATTAGGACAAGTCGCACCACCTGCTTTTTATTGGAATTGCTTACTTTTTGGGAGTTCTTTGTTTGCGTGCTTTTCGTTATATTTTATGATATCGTCAAGGCTGTGCACTTTAGATTTAGCCAAGGAGTCGAGATACCTTTGTATCTCCTGTTTAAAGCAAGCGGCTGTGCCTATCAGTGCCAAAATAACGAAGACTATTGATAAAGGGGGGAAGTAGCACCTTGAATGGCGTAGAAGCTGTTATACCCGCCAATTTCGAGTTCATCGACTGATATCAAAGACACTTCCTTGGATGACTTTGCCAAATCGCCGAGTTTCTCGTAGGCTGACCGCGTTTCTTTTACCTGTAATAATCTGTGAATGTTTACGCTAGAGTACCAGACTTCGAGACTTACAATTTGGGATGTGGCCGTCTCGACAGGCCGTTGCAGGTCTGGGCCAAAGTACCAATCCTCTGGAGAAAGAAAACCGAGTTTCATATTGTCGATGCTACCAGTTAGAACATCGGAGTATGAATGGTCCCGTTTTTCGAATGGGACCATAACGTCCAGAAGGTTGGCAAGGTCGCAAACCGATTTGGCCATTGGTCCAGCAGTGTCGAAATGCTGAGAGATGGGGATCAGGCCATTTTGGGAAACCAAACCAATGGTTGGTCTAAGCGCGTATAACGCTGCCCGAGTGCTTGGCGTGATCAACGAGCCACCTGTATCCGTCCCAATGGCCAAAGGAGCATAGCCAGCGCTAATGCCAACAGCACAGCCAGTTGAAGAGCCGGCAGGTGACTAAATTTTAGGAATGGACCGTATTAGGAGCAGACTATGGCAGGGCAGGAAAGGTGTCATCGGGCCTTCACATAAATGGTTGTCATACCGAGTGTCCCAAAGCACCATCCGAATAGTCCAAATTGCGGACATATACCGACCGGCATTGTCCACCTATGGCAGACCACCCTGCTGTTATATCATGTCCCCTATAGCGTACGATATGGCATTGTTAAACATGGGTTTTAGTGATTTAGCATGCTGGGAAAGCTGAGTTCATTACGAACTTGAAACCTGCCAGTTCCTATAATGGTGTAAGCAAACTGCTGTCACAATACGGACACAGCATTGCTGGGGTTTAGCTTACCGACAACTGGGCTTTTCCGATGATGATCATTCCAGCTTCGAGAACCTAATTTACAGGAGGAATACGTAAGCTCTCAGATATTTGTTGGGGTTTTGTTGGCGGCTCGACGGACTCTATCAACGACATCTGCGTTTTTCGCAGGACGCGACCGTTTAAGGGCCAGACTGCCTCCAGTCGTTTTCATGCCCAGTTTCGGATCCGTCGCGATGTTGTCCTAATTGGGAAGCTTAGCGACAGGTAGGAGAACAGAAAGAGAGATCGAGAAATACCTTTATAAGGACTGGGATTCCATAAAGCGGACCGCATTTGAAGCCCTCTTTCCTCTTGCGATCGCACTCGGCCGCTTGGCGTTGCGCATTGGGATTCGTTTCTAATACGGCATGCAAGAGACCATCGTATGTGTCGATCCGTTTCAGATATATCTTGACAAGTTCGACACTTGTTACCTCATTAGCCTCCAAGCGGCTCTGAAGATCTTTGGCAGTGTCTTTAAGCGGGTCGACCGAAGTTTGTTTGACACGGCTAGGTAGTAGCCCAGACAAGCTACAGCAAAGACCTTGCAGAAGTCCTACTGAAGAGACTGGCATGATGATACATCTGCTTGATGTGCGATTATGGACGCCAGGCGATTTTCTATTTTTGTTTTTGTTTTAGGGGACGTATTAGCAAAGCACACTTAGGGATCCTACACCGTACTTATACAACCATGTAATTTTTATTGTATTTATCGTTTTTAATGCCTTGGCATCCGCTCGCCTGTTCAACCTAACCCCCTCTTTGGCCCTGTTCCAGTTAAAATCCTACAATTTTTCCGTATTATGTTGTACATACTAGCTTAAGATGTCGCCTTGTACATGGGGAGGGGGGGGTGGTCAAAGGATATGCAGCTAAAATAACGAGTCAATGGTTTAAATACTTGCAACTTGGGCAAGAATGAGTAGACGTTGGGCCCATTTTTTCATCACTTCAACGCAACTTATTGCTGCCACATCTGTCCCTAGCTATGAACTGCATACGCTACTTGTATAGCTCCTTCCACCAACTGTAGAAAACTAAAAACAAGCGAGATCACACCGAAGATCACCACTGCCCAGAACGTATTAAATCGAACTATGCATGCATGTTAGAGGATTCAGGTAACACCATTTAGAGCCGATTGTCTTACGAAGGTCCCTCCGGTCGTTCCACAATGTCCTCCAGTCGCTTGGATTTTTCTTGAGAACAAACTGTTGGATCTTTATCATCCTTTCGCCAAAGAAAGGGAAGTCTTGGTGTACTGAGTATTGCTGGGCGATTTCCATGGCCTCTATGTATTCGTACGTTGATTCCTTCCCGCAGTCTTTCTCACAGAGGCTCTGCAGGAGTGGATCGATTATGATTCTGGACGAAGCATCACCTCGGTATTGCATATGCCTTTTTGCAGCTGTCCGTGACCTTTTGTCTTGTCCAAAGAGGATTCTGTAAGACAGCAGAACTTCTCGATATATACCGAGCGCTGTGTAGTCGGTCATGGCCCTGGTTCCAGAATCTACAGGATCCGAAATAAACAACCTGGTCAGGGTCAGTTGACCCATTTGGGTACCGCATGCGAATCAGATTCGCGACTGATGAAATTGTAGTGTTACCTCGAGATACTTGCTGCCAGGGATTTCTCGGTTTGTATATCTCGGGATGTGGAACAGCGGCACATAAGCTTGCAGAAGGAGGGAAATCGGAAAATGCGCAATTTTCGGGTCTTCTCATCAAAATCCAGATGTAAACTGATGCAGTCTACAAGAACGGGCCTTATGCCGGCAATAGAGTGTAGGGTATAAAAGTTAAGATAGCTGACGACCAACTGCTCCTGAAATACATCCCCACGGGAATGGTCGTTTGGTGGGCGTATGCATGGCCGTGGCACAAGATCGCCATATTGGAGCAGCATGTAGCGAAGAGAGATCGAACTGTTGTCCTCGATGACTACGCGTTTTTTGAAGTAGACACCGGTCTCGAAGACGGCTCCTTTGTAATCTGCTGATTCCAGAACAAGAGCCGGCTCTTCGTATGTTGTTACGATTGACGGCTGATAGACCATAGACAGCCAGCCGACCATAGAAAATAAAATTGTATAGGCTGCATCTGTGTTGATGGTCAAGTCTAGAAACGCAGACTGTGTGGTGAGACTTTCCCGAAGTAATTCGAGAGTAGGCGTATCAGAGGCTGCAAGACTTTTAGCGACCTCTATCAACAGGTTAAGAAAGTCTTCCTTGAATTGCATTTGTTCAATAAGGTCATTCCTAGCTTCAACCTCTGGGAGACGCAGAAGAGGCTTGAGGCGTGCTGAGTATGATTCTAGCAGCTTGAGGTAGAAATCGAACTCTGTGTTTCTGTCCTGGCCATTATGGCCGCTTGTCAGGACAGAAAAAAATTCACTTTTCAGACTGCTATACTTCGGTTCTCGTGGGACTTTAGCAGTGAGTTCAGCGACCAGGTACTGCATACAGTAGTGAAACATTGCTGCATACCGCTCAACTCGATTGGGCTCGCCTCGGCATCTGTCGGCGACCGGATCCTAGCCCAAATGGACGGCGCATTCGAACACGACGGCCTTGTGTGGAACAGATTGGCGAGCGCCCACCTTTGATGCATCCGAGACATGTTCGACTCTTTGAGACACGTCCCCTGTCGTATACCGACTCATACTGACCGATACTACGGAGTACAGATTCCAACAAACACTTCAAGAAAAACCGTGACCGAGGGCATATATTTTATATGAAGAGATATAGGCTCCGCCCTTTAGGAGAAAGGCGACATAGAAGACGCAGCGGTGCAAAGCACAACCTTGTGGTGCAGCCGGCCGCCAAGCAAGCCCACGTAGCAATGCAAGATGAGATTCGCTGCGCCTAGTTCGGAAAATAGGCGTGTTAGGCCTCAATCGCCCTTCATCCTCAATTCGTGTGGGGCCAATACTGTATTTACCAGCCAGCACCAACATCTGCATTGTCCCTAAATACTTCATCTGTTCCTTATTCGCCTTCTATCGTGGTCCAACCGCCGCGAGCAGCCACAGTTGCTCTGATATCACCATCCTGAAATATCAGTAAGCATGTCAAAGCCAAATTGGCACCTGTTTTAGCGGAAGTCACCTGCATTTCCCGTTCCTAAGAAGGCGGTTAGAAGCCTCCGAGGTTGACGGAGCCAAAGTCATGCTTTGACGGGATAAGGACAACTGTCGGCTTATCCGACTCAGGCTCCACAGAGAACCACTCCTTCCAGGGCTGGACCTTGTCGGTCTCACGTTCAGGATAACCCTTAACACGGTCCAAGAGAGCGGCGGCACTCTTAACTTCTGAGGTATGAACCTCACCTTTGTCGGTGTCCATTTTGCGTGCGTATGATGTCAGCGTCACTTTAAAGCTCACGGGAATTTGGACTCAAACAGCCCAAATCCTCACATTCTGCCACCTTTTGTACAAAATCTGACTTGTGAAGAGCCGCATGTTGTCTTGCGGCTCTTCATCAAACGATGCTTATTTGCTGTGCCTGTTGTATCATGGGAGCAGACTACGCGAGGCAGGCCTCATAGACGGATAAGCAAGGCGGCTTCGATTGGTTCTCTTTCGACATTCTTTTGATCCGGTGTGAAATGCACATTGATGTTACAGCAGTTGGAGTGCACAATTCGGGGCTTTGAAATATGTGGTGTGTGCCAGGCGCATTTAAGTGGCGGAAATTACACTAAAGCTCAGCGTGCTAGCTGCTTAGAAGGCGCAATACTGCACATTTGCTGCAGTAATGGCCTCACATCCGTTTCCAAGGCAGGACACTGGATTGGAAATAGTCTCGTGCCATCACACATTATATTCTTAAATCTGCACAAATTGCACATTCACAAGGCGCAAAGAGACGGCCATCTGGTGTATCATTATAGCAACGGGGGTGTGCATAATATAATCTCGAGAGAAGTGCAAAAAATGAAACCACTTTATCAGCAGGAGGATATGTGGTCGCTCAAGAGGCGCTCCTCTTCCCTCCTTGTGATAACAATGGTCCTAGTCTCAATGCTAACTCGTTCCTGGGCCGTTTCCGGGGCTTCAGGATTTTGAAAGGAGATATGGGGGCACACTGTTGTAGTGTCAGTGATTTCGTGTAAGAAAAACAACACGAACGGATGGATCTACAAACATAAGGCGCCTTTTCCCCCATCCGAGTCGTACATAATCATGAGGAAGGGTTCGTCTGGCTTCATCTTCTCGAGCCAGTACCACTTCTGATTGCGGTTGTGCCGGACGTAGTAAATCTCGCCAATCCTGGTAGGAATAAGTCGATCTCCTGCGATCAGATCGCCATTGTCTACCGTTCGGTAGTCGCAGACAGCGAGAGGGTTATCTTCTATCTCTGGAATCAGACCGCGCCATGTGCTTGGACCTGTTAGCCTGTGGGCAGAGTGACATGTAATGTTGTGCAATTTTACTTGAAAATGCGAAACCTGTATCCTGGGCTGGTGAGATATGTCGCTTTCGCCTCGTCGGAAAGATAGTTGTCTATCGATCGTGGACCGCTGTCAACTGTAAAATCTGTGTGTGCACCAATAGCAGGACCTTCGACGAGAAGAGGGTCAGACAGATCGTACACACGCCTAGAGAACTGCTGGTTCTTTCGCAACTACACAATAGGTTATAGATGCCCTAAATAAGTCTGAGTTCAGGGTGCAGGCCATGGTGAACTGACACGAGCTTCAAAGCAAAAAACATAATCCGCATTGTACCTCTTTTGCAAGAGTTCCTCCGTCTCGTTCTTGTAAGCTTGGATGGCTTCTGCGGACATCATGAGCCGGTCTGTCAGCCGGGAGGCATGATGCACAATCTCAAAGCCGCAGGTCTCCAGACGGAAGTTAGCTTCCCTTCCACGGATATTACCAATAGGCACATCTTGTTCGGAGAACTCGAGATTGTCTTTTTTGGCGAGACTTTCCAGCTCGGCTTCAGTAGCTGTTTCGTAATCAAATCCAGCAGGAGGTCGACGAAGTTCATAAAATGGCTTTTCAGTCCTATATCGAGGTATGTCGGAGAGAAAGGATAGAAGCGCTGTAAGCTTTGCAGAAGCCATGATTCCAGCCAAAAAGTTGTTTCTGATTTAAAACGGCAGCTTAGAAATTTATCCTTAGGCTCAAAGCTTACACATAATTATACTTTCTGAATGACGGATAGATACCCTCAAAATTAGTAAGTTTATTTGAAATTTATTTTTGTTATGGCATCTGGTCCTAGGTCTTCAAGCTTGAAGAGTGAGTCAATACGACTCTGTTGATAACACGCCTCTGCGTGAAACTAGCAGTCTTGTTAAACCAAAAATGCACAAGAAAGCACACGATTAGGGTCCGAACTTCTCATTGGTAATGCGGCTCTGTGCGGCTCTGTGCAGCTCTGAGAAAAGCCGCTTCATCGGTTATGGTTCGTGACTTTAGGGGCATATATTGGGCGTAGCTTCAAGCCGAGACAAATGTTTGTCTGTATAGAGGCCAGCAATAAATGTTATAAAAACAGAGAGGCAGGTTCTCCGTCCTATCTTGAACTACCAGACCGACTAGACACAAGAAATATGGCAGTGATCTGTTTTGATCCTCTGACTGTGACAGTCCAAATGCTGCAAGAGCTTCTGGCACAAGGCATTTCCAGCATTGATCTGATTGACGTTTACCTCAGGCAAATTGAGTGCCATAACAAGAATGGCTTCAAACTGAATGCAATTATTTCCACGGCGCCTCGGCGAATCCTCGAAGAACGGGCCGAGATGCTCGATACAGAGCGAGCGAACGGCCATATCCGGGGTCCGTTGCATGGGATTCCTATTGTTGTCAAAGACAATATAATGACAGACAGTTCACTTGGCATGGACACAACCTGCGGATCCTACGCGCTAGTAGGTGCCAAAGCAAAGAACGCACCCATTATCAGCCGTCTGCTGGCGGCAGGTGTGATAATTCTGGCCAAGGCAAACCTCTCTGTGAGTGAATAAGGGGCACTTGCATGTCGTCCAGCTTCATAGTTGCTAATTTGTCCTTTTCCCCCAGGAATGGGCGGGCTCCAAAGGATATGGGATAGCGACGGGGTGGTCGGCCATCGGTGGCCAGACACAGACACCGTATGTGCTCGGTGGGTATGTTTTGGGAGACAAGATCCTAGGCCACAGCGCTCCAGGAGGTTCGTCTTCGGGTTCTGCTGTAGCTGTGGCCGCCGGTTTCGCCCCTCTGGCTCTGGGGACAGAGTCTGATGGCTCCATCACACAACCGTCTGGAAGGTCCTCTCTTTACGGAATGAAGGTGACTGTTGGTGCCTTGAGCACACAGGGCACGTCACCACAATCTCCTCTGACCGACAGCCTTGGTGGCATGGCCAAGACCTCACAAGACCTTGCCGATTTGATCGGCGCAATGATGGAGACGAGCTACTCCGCCTTCCTGACTGGGTCCTGGGAAGGCCAGAAAGTTGCATTTGTGGAACCAGAAGCATGGGAGCTTCATCCGGCCGTATGTGCCAGGGAAGACAGTGTCCGGAATAAACAGGTAGGAGTCCCTTGCATCGCTATCGAGGCCACGGCACTTTTCTGACAAGAGAAACTTAGTTGCGAGAAATGAAAGACGTAGCCAAGAAAATCCAGGCACAGCAGGCGGCAGTGACGGAAGGCGTGGTTCTGCTGCAGGCGGATGAGATCAGCCACAACGGTAAAGATGCCCTAGAGCTAGTCTGGAACTTTGATCTGGCCGGAGGGATAGATTCATTCCTTGGTGAATATACTGAATCTGAAGTGCGAACTGCCGAGCAGCTGATCCAATGGAACAAAGAACATATGGATCTAGAGTTGCCGCCAGGTAAGAGCTCCTGTCATTGGCGTCTCACTCGAAGGATTGGCTTACCCACTGCTGATTTGATGACAGAGTTTCCAGCACAGCAGCAATTGGAGAATACGGTGAAATGCAAGCTGACACAAGAGGAGAGAGACGCCATAGCTGAATTCATTCGCCACAAGGCCCGGAACGCTTTTGACCGGATTCTTGGAGAAGGTAAGGCCACGGTTCTGATGGGGCCTCTGGATGGCCGCATCGTCACAATTGCTGCAGCTGCAGGTTATCCAGCCGGCGTGGTACCGCTGGGATATGCAGATAACTTTAATGGCAGGGCGTACGGCATGGTTATTGTTGCCAAAGCAGGCGGCGAAGGTGATATTTTAAGGGCTATGAGTGCATGGGAGAGTAACGCGATAGGAAAGCGAGTGGCACCTCCGCTGCTCGCCAACAAGGCGGAATTGTAATGTCTTTCGAAGTTGGAAGTTCTTTTACACGGTTGCCTAGCGGGTGGCCTCGATGTTTTAGCACAATAAAGACAGCAACCTGCTCGGGCGATTCGATGACATAATCAAGCGCCCCCGCCTCATGTGGCGGTAAGCTGTTCTGGGAAGGGACCGTGCTAGCCGTGGTTCCGGTGGAGAGGGGCAAAGTTGCAGTGGCTAATTACGTCGCAGGCTGGACCAGGAAGCTTCCCCCAGACTTGAAACGTCTTTGACGCAACCGAATTGTGAACATTACCTGGACAGAAGCGATCTTGCTGTAATTACTGTTGATTCTGCCTTCTGGGAGGGCCATTTGCTTGTAGATAGCACGACGGAGAGCATCGAGGTAAGGCCGACAGCGACAAGAGCTATCGATGGTCTTATGATGCAGCGCTGACAAGGACACATCTCCAGAGACAGCTGCCTAACTTCACAGAATCACCAGCTGCAAGAATCAAATACCGAACCGGACTGCCTAATACGATCACTCTCTATTGATCCTCGCTTCTGATCCGAGCCGCAGGCGGTAGATTATCATCGACCAACTCGTCATCGACAGCAGTAACAAGGCACAATGGATTTGCGAGGCAATCTCTTTGGCAACAAAGCCCGTGGCGGCGGGCTTCCCGGACGTCCAGGCGGCGGCGCACCACCACCGCCCGGCTACGATGGAGGAACACGGGGCTACGGGGCGCCGCAGCAACGGGCACCAGTCGGCAATTATGGAAGGGCCCCTCAACAGGCGCCGACACAGATGCAGCAACCGCCACAACAAGGGTATGGGGGTGGCGTGCGATTGCGGCTGGCCAAGGTGGACGACAAGACGCTGCAGCAGGTATACATCTTCACCAACGTGTGTGCGGTGTCGCCGCGGGACTTTCCACCGTCGCGCGATGGATCGGACCTGTATCTGCGGCTGACGGGAAACATGCTGGACGGCGACTTTGTGGTGACGGCACGGCCGACACCGGGATTTCCTGACGGCTGCATTGCTCTGTCAGACCCACAGCGGACGTGGCTGCGGGTGGGCATGATGGACGAGCTGATCGGCGAGGTGTACAGCCCGTTTGCTGCAGGCGGCAGCCAGGCGTATCTGGGCACGATGGACGTCGAGATCGGATTTGCGTCGGCCAAGAAGGTGACGGACACGACGTACGACCAGGACGCGCTGGCCGACGTGATGACCAAGACGTTTGCCAACCAGATCTTTGCGCCGGGTCAGCGGCTGCTGTTGGACGTGCACAACATGCCGCTTTCGCTGGTCATCAAGACGGTCCAGCTGGCCGACCTGAGCATGGAAAAGGCCAGCGGAGCGGCGGCGGCGGCGGCTGGCGCAGCCACGCGCACAGATCCGGGTGCCCGTGGCATCCTGGTGCCGCAGACGGCCATCTCGTTCTACAAGAACGCCGGCTCGCCGATCAAGCTGTCCGGGTCGACGAAGCGGGCGGCCGCCAACTCGATCATTGCGCCCGACTTCAAGTTCGAGGACATGGGCATCGGCGGCCTCGACAACGAGTTCTCGACCATCTTCCGTCGCGCCTTTGCGTCGCGCATCTTCCCGCCCGGCTTGATCGAGAAACTGGGCGTACTGCACGTCAAGGGCATCCTGTTATACGGGCCGCCGGGCACGGGCAAGACGCTCATTGCGCGCCAGATCGGCAAGATGCTGAATGCACGAGGTACGTGTGCAACAGCTGTCTGGGAAAAATTGGGTTTGCTGGGCGATATTGACTGGCGCAGAGCCCAAGGTGATCAACGGACCGGAGGTGCTGAACAAATATGGTACGTGGACACGAGAGACACTGGCGATCAGCTAGTTTCATATCTGACAGCAGCGCAGTCGGTCAGAGCGAGGAGAACATCCGAAAATTATTTGTAAGACCCAGGCGCGTGCGCGTTCAAAGACAGGCAGATCCGTGCTGACGATGGGATAGGCCGATGCCGAGAAGGAATACAAGGAAAAGGGAGACGAGTCGCAGCTGCACGTGATCATCTTCGACGAGCTGGACGCGGTGTGCAAGCAGAGAGGCTCGGGAAGCGGTGGCACAGGTGTGGGCGACAGCGTCGTGAACCAGCTTCTGAGTAAGCTAGACGGTGTGGACCAGCTGAACAACATCCTGCTGGTTGGCATGACCAACAGGAAGGACATGATCGACGACGCTCTCCTGCGTCCGGGTCGTCTGGAAGTGCAGATTGAGATCTCGCTGCCAGACGAGGAAGGACGCGTGCAGATGTACGTGCTGTTCCCCTCGTTCTGTCACCTTTGCTCCGACTGACCTGTCCGCAGTCTCAAGATCCACACGGCCAAGATGTCCAAGAACGGCATCCTCGACCGCGATGTCGACATTGATAAGCTAGCTTCGAAGACCAAGAACTTTAGCGGTGCCGAGCTGTCTGGTCTGGTGAAGAGCGCCACCTCGTTTGCGTTCAGTATGTCCTAGCTTTTTCTCTTCCCTTTTGCGGCATTGACAGCACCCGGCTAACCGTGCAGACCGACACATCAAGGTGGACACGATGGCGGGCATCAGCGACGATGTGTCGCAGATGAAGGTCAACATGAGCGACTTTGAGAGCGGCTTGACAGAGGTCAAGGCGGCCTTTGGCGTGTCGGACGAAGAGCTTGAGGAGGCGCTGACATACGGCATCATCCACTACTCGCGCACCATTGAGAACATCATCCGGGAGTGCGAGGTGTACGCCGGCAACGTGCGGCAGCTGGACCGACTGCGGCATCTGTCTGTGCTGTTGGTGGGTGTTTCTTCTCCCCCACTGCCTTTTTTTTTTTTTTTTTTTTTTTTTGGTAATCGTGTCGCTGACATCTACAGCACGGTCCTGCTGGCAGCGGAAAGACGGCTCTGGCTACACATGTGGCTATCAAGAGCGGATTTCCCTTCATCAAGGCTGGTACGTGTTCCATTCTCTTGTCATGATCCGACTTATGCCACGATACTAACAACACAGTCACTCCCGAGAGCCTGGTGGGCTACTTCAACGAGGCCGGCAAGAAGGACTACCTGCACAAGGTGTTTACGGACGCGTACAAGTCGCCGCTGAGCCTGTTGATCCTGGACAACATTGAGCGGCTGATTGAGTGGAACCCGGTGGGCCCGCGCATGTCCAACGTGATGGTGCAGGCGCTGCTGACGCTGCTGCGGGCGCCACCGCCCAAGGGCCACCGGCTTCTGATCCTGGCGACGACATCGCGGCGTTCTGTGCTCGACCAGCTGGACATGACCGAGGCCTTTGATCGCCAAGTGGCCGTGCCGGCCGTGGCTGACACGACCGAGCTGGCGGCTGCCCTAACGCAGTTTGGCGCCTTTAGCGACACGGCTGACGTTGGTCAGGCCATCGACACCGTGCGCCAGTACAACGGCGGTGGCGATCACGTCGGCGTCGGCATCAAGACGGTGCTGACAATGGCCGAGTCGGCGGCCATGGTGGACGACGCAGCCGGCTGGTTTGCCGATCAGCTGGGCCGGGCGATGGCGGCGAACAATCCGGGAAGTGTGTAGATGGGGGAAGAAGAATAGGAGAAAGAGAATAGGAGAAAGAGAATAGGAAGAATGAGAGGGATAGATTAGAGCCATGTCATCAACGATATTCCGTCTGAGCAAAGGCGTGCCAATCTGCGTGCAGAAAGCAAAAGTAGAATATTGGAGGCCATTCTTCTCCTTTGTGCATGCAGCAGTGCAACGTCAGCCATTCAGCTGCCGGAAGCCCGGCTTCCGATTTGTGTGGAGGGCCTCCATCTTCATCTCGTGCGTGTCTCCTTGCCTTGATCCATATCCGTCGTAATACGGAGTACTCTCGCCACACAGAGCCTGCCTCTTGACCTGCGGTAGTCTGTTCTCTGCTGGCCCGAATTGACCAGTCGTCTCGTCCGCCCCCCTTTGGACCCCCTTTTCGCTCTCCACACCACCCTGCTCTCCCGACAAATTGGCTCCTGGGTTTGCGCCGGCGTCCTGGCCACGCGAGAGAGAAGGCGTTAGAATGAAAAAGAGGATTCGATGTGGCGAGCAGCCTGGCGTCCGGCCTCTCTTGTCAGCACTAGCCATGCAGCGAATGGATAGGAGGGCACATGCCGAGGATACGTGCGAGTCCAGCGAGTATTATCGTACTCGTAGGACAGTCAGTTAAAGCGAATAATGAATTGGGAGTTAAGAAATTGGGTTTCCATGTTTGCGTCCGCACCCTGTCTTGTTTCTTTTTTTTAACTCATCACATTGGCGATGGGATCGACTGCGTCGTAGCTCGATGAAGAACAAAAGAACCATCAACTTTCCCGTATCTTGATCCTGTATGTACCCCTGCCGGCATCTTACTGGACTGGGCCCCGGCCACGAGACTCTACGACGCACGTCGCAGTTTGAGGAATGAAGCCCTCGGCTCCAGCGGAAATAGCGGGACGAGACAATGGCTAACATAAACGAGCACATCGGCTGGACCATCTTTCTGCATCGGGGGTAGCGGCACACGGGGAAGGACAGGTCAGGTCGCTGGGCCGTCTTTGACGGCTAGTGGACCATTCGGCCTGCCAAAGCCGGCCAAAGCTCCGGCCGCTGTCTGCCCTCGTGCATGCTCGAGTCTGACATGTATCTTACCAGTCACTCGGCCTGATTTCCTCCCAACGACCCTGTGAGGCACCAGGGGCTTTGGGGCGAGCCGATTAGAGTTGTCAAACAAATGGCCCTCGCCTGACTGCCCTGGAGATTGCAGGGTTTGCTAGTCATCCCAAGGGTCTGGCACAGTTGACATCCCAGTTTCCTGCTGCTCGCCCATTGTCTGTTGCGTCTTCTTTCATCTCTCCATCTTCTCCTTGGCCCTCGTCTCCTCGTCTTTCTCCACGGCCATGGGCTCATTTCCCAGCAGAATTGCTGCTGTGCGAAAGTACCGAGTATAGGCTGCACTGGACGGAAAACTCCGACACTGTCGATCATTTCCGTACTCGTCCGCAAAAGGCCAAGGCTCTGCCCGCCCCCTGTGCATGAGTATGTAAGCGGCGAAAGAGCGCAGCCTGCCTCGTGCCATGCTACTATGTATGTATCTCACAACCTGCAGATCGCGTCTGCGCATGGGCTCCCCTGATGAGACCGCCAATGACATTGTAGCAGCGCCAAATGGTGGTGATGCAGGTGCAGGTGCATCAGCCACCGGCAGGCCGTCTCCGTCGTGCAGAACGGACATGCACAGCCTGTCGACGAGAAATCACTCGTATCGTACGAGTCGCAGTCGGATTTTCGCCTGTTGGTTTGTGTGTGGGGCTTGTGCCGACCATTGGAACTAGTGCACGTTGTGCATAACGGCGCATGACCAGGTCTGAGCATTGTGCTTGAGTCTGTGCGGAGAAGACCGACTTGTGTCGGGTGTCTCCTTCCTTTCGTCTTGTCTTTGTGCGACGCAAGACACAGAGCAGTCGCTCGGTGTAGCTCTCAGCCAACGATCGGCACTGTGGGCACACAGAATGCGACTGGCGCCCCTGCCTGTAATTACAAGTACCTAAAGGACCCCCCCAAACTGGCGTTCCCAGGCCACCATGGTTCCACCCGGCTGACTTCTCCGTGATATACCAGCTTCTCCATACGAGAATGGAGTACTTTTTTCCCTCTCTTATTCCCCGGTACTCCGTACTCCGAACTTTGCCCAGCCAGACAGCCGGCGTCTGCCGTAACTCCATGGCCTAGCTGCCGCTTCTCACCTGACGGAGCATAATGGGCAGCCAAGCCTCTCCCTGTCATGACCCCCGCGGCCGTAAGATTCCACGTACCGAGTACTCGTACTATGCATTCGTGTGCAGCCCTCTCCGGCCCTCCTTTTGCTCGCTGGTCACATGTGCACTCTGTCGCACCTGCAGGAGCTCCAAGTTGTATCTTATTATGCAAGATACGTACTCCATATCTTACTTGCTCCTGCCTAAAGCCCACAGCTGGGCCGGGCTTAGGGCCCGCTATGTTATTTTCAACGAGCGCTAGCGCGCCTAGCCTTTCAGGCGGCAGGAGCAAGCCTCTCCTTCTGCCTGTCTCGTACTCGTATTATTGCATCCAGTCTCGTCCAACAGTCCAGGCTCCCCATCCGAAGTTGTTGCTGTGGGGCCTGCACACTGCCCAGACAGGGCTCTCCCCTTGCCAGTGTCGCCGGGCCCTGGCCTATGGACACGCTCCGTTCAGCCTGAGGGCCTGCCGCGCCCGCTCTGCATGCCCTTGGTCGGCGTCGTGTCGTCAAACGTATCTTACTCCGTAATATGCATCTTGTAATCATACAATCTACGGAGTGCTCTGGGTGCTACCAATCCCGCTTTTCTCCACCAGGCAAACCGGCTGCCTCGAGTCCAGAAACCGGCTGTTGGAAGCAAGTACGACTACGACTACGTGCAAGAACGCGCAGGAGCGGCTGGAGAGTTAGTGCTAACCTTACCGCTTCTTCCACGCGTTGGCCGTGTCCCTCTCTGCGCACAAACCCCCAATTCCACCCCCCTCCCAACCTCCACCCATCGCCCCTTCCTACTTTCTAATGACAGCCCGCCCTCTCTCCAGCCGCTGCTCCATTCTCCTGCCGCACTGACTCTGCCTGCAGGGAAGGCTCGACTTCTTTCCCTTCCTTTCCTCCCGCGAATTGCAAAATACATAGCACGACTACCCGCAAAAACACCTCTCGGAACGACTCTGGCATTTCGCCCGACGACAATCCTTCAAGCCTACCGTCTTTACCATCCGTCGCCCGTCTTCTGCTCCGCCATCAATGCCTCGCTTCCAAGAACCCGTCGTGGTCAACAACAATACGCTGTCGTCCCCCCCGGCCCGAGGCCTTTGAGGGAGCAGCCACAGCCGCAGCGTATGGGAGCGCAACAGCCGCAGCCGCAGCAGCCACAAAAGCCGTAGCAACAGCAGCAGACATGGAGGCGACTTTTGAACTCCCCATCATGTTCCCTGCCGACCGGGACATGGACGAGCCGGACAGCATCGCGATGCCCCGGGCACGGCCGCAGCAGGGAGACCATTCGGCTGCATCGCATGCCGGATCTCCACGAGAGTCTTTTGAAAACACGGCCCCAAAAGTCAGAAAACAAGGCGGGCGAATCCCATCAATAGCAAAATCTGAAGCCACCGGCTTGGCTCGGAGCAAGGGCTCCCTCCGCGACGCAAAAAACAAGCGAGCCTCGGATCGCCACGCCCCGCGACCCGGAGCACGTCTGCGCACGCGCATCGCGTCCAACAACTCCACGCCTAAGTCGCTGCTGCCAGTAACCGAGCGCCGAAGCCAGGAGGAGAACAAGGCTGACCGGCGGGCCACCACCGACGGTGGTGACTCCGACATCGCTCCGGATGGCTCCTCGGCCGGTCGAGAGTGTCGCCAATTTATCGTGTCGAACGTGGGAAACAACGGCCGTATCTACCTGAGGTAAGTCTTGGGCGCCTGCTACCCTGGCTTTTGGCCACTGGAATTGCAGCTGACACAGGCACACACAGGCCAACTGTTCGACCAGCACACTTGCGCTTCCCTCAGCCCAGCTTTGTCTTCCCTATGACGCCACCCAGCACCGCAGGACTGGACGTCCTCGTACCAGACACAGACAGACGCGACGAACAACAGCAACAGCAACAACAATGGGCGCAGTACCCGCCACAATTATCACCACTCGACGACTCTAGCTTTCTTTATGGCAGCGACTACACCCCAGACGAGTTCTCCCCGACGACTGCGAGAAAAAACCATCTCGGCAACCCCCCTGCGGCTTCTCGTCGTTCGCTTGGTCGCGCTGGCAGCGGCCACCGTCGTGCTATCTCAGACTCGACTGTTCGTGACGCTAGCATTGCTCACGAGTCTGACCCAGGTGGCTTCAAAATCGTCATCACACAACCAGCAGACATGGCCAGGGCCAAGACGGTCGAAGATCTCGAGCAGAAAGACCCTTCAGCACTTATCGAAATCGCCATTCCCACTTGGAAGCTGGGCACGCCACGTTTTACCCCCCGAGGGACTCCTATGTTGCGCGGTTCTTCGTATGCCTCGACAGAGGAAGTTCGCTCCAGCAGACGTTCCTACCAAGCTATTGGCCATCTACCGCTGCGAACAGAGGACATGTCTCCCCGCCGTCTGAACTTTGCCGATGGCCGTATTGGCGAAATATCGTACTCATTGCCCACGTCGCCACGCATGCGGCTACACAGCAGACCAGAGAGCGTCCCTGTTCTCGAATCTCACCAGTCCAACTACTTCGACATCGACCCGTCCATGTTCGACGCTCTCACATTCAAGCCGGCCTGCGACGATCGTTCCGTCGTCCGCTTTTCCCCCGCAACCGGCTCCATTGCAGCTGCCACGCCGCCCCGACTCGTCGCTGAGATTACTTCGCCCAAATTCATGGACTACGACCTCGTCTCCGATTTCTTCCTCACATACCGCGCCTTCCTGGATCCTAACGATCTCCTCCGCATGCTAGTCGCTCGTCTACGCTGGGCAGTCAACCGGGATGATGAGGTCGGTACTGTGGTTCGCGTGCGCACCTTTGTTGCTCTGCGCCACTGGATTCTCAACTACTTTATGGACGACTTTGTTATCGACTACGAGCTGCGCCTTCTTTTCTGTCGGTTGATTAACACCCTCGTTGACGACCTGGCTCAGGGGGATAGCGCCTGCAAGGTTCCCTTGAAGATCCTGGCCGAGTTGAAGAAGTGTTGGCGACGGTCTTGCGCTCAGTACTGGGACGGGGCCGAATTTGATGACTCCGTGGGGTCAGATGTGCCCATTTCGCCGGGCGGAATTGCTGGCCACCGCAACCCTGCCCTGGACCCAAGCTTTTGGGGGCAAGCCATGGCGGGCGATATCTACTTGGACGACCCAAACGGCGAGGGCTATGCGGCGGACTATGGGCCATCCGAAACGATGGACGAGCCGGAAATGTATGACGACTTCGGTGCTGGTAGCAAGCGGACCGGCCATATTGACTCAATGATCCTAGGCGATCGGCCTGCCACACCCGAAAATCAAACCCGCTCGACTGGCGTCGCTGCCCGCAGAGGGGCCTCCTCCCCGTTGAGCGTGACGAGTCTCGACTTTGTCTCCTGCTCGTTTCCGACCAAGAACCTGCGTCTCGTCCAGGCTGGCATGGGCCTTCCACCTGCAGCTCATCCCGTGGACCCGAGCCTGACTTACAGCAGTGCAGGCCCCGTGGCCACCACACCGCGTGCCCTCATGGGAAAACGCGTGCGTCCCAGCCAGTCTACAAACTCGCCACACAAGCGGAGCACAAGCCAGACAGATTCGTTTCGGGAACTTACGGCGGCTTCGGAAAAATCGATGCTGAAAGATACCGACTTTCTGATGACGCTTCCATACGCGGGAAGCCTTGTTCGAGGCGCCGTATTCCCGCCTGGCCAGCCATATGTTGAGGTACTTTCACCCAGCACATACGGCATGCCCGCTCGCCAGACCACAGTCCTCCAGCGTGAATCTCTGGAGCCCCTGGACGCGCAAAAACAGAAGGCGTCAGCCATGTCTGGCCAGGGCATGCGGAGACTGCTGGGTGGTGTTCGCCGGGCTCTCAGTACAAGAGGCCAACCCATCTCTTCGACAAACGGCAACTACATCAACATCTCGCCTATTGGCCCACGTGGGGCCACCATCAACCGTCTTCCCGGCACAGCCATCGTACCGCAAGCTCGGCCGCGTTGCAACGGGGTTCGCTCTCCCGTCCGAATCGATCTTCTTGGTGCCAAGATTGCAGAAGACTTCAGAATGGCGTTGCGCGAGAATGCCTCGGCTGGAACGTCCAAGCAGGACGACGACAGCGTGCTCAATCTTCCGATTCAGATGCTGCCAGAAGAGAAGCCGAGCAGTCCGACTCCGGCGGCGACGTATTCTGGCAGCATTTTGCCCGGCTTCGACGGCCAGGGGAGGGACAATTATCGACCTACCAGAGACACCGGCATCACGACTGGTAGCAAGTCCATCCTGATTTTCGACGACACGCTGGCGCTTGACTTCCCTGTCATGACCGGGGCTTTGCCGGCGTCAGGTCTAACTCTTGAGGCGTTTGGTGCCGATCCGACACCACCGACAACGCCACCAGGCCAGGCTGTGGGCACTCCCAGACGATCGTCGTACATCTTGGGATCACGGGCTTTGCACCCACGGCCGCGCACCGAACCCCTCCCGCCCTTCGTCCCGGATATGGACACCCTGGGCGGTCTGTCCCGTTCGAGCGTCCAAGGAGACGACGTCATGATTCCGTCGTCGGATTTGATCGATTATCTGACAGGGGATGCGGCGTTTGGGCATCAGCCTGCTGGGTCTGTTACATCTATCCCGTCCGTGACGTCTGTTCAGTCGGTGGTGTCACTCGACATTGGGGATGAGGACAGTCATGAGGCAGAGGACAAAGAAGCGGACACATTCAACACGGCCTTGTCGCCCGTTGCCCGTGTGCCGCCCCGATGGACGCGTGGCCATGCGAGGCAGATCTCTAGCCGATCTTATGTGTCGAGCCAGTCGTTCGGTCGACAGCGATTCGCATCCCTATCGGGCGACAAGGCAGCGCGTTCGACCCTTCTGAGCTTTGATGCCACAACATACTCTGAAGCATCTATCGCCGAGTCGACTGAGACAACGGGACCCCGGCCTCTCCGTGTCCTGCGGAGGCGCCCGGGAGGTGACTTGAGAGCGGTGAAGAACGTAGGCGATCTGGACACGGGGCTGCTTCGGCGGTCGCGGTCCGTCGGCTCGCTGACAGCGTACACGGACTCGATTCGCAGCTCACACATGCGCAGCCAAGCGCCCGACTCGGCCAACTTTATCGGCGTGGCATCTCAGGACTTTGCCCATGCACCACGGGACCAACCGGACAGATTTTCGGTCGGGATGCTCACAGAGAAGAAGCCGAAGCGGCAGGTCTCGATGTTCAGCACGCACTCGTCCAAGCCGATGATGCGGCCGTCTTTCGAGGCGGAAGCGCAGAAGTTGGCGCAGATTCCAGACGAGGCTGAGGAGGATGTCGGGGTGGAGGCGGCCCTGCTGAAGCTGGAGGGCCGGTTTGAACCGAAGTCGCTTAGGCTCTCGATAGATTTATCACCAGCAGATGAGTCGAGGCTGAGGAGAGCAGTAGCTCCTCCGCTGAGCGGCCTCATGGCACCGCCGGCTGTGGCTCAGGAAACACAGATGGCGTACCAGATGCGACACGCCGACGTGAGCGACCTGGACTCTGAATACGCTACGACCGAGGGAAGAAAGTCGGCGGCTGCGTCGCCTCCTCCAGAAGTGAGGCCGGCAGTGGTGCCGCGCAGGGCTGAAGATCTGCACTCATTCCTGTCGGAGTCTGGCGAGTCGTACTCGTCGGTACCTCTGCTGGACCGCGGCCTGACGGACGATGGGCGAAGCAGGAGAGCAGTGACGGATGAGTGGGGCAACCGATCGGTCTTTGACGCGGACGACAGCTCGTCAACTCCGACTCCGACAGCAGCAGGCGGTGAGCCGACAGGGTCTCGGTCGTACAACGCGTCGTCGTATGAAATGGTCTGCAAGACGATCAGCCTCGAGAAGATGCGGGCAGGCGACACGATGCCAGGCAGTCCGAGCCAGCGTACGGAGCTGTCGTCGTTCCTGGACGACGAGAGCGACGGTGCGAGCGACCTGTCCTCGGAAATGTCGGCCGACCTCGACAGGGAAGACGAGGTGGATATGTACGGACAGGTGCGGCAGCGGCTGGGCAGGTCGGACACAGTAGTATCACGATTGCCAGCACACGCGCTCGGCGACCCGGAGCTCGAGCCGGTACGAGCATCGCAGACAGACATGCGGGACGGGGCGACGCGCAGCCGGCCGCCAAGTCCGCCGATGACGCTCGTGCAGGCGCTGCGGATGTCGCCACAGACGGCATATGCGTCCGAGATGCCGGAGATGCCAGAGCAGCGGCCGTGGTCGAAGAAGCGGCCGGCGACAGCGCCCGATACTGCGATTCTGAGAGGGTTCAAATCGGCAAGCCACAGCTCGCACCAGAGCCAAGGACCGGATCTGGGGCTGCTCGAAGGAGGAGCGATTAGCCAGAGCAAAGCTGGCGGGCCATCGACGGAGACGGGACGCAAGCTGTCGGTGCACCTGCCGTTCATCCTCGCGTTCGAGTCGGAGATGCTTGCACAGCAGCTGACGCTGATCGAGAAGGATGCGCTGCACGAGATCGACTGGAAGGAGCTGATCGAGATGCGATGGAAGGACGCGGAAAACAGCAACGCGCGGTCGTGGGTGGAGTTTCTGCGCAGCACCGATGCACGCGGCGTGGAGGTGGTGATTGCACGGTTCAACATCATGGTCAAATGGGCGATTTCGGAGGTGGTGCTGACGCAGAACGAGGAGGAGCGGGCGCGCTGTCTGATCAAGTTTATCCACATTGCGGAACACTGCCGGCGGTACCGCAACTTTGCGACGATGAGCCAGATCACGATGGCGCTGACGAGCAACGAAGTCAACCGATTGAGCCGGACATGGAGTCTGGTGCCGAAGCGAGACGAAAGCACGTTGCGCGACCTGGAGGCGCTGGTGTCGCCAACACGCAACTTTTACAGCCTGCGGGCCGAGATGGAGGCCGTGGGCATTGACAATGCCGACGCCGGCTGCATCCCGTTTGTCGGCATCTACACACATGACCTTCTTTTCAACGCACAGCGGCCATCGGAAATTGCCGGCTCGCCAACGACGGCACCTCTGGTCAACTTTGAGCGTTGCCGCATGGCTGCCGGCACAGTCAAGACGCTGTTGCGTCTGGTCGAGGCCAGTGCTCTGTACAGCTTCCAGCCCATCGAGGGTGTCACCGAGCGCTGTCTGTGGATGAGCGCGCTGTCGGACGAGGCCATTCGGAAACATTCCGAGGCGTTGGAGTAGGGAGCAACCACGACGCCATTTCTTCACTTTTCAGACCATTTTCAGACACACATTGTACACTACCGATACCCATCTGTAACGCACAGCCATGTTTAGGCGTTCTCATCCTTATTTCCCATCCCTGTCAACTATACCCTGCATCTATGTCGGTGTTCCTTTCCACAAAGGACCCGTTTGGACATCTGCCAATGCCTTTGCATTGGACAGATGGTCGGGAAGCATATAGAGCGCCAAGCGAGCATATTTATGATTAGTAATCAAGCGATGATTTTTGACTCAAACAACTCAAACAATGGCCACAGGCTGTAGATTGCGCACGAGAGCAGCCAGCGGCTCCGGCCAGGCGGCAGCGGCAGCGGCAACACGGATGGCAGCCACAGTGGCCGGACGCAGGCCCGCGCGCCGGCTGCTATACAGATCAATGCCCTCGCGGGTGAAGAGGGTGGCGGCGAACCAGGTGACCGCCCAGCGTTCAGCCCCGTCGTCTCCCTCTGCCTCAGGGTCTTCGACCTCGCCCCAGCCGAGGATTTCCCAGTGCGACGTGACGAAGAAGAGCCAGCCCTTGCCGCGCCAGTCGAAAGCGCCGGTCGTCGAGGCCGAGGGTGTGTTGGCACCCTGGACAGTGTGGACTTTAGGTGTAGTGGTGGTGTTGGTGTCCAGATCTTCGTATTCGACCAGGTCCTGGTTGCCGCTCCGGCCAGCGGCCTCGGTGTAGGTGATGCGCACGTTCTGCGCCGTGCGCCACATGCTCAGCGTCGAGTGGGTGACAGTCCAAGTGCGCAGCAGCCAGGCTGGTGACGGAGCAACAAAGGGGGCTGAGGAGGCGGAGGCGTACTTTGATGGCGCGCGCAGGATCACAGAGGCCACATGGGTAGGCGGTTCAGCAGGCGATGGCATTGCGAAGTGGGGGTAGACGACGTATGAGAGGAAATAGAGGTCGTGAAACTGTTTGGCAACAGAAGTGAGGCTGCTTGAGCTGTCATTGTAGTCTGCTTAGTAATGAGGAGCTGCCCCTGGTTTCAGCTGTTTCTGCGCTTGCCCCTTCCAGTCGGTGGAGGGGTGGCGCTATTGACTCAGTGATATCTAAAATAGGAAGTTTCGACTATATCATCATGACTGGGTGGTCACGGCAGATTGCAACCTGTGCACAGTGTATTTGTATAGCTTGAGCTCACTTACGCTATAACATCGGCCAACAACAAAAACACGCGGACGGAGTTATGTCATGGTTGAGCCATCGTCGTGACACAGTCCGCTCTTCACGGACAAGGCTGCTGACTGTCGGGGCTCAGTAGCAGTGCGCACGGGCCATTCTACCCACGTGACGAAAGAATGCGCCAAGGACGAGACTCTTGACCTATCTTGTTATCCGCAGCCAAAATCGAAGCAAAGAACCATTCGACCAGCATTCTTCTTTGCCCGCATTCTCTGGCAATCCGTGCGGCTCCTGCCTTGAACGATACCGGGGTGCAAGCCGCCAAGTGGCCGACTTGGCGAGAGCGTCTTCTGTATGGGAAAGCTGAGCTCTCGTCCCAACTGCACTTGCCGTCCTCACTCACGCCTCACGACCCACGAATCACGCCGCACGCCTCACGCTTGGCCATGGCGTCTCCGGACCGCGCCACCGATCCGGTAGACGGGAGCGATGATGTGCTCTCTGACGACGAGCTCGACGCGGCCGCCATCGCTGCCGCCATGGGGTTTTCCAGCTTCGGCTCCCAGGTGCACCCGAATAAGAAGCGACGGTTCAACCCGCGAGCCGATGCGGTCGTGGCAGCTGGTGGCCAAGGCAGCGGCGCCAACACGGTCCCGGTGGCGCAGCCTCGAGCGCTGTCCAGCCTGCCGCTGCACCCGCCATCGCGCCCCGTCGGCGGTGGCGATGACTGCCCGCATCGGGAATCGGACGACGACCGCTCTGGTGCTGCTGCGCACGAGGCTGACGAAGACTGCGCGCCACAGTACATTGATACGTCGCGGCCCGTCGGCGAAGTGCGGCACCTGGGCGAGGTACTTCGGGAGGGTGACGACGGCCAGCCCGCGGACGATGCGACAGTTCCGCAGGCTCTCATCGACGCCGTCCTCGCCGCTGGGAATGCCGCCTACGGCATGTCGACAGCGGCTGCGGCTGCGGCTGCGGCTGCGGCTGCAGTTACCACGGCTGCGACGGCCAGCCAGCTGGACGGCAGTGCCTCGTCCACGGCGCGGCATTGCGACACGGCCGGCCAGCTACAGGTCCGCGCCATAGACCGCCATGGCTTCCGGTCCGACCTGACCGCCGCAGGCTCTGAGGAGGGCGGCCATCCAGGGACCGTAGCTCCAGGCAGCTACGGCAGCGGCAACGGCAGCGGCAGCCGCGGTGCTGGACGACCGCCTTGGTGGACCAACTATTACGACGCGACCAGCAACGAGAACCCGTGGGCCCGGCGGGAGATAGACTTGGGCCTGACAGCCTGCGGCAGCTGGCTCTCTCGAGATGGCGGGCGGCACCAAGGGCCGGGGCTCGCTGCTACTACACCTCTGTGAGATGGAAGAATGGAGGGCCGGAAGAGAGACGCAGAAACTGCGAAATTGCTGCTGGACGACAGGACAACTAAGGCATTCGACAGAAGACACCGGAACAGAAACTGTCTATCGACCAACGGCTTGGATGGAGACTGAGGCTTGTCTCCTGCGCAAATCTCTTGACTGTTTTTCATTTTCCATTTTATTGCTTTCAATCATCCAGGTATGCGGCACAGAATAAAGAGAAACTTACGATTCGACGAACGATGAAAGTCCAACGGTTTTCCTCCTCTCTTTCACCCGCATGCAATTTACTGCACGGTATTTTTGGTCTTGTCGCCCAGCTCCGTTGCATTTCCTGTTTTGCTCTGCAGACTCACTTACTCTGCCCATGTCTCTGGCTTTCGAATCGACGCTTAACCGGTTTCGCTTCAGCAAATTGCCTCTTGTTGGCCGCCAATCACGTGATGTTATTTGTTATTTTCAGGGGGTAAACAAACCGGAACAGGATTGGGACGACAGAGGCCCGACCGAGCTGCTGGTGCCCGACGGCGGGATAGAACCGGTGCGCTCTTCTAGCACAGTCCTGGGCCCGATTGGTGTGCCTTTTATTGTTAAAAACGTCTTGCAGGTGGCACGGTATGAATTTCTACTTGGCTGGGAAAGAATGTTTCGAAAAGATGGGGAAATATCACAGCCCAACAAGGGCTAGGCAGCAAAGGAGGGCAATGAGGGGAAGGGCTTCCATCCTCTTCTACCACAGAACGCCGGCCATGCTTTGATTACAAAGAATTAAATGGGTGGCGCCAGCTGAGACTGGCGGACGGCCGTACTGTGGTTACGATGTGCTCCTGCTGATCCGAGAGGCCTACTGCTGTACAAATATCACGAGAGCCAAGAGCCAAGAACGAAGGATAGATAAACCAAGACATGACCCAAAAGAGAAAGCTGCTCGCCACAACCACCTCTCTCCGACCAATAAAAAGGCCGGTTGCCTACAAGACTGTCCCAAAGCAGCTTCTATCCACCCCCTTCTGCCTCTGTCCCTTCCTCATTCAGCCATCCTCAGAGACTTGGATGGCCTGATACGGACTACAGGCTTTGCCCTTGCTACAGTGCCAATGGTTCCACAGTTCAATGAAATACTAGGAAAGAACGCTATGAAGTACGAGTAACGCCCCTACAACATCTCCGTTTTCCGCGGCTGTATCCTGCCTTCCGTTTCTCCGGCCCCTCCTCGTCCTCCAGTCTCCGTCTGCACGTCCGTCTGTCCCCGTGACCGTCTCGCTTCCCTCCAGCCCATTCTGGCGGTCAAGGGTCCATCTCCAGGCGCTGGCACAGCCCTTCGGCCTGCTAAGCGCCCTGCCATGTGGCCCAGCGGACAGCACACCCCCCCTCCTCCGTCGCTTCTGCACCGCTTTGCCCTCGGTCTCTTGCAGCTCGAAAGGGAGGGGCGTGTGCACAGCCAACAGTGCAAGCTACTGCAGCCCTGGCGCTTGTCGATGACGCTGCCACCCTCCTGTCGCTCTCGCACCGCCAAATTGGCGTTGTACTGTACTTCCCTGCAAACCTGGCCCCCAGATCCGTTATTGCTAGCCCAATCATAAGTCATAACGTCGTGGAACAGTCGCCCCGCGCGGCAAGATCCGGCCAAAGGAAACATCAGCAGAAAAATAGACACCCAATCTGCCCAAAAGTTCCCAGAAAATAGCGCCTCCACTGCTTCCACACCCCCCTCAAGGGCTATACCCAAAACATAGCCGCTGCTCGGCCAGCTGGCTCGCCCCCAACTTTTGGCACCCGCTGTCATCTTGATCGCCTGCTGCAAATCGAATAAACGCGAATAAAATGTCGAGAGTGAGCCCACAGTCCCGCAAAAAATCGAGATTCAAACCAGGGAACAGGGGAGTGCTGCCGGAAATTGATGGTGGTGGGGTGTACGGAAAATGCAGCCTTATTTTGCCCCCCCCTCCCCCCCATTCCTGGTCGCTAGAAAGACAAATAAAAAAATAGGATAGTGAAACGACACGCGAGAAATAAGATCCCGGGTAATGGTGTATAACAACAAAAGGAACGCTAAAGCAGGGGCTCGGTTCGGGGCGCATTTCGCGTGGCGGCTGAGGCTCAAATTTTAGTACTCTGGGGAAGGGTACCGTTCGCGAGCCTTCTTGTACTCCTTGGAGTGCTTCTTTGACGCTTTTGCGTTTAGCGATCTATTTTTTGTCGTAAGTCAGCGTCCATTGCTTTCACACAAGGTCAGGCGTCTGCAACAACTTACGTCAATTTCTTCTGCGACCATTCAAGGTTGGCGCGCACTTCGCGTGCATCTTGTCTTCCCTCGGCGAACCGCGTGTGCATCTTGGCAAGACGCGCTTGCGCCTTTTGCTGCAGCTCCAGCAGCTGGCGCTGCTTGTCATTCAAGAGACCAGACCTGTTTGTATGTCAGTAACGAATCAAGTTCTGCTCATTCTCCAGCTCTGCTCACGTGTGTGCCTGTTTTGCGACACTCATGTCCAGCGGAATGGGGTCGAACGCGTTACTGAAGCGATCTTGCATGTACTCGTTGAAGTCCACGCCGCCAGCAGACACTGAGCTTTCGTAGTCGCCATGCATGCTACCAGCATAGCTAGCTGTGGCAGAGTAACCAGGGCTGCTGTAAGAGACACCACCAGATGCGGAACTGACAGCATTTTCTGATTCCGGTGGTGAAACAGAGTATGTGCTGTGACCTCCTTGGTAGCCTTGGTAGCCCTGGTAATAGTCCGCATACCCGTCTTTTGCTGGAACGGGCATAGGAAGAGCCTCCGTGTACATTGAAGAGCCGTAGGAGGGAGACATGTTGAGAGTATGTTTAGTTTAGAGAAGATGGAGATAGATAGTACAGTGTTTGTAGTGGTATTTTGTGTCTGCCGTTGCTATTGGCAAAGGCTTGTGGAAGTGTAGTAGTGTAGCTGGGAGGGGAGGGGAAAGAAGTTGATGCTGTGAGGAGAAAATAAAAAAAGGAGGGAGAAAGAAGAAGGGAGAGTGAGCTCGAGAAAGGAAAAGAAGAGTCATATTTATACTTTTCTTGAGCCATCCTGACCGGCACGAGCTCGGCTTCTTCATGACAAAGGGGATAAGAGAAGATGAGTCTATTCGTCGATGACCAGAGCAGAGCACGACCCCGCTTGCCGCTGGGGGGATTGAGGCCGAAGGACGGAACCGAAGATGGCAAGAAAAAAGCTAGGAATTGTCAGCAAGCAACAAGGACGGGTGAAGGGTGTGGGTGGTGGCAGGGTCAAGACGGACGGCAGGGGGGTGGAGGTGGAGGTAGAAGGTGGCAGGTACAAGCATAGCTCAGACACCGTTGTCAAGGTGTGTACTATGTATATCTAGAGCAGTCGGCTTGTCATTGCAAGTCCTGTCGAACATGCTCGTTGTGGAGCTAGCGTTTCTGCATCGAACAGAAGGGGAATGGAGGGAGGTGTGGCGGCTTATGGGGTGATTTTCGGAGGCAATTGGACAGGGAGCGACTGCTCGGATTGGATTGCAGGCTGCTTCTACCTGATCACATAAAAAGGCGAGTACCAACAGCAAGGGCCGGGAGAGAGGAAAAGATACCGTGTAGTAAGAGCACCACAGGTGTGGGTAGAAAGACGTTGTCTGATTTAAGGAAAAGCCAGCTAGACAGGGGGCCGGGCGTGTAAGTTGAAAGGACTATGGGGGGGGTTGACGAAAAAAAAGCAGAATACAGTCTTTGTTTGACGATCGACTAAGTGGGTAACAGATAGCACGAAGCAGAGAAGAAATCAAAACTAAAAAGGCCACGAAGCCGCCGCAGGGACCGACGGACGCGTGAAGAAGGGTGGCAGGGGGCGTGGGAGGACGGAGACCAGGATGCGGGATGGCCAAATACGGGGTGGGAGATGGACAGAGGTGACGTTGCCAGGAAACGAAAAGAGCAGAGACGCGGGCAGCGAGACAGGGTTGAGCGCCAAGCGCAAACAGCCAAGCTTCCAGGGTTTGTGAGAGATGGCCAGAGGAAGAGAAGAGGGGGGGTGGATGCAGTAAAAGAAGGGAGGCAAAGGTGAGGGACAAAAGCGAGACGAAGAGGAAAAGAGGAAAAGACGGCATAGAAGCTAGCAAAGATGCGTGATGGCAAGCGGAGGTAGGGGCAAGCGAGAGAGGCAACATCCCAAGGGCAATGGTACTTGTATTGTAGATGGTTGCATACGAGGGGGGGGGGAGGGCAGGGATAGCGGTGGGTATAGACGATGGGCCGGGGCACAACGAGGGCTAGACTGGTATGGGCGAGGGGGGAGGCAATAATCTTCTGGTTGGCCGTGTTTTTGTTCGTGGTGTCGGTCAGGACTTGTTGCTGCTTTCAGGATCCCGGGCTCTGCATTCGGGGCGGATGGTTAGCCGGGCGAGGGTCTGCAGCGAGAAAGAAGACAGGGAGGCAGGCAGCAGAGAAGAGAGGAATACCGAATACCGGTCAGAGGCGGTGCCGGTTTTTGGGCAAGAAGGCGACGACAGAAGGCGCAGAGAACGGATGTCGAAATGAGGGTCCAGCGGCAGAGGAAGAGACAGGACGATGATCCAGAGGGCTGGGCAGAAACTAAGGAGCACTAGGGACAGGACTAAACAAGAGAAATGGCAGGGAGAAGCGCGAGGTGGCCGAAACGGAAGGACAGAGGGAAACGGAGGCAGGACCAGGTTTAGCTGCATGTGAGAGGACGGGAATACGTAAGATACGAGTACGGAGTACTGTACAGTACATACGAGTAGGCCTGCAGGCAGGGCGAGAGCGAGGTGGAGGCCGACAAGTGCGGCGGAGAGAGTGGCCTGTGCCACTGTGAGGGATGGTACATAGTATCTGGAGGTTCGCTTGCATGGGCGGGTTCGATTCGTGCAGGTCGTTCCTTCCCTGTGCTTCCCGTGCTTCAGTCGTCCGGTGGCAACGGTGACCGTCTTTTCGTCTGTTGGGGGGCTGCATGCTGCTGGGCCGTTTTTGCAGGCAATCAATTGCCCTGTGTCGCTATGTGTTTATTTAGCACCTTCTACTCCGTACAGGTGCCTGTTTTGTGCGGCGGAGCCGGGAAACAGACCGCTGACTGGCTGTCTGCTTGCATGAAAAGAGGGCAGAGGAAAGGGTGGGAAATCGAGGCACATGGCAGACCACAGCACCACAAATTGGCAAAAAGGAACGACGGGCAGCAAAGTCACAGCACAAGATCCATGTCCATTATGCCAGGCTGCTTGCAGTCAGGCACGAGTGCAGCTGTTGGGCACGTTTCCTCGTTTTCCTTTTTTAGTTTCAGCTTCGGTTTTTTTTTTCGCCTTTTTATGCGTTTCTTGGTGCCTTTACCACCCTCAGGCGGCCAGCCGTTCGTTAGCAAATGGCGGGGATTGCAGGCGAGACAGACGACCGCGAGATGCAGAGGCTTGGGATCCGGACGGCCACTCAGTGGACGGCGGACAGGCTCCGGGCAGTGCAGAGCGGATTGAGTTGTCGAAGAACAAGGCGGCGAACGAGCGAGGGTGAGACGAAAACACCCCCCCGTCCTCCACATCAGCCTCCTTCCTTTGTTGCGGTGCGACTGGCTGGTCGAAGTAGGAGGGGCTGGTGGAAAGGAGGGGCTCTATTTTCCACTCTACATGGTAAGATACCAGTCCGGTAGAGAAAGCGACGGAAACGTACATAGCACAGGGACGGGATTTCGATAATTTTCATTGGGCAGACACGAGGCGAGATGAAATGGCTTTCTCGGCTTCTGTTTTGGGGGAATGAAATTCTACTACTCCGTACATAGTGTGCAATATCGATTGGCTTTTATCGGGCGGGATTCTTGTTTTTGGCCAGGACACGGCGGAAATACAGGTGCATGGTAGCGAAGACTACAGAGGGGCCCAGCGAGAAAGGAGGGGGCGTGTCGGTATTCGGCCAACGACGGCAGCAGCACTAAGAGAGCGAAGGAAAGAAAAACGGGGAACGCCAACGGCCTCGAACGGGAAAGTCTGGGACCGGTACGGAGTAAGGCCAAGAGACATACGAGCGAGACGGCCGGAAGAAATGGCACTGTCGACAGGAGCCTGCGCGATGGAGCGGAGCGAAAACGGATTGGGCGCCGGGGCAGCAGGCCGCTGGGACCGGAGGCCAGCCAATCAGGCCGAGAGGCTGGCGTGATGGGGGGAGCAGACCGTGGTGCTGCTGCTGCTGCCGCTGTTGTGCAAGGTGAGATTGGGAGACATGCAGGAGCTGCAGGTGGCGGAAGGAACGCCAGGGCATTCAGGCGCACGGAGTCACGGCTAGCTGCGCCCCGAATGGATTAGTAATGGAGATCGACTAGTGCAGAGGCTGGGCACAGCACAAGAAAGCACAAGCAATACGGAGCGACGGAGAGATACCCTGTACATGGATGCACACGGCGCTGCAGAGCCCAAGGGGGCCCGAGGGCGAAGGTGTGGATTGGGTGCCGACCGGCTTTTCTCGCTCGTCCGGGCCACAACGCATGTCAGCACGACCAGGACGGGCGCACGTCTTACGATAGGGCGCAGTGATGACCCGTTCGGGCAGCAGCGGCAGTGCGCCTTTTGTCGGACAGGTAGTCTAGCCAAGAGGTATTGTTCTATGGATGTAGAGTACATGTGAAGTATCCGGGGAGAGGTGTTTTGCCAGGCGCAAGTGGGAGTCGGACGAAGCTGTATGCTCGTATGCAGTAAACAAGCACAGGCACGTCTATCCAAACACGCGCAAGAAAGCCCAGATGCCGGCGCCGCTGAGCACGGGAATGGTGAGGTTGTCGTCCCAGCCGAAGAGGTCGACAACCTCGCTGGCAGCGGCGACGAAGCCGGACCAGACGCTGACAATGGCAAGGGCGAGCCGGCCGGAGACGCGGGTGGTGGCGGCCTCGCCGAGGCCGAGAAACGCGGCGGCCACAGGGGGGAGTCCGAGATGGCCGCGGAACTGAAAGCCGTCGTCGCCGGGCATGGGTCCGACATGGGGGACGAGCCAGCCCCAGAACCAGGCGGCGGTGGCGATGCCGACAGCAAAAGCAGCAGTCGAGCCAGCAAGCGACTTTCCGCGTCGGAGCCGCGGCGTGTAGCTGCCCCAGAGACGGCCAAAGGTGCTGGCGGCGGTGTCGCACCAGCTCAGCAGCATGACGCTCACGACGGCGACGTCCTTGGGCAGGGCATACAGCACGGCCCAGGCGCCCAGCAGGTACCAGATCACGCCGTTGTAGCCGGAAAACTCGCTCTCGCGCATGAGCGCGCCCAGCAGCCGGACGTAGAGCCGGTTGGCGGCCGGCCAGCGGTGCCGCAGCACATCGACGCTCGCAATCGGCACCAGGGCGCCCATCAGGAACGGACAGACGGTGCGGGTCTGTGTGCCCGACGCGTACAGCCAGGCGACCAGCAGTCCGATCGACACGTGCAGCGCCTTGCGCGGCACCTCGTGCCGGTGCACAAACGACCGCCAGTGCCGGTGGATCGGGATCAGGCCCAGTGGACTCGGACTGCGGCTAAAGTCCCGCCAGCTCCAGCCGCCCACCGTCCCGTTGTTTTCCTGTCCGGGCGGCTGCAGGTGGCCGTCGGTCTGCACTGGCTCCAGGGCCGGCTTGGCTTTTTTGGCCGTCTTGGCCGTCTTGGCCGTCTTCTTCTTTGGTGTGGCCTCGTTGTCCACGGCCTCTGTGTCTGCCCGTCGCGTGATGATCGGACTGCGACTCCGGGTCCGTCGTCGCCCATTCTCGGCGCTGTCCGTCTTGGCACTGCTTCCGCTGGCCCTCCTCGGCGTCGCCTCCTCCTTGACCGGTTGCGGCGTCGACAGCCGCTTCCGTGCCGCTCGCGTCATCGGACCACTGTACGAAGCCGAGGCCGAGGTTGATGACTCTTGGCGCTCAGACGGCGTGGGACTGGGCGAGATGACGCGCGTGGCCGGGATGTCGCTGCGCCGACGACGCTGGGTGGTGACCGACATGTCCGTGTAGGGAAAGGGAGGCAGGACGGGCGAGCTGATGAGGCCGCGCAGCAGACGTCCCGGGTGACAGAGACGGAGAAAGGGCCAGCAGCTGGTGCTGGCGAGGAGAGAGGACGAAGAGGACGAGAGCGGCGAGGATGCAGAGGACAGAGAGGCCGGCGAAGAGGCAGACGAGGGGGAGAGCGAAGAGCCGGACGAGGCCGAAGAGACGGAAAGGGAACGATGCAGCCGAGATTCTGGCGGCAGCGGCAGCGGGGCCAGAGCTGAGAGCCAGACGGACTGCGATGCGTGCGCAAGAGCTGTCACAAGGGGAACTAGCGAATCCACGGTGACAGACTCGGCTGCGGCAGAGTCGGGCTCGGCCACGTTGCAGGCGGAAGAAGAGATGTAAGATAGACTCCGTCAGATACGACGTAATTTCAGGAGTGGACCGTCGGAAATCTGTTCTCTTTCGGCGCCGAGTTGGGACAGACGTCTGTCGAGCTGGATGTCTGGCGAGAGAGGAAGAGAACGAGGTGAGGGAAAGAGGCCTGCGCCGGAGAAGAGAAAGTGTGCAGCACGCGCTCGGACTGGCTGCTGCGCCGGTGGAGTTGAGTCCAAGACCGGGAGGAGGAAAAAATGCGCGAGAGAGAGTGGGCGGACTGGTCGGAAGGGCGCTTGCCGTAACAATGAGCACGTGCAACCAGCCGCAGTGTCTCCACAAAATAACTGCGTATCGCTATCGGGAAAAGGAAAAAGATTCAGACGGCAAGACCGAAGCTGGATACAAGTTCGATTTCTGCCTCACATCATCACCCATGGCTCCCGTCAGCCGCAACGCAGCAAAACGAGCGAGCAGCAGTGCGCGGTCGTGGGAGGCGGCCGGCCTGCCGGACTGGTGTCGGGACGCGGTCGCCAGCATGGGTTTCAGCGAGCCGACGCCATCGCAGGCGGCTGCGATCCCGCTTTTCCTGGCCAACTCAGACGTCGTCGTGGAGGCGCCGACGGGCAGCGGCAAGAGTCTGGCGTTTCTGCTGCCGCTGGCGGCACGACTGCTGCGGCCGTCCGACGGCGAAGGAAAAAAACCGCCAGGGCCGATCAAACGGGGCCACGTGGCCGCCGTGATCCTGGTGCCGACTCGCGAACTGGCCGACCAGCTGCACCGCGTGTTGCTGGATCTGCTGGCCTTCCACCCGGCCACGGCAGCCGTGTTGCCGCACGTGTGGCGAGGGAGCAGCGATGCGAGCAGCAAGGACAAGATCAAAAACAAAAACAGGACCAACAAAAACAAGACGCAAAAAACACCGGCTGCCAACGGACTGCAGATCGTCGGCGACCTGGACGAGGAGCAGGCCGGCAACCTGTCGAATCGACGACGCCCCGAAACGACCACGGCCGTGCTGGTGCCGCAGCTGGTGGTGGGCGGCACGGCGTCAAAGCCGGCCGACGATCTGGCGCGGTTTGTGCGTCAGGGCAGCAACGTGCTCGTGGGCACGCCCGGTCGTCTGGCTGAGCTGCTGTCGAGTCGTGTCGTCAACGCAACTGGCTCGTTCGAGGCCCTCGTTCTCGACGAAGCCGACCGCCTGCTCGACCTCGGCTTTGCCGCTGACCTGCAGCGCATCCTCGCCTTTGTGCCCAAGCAGCGCCGCACTTTTCTCTGCTCCGCCTCGGTCAACGACGCCATCGGCGAGCTCATCAAGGTCAACCTGCGCAACCCCAAGCGCGTCGTCGTGCGCGTGCAGACACGACGACGGGAGGGACTCGATACCACCGACGGCACCCTCTCCGGCACCGACGAAAAAAAAACTCCCGCCAGCCTGCTCAACACGTTCGTCGCCGTGCCGTCCAGCCACAAGCTGCCGGTCCTACTGCGCCTGCTCGAGCACGTCGACCCACGCCCGCTGCGCACCCTCGTCTTCATGGCCTCGTGCTTCTCTGTCAAGTACTACGCCGCCGTCCTTGCGCCCGCCGTGCCGCCCGGCTACTCCGTCGTCTCGCTGCACGGCAAGCTGGAGCCGCACGTGCGCGAAAAGGCTTTTGCCCGCTTCCTGGCCGCCACGTCGCCCTGCGTCCTGCTGACTACCGACGTTGCTGCTCGCGGCCTGGATGTCCCCCAGGCCGATCTCGTCGTCAACATTGACCCGCCCACCGATCCCAAGACCTTTTTGCATCGCTGTGGTCGCACCGGCCGCGCTGGCCGTCGCGGCCTGGCCGTCACCATGTTGCGGCCGGGCCGCGAGGCTGACGACTATGTCACCTTTTTGCGCGTGCGCAAGACCCCCGTCGAACCGTTGGCTGATGCTGTCCCGAGTCTGGCCGCTGCTGTCGGTCTTGGTCCTGCCAGCGATCCGGATGTCGCCGAGGCTGCCGCCTTGGCCCTCACCCGCTCCATTCGCCGACAGGTGCGCGACGACCGCGAGCTGCATCAGCTCGGCCAGCGTGCTTTTGTGTCGTGGGCCCGCGCTTTTCAGGAACACCGTGCTAGCTCCATCTTTCGTGCTGCCGATCTCGACTGGAACGACCTCGGCCATGCCTGGGGACTCGCCCGCTTGCCCAAGATGCCCGAGCTGCGTGCTGCTGGCATCACCGACCGTTCGCTCGGCCTTGGCCAGCCGGGCTGCCACCCTGACGACGCCGCCATCGATGTCGACGCCATCCCGTTTCGTGATCCGGCCAAGGAGAAGCGTCGTCGCGCCGAGCTGGCCGCTGCGGTTGCTGCCAAGGCCAAGGCTGCCGCCGCTGGGCCACAGGACAACCAAACCCCTGCAGAATGGACCACAGCTGCCGAGGCTAGGAAACGCAACGCCCCCTGGAGCGCCCGTCAGGATCGCGACACCCTGCGTGGCGATCGCCGCGACAGGAAGCGTCGCAAGCGTGAGGCTGAACGCTACGCCCTCATGACGCCTGCCGAGCGCGCAGAGGCCGCCAAGACGGACCTGCTCGTCGCCCAGGTCCGCCGACAGACCCTGGCTGCTGCTGCCGCCGAGGCTGCCGCCGAGGCAAAAGAAGCTGCCGACGAGTTCGCTGGGTTTGCTGACTAAGGGTCGTGCAGCGTTGCCACGACAGGAAGGAGCGGAAGGAGCACACGTGTTTGGGTTAGACAAAATAAGGGACATCTGGGCTGGCGTTGAAATCTGTAATACACTCTGTTTAGACCATTGCTCGGGCCATCTGCATCAGCGTCTGTGGCTCCTCTCCCGTGCATGTCTGTCTGCATGTCGGTCGTCCGGCCTGGACTGTTTGTCTGCCCGTCTGTCCTGCGACCGGTGTCGACGTCTACTCTCGCTGCTGCGGCCGCCCTGTAGAGAAAAGTCCTCGAGGCTGTTGCCGCTGTCGCTGTCGCTTTCGTGTCGATGGTGTCTCCGCCTGCTCTGTCGTCCCTCTGTCCCGTCGTCCGCATCGTGCTCCTTTTCCTCGCGTCGTCGTCGCCGCTCTCGTCGTCGCTCTCGCCGCTGCCGTCGCTCCTCGGCCTCCATCGCCGCCATGTCGGCTGCCCGCTCCTCCGTCTCTCGCTTCCGTTCTTGCGTGAGCGCCCGCACAGCTGCCGCGCCCTGCCGCATGGCCGCCAGCGGGTCCGCCAGCACAGACGATGGCAGCGGCGGGTGGCGCGGCCGCTGCTGCTGTTGCTGTCTCGGCTCTTGTTCAGCCTGTTGTCTCTTGGCCTTGTCGCCACCTCCGGCATACCACGCCTCAAACGAGCCGTTGTAGCCGGCCGCATCGGCGAACCGCATGTTGAGCAGCGCCCCATCCGTCGGTGGCCCTCTTGCCTGTCTGCCACCCCCCGACGGCTGGGGTGCCTCTCCAAATAGGTCGATGTGGCCGGTACCGTCCACGATCGGCCGGCTGGCCGCACCGCCACTCTTGCTCTTGCTCTTGACTGGTCCGGTAGCCTCCAGGCTGCCTGGCTCCATCTCTGCCCGCGCCAACCGCATCTCAAAGTCTGTGTCGTCCTCGCCGTGTCGCTTGCGCTTCTTGGCCGCCCACGGCCGCTGGCTCCCGGCAGCCGCTGCGCTGCTAGATGCACCAGAGCCAGAGGGCCCGCTGATTGCTGTCTGATCCTCTTCTGGCACCGCTTCGCCTCTTAGGATGGCCTGACGACGCGCCGATTCCGTCTCCTTGCGTCGTCGGTCCTCGTCCGCCTCGCGTGCTCGGGCCTCGGCCTCGTCGCGCCGGACTCGCTCAATGTTCGCTGCATTGTACACGTTCCACGACTTCTTTCCGAGAAGTTTCCTTCGTGCGCCAGTTAGCTGGCAGTTCGGCTTTCACAGGAGAAGATCAGGGGAACGTACAGCGGCATTTTCAAGCTATTGCTGTTGACGGTGGGACAAAGGAGATGCCAAATCTGAGTCCAGTAAATCCCGGTTTACCCTGCGTGAATATTACGTAAGCAACGAGCCTCTTTCTGCGCCGGGTGGCCATTTAACCACAAATGAGGTTCAAAAGGAAGGAGCAAAAAGGAGTCGTCCACGCAACAGCGCGAGCCCCAATTCCAGTCAATTGGATAAAATGTCAAAACTAAACAGCATGCGTCGGCCGGGAATCGAACCCGGGGCCTGTCGATGGCAACGACAGATTTTACCACTAAACCACCGACGCTCGACAAGGATCTGTACGAAAAATTTGCTAGAAATAGTAACCATATACTCCGTATACTTACGGCTGTTGCAGTGCATGCTTACTGGCATTAAGACTGGCACTACGGAGTAGGACCCTGTAAATTGCTTTCCGTAGGCCTTATTGCAACTTATGCCGCGGCCCACGAGCTCTGTTACCGACGATATCACGAACCTGGAGCACTAACAGGAGCATTTTCGGAGCTTCGTCGAGTTTTTCAACAAGAATAGACTAGGACACCGAACACTATCTGTCTATGCGCGTTCCTACTTGTCCCTACGGACGACTTAGAACGTCTCGTCAACACCGCGAAACAGTGGTGCCGCGACTGCTGCAATACATAATTTTCTTTGCCTGTAAGCCTACACTGGAATCTGAGTTTGTACGTACACACTGTTTCAATCCATTCGCAGACCCTTAATCGTCTGTTTATCAACGAGTGCATAGTCCTTGACAAGTTGCCTTGTGAAAAGAATCCCGCTGGGTCCAGCAGTGCCACCACGTCAGGCGGCGTCCGTTCCGTCCATTTCAGTATCCCCGTGGCCAGCTTTGAACCGGGCAGTCTTTTCAATTTATTGTTAGAGGAGTCACCACCCTTTTTTTGGATTGATTCCGTGTTCATCGGTTTCAACTATAATATGTGGGCGGTTTTGTTTTCCCAAAGGCTTTTTTCGGCTTTATTTTATAATTCATCAGTTATTATCTCAACAAAATAACGAATACACAGAGCCTAGAACAATATTCCGCCTCATTGCCCACTGAATCCCTCTGGCCATGAAATCCTATGTTCGTCATCATTGCTCCAGTATCCTCGGCCGCCCTTTTGGTAGATTTCGGACCTGGCGTCAAATGACTTTTCCATAACATCGTGTTCATTTTCTGTATCCTCCAGCTCTAGCTCTGACTCAGGTGCAGTTTCAGAAAACAACTCGAGTAGGCTGTACCGTTTCAGGCGGTCCTCATCCCAGAGCACATATGCCTGTTCCCGGAATCCAGCATTGTGGTTCATCATGAGCGAGCTATGGAGGGGCAGTTCTTTGTTAGCTGCCCACCATGCCTCAAAGGGGCCCCTGTCGACATCATGCCGAGGCTCCGATGGTTCAAATAGGGCGTCTCGTTTCTCTTTGGAATAGTCTTCTAGCGGCGTATCATTGACGCGTCGGTCTTCCGCGTATAGCTGTAGGAGTGTCTCGTGCAGATCCGTTCTGTCGGATGTAAACGTAGACGCCAAGAGTTGATGCTTGGCATCGTACGTCGTTTCTATCAGGAGTTGATGGACAAAACAAAGGCTCTGGCCTAGCTGGAAAGACATATCACACAAGTCAGTACATGTGCAAACAAACAAAAACGTACTTTGAAGGAGTAAGGGTTTGGCCTTCGTTTTATTTCTTACCCAAGTTTGTCTTGAATAGTTCATGTAGCCCGGAGTGAGATAGTCCACGCTCATCTCGCCAAAGAAAACGTCATGCGCAACAATGTCCCGGGAGGCTATGCGAGTGAATATGTTAGCACGAGAAATCAGAACAAAATACCGTAAGAGAGAACAGGGTCAAAGAGGATGAAGGCACCTTTTGAAAATTGAAGTTCGAAAAAGTCTTGCACGCAACCAATCTGCTCGTTTTCCCACGCCGGAAACGTCCGCAAAAACGAGGCACCGCAACTCGTTTCTTCATCTGGTGAGTCAGAGCGTGGAAAGTAGCGAAAGTACAATTCCATCCGGTAAAAGGCGCGACAGAAACGAATGTATTCCTTTGATGAAAGAGACACGCTCTCTCCGCTTTGTGCAGGCGAGATTCGTGAAGACAGATGTGTCCATGCACTGGTCGAAAATCCCATTACGAAGCTGTGGATGACGTCGTGTGTGTGGCTCATCTGCGACAACAGTGGGAACGGCATCGTCGCCAACTGGCTTGCAAGCGTCCTTATCTGAAACTCTTGCGCCTCTTGCGATTCCGTGTACAGTTCACCGTTAAGCTTGTTGAGCAGCGTCTGGACCTTTGGGGCGGTTCGTGGACCAAGACGCGATCCTTCCATCACTGCAATTGCGTAGGGGAGCAACTCTGGGGCGATCTGTCGCTGCAAAATGTCAGCTGCGACGTGTGGGTTTTCCTGGAAGCTGGTGTGGACATGGTGACAAGTGAGCAATGCCGATGACAAGTTCTGCAAGCTACCAACATGCTGCAACACTGCGTTGACAATTTCGCACGGAAGTTTTGTAATGATAGACATTGCTGATGCTGAAAGTTTTGACGTCTTCGTCCCTGTTGCTAAGAAGAAGTGAAGAGTACGATCAAGATGTTCTGACTGGTAGATACTCGGACTCGAAATTGATGCTCTGCGCCGCCACTTCGCTCCATAGAATATTTAGCGTCTTTCTCAGGGGTTGTCTGGATTTTTTTTCAGCGCTTAGGCGCCCCTTATTGGCACCGGCCGTTAACGCCCACCTACACCCGCAGTTCAGAGCGCTTTTAGCTCCTTCACATTCATTGGCTCTCATGGCCAGAATACAACAATGTATCTTACGTTTCGTGTCCTTAACATAGCCTAAACCCAGCCCCGACCCGGCCGCATCCCCGGCCTCGCGCTTGCCACTAGGCAAATGCTGCGAGATGGACAGGCACAACAGGAAACCGTTGCTATAGGTAATCTAACTGATAACTGAAGCATCATCGGCACGGCGTACCTAGAGCATTAGCTGCATGTTTATGACAGTACGCCTATATATCTAGCAATTCCTTGATATTGTGGTGATGAAATTATTGTGTTTTAGTAGACTATGCCGGGGTGTCTTACCTACTTTCCGTCCTCACTAAATACCATGTCTTTGCCCTCCTACATCTAGTCTTTGTATAAAGCTCGCAGCCGCTTTCTCACTCTCTCCACGCTTTTGCCGAAGTTCGTAAGTCGTAAAGCCAAAACTAACGTAAAAGTTGCGTTGTCGCCGTTGTCTATTGGCAGTCGGTACGCATGTTGCTGAGATAATCCATGCAAGTGATCTGAAGTCTTAATCGCGTGCTCAATATTTCTGTGAAGAACTGCTGACCATTGCGGATAGATCAGTGCAAGGCCAAGTGGCGTCATGTATGCTCGTGGACCTTCCGTTAATTTGGCCCGACCCGGTAATATTAATGTGACGTATACTTCCTAGGACGTTGCGTGTACCCAGGTTCGTCATTAGTGTTAGACGTAAAAGGTCGATAGATTGATGTTACCATGTTACTTGTTAGATCGTCCAAGAGGCGGGATATTCGACAGGGTCTTTTATTGACTGCTAATTGTGTTGATACACTCTGTGTTCTGCGGTTCTCACTTTTGCGTTAACAGTCTTGCAAGATACTGGGAAGAACATGGAATGGGTAACACTATATAGCCTGGTCCACTTTAGCGCACAAGCACCCTCACTGTTAACTAGCTTTATACTTTTGATGCCTTACTTTAGACGCACGGGTTATTAGTGGTGGTGCTTTTGGTGAATCGAAAACGAGGTGAAGGGGGTAGGAAGGTGTCAAGCATTGGAATCCGCCACACTGTGGCCCTTCCGCCCCACTTGGCCGTACGGGCCTGTAATTGGTCAGAAGGCACAAAAGCGGGGCCTGACACTAGTATTAATACGGATCCCCAGAAGGGTCGCGATGTATCTATTTCTTCCTTAGTACACAACACTCTTTCGCCCACACTAGACCCTATTCAGCCTCCTGCTCCTCACAGTGCATCACGTTATATGACCGCTACGTATAGCCTCCTTTAACCTTCACAGAAGGTAATATCAAGCGAAATCCTAGACTCTTAAACTTAAAATGGACGGCACAAACTCCTAGGTCCACATTTAAACATCGAATGATGCCATTGCTCTTCACCTTACTGTTCACTTTGCTCCTAATTTGAGGACTATAACCGGGTCACACATTCCTGTTAAGGGCTTCTCGCGTCGCTTTAGATATGCGCTAGAACCAAAAGCCACCACGCCAGCCATCGGCTAGATGCATTCGCTTGTGGCAAGATGGGCACTTGGAGTTAGCCCAGCCTAGAGAAAGAGGGAGACATACAGGGTATCGACTAAGAAAACGTGCTTATATGATATTTAATATCCTACCGCCAAAAGCGTAACGGGAACTAGTTCTCTCGTTAAGAGAGAGAAGACCAATCCTGTCATGTTAGCACTGGCTATGCAAGACGATAGCGAGGTGGCACATGCCTTCGGAATTCGCGGATACTTGGTTGGACACCGATGTGGATAGTGCTTGCTATTATCTTTGAGATCCCGTGCGTCCTGTAGGGCCACTAACGTCGTCTTCCAATAACCGCAAGTTATCTAGGGTTTGGGGCGAGATGGATTGGTACGGGCGTTTGTATTCTACTCTGTACAGAGAACGGAGTTGATGGAAAGGGGACGCACTAAGGCGTTGTGGCTCTTCGAAGCTGTTATAAGATGATTTTTTTTATTCCTGTGTTATATTCTATATACGGGCACCCGTACAAAAAGTAACCACTGCTGGCTTATGCAGTCTTGCGCAAGTGTAGGGCACACCTATAATGTTTTCCCTTGGCGATTTGTGCAGCGGTGTTGTCACTGCGGTCGATTTCGCGGAGTTTTTTCTCAAGATAGGCAACAAACTAGTCTCGCAACTCTTGGTCTGTGTGAGGCTTTAAGGCCTTTGGAAGATCTAGTAATAATGATTCAGTAGTCGGTATAGGTTTAGATGAGTTATGCGTCCTTTTTGAGGCGCTATATTGTCTAGTAAGTTTCATTGTACTCCTCTATATAAGTAAAACCGCCTCTTTAGACATAGACTGTGCCGTCCTCCTAACCCCCTAGGCGGAGCTTTACTAAATCGTCCAGCCTGGTCGACCCATCTGACCGAACAACGTCTTTCTCCATAAGCACCAGCCCTAGAAAGGTGCAGAATATGAGCGATGGCGCGGTGTATGGCCAAAAGTCGCGGCAAGGGTGCTTCAATAATGGTTGTGTTCAAGAGCGTGCGCGTCACAGGCAGGCCTTGGATTCGTTTGATAAAGGGTTTGCTGAAAGAGTCAATCCTGTACGTTCCGACCGAGCCCAGCACCTCTTCGAAATAGACCTTGAAGTTGCCAAAAACTTTGTGCATATCATTTGTAAGCATGAGTGCATTTCTGGGTTGGTCGATTTCAACGCCTTCAGCAAGGCTCTCACCACCAATGTCAAACATATCAAGGAGATTCAGCGCCGTTTGTTTCGACTCGGTCTTTGTCGTTAACATTGGATAGAATGGCCTTAAGTTTGGCATAGAAACTTACAAGCTCCGGATTAGCATCCGATTCGGCTTTAGTCAAAGAATGTGGAAGGATGTGTGCTACTTCCAGATCACTAAAACCACCCTCGTTTGACAATAGTTGGCCAGTGTCGTCACGATCCTGGTCACCATCTCTATCCGACCGTGACATCGCTTCCGTCTGGTCAAAGAGGCGAGTTATCACACAGCGATGCTGGTCGCGCTCTAGGCAAATGCCCCGAAGCGCAGCTACCCGGTCTGGGGTTCCCACCTCGAGGTGCCCCGACCTAAGTCTTTGTATGGCAGAGTAAAATGCGGGCGTAGGCTGTCTTGTTTCATTAGCCGCCATTTTCACTAGACGAGAAGTAAGTATCTCAAGTATCGTGCCAGCGGCTGTGTCATAAAGAGACAGCACGGACATGGCAGAAAGTAGCCTTCAAACAAGTACTTCGCAAAGTTCTTGAAGTCGCCGGCCAGAGCACCGCAATCAATTGCCCCTGTCCCATCCAAAGAGATACCCATTGAGTCAAAGAAAACCTGGAGAAAGCTGTCCTTGGATAGCTCCGAACGGGCATATTCGTAGGTGTATTGGATCAAGAGGGGCCAGCTGTACGGCTTGTCGCTGCCAAGGACAGCTTTGAACTATTATACAATCTCGTACAGCCTGCTCTTGCCTCGTGCTCGCCTGCTTGGATCTAGGCCGGGGGTTTCGAGAAGTCGATTACATCCTCGAGGGAGGACTGGCCATGGTGACTGGCCATGACGGCGTTATGTTTCGGCTGGGTTTATGAAGTTGCACAAGGCGACAGAATGAGATATGGGTACTCTGCATGGAGTAAGAAGCACTACGATAAGAAGATAACCGGTATGTACTCCGTATTTTTGTTAATGATCGGACCAATTTTCAACGCAAGCAGCGAGAAACATCGGGTAGGTATTTCGTCTTTACCGCCTTTGCTCCACTATAACGAACTAATAGAATCATGCTAATATCTCCGCCTAGCTAATTTTTTGTTTTTGGCGTACGGAATACATACGATCTAGTAGGCTGTACTCACTAAAATCTTATGTATGGAGCACTTAGCAGGAGTAGGTTATACACCGTTGTTTTGGCTGTGTCGAATGGTGGAGGTATACCCCGTAGACTACGGAGTAATTATGGCATAGACACATTCATCGAGCGAGAGGACGGACACCGCTACGTTGCATCAAACGATATAAGCAATAGCAAAACAAGGATTAGACTAGCCAAGGCCATCGTAAAGCAAAAGTCCATCGTGCGTCGCGGGACTGCCTCCTATGGGACCGAAATAGCTACGTCGAAATGTTCTCGGGAGCATTTGATAAGAGCCAGCTGGAGTTGAAACAGCCAAGGTTAGCCGAGGAACGGCCGTCATGGAGGTGGCGAGAATAGTGCACATCATCGAGACACTACCATTGCGGGAAGCTCTGAAGTTTCCGATGCCTCGCAGGTTCCGGATTGACACTGTTCATTCCTACCTCGTCGTTTCGCCAGCTGGCCGTGTCATTGGCGCTTTCAAGATGACCAGGGAACTACTGGAGGCAATGCAGATGCGACCAAGACACAGCAATCTCTCTGTCCGACTGGCAATATTCTCCATCGCTATATCTTCCTACGATTCTAAGACGCCATGCAGCTTCCATGGAATGCTGATCTACCTAGATCCAGCCAAAGCGAGAGACAGTGGCCTAAGCGGAGCGCGGCAGCAGACTGGCACTATGAAAGTTATGGGTCGAGGTGTTGCATAAAATATGGACGAGTACCCAAATGCGTTTGATGATATGAAGTCTCTGTGTCCGAAGACCAGATTTATACTGTTTGGGGATACAGTGACGTTAAACTCTGCAACTCTTGCAGGAGACCCAGACTAGTCTTACAATTCCATTATATCTGTCTACGAAGATGCTATCGATATATAGATTGCCGCATAAATATTAACGTACAATATTAAATAAAGGTTAAATCGACCCAGAAATGCTCATTACACGGCTGACAGAAGGTGGATAGAAAGACAAACATGATTACTCTTGGAGGTACTACAACTTCCTGTCTCTACCAGCCTAAGCTGAAGACGGCCACGACCACGAGGATCGGCCTGCACCAACTATAGAAGAGCTTTGCCCTTGTATGTAGGTAATACAAGAAGTGGATTTCTTTAGCTAAGACAGATTGTGCGTACACCGAGGGCATATTTTCTAATTTGCTTCGTCAAAGAATACTGCCCTAGTTAAGCCTCTGGCTTCTGGCCGTACACCTGCTTTGCACAGTAGTAGGCATGCACGTTCAGGCTGCGCATCTCCTTTCGTACCAGCGCGGAATAGATAGTGGTCTGCTCCGGCGTGAAGCCCACTGCGTTTGCCAGTCGGCCGATCATGCCTTCTGTGTCAGTTTCCAGCATGGCGCGACAGTACAGCCCAATCTCCTTGAGTTTGGGGTCTTTGGGCCATTCCGAGTAGGGAACCTGCCATGTTAGGAAGGCAGACACTGATACAAGAAAGGAAGACAAAATAAACACACCTTATATGACGTCTCGGAAATGTTGACGAATCCAGCGGCATCTATGGCTGGCCGCGTTAGGTCATCTAGTACCGTACAAATCGACGGCTTGAGGCCCATATTCTTGGCACCCTCAATAGCAATACGTTTCCAATCGTAGGTGGCCGTGGTCTCGCTCATGGTACCGTCGTCGCTGCGGAAGAATCCGTCGTTGTCCAATGACTCAAGCCAACCGCCCGGCTTCAGGGTGCGGTAAGCCTGCTCAAACAGCCACTTCCAATCGTGGACGGTGCCAGGCACCCATCGGATGTGGATAAAGTCAAAGTGGTTTTCCGGGAAAAGCCAAGGCTTGTTGAAGTCGTCAATCATACTAGGGAAACCCAGCCGTCAGCTTTCTGTCACACCTAGCTTCAGGGACATACGAGAAATAGCACAATTTCACGTTGGGCGGCACCCATGTCGGCTGTATGGGCGATATGTCGGTGCCGATTATCTCGGCCTCGGGATGCGCGTCGGCAAAGTCTCTAATATGAATGTGAGTGTTTGGAGCCGACGGAAGCAGGCGCATGGAGGGGGAAGACATACATAGCCCAGGACCCTGTGCCAGTACCAAGGTCAAGAACTCTCTTCGGGGAGTTTGAGTATCAGTACCATTCTTCGCGATATGGAAAATATGTAAGGCCCTACTTCAATTGGCTCTTTTAGCGGCGGCCCGTACAACTTGCCATCTAGTAGCAAAGTGAGCACGTGGTGCCTGAATGTTGTTAGCTGTCAGCCTTGGCTCCGCGAGGGGAAAGGGACTGCGTATCGTTCGCACCCAATGTCAAGAAGGTTGTTTTGTGCCTGATCATTGGAGCCCCTGTAATGCGTCAGCGTTTTCGGATTGGAGGAAGGAAGAAATCTGTGAAGAGTACCAGTAGTGGTCTCCTATGGAATCGCTGTGGTATGTCCGACCGTTAAGCGTGCGATATTTTACGATAGATGATGTGATCGATGCTGTAAAGGATGAATGTTCGTCTCCCATAGTAGAGTCGGCGTCGCTGTCGCTTGCCTGCAAGAGGGACCTATTATTAACCTGGCCATCGGAACAAGAGAGCAAATAGAGTGGGGTTGAGCCCAGACGCAGAGGCATACCTCAGGCACATTGTCAACAGCCTCGATGAAGTCAGTAACAGTCTGTGAAGTTGACGGGTCAGCGGTGGCGGCTGTGACGACTGTGGGAGGAGTAGTGCCCCCAGACATGACCCCAGACGTGCCCTTGGCAGGAACAGTCTCTGTCGGTACAGTCTGAGTTTGGGGGGTGGCTACAGCTGGGGGTGGCGAAGAAGTCCTGGGCCCAGCCATCATAGATGATACAGCAGTTTGGAAAGTTGAGAATTCTTGTGGCGGAGAGCGGGTCAAGTAATGTGCCAAGGTTGCCTGTTATACTCCGCACCATGCAGAAAATGCACGGGGGTAGGCCGGGAACAGTCAGGCCATTAACTGCTTGATTCAGTGGAGATTGACGTGAACATGAGCCGAGGTATACCGAAAGAGGATGGACTCCGAGTTTAAGGTAGCAATGGATAAGACGCTTTTCTGTTTCTTACCTTGGACATGAATGCCGGCATTCGACCTTTCATCGTTTTTATTGTTGTTGTTGTAGATCTAACTAGCGTATAATAGCTAAGTACCTTTTTTTCTTTACCTAACAACCGATATCGAAGATCTAGGATACGATTTAGAAAGTATAGTAGGCCCAACGAATCACGTAAAGTTGGCGTTTCGCGCAATTATACAAACGCATTGCGCCCATGTAGCAACGTTACTATTACCCTCTTCATCATTCTTCGCTTTGAAGCCTTCAAAGGCCGGTATGGTACAATTATTTCGCATACAATAGAAGGCCTTCGCACTCAGCCTAGGAAGAGAAATCTTTCTTCAGGTTACAGAAGTCATTTGAATAAGAGATACCCTATAGAACATGTAGAAGTATAAAGCACCACATGGCCCAAAATGCGCTTCGCTACCCATAAGACACGCTATGAAAATCCATTTGGTTGTATCACATTCGTTCTTAGCCGTTCTCAACATGTCAACAAAGAATATAACCAAGAGTGTGACGTGATTCAAAGCTGATCCGCCACATAGTGGCGCTGTCGAGAAACTCCAACGCTGGCCTGCCTCTTAGAAGAGAGGGCGGAGAAGGGCCTATTGAAGATATTGGAGCATACCTAGTCCGTTCGACTTGAGCCATAGGCCAAGGTGAGTGGCGTAATGTGGCGAGCCAGATGTTAACCTAAAAATGTTAAAAAGCGATTGGCTCCCACCAGGCTCTGGTCAGTGTCCGGTTTGTTGTGGGAGACCTCCTGAGTGGAGATTCCATGCCCAGTAAGGATGCTGGGAGCGACAATGACAAACGTTAGTGGCCAAAACGCTGCCAATGTTCGTCCACTATGTAGTGCCGACGGCGAGCAGTGGCGTGGCGGGTAGTGGCAGTTTAGAGGGGGGTGGGAAGGTCGTTGACTGTGTGTGTTTTCTAGTTGTCAGCAGCGGCCAAACTGTGTTTAAAAACTGTACATCCCAAAGGCATCCATTTTGATTTTAGAGGGTGGAATTAATGATTACATTATTTCGTGCCCAGTCTAGGCTACAAGCTCTCAATAAAATAAAAGGATAGAAAAAATTCACCAGTCCCGGCTTCCTTCTTAAAAGTGCTAATCGAGACTGGCCATAATCCGTGATATCTAGGCAAGGTTATATCGTATAAAGAGCGTAATGTATTGTTCGATGCTTTTCTCGAGCTGGCTCTCGAGCTAACAGTTGTGCCATATTAGGCTTGGCAACTCGCTATTTGGTCTGCTGGTAAGTCTCCTAGCCAACGTAATTATAGTTATAGCACCGGGTCCTATGCTTTAGTAATGTTGGTATCTCCCACGATCGTGACATGTGAAGAATGAGGTAGCTTTTGGTGGGCCACCAAATAGCAGGTGCAAAGAAGGGGCTAAATGCCACGAGGGATGGGTACTAAGCCACCTCTCTCAGAGAAAACCCCTCCTTCGTCTACCATTTTCCGAGCCCAACGGTGCTTCACGTGATGCGCGGCACAGCCCAACGCAGTCATAATCTTTTTTATCCGTCTGCCACGGCACACACTTCAACACCTAACAATACACATGTTTTTCTATATCTATTGTTTTCTCAATGACTGACACGAGCGAAGAGCAAGTGCCATCGTTGCCTGCCGCTTCGCTAGCTTCGGCTTGCGAGGAAGCAAATGAGCTGGTTCGATGGCTCAAACTCGGCACATTCAACTCCGTGCAGACTTTTGGTGGTTTGGACGATCGCCCGCCGTTTCTTAACACAGAATACCAAGAGTGGATACAGAGCGAGCCGGGTGAAAGGACAGAAGAGCAACGAACTTATACATGTGTTGCTCATGGGAAGCAGGCGGCTGTGGCATATGCCGTTGTGCAGGATGTGCGTCAACGCTTTGCGGCAGACATGGCGACCGGGCGCGTCTATATGGCCTATGCGGTGTGCAACTTTCAGTTTCAGGCACAGGCGCTAACGATTGACGTTTTTCTAGCGTTGCTGAAGCAGCTGCTTCCTGAGCACTACAAGGCGGAACCGTTTTATACGCACAACATCCTGACCGGTGAAGAGGACTGGGCGGCGCCATCGCTGAATGGTGTGGTGCGTGTGTTGCAGGCGGTGCTCGCGCAGTTTCAGCGCATCATCATTGTGGTGCAGGACCCTGCCCGATATGCAACGGAGACGTGGGATGAGCTACAGGCCAGGATGCGGGCTCTGCAGACTAGCCACCGCGGACTGTATCTGTTAACCGTGGTGTCTGAACAGAGCGACGACGACGACAGGACATATCGTGCATGGATGGAGCGGATTCAGCGGCAGCCAGCAGAGCAAGCACGCCTGGCCGAGCAGGCGCTTTCTCACGTCGTGTGTGCGAACTTTCCGCTGACGGTAACAGCGCTGCGCGAAGCTCTGACGGTGAAGGAGGGGGATATAAGAATTGACTCACGGCGCATGCCCCCTATGGACGATATACTGGCTGCCTGTCTGGGGCTTCTAGTTGTATGGCCGCATGGCGACGGCGACGACGAAGACACGACGGTGCAGTTCGTTGATGCCGCTTTGTTGGACTGGCTGCAGCGCGAGCGTTCTCGCTGGCTTCCGCGCGCTGACCAGGACGTCTTGGCCACATTCCTCGCATATCTGGCCTCTTTACGCTCACGGTATATTCTAGGACGGACAAGGCTTCTCGAGCACCCGCTGTACTCACACGCTCTTCTGCGATGGGCGGACCATGCCGAGCGAGTGTTTGAAGACAGGAGTCCCGGTGCCGCAGTTGACCTCTTGAACTGTGCCTTTTTTTCCGACTGTGACAAGATGCAAAGTGCCGTATGGCTATGGCAGTACTCTCAACGCAAACACATAAAGTATGAAGTTGATCCTTACGACAGACTCAACCCCAGCGCCTACCATACCGCCGCTTATTTCGGCTCCGCGAATCTCGTGTATGCGCTACGTTGCAGCGCCTTATTTAGCGCTGATGTCAACGCACGGAACTCACGTGGCCAGACCGTGCTGACGCTGGCTGCCGATCTGGGGTTAATGGAGGTGGCACATGCACTGCTGCAGGAACCGCAGATGCCGACAATGCAGCAGTCTGTCGATGTTGACGCCCTCAACGAAAATGGCCGCGGGCCGCTGTTCCTAGCCGTGCTGAAGAGAAACTCAGCCATGGCCCATCTCCTGCTGGACCATGGTGCACATGTGTCTACCAGGGACGTCAATGGTGTGTCAATGCTCGATACGGCATCCAAAGGAGGCGACCCGGCCATTGTGGCGCGGCTGCTACAGCGCTGCGAGCAGGAGGAGCGAAATGAGTTGCACTCGACGCAGGCGAAAGACCAGAACAATGGCCAGACGGTTAGGAACACCACATACGAGGACGACACGTATGAGGATGACACAAGTGCGGACGCCAGAAAAGAGATCCCCCCTCTGCCAGACGGCCTGTGGCCGGACTCGGACGACACAAGGTACACGAGGGAAGATCCCGAAGACTACAAAGTATGCATGATGAGAGATATTCCGCTGGGGCCGCAGCCGGCGTTGGAGACGGAAAAAGACATGGAGAACGTCGTGACAGCGGCAGACAGTCCGCTGTGCGCGACATGTGCGTCGTTGGACATAGGGACGCTCTTTTCCAAGCCACCACCGCTAGATTGGGAAAATTCGACGCGTTTTGAAGTCGACGAAGGTTTGGTCAGCAATGCGTGCGGCTTTTGCAATCTGCTGGCCGGGTTCAGAGAAATGAAAACAAATATTAAGCAAATGTGGCTCGTTAAATCAAGCACGCGCCAATGGTTCGGCGACGACTTCTACCCGCACATCGCGAAAAGCTATGCGAAAGAGTATAGCGAGTCCGAGATGTCGCTGGCGGCTGTGGCTGCCGCGGCAAAAGTGGCCTCACCATGGCTGGACACACTTATTCTCAACGCCGATAACGGCCTCGGCTTTATCGGCCGCCTCGGCTCCAACGGTCCCAGCGGCCACTGTGCCGTCAATCTGCGGCGCCTATCGCCGACCACAGCCAATCTCGAGCAGGCACGCGGCTGGATCGACATTTGCAAAAAGCATCATTCGCGGTGTCAGCACCGGGTGCGCAAGCCGATCCCGCACTTGCGGCTGATTGACTGTGAGACGCGCGTCATCGTCAGCATGGACTCTGCGACCTCGATGACGACCACCTTTCTGGCTCTGAGCTACGTCTTTGGAAAAACGCCACCAGGAGGGATCATCAATTGTGTCGGCTGCAAAATCACGGAGACAGAGCGTGTCATTGAGGATGCCATCTGCGTCACTCGCCAGCTGGGCTACCACTATCTCTGGGTCGACCGACACTGCATACCGGCCGAGAACGAGGATGCAGACGCGTCACGCCGCCGCGTTGAGGCTCTTCAGAACATGAACCGCGTCTACGAGAACGCAGAGGTTACGATAGTGGCCGCGGCCGGAAGCGGCCCGTCGTTTGGCCTGCCGGGCGTCAGCTTTACCGCCCGTCATCCCCAGGTCTGCCGCCGCGTCCAGGGACACCTCCTGGCCAGCATCCCACCCGAACCCGCAGACATCATCAGAATGTCCGCCTGGTGGAGTCGCGCCTGGACCTACCAGGAGGCCTTTCTGTCCCATCGCCTGCTCTTCTTCTCCGAGCACGAGCTATCCTTTGAGTGCGGCGGCATGGTCGCCCGCGAGTCCGTCGATCTGCCGCTGCCCGTACGCCGCATTGAGTACGGGCGCCATGCTGACATCCATCGGCGAATCGTGATGCGCGATGGAATGCCAAACTTAGACGTGGAATACAGCGGCATACCAAAAGACTCTCCGATCGACCTCTGGCTCATCATCAGCGTGTACGCCAAACGCCACCTCACCCTTCAGTCCGACATCCTCAACGCCTTTCTCGGCATCTTCCAGCGGTACATAGATACCGGCCAGCCTGTGCATCACATGTGCGGTTTGCCGCTGGTGCAAAAGAACGTCTCAAGAACTCGAGAGAAGGCCATTCCCCTCGATTCCCTAGTCTCAAGCCTGTGCTGGAAACCCTGGAAAGTGGATGGCGTCCGGCGCCCGGGATTTCCCAGCTGGTCGTGGACCGGTTGGACGTGCACTGGAGTTGCCAGTATAGCTGAATGCGTGGTTTTTGGCAACGACGAGCCGCCAGACGTGGCATTGGTGGTGCCCAAGGACGCCAGTACCGACTCTCCCGGCCCAGTCATCCCCTGGCTCGCTTTTTCCGCCATGTCAGACGCCCATCGTGCCGTCTTGCCCCAGAACCTCCACCTGCGCATCACTGCGCCCGTCCTGTCCGCCACCTTATTCGCCAACACAGCCCGTGCCTCCATATCTCCGTTCATGGCCATCCTTCGCAGCGCCCGCGCCAGCTTTTACGCTGACGCACATATTTGTAAGGACACCAAGATCGACGCCGAACTTGGACGCCGCCTCGTTCGGGATACGTTGACCGCCGTGGCTTTGGGCTATGACAGCTCCCAAAACCGCCCGGGCCGCCTGTTTCTTCTCCTGGAAAAGGTCGACAACAGATGGCAGAGGATCGGTGTGGCCAGAGCGGAAACAGGCCAGATCACACAGTCTATCGGAGACGTGCAAACCATTGTTATTGAGTAAAAGATTACCTTGAAAGCAAGGTATCGCTCCATCCCAAAAAGCTTTTCAACTGTTCCAGTTGGAATGGAGAGACGATGTTGGGAGGACACCTTTGCTTCCGGTAGATAAATAACAAAAGAAAACAGTCTATTTTCTACTTGTCAAGCGCGTAGACACCGAGGCAAGAGTTACAGACAGGCAACTCGCAATTCTGGCGGAGACAGCATAATTGGTATAATATACATCAGCGAAGGAAAGATCAGACCGCTGCCACCTTTGCGGCCATGGTCTTTGCCGTCGGGTTCCCGGTTACCTCCATGTAGGGATTGTGGAGGCTGTGTAGCAACATGGTCGCAAAGCTGGCAACTGTCAATGACTTCATCATGGCATTTGTCCAATTGACATGCATCTGCACCTCGGCGGGGAGGAGGTCATTCCGTCCACGTCTGCATATGCGGTCATTCTCGTGGTATATGTCGGATCCACCTCTTCCACGTTGCGATGGCGCATCGCCACATGTCTCGGACGAGTGGCGAGGCTTTTTTGGATAGTGGCTATAGTGTCGATCTCATGTAAACTACTCTAACACGGTTTCCCACATTTATGGCATGCTGGTGCCAGCTGATGGCGAGCTAAACGCCTTTGGGGGGATGACGATGAGTCTGGACACAGCAAATCAGAAGAAGACTGCTCGACACGAGCTACGTTCCCGTCTGTCTCGGCATGGTCAACCTGCCGGAGAGCTTCTATTCAGGGCCTTGCTGCAACAGACTCACCAGCTGCTGCTGCTCTCGTTTGCCGGTCCCGATCTCACCCACCACAAGGCGCTGCCCTGCCACGTCGATATCCAGGCAGAGATGAAGCGCACCAGCCGCGAGCTCCGCGCGCTGGGCCTCTGCAACGAAGACGTCTGCATCCACAGTTGCGCCTGGAATGAGGAGGTCTGGCGCGTCATGTACTTTACTTTCGACCAGGCCTACTTTGAGTCGTCGGAGCCGGGCACGCCCGAGTCGCTCGAATCGTCAAAGCCGGCAAAGATGATCGAGCCGTCTGATCCGAGAACACTAAAGGTCGAGCTACTGGCAGGTCCGTCAGAGCTGCCTGTCCTAGAGCCGGCAAAGCCGCCTTTCCTGAAAGACTCTTCCAAGTACACGTCCGGACAACAAGTCCCATCTGAACAGACACGGTCTCCTTCACCTGCTAAGCGGGACTGGACCAGTTTGCAACATGAGCTAATGTAACGTAACCGGGAGATTAAATCCACCTCTGGATGCATCACCACTCTACTTGGGTCATCACGATTCTGCTTTTCATGAGGCATGATGAGGTCATCATCCCGGGTTAGTTTCTCGTACGTTGTGAAAGCGGCACCCTTACTCGTAGGGCATTGTCTTGTTGCACGATGCCATATCGGAGTTTTAGGTCGTTAACAACATTGAAAAGCTGTCGTACTCTTCTAGTCTATACATCTGCGATTTGTTCTCCCCTAGACTGCCTCCAGAAATGTAGTCGTAGTTGAGCCCGACCATGCGACCGTCAAGCTCTTCAAGGATAATCAGTCGAACGGGATAATATCTAGGTGGCTAGAAGACGCATCACAGGCTTATCTCCTCTCATAATATTTCGGCATACTGCCGTAAATCTGATTGGCAGATGTAGCTTTATAGATGTTAATGAATCGTAAAACATGCGATGATGGACATGCCTCGACTGAATGAAAATAGTACTCGATCTTAAAGTCGTATTGTCGAGCACGTTATCGTTTACCGACATTCACTTTCAATACTTCAAGGAAGGTCTGTTCACGGCTGCCTAACGGCTTGACCAAGGGACACCTAAGAGTCTTCAACAATGCTTCGAAAAACACGCTTACACTTTCAAGTCGCGCTTTATGCTAATTAAGACGTAACGGGGAATCGTGTTGCAACTTGAATGGAGCTCTGGGCGCCTACAATCTGACAGAATGGACCCAATCTTAGGTTGGTATCATCAGCTCGGCGGTCGTGTTCTTTGGCCATGAATGACATTATAACATCGATCAAACTGATTGCTAGTCGGGCAAAAGGGCGCAATGTCGTATTTATGTAAGCTGGCTTCTTGCCATTCAGCCTATTTCGGCCATGGAAATTGGTTGTAGGAAGGTCTTATTTGCCTTGAAGTGGAAAACCATCAAAAAAATGTTGCAGCTACATTGGCGACATGGGTATTATGGTGTCATGTCGTCGCACGAATGGGAAAAATTGAATTTTGGAAGGCATCAAACAGATGTACTGTGCCAGATGATTATACAACTTGTTTTGCAGGCCATTTTAGGGTAGATAAAAAACAATAGTTTACAAAGGCCACTTTCCGTTGGGCCATTCATTGCCGAGTGGGACCAGCCAGCCCATTTCAGAACTTCTTACCGAATTGACTAGTCTGTATGCAGCGATATTGATTCCATAAGGTCTCATTCTGATCACCAATGAGATATGGTATCTGGGCGCAGGCTTCTGCATGCATCAAACCTCCCTGAGAAGGCCCACTAGCTACGGCAATGCCGACTCTGCCTTCAGGGATAGTGGATGGCTTGGGTCCGGATGGCTCACAAACCGCGTCCACCTCTCCGGGTTCGCTTCCAGTCTCAGCCGGGCACAGTTGACAAGCCTCTGGGCACAGTCCTGGATGACCTTTTCGACGGTAAGCTCATTGTTGTACCTTTCTTTCTCGTAGTACTTTCTGGTGAGCTGGAAGAGTTTCTCGAATGTGCTGTAATGGTATTGGTCCGGCCTGAACGAGCCGGCTCCCTTCTCGGTTGCGTTTTCGCGCAGCCCAATGTACCACTCTGGAGTGCCATTTGGGTCAGGACCCGGCGGTGACTTGGTCCAGCTTGGCAGAAACGGCTTTCTTGCCTTCTTTTTGCAGTGGCCGAGTTTAATATCCGACAGTCCAGTAGGCACGTTTAAGCGATAATACGCAGCACGAGCAGCATTGGTGGTGGTGGTGACGGACAGGTGAGTGCCTTCCGTCTCTGTGATCCCGTTCTTTGCCCAGAACATTAGGGACAGGATAGACTTGCCAAAACGGCTCTCAACTTTGGACTGGCCCGTGCCCAGGCTGAGCAGAAGCGACGCCTTGCCATGCTTGGGGTCGTCCGGGCTATACATCTGGATCGCCTCATTCCAGGCAAGGTCGGCCGGGTTGTTATTTCCGACGCCACCATCCATGTGCTTGTGCTTCTCTATTCGGATCTTTCTGAAATAAAAAGGTGCGGCTGTGGTTGCCCGGCAGACTTCCCATATTTTGGCCTTGGCTTTGTGAAGGGACTTGGGATTGAGCTCGAGCAGTGCTTCGCCTTCTGGGTACCGCGCATGGTGGCTATATGTTCGCCAGAAAAAGGTTTCTCGGGTAGGGTTGCCATTGCGTTGACTGACAACTGCCCTGTTTTTAATTTGTTTAGATGAATAGCGAGATAGCAGAAGAAAAGAACTTACACCTTGCAAGTGCCATTTATACGGGGGGGATCCACTGGTTCTCCATCTTCTCCATCTTTTCGATTTTCTGCATAGTCATACTGCCTAAACTCCTCTTCATGACCAATGCACTGTTGCGTACCACTGTGGCAGTGACAGTGTTTGGTAATTACCGTGTTGATGGCATTCACGAGCTTTGTGGAACTGAATAGCCACTTGTGCCAGGGCTTTACCGTAAAGATGACGTTGCTGAGCTGCCAGTAGCCCTTTATGCAGTCGTCGACGCCCATCCGCAGCCTCCCAAGCATAACGGCAATCAAACTAGGGGGCGAACTGTCAGCAACGCAAAGACGCTCGGCTTGGCTTACAGACATGGAGACAATGCAGCCTACCCGCCAGTGCTAGTGCCAATCATAAAGTCAAAGAAATAGCACGGCAGTACATCTGCTATAGATACCGTGACCCTCTGCTTGTCTTTATCTTGTCGTTTCTTCAGAATTTCCTTGACCAGTTTTTGGTTTTTCGTATCGTTAAGCAGCTGGACAACTTCTTCCATGATTCTTCTCATGAGGAAGAGAGTCGAAAGTCCACGAACGCCTCCGCCATCTTTTCAGGGGGTGGGGAAATTCAGAAGCCCATATCAGCGCAAGACTATAATAGTATGGATACAATTGCTTCTGGGTCCAAGGGGGGAAAAGAACAGAAAAGAAAGGAAATAAACCGGACGAAAAGGGGGAAAAGGTTGAGCTCCTACCTAAAGATAGAACGATCGGAAGCCAAGGGTCTTCGATCGTCACGGACCCAGCATCGGGATCAGAAGAGGAGGAAGTCGAACGGTCAGTGGTGGAGAGGGAGGGCATGCTTGCTTTCTTGTTTGCAATGTACTTATTCAACTGGACAGCAGAAAGGCAGAAAGGAAGAAGCAGGCGTTGATGCCCAATATGCAGGCTTTAAATACTACGGAACAGTTCATCGTGCTCTCTTGTTTTGACCGACACGCCTTCAGCCTTGTCAATGACAATAATACAATAATATCACAACGCAGAATTGGCCGCCTCGCAGACCCCTTCTGGTCCTTGAGGCCGGGAAACCTCCCCCCTGGTCAGCAATTGCCGCCCTACGAAGCATGTCAGCAGACGCCTCTGAGCGCGTGTGAGAAAAAACGCCCGTCACATTTTCGTCCGCTCGAAATTCGCCAATCGCCTTGTATCGGAGGATGGTCGGGCGTTCGACTTTATTGCTCAGCCGCCGCCACGTTTCAATTACGGCCATATCACATTCGTCCCGTGCGTCCGCAGATTACAGCCCAGCCAATAACACCTGCCAGAGGCTCAACGAAAGAGGGGCTAAGAGAGTGGGAACAGCAAACAATCATGCGGTCAGACGGCCGATTAGGTAGCCTAACGAAAAGGATTGTTTCCCCCCCTCTTTCTGACTTTTCTCGGTTGTTGTCGGGCTTGCCCTTGCCTTTTCCTACAAAGTCCATTAAAGCAGGCCATCTCATAACTCCTTTTTCACCGTCTACCTTGTTTTAGCAACTCTCCCATGTTTCTAGGACTTCTTGAAAAGAAAATAAACCAGATCTAAACTATCAGCCCTCGACTTCAACTTCAACAATGGGGAAACGGCCATCGTTCGGTTCTCACAATTCCACAAGTTGCTCAGATAGACCAAGGCGCAACAGCCATGTGGTGATCTGGGACCCGGTTCATAAGGAAACGCAGACAGCCCTTTGGGACGAGAAATATTCCAAAACTGGTGAGCTTAGAAACAAAACTGCCTCTCTGAAAAGATGGATGCACAATTCCCTCCCGCACAAATCTGGCACTGACACTTGAGGTTCTCTCTTGCAGACAAGTTCGATATTGGCAGGCTTCAGATGTGGGTCGACGTGAATGTCCCAGCGCACGCAGACACGAAAGAAGCTAGTGTACATGTCGCTTCTGTGCGGCTTCCCCTCAGAGTCGTGGCACGGAGGGTTTTTGGAGGATACAAGGAAATGCGCGTGGTTGAGTGTCACTAAGAGAGGCATATGGACAGGTTCGAATTCGGGGCACATCTTCTATGGAAGGGGGCGTTTCTCGGGGAGTTGTTCAGGGATAATATTACTACTCCGTATAAGCTCTTGTTTAAGACCGCTCATTTTTCGTGAACGGTGTAATACAATCGAGATAGTTTGTCTAAGAGAACAGCAGGCTCTAAAATGGCAAGTGCAACTGGGGGCGTTGTCCGGAAATGTGACTATGCGATGGACATTCCTTAGGTCATGGGAGAGGACCAGTAGATCGCAAAAAATTGGTACCGACAGGATTCAGGTTTACACATACTAGTCCGCTAACCGATGCAGCAGCATATCAATGTCAGCCCAGGCGGCAACACGACTCTCCAACCAGCCGATGGACAAGGCGAGACCAGACACAACCGTTGTTAACTTTTTGTCCTTACGTCGTATGATTTCCTATAGCAGGTATGTCTGTTCGTCCTGGTCGGCCCCTGCCTTGGCCTCTTCGGTGCCTGTTATTGTTGCAACGGCCGTCCATATAGCTCGTGTCTGGACGGTCTGCGTAGGTAGACATCCCGGCGTGCAGCTTGGCCTGTGTGCGTGACTGCAAACTCCATAGCCAAAGCAATGTTCCTGGCCGCCTGCTTCGTCGCCGTGCCGACACTACCACCACACTGCCACAGAGACACGCGCGACATGGTGTACCAGTGCCCGGCGCCAGACCCAGTAGTCGAGGCTCTGTGATGGCAAGTCACGGCCGATGATGGCGTGCAGCAGCAGTATCACGACTGCCACACCCATTTCGCCCGGGTTTTGCAGCATCGCGGGCATTCGTGCACGCTTACGTCAAGACCTGGGCAACGAGGGTGTCACCAGTGGCAGCTACTACCGCATCAGAACCCTCTGGGTCAGGCAGATCGTGCGTGTAGCGGTACAGCGAGACGACCGTGTCCAGACGGCGCAGGATGCAAACGTTCCAGTGCAGTTCCGTCGCTCTGCACAGCGGCACAAAGAGCATCGTGACAGAGGCGATAGATAACGACTCCCGTCCGAATCACTCTAGATCAACAACAGTAGATTTGGGTAAGAGGTGTGCAAGGGAGTCGCAGAGCTGAAGAAGGATGTGTCGGGGCAGTCACTAGCTATATGCTAGACGCTATATCCCGACTGTACACTATGTTTTGTGATTGTGTTCAGGTTTTCCTTTTGGGCCGAGTATCAAGTACATCCATAGGATTGCGGATTTTATTGTCGGTGGTTCCAAGGAGCTGAAAGGCATTGCTCCCGGATAGACGAGGATCGTATCCAAGCAAAGCAGCCTCGACATCCACCCTTCAAGCAATCGTATACATCATGATTCTGCCAACGCACACAGACGAGTGGCTTCTTGAGGACCGATTCGTGCTGCGCCTAACCTGATCTGTGCCCATTCCGCCTGTGGCTGCCCGTACGACATCCTGCTAGAAGTCAAAGCTGTCTCGCTAAACTACCGCGAAGACCCGGCCTAGGTCAGACAGCCCGCGGCCTGACACCCGACGGCGAGACTGCCATGGTCGGCTTCCTCGACTCCAGCTGCAACAGCCCCGGTTCGGCTACCATGAACGCGCTGCCCCGTGCGGCCATCGTGCGCTGAGTCCTCATTCGGTCACTGGCGCAGTACTACAATATGGCGCAGCAGATGTAGACGTGGCAGCAGAAGCATATTGGCAAGGTCGTTATTCCTTGCAACGAGAGGTAATTGGTTGGGGCTGCCGCTATTTTTACAGGAGTGCAGAGTAAGGATCTGCCTTATATGAGGAGGCCTCCTATTGTGATGCTATAGGCGCCTAGTGAGCATGCGTGCTCTCGGAGGCAACAATTGGGCAAGGAAATCGCTCCTAGAATCCGTTTATAAGTGCTAATGATGGTTACCTACAAGACGTTACAGGCGACACACAACAACCCTTATCCAGTGTTCTTCGTCCGTATTGCCTGCAGCTATTGGATACACAACACAAAGCGGCGGGCGCAGTCAGACAGGTGATCACATCCGCGCCCAGCGGCAGTTGGAGGGAGTCAAGCTTCATCTGTTAGGCTTCATACACATAATTAGACGCACCAAATCTCCGAACTCTTGTGTTATCTACCAAAGCAAGCCTGCTGCATAGAATTATTACACGGACGGCTTTTGTCCAAAGACGTAGCGGACACTGTAATATGTGTGTATGCGTTTGTCTTTGACAGCCCTGCGCAACTGCATAAGAAACACTTGATACTCGGCTTCGCCCAATCCTAAGACGTCGTTCCACAGGAAGGTAGTGTATCCTGTATGCAGTCAACTATCTTGGACGCATCGACGATTTTTCTGCATCGGACAGGGGGTAAGAAGATCGCCGAAAATAAGGAACATACCTTCCAGGTCGCTTAGCAAGGCCAACAAAGCATACTGACCGATCTCAGCCATCTTCTTATCCGCAGGCCAGCCGCCTACAGGCAGCTTAAAGTTCTTCTCTGTAATGTTCATAAACCCTGCTTTTTCCATAGCCTTACGTTGCATGCCTTCTTTAACAACAAGGAACTGTCGACCTAGCTTAGGCATTCCGTCTTCGTAGAGTCGCCAAAATTGATTCAAGCATGGGGCTAGCTCGTCTGACTTATCGTCACTTTGGTGTTCGGGGTGCACTTCGCACGACTCAAGCCAGCCGCCTGGTTCGCAGCAACGGTAGGCTTCAGCAAAAAGTGATTCCCAATTCGTTGCAGCCCCTGCCATGTAGCGAATGTGGATAAAATCAAATGTATTTTCACTCCACGTCCATGGCTGATTGGCGTCATCAACTTCAAACCTAGTGTTTGGCGGCACCCAAGTTGACTGGATCGGTGAGATGTCAGTGCCGAGCACTTGGGCGTTTGGAAACTGATCGCCAATGTCGCTAACAAACATAAAGTCAGTCTTATTCGTTTCTCCACATGCCCGTATCGTGGCTTAGATTACTGCCATATCTTCAACATCTTGGCCGTATTCATTCTATAAATAAACTACTAAGACAAAAAGGGTGTATATCAAACTTTCACTTACATTGCCCAAGTGCCAGTACCAGTGCCAATATCAAGCACATTCTAGTTATAGATGAACCTGTCAGTTATATATATATATTCAGTTATGTTCTAACTCAAACATACTTTAACCTTGTCGGTGATAGGCGCTAGAAATAAAGCACCGTCTAGTAATAGCGTTAAGAAGTGGTGTCTATATATAAGCGTGTTAGCTATAAAACTAGGCAACGGCCTTAAAACAGCCAATAATCAAATCATACATTATATCCATTGATTCTTGTTGCTGGCCATCATTAGGCATAAAGTAATTTTCGTACTTATCGCTGTGGAAGGTCCGCCCGTGCAATGTGCGGTACTGCAAGATGCTGCTCGACACAGACGCCGTTGAAAGCCTAAGCATGTAAGCTTTCTTTTCTATCGGCCAGAGACAAATATTTGCCTAGAAGCGATTGGGGTGGAAACATACGCGACATCATCGCCAAGAGCTGAGTCCGAATCTTCACCTAAACCGTCGCCCTAGAATAATAAGCACAAATATAGAGTCCTTTCTTCCTCCCTTTCCTCTTTACATACATACTCTCCGACTAACAATTCGGCTGCTAATAAGGGCTCGTCAATTATAGGCAGTTCCACAACAGGACTAACCAGTCCCAGCGCAAGTCCGCTGCCTGTGCTGGAAGACATGGCTGCAACTGCTTTTGTTGTATTAACGCATAACGCGGAGAACGGCAGACGAAGAGCTGCGCATTTATATTGGTACAAAAAAGCCAAGGCATGGAGAAGAGATATAATGAGAAAGAGGGGGAAGGCGTAGGCCAACTATCTTGCATACGAACAGGTTCGGAATCACACGAAAGCAAGAGGAGCAGTTCCACAGTATTGGTGGAATCAGGCCAGTAGGACGGCCCTTGTAGCCCATACGGTTAGTCGGTATACACCATGGAGACGGAGATATGCCGAATACTGAAATTAGTGGAAATCATGAATTTAAGGCAGCAGTCTTGGTGGGCCCGGTTGCATTTTACGTTAAGTGCGCGTGCTTTCAAGGGTGGGTATTGCAGGTCGGAGATATCGCATTCGTAAGAAGGACCTCTACGGAGTACGGAGTACAGAATTCCCCAAAAGTAGTCCGTACGTCGTCGTAATCCGTACACACACACTGCGTAAATATTACTGGGCTAGTCTAGCGAATGGAAGAGCCTATCTCTGACGCTCGACAAATTAAAGAGGTTAAAGGCGGAAGATGAAGCTTGATCCATTTCTTAGGGTTCTCAAATATCACGTCGTTGCCTACTCCTTTAAGAAGTGTCGCACCTCTCTACGAGTAGGCCTTTGACCGTTCATTATAGCACAGTACAGTGACAGAATCATTTTCGTCACTCAATGCAGAATTACGGGATGTCTCGAAGCCATTTGTAGTAATCTATGCTGGCTGATCAACTATTATTGAAAACTGATGTACGTTGCCTGAGGCGCCACGACATCGCGGTAGAACGTGGCCCAGAACTTTTCCATCTCAAACGTGTTGTGACTGTCCTGACCCGAAAAGCAGAACCTGATGCACCTTTTGGCGACATCTCCATATGAAGTGCCCACCAAGTCGTACACTTCGTCCATGCTCTTTAGCGCAGAGTCGCGGGGGCCCATAAATGTTACAGACGGAGTGGCTATGGTACACCGTGCCTTTGGCATTTTAGTATAAATAGTTTAGATGTGTCTATGCAGCTATCCCACTGGGTTGATGGTGTTCTAGAGGTCAAATCACCGACCCGCGTAGCTGATCCTACTCCATCGAATACGTCCACGACGCTACCAACTCATAACAGACCCTTTGTAATAACATACTCCGGACTTGCCTCCGTATTCCATCCAGCGGCTCATAGGGATAGCGTTGACCATCGAAGTCATGTCTTTGGCCCAGTCCCTGGTCCATGCATATGCTAGGAAGACAGCCATCCAATATCGGCAGAGTCGTGGACTACTTTCCTTCCAGGAAGTTTCGCCGACATCTTTATCTTTGTCGCGACGTAGAGTCCTTCGGATATGAACCTCCTCCAATGACAACCTTGTGGGTCAGCGTATTTTGTGTTCCAGTCAGCGCTTAGATTCGGGCAGTTTTCGAGCTGCTCCTTACAGATGTCAACTGCGGCTATCTGCAATTGGGCTTCGGTCATGGCCTCCCGAGTGGCCTTCTCCCACATTGTACGGCTGTCAGACCGCGTTAGAACAGGATCGATCCACTTGATTCCCTCGCTATGAAAGCTTGTCATGTCTGGAGTCCCCGCCTCATCAACCGAGAAAGTATCGGGATTTAATGCGACTATAGTATTGAGAAGGGCACGGCGAGAGCTGACCTTGATGCCATATCGCTTTACTCGCAGATTGGCATAACCTTTTGACCAATCTCTCACACCTTTCTCGGGGGTAACGAGATAAACGTGAGAAAAGATAGAGAACGCAATCCAAAAGCATATAATGTATGCATTCGAATTCTTGGTCACAGCTGCACCAAGGGCAAGGGCCCATTGGCCCATGATGAAGATGTGGAGCAACCAGTAGAAAGCCTCGATGACGGCAGGAGAAAGTGGAGGCCCAGTCGGCTCTAACGGTCGGTTTAAGAGGGAGTTGACGACAGTGCTCTCGCCGTAAACGACAAGCCAGTCAGTCGAGTTCATGTGCTCAGAAACGACGAGGAGACGGTTAAAGATGCTTGGCTTGCCGACAAGTAGCTGCCGTGGCTGGCGTCCGTACAGGGCGACGATAACGACACCCGTAACGGGAATAAGTGAGAGAAAAGCCAACGCAATCCAGGCCTCCAAGATAAAGGACGCGACAACAGTGCAAATGAGCAGACCCCATCCCAACAAGGCAATAGCAAGATAGCTGGAGGAGGCATTGCGCAGGAAATTAACAAAGATTCGACGCCATATTGAGCTGCTAGGCAGTGGACAATGGTTAGGGTCGCGGCGTGTTATGTGGACGACCTCTAGGGCTTGTATGCGCAAGTCGGAGCCGAGACCTGTTGTCATGTTGTCGTGCCTATTCTCAATCTGAATGATAGGGTGGGCGGCCAAAACGAGGCGGAGAGTCTCGGGGTTGCTGGCAAAGTAACGCTCTCCGTAACGGCCGTCAAGGGTCTCAAGCGCAATAGTCGTGCCAAAGCGGTCCTGGCAGCAGCCCGGGCTAGCAAACTGAGGCCGTCTCGCAAGTAGCACACGGCTACCTGCCGGGGTGATGACCCAGCTCCAAAGCGGGACGGCACCGGAGAGCTCGAGGACGTGCAGCTTGGGCGGGATAGCGACAAAGTCGATGAGGGCTGAGAGCGGGAGGATGCCTGCGAGCTCCGAGGCCCATCCGTGGCGGCGCAACGTGTCTGCAAGATTGGAAGCTACTTCCTGAATCATGTTGGGCAGGCAGTCGTAGAGCGAGTTGGGTAGATGAGAGGGTGGTGAGTGAAGCTGCCGAGCGCAGTCCAAGGTGTTTAATGTTTTTTTTTTTTTTGGGGGGGGGGGGGGTCTCGTTCTCGCCAGGGCTGGCAGAAACAGGAGTGTACACTTTCTGAATTGCCCTGCCTTGTAAAATACGTGGCGCTGCGTAACCCGCGGGATTGTCCGATTCGATGGATGGACTATGCATGTCAGATATTGGGACCACCAAGCAGCGAGGAAAACCATAAAAAATCAAAATCTTCCTTACACAGCCGCATTAAGGCCGCTCTATCTGCTAGGCGTGTGACGCCTGTGAAAGTAGCGGCGGATCCGTCGTTCCCATTTGACACTGGAAGCCGAATATGCATGCTCTTGGGGGGGCGGCTGTACCGATTTCAGACGGCTAGCACTCGCGAGCGTCTCTGGGTGGTCTGTTCCTAATACCGTCTGTCTCACATCCAGCACCCGCAGGTAGAGCTGTTCAGCATCCACCAACCTCCCCAGGCTGCTGAGCGCCAACGCCAGGTTGTCCATGTTGGCGAGCGTGTCCGGATGGGTCTCCCCGAGCGTCCTCTCGCTCCACTGCAACACGCGCTGTCCAGCCTCCGCGGCCTCCTCGAACCTGGACATCCCGCACATTACCTGCATCCAGATTTTGACGCTCTCCATTGTGCGCTGATCGTCTCGACCAAACATCTTCTCTCTGCCGTCCAGTGCCCGTCGGCTCATCGTCTCGGCCGCCCCGTACTCGCCCTGGAGGCACAGCAGCTCGGCCAGATTGTTAGCAACTGTCAAGGCGTCTGGGTGGTCTATTCCTAATGTGTTTTCCATCCCTTTCAGTGCCTCTCGATATTTTGTTTCTGCCTCCTTATACATTTTCAGATCCTGCTCGACGAGTGCCAGATTTCCAAGACTCTTCAGCGTCAAGAGGTCATTATATCCTAGAATTTTTTTTCGTCCGTCGTATACCCGTGTGAACAGCTTCATGGCCTCTTTATAATCCTCTTCTCCATTGCTCTGTAATCGTAATAATGATGCAAAAACTTCGGTACTGGCAAGAGCGTCAAGATGCGTCTCTCCCAGCGCTGCCCCCAACCCGGCCGAGACGATCCGGCTCAGCTCCTTCGCATCGCCGTAGTGGTGACGGTGCTGTAAGTCCGAGACCAGATTGCCGATTTTGCTCAAAGTGTCGAGGTGCTGCTTCTCGGAAGCATCCCGTGCAGCCCTCTGGGCTTTTACCTCCCTTCTCGCCACCGCACCCGGGTCTCTTAGAGCCTCCGTCATCAGGAGCCTAGCCAGCTCGGGATAGCCGCTGCTCTGCGCCAGCATGTCCGGTGTATTTCCCTCGAGGCCTGCTGCCTGGGCGTGAGTGTCGGCACCAGACTTGAGCAGCATCGAAACAATATCGACATTCCCTAACCAGGCCGCAATGTGGAGCGCCGTATGGCCGGCCGAGTCCATCGGGGACACAGCGGCGTCGTTTCTCAGCAGGAGCTGCACCACGTCTGCGTGTCGCGATCCTGTCGCCAGCATCAGCGCCGTGTTTCCGCTATTGTCTGCGGCATCGATGTTGGCGTCTTGGAGCAAGAGCCGGAGGACGACCGCTCGATAACCCCGCATAGCTGCCACCAGCAGCGCCGTCTGGCTGTCTTCGTTTCGCGCCTCAATATTTGCACCGGCATCAAGGAGGCGCCGCACCTTGATCTCATCGCCATCGTGTGCCGCCTTTAGGAGCGCCTTGTCGCTGTCAGCCATAATAAGAGAAGGCGAAGTACATGTAAGAGCTGATGTCGGGCGCCAACGCCTAGCGGCCGTAAGGAGGCTAATGGAGGTCTGAAACAAGCAGATCCAACGTTCCTTAATGCCGCCGAAGATTTTTACGGATTACGGTGTACATGCCCTTAAATTGTGTTACTAAGCAAAGAGCTAATAGCGAATTGGGATATCATAGCAACTGCACAGAAATAGGCGGCCTATTCTACTGGTAATTATACGGATTTTTCTGCCGCCTCTCCGGCCTATCCCTCTCCTTTTGATCGGTTAACTTCTGTTGCTACTGTCGCATCCTCCTAGGCGGCTTTTGTCTGCGCAGGCTAGGCCCTAGGTCGGTGCCGGCGCTGTAGGTGCCGTACTGGTGCTACCGATGCATTGTATTTGTCTTGCCAGCTGGTGGGCACTAGATACACAGTTGTACAGGCCGCTACTCTGTCTCCTGTGCTGCCTTTGCTTCCTGCGCGGCCGCGGCCGCTGCTATTTTTTGCTTATATAAGAATTGGCGTTATTCCCGTGTTATCTACTGTGTACAGGCCTGCACAAATGGCGGGCGTCCCGCGTGTATGAATTCCTAACGATAGCCTGATTGGTCTATTTACGTGATGCTTCCGTTGGGCATTGCACGGTGGGTTGGGTCATGTTGGGTTGGCCCGACAGAGAGGCAGAACAGACAACCTGGTACAGACAAACACAATGGATGCAGATTACGACGAGCTGAGCGGTCCACGGATGCCAGTGCCCGATGACTGGCTCAGTGGAAATCCATTGCGAGACCTGGACTTCGTTTATCTGGACGTTGGTACCGAGCTCCTACAGAACAAGTACACTAGGCTCACCTCCGTCTGTGCCAACTCTATTGATGACAGGGCGTCTTGGGGCACATACAGCCCTGAACCTCTGCGCCTCATTGTCCATCGTCACCTCGCATTCGGCAATTCCCTGGCTCGGCTCTGCTGTGCAGCCGAGGTGCAGAGGTGTCGGCGCAGCAGCTGCTGCCGGCAGAGGGAGCGGATGAGCCTCGTGGCACCGCACTGCGAGTGGACCGCCTTCCGCGACTGGGTCGTCACGGCCATGGCGTGCCAGGCCATGTTTACGACGGCGGAACGGAGACGGCCGGCGTATATGCATTTGGTCATGGCGGTCACGCTGTGCCACCGCCTCTTGGCGGATCAACTGGTGGAGACAAAGGAACTCGGATGCAATCTTGTCGACCGTCAAGGGCAGCATTCCATCGACCTGGCCAGCGTGTCCGAGCTGATCTACTGGATGCTCACCATCCAAAATGCCGACGGCCTGGGCAGCCTCATCGACGCCAAATGGGGGCCGCAGTTCCTTCCCTCGTATCTAGTCAGGGAGAGCGTCAGCCGGTCGCTGGAGACGGCAGAAGTTCTCGGTCTGTGCAAGAATCGACTCTGGAATCTGGTGGGCGTCATGGAGCGGCGGGAGATGGACCTTCCCGGCCTACTGGAGCACGCACGGCGATATCCGGCCCTGTTCAAGCAGCGCGGCCACGGCAATTGCTCACCCAAGACCTGTCCATTTAATTCGCTGGACACGAGCAGGATGGAGCAGCTCCACAAGACGGACGATCCCCACGAGTGCCCGCTGGTAGTCTACCCGGTCCAGCTGCTCGAGGCGTCTATTCGCCGCGGCACGGGGTCGGTCTGGTCGCGGTTCGAGATCATGCCCGCCGTCGTCAAGCCCGGCTTCCGTTATGCCGCCATATCCCACGTATGGATGGATGGCACAGGCATCGGCATCGGGCCGCAGGCTGATATCGGCGTCGTGAACAAGTGTCTGATGGACTTTTTCCTGCGCATAGCCGAGCGACTCGACTGCGACGGCATCTGGTGGGACACGATATCCCTCCCGACCGACCGGGCTTTGCGGCAGAGATGCATCAACACCATGCACGAGAACTACCGGGCAGCTGAGTGCACTATCCTGCACGACAGCTTCCTCCTCAATCTCTCCTGGACCGACGATGGGAGTCCTTGTGTGGCCATTGTGCTCTCGTCCTGGTTCACTCGTGGCTGGACGGCGCTTGAGCTGTACGAGTCCCGGCGTGTCAAGGTACTTTTCAAGGGACCTCATCCGAATGAGCCCCTAATCAAGGACCTGGATGATGATATCTTGGCAAAGCACCCGGGAAGCTCCACCCGCGCCCACTGGATTGCGACCTGCATTATCCAGCGTATGCGCCGGCAGACGGCGTCCCGGCCAGAGAACCGGCCGATCGCAAGCATGCGCGACCTGCTTGCCGTCCTCCGGCCGCGCAGCGTCTGCCGCATCGATGACAAGATGACCATTGCCGGCCTGCTGGCCGACCTGCCACCAGAAACAGGCTGCAGTGAATGCAAGAATCTGGTCACCGCAGAGGGGGAGGCCCGAGAACACCTCCAGGAGCACATCAAAAGACACACGTCGGAGCGCATTCTCGTGCACCTGCCCACTATCAGCCACGCCTCTCTGCTACACGGGAAGTCGACCATCCGCGAATCCGGTCCGTTTTCGTGGGCGGCCATGGCCATCTACGACATGCCTGTCGGGACATCTGGCGATCTGGACGACGCCAACCAGAAAAGCAGCCTCTCCCTAACTATAGACAACCTCGGCGGAGCGACTGGATCTTGGCTGTACCGGGGGCTCTCCGAAGATGACTGCGCCGAGGGCGCAATTACACCTATAAGGGACGCTGACGCGACCACTGTCTCGCGCGTGGCTGCAGCGCTGCAGAACCGGCAGGCTTGTGTGCTTCTTCGCGAAGGTCACAGCTCGAAGCCGTGGCTGCTGGCTATGGCCGTGGGACGGGGTCAACATGTCGGAAACGGGATAGTCGAGGACGTGATCGACTGCAGGTACGTCGGTGCCGTAAAGGTAACATGGATAGCCGAGTCAACCGAGCGGACGCGGCAACCAAGTCACTATGGTCGTAGCATGTTTCGCATAGGGTGTGACGGCAACAAAGGTGTCGTGGACGTGCAAGAACTCTTGCCCGACATTGTCCGAGGCGGCTACCGGGCATCTGAAAACCCCCCCGGGGGGGAAGAGGGAGGTTCCTGGAAGACGAAAATATATACTGCAACACCACTAACTGAGAGACTACGGAATGAGCTACTAAATGAGGGGGAAGGAAGATATGAGCAGGATCCTGATGATTATAGCGATTGCGATATTCCAAGCGACGAAGAGTGCTCAAGCACTGACAGCGAAGGTCGCCCGATACCTTGGACATCTTCCTCGGGTTTCATCTATTGAAAACTAACGAGGTAGCCTGCGTCAAAATGCCATAAGATGCCAATCATCTCTGCAGCCTAGATATCTGGTAAATCAGCTATAATCCAAGAGATGTGACCGCATCTTCACACGCAACTGTGAAATGTACCAAGCATTAAGTCTGCCCCGTGGTAAACTCAAGAACTTTGAATTTATCTGCAAGGACTTGCGCATAGTCCTTTCGATACGGTGTTCTGTCCTAAAAAGCAGCAAATAATTAGCAGGGGACTAGAATCCTCTTTCATAACGAAACATACAGCGCCAAAGCGACGGTAGCATTTTGCTAAATGTAGCCAGGTTACCGTGATCTTGATTGTACTATACTTCAAATAGATGCATCTTCCTCCCTAACATTACAACGCAATGCAACAAGACGAGTCTTACAGTGCCGGATACAAGTTATATATAAAAGAGTTCGGAATTTTAACCCTATATGCCTGCTTCTTGGTTTTTGGATCGGCAACTGTATAGGGAGTATGGGTGCCTAAAACGAGGCTCTGTAGCTGTGCCGCAGCAAGTCAGAGCAGTGACAGACTAAAGGTACTTTTGAAGGAGGACGTGTTTTTTGTATGACGAGATTCGTCCTTTATATTGAGCTTTTATCTGATATTTTTGCTGTTACGCTTATCGTGTGGTTGTACGAGATACTACAGTGCGATTATTAGCAGTCCTTACATGCTGTGTCGATCTAGTAAACCAATATCCATTCCCTATATTATCTTGTTTCAACCTTCTACCGAAAGAAGAGAGAGAGCCAACCTCGACCGCGAGTGGTTTCGCCAACGTCGACCCTCCACTTTACGGTCACGATGCGTGGTACCCAATAGTCCTTTTCTAAGAAAAAAAGCGCCCCAATTGGGTCGCCGCCAACGGACACATCTGCACCAGAGACGAGCTGTCAGGGCAGCTTGCTGTCAAGGCCATCACGGCCCAGCATCAAATCTCGTCGCCGTCAAGGCAAACGTACTCTTCGCCGCTCGGCACTGGCTACCTTCCGCTTTACAAATCCTGCTTGTCACACCAATGCCCTTAAGGTGGTCACACCTCCATCCACATTTATCAAGGTCCATGTTATAGGACCTTTCAGCCTGCAGCAAAAAGCTCGCCGGAAGATGGCCGTAAAACAGCACTGGTGTGTTTCGAAAAACACAGAGATATGCAACTGAGAATGTAAGTTTAGAAGAGAGAAGGACGAGACTGCAGGTGTTGTACAGTATCAACAGGTAGGTCGGGAAGTCAAGTTGCTCTGCAAGGCACCGCTCGACGACAGCCGGTTGAGGTACTGGCTAAGTCTTATGTAGATATCAATTAGGTGGATTGAACAAAGGATGTGCGCGCGTGGCAGTCATGTATGGCGCTGTCGATCGAGACTACATGGACGATGATTTTTCAGAGTTCGATTTTGGACGGGAGGCTTTGGATAAGAAGGAAATGCTGAGTATCCGATGATGACCGCCGGAATGCTTTTGAAAAGCCAACACAAACACATCATATATTGGCCCCCACAAGATAGCTGTCGCATTGGCCACGCGATACAACTAAATGTAAATACAACACTGAATATGTTGACATGGTTTCTTCTCCGCTTATCAATTCCCATCAAAAAAATGTCCTCGTTATCGAAAGGACCGTGAGCAAAAGTCTTAAAATAACACCATGCTATATAGGCCAAATGCTCTACCATGGTCTCGAAGTCATTTTCGTAAAAAAGCCATTCAAATTTATCGGGGTTTTCCGTATCATCCACTCGTAATGATGATGGCTGGATCGCATTGAATACTTGGACGTTATCTGCCACGATGTTTTCTTGTTTCGTAGCTTCGCGCAGTATCCGCTCCATCGTACAAACATTGTATTCCACATTTCTGGTAATGTACTGAACTCGTAGATGGAGGTTTACTCCATATCTGTTCAGCCATGAAAGGTTTTGGTATAGCTCTTCAGTCTCTTGACTCTCGGAGATGCAACAGCGTACTTTGTTGAAGTGATCACGCCTTTAATCATAAACGCGTGTTATTGCCTCGTGAGACAATTTGCAGGCTGACCTGAGCCCATCATCGCCTTGATAGCCATTGAAAAGGTTGTGGCTATAATGCAAATATTCCAGTGTTTCGAAATAGGACGCGCAGGGCGGAGGCCAGGCTGCGGCCTCCCAGATCATGGTTTGCACCTCAACAGGCAGAAGTGGGAAGAGGTGGAAATCCTGTGTAGCTTGTGGAGCCAGTTCCAGCTTTGAAGGGGGCCTTTGGATCCCCAACACGAGCTCGGATAATACGGTGAAATCCTTGCTGATGCTGCAGAGGGTCTTGTGTTCTTCCATGATAGGCTCATAGTGTACAGAGATGGCTTTCGACAGTTTTGGAGCCATCTCGGAAAGCTCTGCGGCAGTCCGGGAGACATTCGAAGCGCATTTGGCCAGTTCCGTAGCAGCCTTGGAGAATTCCGATACTTCCCGGAGAAAGCGTGAAGACACGAAGCTTGCTTCCATGATGGCCAGAGCTTTGTTTATGAATTTGTGTGTTTTCTCTGTGTTGCTTTGTTTTTGTCCAGCTGCAAGTTGCGTTCAACCGACGGTGAAAGGCTACGTAACAGATTTATATCATGTGTTTGCCCTACTCCGTATGAAACAGTCTATCAACACGGTCAAAGCTAGAATGTTGGATAATTTTCTGCCTCTGGGCGGCACGTTACAAGCAACAGCCGAAGAACGTAAGCGCGGTGAGATGAAGATCCCTTACTCATACAGTAGGAAACACAACGCCGTTCAAGGGTCAGGGTAATCGTACCGGCGCTGAGTCATTTCTTGCTGTTGTATGCACAAAGTACCCCGTACTTCCCTCTCAACTGTTGCGCCAAACTTAACGTTGGACGTGGTTGTGCACTAGCCATCTGATGCATGTGAAGCTCTTCGTTGTTTGAGCCCACAGCCAAGATCTTCTCGTGAAGTGCGATAGCATTACTGGATGTAACTATCCATATACATCAAACATGAAAATCATGAAAATCATGAATATAACGGAGACCGCAAAAACAGACCAGTGATATCTTGGGTATCCTACTGAAAAGGAAAGGAATAAGAAAAAGAAAACATACAAACAACTTGGGCATCCCTGATGACGGACTTCCCTCACAATTACTCCATCCTCGATTACCAGGAGTATCCTTCCTTTCCTTCCTCACCATCCCAACAAAAGTTCAGGCTTATCGCCTTTTCTGGATTGATGTTTCCGGTGTAAGTCTTGCGAGTATCTGTTCGTTGGTCTTTTGGTCAAATGCGGCGTATAGCACCAACAAGAGAAGATACAGGTGCGCGTGGGGGACTGTCTCGTATACTTCATGTATTGAACAATGACGACCAGCCGTTACCATTGTGCGTCACTATTTGTCGTAGTCAACGGCAACAAGGCCCCTTAACGTCAGCGCAACTGGAAATGGAGAAGCACAAGGCGAAATCCGCTCGGATGCTCTCGATCAGATGCTCTCGACCACCCGAGCGTTGATAGCCTGTTGGAAACTGTGGTCCTGACCTCCAAACTCTTGGAAGCTGCTCGGCTCTCCGGGCTCGCTGTTCGCCTGCTTGATGGCCGTATCAAAGGCCGATGACCCGGGCATCGTCTGGTTCGCGGCTGGCAGGAAGATGACCTTGCTATTGGCGGTCTTAGCCATAGCCTGCATGGCCTCGAGGTAGCGGATCTGCATGGCGGGAGCCGACGACAGGATATCGGCAGCCTGGCGCATCAATTTGGCGGACTCGACCTAAGGAGGTTAGCAGGCGAACAGAGTAGTAGGGGGGAGACAAGAAAGAGAGAAGAGAAATTGTACCTCGGCTTTGGCGGCAATAATCTTGGATTCTCCGATACGCTTGCTCTGGGCAGCCATGGAGAGCGACTCCTGCAGCTCCTGGCTGAAGATGATGTCCTTTATGAGCATGCTCTCGACCTGGACACCCCAGCCAGCGGCCACGTCCTCGATGATCTCTCCGATGGACTGCGCAATCTCCTCGCGCCGCTCAATGACGTCCTGTACGATGCGGGCGCCGACAACGTGGCGCAGCGTCGTCTGCGTGCGCTCGATGAGGGCCTGGCGCACGTTGTTGATGCCAAAGGCGGCCTTGTGGGGGCTGACAATGTGGTAGTAGATGACCGAGGTCAGGTGCACGGTGACGTTGTCCTTGGTCATGCAGACCTGCTTAGGCACCTCGACCGTCTGGATCTTGACGTCTACCTGGACCAGGTGCTCGCTAAGTGGGTTGATCTTGACCAGGCCCGGGTCGACGGCCTTGTAAAAACGACCAAACTTGGTGACGAGGCCGACGTTGCCCTGGCTGACGCTCTTATACGGGTTCGGACAGCAGATGCAGCAGGGGATAGCGCCCAAGCCGCCGATGCAGGTGCCGAGCGTATTGACTGCGGTGAGAAGAAAGCGTTAGCAGCCGGCCAAAGAAGCAGTAGCATGGAAAATAGATAGCAACGGCTTGGACGTACTCATTCCACCATACCAGTCGTTAGTGCCAGCGTAGTCGCTCACGATGGTCGCATAGCTCTTCTGCAGGTCTTCGGGGCGAGGAGGGGTGACCTCCATGTTGATCTGTGGGCGAAATCCGACATTGTTATCCACCATCGGCTTGGAACTGCTGTTGTCCATACTGCCACTTGCTTCTGCACTCATGGTTGCAAAGATGAGAAAGAGGTCGAGTTGGTAAGCTTGTTCTGCGCTCGAATAGTCTGTAGAAGCTGAGAATGTGAGCAGGAGCTGAGAACGAGGATATGGAGAGCGTGTTCTGGAAACAGCAGATGAAAGCGAGAGGGAAGCGGGGGTCCCTTTATCACTTTGAGTTTGTGGCAGTGCGAGAGCAGCTGCCGATTAGAAGCGCACTCATGGGAACTTGCTCGTAAGACACTAAGTGTTAGCTCATAGTGCTTTGCGGAGAAACTAGTAGGCGTTTTGGGTACGTTGCAGGAAGGTGCCCTTGGGCCCGTTAGCGCGTGGGCACGGAGTACAGTATGCGCCTATGTCGAATCCACGCGACACAGTGCTTGCGCCACAGATCGGGCATTTCACCAAACGGCCAATCCAATGCTTTGTCAACTCTTGGTCACCAGACGCGGGATCATCAATTTCGTATTTGGAACAATTGATCTTTAAGTTGTAACTTGCAACAGCTATGAGTACAAATGCGTACGGAATTACAGACATTGCAAGTGTGTACTTTTACAGTGTCTTATAAGGCAAACTGTGCGGACACGAGACGCACTAAGATACAATCCAGATTCAGAGTACGGAGTACTTGAACGCCTATTTGTACGGCTTGGAATAACAACCAAGAGGGACTAAGTGAGATACAAAGTATCTTCAGAGTTATGCAGGACGCACTACCCTCTCTCGGAATATGTCATCCAGGCATCGGGTGCGTATTCACCTGGCTAACGAAGGAAAAATGCTACGACAAATTGCTGAACCTGGATTTCCGATACGAAATACGATGCATGCCACGACCGGCCGTTGCCACGATCACGAGGAACAAAAGTACGAGTACAAGCGAGCCAACAAAGACATTGCAATTAAACAGGGCCGTGAAGAAATCGTCGGATATTCGAGGCCAACCGAATCCAACGGAGCTGTACCGCCACATCAGACGTTAGGAGTGTCAGGATTTGACGAGGGGGGTGTCATTACACTAGAAAACGGGGCGGAAAAGAAGGTGCTTTACTCCGTGCAAATGGGTGATCGAAAAAGCTTGGCTTTCCTGGGTGGGGCCGCTTTGGTTGGTGTCGCCGTTATCAGCTCGACGGTCAGAGAACAGAATGCGCCTCGATTGAGCAAACCGCACCCCTTAGCATAATGAGACACCAAGCTTTCTTGCGGTATGTCCCAACATTACGGGCGCCCACGACTCACCTTCCCCATCAGGTTCGCTGTTCGTCGATTGGGATCATGAGGTGCGCACTCTTCGCCTTGAAAGAACAGCCAGCCCACTTAAATGTAGCTAATCCCATGATTGGCTGGTGCGCACATAGCCTTGCCAACTGCTAGTCTGCTTGTCAGCAATCGGCCGGACCTTCTGCCGACAGATCGACATCACGAGGGACGATAATTCCACATTTTCCGACCGGACTACTGCGGCGACCGGCACTCGAAGGGCTCGGTGGGAGGGGCGGCCTTGGCAGGGAGATCGACCGGGCTGTGTATTTGAATGTGAGCGCCACCGACCTGCTTAAATACTGACAAGGCATTCGCAGTCAAATCCGCTGACCGTTCGTTTGAACTCTTCTCTTTGCTGATAGGCGTTCTTGGGGCCGAGGTTGAGCTGCTGCGCAATGGCGTAGGCCTTGGCTATTCTCGCGTTGCATGTGGAAACTAACGACCGTTTTTCAAAGCCATGGGTCGGAAGTGCTCGGGCCAAAGCATCAACACAAGTCCTACTTCATTTGTCTTTACGAGTACGTCACCAAAATGCAGGATATTGTAGAAGGAGAAGCTGAGGAAGAAGAGAAGTTCCTGAGGGTTGCGAAATCATGTAAGCTAATGATAATTAGCGAAACAACCTGCCGTATGATACTTTTGGAAGTCCTCCTGTGAGTTTCCCTTCTGGTACTTGAAGCACGGAAAAGACACTCTCAATAAAGGTCAACCGCATGCAATCTCACTATCTTAAAATCGTTCGTATAAACTGTGTTGTAGTCAGTTCATTAACCAACGTCTATGTACATTAACGTGATATTTACAAGATCAATGACAGCAATTACAGGACAGGGAAAAAAAGGTCAAAGGCCTGTGAGGCTCCATTCGGTTCTACTTTTCTGTGTTTTCTGCTTTGATTTTTGCTCCCTGCCATTACTCCACCATCGTCTTGCCGATCTCGCTCTTCCAGCCCTTGGCACGTTCAAAGCCGTTGGAGAAGCTCTGGTAGTCCATAAGGGCCTGGTAGACCTCGTCCTTGTTGGTGACGACAAACGGGCCGTACTGGACGACCGGCTGGTCGAGGGGGGTACCGGCCACGAGCACGAAGCGAGCGCTCTTGGTGGCGGCCGCATCGACAGAAGCGGTGACAGCATCGCCATCCGGGGCGAAGACGATGTTGTGGAAGGCGTGGACGAGCGTGGAGGGGTTCTCGTCGCCGCTGTCCTTGGCGCTGCCGTTGGCGAAGCGCACGTCGCCATCGAGCGTGTAGGCAAAGGCGGTCCAGCCGGCGGGAACGGGCTGGACGACGCGGCCGCCGGGCTTCACGGTGATGTCGAGGATCCAGACGGGCGTGTAGGCGAGGTCCTTGACGCTGTCAACGCCGTGGCTTTGGCCCGAGATGACCTTGATGTGAACGCGGCCGTCGTCGGCGTCGACGCTGGGAATCTCGGCTGCTCGCAGGTCACGGTAGCGCGGCTCGCAGTTCTTCAGCTGCCGCGGCAGGTCGACCCACAGCTGCAGCCCGACGTTGGCCGACCCGTCCGCGTTCTGGTGCGGCATCTCGGCGTGGAGGATGCCGCGGCCGGCCGTCATGAACTGCAGGTCGCCGGCCTCAATCGTGCCGGCATTGCCGGCAAAGTCCTCGTGGTCGACCGCGCCCTCGAGCAGGTACGTGATCGTCTCCTGGCCGCGGTGGGGGTGATCCGGGAAGCCCGAACCCGGCTTGATCGTGAAGTGGTCCAGCATCAGAAAGGGCGACAGGTTGCGCAGCGACGGCGTGCCAATCGAGCGGCGCACCCGCGCGCCCGCACCCTCGGCCTGCTCGACGGCCAGAAAGACCTTGCGGATCGTGCGCGAGACGGCGGCAGACATGTCGGTAATGACTTGCGGAGCTGTGCTGCCGAGGATGGCTTGTGTTTGTGCTTTTGCTTGTTGCTGCGCGCCTGGATTGTTCACGGCTGTGCTGTTCAGAGGTGCGTCTGTTTGCAAAATGTTGTTGGCGAGTGCGCTGATGTAGGGCTGAAGTGCTGCTGGCAAGTTGTCGCGGAAGACAAGAATCGATCCAATACCAACGAGGATGGAGAGTATGATCCAAAAAGCCTTCATCTAGATCGAGCGGACTGGAGACCCTCTATTTATACAAGGACAACAGCTGCCGTGAGATGAAGGGAAAGCACTGTAAGTGTGGCTGCCGAACTGTCGCGAACATTCCTGTCGTCCTTTCGACGAGAGGAAGCTCCCATTTTGTCTTCTTTTGACTGATTCGTCATTCTCCACTAATGCTGACAAGAGGCTTGCTGATTCGTCAGAGTGCAGAAAGCCAAGAATTTTCGGTTGATTCAGCCATGACAAAGCTGGTACAGCTGTATATTAGCGCCGTTGAAACCGTCTCTTGCTGAGATAATTGTTTTGTAAGGTGCAGATTGGCGGGGCTGACAAAAGCTTGACAAGACCCGTAAAAGGCCCGTCGAGACCACTTGCATACTCCGTACGGCTAGGATGTGGGGCAGCGTCTTCTTATGCGTTTCACTCTTCTGGGCATATTTCAGCATAAGGGAAATCCCTCTGTGAATACCTGCTGTTTATTCTAGCGCTCAGTCCTACACGCAATTGAAGTCATATCTGATCGACACGTCGTGCTCGTGGCCGGTGTCCCCTTGCCTCCTTCTCAGTGTAAAGCAGATTCTGCAAACAAAAAGACAGTCTCAATAACAAAATATATCCCTGGGTTTCTCTCAATAGCAGGCTTCCATGTAAGGGATCGCACCCCAAGGAAACTAAGCACAAATATACCGACAAACATGATATCAATAAAACAGGATTCGAAGAACGCGGGGCAAATGCAAGGACGTCATGCGGGCCGTCCAGACATACCCAAGCCGCGAAATAACGCAAGATAAAATACTATTTGGCATAACATCCTTGAGGCAAACAAGGGACTGTCATTCCATATCACTGCTTGGCGCTATGGTGGCGATGCTGTTTCTGTTTCAATGTCCGTCATCGCAGCAGTAGCAGTAGCAGTAACAGTCTTTGTTCTGCAGCTGCTGCGACAGCTGCTGCTGGCCGAAACACCCTAGTTGGTTCCGCTGGCCGTCTTCTCCTGTACTACCTCCTTGGCCGCAGCGGTGGCAGTAGTCAGATACTCACGCACCCAGCCGAGAGTCTCGGTGGCGACGACTATGGCCGTGACGGCCAGGGCCTTGCTGAGAGGGAAGACGCCATCACCGTTGATCTGCTTGCGTTCGCCGTTATACACGCTCACGACGTGGTCGCGGCTCTCGATGCCCTTGCGCACGGGATACAGCACAAAGTCCTTGGTGTCCTTGTACACCTCAGCGGTAGGCTTGCGCACGACCGGGAAGTGTTGGTCGAAGTTGTCGAGGGTCCGGTCTCCCAAACCGTCGACCTTCTTGACGTACGGCGACACGTACTCGTACGGCTTGGCAAGATACGGCAGCACGGGCTTGGCCAGGCTCTCAAATGTCTCAAGGGCAGATGTGCTAAGTGCCAGCGTCTGTTGGCCGTACTTGTTCTTCTGGATCGACGTCAGGCCATCGGTAACGACGGGATACTGACAGAGGTGCTGTAAAGAGTACAAATTAGCCTTGTTTCGCTTCTGGACGACCTGAAGAAGGCAGAAGAAGTATGTGCAAGAGGAAATGAAACGAGAGAAGGCCAACCAGAGAACAGCCGTTCATCATGTTTATCACGTACGTCGAAAAAGGCGGATTGCGGGGCGACTCCGTTGACGCCATTGACGCCGTTCACAGTGGGAGAGGCCATTGTGATAAGTAGGAAGCGCGTGTGGTTAGGGACGTGATCGACAGATTGGCGGGAGGAAGGTATGGGTAGTAGAGAGATGCAAGCGGCTTTTCTTCTGGTAGAAAGGAGAGAAAATCGGTTGGGGGGCGGCTGCTGGTATAGGAACTTTTATGTGCGACACGTGAAACCCGATAGTGCGAGGATTGCGGAGCGAGACGAAAAACAGACGGAGGAATGTGAGATAGCTGGGGATCAAATGCGACACAAAGATGTCTTGGCTCTCTGGGGGAATAGAGCTGGAAATGGATCTGTCCGATGATGTTCGGTCAAGAAGGAGAAAGAAGAGAAGGTGATGGAAAGGGGGCAGGAGTCGGTGGGAAAGGGAGCTGCAGTGTTTTACGAAGGATAGATGCGTGCGTCCATTAGCATGTGCTTTTCGCCTCTTGTCTCTGACAGACAGTAGGGTGGGGCCCCTCCCTCTGTCGTTGGCGGCATTAGCAGAAATAGCTCTGGTTACAGCGCGTGTGTGGTTGGTGTGTATGTCTACTGGTGCTAACGGACCGGCCGCACTTGCCTTATCTCTGGACTCGGCTGTGAGAGAGAAAGGATTGGCGGTTAGGCAGGCAGGCCTTCGCTAAGAAAAACAGGCAAGAGCTCTCTGCTACGTAATATACGAACTTATTACATAGTATCTTAATACGTAAAGTTTTAGGCGTGTCTACTGGCATGTGAAAATACATGGCCCGTGCACCAATGTCGCTCATTCTTTTCTACGACGTATGCTCTCTCGCCACGGCGGAAGAAATCAAGATATGCTGCGCGAAAACGCGGCATTACGGATGCAAGAAAGATCAGGGAAAAGCGATGATGGATAGATGACCAGGAGCGTAAAAGGAAGGCAGAGGTACTTTTGTCTGGTCTGGTGGCACGCCTCGAACAGCTGCGCGATAACGGGTTTTGCAGAATGACATCACTCAGTTGCATAGCCTATTCCTCCGGCCGGCTTCTTCATGCCGGGCGCCGCATTCTTCTAATTTTCTCCGCATGTCTTAACAAGAGGATGTTTGTTGGGTAGTAATAATAGCAACAGTGCTACGGTAAACTGCAGGAGGGGTGCATCGCGAAAATGCAAAAAGCCTTTCTTCGCTCTGGTGCAACCGTCGAGGTTATTGAACACGCAGCTTACGAGTTAGATGGCGCCACCTTGCCTCCTTTCTCTTAGCCCGCTGCACGCAATTTCTGCCATGCTGCTTCTGATAGGATGATCGAAACTGTTGAGATGCATATTATGAGTAGCTCGCTTACGGCTAGGCTCAATGCTTGCAGAAGCTGTTTCGCCGGTCTCGATTGTGTGCCGTCCGAGGGAGTAGAGGTACGAACACACCGGTATGGCATAAATTGACCGGCCCAGACTACTGACAATGAAAGGAACGCCTGAGGTCGGCTTTTTTTATCCTACCAGTGCATTCTTCAATCGCGAAAGATGATTGGCTTCTCCCCCATAGCACCTGTCATCGTGGACCCACCGTTCTCACATGTCAAGCACTAACCAACAGCTACTAAAAAAATGTCGAGCGTCTCAGCCGCATGTTGACAAGTCACATAGATGCTTCGAGATCAGTATTCTGCGTAACAAGCATGTGTGTGAGAAACATTCAGGTTGGCCGTTCCTCACAATGTGCTAAACGTTGGACAGTGAGTGGATGTCCGTATTGCCTCCTTTGTACGTCGGACCAAGACTAACGGGGAATCAGACGGACAGGAGTGAAGTAAACAAGTTCACGTAACCGTCTGGCGGGTAGCGTAGAATTGGGTGTGTACTCCGTACCAACTGAAAGACTTTCCATCCCGAGGAACTACGGAGTACTGTTTGATAGATTGAAGGAAGATATGGAAACGAAATTCAAACGGACACTCCATGCAAGGGCCCATCTTCTCATAGAGGCGTACTCCTAACTACATATGTAATATTGACCATAGCTTTTGCCACCTTTCACATGAAAGCTGATCCGGTCTTTCGGGTGCATTATCCCTCGGAGAAAAGCCAGTCATAAGTGCCCTTGATATATCGAGACCGCCGTCGCCTAGCGAAAACTACGATGGGCTGACCAGAACAGCACAAGCAGCCGTCCAGATCTCTGCGCCGACCGCTAGAACATCATCAAGACAGGCTATTTCAAGCCCCTCTTATTAATTGTGCTGATTTATACCCCCAAAATAACAGCTTTTTTGTCTGCCATCGATGCTTGCGCGGCGCCTGCTGGGGTTTCGACAGGCTTCGCTGTGGTGGCATCGTGATTGTCGCCGCAGAGGAAGCTTTTGGACATAAAATTGGCGATCATGATAGCGACAGTCTGCTCGACAACCGCTAGCACAATGGGCCGGGGGCTGTCGAACATGCACATTCCCGTAACCGTACGGAACCTCTCGGGGGTCTGGGTATAAGTAATGATGTTGGTCCTTTTCCAAGCGTCAGCAATGCTCCAAACAGTATCAAAAGGGGGACTATAACACGCACAGTAGGCAAAGAGCCCAGGTACTATAAATGACAACCGCCAGTGTGGGTGCATTTTTAGCTCCAACAACTGTAAGATCCCCAACGAAGACCACCAAGCCGTGGAGAAAACTGATGAAACATATGTTAGCAAGCAGTCCAAGGCGATTGAGGTGGTGGTAAAACTTACCCTGCTGTAGAAAATGAAACAAGGTCTGGGCAGTAAGGCTCCAGTATTCGGGGGACATCTGGAAGGACAGACAGTAGAAGTAGACAAAATTGAAAGCGATGCTGAGCATGCCGGATGCTAAAACGGTGAGTGGCGACCCAATCCTGGGCTGGGACGGAGCAATTGATAGTGCAATGATAGAGGCGATGGAGTACTGTGCGTGGATAAGAGCCAGATTGAGCTACATCATGCCAATCCTGCGATTGTGAGCTAAGACAGTCACAGAAGAGGTTTCAGCGGTTACAATCGATGCTGCAACGCAAGTAAGAACCTCCATTCTGTTAGTATTCAGTCGTACCCAGATTTGAACGTGCTGGCCCAAACCTCCTGCTTGTTGCTTGGTACTTACCAGAGCTATGACAATACAGACATCATCCAGGCCGAATCGGCGCTTTTCTCGGCCGTAGAAGCGATGCGCGAAAGATGCCAGGAGAACGCATCCTGCCACCACTTGAGTGACCATGAGAGTCGTTCCTGGGCCCCGGTCAGATGCCAAAGCCCTCGCTGTCTTGATAGTCTCGGTTCTTTTCAGGACGAGCATGGGACCGTCATCAGTCGTGCAGTTGTAATCGAAGGCTTCGTTGAATACGGAAGCCAAAGCGGTCTTTTGTAGATTCAAGAGACTACATTCAAACGTCTGGTAATTGTTTTTATCTCCAACCTCCATCATTTTCAAGGCAGTGTCTATTGAGTAGGCAGTGAACAAGACGAGGTGATTGGGCATTTGACAAAGGCGGAAAACTGCGATGAAGGCTTCTTTGTCTTTGTGGTGGCCACAGAATATGTAAACACGTGGGGGTCAGCTAATGGAGCTTATGGGAGCAGCTGTGGTAAAGGCGTACCTGCCAAAAGCAGAAGACTCCCACGCGCCTTCTTTTTTGAGGACCTTCTGTAATTTCTGTTCTCAGTATCTTCCACTGGGGGGTTTTCTGCTTGAAGCTACATCGACAAAGGCTTCCCTTTCTTGATTCATTTGCCTGTGCAATTACATTCATGTCGATGACGGGAAACTGAAGGAATTCAAATTGTCCAATCTGATGCAAGATACTAATACAGGGCGAGGATCCCGCCGATTTCTTCTTCTTTCTCTTTCTGTTCTCTCTTTCCTATCCTCCTTCGTTTTCCGACTTTCATCTTCCTCCAGAACAAGTTGACTCTTCGCCTCGACCTCAGAACCTCGCCTCGACCTTTTCCGCCGTGTCGCCCAGCGCCCACTCGCTCGTCTTAGTGCGGCTGCGCACGGCCTGGGCCTGGGCCGCAGTGAAGCCCTTGGCCACGACGGCCGGGTTGTAGCCCAGGCCGGTTTGCTTGGCGACAGCCTCATCGGAGACGGCCGCACCGCTGGGCGCCTCCTGGCCGTCAGCGCGGCAGTAGACCGACACGACAGCGGCACCGCCGAGGCCGAGGTTGTGCTGCAGGGTATAGCGGGTGTGGGGGACGGCGCGGTTGTTGGCCCAGCCGCGCAGGTGCCAGACGAGCTCGGCGCACTGGGCGATGCCGGTAGCCCCGAGCGGATGGCCCTTGCTGATCAGACCGCCGGACGGATTGACGACGTAGCGGCCGCCATAGGTGATGTCGCCGCGGCGCACGAGGTCGACGGCACCACCGCGGGGGTTGGGCGTGTTCTCGTCAGCCGGGAAGACGCCGGCCGGCAGTCCGAGGGCATCGAGCGTGACCATCTCGTTGGTGCTGAAGCAGTCGTGGACCTCGACGACCTGCACGTCACCGGGCGCGATGCCGGCCTGGGCACAGGCGTCGCGGGCGGCCCGCTCGGTCATGGCATACCCCATCAGGTCGACAGCACTGCGCGAGAAGAGCGAAGGCCCGTCCGTGGCCAACGACTGACCTGCGATCCGCACGGCTTGGCTGCGCAGCTCTGGTCGGGCATCGAGAAAGGCCTGCGATACCAACACGGCCGCGGCCCCGCCATCCGACGTCGGACAGCACTGCAGCTTCGTCAACGGCTCGTGGATCATCGGCGCCGCCAGGATCTGCTCGCGCGTGTACACGTCCTGGAACTGGCTGTACGGATTCTTGACCGAGTGCGCGTGGTTGATCCGTGCAATTTCGGCAAAGTCTTCGGCCGTCGCCCCGTGCTGCTCTATGTACTCGCGTCCGGCGTTGCCAAACATCTGTGCCGCACCCGGTGCCGTCGTCAGCTGGCGCGTCTCCGCCAACATTTCTGTCGTCTTGCCCATCGGGTGCTCCCGGTCCTGGAAGAAGCTCTGCAGGCTGCCCGGCATCATCTTCTCAAAGCCTACCACCAGCATGCAGTCGGCCCCGCCGTTGCTGATGATCGTCCGCCCCAGGTTCAGGCCCGTCGACCCGGTCGAGCAGTTGTTGTTGACGTTATAGATCGGGATCTGCGTCATCCCAAACTGGTAGAACACCCGCTGGCCGCATGTCGAGTCGCCGTACACGTAGCAGGCTACCCCCTGGTCCACGTCGTCGTAGTTGATCTTTGCGTCCAGCATCGCCTTGATGCCCGCCTCGAAGCCGAGCTCGGTGTAGTCCACCTTGCCACGTGGCTTGATGAACTTGGTCATGCCCACGCCGAGGACGTAGACGGGAATCTTGAGCTTGGCCATCATGTGTGTGTTTGTGCCAGTTGGCTGTCGTTTGTTCCAGATGCAAGTCTCACAAGAATCACAATGTGAACAGAGAGAACGCGGTTTCAAAATTAAACAAACAACAGATGAAAACAATAAGAAATAGAGAGTTTGAAGACGAGAATAAAAAAGGAAGTAAACACCTGTTCAGCGCTATACCGCGGCAGGAGAAAGAGCCGGTTGCCGAGGGTTGAAAGAGACAAACTTGTATGCTAACAGCCGACCAGACGGACTTGTCTGCCGGTGCAAAGTGTAGGCCTTTCTCTTGGCTCACTGCACTCCCTTGGTCTGGAGGTGCGCTACAGAAAATATTGGAAAGAAACAAGAATGAAGACAGTACTCCGTACATGGCATGCCGTTAATACGGTTGAAGTTGCGGGGAACCAGCCGAGGCAAAAACATACCCGCTTTTTACAGGCGGCCAAGATGCCCCAGATTCTCTCGCCCCACCCACTTATCATTCGATTTCAGTCACATGACATACTGCTTGTTGAAATACGTACGTTTTATGTCTTGGATACAGTAAGAGAAGCACAACAATCGAGCTTCGTTTTGTACTAAAGAAAGGTATGGAAGATCCTCATATGCCTAGTCATATCCGGTATCCTATCCAACACCATGTATACCGCCTCGTGAAATTCAGCCTCCCATCACGCCATGCTACCTTCCTTTTTCAATGCTTCGCCCCTGCCTCAATCCGCATATCCCATACATCCCAAAATCCCATGTCCAATAACGCGGACTCGTCGGTGGGCTGGGCGAGCTGCTTTAACGGCATGTTAGTATGTCTTGGTCAGCAATGCCTGGGTGAGCTGTCGTCCTTACCTCGTTCTGCAACGTTGGCCGGTTGTACCAATCAGGAACATGTGAAAGTGGCACGTCCGGCGCAGACACCAATGCGCGAATCTATCTGTGGTCAGCGAAAAACGGTACGAATGTGTCAAGCACGGGTAGAGAAAGAGCACATACTGCAGGAGACGCATGCCTTCGTAGCGTATCAAAGCAAGCATCCCGCACACGCCCCACTTGTGCTCGTATGTTTTCGTTGCGCTGTATCTGGTTCGCTGCCGGCTTCACGGATCCCAGCACAACCGCCAGGGCAACAACGTCCCGCAGGTCATTGCTTAGATCACCCGCCAGCCGAGCAAGATTTTCCGTCGTCCGCTCCACCGTCCGAATCATGTATGTCGCAGACCATATCAGCGAGTGCACCCGCTTCTTGTTGCCACCGTTGTTTCCGGCCGGCGTGCTGCTGTTTCCACCGTCGGACACTGCTGCCATCGGGGCGAAGGGGGCCGAGGTAGGGGTATGACTACCAATATGGCCGGAGACCTTGACGTCGTCTGGGGTCAGTTTCCTGCCGCCTCGAGCTGCCACTCCCTGCCCTCCATCCGTGCCACCGAAGACGATAGTACTGCCCCCGGAAGACGGCGTTGTGTTGTTGGATTCCTCTGCTTCCAAGGCCTGTCTGATATAGAAACAGACACTGAAAGCAGCCTGAACAATGTCGTGCCGTAAAATCACATGGTACATATGGCTAACATCGTCAAAGCCTGGAATGTTTGGGTCCAGCTCTTCCATGTAGGTCAGCAACGCCATAGATGACTTGAGGTACACATCCGTGATGGCTGTGGGCGGCGGATAGTTCGGAGATGCACTCAGCGCGAAAGGGCGGTACAACGCTACAAGCGGCCGCCGCACGTGCATGTCCAAGAGCGCGCGCATCCGCCAGGCTTTGTACTTGTTACCCGTCCCCAGCGCCGCGTTGCGCGGGAAGAGACAGTTGATGTCATCCAGCGCTTTTTCAAGCTCGCCACCGACTGCAAGCACTTTTCCGTAGTCCCGCACCGAGTCGATGCGGCAAAGAATGTCGTTGGCACGCATGCGTAGCGGCAATGTGCAGGCTGCATAAGCCTGCATTTGTCCGTCCGTGTACTGATCCATCGGTTTTGCTTGCGGCAAAGTAGTCATCTCCGGGTACAGGTCGACATCGTCCAGGTTCCGCGGGGGCTTGCACGTGAACTCGCCCTCGCGCATGGCCGTGGGGAGACTGCTGGCCAAGGCAACGTGCAGGTCCATGTCCATGATCGTGTGCCATAGCTTGCGGCGGAACTCGGCGTGGAAGGGCGACATTTGCATCGGAAATTCAGATGGGTCTCGGTGCAGCCCCATCGCCATGGCTGTACGAGAAATCAGTCCCAGCTCGTTCCACGTCCTCAGCATGTGTGGATCGATCATGCGACTGGCGTGCTGCAGCAGCAGTTCCGCCTGCAAGGTGTGTAGGTCTGTCGATTGCCGCCTGCGAGCGGTCTCGAGCCAAGACCGCACCAGAGAGCAGGCTGTTGGAATGTGCACGCCGTCGGATCTGTCGTAGCAGAGACCCTTGGAATCAGTCTCAAAGCGCGATCCTATGCACATGATGCAGAGTAGTCGCGGAAGGAAGACCTCAGCACAAGCACGGTGTGTTGTGCTGATGCCGCCGGGGCCGTTGGCGCAGGTAGGGACGCTTGCAATGTTGCTGATGCCGCTAGCACCTCCATTATCCCAGTAGGCCTCGTATTCCCGGCGAAACGAAGGGATGTGAATCACACGGTACAGGCCTTCGGTCATGCTGATATAGGCGTCAAGCAGGCGGTCACACACATCGCGGCGTGGCAGTATATCAGCCATGCGCTTTTGCACTGGCATCATAGAATCGACAAAGACGGTAATGGGCCTGAGGACCTGCTGGTGCTCGTCCCGGAGCGCGTTGTATGCTCGTTCCAAGCTCGAGAACAGGTCCCCGGCAACATCTCGTTTCGATTGATCGGAAATGAAATCTTTGGCCTCGTCGAACTGGTAGGTATGAAAACAGCGTGGTTAGCTATGCACAAGTCCCTATACTGAGGCGTAATTGGTCCTCAAAACTGCTCGTGTGTCCTTCTGGGGACGACAAAGCCGAAATGCATTGGGAGGAGCGAGACACTAACCAAGTTCAGCAGGGCACGCGTGCTGTTTTGACCGAAAACCCGCGATTCTAAGCCTCCGGGTTCGTTGACAGTCAAGCAACGCATGGTTGGCGACGAAGGGTCGATAATATGCGGACCGGATTGATCGGGCTGTTGATGGAGGTGTAACTGCGAAAGCGTAGAAGAAGAGGGAAAGGGCGGAATGGACGACAGGGCCGAAGAGTCTTTGGCAAGCACCAGCTTTTCGAGGCGCTCCATGCGTGTGGAGAACTCGTCAATCAGGTCGGAAGTGAACTGCCGGAGCTCGTGGCCGTTCAGGGTCAGCAGCGGGGACTGGACGGCTGTAGACACCGCAGCTATGCGCATAGGCACCGGAACAGAGGCGTAAGAAGGAGTAGGAAAGGGCGGCGCCGAGGATGCGTAGGCAGGCGCGGAAGAAGAGACCAGGCTCGGGGCGCGGAGCGTGGACGGGGATGAAGACGGAGATGGCGGGTTCAGGAGAAGGCTGAGAGACGAATTGAACGGCTGTGGCGGTTGAGAGATGCCGACAGCCACAGGTTGGGGCGTCGTGCCGGAAATCGGTCGGCTGGAGTGGCGCTTCAGCGGACGTTCGCCAGCGCCGCCGCCACTCATGGAGTCGTCGTCTTCGTAGCCGCCCTCGGAGCCGTCCGAGTCGATGAGGGAGCCGTTGGCATCGATGCCGCGACTGTTGCTTCCATCACCACTGCCGTACTTGCAAATGCGGTAGGACCGCTGGCACTGCGAGCAGGGGCAGCGCCGGTCGCATCGCAGCTTGCGACGACGACATTCCGTGCAGGACTTGACAGGCCGAGGGCGCTTGACGGGCTTCGGGTGCCAGTTGGTCACATCAAAAACCAGGTTGCGGGAGGTCATCGCGGGTGTAGGGGAGGTGCCGGCAGGGACCTCGCGGCCCGGGACCCTGGGCTCTTGCATGAAGACGGTGCACAGGCTCGAACGCGGAGCAGCATTTGCGAGGGAGGCCGACGTTGTCAGAAGAGAGCCCAGAGGCGCAATATTGGCCGAGCCGAAGTCTCTTTTTTTAGGCGTTGGGTGCTGTGGTGGTCAGAGCAACGGAGACATAGCCCTCCGTAGGGTTGATGCTGCAACACCGCCCAATCAAAGATGTGTCACTTCCACGGCGGTCGGCCGACACGGACTGAGCAGGATTGGGATCTGGGGGATGTGAGCGGCTAGAATTCGAGCCCTAGTGCAATGGTGCGATAGTCGTGTCCGGAATCAGACACGCAGGAGAGGCGAATCGCAGCCAGCTGTCAGAATGGAAGCGTATGCAGATCGGCACCGCCCAATGCTGTTGACCGCACTGTCGGCGCTGCGCTTCTGCGAGCAAATGAAAAAGGAGGCGGTGATTCAGCCAGGAGACCAAGGCCACGAAAGTAAGCAGCTTGGCAGTGATGCACGAGAGAGGCGGCAATGCCGAGACGTCAGCGGCCAAATGTAGAGCAGCAGCTGGATCAGCAGCAGAGACAGAGACAGAGACAGGAGTCAGAGCAGAAGCAGAAGCAGAAGCAAAAGCAGAAACCGTTTTGGGGCGCGGTCATGCTGCAGCTCGCTGTAAGCTCGGGAAAGCCGCGGGCGTTAGTGCTGATGGGGTGGATTCGGCCCTCCAGATGGCGGAGCTGCTCAGAGTTTGCGAGGCGGCGGGTGGCGATGAAGCGGCGGCCCTACGCATATGGGTGCATGCGTGCGTGCGTGCGTGTAGATGGCGGGCGATGTTGAGAGAGAGAGGAAGGGAGGGAGAGTGTGAAGAAGATAGAAAAAGAGACTGCTATTTTGGGCCTCGCTGCTGAAGGAGCGACTTCTATTGTGCATGTAATGCAATTGCTTTCGACTTTTGGAGCGAACTGTTGATTGGCGGGTGAAGGTGGGCAGTGGGCGAAAAAAGGAAGGAGCAAGAGACGAGCGGCCGGTAAGGCAGGAAGACAGGGAAGCCGAGCAATATCAGGTAAGTCGACGAAAGTACAGTGTATCTAATTAGGCGGGCAGGAGCGAGCGATTAGGCTTAGCCAAGCAAATGGACGAGCGTGTTTGTTTACTCATACGACGTAGGCGTTCTTCCTGCACGATCCGGCCAGGACATGGTAGACGGAGTGCAGACGGCGTATTGCGGAACGGAAGCGCGCTGGAGGGAAAATAGTCGCAAGTCCATGACCTCGCAGTATTCGGAATGGAAGAAGGGGTCCGGAGCTTTTCTCCGTAGTCGCGAGGGCGCATGCCTGCAATCCTCGCCCCAGCATGTATGGGCGATCCTTGCTACTGGGAAAGCGCTAGTCCGGGCAGGCTGGCATGCTCCACGTTTTCTCTCCCCTTTTTTCTTCTTTTTTTTTCTTTCCATTCTTTTTTTTATCTCCTCTCCCCCTCTCCCCTCCTCGTCTTTTCACCATGTATTTTCCCTCTTTCGTTCTCCTCTTTCACATCTCCCCTTTTTGCCCTGCCTTCTGTCAGAGGGCAGGACGATCGGCGGCTCGCCGACCCGCTTTCCACACAAACAAGTACAACGGCCCTGTCGGTGTTGTTTCAGAGGAGTCCAGCATGTTTCGCCCTCTTTCCGCCCTACTCACCACGGCTGGCACTAATTAAGCACCTTTACCAGGCTGTCGTTTTAGCCCCCAATGCCGCCCAAAGCAGCCTAAAGCGCAAAGAACGTCCAAGGGGGCTAGCCTCAGAATGGGAATCAATCCGTGAGCACGGAAGCGAAACGGAGATTGCCCACGGACTGAAAGCCCCTGTGGCACTTGGACCCAGGTTTCGCCTCCCACAGACGAGTAGTATCGCACGCCAAGCGCTGTGACATGGCATCCTAGCAGCCATGTGGACTGGAGAGCGAGTTCCCGGGGCCGTTTTCGCGCTGTTTTACTGTTCCCACACACGGGAACAGCAATGCTGCTAAGAGGGCCTCTAACGTTTCTCGCAATCCCAATACCGCCCTTTCGTATCAGCGCCTGGACGAGTGCTCGTATCGTTTATTTCTCGCCCGCGTCGTTCACGGTCTTCTCCGTGCCTGTGCTTGGCGACCCAGGAGAGCAGGTTCGCCACTCCACCCGGGCAATCTCGCATGGTTGCATTTCCGAAAACGACCGCACCTGTACGATACGAGCAAGATACATATTACCCGTCCATGGTACTCCGTACAGTGTAGCACGACTACAATGTATGCATAAGGGGCTGGGACGTGGCTCCCTCTCTCTCGCTCTCGCTCTGCTTCCTCCGGACAGCCCACTCGGATCCGGCACCATTGGCCTGCAGACAGGTCAATGGGAAAAGAGGAGCCCGGCACTGCGCTGCCGCCAGGCTAGTCGCCGGTGGGCCTTGCCATGCCGCTTACGACGTACGTCCTGAAGCAGTAAGGAGCGTTCCGAACTACTTTGTGTGGTAAGGGAAATTGCGAGGACGGTTCGTACGAGCAAGTCCTTGGCTTGAGCCACTCTGACTGTGAAGCCGGAAAGCAGGTCCCAGCGGTCTATCTGCAACCACAGTTTGCATTTTACATTTATGTACCTGTGCGCGCATTTTCCGAGGGCCACTTGCCTTTGCCGACTTCTTCTAGAAGGACAGGCCCCCATCCGGGCTATTTGGGCAAGATAGGATACTTGTTTTATTGCACACCCCGGCTAGTGGTAGGTAGTGCCGGCGTAGGCGTCCTTCGTTTCGGCCAGACACGTGCTATAGCTCTTGGCCCCGACAGAACAACATGCCGGCGTCTTACGACCAGACGTCTGCACTTATACCCGGGCACGCGCGGATATTTCCACGGGTTGTGCTCCCTGGGACGTACCGCATTATACGAGTGCTTCGCATGCAAGATGCCTTGCATGGAAACGCCTTGACTATGAGCAAGATTGAAGGAGAGTCTACGGTGTACAGAGTAGATTTAATACACCTGGCAATACGAGACCACAATCAGCAAGTCGACAGACATGCATGTGTTTATGGGACTACCCGACCATGAACAATGACAGTCTATCACAATCAAGACCACGTACGAGTACGGGTACTCCGTACTCTGTAAGCTACGAGAAGAAAAAAGATGTGGGGAAAAGGGGGGTTGGGGTGGATTGGCTCCGCAAAGTAAGATAGGAAATTGGACCCGACCCGACTGCTTTGCCTCGTACGGGACACTGCTCGCCGCCCTTCTTGCTCACCACGGTCGCTGTCGCCATGGTCGCATGCATAGTCGACCTGCTGCGGACATGGGGATCGCGTGGTGGCCATCTCACACCGCTGCCGCTGCCGCGGCCGACTGCCGGCAGCTTGAGATACGAAGGAGTCGCCAGCGTAACCGACACTCCCGACACTACCGGCGTTGCCGGTGTAACGGATGCCCTAATGCTACTATGATGGGTGGCTCTGATAGCGCCGGGCTTGGGCTGCGCCGCCGCATACGGAGTCGTATGCGCTCGCTTGTGGGAGAGAAAAGAAATACGCAAAATAAAAGAAAAAAAAATGGAAGAAGAGAAAGAGTAAAAAGGCACACCGAAGACGGCAGGGAAGACAGACGGCAGAAAGATGGAAAAAGAGGGGTCTAGGGGAAGGGGAGAGCAGGGGGATTCCCCCCTGGCGTCGCATACGTCGTAGGTGAAGTTGAGGAAGAAGGCCGAGAAGCACGCAGGGTCCAGAAGGCGGTGGCCGACATGGCGGCGGCGGCCTGGCAGGTAGGCGAGCAGCTGGCGCCAGGAGCGGCGCCTACGGAGCGGATACGGGCCAAAATCATAAGATACGTGTGTCGCAGGTGCAGGTGGCAGGTGTCCGGCGAGGCGTAGCCGCTTGGGTGGATGTGGAGGATCGCACGTAAGCGGGACGACAAACAGCGCGGTACAACAAAGAGGCCGGTCGTGGAAGAACAACTTTGGCAACTCTGGCCAGGCCGCAGGCAGCAGCCGATGACGGGCAACCATGGTCGCTGCTATCAGCAAGATGTCTGGATCGAGCCCAAGACAGTTAGGCTCGTCAGCTCGGCAAGGCTCTCGCTTACAGTCTGCGATCCTGCAATGTAAAAACATGGTCTGCAGTGTTCTATCCCAATGACGTTAACCGAGGCTTGTGCTGCGGCCAGTCGCACGATCACATGTCGTAAAGGCAAGCATGTCGGACTTGTTGAAGCAGAATGCGACGTGGTGAAATCGAGACAGCTTGGTTTTGCCGATCTTGGAAGCTAGGAGTCGAGGGAACAGAAAGATCAGGAGGATTGTTGTTGGCAAGGGAAGAACGCTTGCTGGAATAATACAGCTCCGGTGTTTGCCGCATCTATAAAGCCAGTGTGTCCCCTTTGTAAAGCGAAACGGAGCACCACGTTCTCTTTCATACTTCTCTGTGATTGGCAGTTGTTGGCAATCCTACGATCACGTCGCAGACACATTGCCACTGCTAGGACACCGCAAATATAGGAAGAGAGCAAGCAGGTTGCAAAAGGCTATATTTCGCTTTCGCCGTATGGCAGTATGACAACGCCAAGAAACAGTCCAAACAATCAAAAAATGCCCCAATATGACCCAGATCCCGACAAGAATACCATGTGATACATCCGTTCCTCCAGTTCGCCGGCGTGTCGATCTATGCCTGGACTGGCACTTCCACGCTGCGGGTCTCGCCGTCAGCCTCGCCGGAGTTGACCTTCTTGCCAGTCTTGGCGATCGTGCTCAGAACGGTCTCGTATGAAAGCTCAGGGTTTGCGACGACGGTGGCCGACTGCTTCTCGAGAGAGACCTCGTAGCTCTTGACGCCTGAAAGTGACAGCTGTCAGCAATGCGAAGGGGGTCGAAGAAAGGCGGGGAAAGGTGAGAGGGGCACAGGAAATATCTTACCTTCTAGGCGCTTGAGCACGCGGTCAACGGCGCCAGAGCAGCCGCCGCAGGACATGGACACATTAAAGGTGTAGGTGTGGTCGGCCATTTTGACGATGGTGAAGGGAAGAGGTGATAAAGGTGGGTGGGCGAGCGATTTCTGCGGGCGAACAGGGTAGATGTATTGCGGTGGAAGGTGATGGAGTCGGAGATGAGCTGTTGAGAAACCGACGAGCAGTGGCGGGCGCAATTGGCTTTTATGGTATTTCGGAGAGGGGGCACAATGAGAAGCTGAGATGCGACGAGGCGGGCGAAGAAGGAGGCGGGGCTAGGGAGCGAGTTTGAAAAGCGTCAGAGCTCTTTCCTGGAGCAATTAATAATGCTGGGGGGCCATAGGCAGAATTGCGTGCTGGCAGCCAGTGAGCAAGTGACTATTCTGACAAATCTGTCCTAGCTGGCCGAAAGCAGCCCGTAAGCCGGTAAATCCGTCGTTGGTGGACATCGTGTCTACGACGTGTGCGATGCTGTGTGGCAGCTACGGCTGCTTCTGCTGCAGACTGCGGCTGCTGTGCTGTCCCCTGTTCTTTCCGTAACCGGGACTCCGTCCTGTCTGCGGACGAAATCTGAAACTGGGCAGGAGCGGTTTGCCAGCCTCGGAAGCTGAAACATGCTCAGGCCCAGAGCGGTAGGACATGCAGCCCGAACTATTCTCCTGTCGATATTTTGGGACAACAGACGTGGGGAAATGGACAGAAGACGAGACGAAGTGCCAGTGCCAACGATGTTGAAACGGCCGCAGCCTTGATTTGCAAAGAGCCAGAGCTTTGGCTGTCTGCGCCCGTGGGTTCTGTTCACTGTTCCAAGCTATTGACGTTTCCTCCGTCTTTGCCTTTTTCCGTGGAAATTTTACAGTACATGTTTACAAAAACTCTTCATCGTCGACGTCTTCCACCCACGCGCCCGGCATGCTGCCCGTCCTCTGCCGGGTATACTGCTCCTGGCTTGTCTGGACGTCTGCGTGCTGGTTTGTCTCGTCGTCCTCGTCCTCGTTGTCGTCACCTCCGCTGTCAAAGTCGTCCTCGTCGCCAAAACCAGGGTCCAGCGCGGCCCCGGGCGCCATAAGGAAGCGGTCGAGGGCACCCCAGGCATCAAAACCAGCACCAGCACCAGCACCAGCACCAGCACTGGCACCGGCACGTCCCTCCTCTTCCTCCTCGTTGGCCGCCACGATCCACGGCCGCTCCTGGCCGACGTGCGAGAAGATGTTGAGCGCCCGTGGCGGCGGCAGCGGGTCAAAGTCGTAGTTGGGCGACGCATGCAGCATGCTGCCGGGCACCAGGGCCATCGTGACCGGCGTGCCGTCGAGGTAGGCGAACCGGGCAATGCTGGGCGAGACGGGCTCAGCCGGCGGCAGGACAGTGATGGCGGCCGGTGTCTGCTTGGGCATCGTCGCTGCCACATCCCGAAGCAGCGCCGCCACCGGCGTTGACTCCCACAAGTCACGGGCCTGCTGCACATACAGCTGCGTATACAAGGCCTCGGCGTCGTCGCGCGGTTGCACGCCCCAGACGGCCAGCGGCACATCCAGACCCAGCGCCTGGAAGAGCGCGCCATACAGCCACGGCAACCGTGTCAGCCCATCTTCCAGTGCCGTTCGTGCGCCCGCCTCGTCACCCAGCTGCAGCCGCGCCACCACGAGCGTCTGCCGGATGTAGGCCCGCATGGGGTTGCGGCGGACGGCCGGTATAGATTTGGCATCTGCTTTGTCATCTGCTTTGTCATCCACTTTATCGCCCGCCTTGTCAGTCGCACCAAACACCTCGAGCAGCCAGCGCTCCTCAGACGCCCGGATAGCCAGCGCATGTCCCCACAGCAGCAGCCCGTACTCGTCGTCCGGCATGACGCTGAGAAACAGCTTGACCCAGGCCAGGGCGGTGCGATGAGTGCCGCGCGGAATCAGACTCTTGATGTAGTAGTAGCCCGCCAGCAAGAACTGCCGGTTCTCGGGTCGGCGGAAACTGAGCCGCGCCAGGCCCTCGGCCAGCTTCTGGCGGAACGACGACAGCGTGGCGCGGCCAAACGAGAAGAGCGCCCGCTCGCAGAGGTCGGCTGCCAGGGCCGCGTTTTGGTCTTGTTTGGCCACCCGGCTGACCTGGATGAGTGAGGCGATGTGGTAGGCTGAAAAGTTAGCGGGATTCATCAACTGCTCAGCTTATTGCACCTGTGTTGGCCGTCGCACACTCACGGTTCTGTTTCAGAAATTGGATCAGCGGATGGTGGTTGTGCATCATGACCAGCGAGAAGAACGTCTGGTCCAGCTGGACGTAGGCCGGGCTGTGCGTAAACGTGTACTCGGCCACAGCACTGGACGTGGCAGCAGCTGTCGGCGTCACCTGCCGCATGCCCAGGCCACCCGACGGCGCCCGCGCCCAGGTGTCCTTGAACTCGATGAACGGATTGCGCCGCGCGACCGCCTCGGTCATGCCGCGCTGGCTGGCTGCTGCGGCCGCGAGCATGGCGCCGGCTCGTCGACCCATGCCCGGCGCCACGGTCGGCGTGCCGTGCAGAAACGTCTCCAGGTCGACCATGACGACGCCTGGGTTGCCGTCGACGCGCTCGCCCTGCTGTGCCCCCCCGGCCGGCCCGCCGCTGTTGTTGACCTCGTCCGCCCGCGCCGCCCGGATCGTGTCGCGCCCAAAAACGTCTCGCAGCTCATTGAGCACGCGCAAATCGTGGAAGTTCAGCCGGATCCGGATGTTGCTGCCGCCCCCCGCCAGCACCGTGGCCGACTGGTCCTGGTCCTGTTGCCGCTGGACCTGCTGCTGTGCCGCTGGTCTCTGTATATTGAGCTCCTTCAGGGCCCGGTCGATCTCGTCCAGCCCGTCGTCCTCGGCGGCCGCGTCCTTGGCGCTTTTTGCTTTCCTCTCTGTCTTAGCCCCCTTCTTCCCCGGCGACGTTACCGGCAGCGAACTCGCCACCGACACGCTCTCTGCACCCGCTTCCGTCTTGCCTCCCTTGTCCTTCTTCTTTGCCTTCTTCTTCTTCTTGCCCGGCTTCGCCGTCTTGGCCGCTTGCTGCTGTGAACTCGGTGGTCGTTCTATGCCATCCTCGTTGTGCCTGTTGTCGTCGTCGTCGTCGTCGTCGTCGTCGTTGTTGTTGTCGCCCCCGTCATCCCCGTCGTCATCCCCACCCAGCGCCGCAAAAGCAGCAAACGCATTCTTGGCCCGCGGCCGAACGCCTAGGTTCTCTTCTTCGCTTCCCGAAGAAGCTTCGTCGGCGTCGCCGTCGACGGCCAGGGCAGCCCTTTTCTGCTCTTCTTGCGCCCGCAGTTTCTTCAGCTGTCGGCTGGACATTTTCGCTTCACTGCTGCGTGCTGCTGTGTGCCGATTTCGCAACCCTGGCGACGGCCTCGGCGTTCCTATTTACATCAAGCTTTTATCACCGGAAACAGCCAAACTACCCCGCTAAAAAAAACCGGTAGGCTCGATTTTTGACTAAAAACAGGGCAGTAGCAAAATGCGGCCACATGAGTCAAGCGGCGACGGCTATCTTGCTAGACGCTCACTCCAATACGAAAACACAGCACCGGTCCTGTAAACCAAGGGACGGGACTGCAGTAGTAGGTGATGCGCAACGCCTTGTCAGCTGCTCAGGTCCAAGGCGTTCGAGGAGGCTCAGCCAGCTGCCACCCCGGACAAGGCCGTTCTGAAATGCTGGAGTGTGGCGGTGCTCAAGTGGCTGGTGTCGACTTCCCCACTAGCTTCCACCAACCACCAACCAACCTTAATTTTCTCTTTTTCTCCTGCATTCATATTTTGCTCTTTCTACCCTTCTTTTTCCTTACCTTTTCCCTTCATGATCCTTATCCCAAACCCCTCCGCCTCCGCGTTCATGCCGCAGTCACAATCTTGCATTCTCCCTTTTCCTTTCTAACTCTCTACTTGGTGTTTCTTGTCTTCGCGCACGTTGTCTTCTCTGCCTGGTCCAGCCCTGATTTTCCTGCCCACAAGAAATCTCTTCATTTTTCAGATCGAGCTCAATGAGAAATCGCTGAGCTAGCTTGTCACCGTTTCCTCTACTGCTCTTTTCTTAATCATCGCTTCTTGCATTTCTAAGACACCGCTGGCGCCATGTCTGAATTCTTAGGGTAGGGCACCCAGTCTCCTCATCGCCGGCCTATGTCTGACTCCACACTAATGCATACTTTTGGTTGTAGAGCGCGTATTTCGCTTATATCCAAGAGTGATATTCGGTAAGCTCAAATGTCTCCTTTCGCTTTGGCCTCGTCGTCTTCTAATGCTTTTTCACAGCTACTCTGGTGTCCTCCATGAAATCAATTCTGAGGAATCCACAGTCTCCTTGGAGAATGTTATATCCTACGGCACAGAAGGCCGCCGAGGCAAGCCTGAGGACGAAATTCCACCCGCAGATCAAATCTACGAATACATTGTGTTCCGTGGCAATGATGTCAAGGACCTGCGTATCGAAGAAGGACCCAGTTCCAAGGAGACGAATCCCAACAACGTGCCAAATGACCCGGCCATAGTAGGAGTGAGTAAAACGGGTTCTTTCTTTTTATCTCTGCTGTGCACATCATAGCCGGCCTTTCTGATGAAACATTTTCGGATGTTAAAACACACATTACTGAATTGCGCAAACAATCCCCATGTTGATATTTCCGTTGCCTTCCTTCTGATCTGGCCCAAAGTGCATCAAATATGTCTACAAAACTGCTGTTCCGGTGCCAGTGTGCTGACCATGTCGTTCTCGACTCTCTTCTACAGGCACGTTCACGTCCCATGAACAACAATGCACCCCCGCACTTCCAACAGGGCCCTCTCGGTCCTCAAGGCCCGCTCCAGCAGGGCGGCCCAGGCTTTGCACCGAACATGCCCATCCCTCCGCATCCCGCCGCCTGGGGTCCCCAAGGCCCACCTCAAAACTTCCAATATCCCCCTCCGCCTGGCTGGTACCCCCCGCAAGGAATGGGCTTTGCTGCCGGTGGTCCAAACCCATGGGGAAACTACTACAACCCTGCTATGGGTCCCTACGGACCTGGCGGCCCTGGTGGCCCTGGCGGTCCGAACAATGGTCGCCTACCACCTCAGCAAATCCAGCCGCAACAGCCGCTGCAACACCAGCCGCAGCAGCAGCAGCAGCAGCCACCCAAGCAGCCGGCTGAGGCTCCTCGGTCGCGGCCATCGCCCGTCAGTGCTAATACTGAAAAGCAAAAGGGCCCGACGACCGCATCAGATGTTGAGCCCAAGTCAATTGGCCAGTCTCCGGCACAACAGTTCGCGGGCAGAAATAACATTGTCCCCACCAGTTCTCGCGGTGGTCGGGTACCGGGTAGTGAGGCAAAAAAGCCTGAAGCGCCGTCGGGTGTTCCCAGGAACGGACCAGCCGAGGCTTCGCCTGCGGCTACACTGCCAGCGGCCCCGAAGGGCATAACAAGAATTGCACCCATCGTTCCTCTACCTGCCGGCCTCGTCAGCAAGACGGTAACACAGACGACGATGATCACAAGCAAGCAGACGGGAGATGCGGCTGCCAGCGCGGCGGCGCTTCGTGATGCAACACAGGCGGCTAAGGCGGCAGTTGCTGTGGCCATGGCTAAGCTTGAGGGAGGCGGCACCTCTGGACCGTCGCAAACTGCGCCGGCAGTGTCAGGCCAGTTTTCCAACGGCTTTTCTGCTATCGACAACTTGACGCGGAAGGTTAACGAGATGCGGGTGAACGCTACTCAGCCGACTGGTGCGAGCAACGGACGCACGCGGGGACGCGGTGGCATGGGTGGCGGCCGGGCGCCGAAGACAGTTCTGCCAGATGCCGACTTTGATTTTGCGACTGCCAACGCCAAGTTCAACAAGGAAGATGTAGTCAAGGAGGCTGAGCCAAGCAGTGCAGTGGAGTCCTCCGAGGGCGTGGAGGCTGCTGCCGTCGAGGGCACAGACGAGACTCTGCCAGCATACAACAAGACCAAGTCGTTTTTCGACAACATTTCCAGCGAGGCCAAAGACAGGGCCGAAAAGGGCGGCCAGAAGGCTGGTGGGCGTGAGTGGAGGGGCGAGGAGCAGCGCCGCAACATTGAGACGTTCGGCCAGGGAAGCGTGGACGGTGGCTTCCGGGGCTATCGCGGGCGTGGACGTGGTCGTGGACGTGGAGGATTCGGCCGTGGACGCGGCGGTGGTGGTGGTGGTGGTGGTGGTGGTGGTGGTGGTTTCAGGCGCAACAATGAGTCGCACCAGGGCGTTGCTTCGTAAAGCCGCCCATTCTGCATCTGCTTCTTTTTCTACATTTTTACGCGAACAGGTGCTGCCACATCGAGGCCACCCCATGACGACGAGGACATGATGCGGTGGACGAATTTCGGGAAAGCTCGGTTCGATTTCTTGCTTAAGATGCGTCGCGATTTGTTTATTTTGTCTTTTTTTCTCTATGGCGGTGTTTGTATCAATACTACGGCTCTATGGAACGGGGAATGGGGAAAGTTGGATGACGGAGTCAACTATTAGCATGGCACGTCTGGCTGGGTACTGCATATCCATTTTTGCGTGGGGCATAATGTGGGCATATGGCTTTGATAAGCCGTATGCCTTATGTTTTCTTTTTTTTTTCTTTTTTTCGCTGCTTCTTTTGGTGGATGAGAGTTCGAGTGGAGTATACCCGGTTGAGCCCGAAAGAGGCAGGAGCAGAGCAATACCAGAAGATGCAGCCGAAGACTAAAAATGCACACTATGGTGAAATCTTGTGATGATTGACTGGAAGCCAGTCATAAAATGGATTTACCAGGACAGACACGAATTTTGATTCAGATGCGTTTGTTTCGGTCTATAATAAAGAGGTCGCTCCTCTATGCATGTTGGTATCTTACAACAATGGGATGTGGCTAAATATGCACCTCCCGTCTTCTCATACATTCTTGTCCTTCTTCCCAGCCTTGGGCCTTTTGTTGCTGCCCTCGTCTCCGGAGGCTTCCGACCAGGAGTCGTACACGACCAGTCGTGACTTAGAGCCACCATTGAGACCGCGCAGCAGCGGCAAGCCGTCTTCCGCATCCGAGTCCAGGTCCGGGTCGATGTCTGCGGCGTCTGCCATTTTGCTGTCGGCGCCATCTTCGTCCTCTTTGTCACTCGCATCGTCGTCGTCCTCGCCACTCTCCTCACTACTTGTCGTCCCCGAGCTGCTCGTGTCGCTATCCTCAGTTGCTTGTACCGCTACTGACGCCGACAATCCGCCTAGCATCGGTGTGCCGGCGTGGACCACCTTTCGAGCCGTCGAGCCGAGCACGTGACCCGGAGGCAAAACCAGCCCGCCCGTCATGTCGGCGTCGCCGCGCCGCAACACACAGATGGTCGGGAACTCGAGCACGGCGCGGCCTGGCAGAGCCGTTGCCAGCGTGTCGCCGGGCAGCAGAGGGATGAGCTCCTTGCCGGCTGGTGGCGGAGGCGCAGTGGTCTTGTTCTCGGCCCCGGCTTCCTTGGCTGTCGGCAGGCGTGGACGCAGCAAAAAGAACAGCATATCGCGCCGCGCCGCAGTGACAGCTTCATCTTCGACTTGGTCGTCTTGTTCGTCCCCATCCTCGTCCTCGTCTGGGCTCTCGTCCTCGTCGGTCCTGCCGTCCCATGCGCCCGTCTTTGGGTCCTGCCAGGCATAGGTCGCCGCAAAGTCGCCGAGGCCCTGATCCGGACGCGCAGCCAAACCTCCTGCCGTGCGCCGCTTCTTGTTCTTGCTCGGCTGCGACAGCAGGTGGATTCGTCGCTTCTTGGCCTGCAGCTTCGGGCCGCCGTCTTCGTTCGTGTGGCCCTGGTTCCGCCGGCTGTCGCCCACATCATCGTCCACAATGCCACCCGTCTGCTGCAGCACCCAGGCCATCATGGCCGCGTATCCTCGGCACAGTGGCACGTGATCCAGCAGCCGCCGCAAAACGCGGGTCGGCTTGGCCGTCAGGCCGTCCTCGTACACGAGCCACTCGACCTGCCAGTGCAGGTGTACTTGGCCCTCCGCCTTGGCGGCTGTCTGTCCTCTCTTTCCCGCTCCCGACGCCATCAGCGTCGCCACCGTCGTGTTGTTCTCGCGCTGCCTCGACAGGCCCATCGGCACGCCCAGCAGCTCGATCCCGTCGCGATCACACAGCGTCCGCACCTTCTTGCTGGGGCCTCCATGGCTGCTTCCGTTCACAACCTTGGCTGCCGCGCCTCGACGGTCGACCACTGGCACGAATCGTAGCTCGTCGCCGTGCCATTGCTTCTGCAGAACCATGGCCGGTGCCGCCGCCGCCGACGACTGCTGTCCGCCTGGCCGCTTCGACGAGCCCCGGTAACTGCCGCCACCTCGTGTGTTCCGGCCGCCACGCTGATCGTCCTCGCCGAGAACCGGTGGCCGCAAATCGCCGCTGCGCAAAAGATGACGCTCCTCGACCAGGTGGCGCTCGTTGCGCTGGCGCGCCAGCTCGATGCCGCGCAGAAAGTTGTAGTCGTGGTCCACACCCGCTGGTGTGCACAGGTCTGCTCGCGGCACGTACGCCGTCACGTCCCGAATGCCGCTGCAGCCTGCGCGTGCTCGATGGCGACGGCTGCACTCAACCGAGCAGTAGCGAATTCCGCATCGCGGACAGCGATAGCGAGGCGGTACTGCCCGGCAGATACCACACAGCGTCGTCAATAGCGGATCCGACATGGCCACGTGTTCGCGTATCTGTCCGTCGACTCAATGGTGCCGGTGTGTGGTCAGAAAGACGATGCAGCGAAGTCCTACGATGCAAGAAAAAACACGACTAAAAAGCAGCCTTATCACGATAAGATATACGATAAGATAACCAAAATATTTTGGAATCCAGATTCAAGACAGTAATCACGAATAAAACCAATGCGTTATATCGTTACGGTACAGCTTTGCATTCAAGGCCACCGCCTCACTGATCAGCGAATAAGCAAAATAGGGAAAGAAATGGCTGCTTCCGCCCAAAATATCATCTCGGCAATATAGTAAAAAGGAAACTAGACTAGATAACAAAAAAAAAGATATCGGGAGACCGCAAGAATCAGATATAAGAACGCCACGGCACTTAGTCATATAAGAACCCGTCCAAAATCAAGACAAAAAAGGAAAGGAAATGAAAGAGAGAGGAAGAGAGGGAGAGGAGGGAGAGAGAAGGCGAGAGACAGGGTGGGAGTTCAAGGAGGATTGGATTTAGGCAGGTCAGGAAGTCGGCTGTCTGACCGTCACCGTTTGTTCGCATACGACCGTAAGGTGTATTCTGTTGTTGTTTAGATTCAATGGGGTTGGTTGTGCTTCAAGCATCACCAGCCCCAGCCACGCCGATCTTTGAGTCATCGCGAACCCCCGAGTGCGCTTATTCGCGCACCGGAAGAGCGGTGGATCAGGTTCTCCGAGTGCTTGTTGACAACACTGTGCATCGTCTCCACGTCGCTGCGGTTGCCATACTCGTCCTCGTCCTCGACAATCTTGGTCGGGATGTCGTGACCGATCATGTACTGCTGCGACGACCGCTCCGGCGTTGTTGTCGTCGATGCGATCGACATCGACGTGCTCGCCCGGTTCGATATCAGATCCGGCGTCGGCGGGATGCTCGACGTCCGGCCCGACGGCTGCAGCCGGCCGTCATCGCAACCCTCCGATGTTGCTACCGAAAGGTTGCTGTTCCGCCGGCTGTTCATCAGCGACCGGCGCCGGTCCTCCGACATCACCGCGTCCTGTGCCATCTCCAGGCCCTCCACCGCCGCCTGGCACTGCTCTGCAATGTTGCGGATGATGTGTGCAATCGCATCCGTCTTGTCCTTGAGGTGGCGGTCTGCCACGTCCTTGAAGCTGGACGACGACATCCGCTTGCTGCGGAACGTCTGCAGACGCTCTTGCACTTCCTCCGGAGTACCTTCCAGGTCATCCTCATAAGACATCTCGAGCTCCTCGAGAATGTCATCCGGCTTGGTCAGCGACTCGACCAGGTGCTCCATGTGGTGAGTCTGGCCGCCGATGAGGCTGCGCAGGTGCAGGACCACGCGGCGCGCCTCGTCGCGCTGCCGTGCCAGCGTCACATTGGTGTGCTGAAGAGCCGTGAGCTCCTTGCTGTTGCGCTGCCGCTCGCGCTCGAGCTCCTCTGCAATCTCCTGCTGCAGCACCAACGCCTCAAGAGCGTCGTCGCGCTGCTTCTCCGTGCCCGTGAGCCGCACCGTCAGACGGGCATTATCGTCCTTCTGCTGGTCAATCAGACCGCCAAGCCGGCGGTTCTCCCGCTTGTGGTTCTCAATCTTGACCTTGAGGTCTTGCGTCTCCTTGGTGAGCGTCTCGGCAAAGGCCTGGAATTTGAGGAACTGGGGATATCGTTAGCAGCCGAATTCGCAATCCGCGTGTGAGAATTTCTTACCTGCTGCTTCCAGCTTTCCAGCTCCTCCACGAGGTAGTTGTTGCGCTTGGTCACCTTGGCCAGCTCCGTGTCCATGCGGCCCTTCAGATTGATAAAGTCCTGCCATGCCTCCAGAGCATCGCGAGAGTACTGGTTGCGCTCCCGCACAATCTCGTTCAGGTGACGCATCGAGACCTTGGTCATCAGCGGCTTCTTCACCGAGCCACCAAACACGGCCTTGACGCCAGAGTTCCGTCCCATCTTCTCGCACACGTGGTCCATCACAGCCATAATGGCGTCCTGGTTCCACCACTCTGGGTCCTGAATCGACTCGACCTCGCCCCGCATAACGATGATCTGACCGGCCGGCACAAGCTTGCCGCCGCCGTAGGCCGAGCGCAGGTGCTGAGGAACACCCGACGGCGTCACGTCACCGTTGAGGGACTCTGTCAGGCGGCTAACGAACTTGTTGCGCTGGCCAGGTGTCAGAGCAGTGGGCGGGCTCGACGTGAGAACAAAATTGCGGTCCAGGTCCACCACGAGGGCGTCGCTAGGCGCAGTGAACAGCGAACGGCACTCGGCAGTGATGCCGAGGATGTACGGGCCAGGCTCGTCAACGAGCTCCTTTGCGTGGCGGGCGTGGACGACCGGCACATAGAGACCGCTCCACTCGTAAACGCGCACGCAGAAGCGGACTGTCTCGGCCGCCATGGTGAGCATGGCCGGATAGTGGCTGACAAAGATGATCCGGCGAGTCGGAGACACGGCCGCCTCGATGACGCCGACAATGTTGGGAATCGACAGGCAGCAGAACATCGGCCACATGGCAAAGTTTTGGAAGCCGGTCGGAGACGAAGGAAATTGGTAGCAGAGTGCGTAGTCCTTCATGTCGATCCGGACAAGGTCGTTGAGCCGCGGCGCCGGGAAGCTCAGGATGCGCGAGACCTCCTCGGCGTGGAAGAGGTTGGTGGCCTTGTTCCAGTGGATCCACATGCCGCGGAGGTAGTCGCCCAGGAGGTTGTACAGCGGATAGCGCGACAGGAAGGACAGGCAGTAAGGAATCCAGTATGTCTCGTCAGCGCTGTCGTAAAAGTCGGACTCGGTGCGCTTGCGAAGGTCGCGGATCGTCTCAGCACGCTTCTCGTCAGCCCTCGACCAGACCCGCAGGCAGATGCCGTACAGAGTGTGCGAGGAGTCCTGCTGCAGGACGAAGGCGTGATGCACACAGTGAGGCTGGCTGCGGCCGGTGCAGATCTCGACGTCGTGAGGAAAGCAGGCCTGTGGTCACGAATGGCATGCGTTAGCACTCTGTTCTTGGCCGACGCGTATCCGTCTCCCAAACAGTCACGAGCTGGGTACTTACCCGCATAGCAGCGTGTAGTGAGCGGGCGATCTCGTTGTCCTGCTCCAGACGCGGGCTGCTACCGAGAATTTCAGGCAGCCAGAATTGGCCGACAGCACCCTTCATGTGGCCGATCTTCCCTTGAGATGGCGACGGAGCTTTCACCCACTGGGACGGCTCACGGCCGACACCGCACACCATGTACGCATGGGTGAGGGTCTTGGGCGTCCGCTGCTGAGGCTTGCTGTTCAGGGTGGACGGGATGGGCTGCGTGATGCGGGAATGGAGCGATGACGTTCGGCTGGGGATGATGAGGTTGGTGTCGCCCTGGTCACGGGTGCTGGGACGGCCTTCACGGTCGCCGGTGCGTGGCCGCGTGAAGGACGGGTGGGTATTCAGAGACGGCGCCATTGTGTTTCGTCGATATATAGAATGGATTTGTAGAGAAGCGAAAGACGGCGGAGCAAAGTCAATGCTCGGCCTTGAAAAAACGAAGGTCGGTAGTCGAGGGCACGATGAGCAAGCGGCTCATTAGACGTCGACTAAAAAGGCAGCCCAAAAGGGGGGCGAGTAGGCTGAAACACGAACAGAGAAGCAATCGGACTGTCGCCTGAGAGTGGCGGCAGACAATAGACAATCGACAATTGACAGGGAAAACAAATGAATGTTTGAACGCGAGTCTCCCAGGACGGGTTGGACCAGAATTCACTTCCTTGGCCGTCAAGACACAGCAACGCGAGCAGGTAAAAAGGCGACAACCACGAAGCTCGAGGCTGCTTGGCTGTTGCGAGAGCACACAGGCAAGATGGAGCTTGGTGATGCTACTGAGCGAAAAGAAGGGAAAGGAGAGGGAAGGAGAGGAAGAGAGAGGAGAGAAAAGGGAAGAGAACGACGACAGAAGAAGGGGACAAAAGAACGAGACCAGGCAGAAAGAGGAAAGGCAGACGGGGACAGGCAAGATTGGGCGACTAGGGTGTGGGAAGAGCACAGAAGGGAAGCAAGTTGACGACTAAAATTACGCCGTGAGAACAGTCTCTGGGGGCTTTCGGGGGGGGACGAAGGAGCTGTTGGTGCGCATGTGTAGCTGTGCTCGACGGCACTTATGAAAGGCACTACACCAGTTTGGATCGATGATGGTGGGTTTGCGAGGCAAGGACACGGCAAGCAGGCTGTAGGCCGTAGATACCAGCCCCAGTCGACGATGGATCACAGCTAAGTGGAGGCAGGAGGCGAAAAGAAGAAAAAGGCGCCAAAGAACGGCGTAAACAGAGCTGCAGGAAGAGAGAGGTATAAAAAAAAAGAAAAAGCCCGGGCCAGACATGGACGCGAAAGCTGGAGTCAATAGGATGGGACGCAATGTCAGTTCGGGGGTCAGAGCTCTCTGCTAGGGGAGAAGAGGGTGTGAAGGCGAGATGGGTGGGCGTGTTTTCGACAGGGGCTGGCTGGTGGACAGGGGTTCGCTCGCTGGCTCCGATTTACCCCTTTTTCTTTATTTTTTTCGGCCTGGTGGCAGAGTTGAGTCGAAGCGAGACATGTGGAAGAGGGGACCAGAGCTACGAAGAAGAAAGAAGAAAGACGAAAGAAGCAAAAAGGAACAGTCCGTCTGGAAAAGGGGCCAGCTCGGCTCAGTGGCAGGAGCACATGGTATCGCCCTCTGAGAGAGAGCACTTTTATAATGCACATGGGGGCAGGCGCAATCTGGTCCAGCTTGTACGGAGTATTATTGCTATTACGATGTGTACGGAGTACGAGTACTAAACATACATAGTACGACGTAAGATAGTACATAGTATGGATGTACGAGAAATCGTGTTGGTCGTGCCTGCCTCTCGGACTCTGTGCAAAGTCCCTTGCATACGACGTATGATGAGCGGCTTATCCTGTTTGGGACTAGCAGGCGACCTGGCTATATAGGCCGTAGTTGGCATTGCCCTGCTTTTAGTGGTATCAAGCTGCGTTCTCCAAAGCCCCCGGCCCTGGTCTTCCCCCTCTTCAGGTAAGATACAAAGTACCGAATAGAGTGGCCGACTCTCGGTAAGCAGTGCTTGGGGCAGCCAGTCGTCATGTCCGGTGCCAAACTGACAGCGATCGTGCGAGGCCTGTCTGGATCTGACACAGACACCAGGCTGGTCCTATCTTACTCTGTAACGAGCTGGCCGGGGCGCTTGTCCTGTCGAAAGCCGGCTTTTGTACACTCCCACCACCGATCCGCGTGGCTGTACCTAGGCGAGGGCTGCGTGCAATAATGCATGGCCCTGCCGGAATGAAGATGTGCAACGCCAAAACAACAGGATGGGCGGGTCTTCCTGCGACTTGAAACGGCCGACAGGAAAGGCCTGATAAGGCCGCAGGCGAAGGAAGAACACAAGAGTCCAAGGCGGCCGCGCCAGAACACTCGTATTGTTCTCTGGCAGTGCGCTGTCCCTGGCCCCATGTCTCAGTCCGTCACAGGTCATAGCACGCTGGCGCTCGGCTGCAAGGAGGATATTTTCAGGGGACGAGCGAACTGTGCAGAGACTCCGCCAAGCAGCTCAGCACGTCAGCCGGGCATCCGAGCTGCTAGTCGCATGTAAGATACTCCGTATGCATCTAACGATACGAGCACTTGTTGTACAAGACCTGCTCCACGATGCCGATGCAGGGGGACAACGCCATTGCTACATAGTATGTATACAGACAAGAAAAAGAAAAGACAGACACGCTCGTAAACCGCGGCGCTCGCAAAACAGCCCAGCAGTCGTATACCAGCCGTTCTGCCCGGCCTGGGTGGCGTCGCGCTTTGACCTGTCGTAGTGCTAAGATATTCAGGTCTTTTCCGGACCTCGTGCGAGGTCAGCACACAAGCGAGGAGACGGCATGAAGCCAGCTTCCCTCTCTGCCTTGCTTTCATCCCCGGCTCTCAGACGACAAGTCTTTTTGCATCTCCTATGCAGACACATCGTCGCGGGAAATGAGCAAACCCGTTACAGAAAACGACCGAGAACACATGCAATGCCTGTCGTATCTTATCTGAACCAAAGTTTGCTCAGAGACGCCCTCTAAACATCGGGGCTCCACTGGCAAGCCGTTCCGTACTATGTAAGATACTCCGTAGTCACCCTTCTGCCGTCACACTGTTATAGGTTGCATTATTGGCACTGCCTGCTCCTGTCTCGGTACCTAATGAGAATTGCTGCCGAAACGGCCTACCTGAAAGCGGTGGCGTCACATCGTCACATCTCCCTCTCCAAACTCCGAATGAAGGCTTGTGGCACCCCATACCTCACACCACGGCCGGCTATAACCCGTCACTAGCTGCTTTCGCCAACCCAAGATAACATAATCCGTGTCACAAACGGGGGCCCAAGAGCCCTTCCTCATCGTACGGAGTACTCGTCTCGTAGTCTCGCAACGGATCCGATTCAGTCAACTCTTCCTTCTCATAACATACAGCTCGAGGTCAAAATGTGGTATAAGGCAAAAGAACAAATAAAGATGGCCACCCATTTTTCGTCTTCAGCATGCCTGCATTCCGCCCTCTCTTCCAACCCTCATTCAATACATTCTGATATATGAACAGTAAAACAAAACAGATAGAAAAGAACAATTTCAAGCGGTCATGTCATCTCGGCCATTCAAGAAATAGAAACATAAGTAAAACAAGCGGCGGAAAAGAATGCCAGATCAAAAGGGGGAGGGGGAAGTAAAAAAGTGGCAGATCTGAGCAAGTTGAAAAAAGATCGCCTCAAATGGCAGCAAGTCTCGCACAGATCGCTTGCGCAATAGCCCGTTCTTTTGCTTACCCATGAAAACAGAAGAGCGAACCAAACTCCTCGCCACGCCATGTAAGAGTCATCAAAATAGGACAGAGAAGACAAAAAAGACAAAAAAAAAGACAAGGAAACAAAAAGAGCCGCCATCGCAGGAATGACATCGCTCGATAGGCAGCCAAACCAGACGAGACTGTCTGCTTAGAAGCAGTTCAGGCTGCCCTTCTTCTTCTTCTTGCTGATCGCATTCATCCGCTCCTCCAGATGAGCACGAGCAATCTCGGCATCGCGCCGCTTCTTGCGCTCCTCCTCCACCTGGTGCAGGCTCCACCGGTTGTCCTGTGACGGACGCTCCTTGAGCTCCTTAATCTCGGCCTCCAAATCTGTGCAGCGCCGACGCCACGCCTCACAGTCCGTCTTCATCTTATTAGACTGGTCCTCCAAGTCCGTCAGCGCCTCCTCCAGCGTCTGGGTCAGTTGCTTCTCCGCCTCCAGGTGCTTCTCGATCGTCCGGATGCGCGCCTCCTGGTCCTGCTGGATCTGCTGGAGCGCAATGTCCTTGCTTGGTGGCCGTCCTGAAGTTGTCGGTGTCGATGGCACCACAGTCGTCGACGGTGGCGAGGTGGAGCCTGGAAGAGGTGGCAGCGGGATGGCTGGTGGAGGCGACGGAAGCGATCCCACCGATGAGCTTGCCCGCAGCTGCGAGTTGGTCGAGTTGGACCGCTGTGGTGCGCCATCGGCTGACGTAATCCCGTCAAAGCGAGCCTGTGCAGACGTCTGGTCAGCTCGTGTCTCTACTGTCTGCACCCGTCTGTGGCTCACCTTCAATGCTGCGTATTCCTCCTTGACTGCCTCCAGCTCCGACTGGATCCGGCTCTTCGCAGAGTTAGCCTCCTCGATTTTTTGGTTGCGCTCAGACTGCAGAACAGACAGCCGGTTGGTTGTCATCTGGGCCTGATCAAAGTTTGTCTGCAGCTGCTCCTCTAGCTCGTCGACCAGGCGCGAGTTCTTCTTGTTCCTCGTCTCCAGGTCGTGCAGGCGCTTTTGCACAACGGCCATCTGGTCCGCCACAGTCGCACCGGGCTTCCGAACCAGCTCGGCGTCGGGACCGAGCATGACGGTCAAAACCGAGCGAACGGCCTCTAGGTCGCGCATTACCGAGTCGCTGATACTCGTCAGCTCTGCCACAGTCTCCTGGAGCTCCGCCGTCTTCGCCTGCTCTGCCGTGAACGATTTCTTCACCGACACAAGACTGTCAACACGTTCTGCGACCTTCTCCACGCTGACGTCAAGTCCGAGAGCAAACGCGACCTTGGCCGCCACTTTCATCAAGTCTTCGCGCGCCTCTGTCAGATCGCTCTCCAGAATGCGAATGTTCTCTGCATGCTCCGTCATGAGAAGCTGTATCTCCGCATCGTACTCATTCCGCGACGCTTCTCTCACTTTCTCAAGGTCATCGGCGTGGCCGGCCTGAAGTGCTTCCAGGTTCTCTTCGTGGCTAGCCAGAGCCCTTTCTTGGTCGCCAATCCTTTCCTCCAGCTGCGATACCAGCGTCTTGTGCACATAGGCCTCATCGAGCGCCGCCTCACGAACCTTGATAGCCTCCTCCAGCTGCGCCTTTGCAGACGCGTAGTTGGTTTCAAGCTCGGCCACCTTGCTCGCATTGCTGTTGATAATGGCCTTGTACTCGTCCACCTCCGTACGCAGCATCTGGACCTGCTCTTGCTGCTTGCGCTGTTGCAGTAACAGTACCTTGGAGTCGGCATGTGCTGGATCCTCGCCTTCAGCAAAGGCAATAGTCGCCGTAGCCTCTGCCAGCTGAGCCTGAACATGCGAAAGCTGGGCCTCAAGCTCAACAACCTGCTTCTTCATCTGCTCCTCTTTGCCGTTGAACGCTTCCAGCGCTGTCTGATGCTTCGTCTCCCAGTTCGCCAGATCTTTTTCAAGACCCCGGGTCTTGTCGACGTGGGCTTGCACCGTAGCCGAGTTATCCCCAGCCATGGCTGCACGCAGCGTCTGGAGTTCCGCCTGCAACTCCCGTTCATGTTTGCCGTAGGTTTCCTGCAATCCTCTCAACTGCTGCTCGTTCTTTTCAAGCTGGTCTCGTAGAGTGGACGTCAGGGAAATGTCCATTGGAGAAGTCTTCAAACTCGAGCGTTCACGGGTCAAGCCGGAAATGATTGTCATCTTCGTTTCCATCTCCCTCTTCGCTGCTGCCACGCCAGCCTCTAGTTCTTGGATGCGCTCTGCCCTGGCCTGTAGCTCATGCATGGCTGCGTTGAGATTTATTTCGAAGTTTTGCATCATATCAGGGTTGTGTGAAAAGTTATCGGCAGCGATGTTCCGTAGAGACGCAAACGACCGGTGAGCCCGGTCAACATTCAAAACATTCTGGCTGGACTTGCGGCGGATGACAGGTGTGATGGATCGAGGAGACGTGACTTCGGTAGCTTGTTGAGCCTTTGCCACCTCCGTTTTCAGTTCCTCCACCACGTCCAACGTTTGGTGATGTTGCATTTCCAGTTCCGCATATCTGTGCGCTAGCTCCTTTTCAGCTTCCTCTTTCTTGGCGGCCAGCTCACGCAAATGCTGCAGCTCAGCCTCAAGGGCCCCGTCGTTACTCTCCCCAGTGCCATGCTTGGTCGAAACACCACCCACCCCAACCCCAGGAAAGGACGTGGCGTTCCGCAACTCCTTCCTGGGGGACAGAGTTTCAGCATCGGAATGGTCAACCGTAGCCGGGGACTCCATCGCTGACGACAGCTCAGAAGAGAGTGACCGTGTTGACGAAACGTGTCGCCCGTTCTTTGCGTCATTAGACCTTGCATCGGAGAAGAACGACGACGGTCTTGTTTGTGCCGTGTGGGCTGTGTCGGTCGCAGACTCCAACGAATCTCTCGCCACATCCCTTGGGAGCCCGGATTCATCTACCGAGTCTTGCAACTCTGCAAGCGTCCGCAGCGCCTTTTCGTATTTAGCCTGAAGGAGCTCAAACTCATTCAGAGTCGCCTCATGCTCGACACGCAAGCCAACGAGCTCCTCGCTCACCGACTCCAACTTGTCAGAAACAAAGTTAGACTGCGCTTGGCTATCCTGGTAATTATTCAGACGACCTTCCGAACGTGCTGCAGCGCCACGAGGCAAGCGAGAGAGCTGTGCCTCAACTGAATCTTCGGCTTCTTCTGCCTCTCCGAAGGTTTGATTCCCCACCTCGTCATTCTCGTTCTCGGCGGCGTTGTCGTTGTCGTAATTGTCATCGTATCCATCGTCTTCTTCCTCGGGAATGACGTCGGTGTTGTGGCTCATACGGCTGACATGGCTCTGGCTGCGCGAGTGCTCTGCGATGCTACGGCTAGCGGTGCGCCGATGGCCCATACCGTTGCCGTTGGCCACGGAGTCTTCCATCGCACCGGCACCGCTGGCCATACCAGCAGGCGTCTCGGACCGGCCGTCCTGCTGCTGCATGTTATCGAGTTCATACAAGAGAGAGTCGAGCTTGCCGAGACTGCGTTGCCGTTCGACCACCTGTTCAAGGCGGTCGATTTCACGCTGCATCAGTTCGGCGTCTTGGTCGGCTTCAGCTAAGCGCTCTTCGAGGGTGGAGATATAATCTTCGCAAGTGGCCTCATTCTCGCGAATGCGTGAGATTTCTTTGCGCAGCTCGATGACAATGGTGGCATTTCTTTCCTCGCCGAACGTGTGGCCGTCCAGCTTGGACTCGAGATCGTGCAGATAGTTCTCGGTGGTGGCTTCTCGGTCCGTGAGCTTCTGCAGCCGGGCCTGAAGCTGAGAATTGATGGTCTCGACGTAGGCGCATTTCGTTTCCTTTTCCAACAGGCTTGTTTCTGTACCCGAAAGAGTCGCCCGAGTGCTGGAAAGTGACTGCTCCAGTGACTGAATCGTCTTTTCGTATTCTAAAACGACCTGCTCGACTGCCTGGGCGAAGCTGTTGGATCTGTTTAATCGTGCAGACGCGCTGTCACCCCCAGCATCAAGCAAGAGCTGATTCTCGGCCACCTCGTTGTCTCGCGCTTTGGCCATCTCAGCAATGAGTCGGGAGTGTCGTTGGCTCAGGGTGGTGTAGTTTTCCTGTGCATCCAGTAGGGCGTTCTGCAATTCCACCTCCCGTTCTCCTGGACGATCGGAACGCTCATTTGTTGATAGTACGCGCCGTTCTCCACTAGTCCCTCCAGAAGCTGCGCTGCGAATCTGCTCTCGCAAAAAGGCGACCTCCGCCTTCAGGCGGTCAATAATTGCCTGTTTGTCGCCCTCTTCAACCTGTTGGATCCGTGGCTTGCTCTGGATCGCCCGGGCCCTCTGTGCATACTGCACCGTATTGAGTGTCTCGCTGAGATGAAACTCCGGGGGGGTAACACACGCAATCATGTAAGTGATTGCATTGCCACCCAAGGAATCCTGCAGCAAACGAGTCAAGCGGGAATCCCGGTAGGACACGTGGGCGCCTGGCTGCCGAGACGAAAGCTGGGAAATAACCTTTCCAAGGGCTGCGAGGCCGGCATTGATAGAAATTCCCTCCCTGGCACGCTCGCCCTGTGCTCCCGTGTTCTTCAGGCGTTCACTTCCGGCCAGATCAACGAAATGGAGCTTGCTGTCAATGGTGACCCAGGATTCGGTGCCTGACATGGCTTCCAATGGAACAGACATCCGTTTCTCGTTCTTAGCTCCCGGGGTGCCTGCTTTCCGCTGGACTAGGTTCAAGCTGAAGACGGCGTGCGACCGCGACGACCGGGCGTTGATAGCGGTAGCATCGGTTTGGCGAAGAGTAGATCCAAAGTTGAGGGCGTTCATGAGGTCTTCAACCGAGCAGATCTCTACCTGGTGGAGGCCCGTGAGAAGGATGTTGCCTTTGACATCTTCACGAATTGTGACATTCGCGCGCTCCTGAACCGGAACATGCTCAGGAAGTAGTAGGTCGCGAAGCTGCTCGTTGTAGATCTCCACATACGTCGCCATGAGAGTCCAGGTCTTGTCTGTTTTCGGGGCGGCCTGGCCGTAGCCTCTGGGAGCGCGCATATGGGACAACGAGGCGCGGTTCGTGGTGCCTTTTGGGCCATCCAGCTTTTCGAACAGCGCTGCAGCGGCTCGCGGGATGACGCCTAGCAAAGTGAGTTAGCATTACATGTTTTACATGTGATGTGAAGTAAGAGTATGCCCCTACCCATAATTTCCAGATTGTCTTGGTCTATCGGCCCAGATGTTCCCATGGTGTAAGACTTTCCAGCACCAGACTGGCCATAAGCAAGAAGGGAGACATTGTAGCCCATGGTGAAGGCATTAACAGAGTCGTCCAGATACTCCCAAACGCCGTTCTGCGTCACCTCGGGACCGAAAACCCTGTCAAAAACAAAAAGTTTGCGGCCTTGTGGTGAGTCGATCGACAGGCTCGTGTCGGACATCAAATGGACCATGGACCGTTGAAAACGTTGGGGAATCAAATCGTAGCCGGGGTCGGTAGGCTTCAGAGGCGGACGCACGCGAACAACTGGAACAGTCAGCCAAGGAAAATCACCCGGTCCGCAGCCGAAAGCATGGTGCCTGGAAGAAAGAAGGACAGAAGCCGGATATACGTACCGACTTTGACAGACGTGCGTGTGTCTTCGTCCGAAGCACGGCTACCACCTGTCTTGCTACCAGCACTCATGCGACTATTGCTTCTCGGAGCCGGACGAACCATTGCGCTCATAGGCCGCTGAGGCGCACCCGTGGAAGAAGCTGGTGACATGGGGTGAGAGTTCACTGCGGAGGTCGCATCGCCTACGTGGGCAGAGTTTGTAGAAAGCGGAGGAAGTGACGAGGAAGTAAAAGCATGGGCAGAAGTAGCGGACGCAAAATATTCCATAACGGCTCAAAATCCTATATGCGTGCACACGCAGAGGAAATATGCCAGCCAACCCGCGCGGGCACAGAAGAATGTGCGTTGGCGGCACGTCCCTCCCACCTCGCAGGTACTGTGCCTCGTTGGCACGCTGTGTTTGGTTGTGTTTCTGTCGGTTTTACTGCTTGACAAATCGTGTCCACTGACAAGGCGGCAAGGCGGCAAGGACAGGTCGGCGGTAAAAAGGCGCTTTGGAAATCTGAGAACCACGGGTCAAATAATGAAGGACAGTGGTCAATTTCCGGATCTCGTTTGCGACAGTCGATCCTGGAGTGCAATCGTAGGAAGAGGCTGTAGAAGGCACGTTGGTCGAGCTTGGCCTCCTCTCTATGAAAGCGGCGGCATTCAAATTAGAAAAATCAAACCGCCGGCTGTTTCCGTAGTCGCGCAGATGATTTCGCGAGTATGGGAGTTCGTGTCAGGGTTCGGCTCGCGGGTCGTAAGCACTGGAGGTCCGTTGATATTAGTTGAAGAATTCTGGACGAGTGGTCCTTGCTTCGTCGGCTGTGACGGGGAGCCGAAAAAGTTGAGACACGACACAAGAATGCTAAAAGAAGTGAAAAAGAAATAGGAACAGGGTCGCAGCAGGATGAGCGCCAATGCACCGTGTTCCTGGTTCTTCGGGGCAGGCTTGCGGGAAAAGGGGCAGGGAGGGTCCGGCCATAAAGGGGAGTGCATACCATGTATCGTTAGTTGTGAAAATGTTGGCCAGTCTCAGGTCCGTTTGGGCAGCTGAAGCGGCCCATATGTTTATTTGATTACCGCCAGGGGAAAGCCAAATCTTAGTTCAGAAAACGCGTTGCAGGATACCTCCGATTGGGAATAGGACCAGGCCAGCGCGAAGGCTCGATTGGGTAAGCGATAATCGAAAAGGGGGATACCGAGTGGAAACGTCTGGAGAAATTGTGGAAAGAGAGAGGGCGATGCTTTTCGAGGTCGGTTTTGTCTGGTGGCCGGCCAAGAGAAGCAGAAAGCAGAATCAGATACAAAAGCACGGAGTACAAATGTGCAGGAAAGGCGGTAAAGATAAAGATGAACCGCGGGTAACGGGGCCAGAAGAAAAAGAAAAGACCGACTGATGCCGCGAGATATAAGAAGGTAAGATGCAAGCGTATCTAGCAGGGGTATGTAGCAGTAGTAACTGAAGTCGTGAAAAAGGCGAGAAAAGAGGGCAGAAAAGGAGGCCACATATCTTCCGTGCGCAGACACGCAAATCCGCTGGATTGACAGGCAGGTACCCAAGACGACACCAGTCCTCCACGCGGCCAACGGCCGGGGCAGTCTACCAAGATACAGTGAAAGGTGCCTTAGTTCGGTGGGGCCATCGCGCCTTCTGCTTTAGCCCAAACCCGGACGGCCGTTGGCCAACGGCATCTGTTTGTAAGATAGATATCCTAAAGCAGTTGGCCGTTGTAATCTATCGCGAGGACACTACTACTGTATATGTAAATACGCTACGGGCAATGGACGGATACGAGCAAAGCGGTGCGCGCTAGCAGAAAACGGTCGCGCTTTTCTCCGTTGCAGGCTCCGTACTCCGTACTCGTAAGATGCAGAAATAGCGCCAGGTTGTCATGGAATCCGCGTAGGCGGTGCAGCGTCGAATTGCCTCAAGAGTCTACGGAGTACGGAGTACGGAGTAGATGGCAAGGATCTCTATGCGAGCAGCATGCTTACGGAGGACACCGGCATTGCGTTAGGCCTCGCGATGATCCTTATTTGGTGCCTGGTGGAAAGGGGCCCAGAGATCTTGTGGGTGACCGTTTCGGCACAGGGCACGACTCATAGGTCGAGCTGCAAGGATGCCAGCACCATCGGCCTGGTCTTGTTCTGGTGGCTTGCCGCCCTTGCCCGACTGCTTTTTCTCCTAGGCCCGCTACCTAGCACCGGGTCGGCGACAAGCCTTGTCGTACCATCACCAGGAGAATATTCTTGACCTCTGTCAGACGCCTACGATTCGTTCTTCCAGGCCAACAATGCATTTTCATGCGCCTTGCCAGCACCGAGAAGCATCCAAGTGCGGGCACTGCAGGCACTGCAGAGCAAGATAAAAGACATTACAGAGATACCACGTCGTTAGTATCTTGGTCGAATACGACCCAAGTACGTCTTCATGTGGAGTTTGAGCACAGAAAGTGGCCGGTTGCAACTCCAGCCCGCTTCCGTTGCTACGATCCAGCCCCCCTAGGCAGGGCTCTGTTACCAACGCAAGCCACTGCCATCAGGTGTCCGTATCTTACTTGCTAATTAAGATACGAGCAGCACACTCTGTCCATAATTCGTGTGTGCTCGTTTTTACTCGGTCACATAGTAGCGTTTCATTAAGGTTGTGCTTGCCGTGCTTTATCCGTTGTGCAATCGCAGAGGCCTGTGCCAGACATATCCACAATGTGCAGGGTACAATATTTGCTGGTTGCTTATCTTAGTAGCATACGTGTGCCTGGCAATGGATGCTCCACCTCTCCTTCGTGCGGAACTGCAACGTCCTGTTGCGCTTCTGTGTTCACCCGAGATCGCAGGCTGAGGATGGCCTGCTTATTTCTGTGTCTGGGACCTTTGGCAGCATACCACCCAGATTGTTGCTTGGTACGAGGATACTAAGTACTGACGCGATACTTTGGATTTTTCTGTTTCTGGGTCTCTACAATATTATACCAACGATATTCACGAATTTCATGCTCTGAATCATGCGTCAAATGCAGATACGGTGTCTTAATCAGAACTGCCTTTTAAAAAAGCACAGAGACATGGTTTGAGCCAAGTCACACCCAATGCGGAAACCAGCCGCCGAGAATCAATACCCGCATGTGATGGGGCATGAAATATGGTTCTCTGTGTGGACTGTCCTTCATTCGCCATCCACATCACCAATAATCGGATGTACTCAGACGCTGGAACCATCGTCAACCAGTGTTTGACGCACCCGCTTCCCCAGATCGCCTTGGGTTCCCACGAGGACCCCGGAAGCGTCGTTACCTGAAATAAAACGGATTATTGCTATTTTTGTATATCCAACACAAACAAAAAAAAGTTGTGGTATACTTTGCAAGGCTGCATATGCAGCATATTTAACCTGGCAAAATCTCGCAGGATAGTGCCTTATCTTCCCTTTCAATCGCATATCACACGAGCGGATGCGTGGGAGAAAGTAAGCGAAGACAGCTGAGGCACGAGTACTCCGTAATAGTTGCCCCTCTTTCATGCTTTGAATCCGCTTTCCTGTGATGATCACAGCCCAGCCTCTGGCCAGACAGGTTGTATTGTGGAGGTGATGTGCAGCGCTCACTGCGGAGTGTGACTTCGTTTCATCTGTGACCACATTTTCCCAGATGCAGTGTGATATGCATGCATATGCTATGTCACGGCGCCGAGTCAATCTGTGATTGCGCCCTAACCTGCATACGAGGGGAAATGCGTACTCCTTGAACACACGTCCAGACTTACTTTTGCATATTCCATCTCGCCCCCGTCGGCTCATATTCAGCAAATATATGAGTTTGCCCCGTACTACCCAGACTACCGATGCGAAGGAACTACACCACGACGTGTTCGGCCGTTTCAGCACGTCACATTCATCTGGTTGTACCCACCTATATATACGACGTACAGGTAGTTGCAAGACTCTTGCCCTTTTTCGCTTTGACTTTTTTCCCTTGAATACAACGGTGTGCTCACTAGTTATCGGGGGTCCAGAGTAAATACCGGCCGGCTTGGGGTTTTGCAAGCTTTTGGCATGAACTCTTCATGGCGATTTACTGTGTGAACAGCACAAAACTTTCGACTTCCAGGTAGAACAAGGAAATATGACCAATCAAAACGTCTCTTTGTCACGGCTTTGCGCCTCGTCCAATGAGGTGTTTTTGAAGGAGCGACACCACGTCGTTCGAAGCCCACCCTGGTTTCAAACCCGTGCATATGACGCCCGAGAGCTCCCGGACGTTCGTTTCTCTCACATCGCCATTACCATCCGGCGAATACACCCTATTGCATCCCCATCACACTTGACATATCATACCTATCAGTTATGGTACCTTACAATTTCTGCCCCCTATATAGGGACGATTGAATGGCTGGCTAGGACGGCTTGATTGGGTAACTGTACTCGACAGGCTCTTCACACGGGCAGCCATTTCCCATAGTCACGGGTAAACTAAATGTGCGGACATGAGTGCAATCTCCTCATTCACATGCACGGAGTACAGATACGATATACTCCGTACGGAGCCGAAATATGGTGTACTTTTAATCTCTACCAAGCGCGTGCTATGATATCTACGGCTGAGCAATGATCATGCAAGTGAGCTCTGTCTGGCAAGCTGAGCTGCCATGGCCTTTTTCAGCCCGCTGGATAATTACAAGAAATCAGAAAACATTCAGAGGAGCTTATTAATGCGCAAAGTCGAGATATTAGAGTATGCCACGAAGTACAAATACGAGCAAACTTAATTTGCTGCTAAAAGACACGAAGTGTGCACGTGACTACCCGCTGATTTCGCGATTCTTTCTAGAAAGAACGCGTCACGCTCCATCTCCCGCTGATGAAATCACCAACCCCTCATCAGGAAAGTACACCAAGCGGAACAACCAGCTCGGATCTGGTCTATGCTCGATGAATCTTCAAAACCGTTCACTTTCTTCTCCGATCAGTTCCGCAACATGCCCGGCAATGTCATTGTACTTCTCTCAAGCGACGACTCGGACACTTCCGTTGCGCCGTGCGTCCCAAAACGCACCGTGCCAACCGGGCCCAAAGACGATTTTCCCCAAAGAACGACATCGACGACGTCAATAGGTGCAAGGCCTGTGGTGATATCAAATGTCGCCGACACGCCGGTAGCTACTAGCGCAGCGAAGAGGGCAGAGCGACTTTCACGATTTGGGCTGTCCGATTTCTCTTCGGATGATGCCTCCTCCCCGTTTCCGACCATATCGTCCCGAAAATACGTCCAGACTAAACAAACTCCAAGGAGGGCATTGGCAGACAACAGCAGAGCCCAGAATAGGGAGGGGCCCGTGGTGATTTTGTCCGACTCAGCCGATGAGACTAGCAAGAACAATATCTTCGCGGACGGCTCTCCAGGCTGCAACCTGGCTGATCAGATTCCAGACGATTATTCTGCAAGTCATGAAATGCGACCTCGTAAACGGCCTCGATGGAGTTTCTTGTCCGATACAGCTGCGTCTGCAGTCCGGGACATGTCCGAAGTTGCTGATTTCGATATTGAATTGCCAAGACGGAATCCACCAGCTAAATTACAGCGGAGCTCCTTGGCTATATCAGGCCTGCATGCGCAAACGACGACTGTTATTGACGCGGCCGTAAGTGAACAAAGCTTACATTGCCCGGAAGGATCTAAGGCCCCACCGGCGAACTCGGTGCAGTTTATAGATCTCTTGAGTTCATCAGACTCTGAAGCCGGTCGCACAGCTTCACCAAGAGATTGGCTCAACCTTGATGAACAAGATCTCGACGACTTAGACGACCTCCTTATGACTTCATCACCCGCTGCAAAAAATGGAACCAGGCTGCAAAAAACTACGAAAAACAGGAATGAGAATGAGCCTATGAATTTCGAGAAAGAATTAGCTCTGGAGATTATGTCACTGACAAGCTCGTCGCCACCACCGGTAAGACCGACAAGCACTTCCAGTGTCCAGGTGGCCATCGCAGACGAACTCCGGGGCATCGACAGGCCTGCAGGGAAAGCCGCCTCTGGGGTTCAACTGACGTCAAGACGCCGCCCTTATCGGAGGAGTTTATCGGAGGGACAGGGACTGGGATTTTTGGACGATGATGATGAAGGCGATAGTGACAGTACTCCCAACTTTGCTGCTATTGAAAGTCTCTTGGCAGCGTGGAGAGGGAATGATGAGGTAGAGGAGGACCGTCCTATACCACAGCCAAACAACAACCCGGCTGCGCGCAGGAGCAAATCAGATTTGGGGCGGAGGACGGTCGCCGTTGGAGACGTCCAGAGCAAGGAGGACCGACGAAAGGAACGCGAGGCCGATCAGGAGCAGAGACGGAGGGAGAAGGAGGCCGAAAAAGAGAAGAAGCAGCGGGAAAAAGAGGTGGAAAGGGAAAGAAAGCGGATCGCAGCGCAGATTGCCAAGGAAAAGAAGGCTGACGAGAGGGCAGCTGCAACAGCGTTCAACGAAGCGAACAAAGCACGAACCGACAAGAGCATAGCGGCCCCGGAAATGGTCATACGGCTTCCGAGCACTCTACCACAAGCAACAAGGGAGGTACTAGAGCCCATGTTGACGGAGATCAAGGTGGAATTTGAGGCCTGGACCAGTCCTACGGACAGCATGGTGCTAACATGGCGGCGGAAGGTGACCGCCGAGTACCGGGCCGACCTGGGTCATTGGGTGCCTGTGCCTCTGCGAATCAACGACGAGAAATATGCGGTGGTGATCTTACGGGGTGAGGAGCTTGTCAAGCTCATTCTGGCTCAGGACCCGGAAGGCCGTCGACGAATTGACGACTTGGGCGGCCATGTGCGGACGATGCGAAGACATTTTCCGGAACATACCATCCTGTATGTGGTTGAGGGCCTTGCGGCGTGGAAGTCTAAGAACATGTCGATCCGAAACCGGCAGTTCGTGGAGGCGGTGCGTGGCGCCGGTGGTGAGGGAAGGGGAGAAGCTGGGGACGGCAGTGGTGGATCTCGTGGCACAAAGCGCACCGGAAGAGGCCGGGCTGTCGCAGGAGCAGCGCAACATGTGGACGAGACGGTGGTGGAGGACGCGCTTATGGCATTGCAGGTGGAACACGACGTGCTGGTTCACGAGAGCGGGCAAGCACTCGACACGGCGCGATGGATACGGGCGTTCACGGAGCAGATTGCAACAGGACGATACCGACAGCAGAAGGAGCAGGAGTATGCGGCGGCAGCGTCGTTCTGCATGGACGCGGGACAGATCGCAACGGGCGACGGAGGAGCGGAGACATATGCGCTGATGCTGCAGCAAATTGCGCGGGTGACAGAGCCGGTGGCCCTCGGAGTGGTGGCACGGTTCGACAGCGTGCCGAAGCTGGTGCGAGGGCTGGCAGCAGAGGGACCACTGGCACTGGAGGCGTGTCTGAAAAGCCGGAACCGGAACGGAGCCTTGTCAGACCGGACGATAGGTCCGGCACTGAGCCGGCGTATTTACAAGGTGTTTATGGGGGAGGACGAGGCAAGTACGGAGATCTGAGAAGGGTTGAAACAGGTCTTGACGGGATTATGAAACTCCGGGGCATCAACGAATATAGATGAGACAGGGACGGAATTGCTAATGAGATCAGATCTAAGTCGTACGTCATGCTGTCATTGGTCGTATGGAGTACCTAAATATACTTGTATTTTGCTTCACGCAGAACATACAGAGTCGGATGTGCCGATGAGGACGGCTGCGTCTCAGAGGCTCCTATTCTTGGGCCCAACATAAAGTTGAAACCGGGGCACAGTGGTCGAGAAGCCTCAGAGGCCACCAAAGTCTCCAGAAAGGGCTGAGCTGACGACGTCTGCTAATGGCCGACACTCATTGGGGCAAGTGGAGACGATTCTTCAGGACTGATGGGATGGGCGGCGGGAACAGGGCGACGTCAGCCCTGCCAAGGTTGCGTGGCCAACAGGCCAGTGGCAGGCCAAGGACGGCCGGCAACCAGGGAAAAGAAGGACATTGTGAGACAGGAGGGAGGGAGGGAAGAATGCCAAGGATTAGTCAGCTGTTAGGCTGTCCAGGTGTGCGTGGGGAGGGGCGCTAAAGAGCTGCAGTGCGTCATACATTATAGCATGCAGCCGGACGCTAAGAGGACAAAGTACGGAGTACGGAGGAGAGGCGAGTACGAGTACTCGTGCTTAGTACGGGTACATGGTAGCATTGGCCCAACCACCCAACGAGTGGGAGTATCGCTAGAAGTGCGTTGCCCAGAAAGGAAGCTAAGTAACGGTAGACGAAGATATAGGAAACTATGCAACACCTCGCCTTACGAGTCGCGGCGAAAGTCGGCCATCAGTCTCGACGCGAAAGCATTGGACAGGGGACGGCGTGCGGACACGTGATCAGAATGCCAGTTTGAAAGCCCGCCGCGCGTCCTTATCACCGCTGCGGCTCCACATTGCAGCTACATATGCGCCACCCGACAGCCGTCGCTGCAGCCGTCTACTACATAGTATGGACGGAGTACGAGCATTGTATTACTCCGTATCACCAAGTCTTGCTGTTTCCGATCGCCGCAGAAGCCGTGCTACTATGTACGGAGGACTTGCACAGACAGAGCTCTCTTCCATGTACTCCGTACTCCGTATAGAGTGCCCCTATCTCGTAGGGATCAAGTCCAATCTCCCAGCCAAGACCAGCCGCAACCCGTGCTGCGGGCCCATGTTTTGCCCCAGCCAAGGCTCCTCGTCAGCTTGTCTTCCGCCCGTCTCTTTTGCCCTCTTCTGTCTGCTTTTTTTTCTTTTCTTTCGCCCGGCATCTGTCGCGTGCCCTGCATCCTGTTTAAGCATGGCAAACCCCACCGTAGCGCCAACGCTTACGTATAGCAGTTTTGGCGCCAGCCGATAGTGGGGCGAAGATGCTGCTAACAGCCTTCCCCAGCAAGCCGAAGGACAGGGCACCTCTTGCAGAAAAAGGGCCCCAAACAAAACCGCGCACTCTGCGTCGTACATCTCGGTCGTAGTCGTCCCAGGGGGACCCGCCGGCCGTCTTGGCACACGTCCTTGCCATCGGTACACAGCAACTACAAACTCTCCGAGCTGCCTGTCTCGTGCACATATACACACGGTGCCCATTGGTCTGCCCCCAGACGGGAAGAGTCCTGTTTGGACTTAAGCCTTTTGTTTCTTCCTTTTGTGCTGTTCTTTGATCTCTGTCTGGCAGCTGTTCTGCCTTTCGAACCGGCCGACATCACATCTACCACCCGGTTTCTTCCAGGAATAGGTCCATGCTTCCATAAGAGTACGAGCCGCTCTTCTGCTCGATTGTCTCCTTGTGTTTTTTCCTCTCCTCTTCTCTTCCCTTCCTGCTTGGCCCATACTTCACAATGAAGTGTGCCCGCGCCGTCCCCCTTCTCTTCTCTCTCCTCTCCCTCTTCGCCCCGTCCGTCTTCGGGGCCACAGCACTCGACAAGCGCGAGCACAGCAACCACAATGGCCGCAAAGCGGCGCGACCCACGAGTCCCAAGTACTTCCAAGAGCCTGGCTCGGACCCGACGCTCGGCCACTACGACAAGCGCTACTATCACGGCCTCATCGCGTACGGCGAGCACCAGGCAATCCTGCAGCACCTGATCCGGTCGTACCTGCTGACGTCCCGCTCGCTCGGCATCGAGACCTGGATCGCCCACGGCACGCTGCTCGGCTGGTGGTGGAATGGCCGGATCATGCCGTGGGACTACGACCTCGACGTGCAGGTCTCGGACGTCACGCTCTTCTACATGGCGCAGAACTACAACCGGACGATCTACACGTATCGCTACCGTGACGAGTCCGGCCGGGAGTTTGAGCGCGAATACCTGCTCGACATCAACCCGTACCACGCCAACCCGCGCAGTGACGGACAGAACATCATCGACGCCCGCTGGATCGACACCAGCAACGGCATGTTTGTCGACATCACCAGCCTCGCCGAGCGCGATCCTCGCCGCGCTCCCGGCATCTGGAGCTGCAAGAACTTCCACCGCTACCGCACGCGCGAGCTGTATCCCCTGCGCGAGACCGAGTTCGAGGGCGTGCCGGCTTCGATTCCCTACAGCTTTGATCGCGTGCTGACGGCCGAGTATGGCCAGAAGTCGCTGGTGATCACCCAGTTTCAAAAGTACGTCTGCTGCTTTTTTCTCTCTTTGTTCTTTCGTTGAGTGCTGACTGGCTAGACACAAATGGGACGATGAGATCAAGGAGTGGGTGCAAATGTCGGGCAACCGGACAATCGTCCCCCATACAACACCGGCTCCGAATCCTGTCACGATGACGGACCGGAAAGGAGGCGACGTTGTGGTGCAGGACGAGGCAGAAGACAACGCCGACGACAGCGACGACGACTCGGACGACAGCGCAGAAGAGTCCCGCAAGTTTGTCCAGAGCGGTTGAGCCTCTTTGGACGAGCAACGCGGCTAGCAGAGCACAGGCGCGGGAACAAGAGGCGCCGGGCCGTTTCCCGGTGCAGTGTTTGTAGGCTCAAACGCACGGGCTTGAGCGTGTCCACCTGAACCATACGAATCGGCTTGTGGACGCAGGCCAGTTGGTCAATACGAGACCATGGCCTCCCAACGGTCTGGGAGCGGGGACCTGGCGGGATGTCGTCTTTATGTTTTGTGGCGTTGTGGAGTGGCGGTTTAGAGGGCTTTTTTCCATTTCCATTTCAGTTATGATGATGGCTTTTGGCTGTGCTTGGCTTGGCAAAAATGCACACATAGCACGTTCCTGAAACATATACCCAATAAATTGTATCTCTCTTAACGAGAAGGATGCTTTGGCAACAGCCAGAAATTAAGACATGCAGAGAATCAGCTTCAATTAGAGCCACAATCCAAACCAGCAGTTGCTCCTCAACGCCACCCGACCAATGATACGCACTTCGTTCTGAGTCTACCGACTGGAGTTCGTTCCACTGCTGCCATTACTACTGTTGTTGTTATCGGTGCTGCCGTCGTGCCGTCGCTGCTCAGCCATGCGCCGCAGCCGGTCCTCGGCCGCTCGAGCGACCAGATCGCGCCGAGGAGGAGTGCTGGTTGGTGGTGATGTGGCTGTTGCCGTGGTGGCCGCTGCTGCCGAGCCGCTGCCGAGGACAAACGAGCCGCCGGTCCAGCCGCCAGCATCGGTATGGTCCAGGTCTTCGTCTTCTTCGCCCGGCTCGGCCACGTTGCGGATGGGCGCCTGGTACGCGGCCAGTCGGTCGACGTCGTCTCCGGCCAGCGTGCGTCCAGACGCGTGGTAGTCGGCGCTCTCGACCTCGCGCTCGATCTGGTGGCAGAGCGCCCAGAAGCGGCCGTCGTGCGGGCCGTGGACGTTGTGGGCGAGCTCGTGGCAGAGCGTGCGCCGGACGGTACGGTAGTCGCGGTAGCCGTCGCCGGCATCGGTGCGCAGCCGCAGTTCGATCACCTGGCCCTGGTTTCGGTTGAGTCCGAGCGTGCGCGACGTGCCCTCATGCGAGGCCGTCGTGTGCTGGCGCGGGTCCATCTCGGTCAGCAGGCCGACCGTGAAGCGATGGGCCTGCATGGCCGCCCGGATGCCGACGTCGTCGCGCAGCCGCTGCAGAAACCGGATCGATCGGTCGGCGTGGGGGAGGTGGGCGAGCGGCTGTAGCTGCTGGAAGGTATACGGCGAGCCGGACGATGCTGATCCACCACGCACCGTCGTCTGCGCGCGCACCGCGTGGCGTCGCTGTTCCTGTCGTCGCGCCTCCCGTCGCCGCACCGACTCCTGCGCTGCCTGGAGCGCATGCACGGCCGATGTCCGAGGCGCAACCAGGCGCAGCGCAACGGCCTTTCTTGCCGTTCCCCCCAACAGCGGCGCCAGCGGCCGGTCGTGGTCCTCGGCCCCCTTCAGCAGGCCCACCGGCGGCGGTCCGATGTACTTGTGGCTGGACCAGTCGTACACAGACGCTGCCCCGTCCTCCTGTCCGTCCCAACGGTCCTCGCAGGCAATGGTCAGATCGTCGAGCACGGCATCGGTCGGAAGGTCGAAGACGTGCGTCTCGCCAGCAAAAGCGACGCGTATATACAGGGTGACAGGGCTATCGGGTGCAGGCAACATCTGCTGTCGTGGAGTCGCAACCTCGGTGGCCATGGTCGCTGTCGAGAGAAGGAAAGACTGGTCGAGTGATGATTTCTATCTTAGGTTGTCGATGCAAAGTGGTTTGGATCAGAGAGACAGGTTGGAAAGATATTGTTCGTAGGAGAGTGCTCATGGATGTGCACGGCCGCTCGGCGCCCCAGGAGGGAGGATTTAATAAGACATGGATGGCAAAGGCAACCCATCGTCGTCGAATCTTCTGTCTTGCTATTTGCCTCTCGTCCTGCTTGGTAATACGGAGTCGTATTCCGTATTCAACCTAGGCAGAACGGTGCATAGCTTAAAAACGGACAGTTCTAGAGCGGAAAATAAACGGGCCGTGAAAACGGGCCACGGTCCAGCCCCAGATGTACTCACCCACATACTTACAGTGCAAAGTTACTTGCGTGCCAGAGCTGCCAGGACTGTTCTGAAACAGCCTGTCCAATAGGGAGCTAATCGCGTTCGTGTCCTTTAACACGGGGTCTTGTTTTCCTTCGACTCCCGACGAAGCAAGACAGCAAGCTGCTCCTTTCCCTTCACGCCAAAGGCCCCTTTTCCGGCACCATTCCCACGTCCTCGACTCTCCCATCAGCAACCGGAGGACGGCAGACGGCCGACGAGTCCCTGCCCCATTGTCGATCGGCGGGCTAGAAACGCGATCCGTTGCCCAAACCGCATCTGGTGGCGTTTTATCGTCGCTGGTATCTGGCCAGGAGCCACCTCTTCGATCCTCGCATCCCCATATGTCCGCTGCGGGCATCGAATACGCAGAAAATAGCACGCCAAGATGGGCTTGAACCTTTTCCGGGTCGTCGGTAAGTTGGCCGCCTGCGGCTCCGCCACCATCGCCGCCCGCAGTCTTGGCTAACGCGAGCGATTGCACAGGGGACCTCTCCCATCTCGTCTCCATCGCCATCCTGCTCCACAAGATGGTCCAGCTGAAGGTGCGTCTGCCCGTCCTCGTTTCCCGCCTCGCCGCTGTGGCCGTTCCGCCGGCTGCGTGCTGACCGATGACAGAGCTGTTCCGGCATCTCCTTCAAGTCACAGGCGCTCTACTTTATCGTCTACGTGACAAGATACCTGGGTGAGCTTTCCGTCGATGCCTGTCCTCCCTCGGCACGGCCGTCCCTGCTGACACTGCGGCAGACCTGTTCTCTACCAACAGCATCTACAACGTCATCTTCAAGATCCTCTTCATCTCGTCGCAGGGCTACATTCTCTACCTCATGACCACCTCCTTCAAGCCGACGAATGATCCCAACCTCGACACCTTCCGCGTCGAGTACCTCCTCGGCGGGGCTGCCGTGCTCGGCATCCTCATTCCGTACCAGTATTCCTTTTCCGAGATCTTCTGGGCCTTTTCTATCTGGCTCGAGTCTGTCGCCATCCTGCCACAGCTGTTTATGCTGCAGCGCACCGGCGAGGCCGAGGCCATCACGACACACTACCTCTTCGCCCTCGGCATCTACCGCGCCTTCTACATTCCCAACTGGATCTACCGCTACGTGACGGAGCCCACCCACAAAGTCGACTGGATCGCCATTACCGCCGGCATCGTGCAGACCGTCCTGTACAGCGACTTTTTCTGGATTTACTACCAGAAGGTGTTCAAGGGCAAGAAGTTCAAGCTGCCGGTGTAAAGCAGATGCAGGAACTCTACGCCCTGTCCTCCGAAAGGACACGGATCATGAATCTGCAAACAAGGACTACTGGAAGATGGCAATAAGCCCCACATCCGCATTCCCAGACATACTCTGGGAAGGAGAGCGGAATGTGAAGGGCAACTGAAGGCACGGATGCTGACATCAAGAGAGGCACGTTTTTTCATCAAGCATGAGCACGTCTCTGCTCTGACAGTCCGTCCCCTTGGCCGGGCTACTTGGTGGGAAAGGTGCTATCATGCAAACTGAGATGCAGGGGGAAGGACAATCGGAGTTTTTTGTATAATGGCAACCGGCGTTTCCGTGCTACGTCTGTTTCCAAAGAGGGAGGCTTTGTGTATCTGCAGCCCATGTGCGAACCAGAAGGTGCGAGAACTTGCCGGCCCCCCCGGACAATAGATAAATGGGAAAGCTAATGGCCTTCCTAATAAGTGTACTTGTAGACCAGAGAAAATGGAGATTGCAAAGAAATGGAAAATCCCGAGAAAGACAGCTTGCATGAATAAGGTTGTTGTAGGGTAGGATTGACTAGTGCGAATCTCAGACTTATTCTCAGACTTGTTTGAGAAGGTAGATCATCTCCCCTGACCCTTCAGCTTTACCTACATACGTCGTAGCACATTTTCGACATCGGTGCATAAACGATCGAGAATATGACAACAGGCCTCCGGCATACGTGCATTTGCTTGCATTTGGTCCGTATGGGTTGAAATGGGTCATGGCAGTCCCTATACCTTGGATCCTAGCAAAACAGACGTCTTATATCCTTGGTCTGCCAACCCGCAACATACTTCTCCCCCGAGCTATTCTGATTTCTGCCAGGGACAATGCTGTTAAGACTACTAGCTCACTCACTCCAAATCCACTTCCTGTCCGATGCCAACGTTTCAGAATACGGATGGCTGCACGCACGGCTATCCCATCTTCCCGCGTAGGCTAGGAGGCTCTGTTCCGTAGGAGGTGCTTCGAGACCCCAGTATCTCACACAAGGCACGGCCATTGAATCTGAGACGTTGCAGGCTCCGGTCTCCAGCCGCTTAACTATGTACGGCTTCTGTCCACGGCCCAGGCGAGCTCCGGCCCAGGCCTCCTTCAGTCTCCGCCGTCAGGTATCCCATCTTTCCCGTTTCCGTCACATGTTACAGAAAGAGGCTGTCCGGCTGGGGCTTTTAATCTGGATGCCAAATCTATCCACCTTGCGTCTGACCACATAATCCTGAGGCTGACTTTTTCCACCGTCTCTGCCGCTCTCATTCTTCATGCTTTCTGTTTCCGTGTGGCAGCTGCGCTGTCCTTTTCATCCAATACATGGTAGGATACTCGAACACAGCCGCAAAACTAGACTCAGCTACATACCCCCAGTTCGCGAGTAGACGACTTGATACGACAAGCCCGTCTTTCTTCCCGGACCCCGTCTCTCCAGATTCGAGTTCTCTCTCTTTGCTTCCTTTTTCTGTCATTCTCCTTCATCTTTCCTTACCCACAACATCATGGTTGCTTACCGGCCTGATTGTAATATTCATACATTGCTCTCTGCCCGTTCTTTTTCGAATACAGCCGCAGGCCCCGGTTTCAGTAACACTACGCACACACTTACATACACTCACTCGCCAGTCTTCGAAATGACTAAACAGCGTCGGCCATGTCGACGGGCGGCCATTCTTTGGCTGCCGTTCTTACTTATGGCTTCTGCCGCCAACCCAACACTGGCAAATGGATTGGACATCGGCGAGGCCGCACAACCCGTTCCACCCATACCTCGGACGGCTGAAAGCGATGCAAGCAGAATAGGCCAATTGGTTCGGAGACTGATAGCAGTAGGCCCCGACATCATAGCGGCCGATGTGCCGGAACAGAGGCGGCAGATCGTGCGGGCGCTGGAGCAGGACCAAGAAGAGCGCGAGGAGAGCCGGAGGAAGAAGGAGAAGCGGCGAGTTCCAGCAGCAGCAGCAGCAGCGGCAGCAGCGGCAGCAGTGACCGAGCGGGCACCGATACAGACCGCGGCGCCGACATATCCCGTGACAATGCTGGTAGCACGACAAAACGATGGCCAGGTGGCAGCACTGAGCGCGCAGATCCAGTCTCTGTCGCTGGCGTCGTCAGCCGTCAGCCAGGCCAGCCGGCTGGTTTCGCAGACATCGCAGCAGCTAGCCCAACAGGTGACACAGCTGTCACAATCGACCGACCAGCTGTCGCAGTCGATCCGGCAGTTGCAGCAGACGAGCCAACAGCTCCAGCAGTCGGCCCAGCAGGCATCCCAGTCGGCTCAACAGGCGTCCCAGTTGGCCCAACAGGCGTCGCAATCGGCCCAACAAGCTTCACAGTCGGCCACAAGCGCCATCATCGCGGCTCAGGCGTCGGCTGCTAGCAGTGCCAGCTCAGCCATTGCGCTTAGCCTGGCCAGCCTCTCGAGCAGCGTCTCCCGGGTAATCGCCTCGGCCAGTGCCAGCGCTGTCAACATTGCTAGCCTCGCCAGCAACCAGGTCCAGTCGGCCAAGGCCGACGCCACCTTTGCCAGGGTGAGTCAGGCCTTTGTTGTTCTTTCCACCTCCGTCTTTCGCTGACAAGGTTCAGGCTGATGCTGCCACGCAAGTCAAGCATTCCCAGGGCACAAGCGTGTCGGTGACCCAGGTGGCTCTTGCTGTCGTCGTCACTTTTGTCGGCTCTGTGCTTCTCACCGCCCTCGGATTTTATCTGGTGACGCGGTGCAGCAGAAAAGGGAGGCGCCTGAACCACCGGAGCGCAGGTTACCCGCGCGACTTGAAGCTGCAGAATCCTCCTGCAGGGCCGTATAGCAGCAGAACAGGCTACAACAGCAACGATATCAACGACGACGAGCAAAGACTGAACCCTAGTGGTAACGGTGGTGGCAGTGGTGCCAACGGACGTAATTCTCAACAGTCGTCACTGTACAGCCGCAACTCGATGCAGCAGTCCTCCACCAACGCCGGCTTCGGTAGCACGGCCATCAATAGTCCGCCGCCGCCCAGACGGAAAGACACAATCAATTCGGCCGGTGGTGTCCGTGGCAGGAGCATGACTTCCTTCTCTCTCTTCCCCAAGACGCAGACACCGGTTGGCCTATCGGGAGAGGCGATCGGAATCGCCGTCGGCAGCAGAGATACGCTGGACATGACGCCGGCGCTTCGTGGTGATGTTGGTGAAGCCTCTTCGCCCATGTACAAGACAGCCACAATCGTGACGCTTGCGCAGGTCAAAAAAAGCGGCAATAATCTGACAAGGCCGCCGCCGAGTCTGCAGCAATGGTTGCGCCAGGAAACAATGCGCCCAATCGGCACGGGTGACGAAGAAATGAGCACAAGTTGGCCGTTTGAAAGAAATCAACAACAGCCACAGACTATGCGAAAGCAGTCCGTCGGCGCTGGAGGCGTCAATCCCGGAAAAGTGATGCAGCCGGGAGGACCGTTGCCATTAAGAGATTCATGATGGTTTATTTTAAACGAAAAGCCTATGTGGGACGGACGCCTTGATCGACGCCTTGGAGCCAAAGATGGTCGATATTTGTATGGCCAGAAGCCATAAGACACGCGGCAGGGCGACTTTCGACGCGGCGCATAAGTCGTTTTTTCTCAGCCGTCAGGTGTCGAAAACCTCAAAAAGGAGCTGTGCGGATTCCCAGTCTAGCGCTGACGCAAGCTAGCCGTCGAGGCTCAGATAACCAAATACACTCGTGTTATGTCGAGGAAAGATGCTCTGAGATCAAAGGAGAAGACTCGATGAAAGTATAATGTACATACAGGGATAGAACAGCCACCAAGGGAAAGAGCCATCGGCTCTGTCGTGGTTGCCAATACAGTGAAGAGGCGCCGCTAATTGCTTATTTGTAATGAAGTCCTTCTGAATTGAGCTAGCAGCCACATATTGCGTGCATGCCTCACGTAATTAGCTACTTGCTATGAACACTTTGCATCTAGAAATTACCAGCATTGCAAAAGTACAAGGAGAAAGAAGCAGATCATCAGAGACGCCATGGCCGAAGCCGTAAAGTACACGCAAAGGTACTCCTAATACACCGTGGCCACGCACATGAAGCGCACGGCGGAAAAGGACGGGGCGTTTCTGTTGCCGCACCTCCGGAAGACGGACCACATCCTCGACGTCGGCTGTGGCCCTGGCAGCATCACAGCCGGCTTTGCCCAGTACGTGCCCGAGGGCACCGTGGTGGGCGTGGACATCTCGGCCGAGGTGCTGGCACGGGCGACACAGCGCGCGGCCGAGCTGGGCCTCGCGACCTCGGGCCCGGGTTCGGTCAGCTTTCAGCAGGCCGACGTGCTGGCAGGTCTGCCGTACGCGGACGACACCTTTGACGCGGTCTACTGCTCGCAGGTGATCCCACACCTGGCACCGCTGGACCACGCGCGGCGGGCCGTGGCCGAAATGCGGCGGGTGCTGAAGCCGGGCGGCGTGCTGGCATCGCGCGACGGCACCGAGACGCTCTTCTATCCACGCCATCTCGACCTGGGCCGGCTGTGGGTGGAGAATAACAAGCGGGTGATTCGGACCGGCGCGCCGGCCGAGCAGGACATCTCGGGCGCGTCTGTGCCGGGGCTCTTCCGCAGCGCCGGTTTCGGTGCCGACAACGAGACTAAGATTTCTATTGGCGCCTCGACCTGGGTGCAGTCGAGCCGACAGGAACGCCAGTGGTTGGCTTGGCGGGCTTCGGGACAGCTGCAGCCCGGCGACCCGTTCCGACAGAGCTGGCTGGACGCTGGCATCACTGAGGCGGAGATTGAGGAGACGCTGGCGGCCGTCCGGCAATGGGCCGAGATGGACGACGCCTGGATGATCGCGCTGCAGACCGAGACCCTTGGATGGAAGTAGAGATCAGGGCGTGTGCTCTGTACTCCGTACGTTTATGTTTATCCACTACGAGGACTGGCTGTCAGCACACATTACGCGAAAAGGCCCGGCCAGAGCATGGGCCAGGTGGGAACGAGTCCACAAAGAGTTTACGGAGTACTTTCCATGTACTCCGTACGGGAAGATGGAACGATCCCACATCCACCATCGACCCACAGTATGTGATGTACGGAGTATTACTTCGTCCAGGCCATCCGAATGTCCCCGAGCGCCCAAGGGTTGGATCAAGGAATACACAGGAGCTATTTGGAATCAAAGACTGCAGCACGGGCGTGGAAAAAGTCAAGCGATGGAGAACAACAAGCGGATGAAGCTGACCTTTTGAGACAGCTGTACGGAGTACCACGAGCTTGAATGTGAAGTAACTATCAGCAACTTTCGGTAACACCTAGACAAATGTTGTATTGCGACACAAAAACACCGCAGTTGAGATGCTACTGACCATCCCGAAGAGCACCCCAGTCTGGCTCTATCCCGCGTGGTACGGAGTACGTCGTAGCCTCGTAAGGTTTGGTGGATCACAGGGAAATGCACGTGGCCAGATACCACGTGCAGCGGTCGTCCTTGTGCTGATCGCGATCGCTCCTCGCATGCAACTCGCACTTGCCCTTCAAAGGCCACTTTTCCGTATGTCTTTTTCTGTGCTGCTCTACCATTTTCTTTTTCCATTTATTATCGCGCCGTGCATGCGTGTTTTGTCTTGGATAGTCTTATCTGACATAAGCCCGGGGGTTTTTTTTTTCTCAGCCTGCCTGGGCCAACGAACCAGGGAACGGCAACTCTGAGAAATCGCGCCACTCAGGGACGCCAGAGGATGTGGAGGATCCGTGTTCTACTCCCATCCTGCATTCTCGCGTTTCCTCTCTCGAGAGCATTCGCCCTGCCTCTTTCCGCACCCGAGAACCGACAGATTTTGGTAATGCCCATGTGCCCTGGCGCCTATTGAACGGGGAAGGGGGGCAAACCCAGGGAAAATCGCATCCACTACCAGTTCGCAAAAAACAGAACCACCAAAGGCAGAGCTGATCAGAGCTCTAGCGCAGCGCAGCGGGTGGGCTTTATTATCTATTATTTTATTATTTAGACCGTTCACTTGCAGTTTTGGGCGGCTGGTGACGAGTATGCGTCTCTGAGCAGCCTCCCCTCATGGACCTGCCGATCGACCCAAGAGGCGGCCCTCTGCAGGTGGCCATGGCGCTGCAGCTCTCGGGCCAGGAAGGGCCAGTGCCGCCCGAACTTCCCTTTTACTTCCCCGGCGACGATGAAGCACAGGTGGGAGGAGCCCAGACGGCTGCCCTGACGCTGTCGTCGGGCCACGCAATGGTCCCGGTTAGCGACGACGAGGCCTTCAATTGCTGGCCGCAGGACGCGATGGATCTCGATTACGACACTGAGCTGGCGTCGTGGGTGAACTCGTGGGGCCTTCCGCAGTACCGTTCGCCTTCCCACCAGCCACAGACGTCACAAGTGAGCCAACAGCAGGACCAGCACCAGCAACATCAACCACAGCAGCAACAACCACAGCAGCACCAGCAACAGCACCAGCACCAGCAACAGCAACAGCAACAGAATCAACAGCAGCACCGCCACCACCGCCATCAACACCATCATCGCAGTCAGAGTCAGCCACACCACCAACAGCATCATCTTCAGCTGTCCCAGCAGTCTGCTACCACGCTCATGTCGGATGCTGCTGAGCCCATGTTCAAGAACCCCCCTGTGTCTGCCAGCTTTGTCGAGCTGAACACGCCAGCGACCGCAACTCTCGCACGACACGTCCCAGGCCCGGACGACCTGCTGTTCCCCGATGACGAGACGGTGACTGTGGTCTGCGGAAATGAGGCAGCGGGAGAGATGCAGCAGGCCGGTGTCGTATCCACAGAAGGCATTGTTCGCCCACAACAGCAACATCAGCAACAACAGCAGCAACAGCAACAGCAACAACAGCCGGCTCTGCTTGATCTCAACGACCCAGCCACGCTTGATCTCTACGACGAGATGCTGCTCTTCTCTCGTGGCGGCAGCGGCAAAGCGACGGAATCTCAGCTCGCGTTCAGCGAGTGTGACGCCGCCAAGGAGACCATCCTGCGTCGGCTGGCCATGAAGCTGAAGCTCAGCTACAGCTACAATCCAGTTCAACGCCGTGCTTGCATCTGGAAGCCACTGGCCGCGGCCGCTGCCACGCCAAACAAGCGCGCACATCCAACGGAACGGCGACACACATTGGCCAACCCGTTGACCAACTCGTTGACTGGCTCGTTGACTGGCTCATTAACCAGTCCGCTGACTAATCCGCTGACCAACCCGCTAATCAACCCGCTCATCTTTACGTCGCCGCCAACACCACAGGCCTCATACACGGCCCTCGAGGAAGACGACAGCACCGATAGTCCGACTCTGGGCGACCGTCTGTCCAGCAGCTGGAGCATCTTTCACTCGGGCATCTCGTCGCGGCGACCACGCGGCCGTCGCGGCCCGCTGAGCGCCAAGAGCCGTAAGGACATCAAGGACCTCGAGTGGGCCGGTGGCGCGTGTTGGCGCTGCAAGATCCTCCGCCGCAAGTGCGATCCCGGCGTACCCTGCAAGAACTGCCCGGCTCCGGACTTGCGCGAAGACGCGCCGCCCTGGCCGCTGATCGGCTGTCGGCGTGGCAGTCTGCGTGATGCCATGCCGCCACAGGCCTTGTGCACCAGTTCGCGGGCCTTGCTGTCGTCGGATGGAGACCGGTCTTCACGTCGGCTCTCGGCCGTGCTTGAATCGGACCAGCCCCAGCCGGACGTGGTGTCACAGTGCTTCCACGAGGCCGAGGCCCAGTGTCTGTTCGACAACAAGCTCGTGCTGGAAAACCCGTCCATGTACCTGCGGGCTCACGGCAAGTCTGAGGCGGCCCAGCACTTTTCACAGGCTATCCGCAACGGGCGGTACCGTGCCAACGAGTCTCTGCAGGCGCACTGTCACGTGCATGAGCGCACAACCACGTACTCGGAGCTGATTGCTCGCATTGCCTGGGACCTGGCTGACAATGGCGAGAGTCTGTACGTCCTCGAGATCGAATCGGTAGACGGCTTCATGCTGATGCTGGAGACGGCCTGCGTGTATGAAGTCGAGGTGGGAAATGTGAGTATGGTGTGTGTCTGCTATACTCTGCATGTGATGTTAATCGCTGCTAGTCTCCAATGGTGGCGTTGTCGATCGTCTGTCTGCGCTGCTGCATGGATGCCCTACGGCTGAGCGCGGCCAACCTGCTGAGCCGCCAGCTGCATGGAGGCTGCCAGAAGGACCGATGCAGCATCGACTGCCTGCGCGAGCTGGCCCTGTGCATTGAGACGTACATTGAGGAGCTGTCGCTGCTGATGTTCCGCAAGGTTAATCTGCGTGATCGCCGCTGGTGGCTGTCGACCTTTTACAGCCTCTGCATCCAGGCGTATGTGCGGCGCGCCCTGCTAGCCATCGAGCAGCAGCAGCTGTTTCCCGGGATGGACGATGTCGACGTCGATGTGCTGTACAGTAGCCAGTACCTGCATCTGGTCACCGTGCTCTTCATCGCCGTGTCCTTTCAGTATGACCCGCTCGTGGCCGGCAACGGCGGCCTGCGTCTGCAGCAGGCCCTGCTGGCCGAGGAGGACGGTCCGGGCTGGATAGCCAGCTCAAACACCACTTCCAACACAGCATTGACGTCGTCGAGCGTGCCGGAACGCTATTTCGCCGTCGGCCGAACTGCCTGCGTCGTTGATCAATGGCTGGACGAGGGCATCAAGTCGTCGTACCAGTTCCTCACCCGGCTGCTCAACATCGGCTCGCTCGACTTTGACATGGGCCATACTGGTGGAAATATCAACAACACGGCCGTGACCATGACCACCTGTCGGAGCAGCAGCCGATGCGACAACATCATTCTTGAGGAAGGCATGGATGCCGTCCTGCCGCTTCGTCGGCCGCAGCACAAACCCGACCATGCCTCTTCCTTTTCCGGCTACTCCACGCCCAACTCGTCGTCCACGAGCTTTGCCAGTTCGCTGTCGGCGTCGCGGTCCAACGGAATCACGAGCCCGCCGTCGTCCTGTGGTCCGCTCTCGTCCGCCTCGTCGCCCCGGACCTCCCTCTTCATGTCGGACCGTAGGAGCAGCATCGGCTCTCTGCCCAGCCGGCTCTCGGTCGCCTCGTTTCCGGCTGCGTCTGTCGACCTGCACGGTAACGCCCTGGTCCCGCCAGCCGGCAGTACACCAGCCCATCTCTGCACCTGCTGTCCCAAACGGCCGCAGCGCTTCGACACCGCCGAGGAGCTGCGGCTGCACCAGACCAAGAAGCCGCACATCTGCGCCTTCTGCGGCCGCCGCTTCAGCCGCATGAACGAGGCCGAGCGCCACATCACCACCATCCACCTGCGCCCCTTCTCCTGGTCGTGCGGCCGTTTGCGCAAGCCGCTGCGTGCATATCAATGCGTCACTGACGGAAACGCCGCCTTTGACGTCTGCGGCTTCTGTGGCCGTCAGTTCCAGCGTCCGGCCGGCCCAGAAGTCGACGGCCATAGCCAGGATGGCCAGGATGGTCAGGAGGGGGACAACCAAAACATCCAGAGCACCCAGAACAATGAACGGCTCACTGCTCACATCGAGCAGGACCACAAGCTGCACGAGTGCAAGGCCAGGGGCAAGAAGTTCTTTCGCGAGGACATGTTTGGACAGCACCTGAAGCTGTCGCATGCAGCTGAACCGGGCATCTGGCTCAAGTATCTGGAAAACGTCTGCAAGGCCGACGAGAAGGAGAAGCCGGCCGAGGAAGGCTGACGAGATCTTGGTCGTGTCCCTCAGGATAGTTCATGCTGTGAAACGTTGCTCACCGTCGTGCTTTGCTCCTTTCTTTTTAATTTGGTGGATCTGCCCTTTGCGGATCAACACGATTCTTCCTATACCCACTTTCCGTATGATCTTTCCTTTTTTTCCCTTTTTTCCTCGTCTTTCTCCTTCCCCATCCCCCGAACTATTCTTGTACTTAGTTTGCCGGACAATGTGAATCGCGATGAGTCATGCGTTGCTTGCCCCTTGCTGACGGCTCTTGGAGCTGTCAGACGTATGGCGTCAACGGCCAACGTCCTGGCAGGCAAACCCGACTGCATAAGACGCCCAATTCAGGCCTGGTGTCTTTCCGGCTCGCATTGGTGCTACCAATCAGACGTAGTGTAGCTTCCGGGCCCCACTCTCGTATAAGATGACCGGTCCTCTGCAGGCTGCTCTTGCAGCCAGTTGTCTGTGATGAGTGATGACTTGCAAGACATGACAAATATCGAAAAGCTGACATTGTTAAGAACCCTATTTGTCAGCTGTTCAAGGACATGTTGAGTCCGTAGCTCGAGTCCGGCTTTGAGGTCCAGACGAGGCTCGGGGAGTGGCGTGCTCATGTCTTCTCCTGGCCCAGGAGCAGGTTCATCTCTCGTCTCCCCTGATTAGGATGCAGTCGTTCGCTCCCGTGGCCCCAGGACTGATCAACGTAGCATTCTGTGAGAGACACAGGATGACAAGCGTAGCATCCAGCCCGCCACCACCTTCTACCCTGTGTGGAAGCTTTTATAGAACAGTTTTGCAAGACCCGGCAGCCAGGATGGTGGGTAACTGCCCCTCGGAAGGCGGGGAGCATCGGGGGCGAAAATAGAAGAAACGACGGAAAAGAGTGTTCGGACGGGATAAACGGGATGAGCGAAGACCGGCCTGGCTGGATTGCAGGTCAGAGCTAGATGCACAAGAAATAAAGCGGGAGAGCGGAGTTAGCCGTGGGTCCATGGAATCATCGCCATGATGTCTGCCTCTTTCGGGTCATTTTGCTCACGCACTCTTTCTGACCAGAGAGCTGCAGGAAAAAAGAGGCGGAAATTGAAGTCCGTCGCACCAAAACGGAAAAACTGATTATGTGTAGACATGCCCAGAAAGGAAGGAACGACCTCTACAGCCTCGCCACAACGTCGGTTTCTTTTTTTATTACTTCGAATGACATGCAGCCGGTGTGTGTGAGAGAATGTGAGAGATGCAAGGACAAAAACGAGATGACAAATGACGGCAACGCCATGCATACGCAGTCCAGAAGAGCCTCGTTTCAGTCCGAGCAGCCGCGCACTTTCGGTCCCCCCTTCTGTCCTTGGTGAGCCGGAAAAACGAGGAGGCAATTTCTGTCTGCGGCCGAGAAGTGGTGTCGGAATGCAGAAACAATGGCTGCGCAGCCACTCTGGCTGCCCCTTCGCTCCTACTCTCTGCTTTCTGACCGTCTCATCCATCACCAATGCTCATGTCAGATCTGTCTTCCTGTCCGTGGCCTGATATAAAGACAGTCATGTCATCCCCGCCTCTGTGCATCTGCCAGGACTCGTTCAACGGCCACTTCCCTTCACTGCATCTACTCCTTGCTCCAGTCTAGTCTACTCCCGTCGTCATGGACAGGCAGGGCGACAGCTATCGGGAACATCAAAATCAGCAACAGCAACAATACGGCATCGACGTTGCCCTTGATGCTTCCCATGACACGGACATTGAACGTGTCCTCCTCTACCAGCCCGAGATCTTTGGCCTGGTGCCGCACGACAGTCCGGCCGACCACACTGCGTTTGACTACGAAGTCAACCTCGAGGACGGCTGGCAACACTGGGACCAGGCGGCGGTGGCAGCGAGCTACACCAGCAGCAACAAGGCTGGAGAAGATAGCGCGAGCAACAGCTATGGTATTGACAGCCACCAGACAAGCTTCGACGAGTATGCCGGCTACGACGGCTACGACGGCTACGATGGCTATGCGGCTGCTTACTGCTTCAACAGCTCGCCGGGACCAACCGCTGACGAGACAGCAGCGGCCGATAGTGGCTCTTTGTCTGCCAATGTGATCGCTGTCGACCCAGCCAACGACAAGACAGAGGCCGCCACCACCGCCGCCGCTGCTGCCCGGCCGTCGTCGTATCGGTTTCGCCACGACCTGCCGGTGCCGACCGACTGGGACCCGCTGCAGCCGCTTTTGCGAGAGCTGTACATGGTGCGGCGGCTCAGTTTGCGAGACGTGGCCGAGATCATGAAGGAACAGCATCACTTCAGCGCCACGTGAGCTTGACCCCTGCTCCCTCCCTCCTGAGACTTGTACACAGACTGGAAGCTGACAGGACAGCGAGCGGATGTACAAGCATCAATTCAAAAAATGGAACTGGCAAAAGTACCGGCCCAAGGAGAAGAAGGACGAGAGATGAGAGAGGTCAGAGAATGACACCTGAGGTAGACGTGAGGCAGACATTTAGCGAACAGCTGCACACGGCGCCATTGTACCAGAACCAAATGTTGTTTTATTCCTACCTCTTGTAAAAGCTTTCAAACCAGCCCGGTTTTCTGCCAACGCGACCAACGTGGCATCTCGCCAAATATGACGTCTTGCATACTAACCAGACGCACGTGTTTACGCAGTACATGCACACAATCTCATTGTTGCTGACCGCCAACTCTGCTGATCTTTGTCTTACCTGCCAAGCCGGGGCAACGTTAAGCTGTGCATCCCCAGGGAGCTCCACAACGCCCTATATAATCTGTGGAACGCCCCGTTGTACGGCTGCCTCAACCAGACTTCTGGGACGACCCGCTGCGGTTATAGGCGCCTGTGATACCCATCCTATTGGTCATGGCTAACGCGCTGGCGATATAAGTCTCCGCTGCACGTGTGCGCGTGTATAAGTGGGTGGGTGTGGCATGATAAGTAGCATGACCACCGTGGGGGTGGTGTAGGGCCCCGAGTAAGCGCCATGTCAGGGCACAGGCGATGGGCCATCCTTATTCAAATAGTAAGCAGACCGAGCCACCCTCTGGATGAGCTCATCAGGGCTTGGGTATCGACTTGAGCAGCGGTGCTATCCTGTGTCTCTTGCTAAGCCCTACCCGAAACGGCACGCGTCCCTGGCCGGTGCTGATGCTGCTGATGGGCTTCTTGACGGGGGCCGTGGCTGTGACAGGGGCCACTGATGTTGTGCTAGAGTTTCCTGGATCTGCCAGATCTGCCAGACCTGCCGGGACGACCGGAACGACAGGATCTGCTAGGACGGCTGCCTGCTTCTGTAGTTGTTCCTGCTTCTCTTTCCCCATCTCTCCCCGGCTGGACTCATCCCGTCGCTCCTCCCCAGCCGGCTCCTGTGGCGGTGGCTCGGTGACGATAGCCTGGCGCTTTGGTCGGCCACGCGGCCGTTTCGGCTTACTACTCGCAGCACCGGTATTCGTTGTGACAGCTGTAGGTGGGGCGTCCGTCAACGGATCGACGTCATTGTAGTCTGACAAATCAATCACCTCCTTTGCCTTGTTCTTCTTCCCCTGTTCTCTCTTCTTCTTCATTGGCTCTGCTTTGGCCGGCATGCTCCTCTCACCCGTGATGTCGACAGTGGCAGATTTGTCCGCCTCGGATCCCTTCGGGCTGTGTTCGGTCATGTATGCGGCAGACGACAGCTCGTCCGTGTCAGAGGCTCGTCGCCTCTTCTGCTTTGTTGGCCTGGCAGTCTCATGGTGCGAATTGTGGCTGTCCTGTGGCTCCCAGGCATCATCCGCCGACGGGCCACCCGCGCCAAGAACTGTAAATGGTGCTGCAATTTCGTCAGGTGAGGAGGGTGGCTGCTGGGCACAATTGTGAGAAACGAAGCCTAAATTCCAGCAGAGCTCTTTGCAAAAAGGAAAGAAAAGTACGGACAATTTCTGATAGCGACAGTCCTGCATGTGGCCTTGTCGGCGTCGGCTGTCGGCTGTCGTGCAAGAGGTCGAACTGGGTTGCCCCGTCATTGCTGTCTCCCGTATACTGCGGATTAAGAACGGCATATCTGCTGGGCGTTGGATAGGCAATAGTGCTCTCCGTTATGGCTGCGCTGGCCGGAAGGACGCGCTCGTATTCGCTGTCGTAGCCGATGGGATCTTGCATATGGTCCAAAGACCCGGGCAAGCGATGTTGGACGGCAGGTGAGCTGCCTAGAAGATGCATCTGCCCCAAACCGCTCGGGTCTGTGGGCTCGATGGAGCTGAAACTATCGCCCGCAATTGTATATACTCTCTCCTGTTCCCGCGCCTGCTTCTTTTCGCTTGTCGCCGTCGCATTGTCGGTCCCGCCGGCTGCGCTGATAAGGATTTGTAGCCTTTGGCCGACCGCCTGGGCGGTGGTGCCGTCGTCTGGTTGGTGGCTTCCGCCGCGCCTTCGCTTTGTCCCGTGCCAATTTACTGCCTCCGGGCTGCTGGGAACATCCCACATGTCCAGCGGCTGGTCCTCTTCTCCCCGCATCTTCCCATCAACCATTGAGCGCCCATCGCTCTGGGTCTTGAGGTGTGCGCCATCTGTCGTCCGTCGAGCTGTGTCGCTAGGTGATCGTAAGTTCTTGTGTTGTTCTTCGTAGTTACCTCGAAATAACGAGCGATCTGTTGAGTTGCTGTCCCCGGCTGTGCTCCCTATCTGGATGTCGCCTTGTGGGTTTCGTAGAAGAATCACGGAGTCTTCGTCGTCGTCGGAGTCGCCAACAACTTGTCTTGTCCATGCCATGGCTGTCTTTGTGAACGGATGGGGGAGAAGTATCTTACTTCGCAGATCTACGCGTAGACGCGTTATGGAGAACAGATTCACTACTCCATACTCCACAAAAGTTTAGTAGGTACTGCAGTACGGAGTAAGCACTGCAGAAAAGAGAAGCCAGCCCTGCAAATATTTCTAAAGTTTGTAAAAGAAGGAACTTTGTAGAAATATCGACTGTTCTACGAAGTATTTACATATATTTAGAATGAAAACTAAGGTTACTGAGGTTTTTTTTCTTTTTCTTCTGAAGGCATATATATTTGAAGCAAGAGCTCTTATTGTCAAGCTCGAGAATAGAGCGCACTGTGACCACTTGTCTACGTCGAAATGTCGGCTTGGCGCGTTATTATTGGTTATAATAGATAGAGTGGGGATCATCCCAGTGAATATCTACACCTTTGAAGGCGCGCCATATACTCCGTATCTTACTCCTTTCTACTCCATACTCGTAGCTTTATACTCCATAGTCTATATGAAGTACATCACACAGACTTTCAGCTACAGCATCTAGACCCTCACAGTGCAACTACCTTTCGCTGATATATACGAGTAGCCTGTTGCGACAGTATCTCTTCTACTATTAGTGGATTAAGGTGCCGATAGCATTTTTAAGGCGATATATAATTAGCAACTCTTTTATTCTTATACGTAGATAAGGTAGTAATCGCGCCCATTGTTCGGTATTTTCGGGCGTGTCTCCAGATCTTACTCTGTACTACAATAAACAATTGAGCGGTACTTCTTTCGGTTCGCCCATAAGCCCCCGTTTAGTAAGGCTGCCAAAGTCAACCGATATTTTGCCGCCGTTCAGATCTAGTGACTGCACCTATGGCAAGTCCAAATAAATCCCAACCATTGTCCCATTCACCTCCCACTCCGTACTCGCGCCCGGCACTTAGGCATTTCTGCTCGTAACGTACACGTAGGAAAGGTGTGGGGGTAGTCTTACTTCTCTGCAGATTTACTCCGTAATGGCCAATGGTATTCCACACCTCGTACATAGTGCTCCGCTGTGCGGAGTACTCCGTACGGTACTAAGGTTATTTCCCCACTTGCCCAATTCCGTACATTGATCCTACTGTCAAGGTTAAAGGAGGCTATACGTAGCGGTCATATAACGTGATGCACTGTGAGGAGCAGGAGGCTGAATAGGGTCTAGTGTGGGCGAAAGAGTGTTGTGTACTAAGGAAGAAATAGATACATCGCGACCCTTCTGGGGATCCGTATTAATACTAGTGACAGGCCCCGCTTTTGTGCCTTCTGACCAATCACAGGCCAGTACGGCCAAATGGGGCGGAAGGGCCACAGTGTGGCGGATTATAATGCTTGGCACCTACAAGCGCACCAATCGTGTAGAGCGTCTTGTACGGAGTAATAACTGCGTAAATGTCATTTACATCTTGTAAATCTTGTATAAACTATAATTAGTCTGTCTTGTTTCCCTTCCGCCAGTAATACCGGGATCGTATTGCTTATCTTGCAATTGACTTGTAAGCATCGATCTTCTGCTGCAGAAATAAGAATCTACTCTTAATAAAATTAGTCTGCTTACTTAAAACAATACCCATTCTGTGTCTCGCGTTCTCGAGAATGCCTTCCAGGTTTGTCCTTTTTACTTTTCTTTGACTCATACCTGCGTCCAACAGATGTTTAGCTGCGATGGCCATTTCGTGTACAGCACCAGATCATTTCCCTTGCTTTTGTCCTAATACACTAGAGACATGCTGAAAAATCTGACGATTGCTCAGGAATGATCCGACAGACGCTCAGACGTTAAGTAACACCAACAGCACACCACACAACGGAAACATTCTCAGTGGTAATAAGATCATCGCCAACTTGACGACTGCAATGGTGGACCATGGCACAGGTGCACCCGCTGAGCAGGCCCAATATGATCTTGGGGACAAAAGCTTCACGGGGCCTCCAAACACGCCCCAAAACTTATCCACAAGTAATGCGGAAAGCCTCGAGGTCAAAATCGGGGAAAACTTGTCCCAGTTTGCTGCCACTACCGAAGTAGACGATGAAGCCAGGGCCAGGGGTGAGGCAGCTCTTCAGCAAGTGCGTCTTCGGCGGCTTCTTGGGGGATCGAATTGGAGGGTCGACAGAGTCTCTGTACTGACCGGTGATGTTCCGGAGAGGCGAGCTCATAGCGTCTTGTATGCCTTGCGCTATGCGCTCGCATCGGACCTCTTGTGCGAGTACGTGACGGATACCCTGGAGCAAAATGGGAATAATGAGCTGGTGGACGAAGAGCACATGTGAGTTGAGAGCCGCTTTTCGTATTTTGTGGCAAGTACTCCGTAAGAGCAACTGCATTCTGAAGCGCTCAACATTGACGGTCTTCTGCTTGGGCAGGAACGGAGATAATGACGACGTTGGGACAAGCCAAGTATAATGCTACTCGGCTGATTTTGAGTAAATGGGCTCCATATGCACAGGCACTGACTTGGCTTGCCATGTGATTGATGATTTCCACATATCGCAGAGGGACTAGACGCCTTATGAAGTGGATCGCTGATGTCTCGTACGGAGTTTTTGTAGACGAAATGGGGTGCTTGACGGCATCTTATCTTTTTAGTCTATCAATAAAGAATTACTCCGTACGGAGTATGTTTGTATGTATCTTTCGGAGTGCAAGCATCATACTGTATGCATGTAGTGAGTATATGCCTTTATACGCATATATAGTACTCCGTCCAAGCGGTCTTTTACTGTTAACGCTAAAATGCTGCTTCCAGTACTACTACGTATCGTCGGCTGCTTTTTAGCGAAACACACGGATGAGATTTGCGGCCAGGGCCGCAGCCAATAACCATGTCGACGACAATGCCTTTGTTACCGCAAGGCGTCCAAGGCGGCAGAGGCCTCCGAGCTATCCAGAGAGCCACGTCAAAATGGCTATTGCACTCCACGGCCGTTGCCACTCGCCCTGCCATGGTTCCTCGGCAGCAGCAGCACCCCCATTTGATCTCGATCACGTCTGCGCTGACACGACACGGCCTCGTAGGTCACCATGGCAAGCGGACGCCTTCCAGTCGGGAGTTTGGTCGCATGCAAACGACCCATCGCAGCCCTCCAGTCCGCTCCTTCCACCTCTCGTCTGCAGCCGTGCTGGTCTCTGCACCTGTCAATGCAACCGAGGCCCTCATCGGCCAGCTGCACATGGTCACGCAGGCGCCCTGGTTCGTCGTGCTGCCACTCGTCGCCCTGGGCGTCAACCTAGTCTTCCGCCTGCCTTTCAGTGCGCACGCTCGCGGCCTGGCCCAGCGTCGTGCTGGCCTGGCTCCGCTGCTGCAAGCCTGGGCGGCCGAGCACGCCAAGACGGTGCACCAGGAGCGACGACAGGCGGGGGGAAGCTCAGACGCAGCGACGACTGCGACGCCGGATGGCGAGGCTATGAAGCGGTACCGCCGCACGGCCCGCCAGGTCTACCGCCGGTTTGGCCTGCAGCAGTGGAAGCTGTACGGCAGCCTGGCTGCGATGCCGCCGTGGCTGGTGGTCATCGAGGCGATCCGGCGCATGTGTGGCGCCCCGGTCGGCCTGCTGGGGCTGATCCTGCGGCGCGGAGCAGACGGCGAGGTGGCAGCGGCTACAGAGACCGCGGAGAGCACCGTTGCAGGAGCTGCAGCTGCTGCGCAAACAGATGCCGTCCTGTCTGCCCTTCCGTCTACCCTGGAACCCTCACTCACCACCGGCGGTTGCCTCTGGTTCCCCGATCTCACCGTGGCCGACCCCTACCACGTCCTGCCGCTCGCCCTCTCGGCCATGCTGATAGCCAACGTGCTGCCGGCCACCGACGCCGGCCGCCGCGCCCTCTTCGGCCTCGGCCCGCAATCCTCGTCGTCGCCCGTCGGAGGCACCGCACAGGTCACTACCGAGGGCGCCTTTGGCCGTGGCCTCCAACGCACGCTGCTCATCATGTCCGCCAGCATCGGCTTCGTCACCATGCACTTTCCCGCTGCCATCCACCTCTACTGGCTCTCGTCGGCCGCCACGTCGTTTGTCATCACGCGCTCGCTGCGCAAAGCCCGGCCGCTGCCGGAGCGCAACATCAAGCCGGCCAACAAGATCGACTTTCCTTGGATCCGGCCGCCACGGCCGGCTCAGCGAGAAAAGAGTGACAGCGTATAAACTTGAACAGAACACAACCGCAGCCCGGGATGATGATGACCTCATGCTTGTATTACGTAATGCATTATGCCATCACAGCGAGGTCGCAAAGCAGACTGAATTTGTACAACGGGAAACAGCAGGGTTCGCTGACAGCTGTAGAGTACAGTGATAAAACGGGGAAAACACGGAGGAAAAGAAAGAAAAGAGACAATTCAGAGCTCCACCAGACAAATGGAATATAGAGCGCGGATGCAGACAGGAAAAGACAAACGCCGGTAACGCCAGGGCTCCCAGGTGTAGCAGGGCAGATAAAAAGGTTGGTCGAGAACCGATCAGCCGAGAGAGATGGCCAGGACGACGACGGTGAGGATGATAGCGAGCACGAGCATGAGGCAGCAGGCCTTGCTGCGGGCATTGCGCTGGTAGCGAGCAGCAGAGCGGAGCTCCTGGTCAGCGCCGCGCGTGTCAACCCGCACGTTCTCGACGTTGTCGGCGATGTTGTCGATCTGCTCGCCCTGCTCGTGCACCATGGTGGCGACCTGCGTGAAGAGCACGTTGAGGTCGCCGACGCCCTGCTCGATGTTGCGGATCTCCTCCTCGCGCTCGATAATGAGTGCCTCCTGGAAGTCCACCTCGTCCTGCGACGCCAGCCGGGCGAGCTCCTGTTCCTGCTGCTGCTGCAGCTGCAGCTGCGTCTGCTGGCCGCCCGGCAGGAGCTGGCCATCCTCGCCGGTCGTGGCGGCTCCGCCCTCCTCGGCCGCCAGCCGTGCTGCCGACACCGACGCCTTCTCCTTCTCGAGCGCCTGCCGCTGCAGGCCCTGGAAGTCGGACAGGGCGGACTGGAATTCGCGCGAGAGCTTCTGCTGGACGTATCGTTGGGTGGGCTGAACACTTAGTGCTCTGGGAGAGAGAAGATCAATACAGTGGACAAAAACAGAAACGCACCGTCAGATCCTCCCACGCCTGCACCTTCTTCACGCCCTCGCCGACCTCCTTGAACAGGCCGCGCGACTAACGTCCATCATGTCGTTGACCCGCTCGCGCACCCGCGCATTGTCCTGCCGCGTGCCCAGATGACCAATATCGCGGCCCAGATTGGCGATGAAGCCCTGCAGCTTGAACAGCTTGTTGTTCAGGTCCTGCGTCAGCCGCTGGAACGACGGGTCGTCCGAGTACGCACCGCCCGCGCCACCACCGCGGTGACGGCCGGCCTCGACCGATGACAGCTGATCGAAAGACATCGTCCCGGAATTGAAAAAGGCACGGAAATCGGAACCGCTCTCTGACTTTGCGATGGCCTGCTGACCCTGTCGTCAAGATGAGAGATAAGGGGCAGGCACAAGAGGTGGGCGTCGTGCGCTGGATGTGTATGTGTCTGGCACGAGAAGGGATCGAGAGTCGAGCCCGAGACAGCCGGATTGGTGGTTGGTGAAGAGGGACTGGTTGCAAGACCTGGAACAAGCGCCATATTTCCGCATTATGACTCGCTGCTGGTTTGCATACGCGGGCTTCTGTTTCACGTACCCGCCACCTTGATCACGTGATTCGGAGCTTAGGCAGTTGCTTCGCGCTGCCGCATTTTTTTTCATCTAGCTGTTATTTACTAACACGTAAAAGGCCACCTCCAGCGACCTCTTCTTGTCTGACAAACGCCCCGGACGAGGCTCCAGCATAGCTGCCCACCACGCATACGCTGGCACTGCTTCGGCAGCATGTCTAAGGCTTCGATTCCGCCTTCCGCCCCGGACCCCGTCCGTCGGGCGCTGCCCTACAAGGACTTTCTCCAACCAGCTCTGCATCGACGGTTTACCTCCACCGCGGCCGTGCTGCTGGCCACTTCTTACGTCCTCTCGCTGTCGGTGTCTAGCTGGTCATCATGTACGTGGGCTGTTTGTTTTTGTTTCTTCTGTTCTTCTATCCGTCTGTCCTTTGGTTCCTCTGACTGTATGCTAACATCCCAGGGCTTTGGGCTTGGATCCCCTTCAGCAGTGCCGGCTTTCGTGCCTACACCATCTTCTTTTGCGGCCTCATCGTCATCATCCTGCGGATCGCCCAGTATCATATCGGGATTCGCACGTCGACGTCGCCTTTTGAAACCTTTCTCTACAACGCCCCCAAGCCCAAGACGGCCGAGACGCTCTTCTCCTACTGCCTGTCAGGCTGGTTCTACGGCCAAATCTTCCGCTGGTCGGCGCCCGAGAGCGCCCAGCTCAGCTGGATCCTGCACATCTCGGGCGACCGCACCCGGCTGAACGAACGGCCACTGTTCCTGGTCGTCCACCTGGTCGTCGTCGGCACCCTGCACGCCGTCCTGCACCTCTTCTACGACAGCGACCGGCTGCTCCTGGGAACGGCCAGGCCAACATCAGGCAGCAGCAACAGCAGCTCCTCTACAACCAACACTCCCAGCCACGGACGGACCAGCCAACTATACCGCCAACTGGTACTGCGGCTGCCACTGTTGGCGATCTCAGCCTTTACGCGGGCGCTGGCATCGCTCTTCATCAGCGTGCCCGTCTACATGCTCTTCCTCCGGGCTCCGGCCTGGCGGCTTACCCTCTCGCTCTTCCGGCCGTTTTACAGCCTGCCCAAGTCGTCGCTGCCGCCCATGGCGACGCCGTTCGGGTCGACGCTCGACTTTGTGCCGCGCTGCATGTTCGCCGGCTTTCTCTTTTCCGTCCTGCTGCTCGTCAGCAACACGGCCTTTTCGCTCTTCCTGGTCAACGAGCCGCTCAAGGACGGCCGGCCGCTGACGTCCGAGTCCCGCGACCCCAACGGCAGCCTGCTGAATGGGCTGCGCAGCAAGAAGCCCAACGTCAAGGCCTTTGCCCTGTGGGAGCTGGCTTTCATCGCCCGCGACTTTGCCGACTGCCGCATGGCCATCTACACGGACATTGACCGCAAGAACGGGCCGGCCTGGTCGCAGATCTGCAAGGTCTGTCTGGACGTGGTGGCGAGCCTGGAGGCACGCGTAGACCCGCGGCAGCAGGCGACCAAGGAGGCGGGAAGCGAACCGAGACAAGCACAACAGCAGCCGACAGCTGACGAGGACGCAGCCGCTCTGCAGCGGCTGGCGAGGCCGATACACAAGGACACCGGGATCCTGGTGACGACGCCGACCAAGAAGAACAAGTTCCAGAGCGAGGTCGAGAAGATGGTGGTCAAGGTGGCCATCGACCCGGAGTCGCCGCCCCGATTGAGTCCGCTGGCGCAAAAGGCCCTCGGCGGTGCCCGGCGCCGGCTCGAGTCGGTGCAGCGCGACATGAGCAGGCCCGGGAACGGTGGCAGCGCCGTACAGCAGCTGGCACGCCGCGTCCTGACACTTCCGGTCGTCGGCTGGCCGTTCCGGCTGACTTTTCGGAACCGCATCACGGCGGCCGTGCTCGGCGGTCCCTACGGCGAGCCCAGCATCTATGTCAACGCCATCAGCGCGCTCAGCCTGCTGGCCGTGCACAGCTTGCAGGAAGACAAGTTTGGCAACGTGCAGCGCGACGTTGCCACCGTCGTCCGCGCCCTCACCAGCGCCACCACCCGGCTCGACGCCTTCCGCGCCACCTTCCCGGTGCACTGGACCGACGTGCTCGCCGAACGGTCCTGCCCCGAGGTCGACGACATCCGCGCTGCCCTCAAGGACGGACTCACTGACTTGCTGGCCAGCTTCGGCCAGTACAGCCGCGACCTGCGACTCAGCAAAACAGACATTCGCCTGGCCGAAGAGGCAGCTTCGGCAGGGCGGCCACGCAAGGCAGAGGAAACAGACAAGGCAGAGAAGTCGGACAAGACTGATAAGAAGGTGCAGGTTCGCTAATGCTGATTGCGAACCGGTGTTCGCATGTGCCGATATTGAGATATAGTGTGCTGTAGGGTACAGAGTACGGAGTACACAATAAGTCATTGCACCCGAAACAAGGCGACAAAGGCATCCCGTCAGCATGTAGTGTACCATAATTATCGATTTCATTGGCTTATAAAGGGCGCTAGTCTTACACAGCAAAGAATATTGCTGCACTCCATACCACCTTTTCCTAAGTTCCGCTTCATGATTGAGTTTACAATCGTGGCAGTGCAAATTGCATGCCCCACTTGTGCTAATGCATAATTGTACGATATATAGTTGACCTGCCTACAGTCCCTTACACCTTCTCTCGAACCCATATAATTCTCTCCTCTTTCCTCCTATGTGATTTGGCTTACAATGGCTTTCCCATTGTGTGTCGCCATGCCGTTATTGCCGCCATTACGCGGCTGAGCTCGAAAATTCGACTATTCGACTCCTTACGGTCTCCTCCTAATTCCTCCCGCCAGCACAACAGTAACGACCATGGCCTTCTCGCTGGCACTCTTCTTTCGTGTCGTCTACGGCAGCTCCTATACCTTCTTGCACCTTCTTTTGCTGGCGCTGTTGATGGTTAGTCCCGGCGACATCATCAACCAGTCTCGCCTGCGTCATAATGTCTATCCGATCTTCATTGTGTCCATCTGCTACCTCTCGGCCGTCTTCATCGCAGGCTTCGTCTACATGGGCCGGCTCTACATCAACCGCTCTGTCCTCAACTCGATTCCAAAAGCATGGGTGCCGATCGAGAAGGGCGATGTCAACAAACGGGTACGCGAGATGATTGCTACTGGACTCAGCGTCAGCGCGGCCGTGGCCTTTCACGCTCAGCCGCGCGTTCTGCCGCCCTTTTCTCCAGCCAGCGACGGTTGTGTGGACGACAGGAACGGGAATATCATCGGTCTTGGCGAAGAGTTGCCGGCTGACGCTGGCGCTAGCGTTCCCTCAGGAGGGGGAGGTCTGGACAAGTTCATTCGTTTAAAGAAGGTGGCCACGGCCGAGCAGAAACCGGGTATCGCCGACTTGCCGCCATTTCTGCCCGTTTGGGGCACCATCGAACATCCAGGCTGGGCTCCGCCCGATACTGGTGATGACTTGGCCAACCTGCAGTACAGCACCGTTGTGGCCGAGCTGCCGAGCCTGATTGAAGCCCAGGCCGTGATGCTGGCTCCACCAGCACCAACAACAGACACTGACGCCTATGGTCAACATCTCGGGCCGCCGAGATTGGGAGAAGCATTTTCCATTGACCCAGAGGCCGTTGCGCTGCTGCAGAGACTTCCCACCATGGGCCTGCGCAGCTACCTCGCTCATCTAGCTGAGCTGGGCGTCATCAACATTGATGACGAAGGTGACGAGGAGGTCAAGGGTGATAGTCTTGGTAAGGACGGGCGTTCTCTCGGCACAGTCGTCTCCTCGTTTCTCGCCACATACGAGTACGCTCGCTTCTCAGCGCAGATGTTGACGCAGGCGCAATTCCGCCAGCTGATGCACGATCTTGCGACCCTGCTGCGCCGCATGACGCCACTGGATCCGGACCGCCTTTTTGACGACGATGAATACCCCATCTACGATGGCCAGAGCTTTACAGAGAGCGCCCACAGTGCTGCGTACTCCACCGAGGACGTCGACAGCAATGCGGCTCGCTCCACACCCACGACGGTCCGCAGTCTCAGCCGGCAGAGCAGCGCTGCCAGCCGACAAGTACGCCGGCTTCAGGGGCACCATGCCATCCTGGCGGCGCATCTGTCACGGTCTGGCTCGACGAGGACGACGAGGACGACGAGCTCGGGCATCAGCAGTTCCAGCGGTTTCAGTAATATGAGCAGCAGCACCAATGGCAGCGGAAACAGCAACGGGACGAGCAGATTCCACAGGCCGCGGCCTGTCAGCCCAACGCCTACCACTTCTGCATCTGTGCTGAACGCGTATGCCTCCTCGGCCGCTGATCGCCGACAGCAGCAGCAGCAACGAATCCGCCAGCGGCTGGGAGACGGTTCGCTGATACTGCCCAAGAGCCGTCGGAAGGCGGCGGCGGCAGCACCCTCGGTCGTCATGTCTCGCCCGTCCAGTGCCAGTAGCTTTGCGCCATCCCGACACTTGTACCCCCTCAGCAGGGCATCAAACTCGAGTCTGCGCTCGGCCACGTCTAGCGGCTCTGTCATCCGGCTAGCGGATCATGGAGATTCATCGGCTCTGCCCTACGTTCTGCTGCCAATGGCAGCTCATGGCGGTTCCTAAAGCTAAATGAAAAGATGGCTTTATGATGAATAATCAACGTCAATATCAGTCACCACTGAATCGCGCCAGTTTGTTTATATACTTCTATTCATATTCTCGCTGTCGCTTCCGTTCAAAACAATCTCGAATAGCACTGCGCGACCTTCCCCCTTGGTGCTTTTTCTCGGGCCATCATTTACTGCACCATTGCCCCTATCTGACATCACCAATCAATGCAACGGTTCACCGGAACAGTCGCGCGGCCATCCTGTCACCTTTCCTGGGCGCCACTTCGTCATGTTTCATGCTGTCCTGCACCATTTGTTGCCTTGGGGTGCCGTTGTGGCTGTTGGGCAGATGCCAGAATGTGTCGGTGCTCGCACCAGGAGCCCAAACATTCAAACCTGGCCAAGCAGCATCATGCTCGAATCGCTTCATTGCTACTTTCGTTCTGCTCAGGCTCATAGGCGATAGGCTTTAGCCATTTGTGAGACCAATAATTTCGACAGTCGCACATGACGAAATAGATTGCAGCGTTTCTTGCCTATGCTCGGCCGCCGGCTCGGGTACATCGTGCCTGACAGGCAAGGCATTATTTTTAAGCACCACTTGAATACGTCGAAAACGGTCCTCTGGTGTAGATAGAACCCATGGGCTCCATGGTGCTTCCTCCGACCGTGACAGCTGAAGACGTTCTTCTCGGAGGGCGCGGTCGTTCTCCCCGTCTTCGGCCAATAAATCTACTATGGCGAGGCGAGCAGCCGCAGATATCGATCTCTGTGAACTATTCATGAGGCTTCGCTCCTCGCTTGTGGGGGAGTGCGAAGACCCAGTGTCGCTAAGAGGAATGTGCTCGACAGGCACGTGGGCGGATGCAGGATTGGAGGTGAGAGCAGTGCCATTTTCACTGATTGGTGCACTGACAAGGGTTTTTTCGTCGTCGGTGGCCGAGATGTTGTCATCGAGACTACGATCTTCCGGTAGGCTAGATTCGGCGTTTAGCAGACAACAACGGCAATACATCACGGTGGGCGTACAGCGGGCATTGTACGAGAGACGGTCAGTGGGCTGAAAGGGGGGGACGGACCTCGGAACCATTGCTATGCGGGGGACGTTGGACAAAGACGTTGTATCGGCAATTCAAAGAGATGATTAATATGACAACCCTTTTTGGTAGGGCCGCTGCCGGAGAGAAAGGGGCTGTATCAAGCACATGAAATATTGTCAGATAGAGACGAAGTATGGCTTTTGAGAAAGGGGTAGATACTTTGATAAGCGGCAAGATGATAGTGTATGGAGGAAGATAAAGGATGGGATTTCAGCATCAGACTGGCAAACGCGATAGAAAAAGCGGCCGCCGGATAATTGGACAGGATATGTCAAGATCGCAGACTTAATGAAAGCACTATTGTTCAAGTAACTGCGTGCTTATCTAAGCCATCGAATGATTCGAGTATAACACAGGTACGTATTCGGATCGGGTATCTTTATAATAAACCTCGGACATATTTGGCGATAAACAATTGGGAACTTTTGAGCCTCAGATTCGCAAATTTGCAAACCGCTTTGATACCCCGCCGTGTTCTCTGATACCATGCTTGCTGCTCGGTCCACTTTCATCCCGCATTCGCAACTCACACTTCATTAGAATAGAGGTTCGCAATACTCGTCCACTTTCCTTGCATAACACTGTTCGCTTGAGAGCACAGCGTCACAAGCCTTACAGATTGTTACACCACAGCATTTCAACACAAAACGATATCTTCTCTAATTATAGAGTTCAAGTACTTTATACTGTGCTTTGAAGCGTTCACCGAAAAGTTCTGCCACGCTTATTGTTCTGTCAGCTTAAATCCCGCCTGTTCACACAGTGTTTTTATAATAGTATTATAAAGGTCTCGTTGCAAACCTACCGGCGGCTAACTACGACGACGATCGTCTCGTTTTTCAAGACTCGAAGGCTCGTACGCTGGCCAGCCTGTTAGCCCTGTCCCGCGAAGGTATCGCTACGTTTGGACTGCGACTTTGGGATCAGGCACCTAAGAGAGGAATATACTAGGAAGCTAGGCACGGCACACAACGAATCAACATTTCCAGCTGAGTGATTACTTACCCGGAGGAGTGAGGCTGCAGACCCGAACGGCAACGACCCCCTCTTCACTCCGAACTTATGGCTGGGTAGTTAGAGGGTGCCTTTTACGTGGGAGGCAAGAGGGACTGTCTATAGAATACCGCACGCTGTACGTCGCATGCCCCTTGGGAGGCGTGAAGAACATGCCACTTGAGCGATTAATGTTGATTGGCATAATCTGCCTTCTGTTTTGCTTTGACGTTAAAACGATCAAATAAAATTAGATATATTGTAGTACTGTAGGGAAACTGTTGGAACACCAACACGATGTATCAAGCTTGCATATTTCTTCCTTTCTTTCTTCAAGACACGGTGGAGTGTGCGATTAGGCATTCAAGGCGTCTAATAAGGCGTTTTTTATGTTATGTTATCTGTATGGCCGCTAGTACAAGTATTTAACCAAGTGTGAGGCATATCCGCCTTTCAATATTACTAGCAGTAAGGTTATAAGCACGTACTCTGTGCAAGAATTGCAGGTTACACTTGGAAAGGTCAGTAGGAAGGCAAGTAGGAAGGTACATACTCTGTACAGACTCAGTAAGAAACTTCATCGTGCGCCCGCAAAAATACTAAAATTATAAACTCTACTTAATCTAGGAAGTAAAAAGGGGTATTCGCTACTTTGGTACTCCGTATCCTTTTGTCGCTATACATCTATCGGGAAAACAATGCACGTAACCCAACTTTGCTAACTTAGCGGATGTCTTGACGCTCGAAAGTGAGATATTACAAGTGACTCGACGTAGTTGCGATGCAGTTAGCGCCGCTGCCTTCTCCGCGCGCGTTTAGGCGTATGCTTCGACATGTCCTCTTGAAGTTAAACTAGCCTAGGCCTATTGTTTAATATGGATTGTAGAGTCCTACGGAGTAGACATATTTGATTTATGCCAAAAAAGCGGAGACAATGATATAACGTCGTGACCTACGGAGTACAACTCTGTATACTTGGTAAGGAAGAGCTATGATTTGGCCATGTGTTCCCCAGCGTTCGTTTCCATGGTCGACATATATCACAGTCACCGCGAGGCAATTCCCCCCCAATTTCGAAATGCTTGCGAAAAATCAGAGCATCCTTCCTACTGCTGAGCTCCCAATCGATGTTGCTTTGGCATGTGAGAATGCTGCTCGTCGCTCCTCGTCAGTCATCGGTTTTGATATTGTGCCCGGAACCATCACCAGCCCAGAATGGCGTAGCAACTGAGAGTCCTGTTGCTTATCTACGCTTCTCTCCATTGCGATTCTTGAAGTCTTTGCAGAATGCTTGGAAATCGCAGGCTTGCTAATGCGTGTAGTTGAAAGAGGAGAGGGGCTGAAATATTCCAGTTGGGCTTGTAAAAAGGAAGGTAGGAGGGAGGGATTAGTCATTACAGGGAGGAAGGGTATGACGACCCCTCCTCCACCCCCTCCATTAAGAGTTAAGGAGAAGGCCCTAAAGAAATCTAGAAGATATCAACAACTACTCCGTACATCGTCCGCATATATGCGATCCAAACAAACAAAGCAAAAGAGCAAACATGCAAGGTTTGTTTCCGTGTCGGGCTTAAGGAGACAGCAAAGGAGGAGTGGTACATACCTAGGCCTGTCGGCTGCTAATTGTAAATGGAGCACGATAGTGGCCTGGTTCAGAGCAAAGTTCGGACTCCGACTTTAAGAGGGACAACACCAAGAGGTGGAGCAAGTCACAATTTTCCGTCGTAAAGTAGGAGAGAGTCTACCCGAATACGTGGCCAGAGGAGACGAACTGTATCGTCGATGCGATGCAGACCTTCGCAAGGAGCTGTCAGTCCATTTTGTCCTCGAAGTTGGAGACAACGCTCCCAACGTCTCTTCGAATATCCTCCCGACGGTCCTCCCGCTTATAGCTGGCTAGCTTAAACTACTTTTGTTACATGACCTGGCATGCCCCTCATCTGCCCTCACAGGAGCAGACAGTAGTTAGCATCATCATGCAAGCTACAACCTCAGATCCCATGTGCGGGTACCAGGTAACAACTTGGTAGCAACTCCTCGTTAATCGTTTTTCTTTTAATTTCATTTCCCTTTCCTTGAGCAGGCATTCTGCTTACTCTCTTTTCTTACTCCTTCTCACTCTCTTTTTCTTCTTCCGATCGCTGGCTTTTCTGCTTCCACTCTCTTTTTCTCGCTATTTTCCGCCTTTACAAACCTCTCTTTTCTCTTACCCCGTTCCCTTTTCTCCTTACTTTATCTTTTAACCTGCCTCTCTTTTCTATTTACACGCCGGTTTTTCCGCGTGCTCTACTAACTATGGCTACTAACGCTCTACACGCCCAATAACTACTCCGCTTCTCTATCTCCAGATTAGACAAGCTAAGCCAGTTGCTTCCAAAAGATCTACAGCTCGCTGCAACCCTGGCTCTAGATAGCCAACCCTAAAGTAGTCCCCCTCTCTACGAGGACATCTACCCGCTCGCATGGCCATCTCGAGCTAATGCTTTCCGCTCGTTTCTACGACGCTGGCGTCTTTAATCCCGACACCCACTACTCTCTAAAGACATCTCTCAGCCACCCATCCCGCTGCTGCTAGCAGCATCTTCCCCCTCCTCTACAACACCACGGCTGTCTACTAGATCGACGCTCTGCTCGCCTACATTAACAACGCCGGTCCCTACATTCCAACCTGACAAGCTCCCACAGTCCGCGAGCAGCGCGTCCACAGCTACAACTTCGCTCTCGCGCAACGCCATGCAAGTTACAACCTCAGATCCCATGTGCGGGTACCAGGTGACAACCTTAATTATAAAATGGTACAGCGTACGGAGTACAGTTATATATACGGAGTACAAAAGCCTTGTATCTGTATTCCTCTATTCCGTTGTACTACTTCAAATGACTATTCTGTTTCGGTCTGAATAGTCACCTTCAAGCCTGAATTATATGCGACGAAACTTTAGTGCTTTAGCGGTTTGCATATAAAAAACAGAAGGAGCTTAACAAATGCTTTGTCGTAAAGGGAGACGCAGCAAGACGACTCAAGTCAACCTGTCCTCCTTGTCGTCTTTGAATGCTTCTGATTGGATAGTTCGTTCCCTATCTGAAAACAAGAAATTGTAACAGACGAGCTTGCAAAAAAAAGTAAAACGCATTTTCGATAAACCTTGCTCCACTGCTCGAATGTGTAGAAGAAGTAACCGAGATGCGCGAGCACGCCTCGGATGCAGCGTTGCTGCATTTCTGGCCCGAATGAAGAAAAGTCCACATCCTCGTACGCGTCGCTAGTGGAGACTTCGTTGAGCTGTCAGGCGAGGTGCACTTTTTGAAGACTGAGTATGCGTCTTAAACTCGTGGACCGCCCTCCTCTTATTAGGTCACGTTTCAAAACAATAAAGGGCGTTGAGATCCACAGAAATAGGTGGGCTTACCGTCTCGTTCGGCAATCAGAACATTGCGGATGACGACATTGAGGAGACATCACATGGCGGCGACAAATTGGTAGCCAGAATGCCACAGCCTGAACGAGCTTACATATGTAGCGTTGCAGATGTGGATAGCATTTCTTGTAGGCCATATAGAAAGTCTTGCCGACAGCATTGTATTGTCCTGCGTTATCTCTCTTCTATTGGTGTTTCCGTCTTGACCGTCCCCTTCTGGTCGAGCGATCTGACGTGCGTTGTGATCTCCCATCTGCCACCGAACGGCCCCGTCTCCGTCCCCTGCCGTATTTAGACGTCGAAGAGGTGGCCACAGGCTCTGTCTCAAACCCGTCGCCCGACTCAGCACTTGCCACTCCATGCTGTCGGAGGCGATCCCGCAATGCGTACGACGCCTTGCGAGCACCGTCCTGCAGGTTTCGAAGCTGTCGCCGGCCACGCTTGAACTCGCTAAACGAGTTGGTCAGGTTGGTGGAGACGATGGGATATTGGTGGTACTCGGTCGTCTGGCCGCCCGACAGCGGCCTGCCCGAGCGCGGGGCGGCAAAGTGGGCGTTGAAGTTGATGTTGGTACCGTCAGTGCTGAAGGTGCAGACGGTCGCCTGGCCTGCAGGATCGCGGGCCCGCAGAAAGGCGAGGGCCTGGTTCCGGCCGTAGACGAGGGCGGCGCCGTTGTAGGCGCTCTGAGTCCTCGCCTGCAGCATGTCCTTGCCGGGACCCTTCCATTCGGCAGCCAAGTGCGGCAGCGTGATGGAGTAGGGCCGATCGCGGAAGAGGACGGCCGCGCCGCCGAGCACGTCTCTGGCAGGAAACGGGTGGAACTCGTCCAGCTGGAGGCCCTCTACCATGTCGGGCTGCGGGGCCGGCATGCCATCGTTGAAGCCGACATCGCCGGGAAAGGCCGTGAAGGCCTGGCTAAACACCTTGCGGTAGCCACGGTCATCGTACTCCTTGAGCAGGCGTGTGGTCTCGTGCACGATGGTGGCCTCGTTGGGTGCGGTCTCGACGGCGTAGACGTAGGCCTCATACTGCGACACGGTCGGCGACGCTGTCTGTCGGGTCCTGTTGAGCTGCTCGCGCAGGCTGTCCAGGTTGGCAGGCGGCTGGGAGTGGACGCGGTCCAACACGCCGTTGTTCTTGGCCTGGTGTCCAAACCTGCTTGTCGATGGGGTCGCAGGGTCGGACTGCCTCGACCCGGCTGTTCTTGCGTCGTCCCTGACAGGCGGTGCTGCCATGGCAGAAGCAGGGTGCCATTCGTCCCCTGGCGGCCTTCTGGGCCGGGTCATGGCATCGAATCGTCTCAGGTTGTTCTCCGTCAGACTGACGCGCACTGGCAGGGCCAGAGAAGACACGCCATGCAGGGGAGACCTGGCGGTGAAGCGTGGTGCCGCCGTAGCGCTGCGAGAGTCGGAGGTTTCTACCAGAGGCTGACGTCGTGCCTGCAGTCGCTCGCTTCGCCTTGATACTGGGCCGGGATGCATGTTAGCATGCAGACGTATGTGTGTTTGACAAAGGACGTGGTACGGTGGTATTTACCCGGACGTCCTTCCGTCGACACCGGCTGGTCCCGGCGGCCGTACAGCGACTCGGTCTCGAGATGGATTGGCCGTGTAGTCAGCGACACGCTTGAGGCGAGTACTGCTTCATCGTGACAGGCTCTGGACAGATGAAGGCGAGAACGGCCGGCGCGTGGCTTGGACACCCTGCGTGCCATGACGATGGACGTTATGATGGAGCAGGTGCAGGATGGGGCTCGTCCAGCTGGGCCGTCACTGCGACCACATACGACTTGGCACGAGCACTCGTAGAACGATGCGGCCGGCTTGGGCGGTGGTGTGGATCAGGCCATGTATTGATTGGTTCGACAGCATATTGAGAACAGCCCAGGTGTGGGAGAAGAGGCCGAGAGCCTGCAGGTGTCAGGCAGCCAAATACGGAAAAGCAGCCCATCGCTCGGTAGGAGCAGACGCACAGTCGGTGTCACGACACATGTGTATAATTATAGCTCAGTCGGCCGAGAGGTGGGGGGAAACAGAAGTGCATAGAGGAGAAAGGAGAGGCGAGAAAGGAGGAATGGATGCTATCTCGCCACGTGATAGAGCCGGAAGGGTGGCAGTATGGCCGCAAAGGGAAGGCGCAACCCCACAGCGTTCTAACGAGCCGCTAAACCCAGCTGAATCGAAAGGTGCCTCGTGTCATCAACGCGTTCCCACTTTGATGATGGAAGCATCCCACGATCATCAAGGCTTCCAACCACAGATATAACCGACTGCCGGGCCCCCTTCATAGAGACAAGGCCCTTTTGGCCCTTTTCCTTCGTTTTCCATATATACATGCATGCCGACACCGGGCCTTACTGACGCCACACACCATTCTCCCCCCCAAGCCCAATGGACGGACAGTGCAGCACGTCCGGCTGCTCTGGCGACGGGTATAGCGCCGCCCATGTCGGCACAGCCTTTGTCACAGCGCTGCTTGCGGCCATCCTGCTCGTGCCGCGGCTATGGCGCCTCACCGGGTCGACGGTGGGGTGGTACGTGCGACAGAAGTCGGATGGCCGGCGGCAGCGGCTGCTCCGAGTGATGGCAGCGGAAGAGCTGATTTTCCAAGATGAAAAGAAGACCAAGGCGAACAAGAAGACGGACGGTGGCAGCAGCGAGTCGGACTGGGAGAACGTTGAAGCATCGCCGGCGGACTCGGCAGCGAGCGACGACAAGGGCGAGCAGCAATGGGACGGAATCGTCGGCTTCTTCCATCCATTCTGCAATGCTGGTGGAGGTGGTGAGAGAGTCTTGTGGGCAGCGATCCGGGCGACACAGCAGCGCTGGCCCAAGGCCAAGTGCGTGGTCTACACGGGCGATCACGACGCCCCCAAGGACGCCATCCTCCGACGGGTGCAGGTAAGAGAGAGTGCAAGGTGGCAGCATGTGGCAACAGGCCGACAGTAGCTGACAATGGCTGACAATGGCTGACAACTTCTGCGCAGGACCGCTTCAACATTCACATCCACCCGCCGACGGTGACGTTCCTCTACCTCAACACACGACGCTGGGTGCTGGCATCGACGTGGCCGCACTTCACGCTGGCCGGACAGTCGTTCGGGTCGATCATCCTCGCCTGGGACGCCTTCTCGCTCCTGGTGCCGGACGTGTTTGTCGACACGATGGGCTACGCGTTCGCGCTCGGCTTCTCCAAGTTCCTCTTTGGCAGCGTGCCGACAGGTGCGTACGTGCACTACCCGACCATCTCGACCGACATGCTGGAGTCGCTCAACCCGACATCGGCGGTGGGCGGCCAGGGTGTCAACGCCGGCCAGGGCGTGGGGGCACGCGGGATTGCCAAGCGGCTCTACTGGCAGGCATTTGCATGGCTGTACGCATCGGTGGGCGCGTCGATCGACGTGGTCATGACCAACTCGACTTGGACCCAGGCGCACATCCAGAAGCTGTGGGGGCCGCTGCGGCGGGCACGGCGACGAGACGTGGCAACAGGCGGCAAGGACATTGCAGTAGTGTATCCGCCGGTGGCTGTCAGCGAGCTGGAGCAGGAGGTCGACGTGTCGGCAGCGAGCGAGGCGGGCCGTGAGAAGGTGCTGCTGTACATTGCGCAATTCCGGCCGGAGAAGAACCACTCGCTCATCCTCAAGGCGTTTGCCAAGTTTCTGCGCAAGTGGGAGGAGGAGAATCCGACATCGACAACGACAGACAAGCCGAAGCTCGTGCTCGTCGGCAGCGTGCGCGATGACCACGACTCCAAGCGGGTGTACCAGCTGCGGCTGCTGGCCAATGAGCTGCAGATCCGCGACGCAGTCGAGTTCCACCTGGACGCGCCGTGGCCCGAGATCCTCCGTTGGCTGCGTCGCGCTTCCGTCGGCGTCAACGGCATGTGGAACGAGCACTTTGGCATCGGCGTGGTCGAGTACCAGGCAGCTGGCCTCGTGGCCGTTGTGCACAACAGCGGCGGTCCCAAACTGGACATTGTCACGCCCATTGACGGGTTGCCGACGGGCTTCCACGCCACAACGGCGGACGAGTTTGCAGACGCCTACGCGCAGGCGCTCTCACTGCCGGAGCCGCTGGCCTGGCGCGAGCGTGCACGCCAGTCGGCCAAGCGGTTCACAGAGGAGGAGTTTGCACGGCGCTGGGTGGCCCAGATGGAGCGACTGGTGGCGCTGACGAGGGAGTGAGGCATCAGAAAAGCTTGAGGAAATCAGGAAGCGCTAGGGAAGCGATTAGTATCCTATTTCTGCATATCGGTGCATTCGGGGCATTTTCTATTCCGCCTGCTCGTTTTCTTTCATAGACGTCATGGATACCCAGATTTCGAGAGCAGGTCAATCGAACCATTTCTACAAGTCCAAGGCGCTAAGAACATAGAACACAGAACACACGCTCTCTCTAAAACACCTCGCCACCGCTGTTCTTCTGGCGCGGCTCGCCGGCAGCGTCGAAGCGGCCGCCCGGCAAGATCTGGATTCCCTGGGCGGCGCTGGCATATTCGGCAGTCCAGGCGACATGGTGGCCACGGGCAGCGAGGGCGGTGACGGTGCGGTTATCGTAGGCGGCCTCGAAGACGACCTGGTTGGGCGCGAGCTGATCGTGGAGGCGGGGCATAGCGAGGGCGGCAGCGATGCCGAGGCCGTGTTCGAGGACGTGCCAGACGACCTGGGCGGTAGCAGAGATGATGCGGCTACCGCCCGCGGCGCCGGTGACGAGGGCGAGGCGCCAGGAGCCAGAGGTCGGATCCCACTCTTCGGCCATGAGGGGGGTAGTTGAGCTGAGCGGTCGCTTGCCGGGACGGGCGTAGTTGCCGGGGCTGGGCGGGTAGCCAAAGGCGTCGCGGGCGCCCGGGATGGAGAAGTCGCACATCTCGTTGTTCAGGATCACGCCCGAGGCCGCGTCCATGAGGCGGGATCCGAAGATGGTGTTGATCGTGGTGGTGCTGCTGACGGCGAGACCGCTGCGATCCGCCGTGGACACGTGACTAGTCCCGTGACTTGGCGAAGCAAACGAACCGGCCGGGTTGTAAGCCGCGACGGGCAGCGTGCGGTCGTCACGGATCTGCCGGCGCGTCGTGGCTGCGTGTGCTGCCGTGAGCATGGCAGCCTCGTAGGCAGCTGCGCCGGCGACGTAGGCTGGGTCGCCCAGATGCGTGCGCGCGCCGTAGCCAAAGCGCAGGGCCTCGTCGAACCGGTGCGTCGTCACGTTGGTGTCGGCATCAGCATCGGCCGCGTCAGTCGCGTCCGGCCGCGGATACTCGTCCAGCGTCTGCAGGACCGACAGCGTCACGGCGCCCGACGACGGCGCACCCGTCGCAAACAGCCGGCGGCCTCGGTACTGGCCCTGCACGGCCGCCCGCACAATGGCCGCATAGCCGGCAAAGTCGGCCAGCGTGGCCGTCCCGTTGCTCGCCTGGATGGCCTCGACCATCGATTCGGCTGGCCTGTCAGCAAGAGAAGACAGACGGCTACACAGACACAGACACACACGTACCAATCGGCCCGCTGTAGAACACATCCGCCCCGTGCTTCGCTACCTGCTCTAGAGTACTGCCAAGGTCAGCATTCGCTCTGGCAGCAACACAGAGACAAGAGTGTTTACTCAGCATAGCGTGCGCGGGTGATGGTGTCGCCCAGCTGCAGCAGCGTGCCGTTGGGGGCAAAGTCCTGGGCCCAGACGGGATCCTCGACCAGGAGCCGGACGGTATCGGGATTGTAGGTCATGAACTTGACCAGGTCTTCGGACACGGGAAAACCGTCGCGGGCGACGTGGACGGCCGGCGTGACGACAACCTCCCACGGAAGCGACTGTAGGTGTCAGCAGAGGAGAGGAGAGGAAAGGAAAGGGAAAGAACAGACGCACACCGTATTTCTGGTGCAAGTACTCAAGGCCGCGCAACTCGCCCGGGATGGCGACGGCCAAGCCACCAAACAGGGCGCCCTCGTTGTTGCCGTCGTACATGTGCTTGTGGGCAGCAGCGGGCGCAGTTTCGCGGAAGTCGACGACCTCGTACTCGCCGGCAGGACTGCGGACAAGCATGAAACCGCCACCGCCAATGCCAGAGTGATACATGCCGATGACGCCGACGCAGAGGGTGGTGCCGACCATGGCGTCGGCAGCGTTGCCCTGGTGGTGTCAGAAAGGCGAGTGAAAAGCGTATAAGGAAAGCGAAAAGCAAGAGGACGCACCCCCCTTCGCATCAGGTCGATGCCAATCTTGGAGCAGATGGAGCTCTCGCAGGCCACAGCGCCATTGGAACTGACACCATCGTCACTCTGCAGGGGCTGCTGCTGCTGCAGTGCCGGCAGTGCCAAAGCGAGCTGTGCCTCGAGAGCCAGCAGCGGGACAAGCCAGGCCCGGGGGACAGATAGGAGACCTGGCGGAAAGAGTGAGCAACACGTATCCTTGTGGACAAAGGAGAGCAGAGCGATAAGGCTACTCACGCATCATGGCAAAACAGACGACTATTCACAGAACGCTTGCACCTACAACCTTTGACAAGGAAACAAACAGACCGAAACGAACGCAGTCACGCTTCGACCAAGACGTGAAGGAGGGATCGCGAAAGACGGAGAGAAGCGATACGAGATGATGGCGGCAGTGGGCGCCGATAAGACGACTTCCAAGGGCTTGTAAGTCAGAGACCGAGGCCGTGTGATTGGTCAAGCTAGCTAAGGTCTTGTGGGGCTATTCTAACCAATCATCAGAGGGATATTGTGCAGGAGACTAAGATAGTCAGATAAGGGGAAAAAAGTCAAAGTCGAGGACGTTCTTTCTGCAGAAGGCAGAGAGTCTGGCGAAGTGAGTTTTCAGCATTCATGCGACCTACGGCCATTCTCAGGAGCGCGATCTATTCAGCAGCAGCAGCGTCAAGGTGTAGTTCGAGCCTGATTCTGTGCGAAGGGCATCTTGCGGCAGCTCGACGCCGTCCTACTGTTGGTTGGCAGGGCTGGAACAGAAAGTTTGGCAAGATGGCTGAGATGACGGGTACGCCGGCGACGACGACAGAGACGCCGGCTGTGCAGGACACGCAGAGTCTGGGGAAGCGGCCGCACTCGGCGAGTAGCCCAGTGGCGGGGCGGCAGGCGAAGCAACAGCGGACATCGAAGAAGAAGATCAAGGGCCGCAAGCCCAAAAAGGTGACGGACGGGTCTGCTGAGGAGGTGTTGCTGGCGGACGTGCAGTCGCTGCTGGCGACTCTGAAGCTGCAGGAGAGCGGCAGAGGCGTGGTGGCGGAGACGGGGGCGGAGACGGAGGCGGAGACAGAAGCATCCCAGTTTGTGGACGAGGAGGAGGACCTGCCCGAAAAGGGGACCGAGATTGAGCTGGACGTGGTGGATCTGTCATCGACGGGCGATGGACTGGCCGTATGGCGGCGGGACAGTGAGAAGGAGCGCAGCAGCAGCACTAAGCCCAAGAGACGGCGCATCTACGTGGTATCGTTTGCGGTGCCGGGCGACGTGGTGCGGGCGCGGGTGTACCGCCACCTGCCGGCAGCACGGAGCGCAGACGAGGTGGCCTACTCGGTGGCGGACTTTCTGGCCGTGGTGCGGCCGTCGGCAGAGCTGCGCGATGACGGAGCGCGGGTGCGGTGCCGGTACTTTGGGCGGTGTTCGGGGTGCCAGTACCAGATGCTGGACTACGACGAGCAGCTGCGGATCAAGCGGCGGGTGGTCGAGCGGGCATACCGGCACTTCTCGCGGCTGCCAGCAGCATCAGTGCCGGCCGTGTTGGACACCGTGGCCAGCCCGCTGCAGTACGGCTACCGGACGAAGCTGACGCCGCACTTTGACGGTCCGCCGGGATTCCGGCACAAGAACCGTGCTGGCCACACGCTGCCGGCCGTGCCCGACATTGGCTTCATGCAAAAGGGCGGCGGCCCACGCACGACGCTCGACATTGAGCACTGTCCGATCGGGACGGCGGCGGTGGCTGCGGGCATGACACGGGAGCGGTCACGTGTTGCGCGGGACTTTGGGTCGTATACGCGGGGGGCGACCATTCTGCTGCGGGAGAGTACGCGGCGGGTGCCGAGAGGAGACAAAGAAGAGGGCGAGGCTGTGGAAGAGGACCCGCTGGCGGTCCGGGTCGAGGCCGACGGGCACACGGACATCAAGACGTGCATCACGGACAACAACGCGACCAGCACGGAGTATGTCGACGACTACCTCTTCACCAACCCGGCCGGCAGTTTTTTCCAGAACAACAACTCGATCCTGCCGGTGCTGACAGCCTATGTGCGGGCCAACGTGCTGCGGCCAGCGTCGGACGATGCAGCCCAGAAGCCGATCCGCTTTCTCGTGGACGCCTATTCCGGCTCCGGTCTCTTCACCATCACGCTGGCATCGACGCTGGCGGGCGGCAGCATCGGCATCGACATTGCAGAGCAGTCCATCGCCTATGCGCGGGCCAACGCGGCCCTCAACCAGCTGCCGCCCGATCGCTGTCGGTTCATCGCGGCTGATGCGGCCCAGCTGTTCGCTTCCGTCTCGGGTGGCGACGCCGCCGTCGCCTCCTCTCCGCCCGACGAGACCGTCGTCGTGCTCGATCCACCCCGCAAGGGCTGCGATGCTCCCTTCCTTCGCCAGCTGCTCGCCTACGCTCCCGCCCGCATCGTCTACGTCAGCTGCAACGTCCACACCCAGGCCCGTGATGTCGGCATGCTCGTTCGCGGCCGCGTCGACGGCTTCGCCGGCGAGGGCCTACCCCGTCCCGGCCAAGACGACGTCGTCGCTCATGGCACCCGCTACGCCATCGAGAGCCTTCGCGGCTTCGACTTCTTTCCGCAGACCGCCCATGTCGAGGGCATTGCCGTGCTGAATCGGTGTTCGTGATTGCTTAGTAACAACGGCAACAACGGGAGACAATCTTCTAGAATATGGTTCACTGCTTAGTAATCGTCTAATTCCATTCGCTCTGTCCATCACGTGCTAGTTCCCTTCATTTCCATCCACCACCGCCTTGAGAGCGAACACGACGGCCTCGATGACCTCGGGCCGTCGGCTGGCCTTGGCGCAGTCCGTGAGGATGGTGACAGCATTGGCAGCGCGCAGGGCGACGCGGGCAGCCCGGCCAGTGTCGCCGTCAGCAGCGGCCACGTTGTAGACGGCAACGGCGCCACGATGACGGAGGTCCTCGGTCTCGGTGGCGGCACAGAGGCCGAGCAGACGGTCAACGCCGGCAGGACGGGCGAGAACGCCGCGCACGACGGCAGGGTAGGCGGTGAGGCCGGCGAGAGCGCCGCCGGCAGCGCAGCGCGTGGCCGCATCTTCGGCGTCGGCGAGAGCGAGCAGGACGTTGAGGCGATTGCGGGCAGCAATCACCAAAGCTGGATCTCCGTTTTCCTTTTCGACGGCGTACAGGGCAATCCCATCGACGCCCTGCACGATGTTGCAGACCAGCTCGGCGGCGGCGCGGGCGACCAGCGGATTGCGCGCCAGCAGCTGCTCGTCGACGTCGGCCCAGGCTGTCCGGATGATGGCCCGTCGCACATCATCGTCCTCGGTCGAGGCCAGGTTGGTCAGCGCCATCAGGGCCTCAAAGGTCGGCAGCAAGTCGGTCGGGCCGGCGTTGTCGTCGTCGTCCGGTCGCCGCAGCAGCGATGCCAGCGGTCGGATCGCCGCAGCCATCGGCGTCGATCCGCGCGTGCCGCCAAACACGAGGGCCGGATTCGTCGAGATGAGGATGCGTGCGAGAGCCTGAGCGGCAGTTCGTTGGGTGGTAGTCGGAGTTGTAGTCGGAGTGGCTCCTGTCCCTCTTGAGGTCTCCTCCCCCTCCCACACATCCATCAACAGCCGAACGGCTCCCTGCTGTGCCAGCTGTCCTCGCAGTCGTGCTGTGACCGAAAGTGCGTGCACGATGCCCACAATCAGTCCCAGCGATGCCGGTGAGCCCCGACGGCTGTGGCTGACCAGCACCGGCATCACGCCCGCCGCAAAGACCTGCTGGCAGCGTTGGGCCACATGCTCGTCGTCGTCCAGTTGATCACGCTGCTCGGCCGCCAGCTTGCCGCCCTTGCCGGCTGCATCGGCGTACGCCTTGAGCTGGCCCATGCGTCGCTGCTCTTCCGTCTGCGTAGGCCGGTATCGCGTCAGGTTGGCCAGGATGCTAAGGCCGCCATACGTCAGCGGTGATCGTGCCGGTGCCGTCTGCAGCGTCTGTATGAGTCGCCGCAGCACGGCTGCGTTGCCGGCCAGATCCTCTTTGACTCGTGGCTGCAGAGACGCGTACGCGAGTCCTTCTACCGAGGATGTCGTCGTCGATGTGGCCGTCGTCGTCGTCCCGTCTTTCTGGGCCTCGTCCTCGCTCCTCTTTTCCTCTCCTCCCTCCACCAGCAGCTTCGCAAACATCTTGCTCAGCTCTTCCAACGTCGTGCTGGCCAGCTGCACCCGCTCGCCCGCTTGCTTTCCCGTCTTCTGCAGCGGCATCGTCGCCTTAGCACTAAAGTCAGTCAGATCGTCGTCTCAAATCCCCTTTCTCCTTCTCTTCATAGACTCCCCTCTCTTTCTCTCTCCTACTACTCCTCCCACTCACCTTGATCTTCGCTAGAATCACCGCCGCCAGGTTCTGCACCTGTCGCGAATGTCGCCGCATCGACACCGATCCTGACCCCAGATCCGGGTTCGCCGCAAACATGGCCTTGACCACGTCGTCCGGGTCCTGGTCCACAATCTCCTCCAGCCAATCGCCGCAGTACTTTTGCACCGCCTCTCGACACGCCCCGTTCATGCATGCCACGTTAAGCAGCTCCAGACAGGCCGTCTCGACCTTGCGACTCTTCCACTTCCGCCGCATCAGCGGCCCCAGGCTCGGCAGGAAGCCCTCGCTCAGAAACATCTCCGCCGTCAGCTCCGGCACGATCGGGAACAGCGCCGCCGCCACGCAGAACGCCACAATGTAGTCGTCGTATGTACCCCGGCGCACCCGGTCGTAGAAAAAGGCCGACAGCTTCTTCGCACCCTCGTCGCCGGCCGCCCGCAGGTACGCCGACGTCGCCAGCGTCCCGTGGCCCCGCACCACCTCTGGCTGCCGCATGTCCAGGTACCCCAGCAGCGTGTCGACGCAGTCGCTGTCAATCAGCTGGCAGATCGACCGTTCGCCCTGTCCCGTCGCTGCCACGTCGTCGCCCAGCAGCTTGCTCAGCCGGTCCAACTCTGCCACCGTTTCGTCCTCCTCCTTGCCACCCTCCATCAACCCCGCAAAGAGCAGCAGCGTCTGGTCGTCGCGCGACAGTCCCGCATCCGGAGGCCCCGTCCCCGTCCCCGCGTTCGCGTTCGATACCGCTGCCATCTCTCAATCTCGATAGCCGTAGATAAGAAGTACAACAGGGGTCGTCCGACTGCTGCTGCGAGAATCCCACCGTCGCTTCGTTGTTCCAGAGAATTCACCGGCCCAGAAGTTTCGCTAGGAAAACAGATAAAGTTGTCTCTCACAACCGCCACCTCCCTAAGACTTGTCCTTTTCTCGTCACTGTCTCGCCGTCAGCCAAAAAACACCGCCACCGAGTTGCTGGTGGGGTGGTCACGTGTCTTATCGATAAGCCCTGCATATAGACCCACTCCTTACTCCGTAATAGCTTCTCTGCCAAACCAAAGACGCTGTTCTGTCTTTGGACATGATGAAGCTCCGCGTTTACAGTACTGTCGCCAACTGCCGCTCCCTCACCTCCTCTACGGCAACGTCCACCCCGAGGACAAGACTGGATCGATAGGGGACACACGCGTGTGTCCCCGCGCCGTCTTGGAAAGCCATTCCACAGTTGACAAACACAGCACATCACTCAGCCTCAGCCTCATCTTCATCCTCCTCCTCTTCCTCAACTCATCACCATGGATGCCGTCGATGCCTCGGCCCACTACGAGGTCACCGCCTCCGAGGAGACGCCCTCGCTGCTGACCATTGTGCTGGACACGAACCCACGTGCCTGGGCCGCCCTTGCTGCCGTCTTGCCGCTCAGCAAGGCCGTCGCCAACATCCTCGTCTTTGTCAACTCCCATCTGGCCCTGAGCAGCACCAACCGGGTGGCTGTGGTAGCCTCGCACTGCAACCGTGCCGTCTGGCTGTACCCAACGCCGGCAGGTTCCAGCCTTCTCCCGAAAAAGCCGCCATCTGACGGCCTCGACGTCGACATGGCCGACGCCCCAGCCTCTCATCCGCATCGTCCTTCGCATCCCGATCCGGCCGACCAGTCTGGCCGCTCGGCCAACAAGTTCCCACAGTTCCGCGAGATTGAGACTACTCTGCTCCAGTCCGTCCACGACCTCGTCAGCAGCACCGCCGCCGCCGACCTCGACGAGACCACCACCCTGCTCTCGGGCGCCCTCACTCTCGCCCTCGCCCACATCAATAAGACCGCCCTGACGATCCCGGCCGCTGCTGCTGCTGCGAACGACGGCGGCTCCGGTGGAAAACGCTCACGGCCGCGACCCGGTGGTGTTCTCGCCGGCAGCGCCACCAGCGGCAACGCCAAAAAGACCGGCACCTCCGCCGGACTTGCCGACAGCCGCTCCGGAAAAACGGACCCCGTCGACGACGTCGGCCTGCACGCCCGCATCCTCGTCATCTCCGTCTCCGACTCATCACCCGCTCAGTACATCGCCACCATGAACGCCGTCTTTGCTGCTGCCCATGCCGGCGTCGCCATCGACGTCCTCGCCCTTCGCGGCGCCGCCACTTTTCTGCAGCAGGCCGCCTACATCACTCGCGGCACTTTTGTCCGTGTCGGCGCCGACCAAAAACACGGCCTTCTCGCCTACCTCATGCTCGCCTTCAACGCTGCCTCCTCCCACGATGTCGCCCAGCATCTCGTCGCCCCCAGTGCTGACGCCGTCGACTTCCGCGCCGCCTGCTTCTGCCATCGCCGCGTCGTCGACACCGGCTTCGTCTGCAGTGTCTGCCTCAGCATTTTCTGCGAGGTCCCCCCCCGTTCCGATTCTTCTTCTGTCACTGCCACAGACCTCCCTACCGTTGAGTGCCTCACCTGCGGCTCGCTGCTCCGTCTCGGTAACTACGGCGCCCACCCGGCCGTTGTGCCCCGGCCCAAGAAGAAGAAAAAGCGGAGGCTCGGCCCTGGAGGACGTGAGGACACCGGCAGCACTGCCGGTACGCCGGCAGCATAACATTGGAATCTATAGATACTGGCATATATCATGGGTATTGTTCATTCCGGATTTATCTAGTCATTTTTGGCTTGCTGCTGCTGCAAATTGGAAACGATCACGCTGAGAAATTGGTCTGCTAAACGGCGTTGGGCTGGGTTCAATGGCTTAGAAATAAAAGGCTTTACATACTTTTCGCTTCGTCCGTGTCTTTGCACCACATCTTGTAGCACTGCATCCGCCTCGTCGTTCAAGCTGTTTTAGGTTCTAGGTGGGGAACAGGACAGGCTTGCTACTTCGCCTGTCCGTCTATCTGCTATAAGACAATAAATACAATCGAATACTGAACGCTGTAGACCCTTTGACCGAAACTCAATTGTTCTTGATCTTGCGGCCGCCCCGTGCAACACTTTCTCGAGACCCCAGCCGCGACATCACCACCAGAGGGTCCTTTTCGTTTGACGACAGTGATGCAAGGGCAAACGAGTCGGTATTGTGTGCAAAATAGAAGTACACGCCCTTGCATGTCTTCTTCACCGCCATCACCCCTATCGCACCTCCCGAGACCTGGTTCTTCACTCCCGGATGGTCCATGAAAGCCTCCGACACAAACGTCTTCATCAGTGTGTCGTCGTCGTACTCGGCCACGGGAGAGCCCCCTGCATCTACTCGCATGTTGTAGTAGAGCCGCTCTGCGCAGGTATGCGACGCCATCGTTGTAGCCATGTGCTCGCCCGTCCCGCTGGTCACCGCGGCCACTGACGTTCCCATCTTGTCCTTGGGGTTAGCCGGCAGAACGGCCGTGCCGATCCCCACCAAAGCAGCTGGCCCCATTCGACCACTGTGTTTCATCCCGATGCCGCCAGATGACGAGCCCGCAGCAATGTTGCCCTGAAAGTCGACGGCTATGGCCCCCACCGTGTCGGAGATGATGTCTGAATTGTCGTCCTTGAACTCGGCGGATTCATGGACCTGTTCGGTGGAAAGTCGTATATTTGGAGGCAGAGCTTCGCTATGACCATCGACACTGCTTTTACTGCCACGCTTCCGTATTGTGTGCTCGTTCCTATCCATTCGAAGTCGTTTCGGAGGCGGTGCCGTCGTCTGAGATGGCCATGTCACACTGTCAGCCGTAGATGTGTGTCGCTGCCTGTCTGGACCGGTAGCACCGCCGGAAGCCTCTTCAAAATGGTCAGAGACAGACTGTTGTACTGTTGTTGATAATCCAAGCGTAGATGCCTGACCAGTCGTGTTGCCAATGTTTAATACAGAAGTCGGATCTTGCATCTTTGCCGGGTCAACACCTTTAGAACCGAGTAGCTGTCCCGATCTCGGCTGTTCTTGCTCCCGTTGCTGACTAGATGTTGTTTGGCCCGGCCTTGCTTGTAGTTCAGGTGTGCTAGCCACCGCCAGAGTTCTCTTTCCTTGGCGTGTAGAATCGGCAATTGCTGTTCGATGGGTGCTAGAAGTCGCTGCTTCGGCTCGATATAATTCGTGCCGCCACCGATCGAAGCGAGCCCGCGCCCCTTCCGATACGAGCTTCTCGTTTGGCACTGTGCGCATTCCGTGCTCCTCGGCAAACCGCCGTGCACCCGCACTGACCAGAATGTTGGGCGGGATGCGGCGCAATGACAGAGGAATATTGGTCTGGTCAAGGATGAGCCGGGCGAGCGAAATGGGATTTTTGATCACTGCATGTGCAGCCTCATGTCAGTTCTGGACAGTCGTCCTTGGCGCTGGACAGGCAACTCACTCGGAACTGCTCCGCAGGCACCACTGCGACCGAGATGGTCGACAATGGTAGCGTCACCCTCCACAACTCCATCTATGGTCAGGTTGCTTCCGTAGCCAGCATTGGTAATTTCCCTGTCTTCGAGGCTCTTGATGGCAACCTCCACGGCATCTACAGCAGTACCGCCGGCCTTGAGAAATTTCATTGCAAGTCGGGCAGCTCTAAAACCGTCAGTTCTGTGAAGACCAAGATAGGTATACGGAGATGCATGAAAAGTGGAAGATTTGTTTTTGAAAAAAGTGCTCACTCGCTGCATGCCTCCAAGTGCACATGCTCGTTTGCTGTACTGTGAAAGCCGGCCCCCGCATGGATGAAAATCGTAGCCACAGGAGCTCTTGCTTTAGAACGAAACAGACGCTCAGTCAGGCCATCCCTGGCAGGAATGCAGTTCTGAGAATCATGCGGAGGTCTGGTGGGTGTCGCCACGGACTGGTCCGTTTCCAAGCTGTCCTTTGTATCCGTGTACATGGCCGAATCGTCACCGGTAGGATTTGACACCTCTGGTGGTGAGGAAACAGTCTCCGGGCTTGAGCTGACACTAGGGAAGGGACTTGACAGCGGGTCACTGTGAGCAAGGTTCGCTTCCGCGGTCGTGGGAATCGCCCTTGGAGGCGGACTTGGCCCAGCGCTATCATTTTTCTGCGCCGTTTCAGTTGGTTGACTCATGAAAGGATATGTGCCCAGGGCTCTGAGCTACTGCTATATCCTGCCGTGCTCCGTCACCAGGTCGTTCTGCCTTCGGATGTGTCGGGCGGCTAAGTTGTAATGAAAAGTGACAGAAAAGTGACGAAGCAGTAGGGACGGGGTAGCTCAATTGTACTAAGCAAGGACACAAAGCCGCAGGCTCGCCGTTCGCGTATGACAATCCTAATTATGTACGTAACAGAGAGAAGAGGGTAATATGGTGAATAGGAAAGTTTGCGTAGTCGTAGAAATATGTTGCGCAAGATAGCGCTGCTTCTCAGGCGTAATAAAATAAGGGACGGGTCAGCTTGTCGGTAGAGTGTAGATAAAGACCATAAAAAGATGCAGGAGAATGAAGCAATTAAGAGTCCAGAAGGGGTGCAAAAGACACGAGGTAGAAGAAACAAAAAGTGTGGGGAATGGCGAAGCAAGATGTGTAGCCCGTTTGGGTGTCTAGATTACTGCTGCCATGAAGGGAAGGGACAAACTTTATATAAGACAGAGGAACGTAAATCACCTAGGAAGAATGACCAATTTCCAACCCTTTGTGCAGTGACGATTTCAGCCTCGATCCTCATCGTTGCTTCCTCTAGTCATAGATTTAAGAGCGAAAACCAGCAGTAAGTCCGGGGTCTTGTCCACATGACACACGCACTCGGGCTCTTTGTGACTTCGTCGACCAAAATTGTACTTCTACTTTGCTCACTCTTCCAATGCCTTTGCAACAACTCATCTGATGCCGCCGCGAGAGTCGTTGTGAGATGCGGACGGAGTGGTCCGTACAGACCGGTGCGACTAGTACCCGGTTTATTGCATATCGTATATCGGGGCGGTACTCCGTAAGGAGCACATGATGACACGTGACCCGAATTGCATCGTCAGTTGAGAGGCCCCTCCGAATTCCCCGCCAGTTACTAGACACCTCACCTACTCGTTGCTGGCGAGCTGTTTCACAACACATACGACGAAGGAGCTGCATAAGGCAGCTTGCAACTTACAGCGAATATGGCGAACCAGACTCCGGCCGTTGTCATGGACAAGTAAGCGATACCCGTATCCTGGGACCCCTTTCTACCAGCCAGCCTCCTTTGCCGAGACCGTCCGTTCCGTATTGCTCCCTGTCGGCAGGGCCATCCAGAGACAGCTACAGCGCGAGGATTTCATCAAGCAGGACTGTTCTGGAGCCGATTGCTAACATTTTTTTCTCCTCACGCTCAGCGGCACGGGTTTCTCGAAGCTGGGTATGTTTAACGTCCTATCACTGGTGCCTAGACACGTGGGCATTACTAACGGTCCGACTCGTATCATATAGGATTTGCTGGAAACGACTCTCCTTCCTTCGTATTCCCGACAGCAATTGCAACCAAGGCAACTGGGGGTGGCGGCGGCGGTGCCGGCGGTGGCCGGCCGGCAGTTGGAAGCAAGCCATCCTTCCTGACCGGTGGCGCTGGCCCGTCCGGCCACATGTCATCGAAGAGAGGAACCGAAGATCTCGACTACTTTATCGGCGATGAAGCTATAGCAGCAACGTCTGGTCCGGGTAAGATCGAACTCGACCACAGGGCGTACAGATGAGATGGCGGGTTGGATGCGGTGAGAACTGGCAGCTAACGACGCTCCTCTTAGGATACGGACTGCACTATCCCATCCGCCACGGACAGATAGAAAATTGGGTGAGCATACTTGAGGAAGCCTAATGGGCGCGGCGATACAACGCACGAAGCTAACACGAGGCAGGATCACATGGAACGGTTTTGGTCGAACTCGATCTTCAAGTACCTCCGGGTTGAGCCAGAGGACCACTACTTCCTACTGACGGAGCCTGTAAGTCTTGGGTCTCGATTGTTGCTGGCATTGGCAGACGCGTGGCTAACAGGTCGCAGCCTCTGAATCCGCCCGAGAACCGCGAAAACACGGCCGAGATCTTCTTCGAATCCTTCAACTGCGCGGGTCTGTACATTGCGGTGCAGGCGGTGCTAGCACTGGCGGCATCGTGGACGTCGTCCAAGGTGCAGGACCGCTCGCTGACGGGCACGGTTATCGACTCGGGCGACGGTGTGACGCACGTGATTCCAGTGGCGGAGGGCTACGTGATCGGTTCGTCGATCAAATCGATTCCGATTGCGGGGCGCGACATTACGTACTTTGTGCAGTCGCTGCTACGCGACCGGGGCGAGCCAGACTCGTCGCTCAAGACGGCGCAGGAGATCAAGGAGGAGTTCTGCTACGTGTGCCCAGATATTGTCAAGGAGTTTGCGCGCTATGACCGGGACTCGTCGCGGTTTGCCAAGTACAACGCCGTGCAGTCAGGGCGGCGGCAGGTGACGGTGGACGTTGGGTACGAGCGGTTCCTGGCGCCGGAGATCTTTTTCAACCCGGAGATTTACAGCTCGGACTTCCTGACGCCGCTGCCGGTAGTGGTCGACAGCGTGATCCAGTCGTCGCCCATTGACGTGCGGCGTGGCCTGTACAAGAACATTGTGCTCTCGGGCGGCAGCACGCTGTACAAGGACTTTGGTCGGCGGCTGCAGCGCGACATCAAGCAGTTGGTGGACGCGCGCATCCGAGCGAGTGAGCAGCGCAGCCGCGGTGCCAAGAGCGGCGGACTCGAAGTGCAGGTGATTACGCACAAGCGCCAGCGGCATGGTCCTTGGTTCGGTGGCAGTCTGCTGGGACAGACGCCCGAGTTCCGGTCCTACTGCCACACCAAGGCAGAGGTAAGCATATGTGTTTTTTCTGTTGTGTTGTTGCTATCAATTCTGACGAACAATCGCAGTACCAAGAATACGGACCCGGTATTGTTCGGAGATTCGCACTGCTGGGCGGTCCCGGCGGCTCTTAAGAAAAACAAACGTGTCCTCCGGCGGGATTATGGAGTTGTGCGGGGGCCCCAACAACGGACAATGCGGACTGTGGGGGATGGGGGATTTGCGCCTACATACTAACGTCAACTACCGAATGACCGGTGCAAGGGAGAACGGGGGTGCCTCTGCGCAGAGAGGGAGAACGGAGGGGACTCAGGACTAAGGGGAGCAGATACAATGGGGGAACGGAAGAGACAAGCGTGGGGGAGAGGGGGTGATGTGGAGATCTTAGTCGAGAGCGTGGGAGAAGATGGTACCTGGAGAGAGCCTTGGGAGATTCGACGGGGTATATAAAAATTGAACGTCAGTGCTGTCTTTGCGTACTACGTACCCCGTTCATATTGCTCGTTTTGAAATGGACGTTGCCGGTTGTCCGAACGAGTTAGGATTGACAGTAGTGGAGCTTGGGCTGGGGAATTGAAGAACTGGGGAAGCTATCTGCGTTGCGATGGTCGATTTTGTCTGTCTGTGCTCCTTCGGTTTGTGTTTGGGCTACGGGATTGGCCTGGTCCCGCTTACATAAGCGTCAGCTGAGCAAATGAATGCAGTTTGAAATGAGGGGAAGCTCGAAATACGGAGTACTGGGAGTGACGTAGCTGCAGGGAAAGAGGAAAAACGGCAGGATGCGACGGCAGGTCTTAGTGGACGAAAGGGAGGGGGATCGACGTCGTATTCCTGTAGTCCTCTCTGTATATTTGCAGCTGCAATATTTTGCTCTCTCTCTCGCCTCGCTTCGAATTGACCCAAAAGAGTGGAGGCTGCTTGTATCGCACTCGCAAGAAGCGATAATACTCCGTGTGCTATCGGCCAAAGGTCGGAGGCCCGGCGAAGCGGACATTTCTTGTGGCGATTAGCCTGTTGCCTTAGCGGAAGTCCCAGCGCTTGGAGCGCGACCTCGCATGACAGCTACGATATGGTAGACGGACCGAATCGCCTCCGATCAAGAGATGCTGGGAAAAGTTCGGAATTGCATGATCGGCGTAGATGAGGGAAATTCGGTGAAAAGTGGGAGACACGAGCTGTTTTGCGGTTTTGCAGACCACCGAACATGGCATTCAGGGCCGTCAGCTCATTCTGGATGGCGGATCAACAGCTTGCAGGGGGGTTCTAGGCGCAAGGGCCGGAGCCTAGGTAGGCATAGCTCATAAGGAGGCTAAATCGTAAGACTGCACAGGGGATTTTGCGGGCCAGGTGGTCGTACTATGTACTCGTAGTCGTATCGCCGCCCTTCACCTCCGGGAGAGTTTTTTTTGGCGCTTTTGTGTGGGCGAGCCTTTTGCAGCGAAAAGCCTCAAAAGATCATGAGATTGGGCGCACAGAGAAACCCCACCGAGCCAATGGGTTGCCCCTAGACACGACAGCCCTCCAGAAATATACCGCGAGTATACGTGCGAAATGGTGGTACGTGCAGCAGCTTGTGCGATGTCGCTTGCATGCTGCACCCCAACAACGCAGAGGTTACCGTTGACAGAGTATCTGAGCCGATTGGGTCAAATGGAGGGGAGTGAAATGAAGCCTGAGGGGTCAAGGTGGGGGGGTGTTGTTAGCTGAGGAAGAGGGGAGTGCTGCTATCTTTAAGCTACACGTACATACTCGTACATACGACCTACGGGCATAGCAGTTGGTAAGATAGCTTCTTTACACGTACTCGTCTACTAGACGATGCTACTATGTAGGAAAAGATATGAGTGGGGGAAGAGGGTCAAACTAACGGACTTGTACAGACAAGCTCCTCGCTAGCATCACGCGTTTTTGTTGCTGCTCCAGGGCTTGTCTGGCCAGAGAAAGAGATCTGTCTGTTTCTTTTTCTTTTTCTCTTTCTTTTTCTGCACTGTCCTCTTGGCTCATGCAGCCCCGCCCCGTTCGACCGCTCCTTCCTTGACCCCCCCCTTCTTCCCTCGAAACCCCCTCTTCCCTCAACCCCCCTCTTCGTCACCAGACAGCGCACCTTCCGTCGAGGGAATTGAGCAACGGAGGATAGCCAACAACCAACCAGGGTGCAGCAACACGCGGTAGCCCGCGTGTATGACTCCGCTCTGTTCGTATGCAAGGGAAAGAACAGCCCAGCAGCTCTCACTCATGCGCAGCAACGTCATGGCCGTGGCAGGTCCTCTGCGGTTTCCTCTTCGGGGATCGTTGTCGTACGGCTCGAGTATAAAGCTCTGGCCTTCGCCGCGCTGGCAGTCGACCTTGTTTGCTTGTTCCCCCATCTCGTCAGTAGCAAGGCAAACAAAGCAATCAAAGCAACCCGCAAAACACTCTTCTATACCAGCAACCAAGCCAGGACAGTTCCTGACACACATTGCACAAAATCACACAATGGCAGCACCAGAGATCCCAACGGAGCAGTGGGCACAGGTCATCGAAGTGTCGGGCAAGCGTGAGTTTTTTTCGCCTTCACAGTCTTCTCAATGCTTGGTTTGACCATGCTGACACTGCCAGCCCCCGTGTACAAGAAGATTCCCGTGGGCAAGCCGGCCGCCGATGAGGTGCTGGTCAACGTCAAATTCTCGGGCGTGTGCCACACAGACCTGCACGCGATGAACGGCGACTGGCCGCTGGATCGCAAGATGCCGCTGGTGGGTGGCCACGAGGGTGCCGGCGTGGTGGTGGCCAAGGGCAACTTGGTGAAGGACCTGGAGATTGGCGACCACGTGGGCATCAAGTGGCTGAACGGCTCGTGCCTGGCCTGCAGCTTCTGCAAGCAGATGGACGAGCCGCTGTGCCCGCACGCCACCCTGTCTGGCTACACAGTCGATGGAACCTTCCAGCAGTACGCCGTTGCCAACGCGGCCCATGTGGCGCGCATTCCCAAGCACCTGCCGCTGGAAGCCGTCGCACCAGTTCTCTGTGCTGGTATCACCGTGTACAAGGGCCTGAAGGAGTCGGGTGTGCGGCCTGGCCAGTTCGTCGCCATTGTCGGTGCCGGTGGCGGTCTCGGCAACATGGCTCTGCAGTACGCCAAGGCCATGGGCATTCACACCATCGCCATTGACGGCGGCGATGATAAGCGTGTCAGCACGCTCGCTCTGGGTGCGTCTGCCTACGTCGATTTCATGACCAGCAAGGACCTCGTGGCCGACGTCAAGGCCGCCACTCCCGACGGCCAGGGCCCCAACGGCGTCATCTTGCTGGCAGTGTCGGAGAAGCCGTTCCAGCAGGCGGCCGAGTACGTGCGCCCGCACGGCACCGTCATCTGCATCGGCATGCCGGCCAACGCCTACCTCAAGGCACCCGTCTTCGACACGGTCGTGCGCATGATCACAATTCGCGGCAGCTACGTCGGCAACCGCCAGGACTCGGCCGAGGCTATTGACTTCTTCGCCCGTGGCTTGATCAAGGCGCCATTCAAGGTCGTCGGTCTCACGGAGCTGCCGTCTATCTACGAGATGATGGCTGCAAACAAGGTTGTCGGTCGCTACGTCGTCGACACTAGCAAATAAGCGGATCAGAATGTATACCTATTTCTCCGCGAGAGTCTGTTACAACAGAAAATGGCTTACAGCAGAAAATGGCCAGCCAAAAAGGTTGTGCAAAAGGAGTTTGGTCAAGCATGGTGAGCGTGGTGGTGGGAGTTGAGCAAATTTGGATAGTGATGGAGTAGGATCTCACACGTTTTGGAATGCCGAATTTTGAAGTTTTTTTTTTCTGCTTGGATGACCAGATTGACAAACGCCGTGAATGAATGAACTCCGCAGTTTTCTGATACCCCCCCTTTCCTGCCTTGCCTGGCCGTATGCCTGCCGTCTTCCCTTGTTCCGTTCGGGGAATGGGAGAGTCAAAGACGTCTGATGCCTGATCTGATTTTTGATGTTTGGTTTGCATGGCTTGGCTTGTTTGGTTTGTTTGGTTTGTGGTGTTTGTTTGGCTTGTTTAGTTCGTTTGGTCTGTGTGGTCTGTGTGCCTTATATGTATGGGCTGCCTGGTGGACGGACCTGTTGCCGATGTAAGTGAATATGTTACCTACCTCCACCTCACCTCAGACTTCTCTCATCGTCTCGATCTCTTCGACGGTCACGACTGGTTTTACTTCCCACGACAGATTTACGGACATTCTACATGGCAGACTTTTTACCCCTGATCGACACATGGCATTGGCCTTCGACATTTTCCAACCCAGAACTGCCCCTGGCCGCTGAGCAAAAGAGGCAGCCAGAACAGCCAGTCGAGGAGGACTGGCTGTCTACGCGTCAGTGTTTCGAACGGCAGCAGCAACAGCCGTCTGTCTGGCCACGGATGCAGTCTGGCTACGGCCGTGATGTATCGGCTGTCCAGCTGCCGAGCATGGACGAGGCCTTCTGGTCGGAGCACCATCAACGCCTTGTTCTAGCGACGATGCACATCACATCACAGCAGCAGCAGCAGCAGCAGCAGCAACAACAACAGCAATACCTCCTTCATTTCCCACCCCCACCACCACGCCCTGGACGCATGTTCCAGCCAATGCAGATGCTCTTCCGTCGACAGCAACAGCAGATCGACGTTTGCCCTTTTGGCAACAGCTCCAGCTACCGCGGTGACGTGGCCAACCCACATAACCGCGGCGACTACGTGCCGGAGGCAGCCAACACGGCGCTCTTCTTGACGCATCTTCCGGTGACGGCAAGCATCGGTGATCTGCTGTGGGCAGTGGCAGCATTGGGGCCGACTGGCCGTGTGTTCTCGGCGTCGGTGAACCCTCCTGACCCGGCACGCGGTCACCGCTGGGCGGCGGCCAAGCTGTCGTTCTTCACACGGGCCGGCGCAGAGGCACTGAAGCACAGGATTGACAGGGGTGAGCTGAGGGTGGGCGCAAAAGGGGGAGGTGATGCTTCCCTCGGCTACTATTCCTCAGCATGTTCGCCTCCCCTTCGCGCCATCTGGAACCGAGACAGAAAGGCCCCCCGGACGTGTGTGCAGGCCGACGAGTGTCGCGTGCTGTGGATCCGCGGGCCGGCTGAAACGGTCAACTACGCCACCCTGACGGCATTCTTTAAGCAAAAGTTCTATTACGAGCTCGAGTCCGTCATCCTTCTCGGCCTGGAAGGCCATGGCGACAGCAACAACAGCAGCGGTGGTCATCCAGCCGAGGCAGCCATGGAGTGGCGGTTCGCCAGCTTCCAGAGCCAGGCGATTGCGGCCAAGATGGCGCTGAACCAGGAAATGCCGGCGGTCCGGGTTGAGTACGGACAGGACCCGTGCGAAAGGGGGTGGTCGTAGGATACAAAAAGTGTGTGTGTGGGTGGACTGGTGACAGAGACGAGTGTGTGCTCGATTGCTGCGGACGTGAAAATGGGATGCAAAGCTACAAGATCAAGGATGGACGGATGAGAGAAATGAGTATCAGCATGTTGCGCGAGCTGTGATGACCCGTTCCGTCTTCGGGGCTCGATTTGTCGTCTCGTCTTATTTTGCCCTGTAATCGCTCATTTCGGGACGACTTCCCTTTTCTCCCCCTTTCTTCCACCCCAAGGCAGCACAGCCAGACATTTCGCCACGTTCTCGACAGCACGCTATGCCTCGCTCGGACGAGGCCGCGTCCTTCTTTTTTGCCGTCTATGCGGCCGTAAGTGAGATTCCGCCTGGACGGGTCACCACGTATGGGCATATTGCCGCCTTGATTGGCATGCGTGAGTATTCACCTTTTTAGTGACGTGTCGCATCGCACAGACGGCGTCGCCAACAGCTGACCTGATTTCGACCAGCCCAGCGTCCTCGCCAGGTCGGCATCTGTCTGAAACACCTGCCGGCCGACGCCACAGACGCTCTGGACGCCCCGGACAGCCAGCCTCTGCGCTTCCACAGCGGCAACGTCCCCTGGCAGCGCGTGCTCAACGCCAAGGGCCTGATCTCGCCGCGAGCCGGCGACGGCGGCAACGGGCGACGACGACAGGCCGAGGCGCTGCGCGCAGAGGGCGTCGAGGTGAGGGAGAACGCGGGCGGGCTCGGCGAGATGGCCGTCGACCTCGGCCGGTTCGGCTGGTTTCCGCGGCAGCTACCGTCAGAAAGAGAGGGTGAGGAAGATGAGGACGGGGACGAAAATGATGACTAATCCAGGAGACAAGGCCAGCACAGAGAAACGATTACAATATCACAAGCATAGCATATCAAGTGTAACGGTTCGATTTTAGGTTTCTATTCTTGTTATATTTCTCTAGACGCGAGTGGCATTCATAAACCCGGTCCTATTCGACAGTTAGTGCTTGCAAACATAAAGAGAGGCAAACAAATGTGAAGAGTGAAGATGCTGTAGTCAGATAGCGGTTGGACTAGTTTATCCACATAGAATTCAGAACAGGTCTGTGAAATAGTAGGTATCATCACGCAGCAGTTGGCCGTGAGGCCATAGGTTTGGGAGCAAAGTGTAGAGGCAAAGCAAAAGTTCATGGAAAACGTACCGTATTGTGTGTGCGAGGGGAGAAGACAGGGAGCCCCAGCCTCTCCTGTTCTTCTCAGCCCTCCTTTTTCTGCCGCTTCGCAGCCGGACGGAAGAACGAGTCGACCGTCTGTTGTTTTGCGTCAAAAGCCGAGCTGCCAATACCGCCGCGCGTCTTGCGCAGACCCTGCAGGTGCTCGACATTGTTGACAGCTGTCACGGCCAGTTCGACGTCCTGCTGCTGGCGCCTGCCGACCGCCAGCTCGACATAGCCCGTGTTGCTCCAGCTGACAGGTGCGGCTGGCAGCGACGACGAGGCGAACCGCTGCAGCAGGACCGACAGCAGCACGCCGAGGAAGATGCCGTGCGAAACGACCACGACGGTCTGTTGAGTCGGGACCTGCACCAGCAGCAATGGGTGCAGATGCCCGTCGACAAACCGCTCAGCCCGTCTGCGCATTTCCTCGCGCGTCTCGGCATCGGCAAAGGCAGACGAAGAACCGCTACCGGCAATCCGTCTGCCCTCACCCGAACGGAAGTCTCGCTCGCGCAGATCGGCCAGCTGCACGACTGCTAGAGCTTCGTCTCCATCGTCACCCGTCCGCTTCTTCGCCTGTGCCTCCACGATCGCTTCGGCTGTCCGCACTGCGCGCTGCAGGTCCGACGACAAGACGTGCGTGACAACAGGCCGAAGCCCGTCCTCGCTCTTGCTGTCCTCATCGTTGTCTCCGTCGCGGCTAGGCATCAGATAGGTACCCAGACGACGTGCTTGCAACACGCCGTGGGCCGTCAGAGCAGAGTCGCGGGAGCCGGCACTGGGAATAGGGGGTAGGGTGGGAAGGAACGCCGAAGAGATGTAAGCTCTTTTGTCCTCTTCGAGAAGAGAGAGGAAATCAAGGCTGTCCACTGACTAGACGCCGGCCACGTTGTCCACGGACTCGCCGTGGCGAACCAGTAGCAGACGCATCGTCTGCAGAGTGTCCTTCATCCAGAGAATCTCAATGAGTGCTGCAAGGCATCTGCCATAGTGTGAACCTAGAGGCTGGCCTTGAGAAAATTGCTGCTCGTTGTGTTGTGAAGAAGGAGAATGTGTTGCTAGAAATTTGGGCGACGCTTTTAAATTTGGGCGCCTAAAAACTTTTCAGTGTCAAAATTAGGCGGTGAGTGGATGTAAAATTTGACACAATCCATCCTACACGTGATGTGCTTAGTCATGATTAGTCATGCTGAGCACTTGTTTCTGCCAAACAGCATGGTGTATGAAGAGTAGACTATGAAAACGCGAACTTGCTTCTGTACACCACACCGGCTCTCCGGCTTCTGAAAGCTGACACCAATATTTGTATCCACGGGCCCTCTACCCCCATCGTGGTATCTAAAAAGTAGGCTCCGCCCATTTCTCATGGTCGCAGTCTAGCTGGAAGACGACGACTGGCAGGCCTCGGAGCGTATGGCACAGTTTGAGCACCGAAATGAGCTCTGGGATCATGTCCGACAACAGAGCACTCAGCGGCCAGTCCGGGTCCTCTGCCAGCTCAGGCAGCACACTTTCCACCTCGTCTGTGGCCTGCGAATAGAGGAAATCTATCCGGTGCCGGATAAAGACTCGTCGGACCAGAAGAGTCGGAAGTGGTATTTAGCTGGGAACGAGTCAGGCCCTGCGTTGTCGCTGAACATGCAGCATCTCATGAGAAACATCTTGATACAGCCCACTGTAGCCTGATTGAGGTCCTCTATCGCCGTCTCCTCCTGGAGGTCCGGAAGACTAAATCTGTACAGACTTGCCGCTTCCTGGATGAACGCAGGCTGCTGCTCCAGTGCCTCGCAGATTGTGTCGATCAGCACTGTGCTCCGGCCACCCTCTATCGTGATCCGGCGCTTGCTGCGGGAAGCCTCCTCCAGCCAGGCCCGCGTCAGTATATGCGGGGAATCCCCTCTAGGAGACTTAAACGCATCGCATAGTGCCTTGGCGCGCACCTTGAGCTCGCTCCTAGACTGCAGGTTGATACCGTCTAGAAAAAAGTCACGGAAGACGGCGTCGTAGTACGTACTCATGACCTTCTTTGGCGGAACGTCGAGGTAGTCGATGCTCAGAGTCCGGCGGGGGAAGTGACACGTGAAGAGCTGCCGTACTCGCTTTTCGTTGCTCATGTGGTTCTGGCGATGAAACGAGGCGACGTAACGGACCCCGCCCTTCTCTGGCTGCGCCTTCTGGGCCGTCGGCGGCACCCAGAGCGTGGAACGAGATTCGCCCAAAGATGAGCTGGCGTTGGCCCTTGGCTTTCGTGAGGCCTGTCGGTTGGGCATCTTCGTACAGGCGGTAGAGGTTGATGATGTGGCAGAGAACCGGACCCTCGACATGGAGACTCATCTCATGGGGGTCGAAATCAGCAGATGGCAGCTCCCAGTCGACAGCGCCATGTCCTGGGCGGATGTTGAGCACATGGAGGAGACGCGCCCATTCAAACAACGACTTGCAGACATCTCTGCGGTCAGGCAAAGCCCAGCCTTCCTCGGTAGCCAGATGCACCTCGAACTTCTCCCAGCGCAGGGCGGGCTGCCGCCAGCTGCCGCCAGCTGCCGCCCTCAAACGCCTCATGCGCCCACTCGCCGAGGTCGTTTCTTGGCTGTCGGTTGGCGCGGAAGCCGCTCAGAGGCCCCGTGATTGCAGAGACACCGCGGCCCAGAAGGTCGAGGACGGCATTAATGTCTGCCACCGTGCTCTGAACTAAAGTGGTGCCGGACGCGGTGGTAGCAGTTGGAGCCGCATCCGACCTGCCGGTAGACCGAGTAGCGTTTCCCGTCGTCAAGGCCATGTTAGACGAGATTGACGTTGTAGGCATTCAAGAGACAGAAGAGAGCTTCACTTATATCGAGTCGTATCTGACACAGGCTTTGCTTCGGAAAGTGGGCGACGGGCAGAGAATGGACTGTTGGGCATCAATCTTTCGTGACTTTTGCAAGCCAGCATCGGAGTTATATCATGTATAAAAGGAGTCCTTTGACGACGCCTGCTGTCAGCAGGACAATCCAATCCCGAGACGGCGCCTCACTTGTTCGGCTCCTTGTCGGGCGGCAGAGTCTTGCGCGGCCAGTCCGGGCAGATGTCGATGCGATCGCGCGGCCACCAGAACTCGCAAAAGACGAGGAGCAGGTAGTCGACGATGACGCAGAGACAGAAGAGCTTTCCGGCCCAGATTCCGCAGCCGTAGTAGCGCTTGAGGCGGTCGATGAGGGCGAAGCTCTGGACGCCGGAGCGGCCGCGCGTGGCGCTCCAACCGCCGTTGGCCGGAGCCGAGGCGGTAGCCGTGGCGGCAGCAGCCGCCGTCGTGGTTGCTGCCGTGGCGGTCTCTGTCGACGTGCTTCCACCACCGCCGCCGGCGGCACCTCCGGCTGCGCTGGCCGTACCACCGCTGAGGCCGTACCCATAGAACTCAGCCTCGGTGATGGCGCCGGTGATGCCGTTGTAGACGCGTTCGGTGCGGGCGGCGACGTTGGTCCACGAGTACATGGCCTGGACCTGGTCGTGGAAGCGCTCGGTGCGGACCTTGTTGGCGCGCAGGGCAGCGATGGCGCGGCCGGTGGCGGCCACGAGGTCGTCCTCTTCCGGGCGGGCGAAGACGGTCATGTGTGAGGGCAGGACCTCGGGGATGCCACCGACCTGGGTGCAGACGACGTAGAGGCCGCAGCTGGCAGCCTCGACGATGACGGTGCCAAAGGCCTCCGTCAGCGACGGGTGCAGATAGATATGGCCGCGTACCATGACGTCGCGCACCTCTTCGTGGCGGACGGGTCCGAGCATCTCGACGCGGTCCTGCAGCACGTTCTGCTCGATCATCTGCTTCAGATCGATGGCCTTGGGTCCGGACCCAGCGATGACGAAGCGCGTGTTCGGGTGGCTCGCGAGGATGCGCGGGATGGCCGCCACCAGCAGGTCGGTGCCCTTGTTGTAGAACAGGCGCGAGATGACGACGATCGTGATGGGGTCGTCGGGGCCGAGCTGGTGTGCCGGCAGCGGTGACTGCTGCTGTTGCTTGTCTCGACCTTTGGGGCCGCCGTTGTGGGCCAGCGGCATAAAGTTCTCGGCCACGAGGGCGTTGGGGATGACGGAGACCATCAAGGGGTCAAGCGAGGCGCGCAGGACTGTGTTCTCCTTGCTGGTGTAGACAGATACGATCAGCCACACGACAACACAACACAACACAACACACAACTCACCAAGTGTGGCTTACGCAGATGACGTGGTCGACGTCGCTCAGCGAAAACTTGAGCAGCTTGTTGGCCAGGATGCTGGTGGCGTCGGCAAAGCCAAAGAGCGAGTGGTCGGTGAAGACGGTACGCAGGCCCATGGTGCGGGCGTGCAGGATGGCCTCGTGGCAGAGGTTGCTGAGGCTTCCGTGGCCATGCACGATGTCGATCTGCTCGCGCAGCACGATGTTGCGGAACATGGGGAAGAAGGAGAAGACGGTCGGGAAGGTGGTGGAGCGGTAGATGACAAAGTACGGCACGTAGTACACCTTGATGCCGTTCGTCAGGTAGCGCACGCCCTTGCGGTCCGGATACTCGTGCGTGATGATCACCACCTTGTGGCCACGGTCCACCAGCTTGCTCGACACCTGGTAGATGTGGCTCTCCACCCCGCCCGGCTGCGGGAAGAAAAAGTCGCTGACCATGGCGATGTTGTACGTGCGGCGAGCCATGGCGGGAGGGCGGAGGGGGGTCGCCAATGTCGGGGTCGCCTGGTCCTCATCGAGATGCTTTTCTGGCTGAGAGGAGAGAGGAAGCCGAGACAGCTGCACGTGTTCTTGCTGTTTAGGTTGCGCACAGACCAGAATTATGGTAGGTCGCTGTTGCTGTCGCTGTAACGCTAGTCTGCACAGTACAAATTACACAGTATGTCGCTTCTTTTCCTCTTCTATGTCTTCTTTGTGCCTCCGCCGTTGCGCTCGGCCGCCGCCTCTTTGCCGAGCTGCTCCAACGCGGCCTCGTACGCGGCCATGCGTGCCTTGCTGAACCGCCCGGCGCTGACCGTTTCGGTCTCCGTTTCCGTTTCGGACTCGCTGTCCTCGTCTTCCTCGTCTTCCTCGCCCACCACCACCTTGGCCACCTTGCCGCTGCGCCGCACCACCGACAGGACTGTCCGGCCGGCCTTGCCGCCCTGGCCGGCCACTTCAGGCCAGAACCAGCCGGCCTCTTTCTTCGTGAAGAGCGTCCAGGCGTGACCCGGCCGGCCGGCACGCGCGGTGCGACCGACGCGGTGAACATAAAACTCGACGCTCGGCGGCATGTCATAGTTGATCACGTGATCGAGCTGCGCCAGATCGATGCCGCGGGCTGCCAGGTCGGTCGCCACGAGGATGCGCAGCTGCCGAGCCGCAAAAGCGCGCAGCGTGCGACGACGCTCCGACGTCCGCGTCGTCGACGTGATCGTGCCAACCAGCTTGGCCAGCTGTGGTGGCAGCAGCAGCGCCAGCAGACGCGCCAGCCGCAGCGCGTTCTCGTTGGATCGCGTGAAGATGAGGGCCGTCGTGGCAAAGGTCTTTGTGGGTTTGGAGCGGCTGGAGTGGCTGGAGTCATCACTGTCGCTGCTGTCACTGTCGTCCTCGCTGCTCTCGTCACCCCCCTCCACCCCCTCGTTGATCACCTCCATCAGTCCGCTGTCGTTCAGCAGGTCCACCAGGTACAGAGGCTTCTGTGACTCGTCCCGCACCTTGACGGCCGACTCGCGCAGACGTCGCGGCAGCACGTACTCGGCCGCACCGCTGCTGTTGTGGATGCCGTCCTCGCCGTCCGGCCGCGTGCCTTTGAGCACGACATGCCGCGGCCGGCTCAGCCGCAGGCTGCCAAGGCTGCTGAGGTCGCGCGTCATCGTGGCGCTGAGCACGACCTTGCGCACGCCGCTCTCGGCCGAATCCGAGAAGTCGCGGGCGCCAAGCGGCGCTTTGCCTGGCCTCTCCAAACGCCCCAGCACCTGCGTCAGCCACTGCTGGTAGCTCTGGCCGAGCAGCTTGTCGGCCTCGTCGACCACCAGCCAGCGGACGTGGTCGAGCGCGAAGCCGGCCGTCGACCGGAGGTGCTCGACCAGACGGCCGGGCGTCGTCACGAGGACGTCGACGCTGGACTTGTATCGGATCACGTGATCCGGCAACAAGACAGACGACGTCGATTCGGACACCCAGTCGGTCCAGTCGGTCGTGCTGCCGCCATCCGTCGCTCCCACCAACGGCCACCGCTGTCGCCGACGCAGCGCCGCCCGGTAGCCCGCCGGGTCGTAGACCTGCTCCTCCTCGACCAGGGCGGCCTGCTCGCGACGCAGCGACTGGTTGCCCATGGCCGCACCGATGCGCACACGCCGTCCACCCGCACTGCCGGCCGAGAAGGCCCGCGCACACGTCTCGCACACGTCGTGCACCTGCTGCACCAGCTCGCGCGTCGGCACGACGATGATGGCCCGCAGCCGTCGTCCGGACAGGCTGCTACCACCTCCACTCAGATCCCGCACCAGAGGCAGAACATATGCCAACGTCTTGCCCGAACCCGTCGCTGCCGAGATCACCAGGTCGCCACGCCGCTGCTGGCCGGCCGACGGTGGCAGCAGCATCGGGATCACCGCTGTCTGCACCGCAAAGGCGTCGGTCCAGCCACGCTCTGCCAGCACGCGCTGCACCTGCTCGTCGTCGATGCCCAGCTGCCCAAATGATGCCCGCGTGTCGGCCGACACCCGCACCGGCTCGGCTAGCCACCGTGGCTGCGTGTCGTACGTCGGCCGCGTCGTTCCCGCTGCCACCGGCTCCGGCTGCGGCAGCGGCTCTAGGCCGTGCAGCTCCTGCGGCTGTGACGACACCTCTGCCTCACCTTCTGCTGCTGCTGCTGTGACCGCTTCTTCGCTCCCCTCGGCTGCCCGCTTCTTCGCCCGCTTCAGCGACTTTTCCTTCTTCTCCAGCAGCGCCTTGAATCGCACTGGCATCTCCTTCTCGTCTGGCAACTCGGCCTCCTCTTTCGCTGTCACTGCAGACTCCTCATTATCTTCTGCTGCTGCTGCTTCCTGCTTCTTCTTCTTCTTCTTCTCCTTCACCTCGTCCTTTGGCCCTGCTTCCTCGAGCTTCTTCTGTTCTTCGGCCTCGGCTGGTTCGCTGGTCTCGTCCTCTGCATTCGCCCCCTTGGACTTGCGCTTCCGCTTTCGCTTCTTCTCCTTCTCTGCCGGTGCTGGTGATGCCATCACTGTGTCCTCGTCCGCAGCTTTTGGCAAGTCCTCTGTCGTCTCCTCTTCACCGTCCTTCTCCTTCCCGGCTTTCTTGTTCCGACGTTTCCGTTTCTTTGCCGTCTTGTCTTCATCGTCTGCCGTAGTCTGTTCCACCTCTTCTCTCGCCTCCTTCTTCAGCCGCTTTGCCGATCGCTCTGCTGTAGTGTCTTGTGCACTGCTGATCACTGCAGCCTGAAAGGGAGAAGCCACAACATCGTCGTCGTCATCAAACACAATCTTTCTCTTCTGTGGCGGCGGTGGCGGCGGCGGCTGCACCACTGCTGGGGGAGCATGGCGCGCATTGCTGTGGAGAGCCCTGGCGAAAGATGCCGCTGGTGTGGCTGCCGGTGTAACTGCCGGTGCAGCCACCGGCGCTGTCTTCTTGGGCGGTATGTACCGGGCATACATCTTGCTGCCGTTGAATTGCGTCTGTAGACGGAGGTATTAGTTGCAAATACATTCGATCTAGCAGAAAAAAATAGAGAAAGACTGGTTCTGCCGTTATTCTGCCCAGACACACCGCCTATTTTTTCAACTTCTTATCGATACGAGTGACGACGAACGACAAGACAACCACAACCAACTACGGACATTATATATCTACAAGATGCCATGGCTTTCTGTTTCTCTATAGGATCGTTTGTTGCCTTTCTAATACGGGTTTTCCGCGAAGTTCCTGCCCCCAATGGTCGTCGGACCAATGTTCCAAGTCCTGCTTCATCCAAATCCCACGCCCTAACCCATCACTGTCTCCCAGCCGTTCTCAATCATGACGTCCATCCAGTACACGTCTGCCTCACTCTCGGCCGCTGCCCGACACCTACCCACGCCCTGTCCGGCCACGGCCAGTGACCGGAGCGTGGCCTGCCGATCCATCTGCGCCCACGTCTCCTGCACAATGTTGACACACATCGTCATCGGTTTCGGTGGCAGCAGGTGCAAAAACAGCTGCAGTCGGCTGTGGATGAAGCTGCGTGCTCGGGCCACCTCGACCGCCTCCTTATTGAGGCCCAACAGCGACGCCCGACCGCTGTGTCCACCATTCTCGCCACCCGCATTCCGCAACTCGCTCGACAGCGCCACCAACAAGAACGGCTGGAACACCCGCGTGCCCGATTCCACCGGCAGCGTCCGCAGCATGTCCATCGTGCGCAGCGTGTATGTCGTCAGCCAGCGCCGGCACAGCGCCGGCGTGATGGCTGTGCCCGCCTCCAGCCCAAAGTTGTAGTAGCTGCCGCTGCCGGCGCTCCGCTCACGCCCCAAACGCGCGCTCAGCAGGTCCGGGAACACGTGATACAGCTGGATCAGCCCCATGTGCCTTATGAGTTCTGCCAGCGTCAGCAGATGCCACACCGGCGTGTTGCCGTCCTCCGTGTCCTTGACCGCGTGCTCTGCCGGGTGTGAGATCCCTAGAAGGTGCGCCTCCAGCTCCCGCGCCATCTGCATGTCCTGCTGCAGCTGGCTGATGTGTGCCACCGATGCGAACCGGTGTGCAAAGTCAAACTTGCGCTGCCGTCGCAGCAGCCGCCCGACCTTTTGTACCGTCCGCTGCGTCTCACCTGCAAAGCCCGTCCACGGGTGCGGTGTCGGTGGTGGCCGTGGTCGCGGCAGTGGCAGTGGCTCCTGCCCGCCCTCGTCTTTGTCCTGTTCGCGTTGCTGTTGCCGCTGTCGCTGTCGCTGTTGCTCTCGCTGTCGCTGGCCCCTCTCTCCAGCCCAGCTGTTTCGCTCTCGCTGCCGGCTGATCGAACTGGTGCCGAAGATCCGGTCGGCCAGCAGGTGGGAGTCAGGTGTCCCCGGAAGCGTCTCGTCCTCGGTCAAAAAGGCCAGCTGCATCTCCCAGTACTGCATCGACTCGTAGAAGAAACGATAGTTCCTGCAGCTGTCCCCTTCGCGAAATACCGATGCCGGTGCCATGGCGAGCCGCTCGGCGATCTGCTGGAAGAAAGGCAGGCCGAGGTCCTTGCTGTCGTGCCAGCTAGCTGTGCCGCCCAGCATCAGCACCGCCAGCATCGTGTTCGTGTCCCACGTCTTGGTCTTGGCCAGGATCCGCGTCGCCTTCTGCCTCAGTTGACGTCCTACTGGCGCAAGCTGTGGGAAGTCACGCAGGAGACAACCGGCCGCCATGCTCTGCGCCGTGCAGTTGATAATCTCCGACGACGACCATAGGTGCACCACTGTTGTGCGGAACGGGTTCATCCGTCCGTCGTAGCAAGAGTAGATCTTGGCTGTCTCCTTGAAATAGAACTCCACCAGCACCGTGCCGATGTCGTTGATCGACAGCGCCAGCGGCGATGGCGACCGCGCCACCTGATACGAGACCGAAGAGCTCGATCGCCGCGATGGCAGCGTGTATGGTGACAGAGGCTCGTCGTACCCTCCTGCTGCCGGAATGCTCCTGGAAAAGTCCGCGCCCGAATCGTCGTCGTCCACCAGTACGCTGTCGTCCAGCTGTGCGGCTGCCACCATCCCGCTTGGTTGCAGATCAACGCCCGGCGATTCGACAACTTGCGGCGCTATTTTTGGTGACCAGCCGCGCCACAAGTCGTCGATGGTGACATCGCTCAGCGACGAGAAGAGCGTGGCCATCGGCTGATGCTGGATCGACGGCCCGGACAGTCCGGTCACCGTGGACAGCGGCTCGGCATATGATGCTGGTGCGGCCGGCGTTGCTGCTGCTGCTGTCGTGTCGGCGAGAGACAACATGCCGCCCAGAAACATGCCCGTGCCCTGCGACTTGCGCTCCGCTAAAAAGGCACTGTCCAGTCCCATGTAGAAGTCGGGTACATCTGACGCAATGGCCGGGTCCATCTGGTCAAACATGTCGAGATAGGCAGGGTCCCACCTGTGGCCGTCGTTCTGCCCAGCGCTGTCCGACGGTTGAGCTGTAATGGGCAGCGAGATATGGCCGGTCACAGCGTCTCCACCGAGTGCTGGGAGCTCGTTGGTGTCGGACGAGGACGTCAGAGAGGCCGGCGACGTCTCTAGCATGTCATTCGGCGGCGACGACGACCGCGACCGCTGCTGTGGCCGCTGCTGTGATAGTACCGAGAGGTCTGAACGTGCCGAGAGGGCGGATGGAGATGGTGCGGGAACTGGGACTGAAATTGGAACTTGGGATGCGACTGGCTGAGGCCCCGGCGTGACCGGGATAATCTGCAGCAGCTGCTCGGTCGACGGCCTAAACGCGGCAGCAGTCACCTTGGCAGCGTGGGGTGGGCCTGGCTTGGTGACGGCGGCTGGATTGGCCACGCTGTGCAGCACCTCGTGCTTGTCGGACCACCGCAGCTTCTGCTCATAGCCGGGGCATTTGGTGCCCACCCGTACGCAGCGGTTACACTCTGGGTGGCGCTCATCACATCGAACCTGGGAAAGCGTCAGAAGGAAAAAGGAAAAGTACACCAGAAAAGAAAAAGAAAGAACTCACCCGCTGCTGCTTGCACCGTGCACAACCGTTGCGCGAGTACCCATGGTATGCGCGGGCCCGCACGGTGCCATCAGCCCTGGTTCTAGCCAACAGCGTTTGCTTGATCCTCGTCTCGGCCATGCTGGCCTAGCTCGAGAGGCTTGCACGGTCAAGACAGACGTCTGCACTCAAGGTGCAAAACGGATGACGTGCGAAGCGGGGCACCGGGAGAAGGGGGCCCCGGTATGATGAGAAGGGAAATATAACCCGACGAGACGGGCTCGAGACGAGACAGAGCGAAATACGTGGTGGGCAGGAGGGGAAAAGAAAAAGAATAAAAGAAAAAGACGCAAGCCTGGCGCCGAATGCGACAAGACGCTTGGCTTGCGGGTGCCGGAGAGGAGAGAGACGGGGGCGCTCTGCAGTGATGTTCTTCTCGCGTAGTGTTGCCAAAACACGCCTGAACAAACGGTCTTCTGTCGACGGCGAGAGAGAGAGAGGTAAGGGATGCTTCTCCGGTCGAGATATCGACAGCGAGGAAGTAGGAGGGGCCAAAGTGGATCCACGTGACGATAACGATGGCCAGAGCCTCCAAGAAACGGGCGAGAAAGCCCCGATGTGGGCACCGAGACGAATGTTCTTTCCTAATGAGGCAAAAAAGATCGATTCCTCCGTACAAACAGTGGGTCGCTACTCCCTGTAAGATACGCTGCCGGTGCGCTGTGATTCGTCCACAGAAGACCCAGGACGTTCTGCAACGACATCGGGATGTATCTTGTCTTCACGCTCCATATATCTGACACGGACAACTCTAACTCTGTCAAGGTTGAGGCACAAGTGACTCTAATAACAACAGGGCAGGCCATCATCCCTGTAGCCGTCTGCTAATACAGACCGTCCATCTGTATCGCCCGGCCAGCCTAAACATATTACATAGAAAGGGTGATCGCAGAAACGATATGTCAATAAGAGCAATGCTTGCTGCGTGGCACATGCCCCAATGGCGGCCACGGAAATTCATACCAGGCAAAAATCGGTCAGCTCATTCAGCCCGACCGTTTCCCTAGCTAGCCCACCTTGATAGCCACCCCTATAGGCCTTGTGCGAGACGCCGTCTCTTCGTACCCGAGCTGTCGCCACCATCGGCCGCAGACCCTTCAGCTTCATCTTCTGCGCCGTCCTGGGGGCCGTGGGCTTCGTCGTCCTCCGTCGCGTCTGCACCATCTCCATCGTCCACGTCCGGTTCTGCATCCGCATCCCCGTTCCTCTCGACGTCTGCACCCACCTCCAGTCGTCTTCCCCCACCTCCTCCATCCACGGACAGACCGAGCCCCCTAGCACTAGGCGGCGGCTGCGGCACGCCACGCTGCCTCTCGGCCGAGCGCATCTCGCTAAGAAGCTTCTCCACCTCAATGTACATCCCACGAGTGTCGTTCACCACGCCGTCTTCGTCCACCTTGTAACGCGCGCTGTTGCCACTGACGTCGGTCGTCCCCGTCTCCTCTTCCGTCGCCTCGCTCTCCATAAAAGTCGGGCCGGGCCCGCGGTGTGAATCTGGGTTGTACATGATCGCGTTGGCAAACATGTGCACTAGCTCGCACTCTAACTGGCTGCTGTTGATGATGCCGCGCGGGGGCACCAGCTCCTCGCTAATCGGCAGCCACAAGCTGCTACTGCTAGACTGCTCCGACTCTGGCAGCGCTGCAGCCGCCGCTGTGGCCGCCTTGTTTCCCTGCATGATCGCCATTCGCACCATTTTCAGGTCCACCGGGTGCCGCACGATGCTGTCGTAGCCCGGCGCGTCCCGGTCTCGGATCTTGTGCGCGAACATGTTAGCATTGCGGTGGCTGCTGATCTGATCCAACGCCGAGGCGCTGATCTTGGGAAAGCCTCTCATCCACAGCACGTGCGTAGGAGGTACCGCCGGGCCTAGTAGTCGTCGCCGCATCAGCGACGACAGCGTCGACTTGTCGGGCGACGCGAAGTCCACCGAGTCTTCGCGCTTTCTCTTGAGCGGCCTCGTTGAGAGTCCACTGGGCGATGCTGTCGAAGACTCATTCGCCGCACCGCCCTCCTCCGCCGTCGTCTCGCCAATGTCGTCAAATGCCCTAGGTGTAGAGGCCTCGTGCTTGATGTTGGGATGTGTCGTGTGCCCACTTTCGGCCACTGGATCTACCGGCGGTTTGGGATTCCGCGGTGGCCGACCACGGGGCCGACTCCCTGTTGTTTGTGGCCTCTTTGGCTGTCGATGGTGTCGTTGTGTCGACTCAGCTCCCATCGATCGGCTGCTTGAACCCATCACTGGGCTTAGCGGCTCATACGCCGGACTAGCTATGCCGCCTACATCTGGTCCAGGCGTAGACGGTGTAGGCTCGTTTGACTTCCACCGCGTGCCGCTTCCGCGAGGAAGGAAGCCTGCCAACGACACGTGTCCCGGCGTGTGGGGCAAACGGGGGCGTGATGGTTGTGACTGTGACGGTGTCGGCGTCACCGAGCTGCCAGGCGTCTGCACATGCTGGGGCAGTAATGATCGGTTGGTATGTGGAGCAGGTATTCCTTTGGTCAAAGTTGAGGGAGCTGGAGAGGTTGTGGCGGGTGGGGCAGACTCTTGGAGCACACCAGATACATGAGAACCTTGGCGCTGTGCATGTGCATGTCGGTCTGGCTGAGGCTGGATCAAGATGTGTGATGGCTTCACAGGGGGTAGAACATAGCGCGGGGCTTCTGTCCGCACTTCTGCTAATATCTGTGGTGTCGCTGTTTGTGTTGGCGGCTGCAGAGCAGCATGTGGCACGGGTAGGGGAGCAGGAGCAGAAGCCGGAACAGGTTTCGGAAATCCAGAGCCAGCCCGAGGAGTAGGCGTAGATGGCTGTGTTGGACCTTGCGCCGCAGCTGGGGGTGGCAGTTTGACCTGGCCGGTCGATTGTGATGGCTGTTGAGCCGGCTGTTGGGGTGGAAGCGGTTTCTGTGGTGCGGTAAGGGCCTGTGCCGACTGTATCGGGATCGGTGCCTTCTCTGCCGTTCCTGGTTGTACGTCCGGTGGTGTTTGGCTGCGTGGTTTGCTAACCGGGCCAGGTGCGATAGAAGCAACAAGTCCTGCTGGTGAAGGTGTAGCAGTTCCTTGAGGCTGTAAAGGTGCGGGCGGATGTTTGGAAGAAGGCCTTGGCTGTGGAGTTTGAGGGATGTGAACAACAGGTCCCGACCCTGGTGTAGGTGTGGTTGTTTGATGGGGTTGAGGTGGTGATGGTCGAGTCTGGGATATCTCTGTTGGAAGGGGAACACTCTCCGTTATGGTATGTGGTGCAGCTAGTGGAAAGGTCTCTAAAGGCGGAGGTTTCTGGGCGTCTGGTGTAGTAGTCGATGAAGGAGCACTTTGTGGTTTTGCAGGCGGAGTGGGCTGCTGTTGCTGAGTTCCTGCAGCTGGCAGGATTGTCGCGGCGGGCGTTGCGGCGGGTGGTGGCTTCGGTACGTCATCGTTCTGTGCTTTGCCATCTGCCAGTCGAGGTGCTGTTGCTAGCGGAGCGGCCGAAGTCGTCCCGTTGGTGCCAGTCGGACTCTTCACAGCATTTGCGGAGACCACTTTCGCTTGTCTTTCCCGTCCTTCTTTCTCTTTCTCCTTCTCTTCTTCTGTTTCGAGATCCCGGATATCGGCCTGTAGCTTCCCGATCTTGCGTTCATCGTCGTGGATCGAATCGCAAAGGCTGCTTCGGTAGTGATTGTACAGACGAAATCCTAGCACAGGCAGGATTTCAAAATGGTGGTACAAATCGGTCAGTGCTAAGAGGGTTGGACTGGGCAGCTTGCGCTTCTTGGAGTTTGGAGAGAGGTTCCCGGCGCCGGAATTCGCTGCAGATCCGGAAGCCGGCGAAGTGCCCCCATTGCTCCGGTATTGATCCTCGACTTTCAGCTCTTCCCGCAACAAATGCAGGAAGAACTGCTGAAGCGACTCGGAGCTCAATCGGTCGGCATTATAGCTTTTGTCGCTGCGAATGTAGCTATTGTTTCGGAGGGTGGCCGAGATCTGGACAAAAGCTTCGGAATCAATGCCACGCTGGCAGACGGACTGGTAGAGCAGCAGACACTCGAGAGGCGTAAAGGAGAAGGCAGCGGTATTCATGCCCCGGATCACACCTCGTCGGAAGTCGAGGGGCGCAGCTTCGCGACTCTGTAAAAGGTGAAGGGGCGCCACGATCTAAATGCATCGCAAGTCCTCTGTTAGCATTGATAATGGAGCATGAAAATTAACAGAGCTGGTGGTAGAGGGCCGATGGGGGTGGCTGAATCGGCAAGAAAGGCCGGATGAAGTTGGCCAACGCGGCTAAAATGCATATCGAAGAGCGCGAACAACGCAGATCAGGGAAGGGGGACACGCGTACCAAGGGTCCTGACGCGCAGCGCACGGGTTGGCGGGCTGGCGGTCGATGGGTTTCGGATGGCGGTATCGATAACGATGATGAAATTTTTGCTGCGCGTCTGCTGCTGTCGATTCCGAATGGGCGTGCTCGTATGGCCATCAAATGAGGCAAAAGATGGGAGAAAAATCTGCGGTGTTGTCTCGAAAGTCACGTGATTGTACGGGATCGAGAGTACGGGAAAGAAGGATGAAAGAGCACTGAATCAGGCTGGTGACCCAGAAAGTTTAGTTCACTACTCTTGTTACCTAATTTCGCGCCACTTCCTTTTTCGGCAGCCCGCTGGGTGGCCTTGCTAACGATACAGAAACCACGAACACGCAGAGAGATGGCTTACGAACTGCCCGCCTAAACCGCAGTAAACAGTCGAAGGAAGATGATTAAAGGCAAAGTTCTCATGACACATTCGCTTCTCGCAGGTTACGTGCGAACGGGTGACTGCGACACTAAGGCAGACAAAACTAGGTCAGCCTCAGCCGTGATGGCCAGATGGGGAGACGTGCAATAGTAAGGGAAACGAAAAAGGTAGCCCCGATTATCCCGTAATCGTATTCCGGATGCAGGCAAACATTTTAGGCATGGCTCCGTGGTTTTAAATTTTGCTACGTACTCTGTAAAATAGCATGCAAAGCAACGGGTTATGTGGTTGTAACATGGCGCGTCGCAATAATGAGAAATATTGGCGCAAAAGTCTCACACAGATCTTGCTTTTTGGTTCAAAGGCTATTGCTGATATGCGATCCTGCACGGACCGCATGCAGAGGTGGAATGGCAAGCTCTTTGAGTATCTTGCATAATACTCCGTACGGGTAGAATCGACACTTATAGCAAAAAGGGGCCGTGTTTCAATCAGAAGCAAGAATCATAGATCGTGGTACGGTTAGTGCTATCGCCATGCCGGCCTGCCTTGGTGATGTCGTGTTTGCAACCTTATCATCCAGGGAGAACTACGTCGTATGTACTCCGACGAGAAGATCTTTTCCGCAGTTGTACGACGTAAGGGCCAAGCAGCTGCATCGCAATTGGCCTACGGCTACGAGCATGTGTACGGAGTGCGTGACAAGGCATCGGCTGCGATTACCCTGCTTCCATACGGCTGATGCAAGCGGGGAAAAGGCGTCATAGGGCGACAAGACTCGCAGGATCAGGATGGTGCATGTGAATAAGAACATGTCATGCAAATCGGCACAAAGGACGGTACGTCGTGAAATACTACTAGTTATGTAGAGAAAGGGCAGTCTAGAAAGGACACAAGAAAAGGAGAACCCTGCTTAATTGAGCCAAGCCCGTTTAATGCGCTCAGGCAGGGGGGAGGGTCTTGTATCTACGAGGGAAATTGTACTAATAATCAATAGGATTACAGAATGCAATGGGCGTCCATTGGCGGCGATCTGTACCAGCGCAAGGGGAAGGGGAAGTGGACACTGAAAAGGGGAAATGCTCGACGAGCCAAAGCCAGAAAAAAAGGTAAAATTGGCCCTACATAAAAATCGGTAGATAAAATAAATAAAACCGTAAAATCGCGAAACCGCAACACAGTGAAACAGAGTGGTGCAGTGACTTCTGCATAGCGGCTCTCGTGCTCCTTCTGGACTGCTGGCTCGTTGCCCGAGATACATCTATCTGGAACATCCCGCGTATTTCTGCATTATCGGTTTCCTAGTGGCCTTGTTGGTTGCTCACCTCTCTTCACCTCCGGCCTCGTATCTTAGACACACCTCCATCTCCCATCTCACTGCCTCGACAAAGCTCTACAGCGCTATTGCGGGTGTGAGTGGTCCATTTAGCGGGGACCATCATACTTAGCAACAGGCAGTGGGGTCTTCTCCTTGGCTACTGCTGCTGCTGCAATTCTACGGCTTCTCCTTTCTCTCAGTGCCCGCATCGACGCTCGTCTACATAGTAAGATACGAAAACGGCATACACCTGTCTTGGCCTCGCCCGGCTTCGCATCCGAATTTTCTTCTGCAGTTTATGTCGTCCGTTTCTGGCGACAATCCACCAACAGAAAAGGCTCTGCGCCCGCTCTCGTCCCCGCCCTCAGCCTTCTTTCCGCCTTCCGCCTCGTTGCCTCTCGAAAGACACAACATGACTCTCTCCGACGAAGAGCTTGATCGTGACTGGAAGCCCAGTGGGCGCCGGCCCCAGTCGTATGCAGTTCCCTCCGGTTTCCCCATATACTGTCCTCTTCTCCCTGGGGACATGTAAACCCCGAACGATGCTGATGATGGCCTCTCTTCTAGAACCATTGCGCGCTCCTTCTCCCTGGAGCTGATGGACATATTTCGTATTGAAAACAGTGTTGCCGACTTAGACGAGCAGGTAGACAAGCGGTGAGCAATCCTTCCCCCCAGGGTCCTCCCCCCCCCCCCCCTTTTACTTTTTATTTCTATATAATGCCTCTCTTAGCCGGGAGGCTGCTTCCGGACGAAAACCTGGAAGTTTCATAAGCGAAAGCTAGAACCGTTTGCTAAATATGGACTTCTCTTTCCGCCTCCCTCGCAGGAAACAGATAGTTACTACCAAGGCGAGCGAGCTCGAGGCCATTGAGAACCGCCTCCGTGAGATGGAGACAAGGCTGAATGGTGGAAATCCGGTGGCAACAAGTAAATCGTCTGCCGCCGAAGTCGCCGCAGCTATATCCGCCGCCCATGCCGCGGCCAGAGACGTACAGGCCCAGGCCCAGGCCCAGGCCCAGGCCCGGGCGCTCGAGCATCGCCCACGCGGCCATCAGCAGCAGCAAGAGGCTCAGAAGCACAGTGGAAGCCGACCAGGAACAGCACGGACAAGCCAACAGGCAGCGCCGGGGGCCCTGCCGCCAACGCCCGTGGGCAGCGAGGGTGAGTAAACGAAACAGGCGTTTGGGGGTGGAAGAAGGCTGCGAAAGTGGGAGAAGTGGAGAGGAGGTGCCACCCCGTCTGGCAAAAAAGGCGCGCAAGAACGAGAACATCTGATCTGACGGTTCTCTCTGTCCCCTTTGACTAGACGGTGACAGCGAACACGATGCCTAAGCGAAAGAGACCCGGAAAATCCCGAATTCAACCCTTTTACCATCAGCCCAACGTACCTATCATCGTACTCGCCGGCTACCTCCCTCTTCAGATCGTCGGCCTCTAGATAATACAGCATCAGCAGATCCGTCGGAGCGAGGACACGGCTCGCGCGTTGTGTCTCTGTCGAGGCATATCTACCGCAAAGCGTAGAGTCTCAACCGCCTGTCTGTGCTCTTCATCAGCGCCTCGGGCTCATCCATTTTTTGTTTTCCCATTGCGGTTGGAGGTGTCACGTTTTATCTGGTTAGCATCTGGGGGCGAGAAGGTCGGAGAGAGGATGCGTCCAACTAGCTTGAGCGACTTTGCTGCGAATACCAAGCTGGGATCAGCTCTGACATTATGCATTGCAAGCATCTGCCTTTTTTATCTTTTCTAATGGATTTTGTAGTTAGTTGTTTTCTGTTCTCGTCCCTTGGCAGGTAATGACATAGCATTGATATTTTTAGCTTTCGATCTAGATCAAACATCTAATATGCTGTTTTGTGGTATGATTATCTCGCGCATTCTATTTAGCTCTCAGACTCTGATTTTGTGTGGCAAATCGTGCAAGTCTGCGAGATGCCGGAACCTCCCATGATCGGCACGGCCCGGGTATCCCTCTCATGGCCCCTCCATTAATGGCCTTTCATATACCCCAGAGCGAAAGAAAGCTCTAGTGCTTGAATAACACCCCTGGCCTCCATCTTCTCTCCCCGCTGTCATCTTGCCTCCCCTAGGCAAGCAGGGTTTTCGTAGCCAGCCCAACTCTAGACCCGCTCACATCAAAAACGACATAGAGGGCTTTGAGGAAGGCATCGCCCAGGATCCCAAACGTCTCCATACTATCCTGGATTCCGCCGTAACACTCTGTCGTGCTGACATTCTCAAAGTTGAAGTAGTGTCCCGGAATGGACGCGTTCCATCCACTGCTAAAACCAAAATCAAAGCTGGGCAGTGTCGCGTTGCACGGAAACACCCATCCAAAGAATGAGTCACTCTGGTACGCGCCCGGCACAAGCGACCAGTACAGAGCCGTCACATCTGACGGCAGCAGCAGCAACGACGTCCCGGTGTCCGCCACCATCGGCCAGTTGTGCAGACGCCACACCTTGTCGCCACCAAAGTGAACCGACTGCACATAGAACTCCCAGAATGTTGACCGCTGCAGTACGTCGTTCCAGGCTATTGTGCCGGTGTAAGCGCTCTCGTTGATGTAGCCAAAATGGTACGAGCCAGGCGCCTTGTAGCGGAGGTCGGCCGCGAACACGTAGCGGTCCAAGACAGGCGGAGCAAGCGCCTGTAGCAAGGTCGGCTGGTGCGGGTACGTGGTGCTAGAGTGATTCAGAGAGAGCCCGAGGATACCGGACATGACAGCGTCTGTGGTCAGGCTGCGGGATACCGCCGTGGCCGACTCGACGGTAGCGTTAAGCAGCGTGATGTTACCCAACGAAACGGTGTCACGGTAGACGGCGCCCCCGGCGTAGCTCCCGTCGCCGTAAGTGATGGCCCATGTCACATTTTCCACCGGAATGGCCGTGTGAGACTTCTCTGGGTGATATATTTGCTGGCCATCAAGGTAAAAAGAGGGCGTGTCGGAGCTGAAGAGCCACAGGTCGGCCGAGCCGGTGTCGAGGTCCAGCCAGCACAGCTGCCCTGGAGTTCCTAGATACACGGGGCTTAGGTACTCACGATCGTAGCTCTGGTTGATGGCAGCCACAGAGCCGGCCGGAAGCTGGAACTTGGACTGCATTTGCTCTGCGAAGCTCTTGCCATACTTGGCATATGCTTTCGCGTACTCGATCGGTCCGCTGTTTTTGTACGCATTGTTGCGCACGAGGTCCACTGAGAATGTACCGCCGCTGCTGAAATCATTGCGGCGGTCAAACGTCCTCTTCAGCGGATGAGGCAGGGAGCTGTCCCTGAAAGCTGCTGGCTTAGCCAAGGCGCCCATCACAAGGACAGCCGAGGTGATTATAGCTTGAAGCATCATGATGGCGATGGTCTCATGCAGATGGTGATATGATTCTGTCGAGATTCCACAAACGATTATATGGTGGTAAACGAGGTGGTGAACGAGAAAGTTTGCTGAAAATAATGTCAATGAGAAAGTAATAGTTCTTTTGGCCTTGTGAAAAATAGTGGAAGATGGAGTCAGAAGAAGTAAAATGAAAACAGCGAGTGGACAGTATCAGACAACTATTCGTTGAAATTCTCGAGAATATGCGAGTTTGTGGCACGTCACCAGCAGTATTGAAGGTTCGCCTCATTTACTGTGGTATTATATGTCAAACGAAACGATATTAATGAGCCGAGAGGCAGGAGAAGTGTGACATAGAGAAGTACAGCCAAGTATGCGAGAAATATAAGCTCGAGGCCGGTAGCGGAGTTTGATATAGTATGGCAACGGAAAGAGGTTGCCTGTGTAGCTCCTTCCTTAAGCTGAAATTACATATTGTCTTAGGTAATCGTACGCTCCGACGACATCAAAACAGAGCAGACGAATCTGAAGACGCATTGAGAATAGGAGCAGTCTTCAATGGCCTTCAGAAGCCATGTTGATACTTTGTGAGTTGCATCTGAGCACAGCTTCACTTCAGTTTGTGTTCAGGGTGAGGACACCTACTGTCATGACTAAAGGCTAGACTCTGCGTGGTCTTCCATATCCCATGCCCTAGATGCCAAGACGCAAACAAGAGACGTTCCTGCATAGCAGATCGTTGGCGGTGCAGTTTTTTGGTGGTTTGTTTGAGATTCTCGTGGTACGACGTCGGAACAGTCGTTTGGGCTACAAACACGAACATCTCCAGTACACTGCTATAGCTCACACGAGTGGCTTGAAGACAAAGAAGGCAACGGGATGACAAGAACGCGCAAGACTGCACGTATCCGGTCTGTGCTCGTTTGGCTGGCTTGTGTCCGATTCAAAGGGACATCGGGACCGCTAGTAGAGGAGTTTCATCTTGGGGCCTATGTATCCTCCATCGATAGGTAATATTTCGGCTGCCGACTAGGGATATTGAAGGTGTTTACTGGAAAGTGGCTCGTTTATCAGCGACATTATGATTTTTCCTACTAAGCCTTGGGTACGCCTTACACGCTTGCTTCCGCTCGAGACAGTACGGGAAGACGTGCGAGATTATGCCCGTCTCGGGTCACCAGCTGCAGCACGTACATCCGTGACACACAATTCGAGTTTAAAAAGGGGCAGCAGAAAACCGGTGCATATGTACTACCTCTCTACCGAAGTTTCCGTTGCATCGGTCTCCTCGAACTCCGTGCACTTTTTTGGTTCTGAAACCCGATCGTCGCAAAGAACGCAAACACATGATACAGATACCCGCTAGCTATGTGTACTGTTTTATCTAACCTCAAAGCTCCTCGTGCTTTACTGTGTCACTCTGCTCCTTGCCACTCGCCTCCGTGGGTATCGGCTCGGCCGAAGTAGCAGACGATGCTGTCTCACTCGTAGCCGACTTAGTTTTGGTAGACTTGGACGTCTTTGTCTTGCTTGACGACTTGCTCTTGCTCTTGCTCGTGCTCGACTTGGCCTTCTTCTTCGTGCTCTCCATCTTGCGCACAGCCTTCATGGCCAGATCCATGCTGACCTTGTCGACGCGGTCTCGCTTTGCCTTGAGCTCCTCGATCGTAAGCACTGGGTTCTCCTTCGGGCCAAGTTTCGCTTGTGCCTCTTCCTTCTCGGCAAGCCAGACGGAAACCGACAGGTAGAGTTCTTCAGACTCGGCGAGATCTTCGAGCGTGTACACGGGCGGCACGGGACCGTCGTCTTCGACAAGACCGTCTTTCGCACCGGCATTGGATGCTGCCGTCGTTGTCGCCTCGTCGTCTTCGAGTCCAGCAAAGTCGTCCACAGAAGCCGCAGCAGTTGGTGCATCTTCGGTGGAGGAGGATGATGTCGTGCTTGACGACACCGTCTTTGAGGCTTGGTAGCTTTCATACTCCTCAATGCGATCCCGGATACTTTTCCCAAAGAACTTGATCTGCTCCAGGGCTTCCTTCAAGCCTGTGACAAGCGCCGGCCGCTTTTCGTGCTCCGTGATTCTGGACTCAACGGGGTCGACCAGCTCTTTCAATGCAGTGTGCTTCGCCTTCAGCTCCTCATGGGAGGCATCGGCACCTTCTCCGTAGAGCCAGTCGCTCGCCTCGAGGCCGCTCTGCTCTAAAAGGACCCGCTCGACTTCAGTTGACACCTCAATAAAATCCTCATTCTCAAGAAGACTACGCACGCGGTACGTGAAAGCCTCGAGATGGTTGAGAGCCTCTTCTCTCTGCTGACGTGCGCGATCAGAGGCCTCAAAGGCTGCTAGTCGGTCCTTAAGCTTCAAGTTATCGGCTCTCGAAAGCTGGGGAATGCCTGCCTTCACTACCTCGTAACTGACCGGCACGGAGATCGTGACCTTTTTGGTATGAGTAGATGATGACGCAGTGGCAGAAGTAGACGCGCTGGCTGACGAGCTCTTAGTCCCGTTCGATGCCGTAGAAGACGTTGTTTTTCTGGTTGTAGACTCTGACGAGGCAGATTCGGAGGCAGACTCATCGCTTCCCTCAGCGTCCTTCAGAGGCTGTTGGTCTTTGTTTTTCCCGAAGCCGAACAGGTTCTTGACACCGTCCATAATGCTTTCCTTTTCTTCCTCGGTCTCACACTCAACAGCAAACTTGGTGAACTCCACCTCGCCATTCTCACTGCTCAGCCGCATGCCGACCTTGAGCTCGACTGCACTAGGTTCGCAAGAGTACTTCTCCCCCATCAGGGCAACGGTTTCTGTCAGGTTCTTGGTAGTGACCACCTTGGTGGGAGCTTGGACGATCTGTCCGGCGGCATCAGGAACAAGCTGGTAAAACTCGACGGCAAAATCGTCCTTGTTGTGGAAGGTGATCTCTTTTGGTGCCGTGCCTAGTTGGGACGTCGGCGTCCAGAGCTGCTGATGCTGGACCTTTTGGGTCTTCTCGTTTGTCCACTTCATGCCGGAGCTATAGGCAGCACCATCCGCAACCCGAATCTCCTTAACACGGAAGCTGGGACTAATTTCAGCAGCGCGAAAACCGGCACCAAAGACGGCGGCCTCATCAGAGTTGACGTTGTTTCGCAGTTTGTCAGAGCTTCCGAATATTTGCTCAAGCTGCTTCTGAACAAAGGGAGTCCGAGTGGCACCGCCGTGAAGGATGATCGAGTCGAGATCGGCAGCTTTGAGGTTGGCTGCGTCTAGAGCCTGCTGCACAGCTGCTGCGACACGCTCTGCATGGGACTCGGTCATTTTTTCAAAGTCCACCCGGCTGATCTTGTAGCGGAAATCGACATCTTCGAATAGGCCTTCAAAGCTAGCAGCCGTGTTCAGGTTGGCGCTGAGGACGTGGCGGATCCGCTCAGCCTCCTTCGAGAGCTTTGCGATCGCCCGCCCATGGGACTTGATGCTTTCGGCAGCAACGGACGCAGCTTTGGCACCAGACGTCTCAATGAACTGGGCAACCATGTGGTCGATAATCAGTGCGTTAAGCGTGTCACCACCAAGAGTTCGGTCCCAACCACTTCCCAGCACCTGAACTTCCTGGATAGTCTTGTTGAACTTGCCGACGTCTTTGACCTTGCGGCTCTGGAACTTGAGGATCGTTGCTTTTGTGCTCCCAGCGCCCATGTCAAACACCATGTTGATCTCGGGCTTGCCTCCATCGTTGATGTTGGGAAACTGTCGGCTGGTTGCGTAGTTCAGACCGACTGCGAGACCGTCGCTGATCAGAGACAGCACACGGAGGCCCGCGAGATCAGCGGCGAGCTCAACGGCACGCTTCTCCTCCACAGTGTAAAATGGCGGCACCGTGATCACGATGGAGCGCACAGTTGAGCCCGGCCCGGCGACAGCTTCGGCACTCCGGCGAACGCTCTGCAGCTCCATGGCCAGGAGTTCCTCGACAAGCCACGCATCCTGGTCAGCGGTAAAAGCACCACTGCTCTTAAACGCACTTGTCTTTCGGATCTCGTGGGCTTCAAGCTTCAGTGCCGGATGCCGTGCTGCGTATTCCTGGACAATGGGACTCCCATCAACAGGCAGACCAAGAAGCGTCTTCAGGTTCGGGTAGACGTCGCCGGGAAAGCGGGCGGCAAGGGCCATGGCGTCGGAGCCATAGAGCCGTTCGGGGAACGAGCCCTCCTTGGGACCGCCTCGAGGAGGTTTGAAGGTGACGGCAGATGTTTCCTTTCGTCGAGAGTCTTTGGTCAAGACGATGTCGAGAGGAATGCCAGGCTTAACTAAAGCGGCTTTGATGTATTCGGTGCCGAGATCGACGCCTAAAACAGCAGCTGCAGAGAAAGCCTGTCCACAGAACAGGACAACGCTGCATAAGAGCAGCAACAGAGGAGAGGATTTCCTCCCCGCCATCGTCAACAGGTCAGAGATTTGTCGCGGGGTGCCAATTTTTGTGTGAAGAATGTCGATACGACACTATGGGAAGAGGTGGAAAGTGTAGCAGGAAATAAGAGATAGACAGATGCCCGATCCGTGGTCAGGCATTAGAAGAAAAGTAAAAAAAAGCGCTTCCAGTCGCCTCGTAAATTTGTCAAAGAAAAGAAGGCTGTGGTATTACCCCTTCCTTGTTCGCTCAACAGCTAAAACCAAAAGGACAGCTTGGAAACTAGGATATGGTTGCCGCTTTCGTTCCTGAAGCTTGGGAACACTGATATGGGCCTGATTGGTCCGATAGGTTGACCCCATACTACGACAGCTGGCAGCCAGCTGGCGACGAGAGCAGACTACAAGCTTAATTGCACATGCGATAAGATACGCATCAACCACCGGTCACGAGCAAGACGGGAAGCCCTTTTCGTCATTGAGATTCCTGTCAACGCAATCCCCAGACGCTGCATCTTAGAGCAGTTTGAGGTTAGACACGAAAACAGGCAAAGTGCCTGCTGGCGTCCAATCATGGGCTCAACGTGTTTGTACATTGCCCACTTTGTTCTGTGCCTCTCCATTAATCGCCTCCTCTGCTTCGGCTAATAGGGTGTCTCTCCTGACACGCACAGCGCATTGCCGTACCATTGGCCGCTGTCTTGGAGGCTGATGGTATGATACTCCGTAGTTTCAAGAGAAGTGGGCGCCGTAGTGCTGTTGACAGCCCCTGGAAAAAAGCCGAATGGATGGCTGATGCCGCTTAGCGTGGGGCAAAAAAAAGCTGCCCCGCCTAAGAGTACACAATTTGCACTGAGCAGGAAGAGTCATAGGCCGAAAGTCGGCGAAAAGCAGACGGCATTTTAGTGCGCCCAAAAATTTGACCTCGCTGAACGGCTATGCTAACTTGCCTCTGTTGATGTTGTTGTCGTGAGGAGCCTTCTGCATTCCGCGAGCTGGACCATCGTATTTCCCACGAATCAACCCAATCGACCGAGATGGCGGGGCTATCTAACGGAGCAGCGGCGGCGACTGCCGACGGCGACCAGACACACACGGCATCGCAGCGGTATCTGTCGACGCGGGGTGAGGATGAGAATGTGCGTCTTGTTCCCTGAACAGTGGTTGGTGACCCAATGCTGACAGTGTGATCTGGCCTGTAGCTATCGTTCGAAGAGGTAGTTCTGCAGGGACTTGGCTCGGATGGCGGCCTTTTTATCCCCCACGAAATTCCTACGGCCAAAGACTGGCAGAGCTGGAGCGAGCTGTCCTTTCCAGAGCTGGCCTTCCGTGTTCTGTCTCTGTATATCTCGCCGTCCGAAATACCATCAGCCGACCTGCAGGACATTATCAACCGCAGCTACGCGACGTTCCGGGCTGAGGACGTGACTCCTCTGGTGCACCTCAAGGACAACCTTTACCTGCTCGAGCTGTTCCACGGACCGACGTTTGCCTTCAAAGATGTACGAGGTCTCTCAGCAGGAGTAAGCGGAGCCATTATTGCATGCTGACCTTTGTTCTCTGTCTAGGTGGCCCTCCAGTTTCTGGGCAACCTGTTCGAGTACTTCCTTGTTCGGAGGAATGAGGGCAAGACAGGACGTGGTATGTCTGCAGTTTGAATTCTATTTCTACCGGTTTACCGCTGACCGGCATGATCCAGACCGTCATCATCTCACAGTGGTCGGTGCGACGTCTGGCGATACGGGCAGTGCTGCGATCTACGGTCTGCGCGGGAAGAAGGACGTTTCGGTGTTCATTCTCCACCCGAAGGGCCGTGTCAGCCCGATCCAGGAGGCGCAGATGGCGACGGTGCTGGACAAGAACGTGCACAACTTGGCAGTGACAGGCACTTTTGACGATTGCCAGGACATTGTCAAGGCGCTGTTTGCGGATGCAGAGACGAACAAGACGCTGCGGCTGGGCGCGATCAACTCGATCAACTTTGCACGGATCTTAGCGCAAATCACGTACTACTTCTACTCGTACTTCTCGCTGGCCAAGAAGCTGCCAGCGTTCAAGGTGGGCGACAAGCTGCGCTTCGCCGTGCCGACGGGCAACTTTGGCGACGTGTTGGCAGGCTACTTTGCGTACCGGATGGGCCTGCCGATCGACAAGCTCGTGATCGCGACGAACGAGAACGACATCCTCGACCGGTTCTGGAAGACGGGCCGATACGAGAAGCAGCAGCAGCCACAGGAGGGCAGCGAGGCGGCAGCGGCAGCAGCAGCAGCGGAAGCGACGGCGGCCCCGGCCGAGGGCGTCCTCGTCAAGGAGACGCTGAGCCCGGCCATGGACATCCTGGTGTCGAGCAACTTTGAGCGGCTGCTCTGGTTCCTGGCTTACGAATTTGCGGCCAGCGCGGGCATGGACGACGCGTGGAACAAGAAGCAGGCGGGCCAGGAGGTGGTTGTGTGGCTGCGCGACCTCAAGACAAAGGCCGGCTTCGGGCCGGTGTACAAGGACGTGCTGGAGGCGGCGCGGCGGACGTTTGAGAGCGAGCGGGTCAGCGACGAGCAGACGCTGGACACGATCCGGCGGACGTACGGCGCCACGGCCGACAACTACGTTCTGGACCCGCACACAGCCGTTGGCGTGACGGCAGCCGAGCGGTCGATTGCCCGCGCAGGCACGGATATGCCGCACATTGCGCTGTCGACGGCTCATCCGGCCAAGTTTGCCGGTGCCGTGGTGACGGCGCTGCAGGGCGAGGCCGGCTTCGACTTTGACAACAACGTGCGGCCGGCCGAGTTCGTCGGGCTCGAGGAGAAGGAGCGTCGCGTGACCCAGGCCGAGAACGACTGGAGGGCCGTTGGCGCGCTGGTCCGCCGGCAGGTGGAGGAGGAGCTGGCTGCGGCCGAGCAGTGAGGGCGCCGCCTTTAGAGAAGCAGTTTTGCATGCCTGAATAGAGCAAGGAGCATGAAATAAGCACCTGGGAGAAAACATGCATTTCCTCCTTCTTGCCGCGTCCCAGCCGCCTTGATTCTTCATGTTTCGCCATTGCATTGTGAGTGCGAACCTCGAGTGACGAAGCCACTGTGCTCTGTATGCGTCGTATCACCAAGCACGCAGGTGGCCGTTCGTGTTGGCTTGCAGAGTACTGCAGCTGCAGCTTCTTCCGACTTCGCAATATGGAGGCCGGCTGAAACATGCAGTGGAAGCATGCAGTGATCATGGAGACGTTGGCACGTTGGTGAAGTGGGCTTGTCGATTCATAGCGTTCTTGGCATATGTACCTCCCTCATCACATGCACTGTCAAGATAAAGGATGTGGCAGCCAGAACAAGCTTCGACCGACTGGATAGAGCAGCGCTGCTTCTCACTAGTGCATTACGAGTTGAAGCGTACAGAAGAGGGGCAGGAAACGTGCAGCAGACTCCAGCAGACGGCAGCTATCGCTCTCTGCTGGCCGAATGGTGTCCAATAAAGCCGACCTCAGCTGCTTCCTCCAGAGGAAGGCGCAGCCGTTTGCAGCTTCCTTCCTGCCGGGCGTCTTTGCTGCCCGATTGAGAGAGAGAGAGAGGGAGATAAGCCAGGAAAAGGAAATCCTCAGCTAAGCCCAGTCTGGCCGACGATCCCACAACAATGACCACTCATCACACTCCGGCAAATACATCATCGTCGCACTTGTCGTCTTTTACCCGTGGCTGCCCACGGCCAAGACGATGACACAGTCCGTATCTCTGCCGGGGCCGTTGGAGGCTATTCTTCTTTTGTTGCTCCCGCATCCACACTATGCCCAAAAGCGCAGCAAGGCTCTTCCTATGACGAATGATGTTGGACATCCCCCCCTCCTCCTCGCTGGTTTATCTATCTGCCCATGCAAGCAAAGCTTTGCCAGTGGCGAAATAGAGAGCAGCTTGTTCGCTCGATGGGTTCTTGCGAGTGCTTATCTTCCCGTACCGTCTCTGCTTCCTCCCCTCCTTTCTTCTTCTCTTCTAAGTGTTCATGCTATCTATGTACATCTAAGCAGCATTGACTCCAAATGGCTATCACTGTCGATCGCCTCGTGCTTCTGCTGGCGGCCCTAGCAGCCCCGGCCACCGCGCAGGAGACTGTCTGGTCATCCGTGTCGTTTGTGCTGTATGGCGAACGCACACCCCTCCAAGGCTCGACCTCGCCGGAGCTGACGCCGCTCGGCGCCCAGCAAATGTTCGACCTGGGCTCCATCTTCCGCGCTCGCTATCTCAGCAGCGCCAACACTACCTTGCCAGACATCATGGCGTCAATCACCTCACAGGCGCTCATTGAGGGAATTGAAGAAGACTCGATCGACAATGACCAGGTGTTCACGCAGGCTACCGATGACAGCTATGTGGCTGCCAGTGCGCTGGCTTTTCTGCAGGGCCTCTACCCGCCGCAGACTAGCAGCTTTGCAGCTGGAAACGGTGGTCGCGATGCGGCCGTGCTGAACAACGACACGCTTGTGAACTTTCCGCTCAATGGCTACCAGTACCCTCTGGTTGCCACCCTGTCGTACGATGACCCAGCATCAGTCTGGATCGGGGCCAATATTGGCTGCACCGAATACCAGCAGTCCGTCTTCGGTTACTTCGGCGAAGATCAGACCAAAACACTGTACTCCGAGACGCTCGGTTACTACCAATCGCTCTGGTCCGGTGTATTCCAAGACGTCTTCAGCCAGGCCATGACCAATTACTACTCTGCCTACAACCTCTACGACTACGCTTCCTACGAGTACAGCCACAATCCCCAGATGGCCAATGCCCTTGACTCGTCCGACCTGGCCATCCTGCGCACCTACGCTTACACCCAGCAGGTCGAAATCAACGCCGATCTCGACGTGTCTGGCAAAAAGAAGGGCGATATGATCCGGGCAATCTCCGGCCGCATGTTGGCCACATACGTGGTCAGCCTGTTCAAGAACACCATCGACTGGGACGGCAGATTCGGAAAGCTGAATCTCATGTTTGGGTCTTTTGAGCCCTTTCTCGCCTTCTTCGCGCTCTCGAACCTCACCAGCGGCGTCTCAGCTTCCGTCTTCCAGGGCCTGCCGAGCCCTGGCGCCACGATGGTCTGGGAGTTGTACACCGAGTCGGACAACACGACTACGTACCCAAGCATGGACGACATGTACGTGCGGTTCTTCTACCGTCCCAACACGGACAACGACACAGCCCTGACCCAGTATGGCCTCTTCACCAACGGCTCGGACGTGAGCGGCATGCCCTTCCAGGAATTTGCTGCTGCCATGTACGCCATCGGTGTGCCCAGCGTGACAAAGTGGTGCACCATGTGTTCCGGCGTCAGCGTGTTCTGCCCGGCCTATGAGGAGAACAGCAGCGGCAGTGGCAGCAGATCCGGTTCCAGTGGCAGCACGTCCGGCAGCAAGAGTTCCATGTCCCCGGCCGTGGCCGGCATCATCGGTGCCATCATAATGCTCAGTGCCATCTCGTTGGTTGGCCTTGTTGCCATTGCCCTGGGTGGTTTGCGGGTTTACCGTCGTGCCGGCAGCCGTCCGGCTGTGCAGACCAGCGACCCCAGAGTCGGCGGGGTCCAGGATGCCCGGTCCATCGGCGGCTTTAAGGGCTTGGAGAAGAAGCCTGGAGACGCCGACGTGGTCGTGGCTAAGACCGGTATGCGTCACGAACGGGTGGGCAGCTGGGAGCTGAACGGCGGCAAATATAACGGCAAGACTGTGGCTGCCAATGGAGACGATAATGCCACCCCTTCGGGCCCGCTGAAATCCGTCGGCACGGTCCTGCAGAAGAGCCAGGTGCAGTCTACGATCAGAAACACAGACACCGATGACGACGACATGGCCGATCTTGTTGGCCCGGTCATGACGCCAAAGGAGCATGTCTAAACGGCCAGTGTGTCCTTTGGATCCTCTGGATCCTCAACGAATTCGCCTCATATTGCCACTTTCTGTCTCTCTTTTGCCAGACTGGTTGTCTGAATCTCATTTGATACCCCCCATTCATACCCTTTCGTTTCTGTACACTGATTGCGGTGTGTTGTAGGGGACAGAGCTTGGGCTGCTGTTCGGTTGTTTCGCCGAAGGCGTTTGGGGAGTTATTACTTGGATAGTATTAGCCGTACGGAGTAGTTCAATCACATATTTGCAGATATTTGAGGGTTTAGCTCGCCGACGCGAGTGTTTGCTCGAGCGTTCAAAGTGGAACTTTTGCAATAGACTATGAAAAGCCTCTTTTGTCGACCCCGCCGACCACCAAGTTTGAAGAAGAGCAAAAATGGACCGCATCGTTACGAAATTCCAGCCACCTCTCAGCATTGACAACTATGACCGCCTGCTTCCGCCTGAGCGGCAGCCGTCCTCGGTTTCGGCAACCTTTACCGCCTGCATGGAGGTCCGCTATGCTGTCTTTGTCATCGAGCAAAAGGTCCCAGCAGACTGCGAGCTGGACGAGGACGACAAGCGGTCCTGCCACTGGGCCCTCTTCTATCCCGAGACTGGCATAGAGCCACCTGGAAGACCGGTTGGCACCATCCGCCTCGTGCCATATCCGCAGTCGTCGCATCCAGAGCCTGGCGGCGTCTACGAGACCGTCAACGGCATCTACGGTCTGCAAGGCCGGCGAAAGCCCAAAAACGGTGGTGGCGATGGAGAGACCGAGTTCATACCGATCAGCACGGATACGCCGGAAGCTGCCCCTTTCCGGACCGCCCTTCACGATGGCCACGAGCCGTACGTCAAGCTGGGACGGATGGCGGTTCTGCCAGAGTACCGCAGGAAGGGCCTGGCGAGCCGACTGGTGAAGGACGCCCTGTCGTGGATGCAGCAGAACCCGGGCTACTTTGACCCCCAGGGAGCCGACAACGCTGGCGCTCCCGCGTTCCGCGGCCTCGTCTGCGTGCACGCGCAGGTGAGCGCCGCCAGCTTCTGGCTGGCGGCTGGCTTCCAGATCGACGATGCAATGGGACGGTGGTGGGAGGAGGGCATGGAGCACGTGGGAATGTTTCTGCGGCTTGACCTGGCCATGCGCTGATCTCGAGGCGCAATGCGACCGGTGGACTTGGACAGACTAAAAGCTGGTCATACCCGCATCGTGATTTATTCATGTTTTTTTATTTGCTCTTTTTGCTTTTGCCCAGCGAATGCCGTTTCTTACTAAAAAAAACATTCAAACTGCATCCGCCGGAGAATCCCCGTTGTCCCAACGCACAAAAACGCAGCTTTCCGTTCTTTTGGCGATGCCAGAGAAAAGATGGAGAACAACAGACATAAATACCAGGTTCGCCCCCCGTATCCCATACCAAGTATGGTTTTTGTTGCGTACCAGCCCGTCGCCTCCCCTCCCAGCGAGGTCGTGTCTTTTCTTGTTGGTCCGACACAGCCACCATGCCGTCTCCCGCCCAGGTTTTCCAACCCGTCCTCGGCTCCCCCTTTACCGGTTGCTCTTGGCAACACGCTCCAGCTCGTCCTTCTTCTTGATCGCGTACGAGTTGCTGCTGCCCTTGGCGGCGTTGATCAGCTCCTCAGCCAGGCACTCGGCAATCGTCTTGACGTTCCGGAACGCCGCCTCACGGGCACCAGTCGTCAGCAGAGAGATGGCCTGGTTGACGCGGCGCAGGGGCGACACATCGACAGCCTGTCTCCGGACGGTACCGGCAGAGCCGATACGGGTGGAGTCTTCGCGGGGGCCGCAGTTGACAATGGCGTCAACGGCAATCTGGATCGGGTTCTGGTCGGTCATGAGGTGAACCTGGAGAGGGTGCAGGTAAGTATCTGAAGAGCGGGGCGATCACGAGGCCAGAGCCGGAAACACATACGATTTCGAACGAGTGGGCAACAATGCGGACAGCCTTGAGCTTCTTGCCGTTGTTGCGGCCGTGCATCATCAGAGAGTTGGTGAGGCGCTCAATGATGGGGCAGTTGGCCTTGCGGAACCGCTTGGCAGCATAGCGGCCAGCAGAGTGGGGGAGGTAGACGGGAGCGCGGATCTGGATGTAGTCGCTGAGAAGAGAGAAGGGAACGTTAGCTCTCTGCATGACCATGGCCCATTGCCATCGTCGTAGACCTCGACCGGCTGCGAGGGACCTCGGATTCGTTGCGCCTGCCCACAGGATGTCGGTTGGCACGATGCCCAGTAACGTGGATACCTCGTCCCGTGTCCAGAACGCGTCGTCTCCGTCCCTCGGACGGGAAAGCAGACCCAACACCGAGCCAGCAACTTACGTGAGGGAGATGTCGCGGATCTCAACATCGTCGTAGGACCACTTGTTGCTAAGCCGCGGGGAAAAAGCCGAGTTAGCATTGCTGAATTTTACAGACAAGTCTCCCAAGGCAATCGAGAGAGCACATTCAGACAAGAGGGATTGCGGTGTCCGTACAAGAGCTTGATGGAGCCGACCTCCTCGGTGATGTCCTTCGGGAGGACCTTGTAGGTGACGGCCTCAACCTCGATCTCGCCGCTGTCAGACATGTTGGGTGGTATTGGTCGACGGACTTGACGGTGAATTGTTGATGTGCAAGTTGTCGCTTTGTGCGGGATGGTGTCGCGAGGAGATGGTGATTTAATTCTGGCTGCCAGGTAATATTTTTTTTTCGTTCCACGCTTTAGGGCGAGAGTCTGGCGGGTTAGAGTGGAAAGAGGGCTTTGAAAAAAAATTCGAGATGGTGGAGCCCCACTCTAAAAAGCCAGCAAGCCAATAGTCTCCATCCAAATTAGGGCTCATGTATGCTTAGTCAGAAAAGGGTCGAAATTTACTGTAGCCCCGCCCACTCTAAAAATTATCCCTAACTGGCACAGATCCTATATTCAGAAGTGCCTCTCTCTTCTCTTCCTTCTTTTGTGCGTTCCTTCAAGTTTAACCGATCATCACCATCAACAGCAAACATGGCGCCCGCAAACACTGGTGCGAAGAAGCAGAAGAAGAAGTGGTCGAAGGGCAAGGGTAAGTCAAATGAACCGGACGCCAGATGAACATTGCTGGACGAAATGGCAAAAGCGCGCAACACCTCATGACGTCGCCTGATGCGCATGCGGTGTCGATAGTTGCAAATGGACCAAGTCCATCTGTGCCCGGCGATACTGCATTCGGGCGACGCGAATGAGGAGTACCCGCGCCTTCATGTAGCGAAGATCGTGACGCTAATGTGCTTCTCTTGCTCTGCAGTCAAGGACAAGGCCCAGCACGCCGTCATCCTCGACAAGTCCACTTCCGAGAAGCTGTACAAGGATGTGCAGTCCTACCGCCTCGTCACCGTTGCCACCCTCGTCGACAGACTTAAGATCAACGGTTCCCTGGCACGGAAGTGCCTGAAGGATCTTGAGGAGAAGGGCCAGATCAAGCAGGTCGTCAGCCACAGCAAGATGAAGATCTACAGTACGTCAACGACGCCGCGAGACAAGATTCTTTGAGACGAGACGAGAACCTTTATGCTAACAGTAGGACAGCTCGCGCCGTTGGTGGCACTGACTAAATGTCAACACAAATCCACGACACTTATACCAGACAATACCATACCCATTCTGCTTGGCGGGAGGGACGACCAAATCTTGAACATGATGCGCTTGATGGAGTTGTGACAGGGTTCGGCACGGGTTTTTAAAACAATGGCAGACGAGGGCGTGGCTTCGGTTTCTGGAGCAAAGAATAATGCACTCTGAAAGACGGTCGTGCATGTACAATCGAGCAGAAATCGATCATGGGAAGTTGGCTCTAGATGACCGACAAATGAAAAAAAAAGCTTATAAAATCCAAACCTAGACCATAATGTGCCTTTCGTATCGTTCGCCACCTGAAAGGGTTATACTGTCGGTGAATGACAATACGACACGCTTATTAAGTGGCGTACGGAGTATGCTGTAAAGATACCATATATCATATATGATCGTACAGAGAGTGGGTGTTCTGGACAGCCTGATGTGGCTGAAGCCTTATCTGCTACTGCTTTGACGAACAACACCCGAGACTCGGCAAGTTTGCAAGAATGCTCCATATTTGTGGGCAAGATATCTCGAGAAGGATTCGGGAAAAGTTTTGACTACTCCGTATTAAGAAGTACTGGTAGTGCTCTCAGCGGGTATTATGCCGTTGCTGTCGGCCATTCCTGGTATTTAGACCGGTTGCTACGAGTGTCTTTGTATCAGAGCAGACTGTCGAATTGGAGGCAGCGCAAAGGAAATGAGCGAGACAGCCATGGTGGATAGCTTCTCCTCTGGCAGCGGCCGGGGGCTCCGGTCATCCGAATCCGTGGCCACCCGGGCTACGACGTGCGGTGTAGATTTGGGCACGAAATTTTCAGGGACATAACGTAGAGCATTTCCCCCGTGCGGCTATGGAAGAGGGAAAACTGGAGTACGATAAGCGCTGGCTGTCCTTTAGGCTCGCTCCAAGCAGGAGCTGCAGCAATTGACCAGTCCTCGTGCTCAGCGTGCATGCTTCGTGTAGAGCTAGCAGCCAGACCTGGACGGAGAGGACAGAGCAGGACACGTCGTCCTGCTCGGCAAACCCGACCATTTGCGCTGTAGATGCTATCAGCCCCCCCCGCGATGCAGCGCCCCAACGCAGCATTCGGATCGAACCGGCTATTTTGAGCGTTGATGCCTCAGGCCGACACACACAATTGCCTGCGTTCGTTCCCGTGCCAGACCGCGGCCACAGTGTCAGCAGCGGGTTTTTCAGTTCCAATCCTTACAAAAAAGTAAAAGTGGGCCATCCGCTTGAGATTAGCGCCCCCGGCCGGAAAGAATCGCTGAGAAGAAAACAGCTTGGTTACCACAAGAGGTCCACTCTCCCACTGCAATTTTTTTCCCCCTTCCCTCTTTTCCCATAATAAATTCGCGACCAAGGATTTTTTTCCCGTCTCTCGTCCTTTCACTTCTTCTCTTGCTTTCCTCTTTGCATCAGGATCGCTTCGTCTCCTTCTATCTCCACTCCCTTTTTCTCATACCCGGTCTTCGGTTCCGCCACAATGACTTCCAAGGAGGACATTCGCATCTGGGGCATGCCCGTAAGTATAATTCTCTTTACCGACGGTTTTCTATCGACTTGCCGCACCGGAATTCCCTCACATATTGCGAACACAAACAAACAAAACACAAATGCATCACAATTCCTCTCCCACACTTCTCCCCCCCAGACCGGTCGAGCTGTCAGACCGTCGGAACGGGTGGAATCCAATTGGCGATTTATCTCAATTGGATGCCCACCGGAGCTTTGTGCGCTGTGGGATACCAGCAACGGCATGAATTTAGGCGAGCAATGCCCTACTTGCAGTCGCGGTTTGCTGGCGTCCCATCTCGTCGCATTGCTTCACCCCTACCTCAATGGCACCGCTTATATTCATCCGATTGGAATCAATTTAACTAACCACGATATATTCTCAGCCCTTCGTCATCGACTTCTTGAGTATGTTTTCCATCCCGTGGATTCCTACTTCTCCAGAGTGACAGCTCCGATACATCGGCGTCTTTCGTCGTCGCTTAGTGAGCAGCCTACTGACAGTACACAGTGGGCGGTGTCTCTGCCGCTGTCTCGAAGACCGCTGCCGCTCCCATTGAGCGTATCAAGCTTCTCGTCCAGAACCAGGTATGCATTTGTTGAGCGATGTGGCCCCTGTATTAGCGTCTGTAACGGCATTGCCGTAGCAGGTTAGCGTCTGGTGGCCCATGCCCGACGAAGGGCTGCAAAAACTATGGGGCACGCTTTGGCGTTATGCATATAACGTATCGTTTCTAACAGCCGAATTAGGATGAGATGATCAAGGCTGGTCGCCTTGACCGCCGCTACGATGGCATTGCGGACTGCTTCCGCCGCACCACAGCCGATGAGGGTGTCATGTCCCTGTGGCGTGGTAACACTGCCAACGTCATCCGGTACTTCCCTACCCAGGCGCTGAACTTCGCTTTCCGCGACCGCTTCAAGAAGCTGTTCGGCTACAAGAAGGAGCGTGATGGCTATGCCATGTGGATGATGGGCAACTTGGCGTCTGGTGGTGTACGTACTTTGTCCCCAAGCTCTGCACTCGTTTGAGTACTCTTTGCTGACAATCTCTACAGGCTGCCGGTGCCACTTCGCTGCTGTTCGTCTACTCCCTGGACTATGCCCGTACCCGTCTGGCCAACGACGCCAAGTCTGCCAAGAAGGGTGGCGAGCGCCAGTTCAACGGCCTGGTGGATGTCTACCGCAAGACTCTGGCCTCTGACGGTGTTGCTGGTCTGTACCGTGGTTTCGGTCCCTCTGTCCTGGGTATTGTTGTCTACCGTGGTCTGTACTTCGGTCTGTACGACTCCATCAAGCCCGTCGTCCTGGTCGGCAACCTCTCGAACAACTTCCTGGCTTCCTTCCTTCTGGGTTGGTGCGTCACCACTGGTGCCGGTATCGCCTCGTACCCGCTTGACACCGTTCGTCGCCGCATGATGATGACCTCTGGCGAGGCCGTCAAGTACAGCAGCTCCCTGGATGCCTTCAGACAGATTGTCGCCAAGGAGGGCACCAAGTCTCTGTTCAAGGGTGCGGGTGCCAACATTCTCCGTGGTGTGGCTGGTGCTGGTGTGCTGTCGATCTACGACCAGCTCCAGGTCATTGTCTTCGGCAAGGCCTTCAAATAGATGTCTCACACCAACTCTTTTGTACAAAAGCATGGGTTGTCGCTGAGGTAGAGCGAGCTATTATGGCTTGGAAACTGGCCGTCACAGGCTGACCAGTTTTGGGAGGCTATGCTAGTAGAGGGACCGGGCTGGATGGATTTTGAGGCTGGCGGGAAGCGGTTTTGCGTCAATGTGTCTTGATGGTGCGGCGCGCAGGACTTTTCTTTGTGCCGATACCATACGGGCTGCGCATGGCCTTCTTTGTCGTTGTAATTTATAAAGAATATCAAGACAGTTCCCCGATTATGTGTACATTGCTGAACCCAGTCCCATAATTTGACGTGTCGTGGTTGAGACTAAACAAATGGTGTCATGTGACAACGCATCCGATAAACGCGTATGCGAGCAGAGAGCGCGCTCCTCTGCAAAGCTTGCTTCGCATTTTCTATATCTTCGAACGACAAAGTCCACAGGTCGTCTTCTGAATTGTGAATCAAAACCTTGTGAATAGCTTTCTACCGGCCAATTGACCATCGGGTAACATAAATTGTTAACGGCTGCCCACCGGGTTGCAACGAAGTATCGAGCGACACCTCGGTTAAAGAAGTCGCGGGCTAAGACCAAGTACGACAAGGCGGTCTCACTCTGTTTTCTTTCTTCGAAGACCTGTAGGCTAACATTCAAGCTGTTACTCACAGCGAAAGGACAATGCCGCCCCAGATCGCGGCCGCACGGCCATCTACTGCCGCAAACGGACGACCCTCTTTCAAGGCAGCAGGATCGGGCGCACGAGCCGGCGGGCAGCCAACCTTCAAGCCGCCGCGGCCAAAGCCTCAACCCCAGAAAGAGACAAGAGAACAAAGCAAACAGAAGGGCAAGCGGCCACAGGAGCGCATAGATGTAGACGAAGATGTGGTCGATTTGGAGGACGAGGAGGCGGAGTCTTCCCGACGTCGTGGGAAGAGGCGAGAGGTTTCTGGCGCTGCTGATGATTTAGCGGCGCTTGATGACATGGAGGACGACGAGGCCGATGATGGTGACGACAGTGAGACCCCCTCTATCCCACCGGAGCTGCTCACTCGCCTGCTGCATCACTTCTTTTCGAAGCCGAACTCGCGCATCACGCAGGATGCCAACACGAGCGTTGGAAAATACATGGAGATATTCATACGGGAAGCGGTGGCCCGATCCATGGCAGAGCGACGCGATGGCAGTTTCCTGGATGTGCGTTTTTCCAATCTCTCTATAGTCCCGTTTTGTCATGCCAGAGCCTCGTTTTTGCCTCGTATTGACCATACTCTATCCCCCATGCTTACTTTCGCTCAATTCGCAGGTCGACGTGTTGCAAAAGGTAGCAGCACAGCTCATTATGGACATGTGACCGATAGAGCCCCTGCTGGGTTTCGAGTCCTTACAGTGCGTCTGGGGATTCCGAGATGGTTGGAAGAGGTATTGACAGACAGGATGGAGGATGGTCTAAATCTGCAGAGGGAACGACCAGAGGCGAAATCTGCAGCTGCGCATTCAGGCGCATTTGGGGTGCCCAGAAATTTAGCACGCTACACGTGTCGAACAATCTGTACTGAGATACTGAAATATAACGATTCACGGTGTTTGTATAGATGATGGAAAGCGCACTGGCCTTCAGGATGGAAGGTTTCTGTTACTCTCGCTTCCTTTTATGGCGCGGTCAGAAGAAGACCATATACTGATGTCTGGGACGGTCTGGCACGTTTATTATCTTTTTATTTTTATTTTTTTAGGGTCGCATTTTCATCGGACAGAGGGAAGGTTAAATAGCTCGGATAACATTGGCATTAATCGCCATTAACTAAGAAGAAAACGTAGCACTATTTCCAGTGATAATTACTACCCTATGGGAGGGAAAGAAGAAGGCAAAAAAGAAGTCCATCAAAATCAAATTCAACTTCAGGACCAGAGTCAAAGTCACAATTGAGACAGAAGAAAAAAAACCTTCGCGCCTGGGTTTGTTGCTTCTCGGCTTTTAGCCATAATGATTTGTACGCGCGCCAAAATCTTTATAGCCAAGCCAAGACACCAACAGCTGCACCAAGAAGCACTTTCATGAAGCTGATATGGAGCCCCTCGGCTGCACTTCCGTGGTAGACGGGACTAGAGCTAGAGGTGGAACTGGGTTTCGAGGTTGTGACTGTGCCACCGTAGCCCAAATTCGTTGTCGTCTTTGTCAAAGTTGATGCCGTGGTGATGTTGTACGACGGCGGCCAGTTGATGGTGCAGCTCGTAGTCTTGTGTGTGGTGCTTGTAGACGGCGTCGTAGAGTAGGGCGGGATTGCAGGTGTGGTCGTTGTTGAGGATGTCGACGAGGTAGACGAGGTATAGGGTGTGAAGGTAGTGCCATACGTGGGCGGCACCCATGTGGAGGGAGACGTTGTTGTCGTCGTTGTCGTCGATGAAGAAGAGATCGAGCTGGTAGTGGGAACACAGCCATAACCATATTCAAAGGAGCAGGTGGTCTGGGTGGTGGAAGAGTAGGCGAATGTAAGGGTGGTCGTCGCCGAGGATGTGGTGGTGCTGGTGGTGCCGGTGCTGGTACTGGTGCTGCTGCTGCTGGTAATAGTGGTGGGATATTGCTGGCTCCATGTTCTTATTTATACCAGGTTGTCAGTCGATCCATAATTGCTCATCAAGCCAGTCTTCAGATAGTTCATAAAGCAAAAAAAATCTTACAATGAGCCGTAGCTGTAGCCCTGTCCGAGAACGGGCGCCACGACGAAGCCAAAGGCCAGCAAGCGAGCGAGCATTTTCATGTGCTGTCTTTGTTGCTTTCTGACAGTGTGAAGGCGCTTTTCAGATTTGGAGAGTCTTCCGGTGATAGAACGTTGAAAGTAAAGAAAGGAGAACGTTTGTGGGAAGACATGGTCTCTTTCTGTCCTTTTATAGACAAGGAAGGAACGACCGAGGGGCAACCGCCAAGTAACCAAATCTGTCGTATTATTACGTGAATAGACTGTATTACTCTAGAGTTTGGCCTACAAGTAGAAGACATCGCCTATTTCTGGTCTCTTACCTGGAGAGTCTAGACACAAACCGCCGGTGCAGTGTATCAAGGAACCATGGGAGAAGACTACACAAAAAGCGCCCCTTTCACAAGAACACAGAAGATAACACTCGTGCAACCACACAATAAGAGGTCCTTGGTTTTTATGCCAGCCCCTTTCCCATCCACGTTGCACGGCAGAAAAGGCAAACACGCAGACACGAACACATACGACACGAAGACGAGATTACTCGTACCTTATGACTGCCGAGGTGGCATGCCGGTACCCTTTCTTTCTCATTCGTCATCGAAAACGGTTCCGGTGATACTTAACTCATGGTGCCACTGGCCGTTGGAAGTGTCTGAGACAGAAAGAGAGTCGTTCGATTCTCTACCTTGTAATATTTATAAATGCATACGCATAACGGCAGAAGCACTGGACCCTGGTCCAAGGAACACATATCTACAAGCTGGATGTAAAATAAATAACACAATATAAAGAGGGTTGAAAGTGGCGAAGACCCTATCGAATACCAGTTTTCAGGTCAGACAAGATGTTTTATTGTCCTGGTGTGTTCTTGCGCGCCCCTCTACCTGGTCTCTATTTTCTTTTCATTGTTTCAAAACACATGCCCCCCCCTTCATCAACTAGCAAATTGTCTGATGCGAATGTGAGCCGTGTTTCCTCTATATAATTCCTTAACTGATCACGCCTAGAACTGGTAGTTGAATCCTCTCAGTAACGTTTCGGTATCTAAATCCGGACTTCAATGGAAGCCCCAATTTACTCTAAGTATGGTCACAATACCCTTCGAGGTGTGTGCACACGGGTAGTCTGGCCCGCACACGGCAGGTCATCATCGATCAAGAGTCACAATTGTACGCCTGTAGCATTTTGAATACGAGAAAGCAGAAAACTGGGCAATAGACAAAAGGCATCCCAATGCACATGCCACTACGACCATGCTGCGCTTTGATGGTCAAGCCGCTCATAATCTGGCAAATGAAGGCATTAATACGAGTGAGCTTTTGTGTTGCCATCTCATTTTGGAAGTGCAATGCGCAGCGTACTCCCAGGGACAGACCGAGGTGACCACCAAGACGTTACCGGCGTTGGATGATGAGAAACAGTAGTCAGAGATCTGTTCCAGATACATCCTTACGGAAGCGAGATATCAGGTGCGCCAAGCCCTTCTCCCGTGGCCGAAAAATGCAGCAAGTCATGGGTTGGCGTGTTGAGTTGTGGAAGACCGAAATCACAGACTGTGTGACAGGTACAGCCATATTTTATGCAACCAGTATCTTACCTATGCACCAACGACATAGGCACGCAACTGTCATTGGCCGGCCCTGTTGAGTTGGTACACGTCTGATACTTCTCCGGGGTTCTGTCCTCCCGGATTACGGGCTCGGCACAACGGCCGCCGAAACACTCCACCACGTTATTTCGGATTGCAGCTGCAGTGGTGCTTCGGTGGCGATATTGGAGAACCAGGCCCATCGGTCCGGCGATCATTGCCACGCGGCGTGCGCAACAAGGATGACCCCAACATGAGCACGGAAACTGCAAGAAAGTTGTAGCGGCCTAGCCTTTTCCCCAGGCTACCTCATATTTGTTTCTTGCTCAAATATGGAGAAAAAGCGATATAAGATGCAGCTGGGTGTGGAACATACTTACACGAATACGGAGTATGGGAGAGCGGTTTGTACGAGTGGGTTCAGTGTCAAATTTAGGTTGCAATTCGCCTGCCCATAGGCCTCCTTTCTGGATGCTTCGCGACCAAGCGGTAGCAAGCAATCTACTCTAGCACGGGGCCCATATACCGCATTTTTAGTCGCATTATTTCGATTGAGGCTATGGCACGACGAGAGAATCCAGCTGCCTGAAAGCCAAGTGTGGGGCAGTGCTGCGGCCGTTCCGTGATATCAGCCCCATATATATGACGACGCTCCAGCGTGGTTTCCCTCCTAGAAATGTGTATATATGTGCGGGTGGCCTAAGGCGATTAGTTCTATCGTTGGAAAACGGAAGCAATTTATATAGTTGAATTTCTTGCTGCACAGCGCGAAATCAATAAACGTTGACGACAGCACGATCACGATGAGCAACCCCACGCCCGAGAAGAGAGCGAACGAGGGGAGATCCGCTGCGACCCCAGAATACTACCCTCCTCCGCCAGGCCCACCGCCGAATCAGACGTCTGCACAACATCCAGACGAACAGCCGCTTCCAGACTACACGATTCCAACATACATTCCGTCGAGCCCCAGCTATGCACATGCGCCGGCGCCGGTGCCGTCAGCTCAGCATGGCCAGGCGTTTGGAGGCACGGCAGTGCACGACGACCATTCGGGCCACCACGGCTCGTCGAACGGCTCCAAGCCTGACCTGGCCGACCGTCTGTCGGCTTTGGGAGCGAAGGCGTCGTCACCCATCAACATGCTTGCCAACAAGCTGGGCTCGGAGGGTTTTCTTCCGGCGTCGATGGACAAGGAGTGCGAGAAAGCGGCGAGGATATTGAGGGGATTTTGCAGTACGTTTTGGGTGGCGGTCTGCTTCGCGATTTGGTGGCTACTGTTGCTGACATATTCTTTATCTAGAGGACGGAATCTACGCCGACACCGAGAAGACGCAGTCGTCGACGGATGAGGCGGCGGGCAAGGGCAAGCAGAAGCAGAAGCAGGTGTCGCGGGCGATCATCACGATTCCGGCCAAGGTGTTGCAGCGCGCCGTGGGCCTGGCCGTGTTCACGACGGGCCGCGTGGGATTCCACGTGTCGGGTGCGACGGGCTCTGGTGTGCTGGTTGCGCGTCAGTCGGACGGTGGCTGGTCGCCGCCGTCGGGCATCCAGATTCACTCGCTGGGCGCGGGCTTTGTGTACGGCGCCGACATCTACGACTGCGTACTCGTGATCAACACGGAGGAGGCGCTGAACGCGTTTCGCAACACGCGACTGTCTCTCGGGACGGACCTGGCGGTCGTCGCTGGTCCCTGGGGTGCGGGTGGCAGCCTCGACATCGCGGCGCCCAAAAGCAGCAGCAGGTCGAGCCAGAGCAGGCCTGGCAGTGCCGAGAGTGGCGGCGGCGGTAGCGGCGGCGCCGGCTTGCAGCCCACGAGCACGACACAGACGTCGGGTGGCAGTCCGGGCAAGAAGCCGTCAAAGCTGCGCAGCGCCGCATCCAACGCGGTCTACTCGTACATCAAGTCGCGCGGCGTGTATGCGGGCGTGCAGGTCGACGGCACCGTGATTGTCGAGCGGAACCAGGCCAACACGGCTTTCTACGGGGCTCGTGTGCCGGCGACGCGAATTCTCCGCGGCGAGGTGCCGGCCGGCAGCTGGATCAAGTCCGCGGCGGTGCTCATGGACACGATCCGGGGTGCCGAGGGTCGTGCCGCCGCAGGTCGGCCGCCCCAGGCAGAGCCAGCACCGGGGCAATGGCAAGGGCAGCAACAGCAGCAACAGCAGCAACAGCAGCAACAGGGACAACAACAGCAGGGACAACAACAGCAAGGACAGCAACAGCAAGGACAATCCCAGGCACAAACATATCCCAAGACGTCGACAGCCTCACAGAACTCGGAGACATGGGCGAATGCGGCCCCAGCAACAATTGTGATGCCGAGGGCGGGACCGCTGCCACCACAGTATTCGGCCGAGGCAGAAAGCAACACCGAACATGATCTGCCACCAGCATACGAGGAGCCTGGCCATGCTTTCCCCGGCGTGGGCGATAGCAAGACGACGCATTGAAGGGGGTCGGAGAGAGGTGGAAGAAATGTAGTATGGACATGCAGATGACGACGCAATAATGGCAAAGATCTGCAGGCTTTGGTGAATGCTCGATATGTACATTTGAATGTAACAGCATAGGAACAAGCGTTGGTGTAGTGATTAAGCAAAAAAAGAATAGAATGAGCTCTCTCGCCGGGAATTGAACCCGGGTCCCGGGCGTGACAAGCCCGTATACTGACCACTATACTACAAGAGACTTGTTAATGTGAAACCGGGCAGAGAAGGGCAAAAGAGGAGACAGCAGAGGCCCAAAGACACCGCGTAATCTGATCAGACACTACGATGTACTCCGTAAAGCTCTAGCAACCTTATAAAGTGGACCGATCAGTACGAAGGATGGTGCGGTTACCTTTAGAGCCCGATATGTAAGAGCACGGGCAGATGAATTAGAGGCTTAGGTCTACTCGTTCATTAAGCTCATCAGGCGTTCCATGAGCACGCAGTACATTGGGGTTCAGACAAGTATCTTAGCAGGTATTGGGTAGATCCATGTCTTGCAAGCGTTACAGTCGAAGTCCCATCTTTGGACAGAAAGCAAAAGAGTACTCCGTAGTTTGAGTGCGTGGACGAAAAGCCGACTCGGCAAGAAATTGGTCTGTTAGACAGATGATGAAATATGTGGGGCTGGTCGAGTCGGACTTAACGGTGGAGTTAAAGCGCCGATATCGATCGACTTTAGAGTTGCTGACAACGCCGAATAGTGTACTCCGTAGGCGAAGCTGCTTGCTCTTGCGCCGTCATGCTGCGAGGCCGCGATGCCATAGTATGCAAACGAGGCACGGCCCATGACAGACAAGGGCACGGCGCGTACCGATCTTGAGGGACAGCCAATGCGGCGACGACGAGCTTCTGATCAGCTGCTGGAGCTGTTGGCGGACAGGGAGGAGACGGCAGACGGACCATACGACTTTGGCAGCGGACGGGCGACAGCCTGGGCGAAGCGGCGCCGGCTGCGCAAGGGCACGTTCAGCTGTGTCGAGTGCAAGCGGCGCAAGGTGCGATGCCACTTTGGGGCTGGCGAGGACGTCGACGTCGAGAGCAGCGGCAGCGGACAGGACACATGTGTCTCCTGCCGGCGTCACGGCGTGCAATGTGTCGGGCAGGAGTTGGAGTCACGGTCACGGTCGCGGTCACCGCTATCTCTGCCGGCAAACACAGACAGGGGGAGCGGCCCAGAGCAGCGACAGTACAGCCGCCTAGGCGAGCGGATCAGCGAGGTGGAGGCGCTGGTGGAGGAGCTGATGCGACAGCGGATGGAAGGGAGAGAGAGAGGAGAGGAGAGAAGTATGGGAGAGAGAAGAGAGATGGGAGAAGAAGGCTTCCATCCGATGAGCAGCATCAATGACATCAGTGACAGCAGCAGCAACACATCTGATCTGGCACGTGAGCTGATTCAGCTGGCCGTCTGTCTGCAGACGCTGGACGATCGGAAGGAAACCGGACAGATGACCGATGTGGCTGAGGCAGAGAGTCTGAGGAGCAGCGGAACGACGATGACCCCTCTGGCTTCCAAGTGTACCTCTGTCCATTCCATCGCCTCTGCCGACTTAATCCCCTCGTCTCACTCCCCCTCTATCCTTCCCCTCGAGCGACGTCATGCTGCCATCATTGTCCGCATCGCGGCCCGCAACCGGCGGCTGGACCGGCCGGGCGCCTGCTGTCATCGCGGCCAGCAGGTCTACTACGACGACGTCTGGGAGACCCGCGACATCGACTATGCCTTCCAGCAGGCTGCTGCAGTGCTGCCACCGCGCTGGTGGGCTGTGCCCGACATGGTGGTGGCGGCAGGAGGCGATGGAGACAGCATGAACAATAGTAATAGCGACAGAAACAGTAACAACAGCAACAACAACAACAACAATAACACCACCACCACCACCACCAATAACAACAGGCTGTCGTCAGTCCAGCGAGCCGACGCCGTTGCCCGTATCCTCGGCCAGTCCAAGCATTTCTTTCTGCTGGTGCTGCTGCACCTACCCTATCTGACCCGACGACGGGCGCCGGAAAGGACAGGTCCGACGACCGCCAGCAACCCTCCCGAGACGTGCTCGACCGTCGCCTTCGACACGGCTTACAGCACGCTGAGCGCCTGCAGTGCTGCCCGCGAGGTGCTGGCCCGCGCCGCCGCCTTTTGGACTGGCCGACAGGCCGCTCGGAGGCAGGAGACCCTCCGAGGCCAATCTTCCTCTTCCACCACCTCCTACTGCGCCATCGACCTCCAGGCCTTTGTCGCCTGCGTCGCCCTCTTGCTCGCCCATCTCGACGGCCACGGTCGTGCCGGTCGGGCTGGCGTCGTCGTTCAGCACCAGCGGCTCGCCGACGTCGCTGCTGTAACGGCCGCCATCGACCACCTGGCCACGCTGTCGCACGCCGACGGCGCGATCCGCATCGCTCCCGGAGCCAAGCTGCTGCGACGACTGCTCGCGGTCGAGGCAGAGGCCGAGGCTGACGAGGAGGAGGAGGAAGAAGAAGAAGAGCTGACCGAGAGGCAAGATCTCGCCAGCACAAACACACCCGACACCCTGCTCGCCTGGGCTGCTCGCCGTCGACGGCGTCCCCGCTATGACGTCTGGGCCGAGGAGGGCACGCTCGGTCGCGGCGACGGCCGCATCGTCGACCACGGCGCCCAACAGATCCTCTCGGTGCCGTACTTTGGAACTGTGCATATCCGGCGACTGTGAGCTGCGGCTTCCTCCAGCTGGCTGCAGCTGCTAACAGTCCCTGCTAGCCGCTAGCTTACATGTACACAAAATGGATTCACGCACTTCCTCGGTGCTTACTCAGCAAACTCATCTGCTTACGTAACACTACAAAAAAAAACACAATGCATTCGTGGTATCAGGTATCAGGTATCAGACTTCGTGGCGGGCATGAGGTAAAGAGCAATGATGGCTGGTCGACGACCATATCGGCAGGACATGTCTCACCGCGCGCATGTCTACGCCTCGAACGCGGCATGGCTCTTGCGGCCGGTCCGGTGCAGCAGCTGCGCGTATTCCGACCGTCGCCGGATGACAAACGCGAGCGCCAGGATGTAGTCTGTGCGGGCCCGACTGTCGGCCAGCCGAGCGTGCACGAGCGGCCGCAGCACGCACGAAGCCAGCCGCTCGGCCGTCATGTCGTTGCGGTCCGCCGCGTCCGCCACGTCGCCCCAGAGGTTCAGCAGCAGCTTCATCAGATTGCGCGCTGCCTGCGTCGCCTCTCGGCTGCCACCACCGACACTCTCCAGCGCCTCAGCCCAGAAGTCAATGCCCTCATCCGGCTGCGAATGCGTTGCTTGGCGTGACAGCGCCAGCCATCGCCGCGCCACCGCTTCCGTCACCAGCGGCCGGCGCAGCCGCTCGAGATAGTGCAGCATCAGCCCGGCCGCATCGTGCGCGCTGTATCCGGCAGCCGCCAGGTCTAGGCTCGCCCCGTAGTCCGGCCCCTGCGAGAAAGCCGCTCGCAGCCGCTGCACCGCCTCCGTGCTGTTCTGCGTGCCCCCAAACACGTCCAATGTCGCCACCCCGCCCGATTCGACCAGAAACCGGTAGCACACCATCATGCACACCGGGAACTGCCGCACTGTTGCTCCTTGGCTGCCCTCGTGTCGTGTCCGTACCGTCGTGCCCGCCACCCGGATGCTCTTGCGCAGAGACACCCCAAACACCGCTTCCGATAAGCCTGCTGTCGACCATGGCTCTGTGCCGGCCGGCCCTGCTCCCTCTCCCGGCCCGTCGTCGTCGTCGTCCTCTCCGTTGTCGTGCTTGTTGTTGTTCCCTACCCACGGCACCATCAGCCGCAACGATGACGACAGTCGACTGGCGCTGCGTCCGCCCGCTGAAGACGGTGTCAGCCTGCCTCGGCTCCCAGGACGGACTGCCCCCACTCCGGGAATCGTTAGCATCGTCGGCGTCGTCGGGCTCGCTGCTAGATTCGGTCTTGCCCCCCCGCTCCCGCTGTTGGATCGATTGCGGAAGAAGAGCCGGCTCAGACGATTGCTTCCACCCCGAACATCACGCGCACTGACACCGCTCTGGCTGCCGTCCCCGATCGTGCTAGTCCCAAGACCGGTACCCATCGTGCTCATCGTGCTCATCGTGTTCATCGTGCTGAGCGTCCTCAGACTGCTGCTACCCACGCTGTGGGAAACCGACTGTGCTCTGAGACGGCTGTGGCCATACCCACTGCTGCCCAGTCCAACGTCACCGCTGCCGCCGCCGTTCCGACTGCCCAGTGCCGAGTCGATCGCGCTGCTGACTTCGTTTGTCGTCCGTTGTGGGCTGCTTATGCTGAAGCCACTGCTAAAGCCGTTGCCGTACCCGCCGCCATGCCCGCCAAACATGCTGCTGCTAGCACTGCTGGTGCTGGGCCGCACTCGGTGCACTGCCACCGTCGGCAGCGACATGTTGCCGCGTCGTTGCCGCGAGATCGGCGGCGGTGCCGCGTCTGACTCGTCTGTGCCGGTGCTGCTGACGCTGTGCTGGTGCTGGTGCTGATGCTGATACGGGTTGTACTGCTGGTATGTATGTCCGCTCGTCGGCGATTGCTGGCCAACCAGCGATGATCCACGCGGCCTCGAGGCCGCCCGTGGTGGCGGTGTTGGCGGACGCCGGAAATCGTCGAGCAGCTGGTCGAGCTGTAGAATTGGCAGGCTGACGCAGAGCGAAGATGTTGTCGTGGTGGTCGTAGTGGTCGTCGTGGCAGTAATGTTGCCAATGGGCCCTATCGGGCTGGAGGGGGGGCTTGCAATGGGAAGGCGGTCGATAGCCGATTGCGGCTGAGCCTCGTCTTCATCTTCGTCTTCATCCGGGCTGTTCTCCACGTCCAGCCAGGCAGGCGGCAACTGACTTCGGCGGGGGTGCTTTGGCCTCTGAACCGGGGGGGCGACAGCAGTCTGGGCGGCTTTGGGCAGCGGTGGTGTCGGCTCGGAGCACAAGTCGACCGCACTGTCGGGGCTGTGGGCAGAAGAACTATTCGACGACGGCGCGGTGCTGACAATGGTCCCGGTTACCATTCGGGGCCGGTCTCTGCTCCTGCCCGTGGGTCGTCGTCGGACAGGCTGCTGCGTAGTCGGTGTGGTCGATGCGGTCGGTGCAGTCTCGACAAAGGCGTCATGAGGGTAGACGGCTTCTTGGTCCAGCCCCTGGCCATGTAGGGCAGCCGAGGCGTGGCGCTGCAGCACGTGGAGGTAGTTTTGCAGCGCAAAGGCGGCGTCGGTGTTGACACAGGAGGCCTTGCCGACGCGCAGCCGCAAATGGCTGATCTCGGCGAGGATAAGTGCGATCTCGGCGTGTGGTGGGGAGGCCGCGTCGGCTGTCGTGTCGGGTGCAATTCTGGCCGGTCAGAGACAGATGGAAGAGAAGAGAACGTGATCGAAACCGGAAACGAGACAAAAAAACTCACAGGGCAACGAGATCGAGAGCCAGGCCCAGGGCGAGCCGGTACACTTCCAGGCCGGGCCGCAGCTCAATTACCTGCTTCCGCATAACCGTCCACTGTATCCGGCTGTCGGCATTGTCGGTCGGACTGTTGTCGACAAAGAGCTCCTCGAGTGCGTGCACAAGGAGGCCGCAGGCCGCGACGACGGCTGGCGTCTGCAGCGCAATATCGGGTGGCAGCAGCGACAACGAGCCGGCGGCATCGCCACCACCATCGTCATCGCCATCGTCCTCCAGCAGCTCCAAGACGCCGCCAAGAGCGTGCAGCTCGGCCGACAGGGCGATGACGTCGGCGCGGGACTCTCGTACGAGGCGCACGAACCGGTGGAGGGCGGGTGCAGTGCGGGCGACGGTGCTGCTGACTGCGAGGCAGCAGGCGGCTATGGGACTGGAGGCCGTCGTAGGCGTCAGCAGGAAGACAGCAAACGAAAAGGGAAAACAGAGAGGACAGACTCACTTTCTCTCCATTCTGTCCAACACGCTTGCGACGGAGCAGATGCGTAATGAAATGAGAGAGCACAGCCGCGAGCGGCAGATGCAGATGGGGAGAGAGACAAAACGGGGGCAGCAGAAGCGAAAAGGGAGCGAAGGGTGAAAAGAGACGGGAAAGAAGGCCCGGGCACGCGTACTGGGCTACTTAAGCGAGATGCCTCGACCAACGAACGCATCTGGTGCCGAGACGGCTGTCCCACCTGCTGCCGGTTCCACGTTTCCACCTGCACTGTGACGGGCATGTTTTGTCTCTGGAAGGGGTGCGAGAGACACGTCCTAGGTCGTGCAAGAACAGACGCACAGCCGGGATGCACCACGGCAAGTTCAGCCCTAGACCAGACCGCCGTCTTTGATCGAGACTGGAACGGGCAGATGGATCAGACCAGAGCAACAGGGCAGAAATCGAACGAGAAAAACGCTAAAACGAAGAAACAAAACAGAACACGGACCTGGAGTCTGTCTAGGCAGCTAGCTACGGAGTAGCTGACCAGCTAGCCAGCTTTTCCCCGTCTCAGAGATGAAATTCCGTCAGGGCCATCGGCGGGAAGTTCTGGCGTGCCCCGAGACCCTTATCCCTGCTGGCTGATGGGTTTAGGGGAGGGAGGACACAGACAGCACATCCTCGCGGTCAGCGCGCACCCGCATGCATCGAGTGTGGTCCGTACTCCGTATGTTCATCCTTGTCTTTTTGCATCTTTCAATACATACGTCGTAGTACGTCGTAGGATGGCGACGAATAGCAGACGGCCAAAATTGGCAGCTCTTCTGCAGCTCTCTGCGGCTTGTCTCTGTTCGGAAATTAGTACGTGGCAGACCAGGCCACAAGCAGACTAGGCCTGACAACAACAGGGAGCTGGGAATATCTTCAGCAATCTGATACCGATCGGCGACAGACAGGGACAGGGGCGGGGGAGCTTGTGCTCACAGCGAACATGCACTATTATCGGGCGCCGTCGCAGTCTTGTGCAAATAGCCGCTCGGGATGGATTGGCAGCTGCAAGACAGAGCCAAAGAATGTCCATTCGTAGGCGTTCGGCACTGCTGCCAGCGGACGTTCTTGGCAAGAGGGCCCACCCGTTCTTGGCTGTTGACTGTTGGTTGTTGGCACCTTGACATGTCCGTTTGGAGGTTTGACAAGCCACGCCTTCCCACAAAAAAGATACGAAACATGGAAGTGACGTGCGGCCACAAAACAGGAAGTTGCCCTGCCGCGTCAGATCAGTCAATCAGTCAATCAGTCAGCAGATGGGCCGTCGGACTTTAGTCCTTGCTCCCTGCATTAAAATCACAGTTGCTGCAAATGGCCTTTTCCCTCTGGCTGCTCCTCTGATCATCTCCCCCGTTTCCTTTCATTTCCCATCCCGACAACACCAGACGATGGATCCCGATGGCGAGCACCACGCGTGGCCAACTACGGACGAGTCCAGCGACGACGGCCACGACGACCGGCTTGGGTGGATGGCCAGAAACGCCGCCATGCCGCCTGTCCTCCCAGCTACTTCCGTGCCCGACCTGGACGGCTGGATTGAGACGCTGAGGAGCTGCCGCCCGCTGGCCGAGGCCGACGTCGAGCGGCTGTGCGAACGGGTGCGTGTTTGTGGTGGTGGTCTCCGTCGCGCACATGGGACACCCAGGCTGACTCTTGCAGGCTCAACTCGTGCTGGCAGGCGAGTCCAACGTACAGCCAGTGGTGAGTTAGTTTGGTCTCGTGGCCTTGGACAGCCACTCGGCCAACTGCCAGCTGACAGCCTCCAGGCAAGCCCGGTGACCATCTGCGGCGACATCCACGGCCAGTTCCACGACCTGATGGAGCTCTTCCGCATGGCCGGGCCGTGTCCGGACACCAACTTTCTCTTCATGGGTGGGTGAAGGAGCACCCGCACCGGTGGACTGCTAGGAGAGAATCACGCCTTCTAACCAACACGTGTCTCTGTCGCCCTGTCGCCCCTCCCCGGCTCTGCGTCTCTCCGTTTCGCTCCCCCTCTGTTCAGGCGATTATGTCGACCGTGGCTACCATTCGGTCGAGACCGTCAGCCTGCTGCTGGCCCTCAAAGTGCGCTTTCCGCGCCGCATCACCATTTTACGTGGCAACCACGAGTCGCGCCAGATCACCCAGGTCTACGGTTTCTACGACGAGTGCCTGCGTAAGTACGGCAACCCGCGTGTCTGGGCTTGTCTGACCGACCTGTTCGACTACCTACCCGTGACCGCCCTGGTCGACGGCCAGGTCTTTTGCCTGCATGGCGGCCTCTCGCCCAGCATCGACTCGCTCGACCATGTCCGCGCCCTCGACCGCCTGCAGGAGGTCCCCCATGAGGGCCCCATGTGTGACCTGCTCTGGTCCGACCCCGACGACGCCCCCGGCTGGGGCATGTCCGCCCGCGGCGCCGGCTACATCTTCGGCCCCGACATCTCTGCTGCCTTCAACCACCACAACGGCCTCGATTTTGTCGCCCGCGCCCACCAGATGGTCATGACCGGCTTCGAGTGGACCCACGACCGCAACGTCATCACCATCTTTTCCGGTACCGTCTTAGTCTTTGCATCTGCCTCCTGACCTGCTTTAACTCTCTGTGCTGACTCGTCACAGCTCCCAACTACTGCTACCGCTGCGGCAACCAGGCCGCCATCATGGAGATCAACGAACACCTGGATAATGAGCTGTGTGTTGCGATTTTCACTCCCTCAGCCCTCTTTCGATCCTGACATCCTCGCAGCCTCCAGTTTGACCCGTCTCCTCGGGTTGACATACCCTCACAGCCAAAGCGTCAGTGCCATTTGCTGCTACCCCAATTAAAACTGCTCTTTTCTGACCGTCTATCAGGAACCCCCGATTATTTCCTTTAAGGCTGGCTGGATAAGGAAAAGGGCACTGGTCGGGACAGAGACTTTCTTCAAACGTTGGCTTATTCTAGGCACGAAGATGGCAACCGACCAGTACTTAGCTTGACAACCTGCGGTCACCTGAACTCTTTTATCAGCGAATCATACATACTTGGAGCTTGTACTCCGTAAGCCAATGTGATTGACGTAGACAAAGTCGGATCCACAACGGTCCGACGAGTGTCAGCTTGAAAAATAGTGATATTTCTGAACGCCATGTGGCCTGACATGCCTGATCGTTTGACGTCCTTATACGCCTTATACTTCGGCAATGTCTTTGTGTGCGACTTGCGAGAGCATAGACTTTCGCGTCCTCATCAATGTCTGCATTCGACAATGCTACGTTAGACAAGCAGATATCGAGATCGATGGTGCCTCGTTCAAGTCGCTTCTAACGGCCACGATGAAGCACCATAAGGATATCTTTGCGATCAGAGATTCTGGCGAGAATTACGGTCTTTGCAAAGTTATATACAAAGAATTCGAGAAGAGAAACGTCGATCCAGAAGAGGCAAGAGACCTACCGATCTTCTTCCGTGCATTAGACAACAGAATCGAAGTGTGCTGTGAAATTGATAGCAGTCTATCCAGTCTATGTCATCTGGATACATACATGAACGATGATGATGGTGTGTAGTTCCTTGTAAAGTGTATGAATACGACTAACACTATTGTAATGGAGGAAGTTTCTCAACAATGCAAGATAACCGATTCTAAAAAAGAGTGAGGAAGATCCCAGCTCAAAGACGTCTTTTGCGGTTGCCTCTGGTTGGTTGAGAAAGTGCATAGGTAGCCACGGTCTTTGCAACCCACCAAAAAGATTCCAGAAGCCACCGAAGCGGTTGATCGACGTTGGCAACGGAGCCCAGAACCCAGTTTTGGTGGAAACCTCTTTGGGCTCTCGACAGGAAAAATGGGTAGCTCTAAGCTACTGCTGGGGGAAGGAGCCCTCGTTGAAGCTTACCGCAGACACCATGGCCATGATGAAGAGTGGCATCCCGCTGCACAAGTTAGATCCTTTGATCCAAGATGCCGTAACGGCCACCAGAGCTTTGGAAAGCACCTACATCTGGATCGATGCATTGTGCATAATCCAAGAGGATAACGGCGAAGACTGGAACAAACAGGCGTCTAAGATGGACGAGATATACGGAGGATCGACGGTGACTCTTGTTGTCGCGGACTCAAACTCTGTCAAGGCCGGATTTTTAGGCAAACGAGAAATGAAATATATTCCCATTGCGCTGTCTAGAAAGCCAGGTGGAAACGCTTCCGTGATTAAATCTCCAAAGGTGTTCTTGTCAGCCGGATGGGATGAGAACAACGACGAGCCACATGGACCCTGGAATCACCGAGGGTGGACAATGCAAGAAGGCCTACTTCCCAATCGGCTACTGCATTACACCTCTTCTCAGATAATTTGGAAATGCTGCGAGGAGCAGAGGCTCGAGAGGGGTGTAGAAAAACGTCTAAAGGATGAGTTGGCTGTGTCCCCAAACTACTCTGAGGATCCATCATTTGGATCTGGATGGATCTGGAATTGCGGAACATTTCTTAAATTCAAACACTTTTCTGGATACCTACCCATGAATCCGAGTGATCCCTTGCTGTCGGAAGCGGAAGCGTATCGTGTGTGGTACGACTTAATCGAGGATTACACTCGAAAAATATTTAGCCAAATTGGTGATCGTCTTGTGGCGATATCAGGTCTTGCCAGAATTTATGGTGATGGCATTCAAGCCACGACTATGCAGCCGGGCTTTGGAAGGCAGATCTGATCCGAGGACTTATGTGGCACATCAAGGGCGCGAGACCCATTTCTCGACAGTCTCCTGATGGTATGTTAGCGGTCAATCCTGGCTTTCCATCATGGAGCTGGGCCAGTGTCGGTTATGAACTTGTGACGAACAGCTACAAAGACGAGAGGGAGGTGCAGACACTATCGATTATTGAGGACGCACGTGTCGACCTTGTTGATCAGAACAACCCATTTGGATCTGTGAAATGCGGTAGTATCACGATTACCGGACCTTTAAAAAAAATGGCGACACTTAGTCACGGAGAATGGAAATCCAACGAAGCCCCGATAGCAGACTGTGAGCGACTTATCTTGAATATTGTCGATGAAGAGAGCCCAGGAAGCGTAGAACAGCGCTACTATTCTCCATTTGGAGGCCATTACACGGCATTGATGATGCTTGAAAGCAGTTTTTCACTGGGGTTTCTTGTGCTAGAAGCCACTGGCGAGGTCTTGGAGGGAATCAACGTGTATCGTCGTGTTGGGGTACTTGAATTCAGTAAGATTCGCGACGCCGATATAGCATCGCCAGAAGTAATTTCATTGTTCGAGAAGATGGATAATTCTCTCAGTACACGCTTGGCCGGAAACAGGATAATAACGACAAAGAGCGTTGAGAATTCCGGCCGCTCACTCCCTGAGCTGAGAAGAGAGTCGTTGCAGACTGAAACTGTAATCATAGTATAAAGGAAATGAGAGGCCATCCTGACCATAGCGTTCGCCTAACAGAATGATTTTCTTGCGAGTATAGTGATAATAAATATTTGTCGAGTAGATTTGAGTTTTATCATGAGGGAACCTTGCGTTTGAAAATACCTCATTATTTTACGAGTCTTTCAATTTTCATGACCAGAAATACAGGGCGGTGAAAATTGTATATCGCAATGTCAAAAAATAGCTGAGATATTTTTGCACGAAAAAGGAAGGAGTGCGTAGTGGCCAATCGTAAGATACTTTCGTCATTCATTTCCACATCGCCTCCACGCCTTGCAACAATGTGACCTGCACATGCTATTTCTTTTAACATCACTCTCCTTCTCATCACGCTCTGGTGCCCCTGTGCACCTTCTTGTCGGACACTTTGGCGTCGTCAGAAACCTTGGCGTTGTCGGTTGCCTTTCCTTTGCTGGGCGCTTTCGCCTTGTCAGCCTCTTTGGTAGAAGCTCTTCGTGGCTTTGTCTGATTTTGCCACTTCTTCAGCTGTCTCAGCCTTACGGGCTTTGTTCAAATGTGCATTCTCTGCCTTCGGATTCGTTGTCGATTTTTGGCCTTCTCAGCCTTCGCAGCCTCTCCAACGGAAGCCTTATCCAGGACCGGGATCGGATCCTTGAGCAGGTTTGTGAGACGACGATAGCCTGCTGCGACGGCGTAGTCGATCAGTGTGAGCTTCTTCTTGGAGCTGTCACCAAGGCGCCGGTCAGCGTGGCCCTGGCCGAGAAGGTCGCTGACAATGTCCAGCATCGCCTTCATCTCCTTCTCGGAGTCGGTAGTGGGGCAGGTCAGCGTGTTCAGCGGCGTCTGGCCGTTTGCACGACGGGAACAGACAGGTTGGTGATGGTAATGTGCAGCAGCGTCTTGTCGTCAATCTCTGCCATGATGCCGCTGTCGTGACTGACAGAAAAACCAGATCCGTTAAAGTGACGCATAAAAGGGGCCAATCGCACAGCAAAAGGTCGTTCTGGGATAGGCACCAGTGTGTGCGTGGTTGCGTAGGCGCTGTCGTAGATCGTTCGTAGTGTTGGGCTTGAATACCATCTCAAAGATGCCGTTCAGATTGAGCTCAGCGTCTGACACAGCTTCTCAGCATCCTTCAGTGCGGCAGTGCACCGCTCTGGAGTCGCTGACGCTTCTTCTACAACATCTATTGACCTAAAATTTGATTTCATTCGTTCGAGCTAGAAATATTGTAATAGCTAGATGTCGAACGGAAGAAAAGGATTATTCGCAACTATGCTATCTTCGAAGTGGAACGAAGACAGCCTATTCTAATTCTTCTCAATTGTTTACTCCTTTTGAGTATCACAGGACAGTAATCTTGCACCCCATTTCCTTCTCAATATCGAGTAGCAGAGGCTCGATAGGTGTCACGTAGCTGATATCGATTTTTTGCGACTCTTCCTCTCCTGTACCCGTAGTAAGAAGCCCACCGAGTCGTCCATCAATACCAAACACAGCGGCACCAGAGTCACCTTTCTTACTAAAGGCGCGGTGGTGGTCTTCAAGCGATCCATGGATGGCCCACTCAAAGGACTCAAACGAGCCTCCGCTAGGAAGGCACTTGCGCACCGTGGATTCCAGCTCCGATGCTTTTCCCCAAGTCAGGCCCGTTACAGCACCGCGTTTTCCGACGAGAAAGCCCTTTTCTCCTTCTGCGTCGCGTGTGACCGGTTTGAACATCTCTTTGAGGGAGATGATTCCCGATATTTTAAGAAGCCCGTTGTTTGGAAAGGTGAATTTGTGCTTGTTCATAACATGAGGATTGAGCAGAAGATTGACCTCATTCCGGGTCATCGCTCTGGTGCGAAGGTCCACCATGTTTGTTGGAGGGATGTCGCCGGGGAATTTTTTGACATCCAAGTCTACGAGACTCCAGTCTCGCGTCCATGGCTGACTGTCCCCGCTATTTCCTGTGTACTGGCCTCTCCCAACAGGCGGCGAGTAAAGCAAACTGCCAAATTCTCTATTCTCCAATGGCTCGAACGATTTTATCGTTCCATGAAGCCTGTTAACAACCTCCAGTTGCTGTCGGGTAAAGGCGTCGTCAACATTATTGGCCCTGCGAGTCCAATCATCCTTCATATATTGGATCTCTACCATGGACTCGTTCATTGTCTTCTCTGCTGGCAAACCTATGCGCAGGGCTTTCTGACTGCTGTTTCTGCGATGGTACAGCTTGTTGTCCGGGTTTGTGTCATTGGGTATACCGACGTGGCGACACGTGAGTGCCCAGACTGGACTCTTGGTCGTCCTTGCAGGACTGACATAGATGCCCAGCGTGCCTCGTAATCCGGGATTTGAGAAAGGAAAGATGGATTGCCCTATAGTAGTTGTGAATGGCTGCGCAGTCACACAGACCGTCTCATCCGTGGGCGATTCTCTATAGGGCGGCAGCAGCGATGGTCCTGCCAAGGACATTACAGTCGAGACACGGATCTGGCAGTCCACATTGGCCAGGTTTAGGTTTGCACTGTCCAGCGCTTTGCGGCAGCTCCGCAGTGCCTCTGCCACCTTGTACCATGGTATGCTTGCCGTTTCAACGCCTACCCAGACAACCACCGGCCTTTCGGCGGGTTGGGAATCCTGATATCCGATCCGAAAGATGTCAATTGACGTCCATGGCAGCCCAGAGATTGCTTCGACGACCAGGGGCTGAACAGCTCTCCAACACTTGCGTATAGGGTGGTTCCCGATCGAATCCAGCTGCTTCCGAGGGTAGTACATGAATGGTTCTGGTGGTAGACGGTCCATCACTTGCTTACAAGTCTCCCATATTTCGATGCCAGCAGACGCACGACCTACCAGCCGAGGTTCCGACAATATCCCGTGATAGTAGTTAACCGCTTCTTCCTCAGAGGGTGGCGTTAAAAGAGGAAGGATATTTTCGTTGTCTGCCTCATTTCTGGCCATTGGCGACGTTACATTCGTACTCTGGGAAGCCTCGGTAGTACCGGACGACTCTGTCTCGTCACTCCTTGTTTCCTTGCGCGACGCCATGGTTTTAATAGAAAGTGCTGCGTCTGGCTGGCAATATGTAGGAAAAGAGGGAAGAAGTGGTAAAAGGTATCGAATATGAAGTCGCAATATGGACGGCGGAGAGGAATTTGATAGAAAAGAGGGACAGAAAAGATGGAAAACAATGGAAGGAAGATGAAGAGGAAAGGCGGAGGGGGTGTAAAGAGAAGAGAGGGGGGTTGCAAAAGGAAGAGGGAGAGTGGATGTGATAAAGAAGAAGAAGGAAGAAGGGGAGAGAGTTAAATTCAAAACCACAAATTGTTAAGCTCTGGAATGGAACGCACTGTGACTAAGCTGACTCCATTGATCAGAATAAATAAAATGGGTATTACACCATAGAAGGCGCACCATGTACTCTTTTCTAGCTTTATACATTACGCAGATCACCAGCCAAAACAGACCGACCCATACAGTGCACCACTTCCCCTGCTATACAGCTAGTTATGACACCAATTTATAGAGGAACTAGAAGCCAAGATTGGAATAGAAGAGCAGCAGTCGGTAGAGATGATAAGTGAATCAGCACCAGCAAAACAAATGGCCAATAAAAATGCAACCAAAAAAGACTAATCAAAATGATGAGTGACACGGATCAGTAAGATGATCTGTGAAACAGGATCAGTAGAAGTGACGGGGTGATACAGTAGTAAGCACGACATTAATAATTGTAAGTGCGATATAGTGTAAGAACTTCGCAGGCAGCTGCATGAATCATATACTGGTGCAAAATAATGTGGTAAGATGATACCGTAGTACCTGGCATTAAAAGAGTTTGCATTGTGGAAGCGGCTGTGATATATGTCTACGATACTACGGTGTATATACCACCGTACCAACTGCATCTCAGCCATGGGAGAATTCTGAAATTATCATTTTTCTAGGAATGACAAATCTTGCACTGTATTTTGAGCAGGTCGGCCTCACCGGTGTCTTGTATTTGTGTTAAAATAATATGACTACCCACCCAGGCAATAAACTTCAACCTGTCGGAATTTTAGGCATCTGCTCCAATGGTTGTGATTCAAGATAGCCCCCAAAACTTAGATTTGCATATTGTAGCTCCTGTTGCTCCTGTTGCTCCTGCAGCAGTTGCGTCTCCTGCTCCTCTTGCCAGGTTTTTTCGGCCACAAGAGATAACACAACGCGGTCCGGAAGAACTTTGAGCAGCCCGGCCCCAGATGAATGCTGGGAGTTGCTGGCGCTTGAATTCGACGAGTTCTCTAGCGTTGTGGCGTCACTCATCGGCTTGTTCATTCTGCGCTGGCTGTGCAGGAAGAGGCGTCGGCCAGATTTCATGGCCTCCAGAGCCCGGCGCAAGATGAGGAATGCGGGCGTTTCGAGCGATCTGTCCAGAAACAACGCCGTCCCCTCTTCATTGAGAAACCCAGACAGAGAAAGGGCATGTTTAGGGACTTTATCGAGCAGCTCACCCTCCCAGACGCCCACAACTTCTTGTGACGGGAAAACCAACTCGTCGGCTAGGGCAGCCACGATGCGGGACTAAGCAACCTGGTGCAGGGCAGGGAATTCGGCCCATGGACGAATTGCAAGAGGATAGTATTTGCCTTCAGTCTTGGTCTGGCCCCCCGTCGCGATCGAGCCGACCCGGCCAGACACCGTTTCCGGAGGTTGGGGCGGTCTCCCTTCTGAGGGTAGGGGGACCAGTCGCATTAGGTGTGTGTTCATGCGTGACACAAGGGCGAGAAACGGTTGCAGAGCCTGTTCTGGCCGAATGTCAGCTTGCTCGTCGGTGCGTCTGGAAATGGGAACCTACTTTCGCGCATGCGTCGAAATTCCGCGTGTTCAGTCTGCATCGACTGGACTCTCGCTTCGAATTCTGCGTGTTCATTTTGCATCTACTGGACTCTCGCTTCAGAGTCTATCCTTGCCTGCCGATCTCTTTCCTTCTCAACGCGTTCTAAAGTCTCTCGCGGTGAACTTTGTTGACTTCGTGCTCGAGTTCCTCACGTGCTCTTTTCTCCGCTTCGTACAACGCCTTGTAGTCTACCGTTTCAGACATAATAGCAGCGAACTCAGAAGCGTTTGTATGGTAGTGGTTGAAGCTAGGAGGGTTATCACGTCCAATATAAGTGGAGACTGGTACTACCATGGACCACGCGCGGCGCGCACTATACTTTATCCGGCTACTCTCCCGACGGCAGTCAAGAGTACTCCGTACTTTCCGTCATTTCATTTCTGTTTATGTACATCGTGGGCTTCTTCGATCTCGTTGTGTGTAAATCGATTCTTCCGCCCCTCCTTAGTAACACGAACTGAGACTGAAATTCGGAATTTTATATACATTCGACAAGGACTAAAATGCTTATAACTATTCCTAGTTTTCTTTGTACCTCGTAAAGACTACGACGCAAATACAGAGACAAAACACACTACAACTGGCACAGAAAGAAGGAGCAGATACACACAAACCCAAATACATAGATAAGCTCCTACTTACTTTTGCCTCTTTTTATCATCGTCATGCATCGGTCATGTCATTCTTCTAACAAGAAATCTCGTAAGGCCAGCCCTTCGCCCAGGGAGGCACCTGGGGACCTTTCAGTCTGACAATTCGTCTTCGACCGTGAAGCTCAACTTTTGACTCTGTTCAATTTTTGTTGTCTTTTATGCAACTTGTAGGTAGCTGCAAGTGCTTCCTCACTTCTTCCCAAACTGCACAAATCTTGCTTAATGACTTAGTATTGGATCATTCGATCCAACTCACGGGGATTGCTGGCAAGAAGGCTTCATCTAAGGCAGTCTACTTGTCAGGCCATGCTATGTATCTTTTACTACTCCCCCGCTCTTACCATCTTCTTCGGCGGTCCCTAGTCGGCGTACTATCACCCGATCGTCTTCCCTCACAATATCCTCCATGTGCTGGGCTGCCCGTTTCGCTTCGTCAGACCCAATTTCCGCAAAACGCTTCTGCCAAAACCGCCATCGATCCATGTTAAGTCCCGGCTTCCCCCTGCCGTCTTCCTTGTAAAGAGGACCTGGATTTGTCGATGCCAGCTCCGTCTCGTTAAGGGTTTTTTGGTGAAAGGCATCTCTGAAAATCTCAGAGCCGCTGAGCAAGATCCATTGACAAGCGACGCTCACCTGGCATTCAAAGTACATGCGCGCTTCTTCCTTGATCTGCTCGCTCTCCTCGATCCCCTCGACCGTCTCGTCCTCCCCCTCCATATCGCTCTCCATGATGGGTGACAACGGTGGGGGGTAACGTTCCAGCGCTGCTCCAACTGCCATAACAGCGTACAATGTCCATTGAAGCAGTCCCTTTTCCATAATTCGGGCGGAAAAAGCGTTGAGATTGATCCATTCCACAAGAATAGATGCGTATTCTTCAATTGAAGTTTTTTCCATCGCCATAGGATCAGGGTCTGAAAGTACTCGGTTATTAGAAGTAGTTGTACTTCACCAAATAAGAGACAGAATTGAAAGATGAAAGCATGCTCTTACCATACCAAGCTTCGCGCACCATAGCCGAGAACAAAGGCAAGTCTCGCCAGAGGCGAGCTTGTTCCTGTAAACAAACACCTGTTTTTAGTTGTTTATACGAGAATAGGGAAAAGTGGCAGAAGAATCCGCGTATGCTCTTACCCCCCATACCTCGATCGTGGCCTTAGCTCTCGACCGCAAGCACTGGAGAACAGCTACTAGCTCATCTTGAAGAGGGCTGTCACTTGGTATGGATTTGGCTACAAGGATGAACGTCTCCCACAACGATGTTAAGTACACCTCCAGCTCGTCGCTCTTGTCGAGGGCTGGACACAACTGCTGGATCTCGGCAACAGCATTTTTCACGGCAGACGACGCGCTGAAAATGATTGTAGTATCTGCTTGAAGTTCTGCTTCTTTTGAGCTCCCTAGACCAGGTGTGGGCGCATCTTCTTCCGTCTGTCTTTCAGCGGAGGCAACTAACTGCTTGAATAAGGCTAAGACGTGTTTGTCAAGGTCCGTCATCTCGTCGGCTTCATGACTTTCTAGCCTCGCAGAAACAGAGGGTTTGGCCACAGAAGACGAGGCCATGTCTGCAAGACTATTATGCTGTCGGCTCTTGTAAGTAGTGGTGGAGATGGAGATGGAAAAAGGCCGTCTGGAATGCCTAGTGATGAGTTGACGTGGTGGTAATGGTCGAGATGTTTGGAGGAGCCCGATTTTCCAGACAGAATTTGTCGGGTTTACACTTCGCCACAGAAGCGACCTCAGGGAAGCGTTTGGAGTGTTATTCAGAATCATATGAGATAACCGAAAGTATGTGATGCTAAGTAGGAATCGGCTTGCCGATAAAAAGCCAGGCGGGGTTCTATTAATTTATTATTAGAACAGACTCTCAATTCTCGCGCAGCCCCACTGAGTGAGGATTGATTGTCCACTATAAACACGGGTCTCTGACCAATAATGGGCGTAAATCGGACTCCGAGAATACTTGTAGAGGTACTTGAATTGCGCGTCGCTAATCACATAATACCGTCTTAATGGCTGGTAAGTTGAGGAGCGGCATCCGTGGGAAGTACCTACACACTCAATATACATAACAATTAAGGCGCTTTGTCCGGCCGCAAACATTACGCGCAGCTTGAAGAAACAAGACGCACAGTGTGACTGGTCCATGATGCACGCCATCAATATTTTCGAAACATTCAGGTGGCAGAGGGATGCTACAAAATTGCTCTTATGGATTCGGCGCTTAAAGTATTGGATACCACCAGGCAAGACGTTTGGAATAGTGCCACGCCTTGCCATAAACTTTCTAGCTTTGATACGTTCCAAAGCATTTTGACCAAGATGGACGTCAAGATGGAAAGTCCCCCTCGGAGCTCCGACTACAGCCAGGGGCAAGGCGGCTAAGAGGTCCCAGAAACAGACCTGTCTCTCTTTCTGCTATTGTGATGTCTCGCCCTCCATCCCTTTTTGGATACTTAATAGGCCTACAACCCGTCAACAGTTTCTTCCGTTTTGGACCAGAAGAATGTAGGACAAAAGCCAATCTACAACTAACTTTATTGTTCACACTCACCGCGAGACATTATCACCAAGCCAACTCGGTCTTTTCAACCCTGCTGTAGCAGGCACAACAACTATGTCTCGACAGACCACTAGCCCACATCAGAATAAGAATACAAGCAGTGCTACTGCCACTTATCTCAGCCCTTCTGTGGTTCAACCCCCTTCTGAGCCTCATGTATGTCAAGAGACAAAGCTATAACGCGTAAACAGTTTGTATCAAGGCCAGGTCCTTTCTAACTTGATAGTTCTCATGTGGGAATCTGAGTGACTCCCAACCCGAGCGCTACATCAAGGTGTCAGACGCGAATGCTCAGGTTCTAGCGGCACCCAAAGTGCTTGGTAAGAGCAGAGGCTACCCGAAGCCTCACGCCAACATAGAGCATAACGGCCTTTCAGCACCACCACCTCTTCGGGAGTTTCCTGTGCTTGCGAATACTACACAACCTTGGACACAAGGAACAAATCCAGGACCTGTACGAGCGGTTTATAACGAAAACAACAGAAACAACTACGACGTGGTGTACCATGATCCGACAAAGCAAAGGCCTCTTGATTTTAGTAAAGCTACGAGGAACAATGGCAGCTCGTAGTCTTTAATAAAAAAAGGCTCCAGCCTAAAGGCCAACCATCTGTTGCTAGGATACAGGTATCTTCTTCCGCGGCCTTACATAAGGACCACCTCGTTTTTAAGTCTTTCCATCTTTGCCTTTTTGTAAACTAGGGTTTTTAAATATCGTTGTGCAAATCAGACTCTACTCTTTATTTTTTCTTAGTGACGCTAAAACTATGACTCAAATTGGGAAATTCAGTACACATTCTGTAAGGAATTAAATGCTTATGATTGAGGTTATATGCAAGATGCAAGAGAAAAGTTACATTTTCATCTTAGCTATACCTAAAGAGCGCTTTTACCCATGTACTAATTTTTTTATTACATAAAAAAGGCCTAAACGACTTTGTCGCTCTATTCGATAATTGCCTTCGTTGCTAGCAATCCTATATGCAAGGATTTCTAGCCAGTGTTTCTACAATAGTACAGCGTGCTGTCTTGCATTCTTAATTATACTAAAATAATACTAACATAGGGATATACAAGTGCCTAGACTAGACTTATAGCCGTTCTCACCAGACTACATATTAAATAAACGTGCCTCGTAGTTTGGGATCCAAAAAGATAGATGGAATGCTAAATTCGTACCTGTAAATAGCTGCGCAGTTGCACAGACTAGGTTATCCGTAGTAATAGCGGAGGTTAGGTAAGGCCTTGGCCCGAACCAACAACACACACCTACTACCACACGTACCTGCGCACGTAGAGAGGTATTATAAAGCACCTCTTTGTACGTTGCTACAGGGCATAGCAGTATATAGCGAGTACGAAGGGTAGAGAGGAAGGCCTATAAGGGGAGAGGGACAGGCGGGCGGAGAGGCGCAGACGGGATAAGAGGGATAGGCAGGAGAGGCTGCGGAGAATTTGTATAACTAGGAGGATAGACGAGGTAGTGGGTCAGGCCATCGTAGAGGAACTGCTGTTGTATAGTAATTTGCTATGCTTCTTGTTTTTTGCCAGAGTAGTCACCAATTTTTTGCTTATATAAGTGATATTCAATTCTCGTGTTATATTCGCTATACGGGCACCCATACAAATAGCAATTAGCGTTCAAGCGTCTCAACTTCACACCGCTGCGGTGGAAGCTGTAAGGGATATAATAAAACTCTCATGGCATAGCCTTTCCCAGGCTGTCCCGCGTGTACTGTAGTGAATTAGGACGGCCCCTAGCGTTGTGACCAACTTTTCGTTACCGCAAGGTTAGCACTGTGTACTCGGCAAGCTGTTTGCCTCGGGTAGGCAGTCACATCCCGCCTAGATCGAGCGGACTTTCTCCAAGGCATTGAGGCCCGTTGGGTTGCCAGACATACGGATGGAGTATTTTCCTAGATAGGCTGTGGGGCACGGTCAATAATATAGAAGACTATGAGTCATTCGGGAGACAGCTGAACCAAGATACAGGGATCTACTGCTTGGCGACGCGCAGTGAACCCTAAGAAGCCATCCCCTGCGGCTTAGCGCATTTCCTCTCTCATTATTCCTGCTGCTCCCTCCTAATGGCCTCATCTTTGCTTCAGCTAGCAGCCCCTCACTTAAATGGTTGGCCTCGTCTTCACCTCTGTCAAATTGTACGCGTCATCTTAGTTGGAGAATATTGTGTATTCCAAGTTGGGGGACTGCGTTATACTGTTTAAAAACTATCTTGTAATGGGCGGTGTTCAGGCACTAAGTCCAACGGTTCGACTCCATGTCATCGCTAAAGTGGACAACATCTCGGGCGCCAACCTCATCCTATTTGCCCCACAAGCTTATATCTGGCCTCAAAGGAGCACTGTATGTATACGGCAAGTGGGGCGCGACTGACTTGAGAAGGCGTAAGATACATATAAAAGTCCATAGCTCTGGCAAGGTATGACTTGTGGGAGTCCTATCGGGTTGAGCGTGACCCTCGTGTGGCGTCTCTGGGTGTGCCTTGGCCCCGCGGTTTGCCCCTCCACGAGACAGTCCGATATATGGTGGAAGGTCCTGCTTCCCTGGCGTACATGGAAGAGCGGGCCAGATCCATCGTATTCGGCCGCGCTGCTGCATACCTCCATCCACTCGATGACGTTGACGACAACACGAGAGCAACCATAGGTGATTTTGTGGAAAACTGGCCAGAGGCTCTAAAAATCTACATTCGTGGAGCGCCGGGTGAAGAACGCAAACTGCGTATCCAATCGGCTTGGGATTATGCGAACAGCCTGAGCAAGGGGCAAGGCATGTCCAGACGCCAGATACGTGACTTCTGGATACCATTCTTTGAAAGGGCCGGTGCCGATATTCCCCCATTGGATGCCGATAAAATCGAAATCCTTCCATGCGCCGACTTCCCTCTGTCGTCTCCCTCTTTGGCTTGGAATCCCATGAACGCACCAGCAATTCTCACAGCTGAAAAAGATGTTAAAGTTGAGCGGCTGTGTCTCGATCTTGTTCTCGGCGCATGCAGCTTTTCTGGTGCCCATGCTTATGTTTCCCCTGGAATATCCGGTCCTCTGCTGTACTGGGAATTGGCTACGTCACAAAACGATCTCTCTCGACCTGCCATTGACAGCTATATTAGCACCGCAGCCCTCGTTCTGAATACGCTGCATGGTTCAGCACCCTTACTGGCCGAGCCGTTTCCCAGCAGTGACCCTGCTGAAGTTCGATTTCCAGCTATGAGCGTGGACCCTTTATTTGCTTCGACCGACAACATACTTTCTGCCGAGACAGTCTTACGACATTTTGTACGGCAAACTCCCGGGATCCTGCTCAGCAGACTGGCATCGTCCATTCTCGGCAAGGTCTTGGAACTTTCTGGCACGACGACGGGAGACGATACGAATCAGTGCCTTCAAACTTTAGTATTCGTCCTCAAGCTCCTCCAAAAGAGATCACCCGCGGCAGCGGCCGATCTGGCAACAAAGGCTGTGCTAGGACTTCCCCATGATAGTTCTTGGCACCGAGGTCTGCTCAATGATGGCCTCTTTCGGCGCCTGTCACCCTCTAAAGCGGAGGAAACCCTGCAAGAGCTACTGGACGGATTTCAACAACGCTTCGAGGCTGCAGGGACAGCCTCTGCTCTCGAGGGGAATGACAAGCAACAAGGACCCTTTATCAAGATCACCACAGTCAAACTGGTGGCTCAGATGATGAGGCATTGTGCTGTTTTTTCACCTGCATTTGCTGTCGATACTCTCATTCGCTTGTTTCGCACCACCACGCACATCAGCGTTCACCGCGAGGCTGCACGAATCTTAATCAGCACAGCGAAATCGCTCCCTGATGGTGGAACTGTCCAGGAAAATATTATCCAGGCCCTTTCTACATATGTCGTACCGCGGGCCTCATCTCTGAACGAAGACAGCTGGCAACGCGCACTTACAGAGCATGATTGGCAGTCTGTGGAAGCTAGGGAGGCTTCTCTGTCCGAGTTGGGAATTTGTGACGGACGGGATGGGGAAATGTTGAATATTCTGATTGATGCCTGTAAAACGACACAGCCACCCGACAACCCCAACCATCCACAACTACACTCAGCTCTACTGAATTTGCTAGAAGCGGCTCTGCTCGAAAATAGCCGCTTGCATAGAAGATGGCTGAAAGCGTTCATCGTGCGAGAGAAGTTAGCTGTTTGGTCGGAAGAAATCGATTCGCTTCTCCCTGCCATACCCGTCTGTTATATGGGTATGCTCGGTAAAGTCTTTTCCCTGTGGTCTAATTAGGGCAGACCTATTCCGAGCGATGTCACAACTTATCCTCCAAAAAATTGAGGCTCCAGCCGCCCTGGCTGCCATGACTTCCCGTGTCTATGACGACGTTGAGCTGAGGAACTCTCATGCGGGAAGACACTGGTGTACCATGTGGAAGAGAGAAGTTTATGCATTTGACTTTTCAAACCTGGGTGGCACCTGGGCTGTTTCTACCCTTCTTTCCCCGGTTTCTACGCCGGACGCACTAGTAGACTGTGATGTCGATACACTAGCGAACTTCGTTCGAGACGTGGCTTTTGCGTTCTTTCACACCCGCAACAGCAGCAAAAATGATTGTTTCGGGATGTTTATTAAACTCCTAATTCAAGGGGAACGAGAAGCATTGAGCAAAGATGCCCGTTCTATCCATGGTGAGGTCCACTGTGGCCGTGGCAAAGGAATCGCTGTTCTTCGCCAGCTCTCGAGCGAGATAGATCGGATGCGCAGTCAGCCGTCATGGCGGCAAAACCCGGACCGGAAGCCGGTCAGTCTTCCCAGCTCTTTCGAGTGGAAGTACATCATCTGGCAGTGCAGTATGCCGACTGCAAATTCGAGTCTGTTGGAGTCTGGATCGAGCTTGGTTGACAGCACCGTCGCACTTGTCACTGCACTCGTGGAGGATCACAACACTCCATACCACCTCGCATTTCAGAAGCTGAAGGATTGGTTCCATAAAGAGGGCCAAGGCAGGGAATCCTCACCCGATGCCTTCTGGACGGGACTAGTTGTGGGCCTGGGTACTGTCGATGTCACCACGCATCATGTTCGGGGCACCCTGATCCGCTGCCTGTGCGCTGATTTGGCTTTCAGTTATCTAGCGGGTTTCGATAGCGGAACAACCCGAAACCGCAGATCGAGACCCTTGGGCGAAGCAAGGCTCCAAGTGCAAGACATGGTAGAAACTTGGAAGAGAAGTGATGTTGAATTTCTTTGGGACAGGGCGAACCAGATTCTGAGTACGCACATGTCGTTGCGTGATGACTCGCAGTATAGAGACCGGGCACCCAATGAATTAGACGATGAGCCGAGTGATGATTCAGAGTATAATGACCCAGAAGCTGACGATTGGGCATGTGATGACTTGGGGGGTGATGCCTGGGTAGACTAAAATAGGATCTTGGTCGTGCAAAATTGGCTACAATTCTAGAAACGCCTTGATTATTGTGCTTTTTAGTCTTTTTTTATATTCTATTACTAGGACAGCTAGCCGCACATCGATATCAAAGTCCAGTGTGATTTATCTCTCGACTGGATGCCCCGATTAGACGACCTGCTTGCGTCTGCCGCGGAGCAGTGAGTCTGTTCAAAGCAGGTTTACCAAGCTGCAGTACGCACAAGAAGCCACAGATAGAGTATCTAATTCGTAAAATGCATCCTGTTCGTGTCTGCTCGACGGTTGTCTGACTGTCATCGTCTTAGTCGACACGTAACAATTTCGTCGTCTACAGCTCCACAGGCGGTGCCATGGTGAGAATGTGTCTACTCCGTAAAGCGGAGGGTGAAGATTACGATAAGTCAATCGAATATAACTGGAGGCCATGAAATTGTACTATCTCAGATCTGAGTATTCGTACGAGGCCGTTCAAGTTGTCATTTTGCTTCCATTGCTCGTTTGCTCGCTCTCGGTGGTCTGTCCGTATTGCCCGCGCGCTGGTATTCTAGCCTGTCCTTACCTGATGTCCATTTAAATTGAAATAAGGCGGTCTCGGCGCTGCTGTCGTACAGTGTGCTGGAGACGTGCGGCGAATCGGCGCAGTCTCGTGATGTTATTGTGACGATATCATGAGCGGAGCTGCGCCAAAGAGTACGTAACCAGGTGGGGCACATGCTTAAGCTTTTTGCTCCCGCATTTCCCCAGACGATGTTTTTTTAATGCTGCGAAAGCGTACAGCTAAGGTGCAGGGTTCATAAAGGTGATACCGCACTGGATGGTTTCCGATCGACGACAGCTCCTTCCGAGGGTAGTATACAAGTATCGGAGAAGTAAACTTGATCGAGGCTGGATTCGAATACTGGCACTGTTGATAAGGCATTTGTAACAAGATCAATGCTGCCGGCTTAGAAGGTGTGGTTTATAGAAGCGGCTGTGCTATATGTCTTTACAATTTAGATTTATAAACCCAACATCCGATCTACTACACACCGTTTAGTTAGGCACTGGAAAGTTGTAATTTGCCGTACTAACCCCACCTTAGTCACAGAAATATACGGTTCTAGAATAAAAAGCAGGAAGGGGGAAAAACCAAGCTTCGTTAATAATTTTTCGAATCCGTTTCCATGTCCCCGTCGAAAGTTTTAAAAGCGACACCTGACGGTATCAAGACTTGCTTCCATTTCTACGTTGTCCATTGAGCACTATGGCTATAGTGACAGCCATCCACAGGGTTGGTTCGACCTTCAACGTCGTCAGTTTCAAGCTGCGGCAGTCGCCGCTTTCCGGCACGTTTGTCATTCCATCCGGAGCTACTGCAATTCGGATCTGACCAATGAGCTGGGAGCCGCCCGACTTTCTCACCCGCAGCACGGAGATGGGCAGCCGGCCGTGCACGGCGTCTCTGCCGGTCCGGCAAGCAATGGGCAATAATACCTGAAGCTGCCACATCCAGATGTGACTCTTTTTCCTGTAGAAGCTACCAAGTGCGGCCAGTCTTGCATCTCATGTCACCAACAAGACATGAGAGAGCTTTCTTCCCATAGCTCATAGAGAGGCTGGAGTCCATCTTTCCCAGCATTACTAATAGCTTACGGTCTTATTCGCTTGACCACGAGTACACGTACGACGTACACACATCCTTGGCAGGCTACCGTGACGCCGCATAGGGCTGAAATAGGCAGCATATTTTACGTAGCCGATGGAATAGAGGAGGACCTAGTCGCAGAATTTTTGTATAGAGTCAAGAAGACGGCTATCAGCGCCAGCCATTTTTTCGACAAGTTTGCCGATCCCACCAATGATCCGAGAAATGCCGAGTGACAGGCTGAAGCTGGGGGTCACGGCGGAAACGTAATCGTATTTATCTAACACTACTACGGTGAAGTTTTTGCCAAGCGTGGGTGGAACTTCTCGTGACCCTAATTGGAGGGGGGCGTGGGATAATGGAGACGAGCGATATCTCCACTTAGTATTCCAAGTTTCAGTCCCAGCTAAGATTATGCAAGGGCAGTGCAGATCGAGAAGAGTTCGCTCTCGCCTTGGCCAATGGCACGAAGGTATTCTGCCAAAAGCGGACAACGACACTGTGTGAGGCTCGGCAGTTGGTTATTTCCAGTAGTCATAATAGTTTCATTATTTGCTTTGTTAGACCATATTTTCGTAACAGCGAAAAGTTTTTTCTCTTGTTGCCACCTTTCCGTTTTCCGCATCTTGTGCTCTCCATAATGCGATATTTGCATTTAACACCTCAAGCACCAGTCCAGCTGAGATTGCATAAACCCGTAATAGCCGCTTGGCCTGGAGACAGTACGGAGTCGTATGGAGGACATGGGAGGCTTAGTGGCTAGCCAAGAGGCCAAGTGGACGGACTCAAAGCCAAGGACGCGGCCCAGAGGGCAGTGATGTCATCAGCCTGTAGTTACTTCTTGAGGAGATTTTTTGCGAAATGGGCCCAGTCCTACCGTGCCTGAAGATTACGCAGCACCCGGTCTCGAGACGGCTTTTCCAAGGCGTGTCTGCACTTTGCTTTAAAGCCAGTTTCCTGCATTGGCATCGTATCTGACCCTCCGAGCCCAACAGCCCGTCAATTACGCATAGAATTGCGCCATTGCCCAACCACTGCACGAGAACGGACCGGACCGGCTCTATCTCTTGTCTTGGCCCTCATCCTGTACCTTCCTACGCCTTCGTCATCCTCCTTTGCCTTCCTGCACGATTTCCCACCATGTCCGTGGCCATTCCCCAAGATCATGCCGGGTATGACGACTCCCTTGCATTCCGAGATCGCTACAGACACCCTGGCCACGAGGACCGGCTGGAGCCCAAGGACGGCGATGACGACCACAAGCATGCGAGTGAGGATCTGTCCCGCACCGACGGCGTGTCGGCTGACCAGGAGCTTGAGGCCTTTGGCTACACGCCTGAGCTCGCTCGCAGTCGATCGACGCTGCAGGTGGCCTTCATGTCCTTTGTCTTGGCCGCCATTCCCTACGGCCTCGCGACCACATTCTTCTATCCGCTCGTTGGCGGCGGTGCCACCAACATCATCTGGGGCTGGGTTGGCGTCTCGGCCATCATCCTCTGCGTGGCCGCGTCGCTTGGCGAGATCACCAGCGTCTACCCGACCTCGGGCGGCGTCTACTACCAGACCTTTATGCTCGCACCGCTGCGCTGGCGCCGCGTCGCCAGCTGGATCTGCGGCTGGCTCTACGTCGTCGGCAACATCACCATCACGCTGTCGGTCAACTTTGGCACCGCCCTCTTCCTTGTCTCTTGCATCAACGTCTTCGAGACCGACGGCGTCGGCATCTTTCCCGGCGAGCCCTACCAGGTCTTTCTCGTCTTCCTTGGCATCACTATCCTGTCCGTCCTCGTCTCGTCTCTAGGAAATCGCTGGCTTCCCATTTTGGATGTAGGAAACACACTCTTTTATTCTTCTGCTTCGCTGCTCCACGTGTCGTGTATGAGTGTGTGCGTGTGTGTGCATGTGTATGTGAATGCTTACATAATCCCATAGACTGCTGCCATATTCTGGACCTTTGCCGGCGTCATCGCCATGGTTGTTTGCATTCTCGTCATGGCCAAGAACGGGCGCCGCAGCGCAAAATACGTCTTTACCAGCTTTGAGCCGCGCTCTGGTTGGGTTCCAGGCTGGTCTTTCTGCGTGGGTCTGCTGCAGGCGGCATATGCGACGTCCTCGAGTGGCATGATTATCTCGTAAGGCCCTTCTACTGCCTGTGTTGGCGCCTCTTTTCTAACCGGTGTTGTGATTGGATCAGAATGTGCGAAGAAGTCCAGCAGCCGGCCACACAGGTCCCCAAGGCCATGGTGGGCACCATTGTGCTCAACACGCTGTGCGGCCTCCTCTTCCTGATTCCGGTGGTCTTTGTGCTGCCGGACATCGACGAGCTGGTCGCGCTGGCTTCGGGACAGCCGTTTCCGAGCATCATCAAGTCGGCCGTGGGTTCTCCTGGTGGTGCCTTTGGCCTCCTGGTCCCGCTGCTCGTCCTGGCCCTCATCTGCGGCATCGGCTGCACGACTGCGGCGTCTCGGTCGACCTGGGCTTTTTCCCGCGACGGTGCCATCCCTGCGAGCCACCTCTGGAAGAAGATCGACACAAAGCTGGACGTGCCGATGAACTCCATGCTGCTGAACACAGGTGTTCAGATCGTACTCGGCGCCATCTACTTTGGCTCGACCGCCGCCTTCAACGCCTTCTCCAGTGTCGGCGTCATCTGTCTCACCACGTCCTATGCTGCCCCGATCGCTGTGAGTCTGATAGGAGGCCGGCGGGCCGTTAAGACGGGCAGCTTCTACCTCGGCCCAATGGGGCTCGTATGCAACGTCATTGCGCTCGGTACGTCGTCCTCGAACATGAATGCCAATTCAGTTGCTAACTAATGGACAGCCTGGTCGCTGCTTGCAATTCCGCTCTTCTGCATGCCGTCGACCCTGCCAGTCGCAGCGACTACTATGAATTACGCCTCTGTCGTGTTTGCAGCCTTTGTGCTCATCTCGGTTGGATGGTATGCTGTCTGGGGCCACAGCAACTACACTGGTCCCCCAGAAGCACATTAGTCGTGCCCGTGACTAATGCTACCCTGGAGTCCATACTGTCCAAGATTGTCTGGAAATGAAACCTATAGACTTAGACTGTTTTAGAATTTGAATACCCCATTGCATTAGTCGAGTTTTTATATATACCATTCTGTTTAAAGTCTGCAGATCCTATTGTGAACGTGCTAGCGTCGTGAAGAGCGGGAACCGACTACGCGGACTAGTTTTGGAGTTTCTTCTCTCAGACCAAGGCTCCATTTCGCGCATCTTATGGAGTCACATCCTTTATATAACATCTAAATACTTCATCGGCAAAATGCTGCCTGTTTAACACACCACAGAAACCTGGCACACGATCATAGACACGAGTCGACCATACTGGCGGCTATATGCCGGACGTAGCAAGCATCTTGATGATAAGGATTCTTAACCGCTTTTATGTTAACTTGCATAAACATAACTCATGCAGACAGCTTTCCGTAAGCCGAATGAGGGGCGGGGGGAGAGTTAAATACCCCACGGTTGCATCCATGTCCGCGTTGCTGCCCAACAAACACGGTCAGATGTCTGTCGTGACATCCTTCTTGGAAACGAAAAAGCACGACAACTTAATCATGGAGGAAGAAACAAGCACTGCACCGGAGGCATCCCCGGTAACCAGAATTGAGGCAACGCCTGCTCAGCCGGCTGTCAATGAGGCGACTACTGTACCGCCGGTCGCCCAGGCGGCATCGACTGTACTGCCGGCCAATCACTGGGTACAACAGGACGAGGAGGTAAGCATTGCCTGATCAGCGGGACAACGCAAATACACAACTGACCGACCAGAACCCGGTGGACACTGACGCGGACTCGACTTACTCCATTAGCGACGAGCTAAGCTCCACAGCTTCCATCACGTCAAGCATCTTGCGCTACCGTGAGATCAACGGCAGGACGTACCATGCTGAACAAGGCGATGTGCAGTACTGGGCATCGAATGACGAGACCCAGAGCGAGTCAATGGACATCAAGTAGGCTTCTCTTTGCCGTCAGCTGTGCATGACCGGCCTTGCTGACAGGATCAGTCACCACGTCCTCTTGCTGAGCACGAACAACAAGCTGTACTTTGCACCCCTGAAAGATGATGTCCATGTGCGTTGAAGCGGGACAGAGGAGCATTGTGAGAGCCGCAGCTGACAAGATAGAGAGTGCTGGACATTGGAACCGGAACGGGCATGTGGGCAATGTACGTGGACCTGACGGGTCCTTTTCATCGTACCTTGAGCTGACCGACGAATCAGAGACTTTGCCGACGACCATCCTGGTGCTGAGGTGATTGGAACGGACATCTCGCCGATCCAGCCAATTTGGGTGCCTCCGAATACAAAATTGTGAGCAGCGGTTTTTTGTCTTTTCCTCTCCTCCTCTCCTCAATCGCTCACAAGTTCAGTGAACTTGAGGACTTCACACAGCCGTGGACGTTTCCGGAGAACTCGTTCGACTATGTGCATATGCGCTGGCTCTACGGCTCGGTGCCGGACTGGACTAAGTTGATTCGCGAGGCGTATCGCGTGCTCAAGCCGGGCGGCTGGATCGAGAGCTCCGAGGCCACGCCGCTGGTCGAGAGCGACGACAACTCGGTCCTGCCCGGCAGCGCTATGCACGAGTGGGGCAAGCTCTTCCTCGAGGGCGGCGACCTGCTCGGCCGCACCTTTCGCATCATCGAGAAGGACCTCCAGCGCAAGGGCATGCAGGAGGCCGGCTTCGACGAGGCGTCCATCGGACAGTGGGACTTTAAGTGTCCCGTCGGCGGCTGGTCCGACGACCCGCATCTCAAGCAGATCGGCCAGTACGTGCAGCTGACGGTGGAGTCGGACATTTCCGGCTACGTCGGCTTCATCGGCAAGCTCGTCGCCGGCTGGTCCGAGACCGAAGTGGCCATCTATTCGGCACAGCTGCGGCGCGACATGCGTTCGGGCAAGCACGCTTACTACAGGCAGCGTGTGGTCTGGGCACAGAAGCCATTGGCATGATGGCTACAGGGCAGAGACAGGCTGATGGAACATAACGCGGTACTATTAGTCCGTACATAATCCGATGACTAAGATGACTAAGCCTTATCGTACACGACTGTGAACCCGTCCAGACCGGCAATGGCCTCTCGGCACTCCTTCTCGTAGTTGGCAATGCCGCCAAGGTAGTTGAGCTGTTCCCGCTTCTTGCCTGGGATGTTGGCGCCCATGTACCACGAGTCTGTGAGTGGCAACAGGGTCTTGTCGTTAGCGTCTTGGATGGCCTGCTTCCACTTTTCTTCAGCGGGCCGCTGGGCCTCGATCGACTTGATGCCTTCGCTCTGGAGCTTATTAAGCAGGTCGATGACGACGTCGACTTGGCTCTCGATGAACACGGGGCCGTTTGTGAAGGCGGTGGGGGCTGGAGAGTTAGTTTGATGGAAGAGATAGAAGGAGAAGAAAACGAAGAAAAAGAAAAGAAAGAGAAAACAAAAAGAAAACAAAAGAAAAAGAAAAGAAGAAAGAAGAAAGAAGCTCAAAACCCACCCTGAGGTCCATATATCATAAAAAGGTTCGGACAGCCGCTGCTGCAGAGACCGAGATGGGTGAAGACGCCATCCTTCCAGCGCTGCTGAAAGGTCAGGCCGTCGCGGCCGCGGATGTTCATATTGGTGAGGCTGCCGGTCATGGCGTCGAAGCCGGTGGCCAGGATGACGATGTCGAACGGGCGCTCACGGCCGTCGGTGGTGATGATGCCGGTTTCGGTGAACTCGCGGATCGGGGTCGCCTTGAGGTTGACGACGTCGACGTTGTCCTGGTCGATGCGTTCGTAGTAGTCCTGCTCGAGGCTGCTCCGCTTGGTCCCAAAGGCAAACGGGGGCTCCTCTGGCACGAGGAAGGCGGCCTTTTCCGGGTTTCGGACGCGAGGCCGCGTCTTCTTGGCCCAGAAGTCGTACATCATCCGGCTGGCACGGGGGTCGACGAGGAAGTCGCGGTAGTTGGCCTGATTGAAGTTGAAGCCGCCGCGGCTCCAGAGGTCTTCCCAAAAGTCCTCGCGCTCCTCGTCGCTGAGGTCAAAGACGGAGCCCAGCTGGCGGTCGTAGCCGAGGCCGGAGGTAGTGCTACGACAGTAGGCAAAGGTCCGGCGCAGCGTGCTCTTGCCGATGCGCTCCTCGAGCTCGGTAAAGGGCCGCTGCACCATGGGCAGCGAGATGCTGGCCGTGCGGATGAAGACGGTCAGCTGGGCAGCCTCTTTGGTGATCTCCTGGGTGCACTGGACGGCCGTGGCTCCCGAGCCGACGATGGCAACGCGCGCGTTCTTTGTGTTGGCCACGGCCGGATAGCGCGTCGAGTGGATGAGCTGGCCGCGGAAGCGGTCGAGGTTCTTGAAGTCGGGGATGTGCGGCCGGAACGAGCTGCCGGTCGCGCAGATGAGGTATTTGCACACAGCCGTCTGGCCGGCCTCGGTCGTGACTGTCCAGCGACCAGACTCGTCGTCAAAGGTGGCGCCCACGACATTGGCCCCGTAGCTGATGTCCTTGGACAGGCCCAGAGTCTGGTCGACGTGCCGGAAGTACGCCCGCAGCTCGTCGCCGCTCGGGAACCGCTCGGTCCACGTCCATTTGCGCCATACCTCCGGCATGGAGAACTGGTAGTAGGGAATCTCCGAGTCGACGCGCGCGCCTGGATACGTGTTCCAGTGCCAGACGCCGCCCAGGCCTTTGCCAGCCTCGAACACGTGCACCTTGTATCCCTGCTGGCGCAGCCGGTAAAGCCCGTAGCAGCCGCCAAAACCGGCGCCGATGATGAGCACATCGAGCTCCTTGGTTGCGCCCAGTCCGTTGGTGGAGGCCATGTTGTTGGTGATGTGGGCGTGAATGGCTTCCGGACGTTGAGGTCGAACTATTTAGATGCGCAGTCGAGATATAACGTGGAGCAAGAACGCGGCTCCAATACGAATGCTCCTCACGTCTAGTCAGAAGCACCATTCACACCGATCGACGTGAAGCATTTATCGGACTGACCGACTCGACGCCGGAGCACCGTTCTCCCAAAGTCACGCGATGCGGCCAAAAGCGGAGATGGCAACGTTGCCCGGATATACTACCCGAGGGCTGGAGCTCGGCCTTCGCCGAAGTCTGTCCAATCACAGTCTCCGCTTCGAGACACCAACGGCATACTCGGCCCTTGCTATGGCACACTGACTTCGTCCCGACACTGCCGAGGAGCAGCCAACAGGCCGTACCTTGGCTAAGATGAGAATTTTCAGGTCGTACGTCTTTGAGCAACCTTGCTTTGGCGGAAGAGAATAGTAGCCACTATACGACCAGCTGCCATCTTCCCCGCACGGCCTATGCCGACAAAATGGGAGGTCAAGAGGGACTCACATGGGTTCTTTACCACTTGAAGCTGCAACCGGCGTTTCGTGAAGCTGTCACCTCATCATCAGCCCATTTCTGATTGTACTTCCGAACGAGCGATGAGTACTCATCCACGACTGAACTTCCCCCAGGGGATGCTGGCCGGTCAGACTGCCATAATCACGGGTGCTGCCCAAGGCATCGGAGCCGAGACGGCCACCATCTTTGCGCGTGAGGGTTGCCGGGTTGTCATCGCGGACATCGATGCCGGTATGGCCTGATCATTGTGATGTGGCACAAAATGGGACTGCTAGCTGATACCGATACCAGACAAGGCCGAGGCCACGGCACAGGCCATCATCTCCGAGGGCGGTTCTGCGCTTGCGGTCGGCGGAGACATCACGGACAACGAGGCTATCGGCAAGCTGGTCCAGAAGGCGGCCGAGTTTGGCGGCGGCAAGATTCACATCATCGTCAACAATGCAGGCTACGCCTGGGATGATCCGATCGAGAAGATCCAGGACAAGCAGTGGGGTGAGTCGACCTGGTGGGCAAGTTTGTGTTTCGTGTCTCCGTCCTGACAAGCAGACACCATCATCGGCCTCCACAACACGGCGCCATTCAAGATCATCCGGGCAGCGGCTCCATACTTTATGGTGAAAGATGGCGAGCCGAGATCGATCGTGAACATCTCGTCGACGTCGGGGATCTACGGAAATGCCGGACAGGCCAGCTATGCTCTGGCCAAGGCAGGGCTCGTCGGGCTGACCAAGACGGTAGCGCAGGAATGGGGGCCAGAGTACGGTGTCCGTGCTAACAGTACGTTTGCGTGGCTGCTGCTCGGACTCGGAATATGAACGTGTGGACTAACTGTCTGTCCAGCCGTCGCATTCGGAGCGGTCAAGACGAGACTTACACAGGCTCCCAAGGGCGAGTTTGTCGTACGGCCCGACGGCACAAAGCATGCGGTTGGATTCTATGGTGGCTATGACGAGGAAGAGAAATGGTAAGTCGAATGTGGATTCGCAAGGACTTCCCGTACTGATAATGCCGATAGGGTTGGAGACATACCTCTAAGGCGAATAGGAACACCCACAGACGCTGGGAGGGCTATCTTGGGCGTGGTATCGCCGCTCTTTCAGTATGTCACCGGACAGACGATTATGGTCAGCGGCGGTAGGGGGGGGATGTAGGGATGTAGGGGGTGACAAGGAAGTGTAGCTCTAGTTGAATGAATTTATCCCCAAAGTGGCATCTGAATCGTCCATCCACCCCATACTGGCCATTGATCCCCTAATTGGGAACTCTATCTCACTGTTGCCATTTCACCAAGTATGAGCTATCATTACGGATGATCAGTTACAACCAAAATAGTATTACGTAAGCAAGCGGCGTAAAGTGTCGGTATGATTGGTTGATGCTTTGCCTATCGTTGAGCTTATTGTCTACTTCACTTCGTACATGCAATCTCATATTCGTCTGCCAATCAATTCAAGCGGTAACAATTTTTTGTCAATACCTTCCACCTATGATTCTCATTCAATACATCATGCAGCTATGGACACCTTTCCGGCGACGGCGTCGCGGACCGTTTCTGAGCCCTCCAGGGTGTTGTCGGCCGGCACAGCAGGAGAGAAGTCCATGCTGGTCCAGCCGGCCTTGGCCTCGTTGTCGAGCCAGGTCTGCCAGGAGGGCACGCCGCCAAAGTAGAAGAGAGGGGCAGTGGACTTTCCGGGGACGTTGCTGCCGACGAACCAGGCGCCGGTGGATTTGGCGGACTCGGCAAAGATGGTGCTGTGGAAGGCGTCATCGAGATGGGCAGACCAGGCCTGAGCAGATGCTGGGCTGGCGTCGATGCGGGTGAGGCGATTGTCCTGCATGTGGCGCAGCGTCCGGCCGATCCAGCTGGTCTCGAGATCGAGCACGACGGGCATGTTGCCAAACGGGATATGGGGCCCGCAGACGACGAACATGTTGGGGAAACCGGGGACGAGGACGCCGGCAAAGGTCTCGACCTTGGCGTCCCAGATGTCGCGTAGGCGGCGACCATGGCTGCCGCGAACATCGATCTCGGCGAGGGCACCGGTGCCGGCGTCGAAGCCGAGCGCAAAGATGACGACGTCAAACGGGCGGTCAACCTGGGTCTTGGTGGTACGGATGCCGTCTTCGTAGAGCGCGAGGCCGTCGTGGCGAATGTCGACGAGCTCGACGTTGGGCCGGTTGAAGGCCTCGTAGTAAAAGTGGCCGCACGGCGGCCGCTTCGACATAAAGGGGTAGTGCGGGCTCAGCAGGTCGGCCGTGTGCTGGTCCTGCACGATGGCGTGGATCTTCTGGCGGATGTACGCGGCCGCGACCTCGTTGGCCTTTTGGTCGGTCGCGATGTCGTCAAACGTCTCCATCTGGAAGTGGAATCCGCCACGCTCCCAGCCGGCATCGAGCACCTGGCGGATCGCGGTCGCGTCAGCCGTCTGTCGGACCGTCTTGCCGGTGCTGTGCATGGCCAGACCGTTCGCGTGGTTGTTGGCACACTTCCACGTGGCGTCGTAGTTGTCCAGGATCGCGGCCGCCTCGTGCTCGTCAATGGTGTAGTTTCGCCCCGGCAGCACGTAGTTGGGCGTCCGCTGGAACACGGTCAGCTGCTGGACCACGGGCGCGATCTTGGGCACGATCTGCACGCCCGTGGCACCTGTGCCGACAATGGCCACCCGCTTGCCGCGCAGATCCACCTTGCCGGTCGGCCAGGTCGACGTCTGCAGCCAGACGCCCTTGTAGTCAGCCAGGCCCGCAAATGGCGGCTCCTTGGCCACCGATAGCGGCCCCGTTGCCGGCAGGAAGAAGCGGCATGTCGTCGCCACCCCATCGGACGTCGTCACCGTCCACACGTTGCGCTCGTCGCTGTAGTGCGCCGACACCACGCGCGTGTCGAACTGGATCAGCCGTCGGAGCTCGAACCGGTCTGCTACCCGGCCCAGGTACTGCTGCACTTCGGCTTGTGCTGGGTATCGCTCGCTGTAGTTCCACGCCTCGCGCGAGCCCGGCGCAAAGTTCATCGTGTACACCCAGGCCTCGCTGTCCGTTCGTGCGCCCGGATACCGGTTCCAGTACCAGGCGCCGCCGACGTCCGAGCCAGCCTCGAATCCCTTGGCCGTCAGGCCCAGCTGGCCCAGCTCCCAGAGCGCACGGATGCCGCTGAAGCCGGCACCCACCACGATGGCATCGTAGTCTGCCATGGCGAGGTGTAGTGTAGAGGATAGAGGAGGGTAGAGAAGACTGCAGAAAGGCTAAGAGTGTAGAGAGGAATACAATGAATGGAGACACGTGTAGGAGTAATGGAACAGACTGTTGAAGAACAGACCAGGATTCAGACATACAGCAGACAAGGCTCTGCCCACAACCATGGGATTCAACTGTTGTCATTATAACCGTGGATATGCAGAATGTACCGCTCTGCTCGGCATCAACCGCCGAAGTAGCCGAGGCGAGTGGCGGAGATGCATGAGAAAGATGAGAAAACGGTTGTCTCATTCCCGAACGTCTTACATATCCGAGCCGGTTAGAGACGCAGGCATGTGTTGTTCTGTTGAGTACTTCCGAGCTGTCCGAAGTCCCTCACAAAGCAGATGGGGTCAGCCGACTTGTGTCTTGCAGCACCGGACTCCAATCGACAAAGATCGCCGGGCTACCAACATTCTGCATTACATAACAGCACACGTGCCGCTCGGCGTTTCCCGACAAAGCCAGGCTTGTTGGAATGCTACCAAGCTTCCCCTGGCCCAAGCCTCTCCTGCCCCTATTTATGGCTACACAACTACACGAGCCATACAGTCGAGATGCGACCACGACAGACAAAGAAAGGACAACCTGTCCAAAACTTTCCACAGATGTCTTGATCTTTTGACCTCTGGCATAACCTCGATGCTAGACATGTTCTCACCACTACCCCCGGACCACGAAGCCTCACCGGATCACGGCAATGGCCGACGCTGCTAGCAGACGCTCGGGGCCTCTCCGATTGGCTGCTAAGCCACTTCTCCACATCTGCATTCCACCCTGTGCCCCTTTCCCCGCCTTCTTCCCCGCCTTAGGTCGATTTCCCCACGGGGTTGGGCCTGACTGCTCACATCGAGATGGCCATGGCCATGATGGCACGCTCCTCTCGCACACAACGGCTCCTGAGACGACAGAGACCTGACGTTGGCATTGAGACAACGCAACCGGCACGTCAGAGCGGGACAGAGAAACAAGAGCGAGAAACAATCAAAAGAAAACCAAGAAAAGAAACAATCGACTACAACGTCACCAATGGTGGAGCGACACAAGGATTCGTCTGCTGTAGCCGGTGCCGCCCCGGTCCAGCGAGCCGCCATTGCTTGCCGCAGCTGTCGGCAACGCAAGGTCAAGGTAGGTGGCCACATCTCCGTCTCCATCTCCGTCTCCGTCATGGTCCTTGCTGACTGATCCTCTGCAGTGCGATGCCCAGCCCGACCGGCCCGACCAAAGTTGTGGTCCGTGTCGACGCGCCGGCAAGGACTGTATGCTCGACCCCATGTCGGACGGAAGAAGGTTTGTCATACCCTGCCCCGTCGTCGTGTCGGCGTCCGATCCGGTCACGGCTGCTGACTGGCCACAGATCCGTCAACCGCAAGTGTGTGGACAGGCTGCAGCAGCGCATCGAGATGCTCGAAGCCCAGAGCCAGAGAGCGGCTGATCGGGTCGGCTGGGACTCCGGCGAGGACAGCATCCACCATCATCCCGTCCGTCCGGCTGCTGCAGAATACACGGCCATGCTGCTGTCACAGGGTCCGACGTACGTACACTCAGCGAATGCAAACCCGGATACGACCGCTTTGGCTGACATCCCACCAAGAAGCACACAGTCCACAAACACAACCGACACGGTATCACAGCCATCGCTGCCTCCTCCTCCGGCCCGTGTCGAGCCAGCGCCAACCTCCTCCGTCAGCGGAAGCTCACCGGGGGCCAACAGCAGCAGCCATGGGTCCCCGAGCTTCTACGGCGCCACGTCGCACCCCCACGTCGGCACGTCCAACGAGGAGGCACCAATGCCAATGCCGCTCTTTGATGAGGCAGACGTGGCCGGCATCGGCATCGACCTCGACCCCAACTCGCCGCACCTGCGCGCCCATCTATTCCAGTCCTTCTTCCAGTACCAGACCCTCTGGGTCGACGTGGTGGACAAAGAGGCGTTTCTGGGCCAGCCGACAGCCGGTGGCGGCATTGGCGGCGCCAACACCCAGTCCCGGTGGCGGTCTAGCTTCCTAGAGAATGCCATGCTGGCGTGCGGCACCCGGCTCAGCACGTCCAAGTCGGTACGCGCCCTAGGGCCCAAATACTGTGAGTGGGCCAAGGGCGACGTTCTGCGGGCCATGTCCGACCCGACCCCTGCGAGCTTGCAGGGCTTTCTGCTGTTGAGCGAGTACGAAGTCACGCAGGGCAACGATCGGCCAGCCTGGATGTACTGTGGTGAGTCTGTCTCTTTCCGTCTCTCTTCGGTCTTCTGTGTGGGGTGGTGCTGACTAAGCAGGCGTGGCCTGCCGGATGTTGTCGGACCTGGGCCTGCACGAGCTGGCGAGCCTGGCAGACGGTGCGGGCGAGGATGCCGAGGCGGAGCGGGAGGACGACCTGGCGTACGCGCTGCTGTCGGCCTGTGTGGTATACGAGGGCGTCTGGACGTTGTATCTGGGGCGGCCGAGCTCGATCCCGCGGGCGGTGATGAGCGTGGCGGCAGCGCGGTGTCGGCAGCGACGACGGGCGGACACGCCATGGCTGAACGCATGGGTAGGTCTCAGCGTGCCGATGGCCGAGATCACGCGGCTGCTCAACGAGCGCTGGTGCGTTGCCGGCGACCTGGACGGCGACCGGCTCGCGGCCCTCCGAAGACTCTCGCGCCAGGTAGACGACTGGTATGAGGGTCTGCCACCAGAGCTGGCCTACGTCGAGGACCGGCTGATCAACATGCACCTGGCCGGCTACGGGCTGCATGCACAGTACTGCAAGGTCCAGATCTTGGTGCGGCAGGCGCTGGCTCAACGGCAGCAGCCGTTCACGACGACAACGACAACAACGAGCACGGCAGCAAGCACGATGAATCCCCGGAAGCGACCACACGCCCAGATGGAGGAGGGCGGTGTAGGAGCGGCAACAGCCGGCCCGGACGACGCTTCCGAGGCCGTGGCCTACCAGTTTGCCCTCCGCATCGCCCGGCTGGTCGTGACGTATCGCGAGGCCTTTGGCATGGAGCAGATCCCGTCCATCATGCTGGACAACTCGGTCGTCGCGGCCACGGCCATGATCCGACACCACAATGGCAGCAGCAGCAGCAGCTCGACCGAAGGCGCCGGCGAGCTCGTCTGGCTGCGACAGCTCATCAAGAGCATGGAGTCGGTGCAGCCACACTTTCCCATCATCGCGCGCATGCTCGACTCGCTCAAGCAGATCTGTGGCAGCGGCCCACTCCTCCAACTGCTGCCGGCTGCCCGTCGGGGCTCGAGCGAGTCCCGGGCGCTCGACTCGCTCGACTTTGGCGCCATGAACAGCAGACAGAACAAGAACGGCAGCATCAGCAACTACTACGGTGGCGGCAGAATCGACAGTACGAATGACAGCTCCATCGGCCTCGGAGGCGGTTCTGATCTCATGTGGGACTGCTTTGATGCCGTCATTACGCCGAGCATCTTCCAGTCGGGTGCCTTTGTCGACTCTGACCTCGACCTCCCTCCGCCATCCGAGGCTCTGAGCTCAGCCCTCGCCCAGGTGGTGTCGTAGATGGAGACGACGTATCTCTGTTTTTGGACAACCATTTCAAGTTTGCGAGGAGTATGGTATTGGGGTTTTGTTGGTTTCACATCTTGCTCTTTGCCATTAACCATTTGTACTCTATCAGTCTGATCTTCGAAGCTGTCTAAGCGACTAGTATTGTAGAGTAAGAAATAACACAATGTTTACTACAGATACGGAGTCCGAAGACCGTAACACAACGGCTACAAGCCAGGCCCTGGGCTGGCACTGATCTAGGGCCCGTGGTGAGCTTTTGCCCAATAATGGGTCCCTATAGGGATCGATTCTGGCCTCGCTATTTTCACCAATATACCGGCACAACTTGCGGTGTATTAAATCCTGTGTTGGGACATTGTGTACTAGTATCAACATTACATAACGTACTATTTCAAGTAGTAACGAATAACTAGCTTCATATGCAAACACACTGCGATGTGCCGTACTGAAAGAAAACCTACTGATTAAGCCTCGAAACTAACAAGGACACCAGGATGGATGGGTAAAGCTTTCCATGCTCAATTACACCCTCTAGAGCCTAACCATCTACAGGTTGAGCACATACCCCTTCAGTGTCTGGAAGTCAGGTGTGCCAAATCCTGTTATTGGATCCCAACCAGCCGTAGCATTCCATCGGGCACCGGGAACCACTCCCTCGCCTGCTTTTTTGCCTAAACAGCCATACGTATAGCCGTCCACGACATCGAAAAATCCGCGACCGTTCAGTGCGTAGATGAGAGGATTCAGGAACCCCAGAGACGGCTTTCCCGCACGGAAGCGAGCATCGTTCAACAAGCCGACGATAGCCGCAAACGTAGGCGACGCCGCACTCGTGCCACCACTGGCGGATTGCTTACCAGCGTTGATGATCTCAAAGTCCGGGTTCAAGCTGTGTGCCGCAACATCCGGGTATGCCCGACCACCGAAATGGGTGTACTGCCCATAGTACTCGTATGTCTCGCGGCTGATGCGGTTTTGCAGGTACCCCTGTACCGCATTCTCTTGGTACCAAGCCCGTGGGAAGTAGCCGCTGAAGCCGCCGCTACTCTGGTCCCAAGCCACCTCGGGGACAGACGATGCCGACGTGCCGCCGACTGCGGTGATGAACGGGCAGGATGCTGGGAAGACTCGCCCGAATTCAACCGTCTTAAAATCGGTCCCCAGACAAGCTCCGCCAAGACCACCGTCGCCTGAGGATGACAGCACAGATATTCCTCTGAGTCCCAAAAGGCCGATCAGACTGCACGAGTAGACGGCATAGTCGTAGGGGACACCCTGGAAAATGTCAGCTGACTTTCAGTTACTGCAGGCCTGCATACTCACGTCTTCTTGGTCGCCATACGACATAGAAATGACCTGTGGCAGCTCCGCGTTTGTTTTGGAGAGGAGATATCGCAAAAAGGGCACGTAGGGCTCATTGCTGTTATTTGCTGCTGTGGGCTGTCCATACGTGGGGATAAATGGGCTGTTTTGGGTGTCAGTACAAACGAATCGAAGCTCGAGCGTAGGAGGGGCACACGAACGGCGAACCGCCTGTGATGAATTCCGTCACAGGCAAGGGGTGTGCGACTCCGACAATGGTTTGCACATCGAGATTCGCCTCCCCGTAGTTTCCGTTGGAGGAATTCTGGTCGTTGATCCCGTTGGCAACCAGGACTTTGGTAACATTTTGGCTGGGAATGCCAAACAGCTCCTCGAATTGCTCCAAATCAGCGTAAAGTGCAGACTCGTTCAGGAAGCTGCCGAAACCAATGTGGCTTCCAGAGTTCGCGTCCGGTTGGTAATCCTGGACATTGTATAGCTGCTTGAGGCACGAGGGGGTGATGGATGTCGCGCAGGATGCATCAACGACAGTGGAAGACGCTGCGCGCTTGGCTGGTGTCGGGCGGCTCGGGTTTTTTAGGTGCGACGGAACCCTAAACTTCTGTGTGCTGCCGAAGAAGGTGCCTGGGTCAACAAAGGCGATGTAGTTCTCAACCTCGTCTGGGATCGTGTAGTGCGAGGTGCGGAGTTTTGTCGTCGTGTCTTGATCCGTGCTGGTGTAGTGCTGGTATGATGCATTGAGGACCGAGTTCGCCGTCTCCAGAGTCGCAGTAAAGTCGACAAAGCTCCCATCAATCTGGTAGTCGGAGATGCCGTTCTGTTCGAGCCAAGCCGTCACAGCGGAAGCGGCACCGCTTGCCGGCGAGAAGAGAGATTCAACATCGCCGACATCTAGATACTTTCCATAGTTTGCGTGCCCCGGGGTCGATACGCCGAGTACGTGGTTTTCCAGATCAGAAAAGTCTCGGTGCAGAGCCAGGGTGAAGATGGCAGTCTGGTCCTGACCCTGATCGCTGGCTACTGCCGCATTTGCTTTCCAACCCTGAGGAGTAGCAGCTAATGTCTTATGCACAGCTCCAGCCGCTAGGCCCGAGAGGCTGAGAGCCACCAGAAGACTTGAACTTGACGGCGCCTTCATATTTCGTTGGTGACCAGAACAAAGGTCCTATTCAGGCGAAATGCAACACGAAGCGAAAGGCAAACGTAGGCGAAGACAGAACTTTTTACGAAGAAATGCATACACTTTTTATAGGCGGGGGTCTGTCAAACGTGGGAAATAACGCCAGAAGAAAATGGCACGCAATATGTAGGGATTGCTATCAGACGCTCTTCACTTTCCACTTAGGGCGTAGCCTGTATGCAACGAGCGTTGTAAATGGCTTTGCCGACCTACCCTTTCTGGCCACGCTTAAATTGTCGAGCGAATTAGGCCTATGTGGGCTAGAAGTGACGTCTTATGGCGAAGGATGAGAAGATACGTTAACTCTGTGGCGTATAGCGTCCAGGCCCACTATTTAGTAGGGGATTTATACGACGTACGTCGGCATAGCTCGGAAGTACTTCTACACCCGCACTCACTGGGCACCCATAATCCGACGATTTATGAACTTCTTAGATGAAAGTAGCCTAATTTTAGGACCTAAATGGCTCAAACATGTCCCTTGAGAAAATACCTTTTTCCCAAACACAGAATAATTCGTAAAGCACCGCCTACTTAGCTCAATCATGTTCGGTGGCTTTCCTGAGCAAAGTGAGGAAGGTGGGATTTTGGCTGTGGGCAGTTGAGGACAATCCATGCGCAATACAACGCTCCATCTCCATATCAGCTCCACCACGCCGGCACGCACAGCTCCAGACGCTGCAGACATCTGTCCGCACCCTCGCGTCTACATATCGGCAAAGGTGGTCTTGGCCATGGCTGCTTCTCGCCAGTACCAGACAGCCGACATGGTGGCGCCTGGGCCGACAAAGACGTGGCCGAGGGTGATGAGCACGGCGGCTTTGGTGACGTCGACAGTCGAGCGGCCCATCCGGCGGACGTCCCAGACAGCCATGATGAGCCAGGCCCACGAGGCGACGACGAAGCCCCAGAAGTCGGTCAGGAACAGGGCGGTGAGGCCCTCGCCGAGCTCCTTGGGCTGAGCGGAGAGGTCGGGCCAGAAGACGGCCGTAAAGGAGAGGTCGGGCGATGAGCTGATGCGGACGAGGCAGTAGATGTGCAGCAGCACACCGAGCACGCCGCTGACAACGTAGACCTGCTGCAGAGCGTTGAAGTCGGGGAAGACCTGGCGGGCCGTGGGCGCGACGGCCTTGAGGTTGTGGGTGCGGGCGTACCACCAGCCGAAGAGGCTGGTGAGCAGCGGCACGAGCATGGGACCGACCTGCCAGAGGGCCTCGAAGTTCTGGACGGTCTCGGGCGAGCCCCAGGGGACGAACATGAGCACGGTCGGCAGGACGTAGCCGAGCAGGAGGGCGGCCATGAGCGAGCGGGCGTGCTGGACCTTGACCTCGCGGCTGAACGGCCACCAGTATGGCTCCGGCTCGGACACGAACGTGTAGATGGCGTAGTAGATGGGCATGTAGATGCCCACGCCGGCCGCCTGCACCAGCGTCATCCAGACGGTCATCAGCGCCAGTGGCGTCACCTTGTTGCGGCGCCGGAAAGCCTCGACCGTGTAGATCGCGATCGGCTGCACCAGCATGCCGAGAAAGTAGAGCTGCAGCATGCCAAACGTGCGGTCCCACCCGTTGACGCCCGTGATGAAGATGGCCGCCAAAAAGACCAGATAGTCGTCGATCGCCCGGATGCCGACGTACGTCCGCTTCAGCACAAAGTCCGGGTCCGGCACAAAGTGGCCCGTCGTCAAGATCGCGCCCAGATGTCGGTCCAGCCCGTACGAGGCCGACCGTGTCCACATGCCGTAGTGCACCAGGCCGGCAATCGCCAGGTAAAAGGCGATGAGCGTCCACTTGGTGGCCGCGCCCCGAGGCTGTGGCGTGCTCAGCAGCTCGTCCTTGTAGGGCACCAGCCGTGGCACTGGTCGGATCGGCACCGTGTGCAGCTTCTCGGCCAGCGGCATGTTGCCGGAGAACTTGAACGTGATATCCTCATTGTCCATCAGGGGGACGAGGTAAAAGGCCGCCAGCTCGTGCAGCGGCGAGTCTAGTGCCTCCATCCGCTGCTGGTCGTGCGAGTGCTCTTTCAGCAGCCGTGCCCGGTCCTGCCGGATCGTCTGCGTCTGTGAAAATACATGACCGAGCTCGCCCACTGTCGGCTTCCGTCCCCGGCGTCTGGCCGCGTCTAGCACCGGCAGCAGGTTGTTGACCAGTGTCGCCGCCGACTCGATGCACGCGTTGCCACCGTGGCCCGAGATCGGGTTGAACTGTTCGAGGCGAGTTAGTGATGGGAGAAAGAAGAGAATGAAAGAGAAGAGAGTGAGACAAAACGAACCTTGTGGGCAGAATCGCCAAGCGTAAAGATTCGCTTGTAGTACCACTTGCGGAAGATGTATTCCTGCAGCGGCACCATGACAGACGTAATGCGGCGGTCCAGCAGCGTTTTGAACCGGAGCGTCGGCGTGATCGGGTCGTTTTCGTGCATCGCCAGCAGCCTAATCTCGTCCTCTTTCGTGTACGTCGGGATGCCGTTGCCGTAGACGCACTTGGGCAGCTTTTCAAAGTAGAACCAGTAGACCCGGCCTTCGGGACCACCGTTGACGATGTAAGACTGGTGTTTCCGGAAGACCGAGTTGGAAGCCCCCGGGTCGATGCCTTCGCAGGGCTTGGAGATGCCAAAGATGCAGAGTGTGTCGACGGGCACGGCTAGGGGCTGTTAGGAGGGAGGATTCAAGAGAGAAAAGGAACGAGAAAAAAAAAGGAAAAAAAAGCGAAACAAAAAGAAAAGAAACAAAACCTCACATGTTTTCTCGTCAGACGGAATCCATCCCGGCAGCTGCGCATCGGCGATCCGCCACATTTCCGACCGGACGGTGCTGTGAATGCCGTCGGCGCCGATCAACATGTCGCCGTGGTACGTTGAGCCATCCTCGGTCCGGACGGAGACACCGTCGTCGCTGACGTCCACGTTCTTGACCCGCTTGTTCGTGAGCACCTTGGTCTTGTCCTTGATGTTGTCGTAGAGCACCTGCAGGACCTGCTGGCGGTCGAGAAAGTTAATTGAGTAGCCGTGCCGCTCGCACATGGAGTGGTTCATGCCGTAAAACTCGCTGATGATGTGCCCGGTCTTGTCGCGGAAGTGAAACGAGTCCAGCGGCGGGCAGAGCGCCGTGATGTTGCCGTACAGCCCCAACTGGTCCATTATCCGGTTGCCGTGCGGCAGGATGCCGATGCTCGCTCCCACCTGCGGCGCAATGTTCGGGTACGCCTCCAGCAGGACAAAGTCAATGTCGTGCATCTGCAGCATGTTGGCCAGCGTCAGGCCCGAGATGCTGCCGCCGCCAATCACGACCTTGAAGTCGCTCTTGCCACCCATCGTGCTGCCTGTCTTGCAATCGGCTGTTCTGGAGACGTCGTCTGTTCTGGGATTGGTTTGAGAGGAGCTTGACTGGGTACTACCATCCCAAACCCGGCCAACATGTTTCTCGGGTTCCCTTTATATCCCCTCGGCTTTGTGTACTTTTCAACTACCCCATATTTCCCCACGGGGCACATCACCCTTGGCTATTCCTGTGGACCTGGGGCAAGCCCGTTCCGTTATGGCCTCACTCGGTGAATCCCGCAACGTCGACCAAGACGGTAGTCCCAGTACCGAGGACGTATGGGCACAAAGGACGTGGGTCACGTGTTATTACGGAGTACATCTCCGGTTTGTCTGCTCGATAGCTGAACGGAGATGCGGGCCGAGAGGATCGACAGTTGGGCTCGGTCGGCCTTGACCGAAGGTAGGCGCGTAGAGCTATGACCGTTGGACACATGAGGAAAGATGGATGACTAATATATGGCCACGGCCCACTGCAGAAGCAAGATGGGAACACTCGGGCGAACATGACGGCCGTACAGTAAGATGGGGCCGGGTATAAGTCCATGATGTGGTCCGTGCACAATTGTCCACTTGGACGTCTTCTCGCTTCCGAAAGTCAGCAATCGTACGTCGTCTGCGGCTGTCTCGGATCACTCCTTGCACACGATGGACGGCTTCCAGACGAAGACGCTGGTGACGCGACGTTCGCTGCGGTACACGTACTATGTCTCGCCATCGCGCGATGCTGACCGTAAGCATCCGGCCCTACTCTTTGTTCACGGTTTCCCGGACTCGGCCCATCTCTGGTCAGACGTGCTGGCCGCCCTGGCCGACCGGCCGAACAAGATGATCGTGCCGGACTGCCTGGGCTACGCCGGCACAGACAAGCCGATTGATACGAGCCTGTACGCCTACGACGGCCAGGCTGATGATCTCGCCGACATCCTGGCGGCTGAAGGCGAGCGCGAGCACGAGACCGTCATCATCGGCCACGACTGGGGCAGCGCCCTGGTGCAGCGAACGTCTCTGCGCCACCGCGCGCTCTTCCGCGCCGTCGTCCTGCTCAACACCGGTTACATGGTCCCGTCGGCCGAACCGTTCGACCTCCAGACCGTCAACGCGCTCACCGAGCAGGCCTTTGGCTACCCGCAATTCTCGTACTGGGAGCTCTTCACAGCTCCCGACGGCGCTTCCGTCATCGACAGCCACCTCGACCGCATGTGGATGGTCCTGCACGGCGACGTCGACGACTGGATGCGCAAGATGTTCTGCACGCCCGGCGCCATGCGCGCTTTTCTCCTCGGTAGCGACGACGTGCCGCTCAGGCCGTATGCCCAGGAGCCCTCCCGCAAGGACCGCTTCCTCGCCCAGTTTCGGGCCGACGGCTTCGCCTCCGCCCTGCAGATGTACAAGGCTACCGTTGAGAACCTACAGCGGCCGTCCGACATCGCCCTGGCCGCCGGCAACCTCGCCATCGACGTGCCTCTGCTGTTCGTCATGTGCACGCAAGATGCCGTCTGCCGGCCCGAAGTCATGAGCCCGGCCAAAGCTGCCGGCCTGGTTCCCCTGCTCCAGGAAGTCACCATCGAGTCCGCTCACTGGTCGCCAATGGAGAAGCCGGGCGAGATTGCCACTCACATCAGAGCGTTTGTGGACAATTTGTGAGGCGTGTGGCCCTAACCAGTAACTCCGAGATATGAATATGTTGGTCTTATCCTAGCTACTGCACTTCAAAATACAAATGTTACACGGCAATTTTCCCATCAGACTTGTCTGCATCGCTTAGAAACTCCCCAATAGTTCTGAACTGCAATCCGTCGAAGTACTTCTTCTTCTGAGAAGTCAACTTTCCTTCTGGCAAGAGACCTGCACCAGAAATGGACCACATGTCGTATTGTGCCGCGATGACCTTGTCCTCCGATTCGGCGGCGTCGATTTTTTTCTGGAGTTCTTCTTGCGAGCGGTGAGAAACCGTAATACCGGGGACACGCTCTGCCATCGTGGCAGCAATCTTGTTCCATGTTGTTGTCTCTCCGCAGACGTAGATGATCGGATCCCACTGATCAAAGTCGAACAAACGGACAATGGCTCGGCAAGAATCTCGAATAGAGGTAAACGCAACAAGCTCCTCTCCCGTGCCTGGGATTATGACCGTCTTGTCGTCTAAGTTGATGGGGTGCTTCTCCCCAATGTCTTTGATATACCGCAGCCGTTTCGGAATCATGTAGTCGGTCAACCAGCCCATGTTGAACAGCGTCCACTTAATCTCCGTCTGTTCCCGGAGAAGCTTGCGGTGCGGCTTGTGGTTGGCAAAGTAAAACCAAGGCTCATCGGGAAACTCGTCGGTGTTTCCGGCATATTCGGAGGGGATGAACCGCTTGCACTTCCGTGATTTCTTGCAGGCTTCCACTAATTCAACGTGGGCATCGGCGAACCGCATACTGTAGTCGAGTATGGTTGATACAAGTCCATCGCAGTCATCAATAGCCTTGGTTAGCGCCGTAACTGCGTATTCAACAATTCTGAAATCCACGTCGTCTCGCTTAAACCACTCGGGTTTCCGCCTTGAAATCACGACAACCTCATGTCCGACAAGAAGGAGTTCTTCCGTCAGATATTTGGCAACATCGCCAGCACCAGCAATGGCGATCTTCATAGCTGTGGCAGATGTCCGAGCCAAGACAGTGAAAGTAATTTCAGATAAACTTCTAGGACTTGCAGCTTCTAAAAAAACTTACGGCCGTAGATCTCATCAATAAATTCATCTTATGGTGGAGCTTTTATAGCCATTGATTGACGACGAAACGGCAACTAACAGCGAGCTCTGATAAGATTATGACGTAATTAATAACATTCACAGCATTTTCTGTAACTAAATCTAGACTCTGACAGTCCAGCCCGCAAAGTATAATTGACGTTTTCATCGCAAAGTCAACGGATCTGCTTCAGGCTAAATATCCACATTGCCGCCCCCTCGTGTCTTTTTATGCGGATGACTAAGCCACGAGTGAGAGATCAGAGGGATGACTACACGAGTTCAAGTGCAAGCGAACATTGCTTCAAAACGGATGTAGATTTTAAACATAGAAAGCCGCTCTAGCTATCCTCCCTCTCGACAAGAGCTGCCTGGAAAAGTAACCTTTAGATGAACCGCAGATTGCCGTTGTCATTCGCTATCCTCTCGTCTAGGATGATCGAGCTCACGTCCCACCCGCCGTCACTGCGACGAAGCTCGCCCTCGAGCCTGCGGCCATCGTCGACAAGGCGGACATTTTGCGCCGACGCGCCGAAGTTGCCGCCACCGCCGCCACCGCCAGGGAGACGGAGAACCTGTCCCGGGTAGATCATATCGGGGTTGTCGATGTTGTTGATGCGGGCAATGTCCTCATACGAGCAGTTGAACCGAGCAGCAATTTCCCGGAGGTATTCGCCCTGCTGCACGACCATGGTAGTCTCGCCGCCACCGCCACCGGCCGACCAGCAAAAGCTGCCGTTGGAGTTCCCGATGTACCGGTTCAGGCTGATGGTGCTCACGCGGAATGAACCCTCTGGGGTCCTGCACTCGACCGTCAGGTTGTAATCGCCGTACGGCTCGAGACGGGCGCCCTGGGAGGACGAGCTGAAGTTGCCGGCGAAACCGCCGCCGCCGATGCTGCGGCTGTTGGAGCCGTAATCCGTCGGGCGGTTGTAGCCCTGGTTTTCGTGGTTGTAATCCTCTCGTCTCCTCTCGTCTTCCTCCCGCCTCCGCTCAGCTTCCTCTCGCCTTCTCTCGTCGTCCTCTCTCATATCCTCTCGCATCTCATTCTCCTTCCTGTCATCACGCCAGTCGTCGATGGCACCCTCGGCCTTGCTGCCGGCAAAGGCACCCATGACGGCACCGAGCACAGTACCAGTCTTGCTGTGGCCCGCCATCCGGCCGCCAAGCTCGTGGCCTCCATATGCGCCGGCTGCACCACCAACCAGTGCGCCCATGATGCCACGGTCGCCTCCGCCCTCGTGCTCCTCACGCTCGTTGCGATCATTGCCATACTGGTTCGAGCCGTATCCTTCCCGGCCTTGCTGTCCGTCGGAGTAGTAGGAGTTGGCCTCACCGCCGGGGCGGTCGTAGCCGTATCTGTTGTCTTCCATAGTGACCGGTGATGAGTGCAAGGAGTGCAAGTTGTTGTTTGGTGTCTGTGAATGCCTCTCAAGTTTCTGGTAAAAACTTTGGGCTTTGGGCGTTCTTATGTACTCGTGCTCGCGCTTCGTAATCGGCAATATCCAAAGTCCAAGGCATCAAAGCTCACGATATTTTCCACCCCACTAGCAAACAGAGTGGGGAGAGGCTTGGTACGAGTATGCTTACTTGTATGGAGCCATTCATCCACGTCTCAACCGGGAATACCGAGGGGACGTGCCACAAACGACATACCCCTGCTCCTACATCGGACTCCGTATTATGTAGAAGCCGAGGCCTCCTATATCCATCTTTTGAGAAGGACCTCGCGATGAAGTAAAGATCTACAGAGCAGAGCAGCTGAGCTTTCTCTCCGGACTCCTGAGAAGAGCCTCTCTAATGGACGCAGACGACTGCGTTGGAGGCAGCCCGAAGAGGACACATGCAGGGGCGGAGTACATCGTGTGGCGCAGGCCCGAGAGGCCCACCTTTAGAGTACTTTCATCGCCCCCACATACCCACATCCCAACACATTTAAGCCAACGGATAACGGGGGCTATACATAGTAATAAAGAACACGTAGCCCTGAGCCGATCAACATACGGCAACGGTTTCACTGGAAGAGGCATGGAGCTCCAGATTATGGACTGACTGGTTCATCCACTTCCAACCTCCGCCATTTGGCTACTGTCGATCTCTGTCCTTTAGTTTTGAAGCTGTCATCGTGTATAAATGTCGGTGACTGCATGTGGATTATGCTACATAGTATTGTAGCGCGCTAGCCAAGAAACACGAGTTGGGTGGCTGGACTGGAATCCAGTTCAACCGTTGCAGCTGGCGGTCTGCAACGTGTGGCGTTGTATGCCCGGACGGCTTTCCCAATGCTGCAGGCCGACATCACCGCGGTGTACTCCATAGTACGGGTTATCAGTAGGAAAGCTATACTCCGTAGCTCAAAATTGATTGAAGTAACTAGATATGAAAGGTCAGTGATGCTAGTTGACGCTATCTACTTCATGTGTTTTCTACTTTTGATCCTGCAAAGTGACAGTTTCGTGTGGTTAGGTGTTCGCTTCCATTCCTCGTTGATGACTTGTAGAGCTGATCCTTACTCCGTTGCCATATCATTTGCGGTATTCGATGTTTGCTATGTACCGATCAATGTTCCAATTCGATCCGAAGATCCCTTTTCCGGCCTTCGTCGGCGTTTCTTTCGTGTCATAGCCGCATCATTAACAATGCCCGTCCTCTTATTGCCCTCATTCTCGCTGTCGCTCACTGCCCAACCTGCCGCGTTGACTACGGGCGAGATGCTAGAAAGGATAAAAGCTGCCCTAGATAGTTGGCAGTAGCCCGCTTGCGCAGCCACGTCAGTAAGTACTCGGGTTTCACAAAAGCGGTAGTTACTTTATCAAACTTGATTTCCCTTATATACGCACTTTATCTCATCCTTGACGCACCCTTACTTGACGGGGTTTTGTCGGGTGGTGATAACACAGTTGCAAGGAATCATCGGATTCAGACTCGATTAAATGTCCCGCAAAATGTCCTGCACGTGACAAGAATGGGTCCATTTTTATGTCAACAGTCAGTCGTTCAGGCGACCCAGCCAATCAAAATTTCACTACCAATTCGCCCCCAAGCGGCTCAGCTTTTCCCTCCCGACACGAAGAAGGAATCAGCCTTCCAAGCATTTTATGAGCATTTCTAGTAATCATGTCTTTTCCTTTTTCTTCGTATATCCGGCGCCCTTTCTCCCAAAGCCGTACACCGACCTACAATTCTGCCGGTGCTGCATTTAAATCTCGTCCTTGATCTCGTCTTACTGTCTGGTGACTTTGCCCTTCAGCTCAGCACGTCTGATAATCCAATCGCACAGCTGTTCTTCTACTGTCACCACTCAAACATGGCACCCGTTACTGCCAGCCTTGGTCTCGGTCTCGCGGCGGTCATGGCCCCTACTTTGACCAATCACGCGCCGGCTTACCTTTGCTTTCATTTTATTTTCGCTTATGGCGTCCTCTCGTCGCGTACATTAAAGCAGTTTTGGGGCCTTGACCATAACGCGTCACCACGCTACGACCTGGCCAAATACGGCGAAAGCGCAGTCACATCGGGCCGGATCCAACGCTGGCAACTCGAGATGCTGCAGCGCAATGAATCGGCACATGCCAATGCGGTCGAAAATTTCACCTTTTTTGCGACGGCCATAGGCTTTGCAACCTTTTCCGGCGTCAACCGGGATGTAGTAAACCGTGCCGGACTTGTATACTCGGCAGCGCGGGTGGCCTATGGACTGGTGTACATTCTGATTGACCACCCGCTTTGGAGTCAGATCCGGGGCATTACATGGTGGATTGGCAACGGGACGTGTCTGTATTTGCTGTACAAGGCTTCGGAGAAGTTGAACGATTAAGGAAATTAGTTCAGAAATTCAATGGAAGGATCAATGCAGACGTTAGCAGACCGGAAGAATTACGAATGTGACTTCTCCAGGTACAAATTTCCTATCTCGGTAACATGCCGGCTGCGGAGTACTAAAAAGGGATGCAAAACGTCGATCAGCCTTGAAAAAATTGAACCAACGGAAAATGGGGAAAAACTAGGATCTGCGCCATGGTGGTGGCTTGGTTAGGGACTTCTTACTACGAGCTTGTCTCACTATTGGGGAGAGTACTTCAACTTATATGCCCAATGACTATTATGCAACCATTTCTTTTCCACAGTATCATGTGCAGAGAACCAGATTTCAAAGTGCCTTCCCTAACCTGGCCGGAACGTCTAGATCAAAACCCTTTACTCTGTCCACAGTCTCTCGCTTAAATCTGCTGCATCATCATCTGTCGCTATGGCGGCGGGACTAAGAAAATGTTATATTTTAGTGGACTGATAAGAGGGCAAAGGAGAACACACGCGGTGATGGCAGCAACGTGCAGAATTAGGCTGGCCGGCTGGCTAGAGAGCAGGAAGTTGGTCAACTTCGTCACGCCGTAGCGCTCGGTTAGACTCAAACTTTTGTGGGCGCTGCCAGTCTCGCTGTGTAGTAAGTGACTGCAAATCGCTGCATCAATATCTCGGTGCTGGCCGTTGATTGTTTGATTTACCGTCTTTGTAAAACGCTATATTGCAGTGGTAGTCAAAAGGGAAGTTGGGCTGCGCGAGAGACTAGGCCATTGAAGTTTCAAACCTACGACGCAGCAAATCGTACACGTTACTGGCAATTGCGCATACCGAAACTGTACAGCCGCCGAAGAATGACTAACGATTCGGCAGTGGATCTACAGTAAGTTATAATAAGCCAGTCTAACGGCTCTTTCGGACTTGATCGACTGAGGCATATGTGCGAAGGACGCTGGTGGCTCATTGATACCGAAGCCTTCAGGGCTCAGTTTAATGTGCGACACCAATTTGTCGTCATGGAAATTGTATTCCAGTTTCGTTCACCATCTGCTGTTCTGTGCCGTTGCGGGTGCTGCTGTAGCTTCGGGCTAGTTTTAGACACCACTTCCCAGAATTTTGGATTTAATCCATGCATTCCGACATCACTTGCTTCCTAAGGATGTCCACCTCTTTTTCAGTGCGTAGTCGACGCCGTTTATTCGTTTCTTTCAAATGTTGGTCGTGCCACATAGGATTTCCATGGACGTAGGTATCTTTACGCTCGGAGTATCAGGGCAGTTTTGGCATGCTGCGTAGATCTCACATTGCATCTCTAATTGCAATGCCAAGAACGAATCCCACAAGTTACTATAAAATTCAACGTAATTGATTACCTTGCTGGTTTATAGACCCTTCAAGGTAAAGTCATTCATAGTCTGTAACTATAATTCGCTGTGATTATAAATCATACATGTTCACAAGGAACAGCGTAATACGCCGTGCGATTGTTTGAAAGTAACATCAAATCATCATGAAATAACTCGCTCAACCCGAAACGCCTAGAACCAAACACTTGGTCACAGTTTTGAGAAGTTTATAGGCTTGTCGTTTCGCATTATATAGATCTCTGCGATGAGCACGGTGCATCCGACGATCATGGAGATGGTGATGATCGGCAGGTTGACACGTGCGAACTCGAGGCTGGGCACGCGGATGTGCTTGCGCGCGAGGATGTCGCGCCACAAAAGGCCTGCGAGGGAGGCGCTGAAGGCGGCGCTAAAGGCGCCGTAGTTGACACCCAGGGCCATGCTGTAGACGGCAGCCCAGAAGGTGCGGTCACTGATGGGCAGGTTTTTGCTCTTGTGGATTTCTACCCAAGCTTGGATGACGCGGGAGAGCAGGATGCTTGTGCCGATGTTGGTGCCGGCGAACTGGATATCGGATTAGGACGGGTAAACGGCGTGTATAGACTGAGCACCGGGGAAGAAAAGAAGATAAAACACAACGAGTAACCAAACAGTACTCACATTACACAAGATGACGGACAAGAAGCCCATGCCACCCACACTGCCGACAGTACCCGTCTTGTCGACCCAGTGATACCAGCCATAAGCGAACACGGCGACCCAGCCCTTGTTTACGAGTGCCTGCACGAGCACAAACATGGAGAGGGCAAATGGCACAAGCGCAAAGGGCAGGTGCGCCAGCACAGTTGTCACGGTCGGAAAGGTCTCCTGGGACCAGACGTATGCCTTCTTACAGAGTGAGACAAGTGTGGCCGGCGCTTGACCTGGACTGCTCCTGTCTAGACTCGTGTCTTGTCTCTCGGTGTCCATGCCGCTTAGAATGGGGCTCGAGAGCTTCTCGGCATCGATGTCGGTGACCTCATGGCCCATGGTCATCACGTGACCATTGCCAGCGACAGTCTTACCGTCCGCGTCCTTTCCATGGCTAACAACCGCACCCTTTCCTTTTCCACGCACGCTATTTGACAGACAAATGCCTTTTGTCAGCGTATCGGCGGTGTCCTCGTTCGTAACGTAGATTCCGACAGCTTTCAGCGCGCCGCTGATGGACTGAAGCGGGCGTGTTGGCGATGTCGAAAGAGTCGAGTCAGCGCCGGGAGTGTTTTGGGAGCCAAGCGTGCGTGGCCCTGAGGCTTCTGTTTCTGGGTTTACGGTATGCGTGGCTTCGTCGAGCAAGCCTTGCTCGGCCAGTTTGTTCCAAGTTAACTTGGCCAGCTCAGCCTCGCGGGCGGCCTCCTCTGCAGCGGCGATTTCAGCGCGGCCCTTGGCGGCGAGTTCACGGGTCTCCTTGCGGTGGATCCAGCCGAAGCTGAGGTCCCAGCAGAACATGACAAAAGCGGCAGGCAGGGTGACGTAAAAGACGGGATGCTCGCCCGTTTTCTGGCTGGTGGCGTTGAGCACGAGCAGAGTGATGAGGGTGGCTGCCATGATGATGGCGCCAAAGGTGGCACCGCCCTTGTCGAGGAAGGGGTTCATGATCTCCTCGAGCGACAGCTGCTTGCTGGGAGTGCCGTTGGCCTGTTGGGTCTCGGTGTCTTTGGCGGTTCCGCGGGCGTTGGGAATGTTGGGGTTGACCGGCTTCTTGGACCGGGCGTCCTCGTCGAGCTCGTACATGGTGATGGACAGCGGGATGAGCGACTCGTCGGCGAAGACAATGTACAGAAGAAAGGGGAACAGTACGATGCCGGTGACCAGGACAGGAACAATCATGTTGGCGGTGTAGTCGATGAAGCGCAGGTGGAAGGCGCCGGCGAGCACGAGATTGGTTGGATTGGACGAGACCAGAATGGCGGAGGCGATGTTGGCGACGGCGAATTGGCTGTGGATCCAGGCGCGCGGGTGGACGATGTTGGAGGAGACGCGGGTCATGTAGGCGAGGAAGGCGGTGCCGGAGAGGATGATGGGATCGTTGCCGATGAAGCTGCCGAGGCCGAAGAAGAAGACGTAGAGGTAGAAGAAGAGGCGGTGGCCGACCTTGCCGCCCTTTTGGAGAACCTTGAAGGCGAGGTAGCGGACGAGGCCGGAGGCGTCAATGGAGATGGCGACGTAGGCGAGGGTGAGAAAAAATGCCATGATATCGATGGGGAATATGTTGTTGGAGCCGATGGTGCCGCCATAGACCTCATCGCGACCGATGGCGAGGATGGCGAGCAGGAAGAGGTCGGCGATCAGCGGCGCGGTGACAAAGTTGACGGGGAACTTGAAGCACTGCCAGCGCTTCTGCAGCCGATGTCTGGGCGGTGAAATAATGCGCAAAGCGACAAGGACACGGAGGATGGCGTTGCAGACCCATAGTGGGAGAAGGAAGGGGACATGGAAGGGGAACAAGACGGCACAGTCTATTGGTCAGTGACTAGTAGCAGGTATGTTAAGGCTGAGGCAGATGAGAGCATTAGGCTGTCTTGGATAAGAGGTGATTGCTGGTGAGATGTAGTGAGAGGAAGTGAAACAGAGGTAATCTAAATGCTGAGAGGTTGAGGTGAAGATGAGGTGAAGATGAGACGACCGTATCGAGTCAAGTGATGATAAGCTCAGGAAGGATACAAGCAGATGTAGGCGGTGGTGTAAAGTACACAATGTACCAGAAGTGCGGAGACGTCACCGTAACACTTACTGGTCAGCACAAAGACAACGAGGGTGATGATGGAGCGCGGCGACTGGATCGAGCTGGTATCGATCTCGCTGGCCGAGTAGTTCGACATGACACCGGTATCGCTGACGACTATGGGCAACGGTGCGGCTGAAGTGAGGTGCAAGTGGCCAACTAATGGTAGAGAGGTAGCGATCGGAGTTCAGCTACCAAGGATCACAGCGAGCAGCAGGCGGTCGTTTGCAGTCGGTGGCCCTGTAATGTAGAGCAGCCCGGACATCCAGTAATGCGCCTAGTGGCCGTCTAGTCGTCGACCGAGTAACACCGGCTGTGATGGTGCGCAAACGATCAATAACCCGTAATCCGAGATTTGTCGTCCGCGAGAGAACAGCGGAACAGGTTTGGCATCATGCCGAGGCAGGTGAATTCATGCCCAATGTCCGGGATATATACCCCGTACTGCGATTTAATATTTGCGGGGTGTTCACAAAGTCAGGCCTAAGCCACAATCCCGTTCGTTAACCCTATAGGGCTTACGGCCGCCGGAGCATTTGAGTCTCAGCCTAACTGATCTCACCATAGAACTGGTGATTTGGCCACATTTTACGCTTCGATTCGGTCAGAAAAAGACTTCTATGGTAAGAGAAAATCACAAAAAATCCGTGGGTATGCACTTCGTAGCACAAAGGGAAATGTATCTATCGCAAATCGAATCGCGAAGACTGGCAATCAAGTGCTGATACTTTGTACGGAGACCCGTTAGATGCGGTTAGATAGTTTAGTTTACTTGTGGGTCCAACCTGTGTACTCCGTACTACATACCGTACGGAGTACGGGTGGCGGAGCAGAGCGCGAAACCCATGTTCGGTGGCCGAATTCGTGCTCAACAGCGTAAAACATGAATCGCAATGGTTACCGAGTTCTGCCTTCGGTCTATCCGCGTTGCTTTTCAAACAGGCGCAAGCAGAATTAGCTCATAAAGGTAGCAATACGAGTACTTCGCAAAGTGGCGGTAAACGGGAAGGAGCGTAGGATATGCGCAGAACAAAGTCCTACCGTGGTACGGAAGGACACGGACAGTAAGACAGGTGATGCGACCCAGAAAATAAACAGGGGGGGCTGGGGTATCGGATATCTACGAATGCTCGTAGTAATGGAAAGACAGCGTCGTCATTCGTAGCTAGCAATGCACACAACCCTGGGGCAAGACACATGTTCGACGCAGACAAGAAGAGCTCAGCCCCGGAAGGAGCTGCAAAGATACGAGACGGCATAACGAGAGGACGTGGTCGGTGGTGCCTTCTTAGCTCGATGCATGTCAGACAGACGGCTGAGGTGGCAGTCGGCGAGCTGCTTGATTTGGCGTAGCGCGACTTCCTGACGAACCAGTGCGACAGAGTGGTCCGGGCCACAGAGCAGGTGCTCGCGTGCTGACAGTCGTCATATTTACTGATCTGCGGCTCTGTCTTCCCCTGTCTGTGACCGAGGAGTTCATGCTGCGCCACGGCAGCCCTGTCGGAAGAGAGAAGGCACGGGGGGTGTTCCACCAAGTCCCGGTGTTCGTCTGTTTCTCCTGTTCCTTCAGTGCTATCAGCTATATCAGTCAGCCATTTAGCTCCTAATTTCGCCGTTTAGCGCAGGGCAAAGACTGCAACATCTTCTGGACAGCGAGTCAGGCAGTCATCAATTCGACATCATCGTAAAATCAACACGCAACCGATTTCGTCAGCCAGAAAGGCCAGATACACCATCTACGCGCACCATATCTCAGAGGAGGATTGAAGGCTGTGCCTTGGCCATGGCTGTGACCTTATAACGGCCCTTTTCCGCCGACCTGCAAACTGACCGCCTTCGCTGTATCCACCAGGCCGTCGATCTTCTATGTCTTGACTCCTGTCCACATTTCAGCACACATCTAGCGCTCTCGGACTTCACGATGCCGGCCATTTTTCAGGCGCTGGCGCCACCCCTGGGTCCAGTTCCTGACAACACGACGGCTGTCGGAATCCAAGTGATCTGCTCCTGGCCAGTTTCGGGGCAGTACGGCGTTGGATCCCGAATATTGTAAGTGGGGATTTTGAGAAGAAGAGGGAAGATGAAAAAAAGAAAAAGAGAAACAGAAGGTCCGAAAGAAATGCAGACAAATCCAGGCAGCTGACCTCCGCCGCCCACCAGATACTACGTCCTCGTCGCCGCCTGCGTGCTGGCCAGAAAAGAAATATGGATTCGCAATGCCTGTCTCGCGGCCGCACTTCTCTTCCCAGCCGTGGCCGCCATCCACGGCATCGTTCTGGCCGCGCTGCACAATGACGGTATGTCCCCCGTCCTGCCCCTTCATCAGCGCACATCATATCTAACGGTCCAGCCGCCGTTGATCTGGACGTCTATGGTGCCTTCCAGTTCTGTGCCATCGGCATCCTCGCTGCACCCGTCACCGTCCGGCTCTCGAGCACGTATTTCTTCTCTCCCGGCCGCAATACCATCTTCCTCTGGACCGGCATGGTGCTGGCCGGCCTCCTCAGCCTCACGGTCGAGTTCTACCGCCTGCATCCGGTCCCGTGCACCCACGACAATGCCGGCAATCCGATCCCGTCCGACATCTCACAGGACGCTTTTCTCCGGCTCAACGCCACCTGTGGCCTCGTGTGCGACACCGTCAACGGGCCCTTCTCACCCATGCGTGGAGGCTCTGCCAACAACATCGAGGTCGTCGGCGTGCCCACGGCCCTCAGCTTCGACACGGCCACGCTGCTGGCGGCCGCCTGTTGCATCCCGGCCATCCTCTCGATCGCGTCCATGTGGAACACCATTGTCGAGATCAACTGGCGCTCGCGTCGTAGCTCGGCCGATGACCCGCACGACGGTGACGACGAGCACGACGAGCACGCCGTGCGCAGCAACATCAAAAAGGTCAACGCCACCATCGGCACCTTTCTGCGCGCCATCGAGATCCCGCTCTTTGGCGGCGCCGTGCTCGCCCTTCTCATCACCGGCGAGCGCAACTTCTTCAGCCCCCAGATTTGGTACATGACCGAGCCCATGGCCAACGTCGGCCAGTGGACCCCCGTCGTCGGCACCGGCTTCACCATCCTCTGGTCACTGCCGCACATCTTCTCGCGCGGAGACCCTGACGACAAGCACCCGGACGAGCCGTCACCTTCATCGCAGTCACCGTCGCCGCCTGGCCTCGTGACCCCCTGTCACTGTCCACATTCACATGTCTGTCATAGTGCCAAAGAGCCCCTAGCCAGTAATGACAAGGGCTATTTCCACGATGCCGACCTCGAGCGTGGCCGCGGGCCCATCCGAGAGTCGGAGGATGCCTCGCCTGACTCCTTCCCTCACGTTGAACACGTCTCTGACGTCGACAACGATACCGGCAGCCTCAGGCGCTCCGTCCAACTGTCGCAAGCGGCACGAACGCAGTCGCGCGCGACAGCCGCCACTGCCGTGAGCGAGAAGCCGACTGAGGACTTGGGCAGCCGCCGCAAGGTCGCCCGCGTCCTCGAGCGCGTCGCCACCGTTTTCGACAACGCCATCACGACACAATTTACCACCTCCGGCTTTGAGTCTACTCCTGGCAAGGACTTCCCCGAGATCCCCGCTGAATACCTTCGCAACCCAGGCCTTGCCAGGATCCGCAAGAACTACCATATGCACCGAAAAAACAGCTTCAAGTCGCGACAATCTGTATCACCCTCCCCTCTCTTCTCTCGGCGAGGCGAGCCCAGCTCGCCGTCCCCGGCTGCCACCACTGGTCAGCTACGCCGATCTACCCTAGCACCTCCCTCCAACGTCTACGGTCACGACACAGTCACGCGCAGCTTCTCACATCCGGGCCCGTCACATTCCACCACCCCACATCCGCGGGTAGACGACCCTCCGCGTCCTATTATCGCACTCAACGCTGATCTGCTGGCAGCTCAGTCCTCGTCCCAACCGCCCATCAGCCAGCCGCCAACACAATGATCTTTTGTTCCATCAATCACACTACATATGCTATGAGATTGTACTTTTTCATGTTTTTATAATTTTATCTTAGTGTTTTGTTTTGGTAGCGTGGAGTATGGAAGACTTTGCAATACCTATAGCCAATGTTGGCGAATAAAGAGCGAAATGCAAGATTACAATAGGCAAGAGAATAGTGTAAACACAATAGTAAGGCGAAACGATGAGCATGGTAGAGTAAGTTGCTGTACTTTTTGTTTTCTGCCAGTGTTTAGTCAATAAAAATGCGCTTATTGAAACGTTACAAGTGTAGGTTTAGCCAGCCCGAGAGGGATCTTGGATATTTTATATTTGAATATGAATAAACTTGATACAACACCACAACCGCTCCCCGCCTACACGGCCATGTTGATGAGCACGGTCTTGGGCTCGGTGTAGAGGCGGAGGGCGTACTCGCCAAACTCGCGGCCAACGCCGCTCTGCTTCTTGCCGCCAAAGGGGGCCTGCAGGCTCTGGAGGCTGACGCAGTTGATGCCGACGACGCCGGCCTCGATGGCGGACGAGAGGCGAAGGGCGCGGGTGATGTCGCGGGTGAAGACGCCGGCCATGAGGCCGAACTCGGTGTCGTTGGCGAGCCGAAGGACCTCGTCTTCGGACTCGAACGTCTTGATGATGGCGACGGGCCCAAATATCTCGTTGCGGTAGATCTCCGCGTCGTCGCGCGGATTGAGAAATACAGTCGGCTGCATGAAGCAGCCAGTGGTGCCGTGCTGCAGGCCGCCGACGACGAGCTCAGCCTCGGCACGTCCACGCTCGACCATGGCACGCACGCGCTCGAGCTGATCAGCGTCGACCATGGGGCCGAGCCGGACGTCGGGGTCCTGGGGATCGCCCAGATCACCAGCGGCCGCCTTCATGCGTGCGGTGTAGGCCTCGATGAATCGCGGCGCCGCGCTCTTCTCCACGTACAGGCGCGAAGCCGCCACGCACAGCTGGCCGCTGCGTGCCAGGATCCCGTTGAGCGTCCAGGTCAGCGCGTTCTCCATGTCTGCGTCGGCAAACACGACCGCCGGACTCTTGCCGCCCAGCTCCAGCGTCACTCGCTTCAGGTTGCTCTGGGCTGCTGCCACCTGGATCCGCTTGCCCGTTGCCACCGAGCCGGTGAAGCTAACCTTGCGGATCCGCATGTGCTCCGCCAGCAGCGCGCCCGTCGCCCCGAACCCCGTCACGACCTGCACCACCCCCGGCGGGAAGCCAGCCCGGGCAAAGAGCGCGGCCGCGGCCAGCGTCCCCAGCGGCGTCTTCTCGCTTGGCTTCACGATGATCACGTTGCCCGTCGCCAGTGCCGGCGCTACCTTGAGAAACAGTGTCGCCAGCGGCGCGTTGAACGGATTGATGGCCGCACATACACCCAGCGGCTCGTGGCGCACCAGCTTGACAAAGCCTGCTTAGTCAGCATTATGGTCTGTACCGCTCGCTCGTATTTCTCACGTCTCCTTTCCTCTCTACGCTCGTCTCATCGCATCTCACCTACCATCGTCTGCCGGGTAGTAGTCCCCCTTGTGCTTGTCTGTCCAGCCGGCATAGTAGATCAGACAGTTGCGGATGTAATTGCGCTCGCGCACGGGCGCCAGCGAAACGGGAATGCCCGACGTCTGCGAGTCCAGTGTCAGGATGGGCGTCAGCTCTTCGTCCAGCAGTGCGACCAGACGCATAAAGCACTCGGTCCGCTGAATGCCGGTAAATTTGCTCCATGGCCCGCGGAATGCCGCCTCGGCGTATTCCACTGCGGCATCAACATCTGCAGCCCCGGCAATCGGCACACAGTCCGTCACGGCGCTGTTGTCCTTGGGATTCTTGAGGCTGTACGTCTCCTTGTTCTGTGCAGCGACATACTGGCCGTTCAAGTACAGCTTGTTGAAGCTTTTCGGGTCCAGGGCAGCCATGGTGAGAATAGAGCAAGGCAAGATAGTGGAAGATGCAATCCAACGTAATACAGCAAAGGTCATTCAAGACAGTCTGGTGCAAAGCCGTCTATCGATTTAAGGCCATCTGCCAGAAACAGTCGAATGCCGACGGAACGACCGGACGGAAAGATGACGAGTGGAGCGAGGAAAAAGAAAGACGAAAGCAGTCCTCGGTCCGAGTCCCCGAATGGCCAATTCCCCTTCTCGGAAATATCCCCGCACGTTTCGTTTGCAGCCGCATCTCCACCAGCAGCGTTTCCGCTCTGACGTCGGCCAACGCCGAATGCAGCGAATAAAGGCAGCTGGCTCTGCTCTCTCGTCGACGGGCGGCCAGGATCACCACAAACACACAACACATCTTTGCCCACCACATGTCCAACATGGCCGACCAGATGGACGTTTGGGCCCTGACCGAGTGGGACAAGCCGCTGCAGAAGATGCGCCTGCCCAAGCCGACGCTGCAGGGCCGCGACGTGCTGCTGCGCGTGACGCATGCGGGCGTCTGCCACTCGGACCTGCATACGGCCGAGGGCTTCTACGACGTCGGCAAGGGCCAGCGATTCTACGTCAAGGACCGGGGGATCACGCTGCCACGCGCGCTTGGCCACGAGATCTGTGGCGAGGTGGTGGCCGTGGGTCCCGACGTGGCTGCCGGCAGCCTGGCCGTGGGCTCGCGCCAGATCGTGTATCCGTGGCTTGGCTGTGCTGCCTGCACGCGCTGCCGCCAGGAGGAGGACAACCTGTGCGCGGCGCAGCGCGGCCTCGGAACGCTGCAGCACGGCGGCTTTGCCGAGTATGTCGTGGTGCCGGATCCCAAGTATCTCGTCGATCTCGGCTCGCTCGATCCGGCTGTCGCCTGCACTTTTGGCTGCTCCGGCATCACGACGCTCAGTGCCGTCGGCAAGGTCATGCCACTGCCGCCCGACGAACCCGTGCTTCTGATCGGTGCCGGTGGCCTCGGCCTCGCTGCCATCTCCGTCCTCCGGTCCTACGGCCATCGCGCCATCGTCAGCGCCGACATCAGTGACGAGAAGCTCGACGGAGCCCGCGCGGCTGGTGCTTCCCAGACCGTCAACACGGCCGGCCCCGATGCCGCCACAAAGATCCTCGCGGCTACCGGTGGCCCCGTCCTCGCCGTCATCGACTTTGTCAACAGCTCCGCCACTGCTGCCCTCGTCAACGGGCTCGTCGCCAAGGGCGCCAAGTGGGTGCAGGTCGGCGTCATGGGCGGCTCCCTCGAGCTCTCCCTCGTCGGCAACATCTTCAAGGGTCTCACCATCTCGTCCAACATTACCGGCAACCTCGCTGATCTGCACGCCCTCGTCAAGATGGCCAAGGACGGCAAGCTCGCCCCGGTACCCGTCCAGAAGATGGACTGGAATGACGTGAACGAGGCCATGGGCCTGCTCAAGGCCGGCAAGGTAACTGGTCGTGTCGTTCTCGTTAAATAGAGAGATACAATATATATATCTATGAATCGAACGTATATTCTTCTACTCCTCTTGCCTCTAACCGCTCTTTTCACCCCCCTCGACATGTGTTGGCTCCCATTCGTTCTTCTCATTCTCGTCTGATTTGACGTCGCCGTCGATCGCCCGATCCATCTCTTCCAGAGACCAACCACCGGTCTGCACAGTGTCAGAATAGGCTCACAATGAGTAGAGACTTGAAATAGTACACATACCTCGGGAAGCTTGAAGATCAGGTAAATACTATGCACGACGGCCAGACACACAAACACCAAATAGTACTTCCACCCTATCGATGCTGTCGCGGTCGGCAGCAGATTCAGCTAGAGAATGTCTGCGAGAAACAGACTACTGATTGCTACCGCTGATGCCTGGCTTTGGATATGGGTCGGAAAGATCTCCGTGGCAAGGGTGAACTGGATTAGATCGACAAAGCAGTTGTAGCTGTGATACCATGTGTCAGCAGATCAGCGACACCGCAGCTCGAACTCATGAAAATGACACTCACCATGTCACGTAGATGTAGACCATTGTCGTGGCAGCAGCAGCCCATCCTTTGGTCGGTGTAGTGTTGTACTTTCCAATCATCCCAGTCAAGACGGCAAACGCACATGTCACCAGCAGATAGCCCGTCACTTCGCCCTCACGTTAGCAACACGCGCACAAGCACACGGGAATTCTTCGTCTTGCTTACCCAGAGCCTTCCGCCGACCAAGGCGGTTCGCAATCAGGCCGCCAAAGCAGGCCATGATCAGGCCGACCGTGTTGTAGACAGCCGACAGGAGCAGCGACGTGGTCGCGCCCAGACCGAGCGACCCGTACAGCCGCACGTTGTAATTGTTGATCACCAGCGGCCCAATGTTCTGGCCGCCCACCATCACCAGCCAGGCGAGCACGAGCCGCTTACGGTTGGCCTTGTTGGTAAACAGTCGCCATCGCCCGTCTGTGCGGACGACCTCCTTCTCGGCCCGGCACCGGTCTACGATCATCTGCAGCTCCTGGTGCGCAAAGCTGTTGTCCGGGTCGCTGGCGCTGTGGTGCAGGCGGAGCAACACTTCCAGCGCCTTTTGGTGGTCGTCGCGCTGGACCAGAAACCGGGGGCTTTCCGGCACTGAACGCTGATCAGAACGGCATTCCCGTTTCGTGCATGGCAGAACGGCTTACCGTAAAACGATCCGGCCAGGAGACAGAAACCCCAGACAACGACCATGGCAAAGGGGAACCGCCAGGCAAACGTGGATCCGGGCGTGAAGTAGCATCCGTACCCAATCCACCCGGCCGTGCATTAGCCGATGTTGATAAAGATGGCGTGTGCACCGGTGATCAGTCCGCGGGACTGAGGCGGAGAGACTTCGGCAAAGTACGTCGGCATCGCCGCCATCGTGTGGCCTGCAGCCAGTCCGGCCACCGCTCTGGCAACCAGAAACATGGCTGGCGACTGCGACCCGCACTGGAGCGCGCCCCCAATCATCCCCGTCGTTGCTGCGATGCGGAAGCCGTTCACCCGTCCAAACCGGATGGCCGCCCAGCCGGCAAGGAAGCAGCCAAAGAAACCACTGCCGAAGAAGACCCCGTTAGCGGCCCCGGTGATGTCGTTTGTGTAGCTGTACCCGGGCGCTGAGCTGTCACTCTCGAGGTCGAGCGAGGTGTAAAACGTCGGCTGGCCGATCGTAAACGCAAACACGGCGAACGAGTTTCCCGTGAAGAGGGACCCAAACGCCGCAAAGCATACCACCTGCCTTTATGAGCGTGGTGTCCCGGATGTGTCTCAGAGGGCGTCCAAGACGTGACTCACCGCAATGTTATAGACGCTGTATTCCTTCATTTTGATGTGTTGGACTTTCCAAGAAGAACGCAACTTGCAAGAGGCGCGGATCGAACGTCCTCATATACTGATAGGTCGACTGCCTTCGACTTGATCCCACTCGGTCGGTATTAGCCGAGAGAGAACTCTACACCACTAACAAGCTGTCAAACACGCAACAAAGCACCTGGATCCAACTACACGGTTCTTAGTCTACAGCCACGTGTTCCATAAAGCTGTGGTTCGATCATGCAAAATGGCAAGCTTGCACGAATAGCCATGAGTGCTGTCATGCAGGATAGCGGCCATACATCCGAACGTTATGCGGGGTAACAACTATGAACCTGGGGGGGTTGGAGAATGCATCTGCCTTACGTTAAACAGACTAGACCACGGCAGGGAGCAGTCTTGTTCAAGGTATCATATTAGAGCTTGAGGGGCAATCGTGTTAAAAGGAGAGACTAGCTCGAGCTAGGCTCTACTCTACTGTAGTCTCCCCAGACCCCAGACTCCCGACCCCAGACGTCCAACTTGGCTTGGATACGGTGGTACTGATATTGGGGATACTACGTGGTTGACTATTTGCGGGGAGTCAAGTGGGCCGTCGGCGAAGGCCGAGCGAGTGATTCGTTTCGGTAGAAACCGATTGTGGAGAATTATGAGATTTGTGTGGAGAAAGAAAAGGCAGATGTCAGCCAAGCTTGAGGCCAAAGAATTGCCTTCAATAAAATATTAAGTTGAGAAAGAAGAAAGAAAATGAAGGTATTTACCCTCTATATCTTTAGGAGTGGTCGTCGGCACTTTGCAGGTGACAAAGTCTAACAAAATGATAACAAAGGTCCAAGGTACAAGTTAGCGAGATAAACATTTCCACCTGTGGGGAAGGAGAAAGGGTAGAAAAAGGGAAAATGCTGCCTTATGCACGATATCGGGAAGACTACTGGTCCCCTCTGTCCGTCTTTGCCGAGGCACTTTCGGGTCGCAAAAACTGTCTACCGGAAGAGCCGTAATGACTTAGCCGTTGTCATGCATCGTCCAATGGGCTCTTCCCACTGCTGATTTGACCCTCGGCAGCTTAGCCGACAAGCCGTGGGAGACAGAGAGGCTGGTAGCTTGAGGCTGGATCCGATGCACGGACTTATACGGCAATAATTCAGATGATTAAGACAGACTACAATAAGCAGTGTCTGCGAAGAGCTCTCCTTGTCCTTGACCACTACTCCGTACCTCCCAACAAACAAACAGACACACATGGCTAGCACCCAGCTCGACCGCCCGGTATGGCAGGTTCGCCGTCCGGAGGAGACGAACACGGCCAAGTTCATGTCGTTTGTCAACAAGCGGCACAACCTCAGTCTACAGTCCTACGACGATCTGCACCAATGGTCTGTCGGCGACACCAGCTTCGACGCCTTTTGGCACGATGCGTACGAATGGCTGGGACTAGCCCCAGCAGGCACGACCAAGATTGGCAAGATGCTCCAGGGCGAGGTAGGAAGCCGGCTGCCATTTCTGTTACCAACCCAGATGCGAAGAGACTGACGAAACCGGACGCGACCAGAATGCCGCGGCCACACCGCTCTTCCCGCCGCCGACCTTTTTTCCTGACGACAGGCTCAACCTGGCCGAGTTTCTCCTCCGCCGGGGCCCGGACGCGCAGGTGGCCATCCACTTTGCGCGCGAAGGCGTCGCCGACACGGAGCACGTGACCTGGCGACAGCTGCGTGAACGTGTGCGCTGTGTACGCGACGCGCTGGCGAGCTCGGGCATCTGGGCGGGCGACGTCGTGGCCGCCGTGATCTCCAACTCGATTGACGCCATCGTGCTCTGTCTCGCCAGCCTGTCGCTGGGGGCCGTCTGGTCGTCGTCATCGCCCGACCTCGGACCTGATGCCATCGTCGACCGTTACGGCCAGGTCGACCCGTCCATCATCTTTGCCGACGACGGCTACGTCTACGCCGGCAAGCAGGTCACGCTCACCGAGCGCATCGCCCAGTGGTCGCATGCCGTCGGCCGCGTCAGCGCCAAGCTGGCCGACGTCGTCGTCATCCCGTACTGCGGCGCCGCCGTCGACACGTCGGCCATCTACCGCGGACGCACGTGGGACGCCTTTCTCGGCCGCGGCACCGGCAGAGACCTCGACTTTGCCCTCATGCCGTTCTCCCACCCTGCCTTCATCCTGTTCTCGTCCGGCACCGTAAGCTCTTCCACGTGTCGGCCCGAGCTCCTGTCCTGGACCCATGTATTGACCAGATGCATAGACCGGAAAGCCAAAGTGCATGATCCACTCATCAGGCGTATGTCATCAACAGCTTCCATTGTACTGTGCGCGTGTACTGACCCGTTTGTGCGTTACAGGGGGTGGCCTTGAAGGTACAGACCGATATGGTCTTGCAACATGACATTCGGCCCACCGATGTGGTCTTTCAGTACACGACGGTATGTGTGCTTAGCCACACTTTCATGTTCACACGACTAACGGATGACACAGACGTCTTGGGTAATGTGGGTTCTCAACTTTGCTAATCTGTCGACCGGAAAGTCCATGCTTCTGTACGACGGTTCGCCATTCCATCCTCGCCCGACAATACTTCTTGAGCTGGCACAGGATGTAGGGTAAGGAATATGTCCAAGTTCCAGTAATGTATCGGCATCCACTAATCTTCGTAATCATCTCTAGGGTCACTGTCTTTGGGACGTCGCCACGGTATCTCGGAGACCTTAAGAAGCGAGGCATTGTTCCACGTATGTGATGGGTGGACGGTTGATACATGTGCAATCCAGGTGGCACAAGCTGACCATCGTTCACACTGCAGGGGAGCAATTCGATCTCAGCAAGCTTCGAATGATGACGTCGACGGGATCCGTGCTGTCAGCCGAGCAGTACGATTGGTTCTACGATGTCGCCTTTCCACCGGACGCCCAGCTCATCTCCATGAGCGGAGGAACGGATATTGCAGGCTGCTGTACGTGCATGTTGTGTCTTGGGATTCGTGATCATGCTAACGGACGAGGACAGTCGTCGCGGGGACTCCACTTCTGCCGGTGTATCGCGGCGAGATCCAGGCCAAGGCTCTCGGCATGGCAGTAGACATCTTTGACAGCGCTCAGACGGAACACGTCTCGGTGGAAGCGACGGGAAACCCAGGAGAGCTCGTCTGCACGAAGCCGTTTCCCAGCCAGCCGGTGACGTTTCACGGTGCCGGAGGCCAGGACCTCTACAAGTCGTCGTACTTTGAGCGCTTCGGTGTCGGCGTCTGGTGCCAGGGAGACTTTGTACAGCGCATCAAGGCGACGGGCGGCCTGTTGATGCTGGGCAGATCGTGAGTACAGTCTCCCTCTGTGTGTCTACATCTTTGGGCTTTTGACGTTGTATACTGACAGAACAGCGATGGTGTGCTCAACCCGTCTGGCGTCCGGTTCGGCTCGGCAGAAATCTACGCAGTCACGGAAAAGATGGCCGAGATTGCCGACAGCATCTGCGTGGGCCAGAGACGAGACTGCGACGCGGACGAGAGGGTGCTGCTCTTTGTCAAGATGCAGCCGGGCAAAACCCTGACCCAGGCACTAGAGCAGGACCTGAAGACGGCAATCCGGCAGACATATTCTGCTCGTCACGTGCCCCGCTTCATCTTCGAGGTGGCCGACATTCCCTACACGGTCAACGGCAAGAAGTGCGAGATCAACGTCAAGCACATTGTCAATTGCCGCAAGGCAGCGGTTAGCGGCACGGTGGCGAATCCGGCCGCCTTGAAGCTGTTTGAGCAATTTCAGCAGCTTCCCGGGGACGAGGCTGTGGTCAAGAGCAAGTTGTAGAGGACAGAAAAGTGTCGTGAGAACACTGTAATATTTCGTTGAAGCTGTAACCCGTCGCTGTAGACAAAAGAAGGAATACAACAAAAGGAAGGGAAATCGATAGATAGCCGAACCAAAGCAAGGCTTATCGTTAATTTAGCTACCGCTCAGATCCCATGAAAGCATACTTGACTCATTCTCGCCCTCTGAGCTGACAATGGGATTGTCAAAGGGCCAATCCTGCAGGAAACCAGCGATGACTTCACTGGGCATGGCATCGCCAGGATGGCCGGCCCCGAGGGAGCCCATGAACTGGCGGAACTCATCCATGACAAAGTTCTCGTCGAGCTGCATCTGGCTGTCGAGGACGGCGTCGAGGGAGGCCGTGGAGGCAGTATTGTTGTAGGGCGTAGTGGCAGCTTGCGGTTTGTGCACGTGACCACGAGCCAGCGGATCAGACTGGCGACTGCAGCTGCTGCCGTAGCGGTCACGGTCCTTTTCCCTCGCCTGTCTGGACGAGGCGTTGAGGGCATCCTGTATGACGGCGTTGCTCAGCTTGTTGAACAGATCGCAAGAGCGGCGGGAGGCGTTCCAGCGCTCGCAGATGGCGACGAGAACGTTGGAGCACGAGCGGGTGACCTCGACTATGGAGAAGAGCTCGGGCACGAGCGCAAAGGTGGCAGGATCGCGCAGTAGGCGGCCGAGGGCGTAGATGTACGAGAGGCCAGCTATAAAGACGCCGTGCAGGGTGATCCAAGAGTAGTTGAGTCGGCGCTTCTGGTGCAACCGGCTGTAGGACTCGATGGAGGAGCGGGAGGCATTGAGCAGCTCGATCAGCTCGGGCCGGCCGTCGTCGGGCGCGAGCGTCATGGTCGGGTGTGGAAGGGCTGGCGAGGGACGGTACAGCAGCAGGATGGCGTTGCTGTAGACGGCATTGTACCAGTCGAGAGAGAGGAAGCTGGATTTGTAGGTGGGTGTAGTATTGGAAGACGGGGGGGTAGAGGAAGACGTGGAGGAGGTTGAGGAAGATGCAACGTCGAGGAGGTGTTTGGTATCGTCTCGCCAGGCGTCGATGTCGGCATGGAAGCGACGGCGGATGCGTCTGCGATCTTCCATGGAGATGTTGGAATGATGTCGGGAGTTGTAGAACTGGGTGAGGATCTGGCCGGAGATACGACGGATGCGAATGAGATGGAGGAAGGGCGAGACGGCAGAAGGGTGGAGGGGTGAATGTGCAGCAGTATCGGTGGACGAGGATGAGTCGGGTGAGAAGCAGGCGTCGTCGAGAGGCGAGGGCAGCGGCACGTCGATCTCGTCGTCGCGGATGGCCACCGGACGGCCGAGCGTGAAGCTGACGACGCGGTCGAGATTGTAGAGCGACCAGAAGCAGCGGCGGCGCAGCTCCTCGTCGAGGGTGACGGCGCGTGTATGGGCGCTGCCGTTTTGCTGCTGCTGCTGCTGCTGCTGCTGTAGCTGACGTCGTTCCAAATGGAGGCCCTGCTCGATGCAGATGCGGGCGCCGACGCCAACGAGGTGCCAGATGCTGGCGCTGGTGTCACGCAGATTGCTAAAGATGCCGTGCTGCGAGATGAGCAGGATAGCCTTGAGGGCGGTCAGGCTGTCGTCCATCGAGAGCATGGCGCCCAGCTTGGACTGGGCGACGGCGAAGAAACGGCACGAGTTCGCGGCCGACTCGTCGAACCGATTAAAGTTGGAGCTGCCGATGGCCAGGACCATGTCAAAGACGAACGCCTCGCGCGGATGGCGCTCATAGAAGCCCGGCTCGCCGTAGATCCGGTCGACCGTGGCGAGGAAGCTGGGCCGGTGCAGCAGCGGAAAGGTGATGTGTGTGTGCTGGAAGTAGGCCTCGATGAAGGGCCGGACGGTGTGGAGCGGTGGAAGGGGAGAGGGACTGGCCGGAACGACCGTGTGCGAGGACGACGACGACGACGACGACGACGACGACGACGACGACGACAACGATGACGCAGCCAGCGGCACACACGCCGACTCACCGTCGGAGTCCATGCTAGCCTGCGACGTCACCATGTGGCCGATGATGTTGGCCAGGCCCAGACCGCTGCTCGAGCCGAGATAGCGGGTCTCGCCCGTGGCGATGAGCGACAGGTAGCCGACCTCGACCGCAAACTCGTTCTCCGGTGGGCTGCCGCTCTCGACCGACGATGGCGGCGGGCTGATGGGCCCTTCCGGCAGCGGTGTCTGGTCCGGGTGGCCGTCGTTCTGCCGGTGCTGCCGATCCTCCTCGTGGCTGGACAGCGTGCCCAAAGGCGAGGACGGTACCGGCTGTGGTGCCTGTCCCTGTCCCTGTGCTTTCGCCTGCGATGCCGTCAGGCTCTGTCGCAGCACCCGGTTCTCCTCTTGCAGCTGTCGCACTGTGGCCTCCATGCTGTCGAGATAGCCGCGTGGGATGTTGCGCTGTCGCAGCTTGTCCGCGTGCACGCACGAGACCCTGGCTTTTTCGCAGGCACCGCACTGCGGAAACCGGCGGTCGCACCGGGTCTTGCGGGCATGGCATCGGTCGCAGGCCTGCATGGTGTGGAGGATCGATGTCGAGGGATCTGCCGTTCAGGAGGATTGTCGAGATTTCGGGTCGAGCGAGTCAATCAAGGGTCGAGGACGAGTCGGAAATGAAAACAGTAGAGAAATTGTCCAAAGACCCGACATCGCAAATACGCAATAGCGAATTTTAAATCAATGATGTAGACACGTCGACCGTAGACAGATGCAACGCTGGCACGGGGCGGAAATGGAAACAAAGACGATACATCGCGCCGTTGTGTGGGGGATGGCGGACAGAACTACGGGGAAAATCTGGGGTTACGCCCGTGAATTTGAAAGCGGGGTAAATTAGCTGCATCGTTAGGCTGGGCTCGGAACCGAGCTGAGGCAAGAACAGGAAAGGGTACGGACTACGCAAAGACTGCCAAATATGTGGAGGTAGACACCCGGGAGGAAGCGAGAAAGTAATGCATTTTCAGATAAACGAACAGAGACAGTAGGAAAGTACAGACGGAATTAGGTACAGAATGGAGAGGACAAAAGGCGGCAACGTATTCTCCCAAAATGGAGTACAGCTACTGCAGACGGCTTGTCTGCTGGTCTAATCCTGCCTCTAAAATCAGCTTTATCTGATCACCTGCAACCATCACCTAAATAGCTCGACTACTGCCGCAGGCACAGGCATTGCCGAGGGCCAGAACTGCCGTCGGCTATTGTTCGCCCACAACTGGACCGATTCCGTTGTGAAACCTTTCTTACCGACCCCCTTTGCCGAGCTTTTCACTCTGCAATTGCCAACGCCCCGTGACCACAACCTGGCATGGATCCCAACTGTGACGAAATGGTGGACCGGTGAAGGCCACATGGGGCAGATTTTGTGGAATGCCACGGACCAATACTCGACATTTACGAGCGGCATAGCTCCACTTTTCTTAGCAGACTTTAGTGCGCAATTTTAGCACTACGACGTATGCTTTAGGCGGGTTTGTGCCCTTAAATGTCGAAAGTTAGCTTTAAGGGGTTAAGAAGTTGTCGCCTTTAGTGCTAAAACCTGTAACCTCAGAGCGATGCTTATATAAAGTGGGCCTTTGATAAAACGGAGGGAAAATACGGAGAATTATTATTTTTATTATTATCTTATCTTTTTTTCTTCCCGTTCCTCCGTTAAGCCTACTCCGTTATAATTACAAAAAAAAATTGCTTTTGTTTTCTTACTTTTTGTTTTCTTATTTTTTTTCCCGCTCCTATCTCGCTCTTTTATTTATGGGTCTTCCTCTTTCTTTCTCTTCCTTCCTCTTCCTCTTCCTTCCTCTTCCTTCTTATTCCTTCTTATTCCTTCCTCTTTCTTCCTCTTCTTTCCTCTTGTTTCCTCTTTATCTCCTTTTCACTTCCTCTTCCTCTACCTTATTGCAATGTCTTCTAAAAACGTTACTAAATGTGTTGAGTTGGTTCGAAGGGACTTTTCCCTAACAGTTGGGATTAGTAACCTAAGTGAAGAACAGAAGAATGCGTTCGCAACTATCATTTCAATAGTTACAGAGACTTCCGAATCGCGAAAGCTGTTGCCCTCTAATGCATGTTAAAGCAGGCACAAGACAGCACAGCTAACATTAAAAGCTATATTCGAATGCAATATCAACCTTTTTCTTATTTGTGCTCTAAAACTATCGATGACCAGGCTGTCTAGTCTCTACAAGCATCTGCAAGCTTTTATTACAGAAGTGTTAGGGTGGTGGGCAACGGTTGAAGTCCCGCCTTCTTTTACCCACCTCGCTACTCAACTCGTCGATTCAAACAAGAAAGCTTTCATACAGTCGGGTAAGAAGCATAAATAATTATATATGCGAGATACTAACAGCAATTAGGATTTCTGCTAGAAAGCAGCATTAGCTCTGATCTTGTTCCCACAAGCCAAGAATGTTCTAAACGGAAACCTGAAGCAGGATGTGTCGAAGAGGAAGTTGAAAGCAGCATTAGCTCTGATCTCGTTCCCACAAGCCAAGAATGCTTTAAACGGAAACCTGAAGCGGGAGATGTTGAAGAGGAAGTTGAAAGCAGCCCCGGTCATCTTAAACGGAAAAGTGTTTCCAAGGAGGATAGCGAGGTTTACGTTAGTCGGTCAACTGAACGGGAAAACAGCCTCGATCGTACAAATCCGAAACGCCACAAATCACAAAAATCTATCGATCACTCTTTCAAAGATATACCTAATACCACAAACCCGGAATCCTACATATTACAAGAGACCAACGGCCAAGCTTCTTGCGATACGCTCCACAATGTGGTGAATTCTCTCGATTGTATTATGCCTACTAATGGTAAGGCTGCGTTCAAGTTGTCAAAATTAAAGCTAATTCAATACAGTCGAGTCCGAATTCAGGGTGCAACTAGAAGATGCTTTGGATATCCTTGTGGCAGAATACAAGATGAGCAAGCATCTTATTCTGCGAGTACCCAGTTGTCCTGATATCAGACCATACATAATTATATCGTGTCCAGATCATCTTCTTCTCGATGTACTCTTTAATTGCCAAAGCAATCAAGAGTAAAATCCAATTTTGCATTCTCCTATGCACACAAATTGCAAGCTAGTTTCCACTTGAACGATTGTGAAGGTCCGATCCTTCTTCGTATGACCAACCATTCCACATTGTTGCTTTTTGTCATTAAAGAAACGTACGTGACCTGGACTGTGCCGCATATCAACAACTAAAGCAACGACATTTTCTTCAAAAGTATATATCGTCGGTGTAGGACTGCTGTAAATCTTCCAACAAAGCTTTAAGCTTAATATGTTCTAGGATAATTAGTAGCCGACGAGAGATATATCAAATAAGATTCTTACAGGAAGTTGTTCTTTAACTTCATCGTCTAGTAGTGAGTTTACTGGAACTATTTTCATTGCTAATGAAGTAGCTTGCTTGTTGAAATTTTGAGTTTGTTGATGCCTAAAACGTAAAATAGCATGTTAGGCCGGCATAGAAAGACGAGAGAAATGCTTAGTATATATGCCTGTAAGATCCACTAAAGGGCTTCGCACTACGGAGTATTACTCGTACATTTTCTACAGCCCGCACTGTACTCTGGTAGGTATCTTACAACCGAGTACTCCGTAAGGCGACGCAGACGCCTGCTTTGGACCCATAACATACAACCAATAAAATCTCCTCTTAAAACCAATTTTATATTAAAATACTATACGGAGTACTCTGTACTTCGTAGTGTTATAGGTATCTTACATAGTAAGTAATGTACTCCGTAGGCCCTACGGAAAACCCTTGTTATAACAGCAAGGGTGTATTTGTTTTTAGGCTATAGCAGGGAAATTTTAAAGCGACGGGTCCACGTAATTTATTTTATTTAGGCAGTCGCACACGACAGAATTCTAGAATCGTCCTCTATACTCCGTACTTCGTAAGTCGTAATTGATTCAAAGTAAAATAACCAAAAGCACTAAATAAGAACAGAAGAGACTGGTAAATACCATAGAGGACTATCAAACATTAAAATAACTCTTTTTCTAAATTAATCATACCGCCATTTCCTCCTGCGGCAAATTTTGTATTAAAAGTCTGCCGTACCGTAATTATGTACTCTGTACGGAGTATTCGCGATGATTACGCAGTTGCGCTGGCCACGTACACTTCCACGATTTCGGTGGTATTCTGCCATTTGCGACCGCCTAAATAAAACCACGTGGACCTGTCGCTTCCCAAAAAAAAAGAAACGACCCGTCGCTCTAATAATTCCCTGTTAACAATGCGTCAATGGATTTGTTCTTTGTTTTGGCTGAAATTAATGGAAGTAGTTTTCCACTCGGTTACCTTTCCCTTCAAATTTGACCATCTAACTATGGTATAAAACATGCCGACCCTAGAGCAGTCACTGCTATTCTCAAGCAGTTCCTAAGCGCTCTAAGAGCCTAGGGGCAAGAGCCTCGTTTCTTTAGCTGCAATAAAAAGTCACAAATATCTATCTATTATTAAGCAGGTATCCCTTGACTCGGCTATCCAGTTGTGCTTTTGACGCACAAAGAGAGCGCTTCGCACGAGATTTACCAACTTTACACAGTCTAACACACATTGCATTCGGGACTTTTACTAGAGTATAGTACAAGTGCAATCGTTAGGCATAAAGCAGGTTCAGAATTAAGATTTGTAAGAATAACAGAAAGTACAAAACCAATATCGATATCCTTTATTACAGTTGACACCGGATAGAGCTCTATAGTAGGTAATGTTTAATGTAAGAAAGGATGTGAAAGGCATAGCTAAAGCGACAAATAAAATCGGGATAAAGATTGGCAAACATAGCGATATTTTTATAGCTATGGCTTAGTGCCGTTTCCTCCTTTCCCTCTCTATTTTTTATTTTCTTTCTTTCCTTCCCTTTTGTCCCTCCCTTATAGATATAGCACCGATATAACAAACGTGGTAGAAAAGGCATTTTTCTTTTTAAAAAAAAATTCAAGAAGAGGAATTTGTAGGGTGCGTGTTCAGTACCTTCCAACTCTTACTATAGTAACTCGTCATGCGTAAGCCTCAAGCTCGCTGCCTTAAGTATAGTAGGAACTGCGCACAAGAAACACTGAATAATATACAAATCAACCCCCGTTGTGACAGATATAGCAAGCGTCCCAATTGACAAGAGTGTCATTACAATGCTTATGCCTATGCTAAGCCACAATCGGGATACATTCCTCGTCTAATGATTGCCGATTTGGCTAGTAGCAGGCCTAGGCAAAACCATCGGAATCTTGTTGCACATGTATATTAGTCCAATAAAAAAGGCGCAATAGATGGGAACCGGTGTCGCCCAAAGCACGCCTTTGTAGTTTGGACAAATCCATCCAATCCAAATGCTAATAACCAAACCGTTAGTGAAAAGCTAAATAGTTGTAAAAGACAATGCAACCTTCTTAATCCACCATTTTATATAGTAAGGTCTATTAAATATTAAAACAAACATTAGATATATAGATTCAATTTAACAGAGTTAGAAAATAAAAGCAAGGAAGAAAGCTAAGGAAGAGA